CATATTATTTTAAGAAGTTTAACGATAATTCAAGTCCTGTATAATCTGAAACAACGAGTGGAAGAATTTGAACTACCATATAGAGCTGTCCCTTCATGCGACATAGTGAGGATATTGCTAGACACTGTCATACGAAAACTTGATGGGCATCTTTTGGTGGGTCTGCGACCTGTTACAGGACATGTACTGTATATATACAATAGTAAGTTTCTTATTTGTTCCGAGTCATACGATTCAAGCCTAGAACGTATCTCAAATACAGGACTAACCATATATAGTTTGGTGTATCATGTGATTAGGGTTCAAAAGACCCTCTCTATGTTGTTTAGTAAGGAAGGCGATAGCGGTCGCTACTGTAAGAATAAAAGAACAAAAACATACAACAGCAGGGATTCGCTGGTGGTCACCCACCCAACTACTAACCTGCCGGCGTGTGGCTTAAGTACGGCTGAGCGGACGGGAAGCCCTGTTCTCCACACCCTATGGTCGTATGTGCTAGGATTGGATCCAAAAAGCACTATGTATTTGCAAGAGAAAATCGACACGACAGGTCAACTATGCAGGTTTACCTCATACGTTGAATGAAGAACTGCGTTAGCCCAAACTTGGGAGTGAGGTGGAAGCTTGTTCACCATATCCTCGTGCAAAGGAGGAGTAAATGTGCCACCACGGGCATAGATGCCGTATCCCTGACTCATTAGAGTATGCCATAAGGTAATTCTATCGCATTTACTTACTCTTGTGTCCCCGGGGAATACTACAAACTTCAGTTTGGGACTAAGTAGGCTGTGTGCATCGATGAGATTCTGACACATCTGACGATTAGTTGCGACCTCCTCGATGTCATCATCAACCGAGATGAAAACTTGATAGTAAGCTCCAATGTATACAGATATTAAATGTAAGAATTACCCAGGTTATAAATGCAAGTGACACTCTCCATGTCCACTTCGGTTTTAAAGAATTCTCCAATGCAGCCCCATCGCCGTGACGAAGGTCAACACCTGCGACGACAAGTTGCAATGCTGGCGTCTGAGAATTCCTCCCGGCCCAGAAAGCCTTTGATAAATCCATTGGCCGGTGTGTGACTGAAGTGACTTTGGAGAAGGTGCCAGCCTAGGGGTAGAGACTTAGAAGCCGATCCACTAAGGCCCATTCAATGATACCGGATGCGCCGTAGCGTGATTCGAATCTTCGCTCATTTGGAATTGCAACAGTGAAGAAGTTTGCAAGAACAATATGAGGATTGGTTAAATATAGAGAGCTTTACTTGATTAATTTTAATACGGGTTCATTGACCAACGTGGTAAATATAGAGCATGAGGCACAATGAGTCATATCAAATCATGGTGATCTTAAAGTCCGGGTGCTGAGGAACCCAAGAATGGGTCGCAGAAAAACCTCTTTCCTCCTTTGCTCAAGGTCATTCTCAATGATATTGAAGGGCTCTGCTTGGATGTAAGCCAGGTGGTTCGGCTTAAACCTAGGTCAGGGCACCTCGGGGAGGGTCAAGGTTATACGGACTCTGCTCGTTCAGCGTATGTCTCTACATATTCTGAGATAAAACGCAATGGATACTGGCTACCATCGTCTAATTCTATCTTATACTTTGTCCTGCCCTCTTCTCTTTGTGTGTTTCAATGGATCACATCTTTAGACACCACCAATCAGATAAAAAGCCCCAAATTGTGATCTATCTTGAATCAAAGAGCCCTGTTCGACTTTTGGCTTAGGAGTCACGATATTATAACATTCTTGCCTCAAATATACACAGCTTGTAGCAAGTGCCACCGATCAAACAAAGAACAGACGAGCATATCATACCAAGCGACTTATCATAGTGCTCACATCATGGCTCCCACCAAGCCGAGGTTATAAATGTCTCCTTTAAACCCTCAGAACGGTCAATAATTTTCTTCTCATGACAATGATACCTATAGATAGGCAGATAGAAGTAATCAACTCAACAACAGATGCCTCTCCGATCTTAAAAACGCAGCAGTATAGTAAGCAAATCCCCACCGCGGTCCGAGCCTCACTAATAAACCCGGTCAGCATTGTCTTCGTGCACTGATTTGCCGTCATCGCGAAACTACATATACACTGAACTCCTCGGGTATCATCTGGCCCAAAGATTGACTTCCAACTGAAATGCCGATGGCGCGCGTCAAGACCTTTGGCTTCGATGTGTCAAAGGGGCGTTTTGTAGTCATTGGTTTTGTGATAGGTTGTCCCTAGTCGCTCCGCTTTTTTGTCCGGTCATGGGAATCGAAGTATTCGTTTGAACTATGCGGATATTGCCAAATTCAGCAGCGCCGACGATCCCAGGTTCATCTCTGTCAGTACAGTTACAGACTTGAATCAATGGGGCATACAAAGAGGCAGTGCTGGTCCCTGTACAGTCTAAAAGACAATATCCGGACAGTGGTCGAGGACGCACATGTCCCGTCTACTCTCGCGATGGCGCTAGGTCTCGGGGAGGCCAGATCCCTGGCTGGGATATCAACATAAAGTACGCCCTATATCGTCGATGATATGAAAGGTTCTGAAGAAACGGGCAATATTATTAATGGGACTATTATTATGCGCTAAACGCAGAAGAAAGCTCAGTAGAATGCAACGCTTTGAATACAAGAAGTATATCAGTTCATATAATTTGTTTTCAAAGAATGAATATGTATGCATGAAAAAAGAACAATAGACGTAAACTCATGATAAGTATATAGGCATGCGATGTAATCACTCGATGCGCGGAGGACTTCGTGATTTGCCGTTGCCCATCGGGCTGAGACTTGCCCTGTAGCCATTAATCAGTAACGTGTCGGCAACATGGTGGATGCTCTGGGTTGTCCTTAATACTTACGAGCGTCGTCGTTCGCCTTCCTTTCGGAATCCTTCAATCACCTTCGCCATCTCCTTTCGGGCCGCGCTCGCATCAATCTTTCGTCCACCTAGACTCATACTCACTTTCTCATGAGCGCTCGCCATGAGGAGGCGTTTCAAGAGTAAGTGACGCATGTTCATGCAAACAAAGACACCACAGTCACTGCCACCGTCTTGCTGGGGCGAGTCATTTAGATGTAGAAAGCGGAAGGGCATGTTCAAGAGGGCTCCGAATTTGCGAGTCACAGTATCAGCCTCCCAGACATTTCCTTGGTAGAGAGAGTCGTAGTGAAACGCGATGCGGTCGACGATCGAAATCAGAAGTAGAGACCAATGCGAGCCGCCTTCGGCCTGTGTGACATTTCGACAATCGTTTATTGGGAGGAAGACGTGCGTGGCCTTCGTGAAATCTGGTAGGGCTTCGCGGAGAGTGCGGGGATCGGGAGTTTGGAGAATCATGAAGGACATGCTGGGACGGAGGAGGATGATGTGAGAGGATTTGTATTTGGTGAGGAACTCGTGTTCGAGATATCTGGAAGAACCGACGATCAGCGTTGGGTTTGATTTGGGTAGGGTGCGAGGTCGGTCGATGGTGGGACTTACTCTTCCCAGAACGAAATGATCTGTGATTGATTAGCTGCGGGTATCCATGGAGGGTAATTCTCGCTATCAACCCACATTATCTGTGAGCCAGTCGTCCTTGAGGGTTTGCATATCCTCTCGTGTCACTATGCAGTTTGTCAGTTGCTGGGTTCCGGTTCTTGGGACGGAAGGGCTCATACACCGGACGTCGTAGTCTGCAAGACCACAGAAGCTACTCGTTAGTTTACCGTAACGACAACAGCAATGTCATGTCCGGAAACTCACAGCTCAGGTATGCATCATCGGGATTCAACTGTAATTATTAGCCTTGGACTCGCGGGGCGAAACACCATTGGGTCAGAAGTCTTGACTCACACTATCTCCGAATCGACCCCTCATCCGCTTCTGCAATTTGCCTAACCCGCCGTCAAGCATCTCGGAAATATGAGTATAGCCTCAAGTTTAAGAGGACGTCAATGGAGTAAGGAGGTGCCACTAAGAGCCGGAAGCACCGAGACGAAATTCGAGCCTGCCAAGATGGAGACGCGCAACACAAGCCCAATATTCAGACACGGTCGTCCAAGGACAGAAACAAGCACGCTCAATCAAGCGGGTAGTCACTAGTCTGCAGAAAGTAGCCGAAGAACCGCACCAATACTATAGCGAGCCTGGTGGCGAGGAGTCGGCGTCGGGGAACGGCAATCAGCGGCGACGACTCGCAAGTCCCGTTCTGCAGCGGCCGAGCGGGGCCGGAACACTTTCCGGATTGGATGAGAAGGATCGGAGTGGAAGGCCGTCAGCCTTGTGGTGGCGGGGAATCTAACGAGAACGTGCACGATATACAGATCTTGCGATGGAAATCTGGATATCGAGATTGGGTCGTGCCGAGGCGTAGGGCTGAGGTCGTGTTCTGGGGGCTCTGCGGGTAAAATATGGAGGGGCCGCAGGGAGGGAGGTTAACAGATCAAGGGTGATGATGAGAGGAGTCAAGAGAGGGGCGTCCTAAAAGAGCGGAAATTTACAACTCGATTCAGGCACAGAAGGAAAGATCCCTGTGTCATTTCGGGACGTCAGGCTTCTGCGTCACATGTGGCTTGATCACGTGGGATGTCTCCAATGGGGTTGTAGTATACGAGTGATCAACATGGGAATGTGTCTACGTATGCCATCATCATGATCCTGTTGCGGCTATGCGGAACAGGGCAACTGCGAAAATATATCGTTCATAACTGGGGGTATCTAAACGTACATCTGGTGCCCTTTAACGGGAAAGATCCAGGAAAAACCAAGTGACAAAGAAAGGGCAGCGAGCATAACAGCAGCTCCGGTTGATCGGAAGCCACAGCAAGAAAAAGAAAGAAAAAAGTAAATGTGAACGAATAGCTATGCGGGTTCTTAATGGACCTGCAGCAACACGCCAGGCACATGAAAGCGAAGGAGTAGTGAACGAACTCCAAAACAACCCGCAGCAACACGCCAGTGACATGAAAGCGAAGGAAAAGTGAAAGAAATCCAAGAAGACCCGCGGCGACACCCTAGATCGAGAGTTTCGCGAAATGCCGCGTCCAAATCCAACCGATCTGACGGGTGGGATCGTCTTGGTTCCGTGCTAGCCACAACTCGCCCTTCTCCCCGACGACGTCAAAGATATCGCCAGTGTCGTAGGTCAAATAAGGATAACCCGCCTCGCGACGCGACCGGTCGATGTTGAACTCGTAGAGACTGGCCACGTGGAACAGGACGGTGGGTTCCACGGGCGCGGCCTCTACAGCGACACCTCCATCGCTAGGGGTATCAGACATCGGCATCGCCGACGAGAAGAAGTTGGAGTAGCGGCCAACTGGAGAAGTGGGGGGCTGCTCACTGACGGGCTCAACGCTTGATGGGGCGTTGATCACGTCGGCGAGGAAGGGGGTGTCTAGACTAAGCCTGGGGAGGCTGGGGATCGATTCCGTTTCCACTGAAGGTTGCGAGCTGGTGCCAAAGGAATTGGTCACCTGTTGCAGTAACTGACTCCGTCCCAGGTCTGGAGTGTTGAGGTGTTCTGGCCGAGTGCGCCCAGAGAACGATGAATCGGCCCGAGTGCGGGCAGCGGAGTGACTAGACATTCTTGGAGACTGGAACAGTTGACCGGTTCCGTAGTCATGAGACACCTTAGGTGAATCTTCGGCAAAAGAATGCGGGCGAGGATTGGAGCTGGTAGTCGTCGACGGACGACGCGAAGAGTTGAAATCCTTGTTGGACGGGGTATTGAAATTCACCAGGTTGACAGCGTCAGCCATGAGAGAACCATTACAAATACCAAGGGAGAGGACCTGTGCTTCCGAGAACGAAAAGTCACTGTTCCAGTCGCTGATCAACTTCTGCATGTCATCCGGGAAGATCTCCACGAAGGGTGCGACTTTCTGCTGCAAAATAGTCCACCAGGTCAGCTGAATGTCGGCTAGGTTTTGTAAACAGGCTTGACCGAATTTGGATGACAATGCGAAGAGTCTGGGCAGCTCATCCTTCAGGGTCTCATTCAAAGCGACGAATTGCTCGCCCTGCTCAGTGGTCTTCTTGTCGGGTTTCTCTCCACGTTCCACGATCGACTTATAGCGTCCATAATCCAACAGGCGCTTCTGTCGTTTCTTCATCACACGCTCCGGTCCAGTGTACAGCGAAATTAATTTCGAGGTAGGATCAATGCAAGACTTTGTGACAACATCAATCTAGGAGACATATTATGACCTTATCTTCGGGAGGCTGGTAGGGGAAAACTCACATGTTCAGGTAAGGCGTTAGTGATGATATCTCGGACGTACATCCTGAATTGGCGCCACTTGCTCTCTAGCTCCGGGTATGGAGAGTTGTGCACGTCGAGGAAGGCCTCAATAGAAGTCGCAAGTTCATTGAACTGGATCATCCATCTCTTGGTTGACTCAACATAATCCTGCACATCACGAACAACCAGCTGCAACTGGATAAATTGTTCCGCAAACTTTTCGGCAAGGGCATCGTACTCCCTGTCCTCGTACATATCGGACAATCCAACTTGCTGGCGCAATTTCTCAGTTCGGCGACCAAAGGCCTTGGACAGACCCGTTCGCACATCGGACTGGTTACGCTTGCGACCCACAACTTGGGTGACGAGATCGGCGCGCTTCTTCATCTCATTGATACGAACAGAGATGTTAGTCACTTCCAGCAGAGCTGACGACAGACTCGCACGGTCGGGATGGTCTTCGGGAGTGGATTCCAGCAGGTCCGCGAGAAGAAGAGGATACTTCAAGATCCGTTGTACAGGCTTGACAAGCAAGGAGTCCAAGTCCCAGGCGCTTGTGAGATCCGAAGCCCATTCGCGACACTCTTTGAGCCAGATAGCAACCTTGGGGTTGCGTTGCAGAAGCTGCAATTTCTTGTTGGCGGCATCGTGATTCCTCAGATATTCGGTGTACACCTTCTCCATTTGAGTCATGTGGGTCACGAACGCCGCACCAATATTCGTGGCACGGTCTTTCTCGACATTTGATATGTCACTTTCCCCGTCCGGCTGTTCATCCGCCACACTTTGAGGGTTTCGCGCGTTGCGTCTGCTTGCCCAGCGCTGAGATCGCGGCATGATGTAGACACTCCGAGCAGCTTTCTTCAGTGCATCTTGCAAGCTCATGGAGAATTGAACAACTTGGTCGGAGTTGCCAAACAAAACCTTCACATCATCCACGGATAGATCCAAGCAAGAGCTTGACGTACCCTTGTAGATGTCATCGACAACCTTCATATCTCGACCAAATGTATATTCGGTATCGACAAGCTCCTTGATAATATGGCGTCGCTTTTTCAGACGGCGCTGTTCAGGAGAAGGTGATTTCTTCGGCTCCGCGAGAGCGGGATGCTCCAAGGACGGAGCGAGTGAGGTAGCGGATGAGCCCGCAGCTTGAGGGGACTGGATAGATTCGACGCGCTGGAATGACGAATCGGCGCTACTTCCAGTACTGAATGTAGGGTCACGGAGGGTCGGAACTCGGCCCAAAGCTGAAAGAGGCGCCTGGACGGTTTGAGATTCATCGCTGGCACTTTCGGCAATGTCCCCGGATAGTTCTACAGGTCGGCGCTGGAGCTCGAATGCGGCTTGATGATTGATGGAGACTCCAAGGCCCGTGTTCGGATCATTGGAACCTTCCAATTCAGCGACAGAATTATTCAAGCGCGGTGTAGGTGTAGGTGCACCATCACTGAAAAACTCAGGTTTGTCATGAGCAGGTGTGACATCTTCATCTTCCGCAGCAACATGCATCCAGTCCATAATGGAGAGGGGAAGCATTTTCCCAGTCTTCGCGGCCGACAAGACATGCACCGTGGGAAAGACGCTCACGACTGGGCTTCTCCTCAAATCTAGGTACAACGACTCCGTCGTCTGTGAAACCATCGACCTGGCTTTGGCCTCGGGTGTCCACTTCAAGCGAGCTGTAATCGGGAGAAGCACGCGTGGTAGAAAGATGAATATCAGGGTTGTTCCTACCCCGGGTCAACTCCTCGAGATAGAGCTGAGTTGCACGACGAGAGTCCCATCTGCCTTGTTTTGCCAGACTCGGAGGAGTATCGAACATAGTAGAAGATTGCATGTGTGGCATATGGTCGAGGGTGTCAGGGTTCATTACTCCAATGTCCTGAATTGAATCAACATTTTCTGATGGGGGCCTTGTTGAAGCAGCTGAACATGACTGAGTGGGTGGCTCTCCTTGGACTGGCTGGGGCATCTGAAGAACCAGATCATCACTACTCTCATCGCACTCTTCGTCGCACGTATCAATTTGATTATGCACTGAAGAGGACCAGGAGCTCAAACTCCATCTGGTCTGGTGTTGAGCGTCTTGCGAGTGCCGTGCAAGCTGACGCGGCTCTTCCGTATCCGTTGTACCTGCGGAGTTGTAGTAAGTCGTACCACGAAGCATGATCTGAATCGATTGTTTTTCATCGGTCTCTGACATGCTACAATCCGGTTCGTCGCACGAGTCACTGTCACTAGATTCGCGAATCTGCATGATGTGGTTCAACAAAGTCCGATGATCAGCGCTGGGTTTCCGCTCGATCAAGTCTGATTGAGGTTCAATGTCAAAGTCTGTTGCTTGAGTCTCATCGGAGCTCGCGGTGACTGCTGAGTCTGGTACGTTATCGCGCAATTCCCGATGATGTCCATCTGGAATGCCTAGCGTGGGAGAATCCATATCAGTTCCAAATTTGTCGTTGCTTGGGAGGTCGCCAACGGTAATCAAATTCATTTGAGGTAGATTGCGGTGAACATCGCAATCACCGACAGTCTCGGTTGACTCTTTGACGACAGTCGCCATCTCGATAGGCGGCGGGATAGAATTTACCGCCGTAGCGGGTGTTAATGTCTTCTCATCCGATGGAGACTGACCGATGTTACCTGCTTCAAGGGATTGTGATTTTCTTCGTCGAATTTCTGCAGCCTCCTCTTCTTTTCTCTCATTCTCCTGGACTGTCCGATTAAATGCTTGTTGGATCCTTTGTCGCCGAGTCTCAAAATCAACATTGCCTAATTCGGGAATTCGCCGCTGTCGCTGCCGGGGGTTGCGAGCCTCGGTATCACGGTCTGCGGACTTTTGAATTGACGAAATTCGATCACCAACTCTGGGACGAGGCGAGATCGGAGCACCGTGAGATATCGGCTGTCGGGGTCGGGAGCTGCGTAATGGCGGAGATTTCTTCGGGGGAGGTACGGAAATGTAGGCCTGAAGATGCTGGTTCCGTTCGGGTACCTGAGTACGGGTTCGGCCAATTGACATATCCCGCCTGCCACGAGCCGTTATCGCAAATAAGGCGGTATCATTTTCCTTCATACGGGGCGGATTTTCCTTCAATGACGGTTTAGGAAGGCGACTGGCACCCTTTGGAGGTAAAGGAATGGCATTCGATCGGCTGCTGAATGTCGGGTTATTTTCGGTTGGTAAAAGGCTCTCGGAGCCGGAAGCAGTGAGAAGACGATGCGAGGAGACAGGAATGCGGGACTTGGAATTTGGGCTATCTGGCGACCCATCACCGGGCTTGGCCAAATTCAAGGGTACCGACACAGCCATGTCAGCTTCCCAAGGGTCAGCGAGGGGCTTCTTTTGACAATTTGTAGAGAAATCACTCTGCACTCTGCGATGTCCGGTCATGCGCTGTTGTGCCGTGTTTGCGGCGCTCACAGCTTCAAGAGAACCAGCCTCTCCGAGGTACCACGCAGTTGGAGTCAACGGCGAACGAGCAAGGGGCAGATCAGAGTGCTCGGCAAACGCTGGCTTGTGGCTTGGTATACCGCCCTCCGAGCCACGACGTCTCAGATGCGCCGGAATACCGTATCCCAAGTTATTGAGCTGGGTGTTGACAGAGAGAAGTTCGCCAAACAACGGCCGCCGCGAGTGAGGGATGGGTACTCGTTCGAGGAGAGGTGGTGGTATGATGGCGCTGGGTTCTGGCGATCTTTCGACCTCAGGCGAGGTTAGCGCCGACTCAAGTTGCGGTGAAGAGTTACTCGTCGCAAAGATCGGAGGCCGCGAGTCGCGCAAGTTGCGACGAGGCGCGAAGCGTGAATGATCACCGTCGACACTACCGGCGGGGCTCGCAGCTCGTGAAGGTGTTTGTGACGTGGAAGGCAAGGGAAGGACCAGGTCGGACTTTTGTTCAAATTTGCTCACGAGCTCTTTGATGGATGTGTTGCGTGATCTGGTGGAAGGGACATTCGAGGATACAGTGGTTGAGGGACCTCCCAGCGTTGGTGAATCCGAGGTGGAACGGTAGGTCGGCCGTCTAGTACGTGTGGGATCAAGTACGTTCGCTGGCAGGGACGACACTCTGTCATTCGGGTTGCGATAGCTTGCCATGCTGTTACTGGCGCGCGTTGTCACATTTCCGAGATCGCTGGTCGCGTTGGCATCTGACTCGTCCGGCTGGCGATAGAAGTCGTCCGGGTCTGGAGACTCGTGCCCACGGGCCTCAGATCGACCGCTCGAAGGAAGGTGATTTGTGGAGGCAGACAGAGAAGGATCGACGCCCGATGTGGGTGACGAGTACGTGAATTCCGCGAGAGTCGCGAGGGAAGAGTAGGGTACAATCGGTGAGACCTCAAATGGGAAAGAGTTGTCGTCCGGAGATTGGCTATTGGGAGCTGGCGATTGACGCCCAAACGGAGACGGCCTGTAGTTCCGGGCGGTAATATCATGCTCGAGACCGCTGCCAGACATTTCGCATGCTTCAGGCCGACGTGGACTGGCCGCGATGCTCCCGAGTGTGAATGGGTTGGCTATGCGTTGTTCCGGGATGGACGCCCAATGGGGATGTCGTAGTTCTGCGGCCGATTCAGGCTACAGAGCAATCCTGGGGTAGCGCGCCCCCATTCAGCAGCATGTTAGACGGGGCTGGAATAGGATCAAGGTCGAATGTGAGCCCGACAGAGTAGATACGAAAGATAGGGAAGTCAAGATCGGCGGAAGTAGAATGGAAGAAAGCAGACAAAGTAGGGACAGCGAATGAAAGTGCGTAGGAAATCGGCGCTGACGTTTGTTCGGCGTCTACGAGTAGTGGGTTCTGATAGGCGACGGGGCGAAAGCGGGCCAGATCGTTAGCCGGGCTGAACTGCGGCGATCGCAAATGTGATAGAGATGATTGATGATTGATGAAAGATGATAGTTGAGAGTTGAGAGTTGAGATGCGAGAAATGACAGATAGCGAACCAAGGTGTTGAGATCAGGGGGGAAATGTATGCGCTCACATGGAGACTCGGCAGCTCCCAACTGTCGCAGGGTGAAACCCTGGAAATCATAGAATCGGTGGAGAAGAATCGAAGCGTCCTTTGTTTGGAGGTTGGAGGTCCGATTTCATTGACGATCCATGCTTAATTCGTTAACCCTCCTTGTTATGACTATTCACGGCTTTGCACATGGTACAGGGTTACTTTTCCGCCTAATTTCAGATGGATTACAATGGTACGATCTCAATAATCAGAATTTAATGTTCAGGAACATGACTTCCCCTGCCGGAAAAACATGGGACAGGCTGACGCAGTGGGGACGCAATCCAGTCTCAACGGCCTTTCTAGACCGCAGCCCCGTTCCGTGGGTCACAGACGTCCAATTTCCCGCACTTTGTGCTCTCATGTAATGAATTGCTTGCATGCTGGAACAAGACTGCCCAAGTGGATAGGTAGATAGATTGAATTTTGAAGTGCCGATAGTGGGTATTCAAAATAGTGAATACTATTGATACTATTGATACTAATGCTGGTAATGGTTCTGTCACTCCTGCTGTTGTGTCACCCTTTACTTTCCAGGGTTTCCGCCCGCTCCCTATCAACCTCGACGCGTCTCCATCCCGTCACTACCATGTAAATATGGGCAAGAAGCGCAAGAGACCTGGCAAAGCTGTTCGTCGGGGTCCGGCCTCGTCTCAGCCTAGTATTACTGTATCGCCCCATCGTTTCAAATCATCTATCGCCCTAGACACGCGACCCGGCCAAATTACGCACCCGGTGATCTCGCTCTACTACCGAGAGCTCCTCACCTTGCGCCAATACCTCCTCACTCAGCTTCCCGTATCTTCTAAGCTGCGGCGCCGGCGCATCGCGTCTCTAGCGAACTCAACTGCCGAGCCCACGCAGTCATTAGCCGACCTGCTCGATTCCACGCTGGTCGGCGTCCTGAAACAATCGACTCCGAGAGTGGACTCCGAACGCCAGCGAGACTATCGCGCCTTCACCCAGTCCCAGTCGCGGTCCATTCTCGTCAGCACGGACACCGGACCAACGTCGCCCCAATCTGAGGTAGGATCGTGATTGCCAGGAACCCGAAGTTTCAGTTGTCTGATGTCCATGAGTAGGTGGTCGACTTTGCTATAGAGTCTCTTTTTAGAAAAGCCGGGTACCAAAGACCTGAACATTTGCTCACGCATGGCTTCCGTCGCCTGGCGGTTGGTCAAAATGCCGTGGATGTGATTCCGGGGGTCGTGGCTCAGTTTCCGAATCATAATGTTCGCATCCTGAAGGAAGCGCCATGGGCCGATGTCCTGGGCCTGTTGGGTCAGAGCGGTGACGAGATTATGATCCGCCTGCTGCTTGACTGTGGTATCTTTTCTCCCATCGATGCGCGAAGGGGCATCTACTTCCAGTTAAGTGGTATGAGCCAGGACCGCTAGATCGGAAAATGGAGTAGCTCATTATCTTCCAGGACTGCCGCTGTCAGGACTTCAGCAAATCGGCGACTCGCATTTCAAGATTGAAGCCGACCATCAAGCAGGGGCTGAAAAGGACGGTCATGTGGTCCGGGGGAAGGCTCGAGGCCCGAACAGCATCATTCTACTTCGTCGCCGCATGCTTTACAGCAGAACGACCGGTCCGGCAAAGGAAAATGCGCCCTTTGGACTAGGGGTTACTCGTAGGTCTACTGAAATAACCCATTTTCATTTCCATTCTTACCCCTTTCCCAGATGTCTTCAACCGTTGTCCTTCACTAGACTCACAAGCACATACAGTGCACGTGATGAAATACATCTTTCCTCGAGAATTCGGCCTCAGTAATGTCTTCACCATATCAGCAGATTCAAAGAACTGCTTTGACATGCTTTCAAGTCACAATTGCCGTGAAAATGACATAGCACGCGATGATGAAAAAAGAAGACAAAAGCGCTGTCAATCCAGCGGTGATCAGTTACGAGAGGAGCTAGGAGGAAACTTCTCGGAAAGAGTACCGAAACGACTCCGGGGAAAGGCTTTGGAGTTGGTCCGCAGGCTCCGGTTGAACCATGCCCGGTGCTCGTATGGTGAACTTTTGAAGTATTATTGTCCCCACGTAAGTTTCCTATTCTGGACCTGTTCACATACCGAAGCTGATTTGAAAAGCCTGTTGGGCCATGGAAATTAGATGTCGCTACCTCTCCGGCAAAAGCGGCAGCCAAAGCCGGCGAGCCAGGGTCTTCCTTGGATCACAGCTTGGTGACACAACTGCAAGCAAAATCACCGCTTCCATGTCGAGTGGCGGAAAGTCCCAGCAGTGGCCTACCTCCGCAAGATATTCCTAATAACAAGAGAGAAGGGGAAGAAGAGGGCCACTCACGAGTCAAGCAGCCCAAGCTGAGCTTAACTGATTATGCGACCCCTGCCTCTTCCGTTTCCGCGTTCTGCCGCGCTGTTCTCCAGAAGTTGATACCTCACACCTTCTTTGGGGACGGGCCGCACGGTATAAGCAATCGCAGAATCGTACTGAAACACGTCGATTCACTGATCAAAATGCGGAGATATGAGAGCCTCAGTCTGCATCAAGTGTGCAAGGGACTCAAGGTACTTTTTCCCCACGCCGAAGCCTGTTCGGGAAATTTGCTGACCCGGCATAATACAGGTCACAGAAATTCCGTGGCTAGTCCCTCCAAAGTTCTACTCGGCTGGGGAAAAGTCCCCGAAGCTCTCTATGTCTGATTTCCAAAAGCGCATTCAGCTCTTGCATGAATTCATTTTCTTCATCTTTGACTCCATTGTGATTCCTCTTGTCCGGGCAAACTTCTATGTCACTGAGTCCCAAACTCACCGATGTCACCTTTTCTACTTTCGCCATGACGTATGGCAGCGCCTGACAAAGCAATCCCTCGCTGAACTGAAAGCAGCAATGTTCGAGGAGCTTGAGCCGAGAAAGGCTAAACGTATGTTAGCCCGGCGCTCACTTGGTTACGGCTCACTTCGCTTGCTTCCAAAAGCTACCGGCCTACGGCCTATCTTGAACTTGCGACGCCGAGTAATGAAAGGAACAGATTGGCGGGGGAAAAAATTTGCGACCAGCATCAACTCCACTATCACGCCCATCTACAACATATTGACGTATGAGCGACAGCAAGCGCCCGCGAAGATGGGTGCATCCATATCTTCGGTAGGAGACATGCATCCACGATTAAAGGCGTTCAAGATGCGATTGACCCAACAGCTGCCGTTATCGTCCGTGAAGGCCTCCGGCGAGCTACCTCGGCTTTACTTTGTCAAACTTGACATTCAGGCTTGCTTCGACACCATTCCGCAGCAGAAACTTCTGCAACTCGTTGAAGAGCTCGTCTCTCATGAGACCTACCATATCACCAAACATGTGGAAATTAATCCCCGTAGCGTCGACCCGCGGGGAAATCCTAGTCGCAAGTTTGCAGCACGTGCAGCCCCTGTCACCAAGCAACAGCATCTGCTAAACTATATCGCTAGCGGAGCTCACCCACGAAAGCCAAATACTGTCTTTGTCGATACTCTCAGCCAGAAGGTACAGGGCGCTGAGGAGCTGTTAGACCTTCTTGATGAACACGTGCGCAATAACTTGGTCAAGATGGGCAAGGAATTCTACCGTCAGCGCAATGGTATCCCACAAGGCTCTATTCTTTCCAGTCTCCTATGCAATTTCTTTTACGCAGAGCTAGAACGCACCGTGCTGGGATTTTTGCAACCTTCAGAGTCTCTACTCATGCGACTCATCGATGACTTCCTTCTTATCACCACCAATCCCGACCAAGCAACACGATTTCTGCAGGTCATGCTTCGCGGTCAGCCCACATATGGTGTTAAGGTTAATCCAAGAAAAAGTATGGCGAACTTCACAGCTGCAGTCGATGGTATTCACGTCCCCCGGTTGGAGGGAACGTCGCTTTTCCCCTACTGTGGATGTCTAATTAACACACATACGCTTGAGATCCACCAGGATCGCGACCGAATGCTCGATGGTGGGGAGTCTGCTGCCGTCAACCTCTCAAACGCTCTGACAGTCGAGACAAACCGCCTTCCAGGTCGCACGTTTACACGTAAAGTCCTGACAACATTCCGACTGCAGATGCATCAGATGTATCTCGACGAGGCCCATAATTCGCGCAACACAGTGCTCGCCAACCTCTACACCAGTCTGGTCGCGTCAGCCATGAAGATGTACCGATACATGAAATCCCTCCGCGGGCGCGCCCATCCCGAGCCACCGATCATCATCCAGACCATTCATGCATTGATCATGCAAACGATCAATATGATACACGCTCGTCGTGCATCTAGCACCGCGCCCTTGAAATGCTTCGTTCAGCTGTCTCATATACAGTACCTGGCTGCCGCCGCCTATCGGTTTGTGCTGAAGCGCAAGCAAACACGATATGCGCCGGTCCTCCGCTGGTTAGACTCGGTCGGGAAAGAGTCACGACCCACAGCAAACGGGGAAGCTGTCCGGTTGATGCAAGTGGTGAAGCGAGGGGATATTCTCTTTGAAGGATGGCGATTCTAGGAAGACCAGAGAATGTACCAAAATAATCTACTATGAACCCAGTCCAACCAAAAGCGAAAGTAGTGGATCATTAGCTGCGCAGACCGCGGATCGACCGGCAGTGGACTGACACCCGAGTGGGTGGTCCGAGAGAATCGAATTGCTGGGTCAGGGGAGTCCAAGTAAAATGGGGTCGAAACAGTACACAATAGGGAGAAGATCGTATCTCGATCTGAACACGACTGGCACGCGATCGGCGCAATTTCTGCTACTTGAGGGGACATGATCTACCATACTAAGTGCAGCGTTGTAAAAGTATCTGTGGGTACCTCAGAGCGAGCCCCTGTTCTCGGCCAGACCGCGCCTGAGGCTCCGCTTGCGACTTCAACTTCCTTCGATCTTCAACGTCGTTTTCAGGTTTCATAGTCACTCCTTTTGCGTTCTCTGCTTTTGACCTACCTTCTTCCGTCTTTTCATTTCATCTTTCATTTCTCGTCTACCATCTTTTCTCTTTCCATCCCTTCGTTTCCATTCTCATCCTATTCCCCACCCGCTGATCCCGCCTCCTGATCCTCTTGTCTTCGCTTTATTCCCTTTGCCTCTCCTGATCTGGCTATCACCACGCTGCGGCTGAGCCTGCACTTCACTTCTTCACGTTTATGGAATTCGTTATTGTGTTTGCCTTTTCCACAATTCGCCTATCCCTCGCCTCCCGACCGACCCGAGCCTTGCGTGCGATCTCCAACAACCCCCCCTTCCGCCCACCTCTCGACGATTCATACCCCATCGCGCGGTCTTGAAAGCTTGATTCGGTGGAGTACAATCGTGTTTGAGGAAGTGACTGCATGAGATCATGACAACCGTCTACCCAAGCCCCAACTCCCCACCCGAGTTGTCGTGTTCAAAATCGTCCAAGTCCTCCTCCTTTCATTCCTCTCAGATTGACGACCCCGACAGTGTCTTCACGGATATTGGCAACTTCGAAGATATCGGTCTCGAGGATGACTCTGAACTTCCCATTGTCGATCCCGTAACTGCCCCCTATGGACGTACTTTGACATCGCGGGCGACCGCAGGCAGGCTGCCCAACAAGAGCCCTGCGACCACAACTCGAGATCTGACTGCTGCTCCGAAGCCTCGAAAACGAAGCCCTCTTCCACCTCCGCTTCATCACCATATCAATAGTGCCCTAAGGAGTCCGCAGTCGGCGAGTTCCCTATCCACTAGATCCGGGAACAGAAAAGACTCTGGGAGTACGATCAATTCAGGAGGTCTGACACCGATACAACCTCGTCGGTCGCGTTCAACATCACCGCTACGACCAACATCCAGTCGATCCGCCTCGAGTACCAGTTTGGCCCTATCTCCACTCTCTGCACGGGTCCCCATGCAGAAACAGACTTGGCAACAAAGCCGCAAGTCGCTAAAGGAACTTGAGGACGAATATCACGACTCGGATGACGAGCTGCCTGACGATGCCAGTCTATGGAATATCCCCATCTCTCCACGCCCAGTGCAAGATCGTCCTCAATCCCGCGCGCCCAGCCCGAGTGGCCGGAGCCCAGGCCCACGACCATTGCCTATTTCTCACACCGTTTCAGAAACTACAAACAATACAATCCCACCCAACGGCTCCTCATCCAAGGCTGCGCGCATGAGAAGAGCGCAGCGGTCGAGTTCTGCTGGTCCTGAACGCGGCCAGCTCTCGCCACGGAACCCTCGCGCCTATTCATACAACAGCTATCTTTCAGACTTGTCTGAAGAGGCTAAAATTATCACCGAGGCTTTGGAGCATCATGCGGATGAACGTGAGCGCCGGCAGGAGGAAAACATACAGAATGGCATTTCTCGGAAATCAAGCACGGACTCGCCCCGATCTTCGCAAGAGCCAGTTGAACTGCCGCCTCTACAAAAATCTAATATCATGATCGATCCGTTACCGATTAGCAAGGAGAAGGAGAAGGTGCTTACTCGTACACGCCCGAGCTGGCTCCCGCCGAAAGATCAGAAGGAAGAGAAAAAGCACCTGAAGGAATACAAGCAAATGATGGCTCAGTCGCGGGAAGCTGAGAAGCGCAAAGCTGCCCGAGCTGCCTCCGAGCAGTGTGAGAAAGATACCACCCGGGATGCCCTTCAAAACATCTGGAATGACTTTGTAGGCCCCAACTGGGACCGTGCTCTGCGCGAGCCGCGAACTCGGGAGCTTTGGTGGCGTGGAATTCCGCCCAGGAATCGTGGCGCTATGTGGGAGCGTGCCATTGGCAATGAGCTGGAGCTCAGCGTGGAAACTTACAATAAAGCGTTGCAACGCGCCAGGGATCTGCGATCCAAAAAAGAGGAGCCAACTGAGTCTAACAAACGATTGCTAGACTGCTTTGAGGCCATTGACAGTGATGTTGTCAAGGCCTTCCCCGACTTGAACCTTTTCCAGGAGAGAGGCCCATTACGGGAAAGCCTCATCGATGTTCTTCAAGCCTATTGCATGTATCGCAGTGACGTGGGCTATATCTATGGTCTTCACACTATAGCTGCTCTGCTTGTCTTGCAGTTCCCAACTCCAAGCTCTGCTTTCCTCTCCATGGCCAATGCGCTGAACCGGCCATTGCCTGTTGCCTTCCTCACCTGGGACCGCGGGGCTATGGCACACACCTATACCCTGGCATCCGACACGCTACGGTACAAGTTTGGCCGGCTTTACAAGCATCTTAATGAAACCATATGTCTCTCCGACGAGGAAATCTGGGAACCGATCTTCCGATCTCTGCTCACCAACGGGCTCGATCTCGAGCGCATTTCTCGTGTCTGGGACTGCTGGGTTTTTGAAGGCGACCGCATCATGATCCGTGCCGCAGTCGCCGTCCTCGGTACTCTGCAAGGGCAGCTGTTCACTTTCCAGCAGCCGGATGACCAAACCCGCACCAACGTGCGCAATATCCTAGGCTGGGGCCCTCGCCATCTCGGCGCGAATAAACAGAAGCCCAAAGAACGCCATAGCGCCCAGACAGTTGCAGGTTTCGGCGGTGGTCAGGTTTCCAATCCCGAAGAGGTCGATTATTGGATTCTCACTGCAGCAGGCAACGAAGACGGCTTCATGGCTGCAGTAAGGGAAGCAGGAAAGGTACGACAATAGCCTACTTTGAACATGGCATTTGACATGTCATCTGCATCCATATTGCTTAATTGCATCAATCTACCACCTGTCGTTTCTCTTCTCGCAACGCGCCCCCACCTCCTACCTAGGCGCAGACCACTCCAATCATGAGCCTTTCGCCATCGACACCATTCACTTACCCTTCGGAGCGCCATTACATATACTATCTCGTCCTGTATGCCCTTGGCTAATGATTTTGGTTTCACTTGACACCTCACGCTTGTCTGCCATCTAGTGTCTTTCATTTGGCTCGGTACATCGTGATTATTTCAGTCGTTTTACGTTACTCTTTACTTACGTCTTGGTTTTTTGGCATTTTTTCTGGTCTACATTACCTTTCAATCCTGTATTAAAACTTATGGCTTGAAGATGCGTTTCTTTTGGAGTCGGTAGTCAAGCACGCCATCTGGATTCTATCTAGCCCATGTAAGTGGACGGCAAAATTTTGACCATTTTTCTGTGACATGAGGACGTCCCGACAGTCATTCAAAAATTAAAAAAGGTAGACGGCTGGTGAACTTGTCATTTTCAGGCCTTTCTTGTACGAGATGCCGGTACCATTCCGTCAAAAAGCACCTTACGTGCCTTTGAACGATTCTCCTGATCTGGCAAATCTTTGACCCCGTCGTCGAATGCCTCTTCATATAACGTACCCAACCCAGATAAGGCGTGCACAGTCTACCTCATTTCATCTTATTTGGCTTCCTTTCCTAAGAAGAGTCTTACAATTTCTTTTTTATCGCAATTTGCTGTGAGCACCAAGGCCCGAAATTCATCGATAGAATACTCCAAATGTTTGAGATATCTGAATGCGTCTAATTTCAACGCTTTCCACCTCTTTGAACTGCTAGAGCGAGGACATCTCAACTCAATAGAAGAGACAATGCCCTGAGATGTATGAATTCTTGGCTTCGGAAGAACTGAATGGGCACTAAAGAATGACAGACATTACTGTAAATACAACTTCGACTCCACTATTCTGCGAAGGTTCGAACAAGAAACATGAATTGCCATTCATCCTCAGTACGGTAAGAGATTTTATTTGTCGAAGTCTTATGCATGAACACAATTTGTTCTGCTTTCTTTTGGCCATTAATAGGCAAATTTGGTAGACAATAAGAACCCTTTCTTAGCACCAGGCACTACGCCCTCAATGATGGTAGGCGCCAGTGAACAATTGGACAAATTCCTACAAGACCCTGCGAAATCCCCCCCGTTGAGATAGCGAACTTTTAAAGCGAGATAGTCGCAAAGGGCAGGATAATCTACGATTCGTCGCTCGCCAAAAGGGGCCCTTGCGCTAGCAGCCACATGAATACCTTCTGGATATAATACATGGAAGCAACGCTTATTTGGTTCAGGTTACGGAAAGGAATATCAAATTTCTCTCCTTTGTCACGAGTCATCTTCGAATATATATAGGTCGTGCATCAGCAATTTGTCATCAACATGTGATTAAAGATAGTCTTCCGCTATGTCGTTCAATGTGTGCCAACCATGATCTAACGCTCATCAAAAATATGGCCAAAGCACCTTTGAAGCATAATCGCTCAAGAAGTGATTGTCCTGAAAGAGTGCATTGTAAATGCGCCCGCATGTGTGGATTTTGACGAATGTCCGACAGATCGCCATTACGGTGACAATTTTGCCATTGAGCCCGGCGAACAGACGGCAAAGGGGCCTTTAAGACAATTAAAGAGTCAGCAGACGTTGAGAACACTACAAAAGCAGGAATTAGTGTTGGTGACAAGGGATGGTTATGACGGGGAGAATGTGAATTATTCAAGGCACATAGTTTATTGAGCGTTCGTCTTGGCATGGACTAGCTCGCATGGCTTAGTTGGTAAAGCGCGTGACTAGTAATCACGAGATCCTCGGTTCAAATCCGAGTGCGAGCAACTTCTTTTTTTTTGTATGAATGCCATCACATTCTAGAACAATTACCTAGTGGAGCTCAGACGGTATCTGGCGCTGCGATTCAGAAGCGATTCAGATGGACATCTTCAAGTTTTGAGAATGTTGCATGTTTGCGTTACCTCCCCAGGCCGGTTGTGACCGTGAACATATGGATCTGATCCGACGGATGTAGTTAGGGGAACCCTACGGCTATTAATGGAGCATTGATCATAGTTGCTAGTCCTTCTACTATTCTTGAAATCGATACTGAATCATGTTATATGTCAGAAGATGTCTTCTGCAAATGTCAATTGATTTCCGCAAAAGTTATGCGCTATTCAAGGGGCGATTCGTACAGCTATGTAGACAAGCTTGTCCGAAATGACCCCAGTAGATCTTCCCAACCATTCACATATGGGATCCTCGCGCTCGTATAGAATAGAGACTGGGGAGACTAGGATGCGTAGTTGAAAGGGATGTTAGGTAAATAGCTTGATCCAGGCCCCCTCGATCGATCTACATTGATCGACGCGATAAGCCTGTTCGGCACAAGGTGGGAGTCATAAAAGCCCAGGAATGGATGCCAACCAATCAATCCCTTGACTGATCTCACTAAAACAAAAGATTGCAGTTGAGATCTGGTTTCATGGTCTCGTGCCCGGTTTCCAGAGTGGCGAACATGAGCATTCTCCCGATCGATCGTGTAGTTGGCTCTGACGTCAACCATACTCTGCATCAATTGCATGACAATTTCATTGCGACAGATTCGTACAATTTAAAAGTAGCTGGCGAGTAGCTTTCTAAAGTTTCACATCTCCACCGACATACATCCCTTTTCTGAATCACATTCTTCGAATTACGAGTCTCTCAAACCCTGAGTCTGAACATTTACTTCAATCCCCAAGGTCTACCGCATCGAAATGGCTACAACAATTACTAACGGTCGCCCAAACGCGATGCGGTACGTCACCTACATATACAATAAGTAGGAGCGAAGTATCTCTAACGTATGATTGATTCTACAGGACTCGAAATATGGCTCTCGCCAGTATGGTCGCTGTCGTCACATCAGGGTGGCTACTCTTCCGTGCGCAGTCCCCGAATAGCAAAGATGTTTTGTACAGCGAGAAGGAGAAGAATATGATGCAGGGCAAGACAGGGTCAAGTGCTGTTGGACGGGCGCCTTCACAGGAGAGGGCGGCGAAGTCTTAAGATTGGTCCGAAAGCTGTATACATGGATCGATACGGAGGAAGCACGTTTGCGAAGTTTCTGGCGCACGCATTGGAGTGATGGAATTGGAGTACCTGAATTATCTATCGCTGTAACGAGAATCGGTCCCGGGGTGTTCTGCATCGCTTAAACTTACTCCCGCATTATTATATCCAGGCAGCGGTTCCGTTGGACATGAAGCACATCACCCCGAAGCCTGTCGTTGAGCCTCGTCTTCAGGCTAATTCTTAGTCGGCAGAAATATCATGAGTACCTATGTGACTCAATAACCAAGGCACCCCTCATAGGTGCATACAAGTACCATCAGCTAGATACAAGTTTGCCCGTAGAGCACTGATTGTATCAACAAATGCACTAATGGACGCTCAGGTTGCCGTAACTCCTACCAAATTAAGTGCCACGAAGCAGGCACAAATTCAAGGTCTCAGGTACCTGCCACGAGGCTATACCTCTAACCACGAGCTAACCATATTGAATAACCCACGATACTTAGAATCGTCATTATTGCCGCAATGATAAGAGTCTAGATGGAAGGAAAAATGTCGAATTGAACGACCAGCGCCGATGACCTGATAGATCGACAGGCAAGGAGTCATGCAGCTCCATTCTCCAAAGGCGATGCCTTAGGGCAATTAATGACAGATGTTCTTGACCCGTTGCAAACACCATGTTCTTTGCGTCCGGATTTGGTTGAATCTGGACTTGCAGACTCCTCTGGAGGAAAAGTGGGCTGCATAAAATACTCAGTATGTCAAGCGCTGTATAGAGCGATCTTGGGCATTGATGAGTGATCAGTAAGAAGATGGGCATTGAAGGCTACAGACATGACCAAAAGTCCTAGGCGGAAGCTTTGAGGCTAAGAGGCCTAAGATTAGACCACAAGGTGCTTCAGACAACTAGCCTGGTCACTCTGAAATAGCATCAACCGGGCTAAACTCACGCCATTGACCAGACCAAGAGAGAAAAATCCCGAACCAGCATCTCCGGCTTCAGTGGCCATTTAAGCCGACCGACTAAACCTCGTATCATTGAACCTGAGTCAAGCCCAACAAAACCTAAAAGAACTCAATGTCACTCTGAGCCTTGACATTGTAATGACAAGCGTACTTTCTCTTTTCCTTTTCCTTTTTTCTTTCTTTTTTTCTCCTTAGCCCGGGATCTTAGCCCGACGCCAAACCCAAGATGGCCAAAACGTGCCCAACTAGCGCACATATCCAATCACCCTGAGCACCTAGGACATGCTAGGCAGAAACCGATCAGAGGCCTTCCCCACTACGCTCAAGCGTTGCTTAGATTCCGTTGAACAGGTAACTGTTTCGCCTAGAGACCCGTGGATTGGCCGACACCACGCTTCGACCAGGCACCGATTCAATCTTAGTCTCGTGTTCAGTCCTGAGACATAGCCCCCGGCTGGCCCAAGTACAAAACCTCGGCTGGACCCTGAGTCGCATGTCCTCACTTGTAAATTCTCGTTGCCGGCGCCATGGGTCGGTCGCCCATACACTGGGCTGTCCGGGCTACCGTCTGGCTTATCACGGTATCTCTCGCCGCAGCAATCTCACTTCCCACCGAATCGCTGCCACGGCGTGAATCGCCATTCGAAAATAAGGTATCCACAATCCAGACCCGCGAGGACAAGTTCCTGCTCAGGATCATGCCTCTTGGCGCGTCGATCACCTTGGGTTACAAGTCCACAGATGGCAACGGGTATCGAGAACATATCCGCCAGCAACTCCGCTATGAAGGCTGGGAGGTTGACATGGTCGGAAGCAAAATGAATGGCACAATGTACAACAATGTATGTTGATACGGAGCCATCCTAGCGAAGAGATTGAACAAAGATTCTAATCGATTTCCAGCATCACGAGGGTCACATCGGCTTTCGAATCGACCAGATCGCCGAGGTAGTCGACAAGACTATCCCCAAGCAACCGAATCTCATCCTCATCAAGTACGTTCCTGTTATTCAAATTACTCGCTTCTGCCCGCGTTCCCCGATTAGCAAGAGATACTGACCTGGACCAGCGCCGGCACAAACGACGCCATTCAGAAATATAATGTCTACGCAGCTGGCACACGCATGAATAGTCTGATGACCAAGCTATTTAACGAAATAGAAGGCACAACAATCATCCTCTCAACACTCCTTCCCAACAAAAGGGAGCCCAAACTCGTAAATGCAATCAACGAACAGTACCGCACTCTCGCCGCATTCTGGCGCGCCAAGAACGGGCGTGTTGTGCTGGCTGATATGAACTCCTTCATCCAGGAAGATCGATTGGTCGATGGAACTCATCCGGATGATTACGGATACAAGGAGATGGCATCTGTATGGTGGGCGGCTATCCAGGTCGCGATTGCTGAGAACCTGCTTCAGGAGGCGAGTGATACGAGTGTGAATGGGACGATCAGTAAGACTTTTGAGAAGACTCTTGATGGGAATAATAGCCTCGCGGATCCGCATTTACCGGCTTATTTGGCAAAGGCGCAGCCGGTGTTGAATGGTGGTGTTTCCGCTCGGGGCTTAGGCCTTGTCTGGATTGTCCTGGTGCAGGTTGGGATCGGGATGGTCGTGATGAGGTTATGACATGTTTGTTTATATGAGATCGATCTCGATTTGGCATTTTTTGTACATAGAATATTTAAATAGATGCATGGTACACTATTACACTTGGGCTAGATGGCGGTATACTGAGAGCCTGTGTAACTGGTTCGTACTGAAAAGTCCACTTTCATAAATACTTACACCCTTTACTTCAGTCAGGAGTCCTTACTGATATTGTGTCTCCGGGACTTTCATATTAGCTTCACCGCGTACTTCCTGTCACCGAGTGCTTGCCAAATAGTCATATTTTTTAATCTCTTCTGGCGCTTCTCGCAAAAACTTACTGAAGTCCAAGTTGAAGCGCAATAGAGCGCACTACTAGATTCTAAACGGGATTGGAAAGATAAATGAAATAGTGGAACCAGTCCACGCGTCTATTATGTATGGAACGGAGTAAAAGTCCAGCCAAATGCCATCTGTTTCTCAAAGCATCGGAAATACAAGCATGGGCGACTGCACGCTTCGAGACTTGAGTAGATATCACAGAATAGAATAGGCACTGCATGCAAGATAGCCACCTGAAATAATAATCATGACACATCATACTGCATAGTCCCTCGTGAGACTGCAGCAAAAGTATTATCGGACAAGGAACGTCATCTTTACCACGACACCCATGCAACAGGTCCCTTGGGGAACAACCGGACCAGCGCCTTACGAAGCTCATCCATAGCGAGCACACCAAGAGCGAGGCCAAGCGGGATGAACCAGAACTCGATTGGGACCGGGGCCGTCCCGAAAAGAGACTGGATGCCCGGGACTTCGGTGACGAAGATGGCGATGACGAGGGAGATGAGCATTGCGAGAGGAAGCCATGGGTTGCGGCGCGCAGGACGAACGGGATCAGCTTGGAGGAGCGACATACGTTTGCTCCGGACAGAGAGGATGTTTCCCCATTGCATGATAACCAAAGTGACAAAGTACACGCACTGACCGACGTTGTTGAAGTGCGTGAGCTCGTCTTCAGTATATCCATGGAAGCCGTCCGTGTAGCTCTCAAAAGCGAAGACAAGGTCTGAAAAGGGAATGCCGGCTGCTTTCCACATGTAGAGGAAAAACATAGCATGGGCACTGAAGGCTTCAATCACACCGACGAAAAGGTAGGATTGGCCGTAGATGCGAAGGTTGATCAGGTGATCTTTCGTGGGGCGTCGAGGAGGGAGGCTCATCAGGTCGAACTCTTCTTTCTCCATGATGAGGGAAAGGGAGAGGAAGAGATCGGTAAATACACAGATGATGATCATGAGGAATGAACTAAGAGGGGAGGGAACGCCAAAGAAGACGTTCATCAACACGGGCCAGATTTCGGACCAGGAACCGGCGGGCAGAAGATAGGCAATGACCTTCTGCAGGTTCTGGAACACCAGACGGCCGAGACGGATGGCTTCAACAATGGAATCGAACCGGTCGAGCAGGACCAAGTCGGCCGCTTCGATTGCGACATCACTGCCAGAGCCGATGGCAACCCCGACATTTGCGGCACGCAAAGCTGGGGCATCGTTGACGCCGTCACCTGTCACTGCGACGATATTACCCTTTGCTTGGAGCTCAGTGACGATACGTAGCTTTTGTTCAGGACTGGTACGAGCAAAGACGACCTCTTCATATCCGCAGACAGTCGTCCACTCATCCTGAGTCAAAGAAGAGAGACTTGTTCCCTCAAGAAGCAAGCTATGACTGGAGCGCAGCGCCTTGGCTTCATCGTCGTAATCGCGTAGAGTATCGATGGTATCTGGCTCCATTGCGCCGTCATAGATCCCAATGTCCTTAGCAATGGCCGCTGCGGTAAGACCAAAGTCACCAGTGACCATGAAGAATCGAATTCCAGCACGGCGGCACTGAGCCACGGTCTGGGCGGTCTCCGGTCTGGGTGGATCGATAATTCCAAAGATACCAAGAACAGTCAGTTGCTGAGCACCCGAGGCCATGACCTCGTCGCTGAAGCCGTTGGAGCCGGGCTCGGTGGTTGGTACATAGTGACGTTGACAAAGTACAATCACACGTTCAGCACGACGAGAAAGCTTTGCTTGGAAGGAAGAGAACTTTTGACGGGCTGCCTCGTCCAGCGGGCGCACAGCGTTGTGAATTGCGGACCAGTATGAGGAACAGCGGTCCAAGAGGACATCGGGCGCGCCTTTCACGTAGACGAGGTATCCTTTGCCAGCGGTAGGATCGCGATGCATAGTAAGCATCCACTTGTTCTTGGAGTTGAACGGAATTTGGTGAATGCGCTCATAGGGTTCAAGATTTTTCTGCGCAGTTGCGCTGACACTGGCAGCGAGCCGTAGGACTGCAGCATCTGTAGCATTGCCGTTGACCGTGCGATCATATACGGGCAGGTGCATGGTATCAGCATCAAACGTAGCATCGTTACAGAGGACTGACGCACGCATCAGGTTAGTAAGGCCCTCGGGTACTTCAGTATCGGCATGCAGGTCCTCGATGTTGAATTCCCAGTCAACCATGCCGATAGACTTGACAAACATGCGGTTTTGAGTCAAAGTACCGGTCTTGTCGGAACATATCACGTTCACACAACCAAGCGTCTCGACAGTTGCCAGGCCCTTCGGAAGAACATTGTTCTTCTTCATGCGCCGGGCAATCATCATGAGCGTCAAGGCAACACCGACGGGAACACCCTCAGGAATGAAAGCGACGACACAGCCCATGACATTGTTAAGCATGGCGACAACACTCATGTAGGTAGGGTGGTCTTTGCGCAACCATCCAACCCAGGTGAACAGTATCATCAAAGCCAATATGATAGTAAGACTGACAATGATAGCGACGAAACGATTGATCTCCTTTTGGATGAGAGTCGGTTTCTGCTTGACACCTGCCGTCATATTGGCAATACGACCCATGACAGATCGAGAACCCGTAAGTACAACCACGCCGGTGGCATTTCCATTGGTTACTAAAGTTCCCATCATGGCGACGTTGCGAGTCTCGAGGAAGTTTGCATCAGTCGCTTCAGTAGCACCGTCAACTTCGTCGGATTCTCCAGTAAGAATAGCGCGATCAAAGCGAACATCGCCCGAAGTTGAGAGCAGGCGCATATCAGCAGGTACCTTATTTCCGACCATGATCTGAACAATATCGCCGGTGACCAGATCCGTTGCCGGGAGACGGGTGAGCTTCCCGTCACGCATCACCAGCGCCTCGGATGGTAGCAGACCCAAGATCGAATTCATCACCCGCTTTGTCGACCAATCTTGGAAAGCCGAGAAGCTTGCTTGTAACAAGATGACAATGATGACCAAGATAGCCATCGCGAGGTTTGTAGGCGAGGGCGGGTTGCTGAGAGGTTTCCAGCAGATGAAGAAAATGATCACGCCAACCCATAAGACTGAGCAGAATCCACCGAAAACGTAGAAGAAGATCTTCTTCCAATAATTCTCGCTGTGACGGGCAATGACGTTCTTCCCATCCCGAGCGAGACGGTTGGCAGCCGACTCACTGCTCAGCCCAGCACGCTGGTCGACATTGAACTCTTGCAACAACTTCTCCTGAGTGATGGTATGGAAGTCGAGGCTCTCGAAGTAATCTTGATCGGGTAGCTTCGCCTTGGGAGGCTCGACAATAGCCTCTTTCGGGGCATTCTGAGACTCTGAGATCTGGATTGACAGTGTTCGGAACTCGATGGGGAAACCGGCATTTGCTGCAGTTGCCGTCTGGCTACTGCTGCGGGTGCTTTGAATTGTATCACGGCCGACGGAATGGGTGCGGGTAAATTGCGCTGGCTGATAAATAGAACGCATTCCCTCTATATCGGTGGTGGCGGAGGAGTCCTTGAAAGTGACGCGGGCGGCACGACCATATGGATCATCATCGTCCTTGATCTCATCACCTTCCGCCTCGACTTCGACGTCCGACCTGCTGTGAGGGATCTTAGAGTCCATTGTGGGGATAGCTGTGACCGAAACACGCGGAGTGGATTGAAAGGAGCCGGACAGCTAAACACCCAGGCACGGGCACGGCAGGAAGGAAAAAGGACGGAGTGAAGTCTACAAAAGAGATGTGTGCAACACCAGGTCTTATGTAGGCCGACCAGGGCTAGCTAGCTCGATCGAGTTGTTCAAACGAGAAACGCATTGGGAAGGTAAAAGGCAACAAGACCATCTTCTTACTCAATCGAAACATTTAGTTAGAGTCCGGTGTCACAGCGGAGCCACGCGATTCCCACGAGCAAGGCACATTTCTGAGTCTGACAGGTACACGGGAAGTATACGAGGTTACCATAGCTCGATCAGGTACCATCATTTAGCTATGGAGAGAGAAAGCAGATCCCCCACATCTTCTACTTGGGAAATCGTGCAGGACAGCGGGAAAAGATATACAACTCGTGACTGTTCTATTACGGCCGATACCGTTCCAGATCCAATTACAATGGACTGATTTAAAGTTCTGACAATACATGACGCAGTGCCTTTCCATCCAGCCCTAAATGCAGGCAATGGTTCCTGTCAAACATTTCCCTGGAATGACCAAGAACGTAAACGGAGAAAAAAAGGAAGAAAAAAAAATTTAGTATGTGCATGATAGCGAGAAATAAATGGCGCATGCAATTTCAGCCATAGCCACATCGAAAGCGTGAGCGGGAGGTCGAGAAAATCGCCGGGTCATCATGCGCGATTTTTCCTCGCCACAGGCTCGGCCGAACTGTTCATTTTCGACGTGCAACTCTGCCATCCCACAGGCTGCCGCATTTTCACCAGAAAATTTTATTTCTGGTTCCGGACTCGCTAACAGTGGCCGACGATTTTCATTCAACGTGAAAAATCGCTCGGCCCTGGGGTCATGAAGAAGACGCGACTGTCGTGAGCGGTTTGCCGTGTCCAATCGCGGCATCTTCCACCATTGCAGGCGCCATGTCCCTTTACTAATTCTTGCCCATGGCTTGAGGGTATCTGTGGTGCAGTGTCTCTCGTTGGGAACTCATTGTCCATTGTATCTTTCATGGCGGGAAGTGTGTGAGACGAGGGATATACTTGGAGCCTGTACACCGCTAGAGAACTATAAAACACCTCCCGTTCGGATTATCATAAAGTTGACTTTGCTTTTTCCTTCCATTCTGCTCTCATTCACGTTTGCCTGGGGATGAAGGACGGACGGCACCACCAGGACACCAGGACAGCTTTCGCAGTGCATAGACCGGATCCCACTGCGACCCATCACCACTACTTGACGCGTCGCAAGGGGTCCTTAGCAGCACAAGAGTTCAATGATGCCTTTCCAATTGCAAAACGCGGATGGTTTATCTTTGAAAATGAGCATCGGCCTAGCTTAGCATCCGTCTCGACAGACCGTCAGCCATTAATGCGAGCGGAGACCTCATCATCGATGGAAGCGAGACCGATCATCTCGTCTCGTTCACATCGCTCTTTCAGTGACAAATATGGTCGGTGCCTGGAGATCTTACACTATGGCACCAACACTACTGTCCGTCTTCACCGATACACGACCGAAGGGGGCCAACCGCAGCGTCTCGTCGCTGTCAAAGTCTACCGATACAACATTACAGACTCCTCAAGCCCTCCACCTTCGTCGTCTTGTGATACTTCCACCATCGCCAATCTACAACCTCGTCACCCGAACATCCTCTCCATCAACGACCTCATCCACAACGAACGGTCCGAGCTCTGTCTCGTAATGCCCTTTTGTGCAGGGGGCGATCTTCACGAATTACTCGCCCGCAATGGTCCCCTACCAACATATGAAGCCGACTGCATCGTCACTCAGATTCTCCGCGCCCTGAGACTTCCTCCACCAGCAGGACACAGCACACCGCGATATCCGACTCGAAACAGTCCTCTTGACGAGAAATGGAGCTGTCAAGTTAGCTGGCTTTGGAGACAGCCATATTCAGCGCCTGTGGTCACAATGCGCTACACCACCAGAGCCAGACGATGATTTACCCGAACGTCCTCATCCACATTCCTCAGCATCATGGTCGTTTTCCTGGATGCTCTCATCTTTCTCCCGCTCCAGTCCACATTCACCGCGACGTGCCTCTGCAGACTCAACAAGCTCGTCCGTCTCATTTCCTGGGATGAGTCTACCTTATATACCACCTGAAGGATTCCGTGCCCGATCACATCGTACTCATCGGCAAGGTAGCGACGATGAACAAGACCACCATGATCCCCGCCCAGCGGACGTATGGGCGACTGCGATTATCTACCTGACTCTTGTCACAGGTCGTCTCCTGTGGCGTAGTGCGCGTTCAGACCGTGAAGATACTAGGTACACGGAGTACGTGCAGGGCCGACATGCCGAGGATGGATATCCGCCGATCGAGGCTCTGGGAAATGTGAGGAACAACTCCAGTCGTGATTTAAGAAAATTACCCACTAATCCGTATGACAGAGACGGCGAAACGCCATTTATGCAATGCTGCACCCCAATTCACGGCGACGTATAACAACGAAGGATATGCTACGGTCGGAATGGATAAGTAGTGTGTCAGTATGCGAGGCTGGAGATAAGGGGTATTGATATAAAATAGCTCGTATAACGAATCCATGTAATTGAAAAGCTTGTTTCTTGCTCCCGTGGGCTAAATAAGCGTTCCGAGACAGGAATGTCGGCAATCAATTCCGAACGAAGTAAAATTTCACTTGGAAATTCCGGTACACTAAATTTGAACGTTCTTCCACAACGTGCGCTCAATGGCTATAAGAGTATTAAACCGGGCCCTAGTGGCCAGGGATGCGCGGTAAAGCCTGGATTCAAGAAAAGCCAAGGGCCAGGCTTGACAGATCCAAGGCAAACGTGCCATGCCATGAGGCCAAGATGACCCCTGCTTAGGGCTCCCTTAATACATACCCTGATAGAGTAACGCCGCATCAGCCCTTCCCCAGTCGAGAAGGTCTTTTTGAGAAATATGAAGAACTGGAAATTGGACACTAGATAGCAAGTATCTAATTAAAGACTAAATTCCAAAGATCTTGACATACAAAAATCATGCTCGATTGAAGATCACTTCTCATACAGTTCCCGCAGCCAACACATATCCACCATCGACAACAATAGTCTGCCCATTCAGGTACTGATTGGTCGCGGTGAAAAAGCACCGCACTTCCCATATCCTCCTCCTTTCCGGCCCTCGCCGCCGGTACCTTACTTTCGTACTTTTCTTTCGGAATGAAACTCTTCTGCTTCTCATCGCTCTCACCCGTAGTCATCTCACTAGGGAAGACTCCCGGCGCGATATTGTTAACCCGAATTTTCTGGTTCGAAGTCATAGTCTCGTGCGCCAGCATCTTGGTCAGATGAATAGCCGCCGCTTTGGACGCATTGTACGCGAAGTGATGCTGCGAAACCTTGACGATTCCCGAGATCGACGTAATGTTGATCACGGTACTCGACCAACCATGTTCAACCTCGGAGCCCCGCGAGAGCAAGGGCAGGAAAGCGGTTGTCATGAAGAATAGCTGGGATGTGTTGGTTCGGAAGACGGAGTCCCATTCTGCGATATCGGCGGCTCCTTCTTCGAAGAGGGATTTGCGGAGCTCTTCTGGGTCTTCGTGTTCGGTTGTTTGGGGCTGGCTGGAGATTCCGGCATTGTTGATTAGGATTGAAAGGTACTTTTCGCGCTCGGAAATGGTTTGGACGAGCTTTTCGATTGATGCTTTGTCTGTGATGTCGGCTGTGATGGGAATGATTTCGCCGGGGATATCTTTGTTGTAGAGGTCTGTTACTGTGGAAAGTTTCTCGGATGTGCGGCCTGTGATGTAGACTTTTGCGCCGTTAACCGCGAGGGCTTGAGCGGCCATCAGGCCGATTCCGGAGCCACCGCCGGTGATGAGGGCCACTGAGTAGTGTTAGTATGGTTCAGGCTGAGAAGTTGAGAGATCATTTACCTTTGCCCTTCACACTGAACAGGTTCTCCAATTTGAAGTTCTGGTTGCTCTGCTTGGCCTCCATTGTGATTTTATCAGATACAGGGATCTTGTTGATCAAAGTAGTGGAAAATTGTTTTTTTGAAAAGGGTGTTTCAAAGAGTCTCGTAGGAGTAAGTTGGGATGAAAGTCTAGAGAGATAGAAAGGGCGAGGCCGGAGGCTAGCTTGCTTTATAGCAAAATACGGCCGAGCAAACATGACTGGGTTGAGAAATGGAGATAATTACCAGTGTTAGAAACGTCAAAGCCATTTATTCAAGTAATGAGGTTTCAACTATCCGGTTGTAATACGGTTTGGACAGAAGGAACCTGTTTCTGAGGTCCTTTGCCAGGGCCAAGGGTGATACGTTCATTCTTAGGTCATGCTGTTTGACCGATTGGCTACATTGGTGGAAAATTCCCCTATCAAAATTTCAAGTTTCTGTACGTAGAACCATAATGCAGTCTGGACAGAGCCGGAATGTAGCTTAAGTATGACCTATATCAGAATGACGTCAAACTCTAATCAAACAGGATCAATTCACATTGATGCGCCAACTCAGCCGGTCATTGATATTCAAATGCTCGAGTCTGTTCTGAAAGTGTTCTAGAGATCTGGAGGTGGCTTTATATTCTCAATTGAAATAGCGGTGCCCAAAAATGGCATGTCGTGTTGAAATGATTCTGACTGACGACGGAACGTCAAGATGCGCCCCACATCTTTTGGCAACCCGAATATGGACCACAAAAACGATCGGACATCTTAAATATGCTAATTCTTCTCTAAAGCTTTGCCTTGCCTCCCAAAGCTTCACTAACGGGCGCAACTTCGACCATCATCTTACCAGTGTTGACACCAGCGTACAGGTCCACAAGAGCCTTGGGAGCCCCCTCCAATCCACCGGGTACGATGTGTTCCTTGCGCTTGAGCTTGCCCTGTGACAGCCAGGTGCCCAGCTCCTGCAATGCAGCCGGGTACTTCTTGGCAAAATCGAAGACAATGAAGCCCTTCATGGTGATTCGTTGCGACTGCATATACAATTAGCAAAGGCTCATGCACAAGTCATCACAAGAACTCACAATAATATTCATGAAGCTAGCAGGACCCTGCGGCTTTGCAGAATTATACTGACTGATAGCACCGCAAATAGCGAAGCGCGAATCACGCGCTGCGCGAGCCAAACATGCGTCCAGGATCTCACCGCCAGTATTGTCAAAGAATACATCGATATACTCAGGCGTAGCCTCCTTAAGGTGCTTACGCCAGTTGGGATCTTTGTAGTTGACCGCAGCATCAAAACCAAGTTCCTTTACCAGGAACTCGCACTTCTCAGGACTGCCAGCCAATCCCACAACCCGCTTAGCTCCCTTGATTTTAGCAATTTGGCCGGCGACCATGCCCGTTGCACCGGCCGCACCGGAAACGACAACTGTGTCGCCAGGGCGAGGCTGTCCGATCTCCGTCATTCCAAAGTAAGCCGTCAAGCCAGTCATACCGAGCACAGACATTGCATCTGTCGGACGACCACCAGAGGGAATAACGACCTTCTCTACCTCCTTCGCTCCCATCACTGCATACTCCTGCCAGCCAGAGTATGCGACGACCCAGTCACCGGTCTTGAACTTCGAGCCGAGGTCACTGCCCACGGCGACGACTTGGGCGATGCTCTGTCCGCGCATGACGGCACCAAGCTCGACGGGGGCGATATACGAGCGCTTAGCTGTTAACCATTGGCGCATAGCCGGGTCGAGAGAAAGGTAGTGCACGCGCACAAGGAGCTTGTCGGCGGGGACATTGCTAGGCTTTGGGACGGTGTTGATGCGGAAGGTGCCGTTGCCGGATAGGGAGGGGTCAATGGCCGGCGCCGGCGCAGTGTTGTAGAGAATCTGCTTGTAGGACATCGTGATTGTATTTCAGGGTATGTAGAAGCAGAGGAAAGCTACGGGGCACAGAGGGAGAAAAGAACGGGGAAGGTCAGTCGATTTTGGAGATCTTGGGATCGGAGCAACCCCAGATTAGGAAAATTGCTCCACTGGAGATGAGGAGTGTGCCTCGGTTCGGGTCAACAGAGGTAGTATTAGTAAGATCAGATTACTCAACAAGGCTTGGTGCGCTGATTCCGTAGTTATGTTCTGTTCATACCAGTGGACTTTCGTTCAGCGCTACCCCAGGTTGTCGAATGCGCTAGTTGACTGCCAGCAGAATTGAACATGACATCATTACAGCCCTGAACTATTCAAATTGCTTCAACATGGCATTTATCGTACTTTGTCATAGACCGTGGGGACCAGCACCCTAGTGCGTCTAGGAAGGAAAAAGCTCGTGTGACCTACTGGCTGATTTCAGCAGACATTGATAAGGGATCTATGCTGAGCCACTGGCCTCAAAGCCTTTAGGCGAAGTAATAAGCGGTGCTCAACCTCTGCTTACATCAGCACCAGCGCAGCAAGGCGCCAATCACCACGGTAGTCGCAAAGCACGGTAAAAGACTGTTGCAATCCAAAATTCTCGTTTAATCGAGTCTTGTTTCCAGTCTTCCTTCGTAGGCTCTTCGTCTGAGTGTTCGCATTGATCGTCCAGCCGCTCCAACGCAGGGTTAGAATAGTTCCTCCGGCCCCAAGCTGCATACCAGACGCCAGCGATCAACACAAATCCAACGAATACAACAGATACATAATATGTCGAGTTCGTTGCGACTGGTATAGATGTGGGCATGGATAATAACGGAATGGTGAGAAGACACCAGCCTAAAGGACAAGGTAAAGATGAGCATGTAAAAGCGAAGTCGATGCGCGGAACTCGACAGTAGCAAGAATGAAGGGCCACTCACAAATGCAAATGACTTTACAGAAGAAGCCGAAGGACTCGATATTAAAAGAGCCACGTTGGATATCCCGGCGGCTGCGAAGACTTGGCGACACGGCAACGGGACATGCATAGCTCGGTGTTAGAAAGATCACACCAACGCCCGAAAAGGCATTGAAGGCAGCGCTTGAGCCAAAGTAAATCAGTCCAACAAGCAAATCAATCACCATTCCTAGAAGCAAGGAGTTTATAGGGATCTGAAATCGCCTATGATCTGATTTCAACCATTTAGATCCAGAAATGGCCCCGTCGCGTGCAAATGCCCAAGTAGCTCGTGAAGTAGCAGTAACACACCCCAGTCCACAATTGAGTCCAAGCATGATCAATGGAATGAGGAGGCAAAAGACGCCATTAGAATTGCCGACCGCGGATCTGACGATGGTCGGTACCGGTTGTGCAGAGGCGATATGCGCAAGCATTGCAATATTGGGAAGCACGAACGCAACTGGGATAAGGAATGCCAGGTCGGCCAAGGCATTTAAAGCAATACCGCCTGCTATTGCTCAGGGAACTTGAATTGCGGGTTTGCGGACCTCTTGCCACATCCTAGGCAGATCAGTATGGAACACCAGGGGATTTGGAATGAGGTGCTCACGATGTCACCCTGCCAGTGGCTGAAAGACCATATGCAGCCTGGAGCAGACCCGGTTAGTGAGAGTCGATAAGATTGGCTGAAGAAAAGCACATGGAAAACCTGTAATGATGCAGTAGGTTGCAAAATTGACAGGGTACTTGTGCAAGCCAGGAAGAGCTGCAAAAGAAACAAATGGCGAAGGTGAAGACTGTGGCCAAGTTGCGGGAGACGTTGCCCAGGGACCGTCCTGCGAGGCACCCGAGGTCATATAGATTTCCATATTTCACGCGAATGATTTATTGACTGAAAGTGAAATAACAATCCAGCAATTCAGACAGATCCACCGGGTCACATCCGACAATCGCGGGGGTAATATTACCGAATCTCTTCAACAGGGCCGCTTTTTCGAGGTTAGTTTCCCGTCTCTAATTCGTGATCCTGATAACATGATCGAACACATAAATTACGGACATTGCGGTGATAGATCTAGCGAAGATCTAGCGACTCATATAGAAAAGAGCTAAGTAAAACCGTGTCTATGTGTACTTCCCTTCTAATTGCCGTGTTCTGAGGGGATCGAATATCCCTGCTTGGCCCAACCATCTAGCACTTGTTCGCATAAGATCTTTTGCTGCGCACGAGTAGGTGCCAAATCCGGTTTCCCGCGTCGGCGACGTGACTCGACCGTTTCTCTAAGACTGATCTCACTGGATCCTTCATGGCATTTCTGGCCATGGCCATTTGCCATGGTTTCGACTTCGTATGTGCGAAACTCCGTGTTAAACCAACCCGTCCCTGTCTCATATTGGTAAGTTTGAAATGGCCTTGTAAGATAGGAATCTTCGGGATTCTTAATCACGGGCTTGCCAAACTTACCTTTGCCGTTGCATCCTTCCTCCCAGTCCTCTGTCAGGAAATGAAGGAACCCGCCGTGGGAAACCACAACAATCTCTTTCTCTGGTCTCGCCATCAACCACTGTCTGACATATTGAGCTCTTTCGAAGATTCTCTCTCGGGTGATTCCAAGTCTTCCAGTCTAATGTGATATGATAGTTAGTACCATCGTCGACAATCCGAATGTCGTTCTTACTTTCTTGGTCCAATTCTCTTCAAGATTGCTAATGTCTACAGGAGCACCTTGTGCTTCCATCTCTGCTTTCAGATCTGCCAGACTGCTACCAACATCACATGGCATGTCGCTGAGTTCTTGCAATTCAGGAAGAGCGATCAACTTTTTCCCTTCAGTTTTCTCATAATCCGGCAAGAACGCCTCCAAGGCAGTATACATTGCCCGACGCATAGGGGACGCCACTAACAAGTCAATGCTGGAGAGATTTGGAAAATTCCGACCAAGCTCGTGGCATTGCTTCTTTCCATGGTCCGTCAAGAGAGGATCGTGAATATTCATGTGTTCAATACCGAGATTATGGTATCCCTAAAATTCATCAGATTGAGCTTCGAGTCCCCTATAGCATGCAGCCTTACCTGTGCATGTCTCACTAAATGGATTTTAGGAGGCATCGTGACAATGGCCGCCCAGAGCTCAGAGTCCACACTGGTGAGAAAACGGTGTTCAATGCCGACGACAAGTTAGTATGAGTCCCTAAAAAGCTTTGAGGCTCCACACTTTCCCTTCTATAGGTGTTCGTTTGAAGGCAATAAGGCTTTTTGTAGGGCATAAAAACCGAGTGTGAAATGTTTATCTGGCGTGCGAATTCAAAGCTGGACCCACTTTAAACTCTATTTCAGCAGCTGGGCTTCCTCTTTAGGCCTAGCGTAGTCGGTAGCTCTTGATCGAGGCGCTGTACTTCACACGTGCCATGTATGATATTTCATGAAGTCAGTGGGATTCAAAAAAGGAGCAGCTTGCCCCTCGATCTGACATTCTTCTCGAGATCAAGGCTGCGCGTACTTCATCGTCATCAAGTCCAGCCATGGATTCGTCCCTGGAGCTGGTCTCTCCGCAAACACATCACTTATACTCCAATTTACAAGGGGACAGTTATGCCAATCCGCTCTGTGGATCTGTGAACTTCAGACCTTCTTGCGACTTTGCAATTACAGGGAATACTCTGCTCCGGACCCAGCTCGTTCGCATTGTGCAATTGAAGGATTCCCTGTCTTCTTGCCAAGGACAGGGTCTTTTGGGTCGCATGCGCAGTCACTTTGTCAAAAGTGGAAAGCAAGCAGTGGCTGGCAAAACATGTTCCACGGTTGAAGAGTCTACATGTTCTCTTTTGCCGTTTTCAGAAGGCCAAAGGGACAATACTTCCTGTGAAGACGCAGTCACCAATGTCCCATTCTCAATTCCTATACCAGTTGATATGCCTGCCTCTACGACAACTAGCCAAGGGATAGTCTCATACGCCATTGTTGCTTCTGTGATAACTCCAACATGCACCGTCCTCAGCTCAAGCCAACCTGTTCAGCTTACTCGTCAAATCATTTCGGACCAGCCAACTGTCCAACACGTGCGGTCATATCCCAAGTCAAAGGTGATTGAGCAGATTTCTCTCACACAAACTCTTATGACGGACACCAACCCAAACCTCTGTTTCCGCATGAATGTCAAACTTCGAAACCCAAGCACACCGGAGCGCCATGCAGAGTTCAAATGTGCCGTCATTAGAGGACTGCGGTGCCGAGTGGAAGAAGTGACCAAGACCTTCACCAAGCCGACCTTGGGAAACCAACATATCCAAGATGATTATGCAAACCAACGCGAACAAGCGCAAGTTTCTGTGCGAGAATTATGCAATGAGAAGCAAAAAGGCCACTGGAGCATAATTGAGAACCCAGTTATCAAGACACACGAAACCTCCCAGAAGCCTTCTACCGTCGACATCAACTTCGGCTTCACGATTCCGAAAACATCAAAGCCCGCACAGCCTGCCGATCTGTCTTGCTACGCATTCGATCCCGAGCATTTCAATCCGACTTCTTTACCTCCAGAGCTTCGCTCTCGTTACTCCTCAACTACACATGAGAGACTGGCAATCGTTGTCGAGCACCGATTAAAGCTGGACTTAATCACGGGTGAAGACACTTTCAGCCGAGAGAACCAGATCCTCGTTGATCGAAAAATAATAGGAGCAGCTGTGAATGCATCTTTCCCTCTGACCCTTCTTGAGAAGTATGAGGGAGACATTTCAGATTTGGCTTTGGACAAGACGCCTCCAAGGTATGAGGAGGTTCCGATGGCGCCTCCCGACTATGATTGCTTTGCTGCATTGCCACTCCCCGACAGTGCTACTTAATAGCATCTTATTAATTTAGAATAGAGAACATGTTTGTATAATAATTTCATTTGAAGCGATTTAGTGGATCCCTTTTCACCACTGTCTCCACGTTCCTGCACGACGTCGATCGGCGTCAGCGCGTCATATCAGCGAAAATTCGTGCTTCTACTATTCCTGAGCGTTTGAATGATTTGTTGACTTATCTAAGATATATAAAAAAAACCGTGGATGAGTTTTTTTGAGCTTCGGTCCCCACAAGTTTGGTGAAGGCGGACAGGTCATCTGACCAGAGCGGGTTTTCAGGGAAAGCGCGGAGTCCCCGCAGTGATCCATTCATCAGCCTATTTTATTTCTTCTTCTAGCATATGCTTGGCGAGTCTAGTGGTTCTGAATGCTCCGATGTCTCCAAATCGGTGTAGTACGACCGCAGACAAAGGTACGTTGATGCCCGTCCAAATTTTTACTGCCAAGCTGACATGAGACCCAGACTGCCCAAAGTGCAGACGACGACGCATCAATTGTGATCGGACTGCACCAGAGTGTAAAAAGTGCACTTCCAGAGGCTTTAAGTGTCCTGGCTATGGACTCATCTTGAAATGGGGTCAAGGGGTCGCCAGCAGAGGCTTGTTGACGGGAGCGAGCTGCCCGTTAGAGATAATACCGGCAGCTCTAGCGTCCCACCTGAACCATCACCTAAACCATCACCGGTGAACGAGTCAAGTCAAGCAGTGAAACCTCAACAAAGCCGCAGTGTAATTCCGCACGGGCCGAAGCCTAATATCGACCCTATAACGCTGCGATTAATGCATCATTTCCACCACCACGTCTCCGGCAAACTTGCCTGGGTGGACGGTCCAACGAACCCATGGCGGCAGGTGATTATACCTCTCGCCTGGTCTTCAGCAACAGTCCTCAGCTCCGTATTGTCCCTATCATCCGAGGACCTCGCCGCCAAATTCCCGCAAGATCATCCTCGCCGCCACCAATTGCAAAGACTCTCACTGCGTCTCCGGAGCGAGGCCTTGAGATCATTAGCAAGTCAAATCTCCCAAATGAGACAACAAAACCCTTCAACGAGCATTAAACCAATCCAAACTCAATCCGCACTCGCTTCCACCCTCATCCTATATAACGTGGAATTACTCGGCGCTCAATCTGGTCAATGGCGAGTTCATCTCCAAGGCGCAAGAACAATCCTCCAATGGAAGGAACAATCTTTCCCGCGCGCGGCTTTGTCCGATGAAATCGACTCATTTCTTTTATACGAACAATACTTTGCCAGCGTTTTCGCCGGACTCACCAGTTTTGACACACCGCACGAGGCAGAAAAAGACATCCAACACATTGACGACACAGCCGTTCTGAGCGATTTCATAAACATCATGAATCGATTAACGCGCATCGAAAGACTTCAATACAACCAAAAATACAATGTCGATCCGGCTCTCCTCGAAACATTAATTCAAGAACTGGATGAAGCGAAAATTCGAATGGTCCGATTAAGCGAGATCTTCCAATTCCAGACCGAAGACGCAAAACAAAGTTTCCTACATCTTGTCAATATCTTCCATGATGCCAGTTTGATATACATGTATCAAGTATTGACGGATGATCCGGCAGTAAAGGAGGGGCTTCAATTGTTAAGAGATGCAATTCTGGGCCATTCACATTCCCTTTCTCAGAGCGGTTCTTTTGCGAATGATCTTGTATGGCCTCTTTTCATTGCGGGGACGGAGTGTCGAGGGGATTGGGAGAAACAGGAAATAGTCGTGAGGGAGCTTGAAGTTGTGATGAGGGTCAGTTGGAACTTGGATCGACGGAAGGTTCTGTCCTTCTTAAGAGAGTTCTGGGCCTTGGAAAGGGAAGGTACGGTGACTTGGATACAATTTATGCGGGAGAAAGCGCCTGGTTCGACTATCATGATTCTGTAAATTGAATCGGGGCTTGGGTTAACATGTGCATTTTGCATCGACATAGAATAACTTGGTTGCTGCAATAATGAAAGAAACCTTGAACAAACAGACCATTAGGTTGAATGAATTGGATCAGCTACAAGCTTCTCTATATCAAGACCGTATCGCGGTGCTTTTCAAATTTCTGCTTTTGATGCAGATCAATATGACCATATATTTACATCCCCACTTCGCATCGAATGCGACCTCTTCACATGTATTTGCTTAGCATGCTCCGGAGGGAGCAGCTTACATAGATTGTTTTCCTTGCGTCTCAATAGGCAAGAAGACCATCGCCACAAAGGCAGCCAGTAGCAACGCACCAGCAACATAGATCGGAGTGACCGGATCAGTATTAGCATAGATACCAATGATAGGGGCCATAAGACCCGCGATACGGTTCAAACAACTGGCGATTCCAGAGCCAGTACCTCGGTTCGGTGCCGGGAACACTTCGGGCGTGTAGGCGTACAAAACACCGTACATGATCATTTGGAAGAAAGATTCCAAGGCCGAGCAGACAAGCTGGACGTTGGGATCTTTGGAGGCAGTAAAGCAGAAGAGTAGGACACCTGTGATGGCGGTCGAAGCAGCCATTGTGCCTTTACGACCGATGAAGGGAATGTCAACGAGATACCAGGCAAGAAGGGGACCGGGAATACCCACAGACTGCCGTGATAGCATAGTTGCGGTAGGTCTCGTAAGTTGTGGAATTTGCGGAGAGGTATTGAGGGAGGAAAGCGTTGAAGAGAGTGTAGCCCATTCCGATGCAGGTCCAGCAGAACCAAATGAGGATGGCTTGGGATTGTTAGTTTGTAGCATGACAAAAGCCGGGTGGGGGTTTTGTTGATACGTACTTGAGATTCCAAGGCGCTTGGTTCTGAATAGTGGCTTGACTTGCTGAACAGAGAACCTCTCAAGCGATCTCTTGAGAATTTCAAAAGTTGAGAGAGACTGCTTCTTGTTTCCCTCCGGGTATCCACCAATCTCGTTCAGGACCTCCTCAGTGAGCCAGGTGGTGGTGCGGTTCTTATAGGCAATTCCCTGCACTGCGGCGACCGCTTCGTCCTGACGACCACGAGACACGAGGAACTTGGGAGATTCGTAAAGAGTGAAGAAGAAGAAACGGCACAAGAACATAACAAAGGTAATAGCACCCAGGGTCAGAACAAGGTATCTCCAGCCCCAGTTATCAGCCTTGGTGCAAGTCGCAGCAGTTTCGCACGAGAAGTTGGGAATGTAAGCCCAAGCAAGCATACTGGCAATCAGAGTCCCCACAGACCACCAGGTAGCCAATCCACTCAGGATGTTACCCGAATTGGGAGGAAGACACTCAAGGAAGACAGCAGCATCCACGGGCAGGTTTCCGCCAACACCAAGACCCAGGCAGGCATAAAGCGCACAAGTTCCCACCCAGTTCGGACCACCGCCAGCGGCGAGACCAAAGATACCACAGATGCAAAGGGTCATATTGAAAGCCGGGCGACGGCCGATAGCATCGGAAGCAATACCCCAGAAGGAGGCACCGATGATCAGACCAACGAAGAGGGAGCACGTTGCAAAGCGAGAATCGGTCTCAGATACACCGAATTCGGTGGCCAGAGGTGTCAGAGTAAGTGCAACTCCCTATAAATAATTAGCTGGAGGCTCAGAGCCCGTAAAGAATGTCCATGAAGAAATCATACCTGTAACCACAGGCTGTAGTGCGTAAATTAGCAGCTGTTTCTCGCTCAAGAGACTCAATGGATCGGCTTACTTATCGGCAACCCAGCCCATTCCACACAGAACAAATAGTCCCCATTGATAACGACCCATACCAATGTCTTGAATAGCTCTGTTGATGACCTTTGCTTTGCCTAAACAGTGACACTCAAGATTAATGTTTGTGTTCCATTGCTGCATCACGCAAGCCAATCTCAGATCCAATGAGACCAACCCAGGTGGATGAGTAACGTACGATCATAAGCACTATCATGGCCAGTGGCAGCAATACCTTCCTCCACTTCGGCTCGCAGGGCTTCTAAAGTCAGCGTGGTACCCGAGTGAGTACCGCTCACACCTTTCTCCTGGAGGGAGGCACGGTCAGGACTGCAATCGGATTCATCTTTCGGCCGTTGCGGCGCGGAGCCTTGGGCGAGAGGAACCACGACCTCGGGGAATCCCCGACGGTCATTGTTGGTAAAAAGCTCTTTCCAGTTAGGCATGGTAAGCAATTCTGTTTTTCGGTTTCGATATCGCAGCAGGGCTTGGTGCGTGGCAGAGTAAGCGGATTGTGCGACTGGGAAATTGCTACTCTCGAATTCGAAGTATAATTCTTGCGTTGGGGCTAAGCCTAGTCTTTGTCGGACTGCTTGATATAAATGTCGCGCTGGATAATTAATGCAGGTGCAAGGGCTCAATCCGGGATTCGGGGAAGATGCGATGGGGACGAATCGAGGTAGGTGCAACGGGATAGAAATGCGAGCTATGTGCAGCTACTATCGAAGTATCGAAGCCAAACTGTGTAGACCAAGTTTCTTTGAAACTATTTAATCGATTGAGTGTTGAGTGGCCGTCAGCTGGAATCTTCCGGTATGCGACTTGGTGTGCTGGAGAGGCGGATATAATAGCGAACACAGCGAAGTGGTCTGCTATTGATGCAGAGAAGTGACCTTGGGGCAAAGACAGTGGATGTCAAATTTTTTTTTTATGGAACCGAGGGGGAGCTGGGGAAGGTACGAGGTCATATATAGGGCAATGATAATCAACAAATTCGTAAAAATCTCTTCGGCCAGGAGCCGACGCCGTACTCCATACTTGGAGATGAGACCCTCTCGGGATGGTACGTGCGAGAATCGGCCATCTATCGGCCAACCACGCCGCGTTTAGATGGCCCTATGGGTCAAGGGTCAGCCTCTGTCAGCCTCTGATGTGTTATGTCGACTATAAAAGTCCCCACTTTACCCGCTTTGGTTCCCGGTTTGGCAGGACGAGGGACATGCGTCCTGTGCCGACTTGCCAAGAATGTTAAGCGAGAGTCATATTGTGCACTTGTTTTTGCTGTGCACTCGATCTAGAGCGATTATGTACATAGTTTCGGTTCAGCGCAGGCGATTCTTTTAGGATTGATTACTTTGCGGGTCACCCGTACCAGTATGGATTAAGAGAGAGTGAAAAGGCCACACCTTGAAAAGCATGCGTTCGGGGGTCTCCGAGAGAATGTGGAACCATCGGGATCGGGAAACGCATGATTCCATCTTCTTTTGCCGACTTTGGGCTATCCTGACCCCAAAGGGTAATTATTTGTCCCCTCCTGGGAGTCGAATTTGGGTGAGGCTAGAAACTACCGTCGATCACCAGCTACGGAATCACCGACAGTCGGAAACATCTGTGGTCGAGGCCAACTCAATGCCGTAAGTCGCGCTAAGACAATCAATTTTTCGCGGTCCCCTTGGAGCATTTTACAATGCTCAGGGCTCCACTAGCGTCACCATGCAAGTAGCTCAGGCTGAGTTTGTTGCATCAAGCCACAAGATATGCGACACGACACACTCTCCTACCATCCCTTCGTTCTAATTATCAATTTCATCACCGACTCTTGGCTAGAGGATCCCAAGGGTTATGAGTAGAAGAATGAGTGGACACAAACCCCAACATCTACCATCGACGGGAAACCAAACGACATTAGACTTTGCAGGTGTGGCGCATCGGTGGCGGCTGAGGCGGCGGGATGGTCAAACACCCGGACCACGGTCGCAGGTCAGTGACTCCCATCAGCTGCATAAGGAAACCGGTTTCCCCAGCGTTTCTATCAACCGCAAGAACCCGCATCTCAGGCAACAATGGACACCTGGACTCTGCTCTTCGACTTAATGTGTTGGTGGGGGGGGTGTTCGTTCAGTATGACGTCATCTGTTGTCATCCGTGCCGCGAGTATATAACCCGCCACATCGCTGCTTGTCATTCAAGCTCTCAAGATCGCTAGGTTCTTGCACAGCAATCCTGAAAAATTAAATTACAATGAGTACATACAATAACCAAGCGGCCGAGCCAATGCGCCACGCGCAGAACGTCCGTCGCCCTTCTCACGGGTCTTCAACCGGAGCGCCTGGTTTCCCGACAGGATCGCAAGATACGCGATCACAGTATGATCCTGCTACGAGTGGGGTGAATCCATCTACTGGAGCCGGATATCAGAAACCCCCTCCTATCCCCTCGCGCCCATCCCACAGCTATGATCAGCAAGGCCAAGCTGCACCCACCCAGCAGGCGAGTACCGCACCACGCACGAACTTGAACGATCGGACGACCGCACACCCCGATTCAACAGCTCCTGGGGATAAATATGCGCAAAAGGGCGATGACATTGGCCGGAAAGCACAGGGCGTAATGGCTGGTGTACATGTAAGTGTTCAGAGAGATACATCTGGTTTTCGCATTTTGAGGGTTTCTAGGTCGAAGCTGACTATAGGATAGGGAGCTGGGGAATCACTACGTGGAGCCTTGACGGGGGCGGTGGACAGGGCCTTTGGAACTACGGAAGGTCCGCGGGGCGCAGAGCACAACGAAGAGATCGCGCGGCGGGGTGAGCGTGAGATTCAAACGGGCCAGTTTACCCATTCTGGAAGGTGATTCAAGGCAGTTCAGGGACCAGGATTAGTGAAAATGAGATTCAATGCTTGGCGTTGCTTGATTTGGGGGAAATTCCACCGTAATCATATCCCAAACTTGTATATTTTCAGATGCATAGTTCGGGATTGCTTCACAGTCGAATACTTCCACGTCCACAGCGGGAAAACGTCATCGCCGATCACCACTACTCGGACGATAGAGTAATGATCTCCCGCTCTGTACCACGGCCATTCGTCGATCTCTTTTGAAGAGGGAGAGACCTGGAAAATAAATAAAAAACAGAACAGGATTTCGACCGAAGGGATGCTAAGCATTTGCACGTGGCGACCTGGTCCCCGACTTTCCGGGCGAGCCGGGCGTGAAGGCTGTGCTGGTGGAACCCTTTTTCGGCTCATCCTTTATAATGTGGTCATTGCCCGCATTTCATCCCGATACTCTGTGCACAGTTCCTGAGTGCTCCCTGGAGACCTTCAACCCTCGAATTGCATATATGGAGCCCGGTTGTCGTCGCCCTTGCACATTGAACGACCTCATGCTCTTGAAAATCGTGTTATCTGAACATAGACCATGACCTCAATCTCTGCCGACCGTTCCCAGATGGCCGGCTCTGCGACCACCGCGGCGACTGCAGAATCCTCCGGTCGCCCACAAAACTTACAGGATTCGTGGACGTCCGAGTCCTCGGGCAACGCGGTCGCATCTGAGTCGCCAATACATTATTCGTCTTTTTCTAGCTCCGACAGTGACGACCCCCTCCAGTCTTCCAATGAAGTGAACGAAGACGATGCCAGCGACGTGGTGGGAGTCAGTATTGGGCGCGCTCAAAGCCGTATGAAAGCCCGTTCAACCCCCGCCGAAGAGAAAAGCAGAGCGTTGGAATCGAACGGTGGATACTTTTCGGCGATCCCGGATCCCGTCAGCGAAGATGGCTTGTTCGTCTCGCAGCTCTCGGCTGAACCTGAGCAACTGGAGCCGAGGAGGTCTTCCAAAGTGCAGACGACGCATCCTGCCACGCGCTCATCGGTGGAGCACCGCACGCCGCGAGGTCGCCACACCCATCATTCGGTGCCTAAAGGGACGGGGGGGCCACCGATCGAGTTTCACCCGCTCCCTACTCAAGACTTCCTTGCCCAAACGCCCCCGTGCATGGTCGGGGAGAGTTAAAAAAGTTTTTGCCCGACTTGGGTTCATTAGCCAAAGTACCGTCCCTTTCCTTCCGGGGAATGTGCAGAACCGGGCACGCAGTCAGATAACGGAGTCGAGCAAACGGATATCAGGCCAAGAAAAACGAGCATCTTCGCTGAGACCGGACAAAGCCAACCTCCCCGCGAGCTCCCAGCGTCAGCCCGTATGAAGACGAAGATGACGCCCGACCCATTTCAGAGCTGCAATCGCTTCATGGCAGCTCGGTCGTAAAACATTCATACTCCCGACGGCCCAGTGCGACACCGAAGCGACCACCGAGTCTGCGTCGGTCGTCGTCTGATCAATCATTGTATTTGCGGGCATCCTCGACTGCCTCGTCGTTAGAACAGCGACCGCTATATACGAATGTCCATTCACAGGTCAACAGCCGCTTCAAGGCGATCAAAGACAGCTTGCAGGACTCAAGTAGTCGGCTCCTTAGCATGCCCAGTCTGCACTTGCAAGATATTCGCGGCGAATGGGCAGGCCGGCCATTCTTCAATGAGAATAGCCCCAATACGAACGCTTCAGGCGACAAGGGCATCAATGGGCACGCAAGTGCACCCCCACCTCCACCTCCCCGAAACCATCCTCAGTCGACGCATCCAATCTTAGAAGAAGCCATGAGAGACCTTGTAGGCGATGTCGTGATACTAGGAGGATACCGAGGATCTATTCTGCGCTCCGCTAAGCCACCGCACCGACAGCTCTGGGTGCCGATGAAGGTTGGACTCAATCTGCGTAAAGTGGATTTGGAAGTCGGCTTGACTCGAGAGGACGAAGAGCGCATGCCAGAGACCGTCATCCCCTCTGGCGTGCTGTCCCACGTTGGTCCCGTGGACGTTTGCCGCAGGTTGATGAAGCGGTTGCGCAAGTGCGACAATGCCATGCGCGGCGACTTGCGCGTCTGGGACTACGGATATGACTGGCGTCTTAGTCCTGACCTATTATCCAAACAGCTTATTGAGTTCCTGGAACGCTTACCATGCAACCGGGGCTCATCAGATGGCAAACTCCCCACGCGGCGTGGCGCGACGGTCATCGCCCATAGTTTGGGCGGACTCATTACTCGGCACGCTGTGAATCAGCGACCTGATCTCTTCGCGGGCGTGGTGTATGCGGGAGTACCGCAGCACTGCGTCAACATCCTCGGTCCGCTTCGCAACGGCGATGACGTCCTGCTCAGTTCGCGGGTCCTAACTGCTCAAGTCAATTTCACCTTCCGAACGAGCTTTGCCCTACTTCCCGAAGACGGCCACTGCTTCATCGACAAACAATCTAAGAAGGAATTCCGCATGAGACTTCTTCGACCCCAAAAGCTGGGAAGAATACCGCCTCTCCCCCTGCTGTGGCCCCGCTCTCCTTCCAGCAGGAAGCCGAGGCTTCAAAGATTTCGCCAACATCAGCAAGCGTTTCTCATTCGGTGCTCGCGACGAATTGAATATAAACGAGTCAGAAACCAACGACACCAACACCAGCACAGAAGACGATAATCCCCATCGCGTCGGCCATCTCCCTCGTTCCTCCACCGCTCCAATCCACATGACATCCTCATCATCCGACAATTTTAGCGATAAATTCAGCAACAAGGTCAATGACACAGTCGACAAAGCCCATGATAAAGCCCACGACAAAGCTCAAGAGAAAGCCAGCGAAGCCGTCCCTAGCGTGGACGGCCTCGTTGGCCCGAATCCGAGCCCCCGCGGCAGCGCAGGCGCAAGCAAAGCCTCCACGACCTGTACCATTCCCCACGCCGCGGCAATGGAGTACCTTCAACGTACCCTGGCAGAGGTCAAGCGCTTCAAGTTCGAATTGGACTTCCAGCCCTCCCACCAAATGGAGAACCGATACCCGCCTGCCGCCGTGATTTACGGCAAGAGTGTGCCGACTGTGTACGGTGCACGGGTCACTTCGCGCGAGGCGATTAAGCGTACGGATTGTTACGATGATCTTGCGTTCGCGGCGGGTGACGGCGTTTGTCTTGCTTCCGCGGCGATGTTGCCTCCTGGGTATCGGATCATCAAGCATGGTCTTGTGAAGAGTGAACGTGGACACGTTGGGTTGCTTGGCGATCTTGAGGGTGTGGGACAGTGTTTGCGAGCCATTATTCGGGGTCGAAAGGAGGGTGTTGGATTGGGCAATTACAAAGAGTGATCCTTTTTGTGATGGAGGATTTTAAGGTTGCATCTTCGTCTTCATATCCATTCTTCATCTTCATCTTCATATACATTTGCATTTTGTCTTTTGTCTTTTTTTGGTTTGTTTTCAAGTGATACCATTGTTATGCATCATGATCATGTCTCAAGGTGATTGAATGGAGATTGTTGATGGTTGAATGTTTGTATCATTGCATGTGTACCGAACTCATGACCATGACGATATTATATATAAGGAAGACAAATAGAACATGGGTCGAATGTTGGTAGTATATTAAATCAGCATACTGACTCCTTTTCAAACTCGCTATACAACCCAAATGCTCTATAAAGATACTCGATTCCACCGCTTTTGTCTTCTCAGAAAGTCAAATTCCCAGAACAAAAAACCCAAAAGAAATCATATACCAAATCATGAAAGAAAGCTTGCTATTAGAAGGAATCATCATCTCCAATCTCAATCTCAATCCGTTCGCGAGTTGGCAATGTTCAAAACTAAGATATCCGTAGCCCCGACCTTGATCAGCTCGTCCATAACTGTCGCAACGCGCTTCTTCTCAACCATCGAGCTGACAGCAACCCAGTTCTCCTCCTCAAGCGCGGTGATGGTAGGCGCTCGCTTTCCGGGTGTGATCTTGGATGCGACGGCCAACTCAGAACGAGGGATGTTGTACTGGCACAACACGAAGCGCTGGGCGGTGATAACACCGCGGATGCGCGCGGCGATCAGGTCCAAGAGATCACTCTTTGAGTCGCGGGACTTGACGAGCACAGCGGTGCTCTCGACGACGGTATCGATAGCCTTGAGACCAGCGGCTTTCATGGTCTCGCCAGATTCTAGAAGCACAAGTCAGTCTCAGTCTCGAACACACATATCGGCATACTAGAGGGTTTTGTCACATACCAACAAGATCGACAATGCCATCAGCAACGCCAAGCGCGCAGGCAGCCTCAACACTACCGCCAACATACTTGATCTTCGTCTGAAGCTTCTCACCGGGCTGAGCGCCCTCCAGACCACGGAAGAAAGCCTCCGTCAATGCAGTGAAGCTGGTCACGACATTGCGACCCACAAGCTGCTTGGCCTCGGTGATATTACCCTTCTCGGGAACCTGCACCTGCAGCTTGCAGCCGCCGAATCCGAGATCGAGGACCTCTTCCACGCCGGAGATCTCGCCTTCGGGCAGGGTGGCGTCGTGCTCGGCGACCTGGTCGCGGCCGGTGATACCAATGTCAACGCGGCCTTCACCGACGAAGGTGGGGATGTCGGCGGCTGGGAGGAAGATGAGTGCGATAGGCAGGTTCTTGACCAGCGCGATGTCAAGGCGGGTCTCGCGACGAAATTGGACGTCGGAGCCGGAGAGAAGGTCGAGAGTTGCCTGTTGGAGCCGGCCCTCTGAATTGGGGTGTTAGTTGATGCTCTTTGAGATGTCATGAATCATTGCAGGTGAAAGTGACTTGCTTTTGGGCACGGCGAAGAGAAGTCTTCCTTCCAAGCTGAAAGAAATATGGTGTTAGTTGAGTTCTTGTATATGGTGCCCTTCAATTGACGGTTGGGGGTGACTCACTGGTTAACGAGATCCATGACGATGGTTCACGACGCGAGGGCAGGCGGATGAGTTCGAGGGAGAGACCGACAATTCCACCAAAGACTTGATGAATGAGAATATGGAGTCAATTGCAAGAGACTAGCACGGTGTCTCGAGACAATTGAAGCTGCGCAGGGTGGATGTCGGGCAGAGAGCTCTTTGCGGCAGAAATTGGAGGGGCAGCGATCGGTGTACTTGCGAACGTCCCGACGTCGGCGGGGACCAGCGGACCAAGGTCGCCCAATGTACTCGGCAATTGGTAGTGGAGGAATGGCCCACGTGGATATAGAAAAGATGATAATTGACTATGGAATGAGTTCCTTTCTACGGATTGACTCAGACTATCAGCGGTATTCTTCTGTAATGTGCAGGGCTGTATGCTGACACCGAAAGTGAGACGGGGTCACGTTTGAAGCCTTAAATATCAGGTGTCGACGAAGATCCACTGAGTCAGCAAGGATGCCTGACAGCTCAGGTGTCAGAAGCCCTGAGCCCTCGCGTAATTTGGAACCCACACAAGGCAAAATCATCTTCACACCCGCCTCTTCCTCCAGTCCACCCAAACTCTCACCACCCTCGTCGTACGAGCTCAACGCCCTTTCCTTCAAGATGGATTCCAGCAAGACCCCCGTCAAGCTCGTCAAGGTGACCCGTGTCCTCGGCCGCACCGGTACGTGCCCTTCCTGAACCGCTGCACAAAATTCAAATTCGAGATCTCAAAAATCGCGGGGACGACGTCCACATCCGCCCTCCACGCCCGCCGCGAGACATCGAGAATGAACCTGCGAAAGTTACCAGACTTCGAATACTAATTTGTGTTTTTTTTTCTTGTCTTCAGGTTCCCGTGGTGGTGTCACCCAGGTCCGCGTCGAGTTCATGGACGACACTTCCCGCTCCATCATCCGTAACGTTAAGGGCCCGGGTACGTGAATTCCGCATTCATTTCTATTTCGATGGAGAAGGATCCCAGGCAAAAGGAGGAAGTCGTTGAAACAAGGACACATGGAAGAAATTATGCGAGCTGGGACATTTCTGGACACATGGAAATCGGGTCCCGCTGAACCACACAGCTAACGCAATATTCGCCTACAGTCCGCGTTGACGACATTCTCTGCCTGCTCGAGTCCGAGCGTGAGGCTCGCCGTCTCCGTTAAACATCCCCCAAACGACAATTCAACTCGCGCCATGTCTTTCGTCTCTCTCTTTCTCTCGCATATCCCTCACGTCCGGTTTTTCTTGATCGTTCTTTGGCCAAAAATGTGTCCCCGCTTTTCTTTCTTGCCGTACCTCTGACTCCCCGACTCTCCAACCTCGTCCGCCGCGCCGTCCATTCCATGCACCTCTCGATCTGAGGCAGTTTCCGATTTTCGAATGGTGGATGGATCTGAAGGAAGGATTCTTGGGCATTTCTCCCCAAGGGTCCGAGAAGTCGATCATTGGTTCAATCGAACGGGAGAGAGAGATGGAGAGAAACGAGCAGACCTTTAGTTCAAATGGAAAAAATGAAATGAGGTTGCGCGATGGCTGGTTTGTGTATTTGTGGGATCGGTCTGGTCTGGTTTGGTCTGGTGTTTTAACTACATACACACGTCCATATTTGGCGTGCTTGCATGGGCTCAATGCGACAAACGAGGTTGTGATGTGCTTTTTCTTTTTCCATTCTTCTGGATTCTCTAGACATGATGGGACGCCGAGACTTGAGCCAGGTCTGACCAACAAAAAAAGAACAATGGGAATCCAAAAAAAAAAAATTTGAAACTTCCGGTTCTGCGAGGTCGAGAGACTGAGGCGGTCGTAGCTCTCTTTTATGGCTGTAGTTGCAAATGGCTGTCCGGGGCTTGTTCGGTAGTAGGTTCAAAATGTACTCGCCCCAAGTATCTATATTTCCGAGCCCGTAGCCACATCATCTCGGGTTCAGCCACAGCCATCATCAAACCTCGACCTTGATATTCTCGATGTGGGGTAGTTTTTCTTCTCTTCAGTCTCAAAATATCTCGTTCTCGGAGCCTAACACCCGTGTTTTATCAAAACGTTAAGCACGATGAAGTCTCCCGGCAGAGGTAGGCACAAACACGTCAACTTCCCACACGGCAGATAACGAAGGTCGTCACCATAAAGACTACCGTGAAGCCCAAGTCCAACTACTCAAGCAGGACAAGGAAGCACTTTATCTTCTCCAGGAGCTAGCCACAACTCGCTGCCAATTTTCAATGGTCCAAGCGCCAAACGTCTAGCAAATAATCTGCCAAAAAAGCCCTTGTCTCTTCAATATACCTCGCCTTGATGTATCGAGCTGGTCTGATATGTAGCAGATGGCCTCAGCTGATAGATGAGAGACCTTATGCGTTTCGGACTAATGGAGTCTCCTGTTCACCGTTTTCTGTCTACTTCTATTGCAGAATGTGAATTGTGAGACCTTCAGCAAAGTGTTTGTTTTCTATAGAGGCTTCTCTAATGGTCTCCACCCCTCTCCCGTAGTACGAATTCTCCCAAGCTTCTCCCAAGCTTCAAACGACTATCTGGTCTGTCAGATTCATACTTTCACAGCTTGGAGTGGACAGGAACAGGAAAACATTGAAAATGACTCGGAAACGGTATTCGTGAATTGTGCTTCCGGGCGTATCCAGTCTTTCGAAGAATATCCGAAAAAAGGGGAATAAGAGTCTTTGGAGATGTGCGCAGGAACATCAGAAATGTAGACTGGTCCAGAATATCCTCCAGATCGGGCTGTCAGTTCACCCTATGTGTCTTTTGCTGTCGGCTTGGCCGGGCTATTCGTGAATATTTATGTATATTATTTACTAAAATAACCCGAGATCAATTCACATTTCAGAAGTGGCGTCCACTTGTAATGCTCTGATACTGTACATTTCAGGTGATGCTAACATGCTAAGCCTTTGAAGAGACAGCCACATAAAAGGTCATATCAGCAACTTCACAAACCGACGAATCTAGGATACCGATGATTCCAGGATATCCGTGACTACAACTGCTCAGCACTAGCAAGCAACCGATCAAACAGATCCTCCTTAAGCGAGCCACTTCCAACAAGATTCCCAACAGCCCCGGCAACAGCAGCCAACCTCTTCCTCTTGATAGTTTCCTCGAGCTCGGCACTCTTTGTCCTCGCAAGGTCGATCACTGACGAAGGCAGATTCGCCAACCGCGCAACATTCAATCCATAACTCCGATGTGCAACGCCTTCCCCGACCTCATAAAGAAAAGTGATATCATCATCTTTGCCAGACTCCGTGAACTGCATATGCACATTCCGGAGCTCGGCCTGTGGGAATGATTGCACCATTCGGGAAAGGTGCTGGTAATGCGTAATGAACAGTGTCAGCGATTGAATAGAGCGCACCATGTGGTCTAGCACAGCCTGAGCGATAGCAACACCATCATGAGTGGATGTCCCACGACCCAGTTCGTCGAGAATGACTAGGGACCGCGGCGTCGCTTGTTTGAGGATATCTGCTGTTTCCGAGAGTTCGACCATGAATGTTGACTCGCCTGCGAGCATGTTGTCGAAAGCGCCCATGCGTGTGAATACAGCGTCGAGAAGGCCTAGACGAGCTGATTCGGCGGGCACGTAGGAGCCGATTTGGCCCATGATCGCGATGAGCGCGACTTGGCGGACATAGCTCGACTTGCCGCCCATGTTTGGTCCCGTCACCAGGAGGGCGCGCGTGCCGTCATGGTCGAGTTTTGTGTCATTGGGAACGTACGCGTCTGTTAGGAGGCGCTCGACCATTGGATGGCGGCCTTGCGACACGTGGAGACAGGCTTCTTCGGTATATTCGGGTTTGACATAACCAGGTTGTTGAGCGATAACGGACAGGGAGACGAGGCAGTCGAGGGTTGCGAGGGATTGGACGCAGTCTCGGAAGGATTGGTATTGTTGGGCAATTTCTGCTAAGAGAGCTGCAAAGGCTTTGTCGCAGGCTGCAGCGAGCGCTTCCTTGTATTGGTCTCGTTGGCGGATGAGTTGTATGACTTCTGGTGTGTGGAAGCGGGAGACCTTTTTCGTGCCGCTGACTTTGACCCAGGAGGCGGGCACCTTTTTGATCGCGAGTGAGTTGTTCTCGATCTCAATCAGGTACTCGATGCCAGCGACTGTGGCGTACTCAACTTTCTTTCGGCCCAATTTCTCCTCGGCGACCTTGAGATGGGCCTGTAGCTCGTGTTCAATACAAGCGATGCCCAGCTTTTGTTCTCCAACCTCGTCGGTTTCCTCTTCTTCCCGGAAGAAGGCGTACTTGTCATCCTTTTTGGCCGCATACATATTGATTTTATCCAAAAAGCGGGTCACTTCTTCTTGGATTGTTGGCAGGGCCGCAACGGCTTCACTAAGAAGTGCTGATTCAAATCCCGTATCCGCTGGGGACTTAACATCTGAGAAGGCCATGGCGATCGTTTGCAAGGTCTGCAAGACTGTTAGGAGCTCTGGTCGAGTGCACTATCGGAAAGTTAGCTATTGAAGATGCCAGTCGAACAGAGCCCACATACCTTGCCGTAGTAAATACGGATTAGACTCTTCTCCAAATCACTCTTGATCTTGTTCAATAACCCCTTGATTCTCTCTACAGAGACAGCCTTTGCAGGGTTCGTCAACTCCTCCACAGCACTTGTCCTCTCCTCCAGCCGCTTCTTATCAAGCAAAGGTCTTCCGACCCATCTTCGCAACAACCTCTGCCCAAACCGCGTCTGCGTACGATCCAGGGTCCAGAAAAGACTTCCTTTTGCCGAATGGTCCGTCTGGTTCTGATAGATCTCCAGACTAACAAGTGTATTGCCATTCAGCAACATATGGGACCTCGCAGAGAACGGCTGGAAGTACTTCGTCAAGTCAAAGACATGCTCGAGCCCATACTCAGTCATATGTCTGATCATAGAAGACAAGCAAATCGTAACATGCTCCGGCAACTCGAGAACATTTTTCAACAATTGCGAAGCATGCACATCCTCATCTGTCCCCGTAGCTTTCATCTTGCCAGCATAGAAGCTCGAGACATGGCTATGCGCTTCAGCAGCAGCAGTCTTTTTCTTCTCGGTTCGTTCCAACCTCACTGCATCTCCGAAAACATTCATCTTACTCCCAGATAAATGCCGAACAAGCTTCTCACTAGCCTTGGACATCTCCCCGACTATCAAAATCTCACAAGGCGCGATATGCAAAAGCCGAGTCTCGATTTCACTTCGCATGAACCCATCCTCAAAATCATCATAGATCACATCGCCTGTGTTAGGCTGCACGGCGACGATTCCAACATGGACTCGCTCATCATTACCCCATCCTTTGGCATTCGACTCCGTGATGCAGAGCATGTACCCCGTAGCAGGCGAAGCGTTTCCAGCCGCCGGAGCTGGACCCTCGAGACCCTCGATATCATCAATGTATGTACCTTTCGTGTACAAGTTAGTTAACTTGCGAACGAAAGGAGCATTGCGATTGTCGCCCGCAGCCTTGAGTGCAGCGGTTTCGATCTGGCGTACCACGCCGACTTTATGGCCTGCTGTAATAAGACGCTTGACGTGGACGTGTAGTCGATGCACAGGAATACTAGCAGAAGCGAACCGATCGATGTGGGCTTCCGATGGATCTATCAGAAGTCGTCAGCCTTCGAGTCCCTGCTCACTTCGAAACCAAGTAACATACGTTCGTCGAACCTGAATTTCCCCGGAATGCATACAATCCCCAACTCTTTCGCCGCAATCCTTGCATCTTCTCCAAAGAATCGGAATTTATACCCGACCTCAATGACAAGTACCGTACCCATGTGTTTCCGCTTGATTTCAATAACCTGCTTCTCCATCGGAGTCAGCTTGTTACCGCCCTTCTTGGAACCTTTGCCCTTAGTCGGGGCGGGGGAGCCTCGTCTTCATCCTCGCCTTCTTCGGCCTCAGCGGCACCAGCAGCATCAGTCGATGCCGTGCGGCCAATTCCAATCAGACAGTCTGCGCCCCCAAGCTTGCGCACAAACTTCTGGTGGAGTTTTTCTCTTGCCTGCTTTCGCTGGATATCTGCCTGTTCATCCTCGGGTATGGCAATCGCGGGTGAATTCTGGAATTTGAAGATGTCGGTGCGTTGGCCGCTGTGTGGCTGGGAGGGTGGGTTTGGAGGTCTTTCTGGGTCCAATTTCGATTGTCTCGGTTCTACTGGTGTAGATGCGTTCGTTCTAGCACGCTTGGTAGGTCGCACGACCATTTCGTCCTCGTCTTCGGCTTCGGGCTCTAGTTCGGGCGCTGCATGCTTCGGATCATTGTCCTGAACCGGCGACGCAGGTCTTTTCTTAGATACACGTTCTTGGATAGCTGCTGAATCGTTCGAGACACTGGTCTGTGAGGATGGTTTTTGGGAGAAGAAACTGGAAATGGTCGCTTGCTTGCGCTTCAAAGACGGAGACGGTGCGGATGGCGATTGGGAGGAATAGGGTGTCATGGTAAAATGTGGCACTGGCCAGTCATGTAAATGGATATTTAGATGAAATATGCAAAGCCCTTCTCACAGAGCACTTTTGCCCTTTTTGCTCTCTTTCCGGAGCTCGACGCGTGAAACGCGCGACGTTAATTGGCGCTGACTCAGCTCTTATCGGATGCACGATAGCCTCTACTATACAGTTGATGGATCATATGAAGTACGAAGAAAAGTCATCAAAGAATCTATTGATAGAGTAATCATGATAACCACAAAGGCATTCCATCATTCGCCTTGAAGAGGGATACAAATCAATGCCAAAACAAGAGCTCCACGATTCAGGAAAAAGCCACAATACTGAGAGCTATCATCATGAGAAAAGGATAGGAGGGTGGTCTCTGCTCACACCACGGTATTTCAAATGAACAGAGCTCCTTCAAATAATATTAGCCAAGCCCCATCGATGTCTGGGCATTTGCGCGGGCGATATAGTCTAGTCGGCATTGCCATTCAGATACAGTCTGGCGAGTTCTTGAGGGTCGTCTTGAGAAATGGTCGCCTCAGAGGATGCAGAGCGTGTGGCCGTGGTCCAGTCAGTGCTACCCACTGATATGTTCACCTCAAACGGATTGTCGTCGTCGTAAAAGCCCGTCTGGGTGGACGGGGTCAGTAGAGGGTTGGAGCAAAACCCAAATCCTCCATGGACATTGTCACTTGCAAAGTCAGAAGCCCGGGGCTGGCCGAGGAAATACCGGGGGTACAGATCGTCTTTGGGACTACATCTCTTCAGAAATGGGGAGTTATTCCAAGAAGGTAGGTCTATGCGGCCCTGGGGATTTAGGATGGGCTCGATGTTTTCTTTTTCCAAAGAGGAATGATCAGTCTGGTGGGAGTGGTGAGCGGCTGACTTGCTTTGAATGATGAGTCGTGCCGGAGTCACTGTGTTCGGGGGAGCCTGACGGGCTGCTTGTTGATCTGGGGTATTCTTCTCATCTTGATCACCGTCGGCAAAAATAGCGAAGCCTTTGCGAGGTCGCTGTCCAAATGCCTTGGTGGAAAGAGCAAAATCATCATCCGGTTTGAAAGATGGTCCGAGACCTTGCAGACGAGCAGATTGGCGAGAAAGCGAAGAGCTGTCCTCATGCCACTCATAGTCAGCCTTATGCACTTGAGGGGTCTTCTTTGCTCGCTTGCGGTCTTGGGCACGTGGAAGGTTCGGGTCAGTCGAGCGAAGGGCGGTTTGTCGGGTACGTATCCTGGAGCGAGGCTGGCGGGGCTTGGGGACTGGAGTTTCTCCCTTTAAAGGACTGTCATCTTCCACATTGCCCGATATAACACGCTGTTTCTTCAAAGTTCCAGTGGGTGAGAAGATGAGCTCCGTGGGCTCCACTTGGGAGGATGTCTTTTCCATCATCTTCAATAGTTTACTGTCTTTCTTCTGATTCCGCTTGCGCCGCATCAGCTGCGTGGCCGAGTCAAATATATCCATGCCCGGCCACAGCACACCCTTAAGTCTCGACATTTCATCAGCCCGCTCTTTGTCGGCTTCGGCACTGTCCAAGCTCTCGCCGTGGCTTCTGGCATCGATGACTTCATGCGAGGGTTTGTTGCCCGTTCTCCAAGGTATGTCACTGTTTTGAAACCTGACGCGTGAGGCTGTTGGCGTTACCGGCAAGGTCGCAGTACGGATGCCTTCATCAACGCAGTATGAAGCACATTCATGCCACTCATCTCCTCTTGTAGTGCCCATTGTCTGTGATGAGCCAGTACCAATAGCTACTTTTGAAACCACCGAAGTATCAGTTGCCATATCTGTGACCGCGGTGTACCAGGACGACCCAGATGAGTCCTGACTATCAATTTCCAGTTTCACGTCGCCGTGATTGTCGACTGAGACGTGGGTCCAGAAATTCAGGAAGCAATAGACGTGCCTGAGGGCTATGATAGACAGGCTCGGTTGGGAAGGATATTTTCGGGGGTGGTTGTTGGTTGATAGCGGTTAGCTGGGGTGCGTCTTGGGCTGCAGATTTCCGTTTCTTCCTTTTGTCTTCCTTGGTAGTACTCCGGTCGGATAGCAATTGGGCAAGGTTGTTTGTATTGAACCAATGATCATATCGCATGAGTAGCCCAATAGCATCATCCTCCTGGTGGCTGCGGACTTGAAGTTTGAAGTAGAAAGACAGGTGTGCCTTGGAGGAGATATGAGTCAACAGATGAGATGTGTCGCTGAAACAGGGCTGCGCGGGGCAGATGATGCATTGGAGCTTCGAAGGCTCCATCGAACCAAGAGAGGGAATCGGTCGAACCGATTCGGGGGATAGCAAATGCAAAACGAGCAGGAGAAACTCCAAACCAAAGGCTGATAGTCAAAAGGGCCGAAGGAGCGATGAGGGCCGTAGAAGGTCGGGGCTGGACGAGAAGATGAAATCGGAATTGGGGAGAAAGGGGAAAAAAGGATCAGTGTGAAGTTACGCTGTGAACTAAGGCACTGAGAAATGGAAGGAACTTGGGAAGTAAAAGTATACTACGGCAGGAACCATCAGAACGTACGTCATAGAATGCGAATTCGGTATCACTAAGAGAGAAAATGTGCCACGATGTCTTAACAGCCTTCAGGCAATTGTGGGAGGGTATGAAGCGGAATAAGTCAAAGTGGACAACTGCTCTCCTCCTGCCTTGTATCCCCTGGTCCATGGGAAAAGGATCAAGGGTTATTAGATGGCAGGAGAATTCATGGTACTCGAGTTGAGTGATTGCTTTACTTCTTAAGACAGCGAGCTGTCACAGACTTGGGCATACAACTGCAGCTGGTTAGTGGATGATCACGCCGAAGTACCAGGGTCACATACTAGACAGGATCTACTTCTTGCAGTCCTTCAAAGCCTAAAAGGCTCAAGCCTGCGATACCGAAGTGGGTGTGGTACACATCAACCATATTCCCAGGACGGTCCGCAAAACCACCAGCTTCAGGGTCCTATTGGAGTCAGAGGCAGGTGGAAAGGAGTGTCACGGGAAATGTGCTCACCTGACACTGCAGAACAAAAGAAGCAAGCTTCTTGCCATCGATCCAGTGAAGTCGGTCGATCATCGCTAGAGCCGAACCAACCCACCAGGTGTAGCATGCGTCGACAAGTTTCTCTGGTCTACCGTTGAAGCCGCCATTGTCAACTTGACGCTCGCTGAGCCAGGCTCCCAGACGGTCCTTGTTGACCAAGTCCAGGCGTCCAGCAATGGTCAAAGCTCCAACACAAGTGAACACTTGGCCGGCATGAGACTCAGCGCCAGGGCAGATGCCATAGCCTCCATCAAAGTTTTCACAATTTTGAATATAGGTAACTGCTTTGGAAACATCAACCAGGTCTAACAGGCCTAGTAAGGATAGCGCATTGAGGGCTCCGTACAGGAACCGGGTGTCTGTCTCGCCCCATGAGTCTCCCATGAAGGAACCATCTTCCCGGTTCTGCAAGCTGGCAATGAAAGCTCCAACCTTTTGCTTACCCCCGAGGCCTCTCTTTTCCAGCTCATCGACCGCGTCTACAGTAGCCAGAATCTGGACTGCAGAGACCGTGTAGAGCATATGAGCATCATGCCCCGGGCAGCACCAAAGCCTCCATTGTCTCGTTGGCAGGAAAGCACAAAGTCAATCGTTTCATCCCGGGGTAGAGCACTGGGGTGACCCAGAAGATGCAAGGCTGTCAAGCCCCAGTAGACACCATTGAGCCGCAAGTGCTCCGTAAGCCAGTACTCCAGCTCATCTTTCCGCTATTGTCACCGTCAATGAACCTGCCCTACCGTCCTAGAGTACCACAGTGAGAAAGAAGCACGCACAGTGTCTAGGTTTTTGATGTAAGCCACATGCTTGAGGGTGTGCAGCTCCTGGTCGGTGCCTCCGGCCCGGCCGGGACCAGATACCAGGGACATTGTCCTGGCTTATCCGTCCCCTTGGAACACCGGGGTGGTGATTGGGCGGGTTAGTAGCTCCAGAAGAAAGCTTGTCTCGGAGCGGAACAAAGCTAGGGTGGATTAAGGGGGAGTTCAGATCATGCTGTCATTGAGCAAGGATGGGCGGGCCAGAAGGGCAGAGCCGCGGGTTTAGTGCCGCGAAGCGACTTTGGTGGCTGAATCGTGAACGCCAGAAAGAGGATCGCGCCGTTTTGACTGTGTGATCACGTGCGTTGCTGAGTCAGGTTGCCGAATGCTGATGCCTCAGGTATATGGACCGTGCGTGGAGCAGGCCCGGGCGCTAGTCTCAGATTATTTTGCATGCCCTGTTTCAGACCGGTGGAGGAATGGTGGATTGCATGGCAGGTACAATGGAACACAAAGACTGGAATGGAAAAGTATGGAACATGGCTCAGCCTTGTCCTTGGCGTTCTATTTCTGTGAACTGTTCTTGCCGAGAATACAGTTCGACGAGGCATCACAGGTGAGAAGTGGGATATACTTCAGACATGTCAGAGCCTGACCGCTACAAATATGCGACCAGATAAGCACGTATCTTTGTAATCTCTGCACAGGCACATTCTGCAGCCTTTCACTTACACCCTATCTCGGAGGATTCAAAAGGATTGGTGGAATGGCATGGCTTCGGGTCAGAGCAGGGTCAAGCCGAATAGCTCACACCTGCAGATGCTAGCTACTTAGCTTTGTCCTCTCCATGACCACCCCGGAGCGGAACGTACTGGAGGACATAATTATAGTACACGGAGAGTCCGGAGAAATAGGCTGCTTCGGTTTCATTCGTGCACCGTATTCCGATGGAGGCGGAAATGGAGAACCTCTTCATGTTTCTAAAATCAGAAGAAACCCCCCCCCACTCGCAGGATCAGGGCCGTGTGTGAGCCATAGAGTAGAGAGGGGCAGTTGGATATCTATCAGTGGGCAAAGCCTGAAATTGGGACTAATGAAAAGAGCAAACGGAATAGCGGAGTGGGGGATGTGGTCCGCTTGCAAGCGCCCGGGACACGTGTCTGACCCGGTATTTTGTAGGTGTGGTTTTACCCCTGACTAGTGAAAAATTGGATGCCAGCGCTGACCTCCAATTCTGTGCGTGCACATGTGAGATACGAGGTAATAGACGTCATCATCTCACATTGGACTATCTTCATGAGCTCGGGTACCTTGACCATAGACTGGAGCTTGGATCCTCAATTGGGCAAATGCCTTGATCCGCGCCAGGGAGAACCGCGGATGGCCCCAGGCACAGTGGGTATAGACACTCGGATTTGCCAGTTTTTTCTCTCGACTCCACCAGGTACAGGCAGATCGCCCAATCACTTCGCACTACCGCTGCAACGTAAGAGGCAAGCACATCATCCCTCCCGTGGCTCATGACTGCCAGATCCAGTGGCTCTGCTTCCTGCGGTGGAGATCGTCCCCCGGCGATTACGATGGGTGTGGTACCTTCGAGGTGTATCCCAGGTGTGTTTCTGGGATACACCCAGGACCATCTAGGAGACATCATAGCTGTAGTCCGTGTACATCATGAGGTGACACGGCAACACAATCACGAAGTTTACTCGAGGTAAAAGGATTAAAAAAAAACACTGGTAAACAATGTTCGTCCATTGCCACCCCATTTGGACAAGCGACGACCCTTAGAACGGAGTGACATCCCATCTGGGAATTGAAAATCGTATGCAATTAGAGTACTCTTTGCTATCTCGGTATAGGTACTGAGATTAATAAAGTGGAATTCCCCCACCGAGGTGTCTCTTCCCCGTGGATCGTCCGAATGATAAACGAGGGCTTGGCTCACCTTGCATAATCTCAGGACTCTTAGGAATGCATCTCCCACCCTCTTCCCTGTACATTCTACGAGCTTGACGACCCTCTGTCTGCTTCTGCTGCGCATCTCCCGGAGAGGTTAGCGCACGACTTTACTTTGGGACTGTTCCAGCGAACGCACCCGCTACACCTGCGCTAAGTCCATTTGGGGGCTTGGGCTTTGTTCTGACTTGAAAGTGGTCCCTACTTTTTTTCCCCTTTGACGTGTGCCTGTGTTGGTCTTTGCGGCTCTCCTTCTACACGCTTTGCGCGACTGCTCAAATCACCCGAATTTGTCGATCGCTTGAGCCGAAAAAAGGAGGGGGCCTAACGACCCGGTTCTTTGTTAACAATCGCCCCTCGATCGGCCTGGGGCTTCCAACTCGCTCGGAAAACCGTTGTGGAGGCATACTACGAGGGGACGCCTGGTGAGTGATTTCTCTGAACTTCTTTCGAGGCGCCCGAGAATGCGATCATTGTCTTCGGAACCCCGTACCTGTCCTTGTTGATAAAGAACATGGTCGCTTTGAACTCCGTGGCTCCCCCTGCGTCAGCCATCGTGACATGCGGCCTAGTTTTCTTTTGGACAGTGCTTCGCTGTAGGGATATGATTTTACTGACTTTATAACGGCGCTGCTCAGATTCCACTTTGATAATATCCTCCGAAACAAACTGCCCCGACCACAGTCCCCTACCTCGACCGCAGCCGATACACTTCGGGCTGAACAACAACACTCGGCTGAAGTGAGCAACTCGGAAAAGCCCAATTCAGGTAACGCATTCACATCACTGGAGGTCAACTGCGATCAGGTATAATTCAGCTGCAACCCTGTTCGCCTGGTCAAAAGCACGTTGCCGAGACAATCCTGCTTACAGCCCGACAAATCCGCACTTCGACTCACGCGCGTGACACGTCAAGCCTGTGAGGCCTTTTCTCCGATTCTCGTACATCATTGAAGGCCTTTGCCTTTCATTGTCGCCCAACATGCCCTCTCGGAATTCCACAGTGCCCAACTTGGATCTCAAGGCCTTACAGACCGACACCAACAATGGCAAACCCTCATATCCTCTCACGCCTGGTGGCCAGAGCTCCGACGGGCTCAGCCCCTTGACACCGAAGTCGCCAAAATCCGGTTCGAGTTCGCCCTTCTTCAAAGGTGAGACCATTCGTCCGGTCACGCAAGACTCGAGCTCCAAGGCGGCCAGTCCTACAATTCCAACGTCCCCTGGTAACTCAAACGCCGAAACCGCACCCGAGCCCTCTACACCCGGGTTTACTGCTATTCCTCAGTACTTCCCTTCTCCAAAGGACTCGCACAAGCACTCACGCGATGCCTCGAAGTCATTTTTCAGTACATTGAAAGCACCCAAGTCTTCACATAAAGCACAGCGCTCGGATAGTTCCGAAAACTCTACAGAACCGCCTAAGAGCCGAGGTAGCTCGAGGGACCGCAAATCATCAATGACAAAATTGACCGAGTCAACAGCAGACCTGCCCGGGACAATCACTCGGGCAGCAGAAAACGAGAAGAGTGGAGCTTCTTCTGCCGCTAAGCGCACTCAGCAGCCAGCACCGAGAAAGACTGCCACTGATTTAGATCCCCCGCAAAAGAAGGCCAAACCGCGGTTTGCAAATCTCTTAACGCGATCTCGATCTATTCGGGTTGATGACTCCTCTGTCAACAGAGCCGCCGGACGACGCCCGTCAACGGGTTTGGCCAAGTTGGAGGAGTTCAACCAGGGCGAATCGCAGCCGCAGCGGCCACCCCGCACGGCTACAGCCACCACTTCTACTACTTCAACCTTCAAGCCTACATCTCCTACAAAGCCTACTTCCTCAACTAAGACGCAGACAATGACATCGACCACGACAACCACACGCACCGAGCGACCCCCTACGCAAGGGGGCCTGCAGCCGCCCCCTCAGCGCCAAGCGGATGGCGCTTCTCTTCGAAAGGAGAGGAGCTACGGTGGCTCCATGGTCACGTCAGGCTCTTTGAGCCAGGTTTCTGGCGCCTCGGCCGCCATCTTTAACAATTTAAAGCAGTCCTCCAACGGTGCTGCGGATCGTCTTGGCAAAGCTGGCAAAGGGTTCTTTAGCAAAATCACTCGCAGCGGCAGCACCAATGAGCGGGAGCTCATCAATGATGATTCCTACGTTTGCTCCGTGATCAATCTTCCTCTTATTGATCAAGCAAGAAAGACACGCATTTGCAAGAAATTGGAAGATTGCAGGGACAAAACTGAATTTTGGATGCCCGCTCTTCCCTACCGTTCAATCGATTATCTCAATTTCAAGGGTTGCGAGGAAGAGGGTCTCTACCGAGTACCAGGTAGTGGCCGGGAGGTCAAGCACTGGCAAAGGCGATTTGATTCTGAACTGGACATTGACCTGTTTGAAGTGCCTGACCTCTATGACATCAACACAGTTGGCTCCTTGTTCAAGGCTTGGCTTCGTGAACTTCCCGACGAACTTTTCCCCAAGGCGACTCAAGACAGGATCGCCCAACAATGCGAGGGCGCCACCACTGCCCCCCAATTACTCAAGGACGAACTCTCCAAACTCCCTCCCTACAACTACTACCTCCTCTTCGCCATCACCTGTCATCTCAACCTCCTTCATTCATATGTCGATCAAAACAAGATGGACTACCGCAACCTGTGCATCTGTTTCCAGCCTTGTATGAAGATTGATACATTCTGTTTCCAATTCCTGGTCTGCGACTGGAAGAACTGTTGGCAGGGTTGCTGGACTGAGAGAAGAGTATATCCAGAAGGAAATGGAAATGGATGAGCTGGAGAAGAAGGCCGCAGAAGAGGGGGAAGCCACCCGGGCTAAGCCTGAGCCACCTCGTTCTGCTCCGCCCGCCGTCAGCCACGAGCGAGCTGTCTCGTCCGGTTCCAGCTCCAGCGAGAAAGCCGAAAGCTCTAGCGAAAAGTCAAAGGAGCAGCTACCTCGGCCGGAACCTTCCCGAGGCCGAAAGCCCAAAACCGAAGAACATCGAGGTTGGCCATTCAAGCCATACAAGAAGCATATCCCAGCTTCCCGAGCTTGGCCCACCACTTTCACCCATCAAAATCTAGAGCTTGCTCTCATCTAATATTATGAAATATTTCTCTTGATCTGGGCTTCTCGTCTAAGCATCTATGCAACTTATTTATTCACGTTGCGCTGAGGGTTTCATCGGCTGGACCGATCTATCTACGTCTAAGAACGGACATTTGGAATTAAACCACGATATACGATGTGGTTTCGGCTTTCCTGCATCCTCCCGGGTATTTGTCACTCAACCCAGCCCATTTTGTCTGCACCAGCATTGTCAGAGTGCTTGTCCGACGTCTCTGGTACCCATCCTTGCCACTTACATTCTCACGTTTGTATATGTTGTCTTTTCCGTACACTCTGACCCGGCGAATGGCGGTCTCATTCTCTTATCATTGTCCCTTTTCACGCGACTCTCATTTGGCAGCGCATTGGCCAGTCTGTTTTATGCTCTGCTCCTTCAGATTCCCCTCTGTGGCTTTACTTGTTATCTTCGGTCTACACATTGCGATCGGTTCCTGTTTCCTATCTGTTTGGCGTTTTCACTGGGATTTGTACAATAGCGGCCCTGGGAGGGCATTTCATTTTTCAGCTCAATGAAACCGATTTGGTATGCTTAATATTGATTCTCTACCTTATAAATCATGCCTGAAAGTATGCATACCGCGAAAAGAATATTGAGAAAGTATATGTGGGTGTAGATGGAATAGGATATAAACAATGCTTTTTAATCTAGTCATATGTCGACCGTCATGAGTTTAAAGGCAAAAGACCCTCGACTCCAAACCCCAACGCCGAGAACAAAGACACTTCTCAAAATGTACAGTAGTCCCTTTAAGCCATTACCACTATTTCTTCCCTGTCTTCGCACGAGCCGCATTCGACCGCTCCTTACGCTCATTACGCTTGATCCTCTCCTTCCGCTCAGCGCGACCCATTCCACGAATTGAGCCACCCTTCGCAGCAGCTTCCTCCTCCTTCTTCCATTTGCTCTCATCAACCTCCACAAGCCACTGGTTGTCGTCATCCTTGTTCTTGCCCTTGTATCCCCACTTGGGAACCCACTCGCCAGATGCCTCGTCGTAGACGAGCTTCTTGCGGCGCTCCTTGTCCGCCAGGGTGGCACCAGGTTTGGTGCTGAACTTGCCGATGCCCTTCTTACGAGCGAACAGCTCCCACTTGGTCGGGGGCTTGGGTGTAGGCAGGGGCTTGAAGCGGGGGAGGTCGGTGTTCGGGGGCGGCAGGCTGAGGAGAATGCCGTTCTGCGCAGACGAAGTGATGTTGCATGTTGTAAGCAGTTGGTTCAAGAGACACTGGGCGCCATCGCGGGCGGTGGCTTGGAGGGAACTGTTCAGCTCGCCGGGCGTAATCTCCAGAGGGTTCGGGTCGTTGACTGTCAGGTGGCCCAGGTCGAAGGTGTAGGGCGTGGGCTTGGAGACGGTGATAGGACTGGAGTTTCTGTTAGTCTCGTGCACTGTTTGGCTGCATGATAGGAAAATATATTCCATACAGTCTCTCGGGCTTGCCCGCGGCATCAGTGCCGTTGGACATATCGACGTCAGTCATTATGTCAAGTTTCTCCTGAGACTACTCAGAAAGAAATGAGAAGGGATGCTGGTAAAGAACAGCAAAAATGGAAGATATCGAGCTCGGCAAGAAAAAATGTTGGCTATCACCACTTTTACTTTTCTGCCGTGGTGACTAAGACAAAACAGACCGCCATCCTAAACAGGCGGAAGGAATTCAATCAAATTATTATGGCCGGTTGACGGTGTCTCTTATTCTCCAGCAATCGTCCACCACTCCCGCCCGATCCTTCCCGAATTGTCCGCTAGGGCCACTGTTCTTGAACAATGGCCTCCGCGTGGTGCTGGAGCTGTCTTTCCCGGCTGCGTACAACACCACGAGCCTTGATCCCGACGCCGGCCGCAACACCCCGGATTACCAGCGCTCCCTTCCACTCGACTGCGGTGCAATATGCCAATCCGGTGAAGAAGAAGAGCACTCTTGTCGCCAATAAGTACCGTCAGGGTCAGGTGTTGAAGAGGAAGAAGAAGACCAAGACTGAGCGGGCGCGGCCCCCGGCTGTTGGCGAGCGCAAGGCTTTGCGGAAGCGCATTGTACTTAGCAACCCCAATGCCCTGGAGGTTGAGGGCATGAAAGACTTGTCGCCTGAGACTATGGTCGATGCTCGTCTCCGCGGTACTGTTGTCGGTCTGCCTGTGGCTACATTGGATCGATTGAGGGCTGTGCAGGCTTTCAAGCCTAAGCAGGGTTGGTCTATATTCCGTCGGCCGGGTACCGTTCTGCGCCGTGATACCCTTGAGATGGGCCGACTCTTTGAGAAGATCTCCGGTGATGGTGATGCTCCTGAAAAGGGCAAGGTAGTCAAGAAAATCATCACGGGATCCAAAGGCTCCGGCAAGACCGTGCATTTGTTGCAGGCTGCGACTATGGGTTTCCTTAAAAATTGGGTTGTGATTACAGTGCCAGATGGTACGTCTTATTGAAAGGTGTTGGATTATTAACATAATCGCTAACATGTGAATGACAGCACGCGACCTCGTGTCCGGAGACACTGCCTACTCTCCCGTCGAGGGTAGCAATCCTACACAGTATGACCAGCCCAACGCTGTTTCCGCCCTTCTGAACCGCACCGTTGAGGCCAACCGCGAGGTTCTGTCTAGCCTCAAGGTCTCCCAGAAGCACGTCGGTTTGCCCGGTCTCAAGCCCACCTCGACCCTGGAAGATCTGGCCAAATTGGGCTTCCAGGATGCAGCCGTGGCCTGGAAGGTTTTCCAGGCTTTGTGGGCTGAGCTGAACGCTACCGCCCCCGCCCCAGGAATGGAGAAGAACTTCGAGGCCCGCCCTCCCCTGCTCGTTACCGTTGACGGTCTCGCTCACTGGATGACCGAGAGCGCCTACAAGGCTTCAGACTTCACCCCAGTGCACGCCCACGATCTCATCTTCGTGCAGCACTTCCTCTCCCTTCTCAGGGGCCAGTCCTTGAAGAACGGCGGCATGCTCTTGTACGCCACCTCGACCTCCAACAACCCCAGCAGCTACAGCCTCGAAGTCGGTCTGAACCAGCTGGCCGCACGCCAAGCAGGCATTGCTCCTACCTCAGAGAACTACCCGCAGCCCGAGAACTACAGCAAGCCTGATTCTCGCGTTCTGGACATTTTCAAGCCCGATAGCTCTAAGGACGCTCTCGAGCTGCAGACTCTTGGCGGTCTCACCCGCGACGAGACCCGTGGCTTCCTCGAGTACTTTGCCCAGAGCGGTCTCCTGCGTGAGTCTGTGAATGAGCAATCGGTCGGAGAGAAGTGGACTCTCTCCGGTGGTGGTATCATCGGTGAGCTGGAAAAGCTGGGTCGCCATGTGCGCACCGCTGCTCTTCAGCCCGCTGCTCAGCCCGTTGCTGCTGCGAACTGATGGACGTACCTGTTTCTTTGATTCGGCCCTTGATGTGGCTCGATGCTGTACTGTAAATGGGATGTTGGGCTTTGTTTTTTATGCTTCTTCAATGTACTTTACAAGTCTTATAAATCTCCTTTGGTTTCTGTTTTTGCGTGCATATCATTGCCATGTTACCTATGGACTCATGTTTTTGCCATTCCACCCGTGGGTATTAGGTGTTTCCAAGAGACCAGTCAATGCAGGATAATAGGCATTGTCTATGTAAAGTTCTCCGCCGGCAATTGACTGTAGTGGGAACCCGGGCACGCCGGTATTATCCAGTGTAACCAAACCTTGACTTCCAATGGCTTGCCACTTCTATAAGTTGACTCTACGATAGAGCACTCTCTGGCTAGCGATGAAGTGAATCTGGTCTCGCAGCCACGTCTGAAATATCGCGCAAAACCAAAGGCCCATCTTAGAGACCCCAAGCCATAAATTAATCGAAATTGCCCAGCCCTACAGGTTTCTCTCGATCTCGTCCAACCACCTCTGCAAATTCTCTTCAATATTCAACCTCACCTTACATGAAATTTATGTCAAGGACAGGAAATCGAAATTTCCTTTCAGTGCTGTTCTTTTCTTCTTGGTTATAACCATTGCTGCGCTGGCTGCAACCCCAGGTCAACAGAATTCCCGGATCTGATTGGATATGTACCGGGCCCTGGAAGGATCTATCTACTGCTACAGCTATATGCAGGACACAATTGCTAATAAATGCCCAGAAACTTCTTGTCCGTGGAGAATCAGAGCTAATAGTGTGTACAAGACGCCTTTCATAGTCCATATCCATTCACAAAAATTCCAACTTGGAACGCAAAGCCTCTCGTCCCCAATATTCTCGAATCCCGTCTCTTTGCCCCAATATCAAATCCCCTATTCATCAACCCTCGTTGGCACAATAGGTCTGACCAAATCAGGATAATCAAACTTAGCAGCAGAATTCATAAACCTCGAGTTACCAGGATGCGCCTCTTGCTTCTCCCCCGTGAGAAGGAATGTCATAGGGAAACCCAGATCAAACTCATAAGCCCCCTCGATCTCCTTAGTGTCATCCTCCGACAACTTCAATGCCAATGTCTCAATATTGTCCAGCAAATGCTCCGGCTTGCGTCCACCCACAATTGGCGTCACATACGGCGCCTTATGCAAGAGTTATGCCAGCGCCACGCTCGTGATGGCAGTGTGGTGTCGCGCAGCCACGCTCTCCAAAACTTTCGAGACAGTGATATCCACATCGCGGGGCTCGACCTGTCGTCCAGGATTCCCGGATTTGGCGATCTCTTCGCGCTGGGCAGCGGTTTTGAAGCTGCCACCGCCAATAGCACCCCGGGGTACCAGGCCCATACCTTCAGCAGCGGCCATGGGAATGATCTCACGTTCGAAGTCGCGCTTGGCGGCGTTCCATTGGCCCTGATACACGGAGAAGGGGCGAAGGCCGTGGTCTCGGGCATCTTTGGCGGGTGTTAGTAGGTTCACCTTTGAAACGGGAAGGGAAGGGGAATGTACATTGATTGGCGCGGCTGACTACCCAGGCGGGTGTATCGCTGACTCCGAGGTACAGAACCTTGCCTGCAATAACGAGCTGGTTGAGTGAGGTCATCACCTCCTCGATGGAGGTACCAAAGTCCCACCAGTGGACATATAGCTAGAACGAGTATTAGCCTCTCGAGTCCTCAATCTACAGAATGTCGGCTGAGCAAGTGACCTACCAAATCGATATAATCTGTCTTGAGCTTCTTCAAACTCTCTTCCAATGAGACCTTGAGGCTTTTCGCATTGTTGCCCACATAGTTTGCCTGGATCTCAGACTTGTTGAAGATGCGGTAAGGCGAGGTATACTTCGTAGCGAGAACGATCTCGTCACGCACGCCACGGGCTTCCATCCACTCGCCGAGCTAGGTCTCAGAATCTCCGAATTGGTAGTTGTTGGCCGTGTCGATAAAATTGCCGCCGTTTTCGTAGAACGTGTCGAGGATTTTGAAGGACTGTGTTTTGTCGCATTCACCGAGTCTTTCTTTCCTGTTTGTTCTTTAGGTTTAAATCTAGGTGAGCGTAAATGGCATATTTAGAGCTTACCAGCCTTCACCAAAGTTTAGCTCCCAAGCACAATGGGCTCACCTTGACACCGGCTGTGGGCGCCAGTAGACGGTAGCGGCCGAGATGGGATTTGGGAGGGGCTGCAGCTTGGAACATCGTGACCGGTTATCAATTGGTCGTTACGGATGGGTTTGAAAATGGGGAGTTTCAATTCTTCTCGGAGTCGAAATGAAACAGGGAATAGCGTAGTGACTAAATGGCTCAACCCTTTATGTATGCACCTGCGGGGAAATGATGTAAATGCTCTACACCGCAGGATCAATTATTAAGCTGGAGTTACTTGAACCCTTTTACCCGCTAAGTCCGTCCTATTTAGTATTGTGCTACATGACGCCGGCATAACATTACTGGGATTACTGGGAGACTGGTCGACGGACGAGAGTGCGTTTATCTCCGTTACCCCACTTGAGCTAGACGAGTCCGAATCCTATTGAAACTCGCGACCTCAGTAGAAACCTGGAAGCTCAGATCATGTTCATTAACAAACGTGTATTCAAGGTCTTATTCACATGTCCCTGGTATCCCTGCTCGGCCTCCGCCCAAACTAGTTCCTGTTCCTGTTTCCGTCCTCATCACCATATCTAGTTGCCCTTGTCCTTTTCTAATGGCTCCAATGTTCCTTCCTTTTAGCTCCAGCGTACTTCTGCTCATCACCACCATTATTGCCGGACTCGAAATCCTTCATTATCACCTTCTGTCTTTCATTTATAGATCGAGGAATGCTGTACCGGTAACGAAGGCGAAATTCTTTCCCGTCTCTTATTTTGGCGGACGTCCGCATAAATACGGGATTAGGCACTGATGTATCGTAGTCACAGTTAGCTGTTTGTGAGCTCTGGTAGGAATGGTTGAACATACACAGTGTCGGGAACAAGTGCTAGTGTTCGAATATCCGTGAGACATGCAGTTTCAAAGATATAAAGCAGGAGACAACAAATCCTGGGACTATACTGATAATTCAGAGTTTTATCGCACCATAGCCTGCTAGGTCTTCGAGATTGAGCCCGTTGATTAATAGCTTGAATGGCTCAAGAGGCCAAGGAGCCATCCATAGACCCTACAGATAATTTGAACAGGGTTCACATCGAAATAGAAATGAGAAGCTAAATTTTTTTTGACAATCGTAAATTAAAATAAATAAAAATAACCACCTCGTTCACTGTAAAAACTACCTCCTTCACTGTTTTGAGACGAAAGCGGTTCCGTAAAAGGGAAAAAGCGTCATCCGCGTGGCATCGCGATCATGTGGGGCGGCCTCATGGCAAGTGCGCAAGCTCGTCCCGCTTCCTTAACACATGCGCCGCGCTGTGTTGTCGATTTGGCCCTACCTTGGAGTTTCTCCAGGAGTACCTTCCTGCAATACCCAGCTGTATTCTACATTGCCATGATCGACCATGTACGGCTCGAATCAACACGACTCGCAGCCCGAATGGCGGCTGCCTGCACCTCCACGCCGTCCCGAGGGACAATTTGATGTCCCTCCACCGCAGCCGCCTCGTCCTCAGGTCGCTCTGTATAGTCCGGCAACATATGGCCAGATCTCAACCTCGCCGAATCCCAGTACACCAGTGTCTGGGTCTGCGGACTCAAGAACGTGGGGTGTACGATACAACAATCAACAACAACTACACCCGGTCTACGCCCCGCCGCCTTTGCCAGTAAGGACACATGTTGAATCATAGGAAGTACCGAAGCTGACCGGATTCGTCACAAAAGCCTCGGCCATCCAGTACAAATGAGCAGCCGTATGCCTATGCGCAGTCGCAAATGCCGGGGCAACCGCCGCCCCCAGGCCATGTTTATGAATCTTTTACCGACGCGCAACCTTCATCTGCTTCGAAAATTCCACCGCCATACGTGCCTCCGCCTGCATCACTACCGGCACTTACTAGTGTGCCACCTCCACCTCCAAAGATCCCACAGGACGCTCACCCAGCGGCACCTCAGGCCAGTTCACCTGTGCGGCCGCCGCTTCTCGCGCAAGGTGTAGGCCCGGCGGCCACACTAGGCTCCTATGGATTCCGGTCGAATACGAACTCGGCCCCAACGGGTCCATCAGCTTTGGGACCTGGCACACCTTCTGACTGGGAGCATATGGGTCACACGACAGCTGACTTTGACGATGCGGCCTGGTTCCCGGATAGGCCACCAGCGCACCAAAATCAGGAGTCGGTCTATAATGCGTCAAATTACGGTACTAGATTGCAACCTCAGTCTTTGGATAATACGGCCACCCCTCCTTCGCAGATGGAACCAGACCAGCGGATTCATCCACCCCCGGACATGGCTTCCCGCCCAGATCCGGTAAGACGGAATGATTCTATTTCGCCTATCAGTCCTGCAACAACATTCGGAAGCCAGCCATTAGACTCTACAGCACCGACAGTGACGGGTCGTGCGTCCTTTACTCCGCCGCCCCGTGTGGACAGCGTGAGCTCTGCTGGCTCATTCGGGGATCATACGGAAAGCATTGATAATGTAATTGATGCGTGGGTTCAACCGCTGTCCGCCGCGCCTAAGCTGGCTCAGCAAGCTCAACCAGCCCAGCAAGTTCAGCCTGAGCGTGGATGTCACATTTCTCGGCCTTCTTCCACCCACCAGAGTAATGAAGGAACTCTAACCGGAATTTCGAACCCCATTCAAAGCAATACGTCTGTGACTCAGGATCCAGAAGTAGTCGCAAGCACAGCGGTGCCAACTCCACTTGCGTTACATGGAGTCACCTCAGCTCCTAAACCCTCTGATCCATATGAGGACCTCGACCCATGGTGTAAATCCTCTCTCACACGCTATGTCGCGATGCTGCGCAAGGAGGCTGTGGCTGACTCTGATGAGGAGCGTTTCAAAATCTTCACGGCTTTCATGGCTAAGGAGACCAAGCTACGGGAGATCCTTTATAATATCGAGCATGATACTCAAGACATCTCGCCAGCTCCACGATCATCTGTGCCGACGCCTAAGCGCACGCTCTCACGCTCTTCAGATCGAAAGTCGACGATTGACTCCGGCTTGATACCCGTGGAATCGGACGAGGTCACATCACCTGCAGCTACAACGGAATATGGGGACGATATCGACGATACGGCCAGCGAGTTCAGCTCCGGAGGGCGACCTATCCAAGCCAAGTTGGCTTGCCGAGGCTCACAACAGCGGCCAAAGCTTTCGACTCTTCCCGGCGGAGAGGAATTAGCAAACGATTCTTCAAGTCACCCCTCAAGAAAATTCTCCATACACGAATCTGCGGACAGACATGTTCTAGAGCCCCTGGTTTCGAATCCCCCACAACCAATTTACACTCCCTTTCAGTATATGGAAGGCCCGCAGCGCGGCTCAGACAAGTTGACATTCGCCCGCCCAGCATATGAGGCCTATTCTGATCTTAGACAGTCAGCTGGCAGCGGACGCATTATGTCAAATGCTCCAGCACTCACGTCGCAGTCAAGATCAGAGAATGTGACCACAATTCCTGCTACTGATAAACATGATGAGACCTTTCTCGGTCTGATTCGTCACAAGAGCACGGCTTATCGTGAGCTTGGTCGCCCAGGTACCACACCAGTTCCGCCCTTGCCAGAGTCCCTTCGGCAAGGGCGACCAAATAGCTTGCTCGAAGAGCTGCGCTCAATGGTCTGGAAACCTTTGGATAAGCAGTCCGAGAGCTCGTGGCACATCACAATTCGGCAGGGCCTCGAGGAATTTTCGGATGACTTCTCGTATATTCAAGAATCTGTCGATAAGTGGGAGTTGTCCGCGAAAGATCGTCGTCACAGACTGGATGAGCAGCGCATGGTTCGGCAAGAGGAGTCCGAGGAGCAGATCGATAATCTTTTCAACGGAAAAGAGATCGGCTATGCCGATATCTATACGCTCGAAGAGGACTTCCGTCAGACTGAGGCTCGCGTTCAGCTGGACGAGGAACGTGAGGAAGTGGGAAGTTTCATCGCTCAAGTCTTCAATCCTCTGGATGAGCGCTTAAAAACCGAAATTTCCGTACTTCGCCAGTCCTACGATTCCGCACTCCGCCAGCTGGATAGAGACCAGAAGGGAAAGAACTCACCAACGGAGCAATGTAGTCCATCAGTGACGATGAGCTTGGTCAACGATATTCACAGGAAGCTTGAGCTCCGCTTCCAGAAGCGACTCGAACTTGCCCTGGACTGCGAGCGCCGTCGTAAGAAGGCCGAGCGTCGACCACTAGTTTTCATGGGCGACATGGCCAGCCTTCGAAAGCTAGACGGAGACTTCGATCGCATGGAGAAACGAAACATCCTAGAAGCTGCAAAAGACTGTGACGACCGAGCCAATCGACTAATGGATTCCTTCGATGATGCAATTCTTCACGGTCTTGGTGCGAACCAGGGTCTTCTGGACGAGCTCGCGAGCAAATTAGCCCGACTAGACCCCACGAGCCTCCGCGCTTCCGGTCTACCTGATGCTGAAATTGAGCAGGTGCTCAAGTGGGCAGCGACCTTTGCTGCCTCTCTTCGGACCGACTCGGAGGCCATCCTGCGCAGCTCGGGGATTGCCGATTTGGCACTTAACGAAGCCGACTACAATGTCGCCGTCGCTGAAGCACGGTATTCCAACTCGGAGCCAGGAATCCTCCAGCGGCTCGAGAATGAGAAGAAAAAAGAGGATGACGTGCTTCGGAAAGATATGGATTCCAAGGTGGAGAGCATCCAAAGAGGCCCTCGTGAAATAGAGAGTACGATCAGGCGTCTTCTTGAGGACTTGAGCATGACACCCCGGCCCCCAAATGCTGGGCCGACCTCGACATTTGCAGATAACTCGACTCCTTCGAGTCAAACAGCTGACGTTCCGCCGATTCTCGTGCGGCCTCCCACTGCTGTGCCCGCCCTACCTTCAGCTGCGGCGAGCCCAGTTCAAGACCTCGACGTGGAGCACAGAGAACGACTGCGCAGGGCACTGGAAGAAGCGAAGAAGCGCAACGCGGCCCGGGCAAATCACTAGACTCAACTTGTAGTTGCTCTCGAAAGCCCACACAGCGCAGCATTCATGACGCGACGAATTTCCTTTCATCCTAATATACCCCTTGACCTACGATTCAATTTTTCAAAATATTCCATGTTCTTTCGATGCATGCTTGGGTTTCATAATCCCGAGTATTTTTCCTAGATAATTACCAAGTGGCCTCGAAACAATATCACTCGGGCAGCATGTAGTCCCCCTCTTTAGCAGCGTGGTATGTGCGGGCTCATGCGCATCCACCCGGACTTTTTCCCTTCTTCCCCCCCCCCATTATACAAAGTACTTGAACGCTTTATTTTAATTTCAACACACTCATGCTCGCTCATAAACCTATGAATAGAGAGCTCAAAACCAACAGAACCAACGGAACCAACACTCAGCTCATGACGAAACTCTGCATGGAAAGGTGCCAAGATGCCTTGAACCTGAGGCTGTTTTCACACGCGGCCACAGGGTGGCTGCGATATTCAATTGGGGCCAAATCAATTCACTCAACAAGAGCGCACAGACAACTGTCCGACAGTCCAACAGGACATGTGCGACCACGAGTGGCCGCGTGCAGGGCAAGATTTGATGGTTAGGCGCTCGGGCACAGCGATTGGCGGAGGGGCTCGAACTGGGCAATTAGACGCCAAAGGTCGATCCCAGGCCCGGCCTCAACAGCAATTTTTCGAGTGCTTGGACCATCTTTTAGGAACATCGAAACCAGGAAACGATGATCCCCAGACCCAATACCCAAACCGACGGGTCTTGCGGTGCAGCATCGGGTTGGGGTCAACTCGCTTTCGCCCAAGGATCATCTATCCGCGGGCACAGTTCGTGCGCAGGAGTACCCCTCCTTTTTTCGCCGTCTCGTGGAGTCTTTGGGTTATTATCTGCCAATTGACCCGGAGTAATATGCAAGGCAGACCTTTGAATCACCAACGCGTGGGGTTCGATTGTCTGCCTTGTGATTTTTCTTTATGTGATTCTGGGACTAAACACACGTGGCGGACTTTGCCTAGGTGCTTTCATCTCATGGTGATCGAGGCTGCTTAGACGCAGCGTCGATACCGACTTTCGCTCAGCTTGGAAGGAGCCTCGGGCTCAGGATGCGCGTCCGACGATCGATCATTCCGGGGGGAACTTTGTTTGACTACTGTGCCATCAATTCATGTTGATGTCAGAGTATCTCTAGCCCAAAAAAAGGTGTGGCCAATTGATAGTGCAGACGATCTGAGAGCGGGTCGATGTGGCCACTCTCAGGCCAGCTCGGAGAGGTCGAGATTCCCCGATCTCGCCTCGCGCAGGCACAGACTGCGATCGCCATCGGGCCAAGCCTGTTCGGTCTGCGTATAGCACGGACACTCTGTTCGTCATGCATTTGCTTCTCCAATCGACTGTCAACTTGGGGTGAACATCTTGTCGCCAACGGCGTCTACTTTCCCCATGAGCGGAATGCTACTGGTTCCGTGTAGTACCAGTCAGTCATTCGAAGCCATTGTCAAGCTTTGTGCGATCAAGTACTGTGCTCGCTGCGCTGGTGAGGCCCTTCATTTGAGCTTGACTCCGCCCCGAAAGCCGACGAGGGGCCAATGATTCAGCCACGATACCCCAGATCGGTCCATTCCACACGATCTTCCTAGCTGTCTGTGCGCGGCTGCTGATCAGTTGTCAAGCATAATCGAACAGTTTTGGCTTTGTCAAAACATCATCCCTTTCACGAGCTCCTGCGGTCAAATTTGCGGTCAAATTTCTCGTTGTGCCCGTGCTATCACGACTGCAAGCCCCCTGATAGCTTCCCTAAGCGCTGTTGGTAAAAAAAAAATCATGGGTCTGCGCCGAGCCTGAAATTCGCATTAATTTTAATCGATTTGTTATTTTTTTTTCCTGCCCCTTACGACCAAGTGACCCCCCCAACTGTGATCCAACTTGAAGGCCGAGTTTCCTGGCACAGTCGAATCCAGAATGACGAAAAACAGATCATAGCTCGATGGCGGAGCGAAATATTTAAAGCGGGAGGGACAGGCCGATTCCATGGTTCAGTGTACCCGCTCCCGTCCATGGGTCGGAAGAACTCTACGACTTGGGAGTGAAATTGGGAATATCGCTACTGTGCCCCTCCCTACTTCTTTTTTCCCTTTCTCAGTATGGCGCCCCCGACGAGACAGTTGCACAGACTCTCTATCAGTCAGGCTATGCCGGCTTCCAGAACCCCCCGCGCCCAGGGTCGACCAGATCCCACCCAAGGCCATCGAGACGAAGCCAATGACAGCTCATCTGCCGAGAGCGAAAGCGAGGAGGAAAGCGAGGAGAGTGCAGAGAGCAGTGACAATGAGTCCGAGGGCGGATCAAAGGTCCGAGCCCATTCAGGCATCACCTACAACCTCAGTCATTTAGATACCGAGTCTGAAGCTCAGGCGATGGTAGGTCTGATGGGCGAGTTCGACGTGGTCAACTGCCGTGCTTCGTCCGAGGGTTTTGACTTTCAGCTTTTGGACCGGCCGCGCGTGCACATTGGGCCGGACTCGCCTACTTGTACCTGCTCAACTTTTCAAGACCGGCCTGAAGGTGCATGTCAACACATCTTTGTAAGTCATCCGTCGTGTTTCGAGGTGATCAACGCACCGGGGTCCCCGCTAATGCGTCTCCCCTATCCAGTGGCTCCTCGATCAGCTGCATGGCTGCTTTCTCTCTGAACCACCGTCCACCGAGGTAGCCTTGTCTCACGATGGCCGGCCCGTTGTGCGTCAACGCATCGAAGATCTCCTCAAAGGCAAGCTGGAGGCAGTGGCGAATCAGCTCAATTGGCAGTACCTCCGGGATGAGGGCGACAGCAGGACCAAAGCGATGACACGAGTGGAAAAGGTACGAGACGTGCTCTCAGCGTTCACCCCGACTATCCTGCCAGAAAATTTCCGTCCCGATCTCGTGGAATCGACAACGCCGGCACGCACTGCGGAGCAGTGTGTCGTGCAAGGTGACTTTCAAGCAACCATCTTCCGGCTAGCAGTACACGACGATGGCGTTCGCAGTAGTCTCTGCAAAGCCATGCCAGCCGGTGCCTGTGCAGCCATCTACTTTAACAAAATCCAGGATCATTCTCGCCGCCTGCTAGCCGACTTCGACAGGTATTGTGCCACGGGAGAAATGCCTTCGGATCCGAGTAGTCCTGGTGGTGGACCAGTACAGATAGATCAGATCTTGAAGGAACTACGCCGCTCAGTCTCTCGCATCCACTCGCACATCGGTTACCGCGCGCCCTACGGTTTCGAAGGTGCGGCCAAAGCCCTCGTCTTCATTCTCGACGCCATATCCTCCCGGCACAAAGATCCGCTAGATGGGAATACCTGGGGCCGAACTTCTTTCCAGGGTGAAGATGAGGACCAGCGAAATCTGTATCTCATGCTCATCGGAGATCCAGACATGGACCTGGAACCAGACGCCGAGCTATTTGTCATTACCGCCCTGGAAGCCCTCCCTCCATCTAACCTCTACCAATTTATCGAGGAGCTGCGAGACATTCGGGCAAAGATTGAAGTGAATCGGGCACCAAAGGTGTTCCTTTATCGACTAGGAGATTTGATTCGATCGGCGGAATTGGCAGCGAGTGCGTCGGGCCAGAAGAGGCCCGCGGCAGGGAATTCAGGCGGCCATTCTAAGCGGACTCGATGATCTTTGTCTATTCATGGCGATCAACAATTTGTGGATTTCTTCTGTTCTATTCATGTTCGGGCGGCCATCGTGTTCATTCATTCCAATACCCCCTGCATTCCGTCGCAGCGAGCCCCGAATTCAATTCTTGCTGTTTCGGCTATACCTTGATTGTGTTCCACATTCGATAGTTTAACTAGTCACTACCATAGCTTATTGAGTTGCTCCACCGCCACAATGATCTCATTAATCGACAGCCATGAAACTTGAAAGAGCGCTCTGTGGATCATTCCGCACTCAATCTATCTCGTCTAGAAGACCCGATGATTGCACCGAAAACAGTCATCTGTACCTAGGTAGTATACCCTGGATAACGTCATCCAAACCCAGTGGAGTGGTTTGGGACTCTGCATCCGCGGTCCCGGAGAGGCTCGGGCTGTGTCACTTTACCCGCTTGAGAGTGGAAGTAGCCCAATTCGAGCCCCAAATCCATGGAATCCAACCAAGGGCCGACCCACATCGAGCCTGCTAGGTGAAAGGAAATTGGTGTATGCGATTAAGCATGACTTCTGGAAATATGATCTTCAAGGTGTTCAATTTTCCTTGTGCCGAATGCGAAATAAGACTAAGATCATTGGTTGTATAGGTACAGGGGGGCTAATTTTGAATTGAAAATCATTCTTTACCACAACCCCACTCTGGCGAAAAGTGAACAATAAGAATCTTCGCCCCGATGGAGCTAACACGAGGATATGGGTCCGTGAATCCATCCCTCTCGTCCCAACGTGGTGTTGATTACCGGGTTTTGATGTGTTGTGCGGTCTTCTTCGCGGAGAACGCGGATCTTCGGCAGATTTATACTTTTTCTTCGGCTGCTAGTGACGTTATAGTCTTTTGCCAGTTTAATTGAGGAGATGGCGCTTAAAGGGCGATTTTGTGGATTGGTCGCTTGGTGCACGTGCTCTAGTTGGTGTTGACTTTTTTTCTTCTTTTTCTTTCTTTTGAAAAAAAAAAAATGTGTGCTGTAGCTTGTGATTCTGACTTGATGGGGTGGAGTGGGTGGAGTCGCATATTGACGCTGATTTTTGTTCCCTAGTAGGACCTGCTTTTGAGGGGTCTTTGTGGGTTATAAGATCCTATGGGATGAGAGCGGAATGACATTTGGATGTAGTTGAAATAGGGAACTATCTTTGTTTGATGGATGACCGCTTTTCTTGGAGGAATCTGGCGGAATTTACAGTGTGTGAAGCGAATTTCAATCCTGACGAGTTTCCAGTCGGGCCATGTTCCATAGTCCTCGTTATCTTCGCTTTCGTTGATGTTTTTCCCTCTTTCCCTATTATGTGTTCATTAATATATTGACTCTTCAGCTCCTATTTCTTTTTTGGCATGCTTTTTAGGGTTGATTAAGGTTCTGCTGCCATGGCACGTCCACCTTAGGCGGCTTACTGAATTCCATTTTGGGGTATTGAACTATCCCAACATGGAAATCTGCTCCACTATCGGGAAAATCATGGTTTCCAAGATTCTGTGTTTTCTGCAAATCCATGGCAGTTCCAATAAAGGCCGATCCTTCTGACCTTTTCGTTGCGTTGAGCTCAGTTCAAGGGACTTTCGAGAAATCATTTCAATTGAATGGTGTAGCCAAAGGCTCCGTGATCTTTCAATACAGCTAAATAGCAGTTGGAAATTGCAAGCGATCCAAGTGCCGCCTCAGGCTCGTAGTATGTCTAAATTTCTCCTGAATGAGCACACACACCAAACGACCCCTTTCAGAGAATGCCATCCAGTCCGCGTATCCCTCCGGAGACCATTTATTCTTTTTTGCTTCTACGCTAGCCTCGCAATTTATGCTACCGTTGTCTGACTCCTGTATGGTTTTTTCTTCACGCAGATTTTCTTTAAAAGATTGCTTGTGACACTACAAATGAGACACCGATGTCTGTGTGTAAGCGGCAAGTCATCATGAATCCCCGTTGCAAAGAACGTGGGCTTTGACGAGACACCTGATTTTACCCACCCACTTGCACTTGTTAATGATTGAAAAAGACATGCCGTCTTTGAGTTTGAGGCCAAATTGACTCAACCTGCCGTATCCCTTCCTGCTCGCATTTTTCACATGAACTTCTCAGAGGCTGGAAGCACCATGTCAAATAGCATTACGTAAGTCAACCGTTATGAGATAACTCAATGCTGATATCATGTCAAATTTTGTCTTCCCTCACGTATGATTTGAGACGAAATTGACTAAATTGTCAGAGTTATGAGGTTCGATGTCGATTACTGATTCTGCAACTTTGTGGAGGTGAACGCAGGCTCGACTGACTTTCACAGATCTGGGAGGTCGCATACTGGGATAGATGACTGGGCCTTCTGCGATGCTGATAGATTCCAATTTGCAATGTATTCTAACTTGGGATTTTTGTTTGTGTTTCTTTAAAACACAAACTTGGGAAACACCGTAGATGTTGCACTGTTTTGATTGTTGTCTTTGATTCTGCTTTACATATTCGTTCAATTCACTGAATAGACTTAGTCAGTCATAAAGGAGCATTGGCATCTCGATTTTCCCCAGTTGGGAGCGGGACCCACACACCTTTTTTCTCTTATTCTATGATGCTGTTAGTGGGGACTTTTTTCAACAATCAGGCCGGCTGGCCCAATGGCAAGGCGCTTGACTACGAATCAAGAGATTGCAGGTTCGACCCCTGCGTCGGTCAAATTTTTTGTCAAAACCCAATTCTGTCCAACATTGTTTCAATCGTTCGGTTGAATTTTTTTTTCGTAATGTAGATGAGAGCATCTTTATTTTGTTAGGGTCCTTTCTTTGATTTCCTCGTTTTATCAAGGTTCCGATTCATTGTATGGCGCGGTCGGAAGTAATTGGCTCTCGTTACCCAGATGGTAAGATTTATATTTTCAGGTGATCGAGTGGAACAGGACTGAATTAGAGTCAAGTTATCCATCTATTCTACAAAAAAAATTAGCCTAACTATAAAGGGATTTCCAACGCTATCACCAAATCATATATCTAATAGAAGAACAAAAGTACATCCCACTCATTCAAATATCCTCCCCCCATGTCTGCCTTTCCCCCCGGCCACGAAACGAAAACCCACTCGAGAAGATACTAGACCGTCGCTTATAATTTGATACTCTGTCTGTGGTTGAAACGGTTGAATCACTTCTCTCCTTTTTTCCAACCCAGCTGGCATTTAGCATAGGCTTCTTTGCATTCTGATAGAGCAACCAACAGATCATAACCAACACAGTCAAAGGCACCGTGATCCCCGCCCAAACCCACCAAACCTTCGCTCCGGTCACCGCTCCCCCAAAGACTCCCGCACCGACCAGTGTACCTGCAAAAGTGCCTGGCAGGAACACCATTGTCAAGGTGGCTATTGCATTCATCGAAGTAGAATCCTGCTTCATACTATGAGCAATCTGAATATTGTTCGCAGCATCCTGCTGCGTCACAAGATTATAGACTAGCGACATGGTACTGTCCTTGCGCTGCTTGTAATTCAAGAACCAAATCTTCTGCTTCTCCATTGAAGCGATGACATAGGATATTGAGTCTTCCGCTCGTTGGTAGATGAAGGGACTGGATCGTGGTAGTGATGGGATAAGCCGGGAGTGTGCTCTCTGAATAGCTGTGGCTGTGATGATGGCGACATCAGCGTTTCCAATGTGGGAATCAGCGTTCTGAGATATAATCTGGAGTTGTTTGGTGAGATCTCCTAGCTTGGCTCGGTCGCTGGTCTCGAGGCCACCGAGATGGTCGTCTACTTTGTTGATCTGGGTCCACATAAATCTTTGAAAGCGTTTGACGTGAAATTTGGAGGACTCGAAGGATAGTGTCGAGAGAATGACATGGATATCAAATGGATCGTCTAGGAAGACGGCTGGTTTGTGTGCTGTGGATGCCGTGTTGAGGGCTATGCCCAGGAGAGATTTTAGTGTAGTGATCGAGGTATCGAACTCTTTATGGGAAATGACATACGTCGTTAAATCGCGTGTAAGGTCGTGGTGCATGTAGACTGAAAGTGGAGCTCCTTGGACCTGAAGGTTCCAGCGAGGGTGTTGGCAGAATAAATCTGAACCAAGGTCAGTATCGTCTCATAGATCTTAACACTCTTTCCTACCGCAAGCCAGCAATCTACCATTATCGTCTGCCTCCCAATGAGTCTGCGGTGCCCAGTAATCAGGTCGACCGATCATGTTCAACAAGAACAATGGATTGACATCCAAGGTCTCCATTAGTTGCTTGGCATTGTCTAGAGTCATCAGGATGCGGGAACCGAAAGATGTATTCTCCATAGGCACCAACGGTAACAGACTAATTGAATTAGCCAGAATCTAATTGATAGTTCAAAGGTGAGTCTCTCACAAAACAAGCATGTTTCGGCCAGGTGAATCATTGATCGGAGGGGAAGAAGGTGTAATTGAGAATGACTTTAATACGTGAGTTGATGAAAGCGACTTCCAATGAGACAAAAGTACCCGGAGAAAATTGCTCATGCCATCCTCATTCAATATTGACCACTCTAGACTACTATCAGTCTCAAATACTCAAGTCAGAATAGCTAGTCCATGAGCTTACCTCCTCCCTGTGAATCAACCTTCAGACACTCCCACACGTGTCTCAAGCGAAAAATTTTCCTTTTTCTCTAGATGGCGATGACATTGCACAGCATCGAAGACCTGCTGGAGCGATCTGAGATCATTTAGAGGATAGTGGCCCGTATCAAGGTTAAAATTGAAATCCAGCTCATTGACGAAAAAGATCAGAGCTCTCAGCATGGCGATAAACATCATTTTGTGCCCTTGAATTCGGGCGCTGTGCAACCTCGGTCTGTACTAATGAGGCCTCGAGCTTTGAAAATTTGGTGAGATCACCAGTCTCGGCCTGATCAAGCGGATCTTTCCGGTCGGACATTCGGGTTTCCTCGATGGTGTGAGTAGAAGATACAAAAAAAATCAATGAGCCAGGTCATCTATAATGAAAATGGGATTTCGAGAAACACTATAAGGTTTAGTTTGGGGTGCGTTCGGCAGCAAAGTAGCTTCATCTGACCTCAGCACGGGCTTGCACCTGGGTTCAAGATACAGTTTAAAGCACGGCACATACGAAATGGGTGAACTTAGCGGCAGACCCCAAAACATGGGTACGGCTAGTCTATTGGTTAATTCATGCAGCTGGCCATTCCCGTGGCGGCATCACGCAGTTGTCACGCGGAGTGTCCCGTTATAGCAGGGCAAGTCTATATCAAAGCTCAGTTTAGATTCGCTGAATTATGGGAGTAATTGTGCACTATGATCATCTCCAATGAGGCTCGAAGGCTGAATAGTATGATTATTATCGGCCAAGTGACCGGACCAGACCTGAACTAGAACAGATGGGCGCCTTTCATGTTGTTCATAAGCGCTAATGACAAGCCACCCCGTATAGCAGGCTAGATTCTGATCATGGCCTTGAGCCAGCGAATTTGCTCCCTTTTAGCACGTGGCAAACTTATCATTGCAGTCCTTTGATAACATTATTGGACATGTACTCTGCGAGAGGAATTTAAATGCAACAACATGCAGTCTTCTACAATGCGCTATCATGATGACAGCCAGTTCTGCGCTCAGCATTGAACAAATACAGCCCACGAAATTAGTTGTCTCTTACTTCCCATTGACTTACCCAAAAAGCAAAGTGAACCAGGAAGAAAATAGATCATTATCCTCAAGTTCGCCATTGTGATTGAATATAAGAGTATACTTTTGCCCACCCAAAAAGATCAGGGGCTGTGCCACCCAAATTTCGTCATCGATCACCCTCGCCGGTTAAAAAAAAATATCTGACGAAACTATGTTCCTGATGATAACATGAAGATGGCCCCCAGATATCAGCCCCATCTGAACAGTGGGGCAGGTCCCGTGATCTCACCGAATTTGTGCCCCTCGCTTCTAAACTTGGCATCAGCCTCATTTATCTGATAGTACGCGGCGTTCGTCATATACTCTCTCTTCAAAAGATGCCTCTCAACCTAAGTTACGAAGAGATATGCACCAAATTCGACCGCCTCATCTCCAATGGCATCATCACCTACCAACCCAGCAAGCCAATCCTCGTTACAGATAAGGGGATGATCGTTCGTCCCCACCGCCCTGACATCCCCGGTACCCACTAATCACTGAATCAATAATCAATGCAGTTCTCATTCCACTTTGTTGAATCTCTCAAAACCAAACCTCAAGCTGAAGATGCCCCCCGAGACCACCAAATCCAGCATGATCAATGGCGTCGCTTCTCAGCCAATGTCCTTCGGCCCAGGGAGCGACATCGCAAACGACCACCCAGATGTCTGTGTTACGACGGTCAATGAAACACATTACCTGGTCATGAATAAATTTCCCGTCTTCAGACCCATGTTGCTGTTATTGACCGTGGATTCGTACCGTCGACAGCACGAGCCTTTAGAGCTTGATGACCTAGAGGCTGGGTGGAGTGCCATTTGCGGGCTGCAAGAAGAACATTACGTTTTCTTTAATTGCGGGCTGTTGGCAGGTTCAAGTAGGGAGCACAAGCATTTACAAGTTATTCCGGCACCAGGGAGACATGAAGGGTATGATGAGCGTTTCAAGTTCTTTCTGGATGATCCCGAACAAAAGGAGCCTGGGTTCGTGTATTTTGTGCAGAGATTCGAAGAATTGTCCGAAAGACGGGTAAAGGATGGTCAACAGTTGCTAGAAATCTATCAGAAGCTACTGCAGCAGGCGAGAGAGGCGCTCGACTTGTCGACGGATGTTGCTTGTCCTCACAATTTTGTTCTCACGCAGAGGTGGATGGTGGTGATTCCACGACAAGCTAAGGAGTACCATGGCATCACAACGAATTCGGCTGGGATGATGGGTTCAATTGCTATCTGGACCCAGGAGCAATTGGATTTATGGACGAAACTTGGGCCCATGAATGTTTTGAAGGGACTCGGGCTGCCGAGGGGAGATTGATGAAAATCGCGCAAAGATTGATCAATAGACTAGAAGTCATAAATGCATCCAAATAAACATAAACAATGTACAATTTGAATTCTCACACTGTCGTAGAGTTTTAAAGGTAAAGATTATGTCGACAATTCCAACACCACACGACCCTGCAATTTCCCTTCTCCCATCTCCTTAAACACCTCGGTGAGCTTATCCATCTTCTCAGTCCGGTAATGAGCCTTGATAATCCCCCTCTCAGCGAACTTAAGCGTCTCAATGGCCTCTGTCCGATTCCCTACCGCCGACCCCGTCACAGTCAAATGCTTATTGATAAAGGAGGATGGGAATGCCGACGCAATAGCCTTGGGCTCATTTTCCGGAATGCCCACGCAAACTAGCGTCCCATTAAATCTCAACAATGGTAAAGCCTGCGCATACGCCGCATTCGCAGCCGTGCAGACCACCGCAGCGTGGGCACCGAGCCCATCCGTCAACTCATGGACATGTTTGGTCAAAGCTTCGCCCTTGTCGTCTGAGGGGAACTGGGTAATATCGACGAAATGTTCAGCCCCGGACGCCTTGACGAGCTCTGCTTTGCTGCCATGGTCGATTCCAATTACACGCAGGCCCATGCCTTTGCTGGCGAGCTGTACTGCGATGTGGCCTAAGCCGCCGCCGGCGCCGGAGATGATGACCCACTGGCCTGGGCGAGCGTTGCTGCGCTTTAGGGCCGAGTAGACGGTCACACCGGCACAGAGCATTGGGGCGGCTTCAGCGGACTCGAGACCATCTGGGATGGGAGTTACGTAGTTGGCTGGACCGAGGGCGTATTGTTGGAATGTGCCAGGGGTGTAGTAGCCTGACACTTTTTGGTTGAAGCATAGGCCGTCAGATCCAGCTTGGCAGGGCTCTAGAATTGTGTTTCAGTCAGGTGGCATTAGTGATAGGCTTAGGATGAACATACGGCAGCTTCCGCAGGCACTGGAGACCCATTTGATGCCGACTCGGTCGCCGAGTTTCAGGCCGGAGCTTTCTGTGCCTGCGCCGAGCTTGACAACCTTTCCTACACCTTCATGGCCTCCTACCTGACCAGGCTGGGTTGGAAATGGAAGCATGTCCCACTGCATATGATTAGATTGCTAGTATTAGAGACTGGAGGAAGTATGCCATACTGTGTTGGTCATGATCCCATAGTCAGAGTGGCACACGCCTGAATGAGTCCTACAGGAAGTCAGTCCCTCAATCATGGATGTTGAGTCAAGTTCACGGACAGATTGATGAGAACCTCGCCTGCACCTGGCTCTGGTACTTCGATTTCGACGATTTTGGTGGACACGGTTCCAGGCTGGTCATAGACTGCAGCCTTCTGAGTCTTGGGGATCTCCGGAGCAGCCATGACTGTCATCGATGAGTTACGAGTAATTGGAATTGTAAATGTTAATGACTTGGTTAGTGAAGTGAAAGAAGGAAAGAGCCTCTACGAAAGCCGGATGACAAGTGAACCCCTCTGCCAAGTGAATGAGGAGAAGGGCCCAGGTGGAACGTTCGGATCGCGGGGTAATGGACGAGGCACCCATGAAGTCGATTTGCAAATAGGCCGGAGATCTGGTACAAACTAAAACCTTGAAATGGTGAGGCCGGGGAGATGACAAACATAGTGAGGGGGTGCAGTGTGGAGACATCTTGTGCCTCGGTCGGTCGCATTGTGATTTTGAGACGAATTCAAGATAAATACATGCCCGATTTGAACTCTAAGAGACCCGGGTGATAAATGACACTGGAATTGAACAGACATCTGGGTCTTATAGACTTACATAGATCGATGCCCCAAGGTCCTCGAAAAGCTGCTCTCGTGGAGCACCTGCGTCACAGGGGATTGACCCCAGCATCCCCGCAAAATGTAAAATGAGGGGCCGCGAGCACGCACGGTTGACCCAGTTTAATTTATGAATGTATAGAATAAAGCAATGGGAATTGAGCATGTAATTTCGGGACAATCTCCCTATGAAGCCTCCTTGGTCGTGCATTAGAGAGTAAATTCCAGCAAATTACCCGCATAATCCCGCGCAAAGAATCGCTTCGGATATTCCTTTCCCTTCCTACCTATCCCAAACACAATTAGTTTAGCCTTCCAGCCACTATTTCAATAATGGACCAACGTACCCGAATCCGCTTCCCCGGGCTTGTCAGCAGCCATCGGCGCCGCCGGGCCCCCGCGCATCTTGTGATCATAAATTGACTTCTTAATCTCCTCTAGCTCATCCAGAGACGGGAGTTTAAAGCAAGGGTGTCGTGAGTGCTCTGGATCGGTTGGGCCTTCAGTAACGTGGATTTGTTGTCCGCTGAAGCCGATGTTGAACCTGGGTGGGGTAAGTCGATTAATACGGCTCATCATGCACTATGTGATAACGCGAAAAAGGGGGGTCTCGCAATATGGATGGGGAACTTACCACAGAATAGTGCCCCTTTGTAACTCTGGTACAGGCGCCAGTACTAGGCCCAATGTCTTAACGTAGAAGTCCTCCGCCTGGGGCAACGTCCCCGGGTGCACAGTGATGTTGACGTGCGCGATTCCTGAAATCATGATGAATGATAATACTACTTCAGGATAATTTAGAGTCTTAGACGAGTCAAGATGACAATAGCGATGTAGGCTGCCCGCCCCCTTTTTATTTGCTCCGCGATCGATGTCATCCCCGACAGCGGATCGGAAACCAGATCCCGGTTGTGATTGGCTGACCTTTGCTCCGCCATCGCTGACTCGCAACTCGCTTTGGATTGGTTTCGTCGAGGTCTTGCGTGAATGCGGGACCTAATACGCATGTATACAGCTATCAACGGAGCAGCACTGATAGTTGTATGTGTGTTATCGATTTTCCTGGTGCAACAAGAAAATGTGGTGATAACGGTGGAAACTGTATGCCGAGTGATCGACTGCATGGGGTCGGGGATGAGCCGAGGTCAGACGATGTAACGATCCACTAAGTCTAAATGCTTTATGTTGGTAGACTTGAACACAGGGTATTTCTTCAAGGTGCATGGATGTATGGCGCTTATATAATGCATAAGCCTATTTTGGAACAAGGGCTCAAATAGCTTCACTAGAGTTGCAAGTATAAGACAAGCAAGGGTAAATACTAGATGCTATACATGAATTGGGAATCCAGATTATAATGGTTACCGGACAACCAGAATCGATCCAGCGATTAGAAAAGAGAGCGAACGATACGCAGAGGAGCCGCCTTGAACCACTCGCCCCAGGTGGCATACTCCACCTTGGGCGGTAGGTCAACATCCAGGGCACCGTCCCGCATGTTGCTCAAGATATCAATCTTCTCCAGCGGGACCAGCCAAGCCCCTCGGTCAAGCGTAGGGTCTTTGTTGAAGTGGGTGTAAACGACCCAGCCGATGAAAAGGAGGATAATCACAGGCGCAGCGAGATAATTCTCGAAGAAGACCTCGGCATCCTTGGGAGCAATGGAGACATAGAACTCGGCGATCAGGCACAGACAAGCGAGGAACACACCGATCCAGCTACCAATGACACCGAAGGGAGCAACAAAGGCAAGTTCCTTGATATCGCGACCGTGGTATTTCCATGCCGCGCGGAAACGAATGTGGGCATAGCAGATACTTCCCCAAACAAACAAGGCGCCGATTCCGGACAAGGCAAGCAGCCAGTTGAAGATGACACCACCAGTGGCAGAGGCCTCGTTGATGAAAGCGAGGAAACCAAAGGCGATCTGGAGAAGAACACACCAAAGGGGACGACCGGCCTTGTCGATGTAGGCGAAGAACTTAGGAGCCATGCCACGCTCGGCGAGAGCCTGAATCGTGCGAGTAGAGCCAAAGGTGGCGGAGTTTGCGACACTAATGACGGAGATGGTGATGACAGCGTTCATGACCGAGGGCAGACCACTAATACCAGCATTCTGGATGGAGACGACAAAGGGGGGAGGCCTTGGTGTTGGAACCGGAGGCACCAAGCAGGTAGTCAGCGTTGCTGGGGACGATCAAGCCAACAATGAAGGTGGAAAGGAGGTAGAAGACCATGATACGCCAGAAGACCTGCTTGGTGGCTTTGGGGAGCGACTTGGCGGGGTTGGCGGCTTCGGCGGCGGCGAGACCAGCAAGCTCAGTTCCACTGAAGGCGAAGGCGGCGGTCGTGAAGACAGAACAGAAACCCTTGAAGGTGGTGAACGCACCCGGGTCGTGCCAGTAGTGAGCTCCAATGTATCCGCCCTTGGGGGCACCACCGCAATCGATCACGACTCCCAGGATAATGAAACCGATGACAGCGATGACTTTGATGAGACCGAGGACGAACTCCACTATGGTAAACATGGGTTAGCACAGGCCAATTTCTATCAATGAAGACACTTGTCTTACCTTCACCATAACCACGAACACCGAAGAATTGAATGGCTGAGAGGACGACGAGGAATACCGCCACCCAGATACCCATATTCAAATCATCTCGCCAAAATTTTATCGTCAGACTCGCAGCAGTAATTTCAAATGGTAAGATCACGAGCCAACTGATAGCATAGTCCCAGCCGACGGCAAACCCCCTGTATGCAGTCAAGAATTAGTCAGTGCTAGAGGTAAATCAGTGATAGAAGTAACTCACCAGGCGGGGCTGATGAAGCGAACACAGTAAGAGAAGAAAGCACCGTTTACGGGGTAAAGGACGGCCAATTCTCCAAGAGCCTGAATGGTCAAGAGAAGGAAGGCACCAACGATCAAGTAACCCAGAGTCTTGACAAAACCGGTTAGTTGAGTTCGATTGATGGTGTGCTCAGTGTAACAGGAGGACATACCAGAGAGCCCGGACCTCCCGTCTGTAAAGCAGAACCTGTAGAGACGAACAAACCAGCACCGATGGAACCACCTAAAGAGTTCTTCCATTAGCTATGCTGCAAATCATACTTCTAGCAGTGAAGGGGGGGAACGCATACCAATGGCAATCATCTGCATATGACGTCCCTGAAGGCTACGCTTCAGAGGGTTTACCTCTCCAACACCATGCTCATCAGCCGTGGCCTCGCCATAGGCAGGCATAGTAGCGTCGGAAGCGGGCGCGACAGTAGTGGCGCCCTTCTTCTCAATGTCTCCATCAGAGGCCGACATGTTGCCGTGAAAGTAGTATAAACACGAATAGACCAAGAATAAGGGGTCAAGCTTGGCTGGGAGCTGGAGACATTATATAGGCCTGCGGAGTCTGAACCCATGGCGATCCAAGGTTACTTCGGGCGTCTGGGCGTATTCTCGAAGGGAACAAAAATGCACGCCACGCGGTTCGGGACAAGGTGCTCAGACCGTTGCAATGGCGAGATAAGACTCGTGATAAACGCAAGGCCCAGACATCCTGACCAATTGACGACTACATTTTGTGTGAGTCGGAGGCTTATCTTTATGTCTCTACGTCCCGTGAATAGCCGGATTGGTCTGGTCAGGTTCGAGGCAAATCTCTCCCGGATGTTTATTTGATTAGAATACGGGGTCGCCTAAAATATCTCCTAATCCTAAAGAGTCTGGGGAGGGGGGAAGCCTGGGGAGTTTAGGGAAACCCTAGGAAACCTTATAGCCTTGAAAAAGAGTTCTTGCTACAAGGCCGTAGTACACGGGAGATTGCAGCCGATGCCGTTGGACGATCGAGCAGGTGATCCAAGTAGGCAATCGCGAACCCCGAGCGTCCCTTCTTACAAGACAGAGGCAATGTTGGCGATAATGGCCAGACGGATTCCGAGTGGCGATAGTGGGCGCATGGATGATTCTTGGGCCAACTGGGGGCAAGCAAAGATAAGAAGCTGAGTCCTCCCCTGGAAGCAACCAAACAGAATCACAGGTTCATAGTGGCCAAGGCGTCAATAATAAAATGACAAGCTAGGACAAGCGTCGGCCCCGCAATGGAGTACTATGGGGCTCAGGTCGAGGTGGCCACGCGAGTTTAATAGGTTACGGAGGCATGCCTCTTATCGCCCACCAATGACATCGGTATCCCCCTCGATCCTCTGGTAGTTGTTCGAAATGACGAGGAAATAAAAGCCGACCTGGCCCCTCACCGACCAATCTTATTGCCAAACACATTAAGCTTCGGCCCACATGCCATATTGGGCTTGTCTATCGTGTTTATCGGTCTATCATCTGAGGCTACGGTGAATCCCCCTCACGGGCGCTACGTTAACCATATCTCTCGGAGCGCGGATATGTCTAGCATTTGAGACAAGGAATTTGTTGAGAAGTTTAGTTCAACTCCGTAATGGAAACCTGATTATATTTAAAAATGGAAATCTACGATAAAGGAATTGCATCCTTATCTCCTGCTGACGATTTACAAGAGTTTTGGCGCCCAGCATTCGCATCATCAATCATGGACATCATGTGAAGTGTGCCAGTCGAGGTGGTGTGGTTCGTAGCATGAAACTATGTTCGAATATCTGGAAGAGATGCTTAGCGCCATGCAGAAAGCCTCCAAGAACGACACAAGCCAACCCGCCCCTGGTAATTCGGGGTCGATCTCACCTCTAAACTCGGATCCCGTTCCGGCTCTTCAAGCCATCACGTCTGTGCATATGCTCAACATGCTCCCGAGTCGCATGATTGATAATAGACCAAACCACGTATCTGGTATCGCTTTTCAAGTGATGGCAGACTGCCATGGCCATTTCGGCCTGGTGGGGCCCATCGGTTCAGCGACTAGAAACCGCGAAGATGCATCCCGGGAGCAACAGTCGAGGTGGTTATCATAGTCTCAAAACATATAGGAAGAAAGCGAGAGGACAGGAAAAGAGTTCACTCTAAGATTCTAGAACAAAAAAAGCCTGAAAGTAGACTAAAGTTTGCATCACACCATCTCTCGACACTAGTCTTCGACCAACGCATGGAATGTTCTGTGAGATTGCAAACTACCAAAACACTAATTATGGAAACTTAGTAATCGAGCACTTATCGTACGGCTCACTGTGTGTTCCTGCTGGTGCTTTGATTGGGCGCTTGAATTAATTAGGAAGGCCGGTCAAGGATTGCTAGTTGCCAGGTTGCTAACGGGATGATACCCCTGCAATGGCCGAGTTCACAACGGTTCTTCGCCACTCAAGGGCTAGGCTCTCTCCTTGCCACCCAATCCGGGAAGAGCGGATGTAGGCAGCTGGGAACTATGCTTATGCTCGGTACCTCAGTCTGCCTTGAGTCTGACGCTTATCGAATTGAGGCTGATCCTTGAGCCTCACCGTAAAATGCAGAAACCAGACACCAGAGAAAGAAGAAAAAGTGACACAATCCCAGAGCCAGGAAGTTCCTGGGAGAAATCGGCACATTTCAGAGGGAGAGGAGCCCGGGGCCGTTTCAGAGACAGAGGCGTTCGACAACCAATCAGTATTGAAAATCGTTTATATCCAAAATGAAACTAGACGATAATTGAGGCGATGTAACACGAAGCTTTTAAAGGCCAATTCCAGTCTTAAATAGAGGATAGTGAAGGGGAAGGAAGCCGCATCTAGAACGTTAAGCTCGAGGATTGTGAATGTCTCCAATACCTCACAAATACAAAGTCAAAACTGTAGACTAGTTAATAGGCTTGGAAATTCAGGAAAATTCAGACGCCAGAGGCCAATTATTGCGTTGAGGATTTACCTAGATCTACATTTCAATGATGACTTCCCCTTCAGCCGAAGGTTTTCTTAAATCAGCTCTTTCTACTTCTCTTTCTCTCTTCTCTCTTGTCCCCTAGATTATTCCCCACGCCATCGAGACTACCCGAGACAGGCCCCCTCCACGATCTCGTGACACAGCAACAACACGTTGAGGAGAATCCTGACACGAGGAACGCAAACGAAGCGATGGAAGCGATGAAACCAAAGTTCGGGACCAAGGATTTCATCATCACCTTATTGTAGGAGGCGATGTTTTTGCAATAGGACGAGTGCACTGTTCTTCTCGCACAGCAGGTTTGCAAATCACAGGTCAGCCTTGTCAAGACCCCGTCAGGGCTACAGAAGAAGCTCGTCCTCCGCACTGATCGCGATAGATTGAAGATAAGGAACCGCTTCCATGGCAAGAGCTTTTGTCCTCCACTTATTCTCGCTACATCGCCCTTACTACACTGACTCGTTGGCTACCTCAAAAGATGAACAGTCCCAGAAGTGGCACCTTGCTCAGTGTGATGGAACATGCGTGAAAGCGCTGTTCGAGTTTTGAAGAGTCGCCCATCGAGATTTCACGAATGAATTTATGCCAAACGTGCCCCTGAGCCGGCCCTACTTACACTCGATATTTAAGCACCCGAATTAGAACCCTTGGAAGACTCGAGATTTGTATTTCGTGGTGCGTACCTCATACGATAGCTAGGGTTACCGTCCTCCCCCTATTTGAATTTGGGTCTTCACGGGGGAGTTTCGTTATCAAGCTAGAGCACCGGGACAAGAAGAGATAGTCAGGGAGTCAGATGGCTGCATTGGATCGTTTTGGCTCATGCGTGCAATCATCCATCATATCATTGAATGGCAGAGACGCGTCTTGAACACGGAGCCTCCATAGCAGGCGCGTAATCGGGCTCAGGGTCGCGGCAGTTAGTTATATACCGAGGTGGAATCAGTAGCCCGTTAAGGGAAAACCTGGAACGCTGGAATGCGATTAATCGGCCAATGCCGAGGTCTGAGCCCACAGGGTGTCTTTGAATGGCTCTTCAGCCTGGCACTAGATGCATTACCTGATTGGGAATACCGTTCCCGTGCCCCGTCGCGTGTCCATGTAATGTTGCTGCGTGAGCTGAAACCCCCCTTCTCCACGCTTACGGGACGTGACTGCCTCTATAGGCGACGGTTATCATGATCACCGCGACCCCAGATAAGGCGCAGAGGCCATCTCCGCCACACCTCCGCAGTGATTCCCTGGGCGTTATTGTGGGCAGTATGGGGGGGGCTAACCGGTTTTGGGGGAGAGGAAGCGAAAATGTGGAGAGTCTTAGCGAACGAGACGGCCTCGGCAACATTTAAAACCACCGGGAATGTCCCCCTTGCTTTTCCGATCCCGAAAAAAAGTCTGCGGTGTATCTTGTCAGCTACTGCATGATAATGCTTGGTGGATCATAAGCGCATCTTGGTTTATCTTACGCCTAGGACCCGTCTCCGTCTTGGTCTCCGGATCTCCACCATGGAAAACAAACATGTACTCGGCTCAGCCGACGACCAAGCCTTGGCCCGACTGGGCAAGAAGCAGGTGCTGAAGAGACGTTTCGGCTTCGTGTCGATCGTCGGCTTCGCGATGGCCGAGCTAATCACGTGGGAGACCGTTTTGACGCTGTTCTACCAGTCCTTTGAGAATGGTGGTCCTGCTGGTGCCTTCTATGGTTATATCATCGCATGCCTGTCGACCCTGTCGACATATACTGTTATATCCGAATTGTGCTCCATGGCTCCCATCGCAGGTGGCCAGTATTACTGGGTTTACATGCTTGCCCCGCTGCGGTATAAGAAAGCGTCTAGCTATCTCATCGGTTGGCTTACCTCCATGGCATGGATCGCGACGATCGCCACCGAGACTATTTTTCTGGGCACGATGATCGAAGGTCTAATCACGCTAAATAACCCCGATTTCCCGCAAAAACGTTGGCAAAATACCCTGTTGGCCTGGGCGAGTGTGGCAGGTACCTTCTTCATTAACGTCGTGGTGCCTGGAATTCTTCCTAGATTCAATATCTTAATGCTGGTCTTGCACTTGGCGGGTTTCGTTGCCATTCTGGCTACTCTGCTCGCCATGTCGCCCAAACAATCATCGGAGTTTGTCTTCCATACTTCCCTTAACGAGGGTGGTTGGCCCACACAAGGCCTGTCTTACTGCGTGGGCTTCATCGGAAACATCGCGACGTTCGTGGGCGCTGATGCAAGTGTCCACATGGCCGAGGAGGTCGCCAATGCCGCAGTGGTAATCCCCCGCGCAATCATTACGGGAATGACTCTCAACAGTGCTCTCGGACTCGCCATGATGGTCACAATCCTCTTCTGCATCGGCAACGTGGATCATGTTCTGAACTCAGCCACAGGGTTCCCGTTCATCCAGATCTTCTACGACAGCACCCAGTCCTACACTGGCGCCTCCGTCATGACAGCCCTCATCATAGTCTTGACAGGCGCCTGTTCCACCGGAATCACCGCCACCTCATCTCGTATGACCTGGTCCTTTGCTCGCGACAAAGGTCTCCCCTTTTCCCACTACATCAGCAAAGTGAACCAACGCACCCAAGTTCCCATCGTATCTGTCACCGTAGTCTGCGGATTTGCCTGTGCCCTGACTCTCATCTACATCGGCTCCGACACGGCCTTTAACGACGTCATCTCCCTGACCGTGACCGGATTCTACGGCACTTATTTCCTCCCAAGCGCGCTCCTTCTCTACCATCGCATCAAAGGCAACGTATTGCCCCATGGCACCATGCTCGATGGCTTCCCGGATGCAGCCGCGAGCGCCAATCCAAGTACTCAAGAGAAATCTGCTGCCCCTTCGCGCCCCAAGGCCCCAGTCGTGAAGGACTCTCCCAAGCCAGGTCCTTTGTCTAGCCCAGAACGCGACATTCCCGAGAAAACTACGGGTCAAGTGGAGTTTGAGGTTTCTCAGGCTCCTCTCATTTGGGGTCCGTGGAAAGTACCTGGTATCCTCGGTACCATAAACAATGCATACGCTTGTGCGTACATGCTATTTGTTCTTTTCTGGAGTGTCTGGCCCTCTGAGACCCCAGTAGACTACACTACCATGAACTACAGTATTGTCGTGACTGGCGGTGTGCTCATCCTGAGCGGAGTTTGGTATTTCGCCCGGGCGCGGAAGGAATACCAGGGCCCGCTAATCGATGAGGATATTGCTGCAATCATGCATCTCACCCCAGGCGCTGTTCCAGGATTGGTACCTGGATCATCCGCTGTCTGAACGGCAAATATTTGAAGATTGAAGATTTGGAAATGCTTGCCTAAAGATGTTCTGGCAGCCGGAAGTAGGAAAGGAGACCATTCGAGATTGACCTCGTGGGATGAGAAACGTCTAAAATTATACCCATGTCATTTAAGCTTGGATAACAAGAGAATGCGAGAAAATAGAAAAAAGTCGTGACAGTGTGGTTTCTGTTATAGTTTCATACCGTAAAGAGGAGATTCAGGCAGCGTGGAAGATGAACTTACGTGGAAACCCTTCTATCATATCCAGATGACGTTGTATACCGTACCAGAGCCTTCTCTCTTGAAAGCAAGGCATTCTTTACAGCAATTCGGGAAAGAAAAGGGTACTTTTGCGTTCAAAGCTGAATAAAACATTGTAAACCTTGGAGCGCCGAGCTTTCAACACCGCGACACCAACGTAAATGCTAGGGATGACCAAACTAGGAACAAATAAGAGCCCTCGGCACAGACATGTTCATTGCAATTCTGCACGAGCCGCACTCACACCTCAAAACAGGAAGATCAGCCTAGATTGGCTCCGGGAACTTGCAACAAAACGGAAAAGCGCGAATCTGCTGCATCATGACCCACCCCTATCGAACCAACCAGCGCAGTCAATATTCTAGACCAGACGGTAAACATGCAGCACAAAGGATCTGCAGGCCAAGGAACATGGCGGGCTCCGCAGCGTGGCCTCACGTCAGAATGTGATTTGATCCCTAGGCTGAGGCCAAACCACACCCAGCTGCGATCTCAGCCCCGCCACTACGCGACTGAATGGGGTTCTTAAATACGATCCATGGATCCCGCTCGTCATTGTAGGGCCATGGAGATTCCGGTTCCAAGGATGGAGACTTTCGGTCCGCATCAGGGACCAAAACAATTTGTTTTGTGTTTTGATGGGACGGGCAATAAATTTGCGGGTGATGCTTCGGATACAAATCTGGTTAAAATCTATCGCGTATGATCTCAATGTCTAGTCTTGTCGTCGTGTTGAGCTAATCAAATTTTAGATGCTCGATCGCAGCCAGAGTCACCAGTACCATTACTACCAACCTGGCATCGGAACATATGTCACGTCCCATACCCTTGGCAGTAAGAATAGATTTGAGCGCATCAAATCATCGTACAGAAAAGCCAAAGATGCTGCGCTGGGATCGTCTTTCGACGAACATGTGTTGGGCGGATACAAGTTCCTTATGCGATACTATGCACCAGGCGATGATATCTACTTTTTCGGCTTCAGTCGTGGCTCCTATACTGCTAGATTCTTAGCAGAGATGCTGGACTACATTGGTCTTCTACAGCCCGGCAATGAAGAACTAATTCGCTTTGCGTGGAAGACATTCGCAAAGTGGCAGCAACGGCGCGATGCTACAGAGCACGATCATGAAGAAAGACATAAGCTGTTCAGATTTATGAAAGCTTTTCGTGAGACCTTTAGTCGGCCGGTGAGTCGGATCAAGTTCATGGGCCTTTTTGATACCGTGAACAGTGTTCCAATGTTTGAGAATGCCTGGATGGAAAGAAGTAAATTTCCCTATACGGCCCAGAGTACCGCACGGGTGATTCGACACGCGGTCTCGATCGACGAGAGACGTGCAAAGTTTAGGCAGGACTTGATCTCCGAGGTGAAGCCTCTTCCTCAAGCTCACCCACATGCCCACAAGTTAAGACACCTGCTTTCGCGAGACAATGATCATGACAAAGCACACGTTCCCGAGATCATGGAGCCGCCAAATAACGAAGAAAGACGGAAAGCGCGTCGTGCATCGCGACAAGAAACTTACGGCGAGGAAATGAGGTACCGAGGCCCATCATCATCGCCAGCCCGAAAGCCTAGCGTCGTCGAAATACATACCCACAACGGTCTCCTAACCGATAGGATCTCGCTCAAGAGCGCAGTCTCCCGGAACTCCCTTCATGTCCCCAGTCTGAATATCCCGGGACAAGAAGAAGATGAAGATAAGCAAGATATCCAAGAAGTCTGGTTCCCCGGCCAGCACGGCGATGTGGGCGGAGGTTGGAAACTGAACCCGGAAGACCCCTGGCCTCTCAGTCATATCCCTCTAGTTTGGATGGTTAAAGAAGCCCAGCTTGTCGGTCTTGAGTTTGATCCCGAGAAACTCAAGCGCTTCCATTGTTATGAAGAGCCAAACTACGAGGGCCTCGGCTTTCAAGAAACCACTGTGATCGGTGACAAGTCCAACACCCACCAAGACCCTTTCCACGAAGCATATAGTCGAACAATGGACACGGGTATTGCCCACGACTGCTTGACATACGGTGGTGGTCTCTCGTTCTTCTCAACTCTCTCCTGGCGACTAATGGAATACCTGCCTTTTCGTCGAATGGACCTCCAAGCAGACGGATCATGGAAACCGATCCGCTGGCCTTTGCCATGTGGAGAAGTACGCGATATTCCAGAGAATGCACAGATTCATATCAGTGCAATTCATCGCATGAAAATTGATCCTAATTATCGTCCGGGAAATTTGATTGTTGGCGGCTGGGGAAGAGGCGTTAAGAGGGCCCCGGAAAAGTTTGGGATTGGGCAATGGGACATTTGCATGCATGAGGGAGATCCAGTTAGGCAGACTTATTCTAGGAAGAAGGGGGACAGTGTTTGTCTTGATGAGTCTCACATTAGCTGAGTTTCTTTCCAACGGCTTGGTAGATTGGCCTTCCGAGTGGTGGCACCCTCCGAGTGAATTCCTTTTCTTCGTGCTTGCATACAACTGGACGACTTGTTCAAAAAGCTACAAGCAGTGATTTTAAAGACATACGAGTTGTGTTTTGTGTTTCAAGTGGTTCAACGAACTCACCAGCGCCGAGCAGCCTCCATTCTCCTGAGTCCGGAACCAAGCCACATGCGACCAGTATGTAATGTCTTCGTAATAATTCACGTGCTTCCTTTACAATAAAGCTGAGTAAATGGAACGCGGCCTGGGGTGGAACTCGACTTCATGGACACCAGATCTCGGAGATACCATGCTGCTGGGGTGCTACACATGTAGTCTTCCCATGAACAACCTAACATGCCCAGTCTGGACAAGCTTCAGGTTGAACAAGCGTTGTCAGTCAGGGGCAGACCTGCAAACAAGTTAAATTGATATACATATAGATGCAAACACGGATAATTGACACGGTCGGAAATTAATCAAGAAGATCTCGGAAGAATTAGAAGCCCGCGGATGTTCAGAGTGCAGTGGGTCCAGCCAATTTACCCGCGCTGGGCCAAAAATCACCGACGGACTTTTTCAATGAGATCCAATTTTAAACATGGAGAGAGTTACTAATTAACATGACATACAATCTCAAAATTTTCAAACTCCTTTGACACTCACCATTTGCTTCATAGGACTTTTTATGCAGACTCGCAGGTATAGATCTCCTCTTGGTAAACCAACCCCGCATCCCCCGCAACAACCACCAAACTAACTGATCTAAGTCCTGAACACCGAAGAACCAATCCAAACGAGAAAATAAAACCAACGACAAGAAAAATGACCATCCCAATCGTGGACTCTCATATCCATCTCTTCCCAGCTAGCCATCTCCCAACACTAGCCTGGTACACTGCAGACAGCCCCCTTGGCGCACAACACAGTGTCAACGAATACAGACACGCCTTTTCTCCCCTGATAACGAGTACTACCGACAAATACCTCGGTGGCTTTATATTTCTCGAAACAGATCGCATCTCCTCGATAAATGGAAATGACCCAGGACGAGGATGGCAATACGCCTTAGACGAAGTATCTTTTCTCTCGCGCATCGCGACCGGACAGCCACTTCCTGGTGAAGGTCATAGCCCTGCTGATAAAAATCTGTGTCTGGGTATTGTCCCTTGGGCACCTGTACCGGGCGGACGCGATGTGTTGATGCGTTACATCAGTATGGCTCGGGAGCGGACTGGGCCAAATGTTTGGAAGAAAGTGTGTGGAGTGAGATACTTGGTTCAGGATAAACCTGCTGGTGTTATGCTGGAGGATAACTTTGTTGATGCATTGCGCTGGCTGGGAGAGCAGAGAATTGCGTTTGATCTTGGAGTTGATGCGCGGCAAGGGGGATTGGGTCAGTTGAGGGAAGCCGTGGAGATGATGAGGCGCGTGTATGATGGGGTTGGAGAGGATGGTGTGACTATTGTTATAAGTGGGTTGACTCACGATTTCCTATTAGGTGTTGTGCTGACATGATTACAGATCACCTTTGCAAGCCTAACCTCCGGATTGGTGCTGATGAGATCGATACTCATAAAGAGTACTTGGAGTGGAGAAAACTGGTTGTGGAAATGGCTTCTGCGAGCAATCGGACCTATATGAAGCTTTCTGGGGCATTTTTCGGAGCTTCCACCCTTGGAGAGAGAATCGGAGGCCGATGTCAATGACTTGGTCAATCATGTGAAGCCCTGGACAGATGTGGTATTTGATGCATTTGGGCCCGAACGGGTGATGTTTGGCTCCGACTGGCCTGTGTGTAATGTTGGAGGTGGTGGAAATGACATCTCATGGAGCAGGTGGCGCAAGGTCGTTGAAGGGATCTTAGATCGAAGGGGGTTGACAGAGGACCAGAAACGAGGAGTCTGGGGAGAAGTAGCAATCAAAGCTTACGGTATTGAGGCTTAAAGCTTTAGACAAGATGAGGGGACATCCCTTTGGTTTTACAAATCATCATTGGACATAGCAAATATCTATTGTAGATTAACAAATAGTCCACCATCAACCAGAAGCTGAGCGCCAGTCTGTAAACAATTAGCGTGATAACTCTCATCAGGCTGAGGAGCAGACTTACCACATAACTACTCAATTCCTCACAAGCCAAGAAAACAGCCGGTCCAGCTAGATCCGGAGGCTGGCCAAGTCTGCCCAACGGAATCCGGCCCTCCATGTACGCCCGCTTTTTGGGATCCGCCATATCCTCCTCGTTCAACTGAGTCAGAATAGTACCTGGCAGCAAAGCATTGCAGCGAATATTGTATTTGCCCAATGCGACAGCACAAGACTGCATAAGACTCAACACACCGGCCTTAGTAGGCGTATAGTGCGTCTGCTCACCGCCGCCGACCAGGGCGGAAATGGAGCTAATACCGATGATAGACCCGCCGGGTGGTGATTGAGTCAGCGCCATTTGGCGGGCCGCGGCTTGCGTGGCGAAGAAGGCACCCGAGAGGTTTGTTGAGATGGTATGGTTTAGAAGGGATGGTTCAAGTCTATTTCAGTTAGTTTTCAGCATCTTTTAGAGGGAGAGGAATACGGACTCGAGAAAATCGGCGAATTGGCACACGCCGGCGTTGCTTACGAAAACATCGAGACGGCCAAATGCCTCAACAGTCTTAGCAACAAAGTTTTTGCCTGTCGCTGGCTGGGAGATATCACCAGGCACCGTAAGGAATCGCCTTTGGTCCGCACCGGCTTCAATCTCGTTTATGTCTTTGCGCAGCGCTTCGAGCAGAGTGTCTTCTTTGGGGCCGCCGAGATGGCTTATAGAGACCTTGGCTCCATGACGAAGGTACTCTAGGGCGATTGCCTGCATCGAATTGGTCAGTCAGATGTTATTCAAAGTGCATTCAGGCTGGCGCAGCAGGGAGTGCGGTGATTACCCGTCCAATACCAGTGAGACCGCCGGTGATGGCGGCTACCTTGCCGACGAGTAATTTGGGAAGAGGCATGGTGACGATCTAACAGAAGATGCTCTTAATCTTCTCAACTGAATGCGAAGCTCGAATAGTACTGGATCTCCAAATGACAGAACAGGATACGATGGCAATTTTTGAGCAGCAGCCCCGCCGATAAGATTTCGGGCTTCGCGATGATGATACCCCGAGTGTGGGGTGCTTCCCCCACACCGAGGGGCTAAAAGGGCGAATTGTTCCGCGCAGCAGCTCCGAGGCACCTGATGGCGTCCGACGTGGGGGAAAAAGTCGAATTGAGATCAAGATCATCGTGTACAGATGTTTTATCGAAAGCAGGCTACTTTACAAGATTGCAATTATACGTGAGGAAGATTCTCATTTGGGGATATGTCAGTCTAATAGATTGGGTTTCGGAAATGCTGTTTATGTACATGAATATCTTGGAGAAACCTGTCGACAAATCACATAGGAAGTGGGTGCAATATTCATAACGCCGTGAATCCAGAATACTCTAAGCACTTGTGCCATTAGCTTGCTCCTCGGGAGCACGGAGGGCCTTCTGCGGCGCAGGAGTGAGGAGAGCAGAGGCTGGGATCAGCTTGGCAGCGGGGTTGAGCTCAAGAGACCAAATCCAGGCTTGTCCAAAATGGCAACATCGAGGTACCCGTTAGTAGGGATAGGCTCATTCAAAAAGAGATCACCGAAGACTGGCAAAACGGTCTTGCCATCCGGGGAGTTGGCCAGATATTCTTGGAAGGGGCAGTTGCTCTGGGAGACGACAAAGTGGTAGGAGTAAGGGCCTGAAGCGTGGGGTACGACAGGGACATCGTACGCAGCGGCGAGAGCAGAGACCTTCAGGAGCTCAGTCATACCACCCAGCCACATAACATCAGGCTGGATAATGTCGAGATTACGGCCCTCGACGAGCTTGCGGAAGCCATATCGGGAGTATTCATGCTCACCGGTGGTGAACTTGACAGTAGGGTGAGCACGTTTCAGAAGAGCGTGGCCGTCGAAATCATCGGGCGAAAGACACTCCTCCCACCAGTCAATGTTCAGGCCGATAGCCTCGCAGCGCTTGACCAGCTCGATGGTGTAGGGGACAGTGAGGGACATGTAGCAGTCGACACGCAGTGGGAAGTCGGGCCCGACGCTAGCACGCTGCAGACGCAGGTATTCGACGTTCTTCAGCAGACCCTCGGTACCTTCATCAGGGCCATGGGGCAGAGCAACCTTGGCTCCAATGAAACCTGCGGCCTTCGCGGACGCTGGCTGCGGTCCAGTGCAGTAGAAGTTCAAGCGCTCACGGGTAGCACCACCGATCATCTTGTAGACGGGCTCGTTGCGAATTTTGCCAATAAGATCCCAGAGAGCTAAGTCAATGACCGAGATCACGGCGGTGGGCAGACCTTTACGACCATAGAACATTGAGCCGCGGTACATTTTTTCGAATAGGCTATTGGTGTCGCGGGGGTCTATGATGATACAGATGTTAATGATCGGAGCTCTTCATGCATAACGGAATAACTTCGCACCTTCTCCAATCAGGAAGCGCTCGAAGTGCTGGTGGGTAAGCCAACAAGCAGGAGGACCGCCGAAGCCAGTCGCAAAACCCTTAGTACCATCGGTGGCCTCAATCTCAACGCAGAAAGATCCCAACACGTTAATACCCCAGGAAGTACGTGAGCCGCGGTACTGCGGCCACTTGGACATAGGAGTAGAAATATTGCTGTCGATCAGCCAGTGACCGCCTTTGACCTATCGACGCCGTTAGCACCCCAGAGGCTCTACTTGTGCTCTTGCCTGAGTTCATACGTTGTGATAATCACCGCCGGAGCCGACACCGTCAATGACGAAGGTGCGGATCTCCTTGATGCGGGGAAACTGCATTGTTGAACCCATCGTGGAATATCGTGGATATGGCGAGCTAAAGATAAGTTCTCGAAATGACCGATTCACGATTGAAGAGATCCGTAAATAAGTGAAAAATAGAAAAACCTGGGGAGATCGTGGGGGCCCTGGACTTTTTCAAGTCGCGAGGGGGACCCCAAGGCTTCGGGGCATTGCTGGCCCGAAGACCCGGAGATGTTGTCCACTTCTCCATTCACCAGCACCAATTGCTCTTTGTAACGGCTGTCATGGTTACTGCACCAATAGAAGCCCATGGTACCTGGAGAGTAGTACACTTTATCCAAAGGTATCCTCGTTAGGTTCGGTGTCCACTTTCACTTTTGTTTCGCGTTGTTCTATATAGTCTTGGGCTCGGTGTTTCTGCATTTCCATCCGAACTGTCTACCAGGCGAAACTGAAGATGAGAAAGACGCTAGATCATACAGAAGTATTCTCTGTTATCTCTCTAGATTTTCAGATGTTTTGCTTCGTATGAATTACTCACCACACGGGAGCAAAGATGCAAGTGCCAGTGCAACCGCATCGCATGTGCCACGCGCGGGGCGAAATGTGGGGTGCCCCAGTTTCTGCCTCAGGCAATAACCCCGATTACTCGCTAAATCTTCGTTCTCCTCTTCTCTCGGATCTTCCCTCGGTCAGCCTGCTCCATCGGACTATCGCCGTGCGTACTCTCGGCCTAGATTAGTCGGATAACATCCGCGCTATAAGCTTGTGGCCTGCGTCATGGTCGATCCCCGATAGGGCATAACTCGCTATAGCAAAATGCCGAACGCTGCATCTCTGCCGCAGCACAGCGCACCCTCCAATCAACGCGCGATAGACACAGATCGAGATCCGAGTCCGGCTGAGTACTCGTCTGGTATTGAATCAGACAATGATCAGGGCGCCAATGGCTCCGGGGGATCGCGCACCTTGAAAAGGAAGCGTCCCCTCACTGTCTCGTACGCATCCAATCAGACCTCGGCGAGATAGCATTGCAACTTGGAGGGACTTGGAATACTAACTCTGTCTCAAGATGCGAGCTTTGCAAGCAGAGGAAAGTCAAGTGTGGTATGGGATAGAATACTCCTGGAAAATAATAGCACCCGCTGATCGCGTCGCAAATAGACCGTGTGCAACCAAGTTGCGGCTGGTGTAACAGGAATGGCCAGATATGTGAGTATAAAGAAAGGAAGAAGCCTGGCTTGCGGGCTGGCTACGGCAAGGAATTGGAGCAACGCCTCGGTTTGTGCCCTTGACTCCCTACACTGGAGCCAACGCTCATCCGTTCTCTAGATCGGTTAGAAGATATCATTCAATCCCAAGCCAGGCTTATTGAAATGCATATACTGCAACCCCAGCTTTCCATAGCCCATGATATGCAACATAGCGGATCAATAGCGTACAGCTCGCCGTCGGAGCCTTCCGCAATCCACGGCCCAAGCCCTCGCACCGCAGTCTATTTCAATGATCCTGCATCTTCAGTCAATTTACCTTCGCGCCGCGCAGATCCAGCTATCGCAAGCCCGTCGGATACATCGGTCAAAAATATGTTGCAAAACAACCTTCACAATGGAAACGGGGCGTCGGTTATGGGCTCGTTACCGTCGGTTCATAATGCGCATAGCGGCGACTACACTGGAAATGAATCATCTCTCAAAGGTCCGATTAACCTTTTTGGGAATCAAGAGCAGTCATTTGCAGACCCAGATTTGGATCTCCCACCGTATGATCTACTTTATGCGTTGGTGGATCTCTATTTCGAGCATATCAATTCCTGGTGCCCGATCCTCCATCGCCGGTCAACTTTGGATACCTTCTTTGGCCCATCGCCCCTGGAAGAGGCTGATCGCATGGTGCTATATGCTATCGTGGCAACAACATTGCGCTTTTCAACCGATACCCGGCTTAACGAGCAAAATCGTAAGCGCTACCACGACTCTTCCAAGCAGAAAGTTCTCTTGTACGGCCTGGAGAATTCGTCAGTCAAAGCCTTACAGGCGCTTGTCATCTTGACTCTCGATTTAGTTGGCTCCTCGAATGGACCTCCAGGATGGAAGTTACTCGCTTTGATCACTAGATCCGTTGTCCAATTGGGACTGGCCGTGGAATCAAAGTCCTCCCTCATTGCCCCAGTCTACCCTTCAATCTATACACTGAGAGCAGTCACATTACCTGAAGCAGATTCTTGGATTGAAGACGAGAGCAGACGTCGCTTATTCTGGATGGTCTACCTCTTGGACAGGTATTCGACGATTGCCACTGCGTTCAACTTTGCCTTGGATGACAAGGATATCGATCGCAAACTACCTTGCAAGGACGAGTTCTTCATGAAGAATCAACCAGTTGAGACTCGGCGGTTCCACTACTCCGGTGACTGTGTAGACTACCTTAATCATGCGGAAAATGTGGGATCGTTTGGTTTATACATGGAGATACTCGGCATCCTTTCCCGCATCCACCAATTCTTGAAGCGCCCCGTGGATATTGGGTCTCTCTCTGATGTGGAAGAATGGCAAGCTACCTATCGCAAGCTTGATAGTGAATTGACTTCATGGGAGTTCAATTTGCCTGCAGAGTATGCCTACGAGAACTCTTCTCGACTATTTGTCGGAGGCAAGCAGAACCGCACAATACACAGTGACTGGGTACAACTACACACTACATATCAAACGTAAGTCTCAATCACAACTTTCTGAAAAAAACCTCTCTTAATCCCGGGACAGTGCCGTGATTCGCCTACACTCATCCGCCGCATACCCTACGACTCGATCCCCAATCTTCACCCCATCCTATAGCGCCAGCCAACGCTGCCTCCTCGCAGTCGACAACATCCTCTCCGTAACTCGTTTCGTTGTCGAAAATAACATGCTCGATAAACTCGGCCCCCCATTCGCATTCACCCTCTGGGTCTCAGCCCGCCTCCTTCTCGTCCACGGCTCAACAATCGCCCACACAGTCAGCCCCGACATAATCTTCTTCGTGGACACACTCGCCCAGATGGGTGGCCACTGGAAAGTCGCAGAACGGTACAGCAATATTCTTCAACGCGTTCTCGACGAATACGGCGAATACCAGCAATCCGCAGCCACAGACGGCGAGCGATCAACTCCCTCAACAGTCAAGATCCTAGCAGATATGCGCCGTTGCGCCTTCGACCTGAGACTTCCTCATCTCTCGTCAGCCGCGTGAGTCTCCATCTACCATGAGTAATGGAGGAAATGATACCCGACCTCCTGCGCCTACAGTGGCCCCCAGGAACCTCGCCCCAAATGAACTCGAGTATCTAGATGTATTTGGCTTCTTCAACGTTCCGCGCGTACCGCCAACCCGTGCGCCTGAGGCTGCGGCTCCACATCTCGATATGTCGGCGTCGGTTGCAAACCCCATGTCCATACATGGACTGACAGGAGGGCCTGTTGTTGACGGGAATGCTTCTTCGAATGCGAATGAGTTCAATATTACGAATTATCTGATTCCAACACCTGAGACGGATTGGTTGTTCCGTCCTACTGGTTGAAACATACGCCTATTGAATCAATGGGTACTTCGGCTAGATTCTCATCTTCTAATTCTTGCTACTTCTGCTCAAAGTTGACATACCCTTTCTTGAGCTTTTTGCGTCTTCGCCGAGTTTTCCCCGGTCACGCACATACCCAAATGTTCATGTTTTCAATACATAGTTTCTCCTTCTGATGCAAGCCTGTACATACCCCAAACAAGAGATGCAATCCAGTGGTTGAAGCATTTGATACCCTTGAACTGACAGCATACTTTCTAACCATCTACTATGCAGAGCATCGTTCGTTTGTTACATGTACTATGTGAAGCCTTCAATAGTCTAGGGGTCCGAAGCTTCTATGCCACTGTGTGTGTATATTCGGAGCGCAGAGGACAATACATGTGCGTGACCAGATGCTAGGTAAAAAAAAACTTCATTCAAAATCAACATCATCGAAAGAGAAAATAGACCAAATCATGCTAGGAATGATGGAATCTCAGTAACCAGACCAAGCCCATTTTACTCCTCACTATGAAAATGAACGATCATGTTTGCAGAAGACACAGCGAAGACAAATGAAATAAGAGTTCAAAAGCATAGACATACTCCACTGACCCAATCCATAACGCGACCGGAAGAGCGCAGAATAACATCATGATCATGTACGTGACCCATAACGCATTGTGAGAAAACCATGTACCCGAGGAAAAAAAAATCAACATGTAAGCAAGGTCCACAGCGCCTGAAAGAAACATATTGCGTCAAGTCATAGCAGGGGTCAAAATTAAGACTCAGGTCGAGTCAGAGGGCGCCGACGGTTGCAGACGAACGAGTATTTCCTCGAGAAATGCGTCGAGAACCGCATCTACACCCCCGCCCAATTGTACGGGAGATTCCATATCCCAGCGGTGGAGGTTCGTGAAAGATCGTGCGATTTCGTCAGTAATGTTCTCCATGCCGCGATGAATTTTGACGCTTCGTTCCCATTGTTTTTCCTCTTCTAGGGTTGCTTTGGCTGGATTGCGTGACGGGTCCAGACGAGCGAGGCTTCGGCCTCGTCGGTTCATCGCTGCTCGGAGGGCGGGGACGATGACGGAGCCATAAGCCGTCGCACGGTCGTTGGCAGTTGGACTCTTGGGCTGAGTAGGGAGCTTGGGGAATTCGTCTGTCAGAGTGCTCTGAGACGGGGTATTTTGCCTAGAAATGCGACGTTCATGCTTTTCTAGTCTGCTAGGCGCGAGCTTGGACTTGAGGCCTGGGCTTGGCTTTGGAGAACCATCGAGTTGCTTCTGGAGACCGTATTGAGGGATGTGAGCTTGAGATGGGCTGGCGGGGGTCTCAGGAAGAGGGCGTTGGAAGGGTAGCTGGAGAGGTACAGGCTGGAGAGGTGGAAGCTTGCGAGAGGCCTGACCTGGGCTGGAAGATTGCTCGGGCTTTGTAGAGCTTGAACTGCTGTTAGAGGAGCCAGCGGGCGAGTTGTTGCTTGGACCGCTTGCGTAGTCCATCACTGCCTGCGCGTAGCGTTCATTGTATGGTGAGTTCTTTTCCGGGACTTCTGCAGCCACGGGAGAGCGAGGTTTGCGTGAAGGAGAGGGCACGGGTTGAGGAAGGACGACTTTAGTTGGTGAAGCTGGGGCAGATGGAGGAAGAGGAGTTTTTGAAGGAGACGCATTCAGAGGAGGCTTCACCGTGTGCGGTTGAGGCTGTGGGGAACGAACTTTTGGAGTTTGTTTGGTCTCTTCTTGCAAGTCCCACTCTTCTGTCTCTTGGCTACGAGAATTTGTATCGGAAGCATTCAGAGGTCTTAATACTGGTCCAGCCCCCGGTCTTCCAACAGGGCGAACCGTGCCGAAGTCCCACAGATCTTCATGGTCCTCTGGTTGCGCATGCACCGGCTCCTGGATTTCATCATAGTCATCTTCATCGTCTCCTTGACCACGGTGGGTTGCTTGCCAGCGTTCGGCGCGCTCAATCAACTCCGTTAGGTATGTCGTCCTCTTGGCTCGCTTGATGAACGGATGCTCCAGCAATTCTTTGGCAGAAGGCCGTTCCTTTGGGTCTCGGCGCAAGCATAATTCGACAAATTGCTTGAATAATTTGCTGAAGTTGCCATTGAGAGTTGGAGGAGGGTTCTTCGGAATCAAAAATAACACCTTCATCGGGTGAATGTCTGCGTAAGGCGGATCTCCACAGGCCAACTCAATAGCCGTGATTCCCAGAGACCAGATGTCCGCTTTGTAGTCATACCCGGACTGCTTGATGACTTCAGGTGCCATCCAAAAAGGTGTTCCAACAAAAGTGTTCTTCTTGGTCATTGTTGCTGACAACTGTCCAGATACGCCAAAATCGGCCAATTTGACCTGACCACTCGCGCTCAGCAAAATGTTCGCAGCTACCACAGTATTAGCCTCGTGTCAGAATGATGAGACCATCCCCTCTTACCTTTGATATCGCGATGGAGCTTATGGTCACTGTGGAGGTAATCCAAGCCCCGCAAAAGTTCTCGTAAGATGATCGCAATATACTCCTCATGGATAACGCCTGGACGCAAAAGCCCATGGCAACTACCACCAGAGCAGAACTCCATGATGATCCATAAATGCGAGCCCTTCAAGTAAGAGCCATGGTATTTTGTGACATATGGAGATTTCAGCTCGGACAGGATCGCAATCTCCTGAATAATGTCGTCTACTTCGTCTTCGGCATTTTCGACATCGATGACTTTGATGGCTACCGATTCTCCAGTCCTTCGATCAACACTGGCTCATACACCAATCAGCATGTGTTTCTCGGCTTTGTCGTCGATGCTGGGTTCTTTGTAACTCACCCTTTGTAGACCCTGCCGAAGCTTCCGCCACCTATTGAGACCGCGGAGTTGACAATCAGATTGAGATGAACTTCAGATTGGAAAGATGTTGTTCAATCCTACCTATGCATGTTTGCTTGGTGTAGATGGATTCGGGGTCGATGGGTGCAGGCATCTGGACGACTTGTCTGGGCCTCTACTGGAGACCAAAGCTTTTGGGAAACTCGTGTCCCTATTTTGATAATAAGCGCTTGTGATTGATAGTTTTCAAGACTTCGGAAGACAATGTTGAGCTGGGAAAGGTTTCAGAGAGCTATTACGGTGGGAAACGAAGAATGGCAAGATAACGTACTGCGGCGTCCCACGGGAGTGATGGTCCGTAGACCGCGGCACGGAGGAGAATGCAGGAGGCGGCAAGGAAGGTAAAAATGGGTCGAAAATTCGGCGCTAGTAGTCGGGCCTCCTGTATAGGCTGTCAGTGAACGTAAAACCAGCGAAAGTGCTAAATTGTTCCGGTACGACGCACTGATAATGGTTCGGACTGAGATGTCAACAAAGATGGAAGGAGGAGTATATCGCTTTCGCAACGGCTCGAATCTTTGATGTTAAGCAGACGGTGGTCATCAGGTACGAACCAAAGTAAAATCACGTTAATTCAGGGCGCTGATAACCTTTCACAATCGACAAGGAGGAGACGGAAACAGGGTGCCCTTGCGTCTGTTTATCGACGCGGGGACATATTCTGCCGGGCGGCGAGGCTTATCTGCGGGCGGTGGGTGTCCAGATTACAAGTACAACTACTGACCAAGCAAGGAGATTATTATAGAATCATAAGGGGATCTAGTTCGTTATAATCTCCTAGTATCGTTGCATTCCAAGCATTTTTTACTTGGTGGGTCTTGACGCGAAAGAACAGTATGGACTCGAGGCAATGCCGTCGCCCTTTGCTAGGAAGTCGGACAGGGCCAAGATCAGAGCAGTATTTAATCTTCGTGATAGCCGATCATAACCGTGCCGTTCTTCAGGCCCGCGTCCTCGATGCTTGTCATCAGATGCTCTATCAAGTTCTTTCCCATGGCGTTCAGATCAAACTCCACACCAGCCTTGTCCTCCAGCGGTGGTTCGGCCTTGAGCCACTCGTAGATACGCTGAACAGGGTCGGAGAGTGCAAAGCGACGAATGACACGGCCAGAAGGATGGCGGAACTGAATACGGGTGGTGGTAGCTGGGTCCGCGGCGGGCTCAGTGTGCGGCTTGTTATTGGGAATGGCGGCGAACGGAGAAGCTCCAGCTGGCTCGGCACCTTTCTCTGTTCCACTCATATCCTCGTCATCGTCGGAAATCGCGCGGCCCTTGCCTTTGACATCGTCCATGCTCCGAGTAAGGTCATCAGGGTCTTCCAGCTTCGGGCCAGCAGATACCCCGTCCCCAAGACTGTTCCGCATGGCTATTTCCATCATCTCCTCCTCGGTCATTGCACCAAAATCCCTGTCCTTCTTGTCTGATTTCCTCTTGGCTACAGGATTGCGCACATTGTGCTTCAAGCTGTAGCGGTCCAGGAATTCGTGAATCTGCATAAGGAAATCGGACGGTTTCACTACAGGCGGGCCAGACCAGACCTTCATCTGTTCACCGGTGCGAGGATCGACGATGGCGATATGGGGGTAGTTATCGGAGACGTCGCTGGCTTGAAAGTAGTAATTGAGGTATGTGGCAGCTCGCGGGTCATCCTTCGAGAACTGCAAGAAGATGAAATGCTCTTTTACGGTTTCTTGGACACCCTTGTCCTTCCACAGGTCCCGGTTGAGAATTTGGCAGTCGAATACAGACGAGTCTTGGATGTTGACCAGCAACCATTTCTCATTGTCCTTTCCTTCATCACGAGCGCTATCCCAAGGCAACCGGGACATGATCTCGAAAGGGGGCGGTACATTTCAGCAAGCATGTTGGACTTAGATGATGCCTCGGATGCGCCGCCAGTTGCGATGGAGAGTTGTTCATCGTGCCTTTGCGATCCGCCGGTCCAGATCGATGAGGTATCTCTCTGATTAAAGATTCCAGGTCGACCTAGAATATAGCGTTAGTCCATACTGAATGCTGCATCTGAAAAACAAACGCACCGCCTCGTTGACGAGAGCGCAACTGGCTGAGAATATTGGCATGCATGTCATCCTCGTCGCCAAAGTCCATCTCTGGCCCAACCAACGTTTCAGTTGTGCGCGCCATGGGCGCTCGGACATCATCCTCGTTGTCCTGTAAGCCTCTGTCGGCGCCTCTCCCAGCGCCTCCGCCTCCGTAAGCTTCTTCTTGAAGTCGGCGAGCCATGGCGGCATCATCCTCAAAATATGATTCCACAGGTGGTTGTGAGGGGCGGGCCTGGGCGGGATCGGTTTCTTCGTCGTCAGATTCAATGTGGACCACTCCAGATTCATCCTCGAAAATAGACTGACGAGGTCGGGCGGGTTCTTCGGTTAATGGTGCACCTCCGTTCTCGAAGTAGAGCTGCATGGCCTGCTCGATTTGAAAGTCGGCAAGCGAGAGATATTGAGTCGCCAACTCGGGCGTAGAGCCGGTAATCTCGGTGAACTGCGCCACCACATCGTCGGAAGCCATCGTGGGCAAGCTATTGAGAAGTAGAAGAGCGGGGAGGAGGGGAGCGAAGTGAGCTCGGAAGATATCCCGCGGTGGTATCAAAAATTCTCACTTGCAGGAGCCTAGGCTATGAAAGCCAGAGGGTATGAAAATTATGAGATGGTCAACGCGAGAATTAAGGAGGTCACCTCGCGCAATGACAAGACATTTAGATAGCTTCGAGTATATTTGAAGATCGTCAGTGACGCAGTATCCGGCGACGCGCAGAGCCACAAGACGCACAACTACGCCTTTGGTCTGACCCGCTCCCCTTAGCTCATCTTACCGCTTGTGGAATGCGACGCGTCGCGACGCGCTTATTTGAGGAAAGTAGTTCTCCGCTCCTGCACAATCGCAATTGCTTCCATAGCAACCTACGCCATGGCAGCTACGGTCTTGGGAAAACGCACGCGTGCTGCAGAAGATTTGGAAGGTGAGCACACTGCACTTTCCTGGAAAATTTACATACTGACCTTTATTTCCTTAGGATTGCCGGTGCGCACTGCAAGCAAGCGCCGAACAGTCCAACCTCGTGCGCCTCGTCAAGACGCGCCGGCTGTTCCGCTACGGCGAACTAGGTCAACAGCAAAGCGGCTAGGGCATCTTCCAGACCAAGAGAACGACGATGTCAGCAAGACAGTGGACCAGGTGCCTTCAAAGCACACAATCCATGAAGAGCAGGGTGGGTCACCGACCAAGATCAACTCCCATTTCCGCACCTCGAAGCTAGTGGAGGGTAAGCGGAGAGAATTGGAAGTTTAGCATAAGGGTAAAGCTAATAGGTTGTCAATACAGAAGAAACCCCAGCTCCGGTAGTCGAATTCAAGACCCCGCAAAAAAATCGATTTCGAGATGCATTGCCCAAATCTCCGGTCACTCCCCGCCATCGGGTCCAAGTGGGAGCCAAGGCCACTACGCCGCGCACTCCTCGGCATTCGGATCTGCCCTTGACTCCACGACAGAGTGCGACTCCGACTGTTGCCCAATCGATTTATTCACAAGCCCGTCAATTATTTGCGCGCGGTGCCAACTCGGGACGACTCGTGGGACGAGATACGGAGCGAGAGAAAGTTTCTGATTTCATGAAGGACTGCATCGAGTCCAAGAAAGGCAATTGTCTCTACATCAGCGGTCCTCCTGGAACTGGCAAGAGTGCAATGGTCAACGAAGTCTGCCAGAATATGGACCTCTCCACCGTCAAGGTCTCCCATGTCAACTGCGTGAGCATGCGAAGTGCTCGAGACGTCTACAGCAAGCTTATCCAAGACTTCTCCGACGACACGGAGGAGGTATTCAAGAAGAGCGAGGCAGAGCGTCTGAAGGCGATGTTTGTTCCCGCTAAAGAGACCGATAAGCTGTTTTTGGTTAGTCTTGATGAAATGGACCACCTCCTGCAGGGCGATTCCGGTGTGCTACAATCCCTGTTTGAATGGTCGTTGCATAGCAGGTCCGCCCTGATGCTGATTGGTATTGCCAACGCGCTGGATTTGACCGATCGATCCTTGCCGCAATTGAAGGCCAAGAATCTGAAGCCTATCCTTCTGCCATTCTTGCCTTACAACGCGGCCTCGATCGGAAACGTGATCACAGGCCGCCTCCGCTCCCTACTCCCTGTTGGAGTTGATTCAGATCCCAAGTTCGTCCCATTCGTGCAACCAGCTGCCATTCAGCTTTGTGCGAAGAAGGTGGCTTCCCAGACTGGGGATCTACGGAAGGCCTTTGAGCTGATCAAACGTGCAATCGATGCGATTGAACAAGAAACCCAAACAAAGCTGGAGAAGCAGATCGCTGAATTGGCAGACTCCTCAATACTCACAGAGAACAAGAATCTGTCCTCTCCTTCGAAGGCAGGAGCCGCTCCCCGACCCACGACCATGGCAAGCTACACCGTCATGACAGCACCTCGTGCCAGTATTGCCCACATCGCACGTATCACAACATCTGCATTTGGACAAGGCACAATTCAAAGGCTGAAGGGCTTGAACTTGCAACAAAAGGCTGCTATTTGCTCTCTCATTGCGCTGGAACGCAAGCGCCGTGAATTCGAGGTGCCTAGCACCCCTTCGAAAAATCGTTCATCCGCCCCAACCGTGAAGCAAGCTTTCGATACTTACTGCACACTGTGCCGAAATGACAACATCCTTCACCCTTTGACATCTACCGAGTTCAAAGATGTTCTGGGTAACCTGGAAACGATGGGTCTGGTAGGTGAGTACCAAGGTCGCGGTCGAGGTGGAACCCTGGGTGGGGGTTCTGACGTCCGGCGCACGCCCTCCAAGTCTGGCAATGTCAACTCCACTCCACACAAAGGCATGGATGAACAAGGTCTTGTCTGTTTTGTTTCCCAGTCTGAGATCGAAGGACAGATCGCCGGTCCCGGTGAAGGCATTTTGCGACGACTTCTTCGTGGCCAGGGACTTTGACCTTGTCTCAGTCTTCATGCATCTTATTGCTTTCCAACTGCATATAGGATTTTGCATTTGTACTTCTTGATTACTAGCCATGCTGCATCATTGGAGTCCTGCATGGCGCATTTTTAGATTATCAACTATTCGCATCCTTGGAGTCGAGTCTGCATTTTTCCTGTTGAGCACCGTTTCATGCGTCTCCTTTGCTTCTTTCCTTTGTCCCTATCATCCTCCAGATCATGACCAGAAAAAAATATAAAAAGCCTCCAGAATTTCCGGATATCCGACAAAAATGGCAACTCAGCTTCCCTATCGAACACCCATCGTGGTCATTCCGATGTAGACACAACGCACTGGAGTATGAACTCAGAGCTCGACCGAGGAAGGATCCTACGAGGGCCTTTGTAGTTCTTTGTGAGATCTTTCTTGCTATTTTTCTACTCATCTTCCCAAAGCTATATTCAGACATATCTTGGTTCCTCGTTCGAGGTATACACTGTGACCTCGAGGTGTTCACCTTGACCGCTTCGAGTAAATTTGGGAAGACAAGTCGTGGCTGCTGCGTCAGCACTTCTGATTTATATTCTCGGTCCAGCTGTACGCTGCGCGTAGCACGAGTTCCTCGTTGTTCTCAACCCACGGGCAACGCAGCCCCGACTATCAAAATTGATCATGATGGATTTGCCAAATGGGCTCAACTCATGTTCTCATTCAATAGTGTAACCAACGCATCTAACCAGAAGAGTGAGCCAGGATCGGGGAATGGCCTTGCGCAAAGAAATGTGTGCACTCCCATCTAACCCGTTTGAGAAATGTCTGCAGAATCATTTCTGCTAAGGATAGCTACCACCATTTCAACTGCGATTGAAGAGGCTCATGCGCCGAGTGTTTATAGGGGCCGTGGATCCCACGTGGCGGATGACAAGGGCCTTATAGGCGCGAGTGGTTAAGCCAAATCCCCCCCACCTCCCAGCCATCGTGAATAAACTGCAACTCTTCTGTCTAGATGCACAGAGAGAACTTGCGCTAGTTAAGAGCTCCCCATTTACTGATCATCATTGACCCTCCTAAGTTCACCATACCCATCAAATATGTTCGACCAAAGGCCAGGTCACATCTGTCACGCGATGAACCCTCCTGGACCCCAATTAGCTACGCTTTTCACGACCCTTCACCCATTATCACAACATGACACTATCAGCTTATCTGCTAGCAAATAATCCATCCCTGCCATGCGCTTGCTTCTTTACTATAGCTTTGAACAAGTTCCAAATTTTCCTGCATTTGAGTAGTTTAGACACACACAGTTCAATTGCTGTTCGAAAAGACCACGATGTCTCTATAGTAGTTCATTACGCTGTGGGTTTTGTTTCTTATTGACTCTGTTACTTCATTTCAGTCAAATTCCGAAGCTTCAATTCCCCGCCAGCAACAAACCAGTTACGAAGATGGGCTGCCATCAGGTGATCCAATGCGCCCCCTCCAGACGAAGCAACACGTGGAATCGTCACCGCACTCTCTTTGCTCAACCCCCAGGCTTTTCCTCCAAACCTCCCCCGAAATACTGATATAACTCTTCCCGTTTCCCCTTTCACCTCTTTCTAGTGTCTTCCATTCCTCTGCACTATCCCATTTCCACCATTTGCAATGGCTTCCCGAAAGGCATTATTCGTCATTGATATCCAGAATGAGCTCATCAAAGATCCTGAAACCCGCATTGCAAATGCCGAGCGGATCATTAAAGCATCCGAGGAAATCCTCAAAGTCGCTCGTTCAGGCCTTGATCGCAACACCCAAGAGACTGGCCGCACTTCACCCGCACTTCTTGTGTTCGTCCAACACGAGGAGTCTCCGCCTAAAGGGTCTATGCTGAGGGGCAGCAAGCCCTGGGAACTCTTTTTCCCGCCTCGTGAGAATCGCAATGACGAGATACTAGTGTCGAAGAGAACAGGTACATGCTTCGAAATCTTAAAAAACGAATACTAGCTAAGCAAGCTGCAAAGGAGACACTTTCGCATCAAACCCTGAGCTTTCGGCGAGACTTCGCGACAAAGGTATCTCGGAACTCGTCGTTTTCGGCCTTCAGAGTGAGGTTTGCGTGGAGGCGACATGCACAGGCGCGCTAGCCGCAGGTTTTGGCGTGACCTTGCTCTCCGGTGCGCATTCGACCTATGATAGTGACGGGAAGCAGGCTGGTCAGATTGAACGTGAGGTGCAGCTTCGCTTGTCTACTCGTGGTGCTCGCGTTGTGCCGTGGGAAAAGGAAATCTCCATATGGCTGTAACATGTAACAGATCGAATGCCACAAATTGGCTATCTATGTCGAAGAGTCACTTTTTGCTCATTTTGATCAAACTCTGCCTCGCTTTGATGTCATGTCTATCCATTTGGAAGAATGCTGACTTTGAATTTACTTCATGGTATGGGGCAAAAAACCCCAATCACAACTAATTAACCTAAGTCATCTCCCCAAGCAGCTGAGATTGACGCGGATGAAATCGGAAGTGCGAGAGAGGGAGACTTTTGTGGTCTTCCAGTGGGCTTAGGAAATGCAGAACTTTGTTAGTCAGTACGAGTGTGGAATGTTTGGTGTCGTTGGAAAAGTACCATTGAGAGTACAAGTGGAATACACAACGAGGCGTGACTTAGGAGTTGAATATAGCGTACCATTCGAGAAGTCTTCATGTTATCATCATTGAAATCATCCGTTATTGTATGAAGGAATTCGACACAGGCTAAAAGTATCCGAAGACCCGTTAAATGCAGCAGACATAAGAAAAAGACGCAGATTCGAATAAATTCGGCAACCCTCCAGTCCAGCTTTTAGCAGCCTTCTGGACTCAGTCTCGGGAGAACAACTTCTGCGTGCATATTTAATGAATATCGACGCAATAAACTTAGGTAGTGAAAAGGGTACGGCTCGATGGCTGTCAGACAATATAGACTCAACGACATGTGTATAACACTCCCTGAGGCCGTATAGACTGTACCTAAAACTACATCATAAATAGGGAAATATAGTGATAACCGAAATAGAATTAGGTTGTCACTCAATCTATCTCTAACTCTATCTTAAAGGTACATTATACGCTTTAGCGGAGTGGCTGCCTAATTGGCAGCCACTCTATTGACCTATGTATGATTCCATAATCTGTGGAACAAGTCCACTTCGCTAGCCTGAGTATTAAACTTCGTCATGGCATCCAGCCTTGGGGGCAAAGCTGTTGTTTACTGACCGACTACGCAGGACCAAGCTCTTGCAATATCTACGTCCGGTTGATGGTCTTCCAGGATACCCAATACGTTGGTCAATTCATGCAGAAAGGCGCCAGCTTCGATGGGGGAGATCTTGTCGTCTTGATCCCTGCTTTGTGACAAGGAACCGTAATCGGTGAGATAGGCCATTTTCTCGGCGTATGCTTCCGCGATTATTAATACTAGTTCTAGGGAAAGGCATAAGAGGCACGTAATTTGTGGACATCTCTTGAAAGTCTCACAAAGGGCGATACTCTAGAAAACCAAAGAATGCATGGATCAGGACCAAATAGATTCATGCAAATCAGCCTGCAGAGACTTACCATGTTAATAGCATTCGGCCAGTAAAAAGCCCTTCTTCTAATCTCAGCCGCAGCCTGCTACAACGAGGTGGCGCTCGGAGCACTTCTCGTTACTGTTCATCCACGTCTATCGGACAGGGATGGGCCAGTTCTTTTCTTCCACGGAGTAAATGATGACGGAGAGAAGATCCCAGAGCCATATAGGGATTTGGAAGATGTTTTCACGAAAAGGGCGCGGGGAAATTGCCCCAGTCCACACACCTCGACCATGCTATGGAGCTACAGGAAGGCACTCAACCACCCCACTAGCCAATCTATCTACTCTCCCCGAATGAAGTGGGGAAGTTAAGAAATTACATTGATGATATGTTAGCCAAGAACTGGATCAGACCATCTCAAATTCCAGCGAGCGCACCGATTATCTTTGTCAAAAAGAAGGATCTGTCATTGAGACTATGTGTGGACTATCGAGGCCTTAATAATATCATCATCAAAAACCGCTATCTCCTGCTTCTTGTGAGCGAGGCACCGCAATGCCTATTGAGCAAAGTAGACAATACCAACAATGCCTATCGCGCGAGGCACCACAAAGCCTATTGAGCAAGGCAGACGATGAGGACAATGAGGATGATGATGATCTGGGGGCGCCAGTGATGGTCAGATCACTGGCGCCAGGCAAAGAGACTCATAGCCTGTCAGAGAGTGAGTTGCTTATCATTTCTTTATTCATATTCTCCGAACCTCACACCAAGCTCCTGGCCACGTTCTGCCGTGATGTTCAAGCAAACTCAACAGAGGCTATATAAAGTGATTGGTAAGGTCAAATTGGCTGACCTTCCTATCAAGTGGCAGTTTCCTGTTGATACAACTCTCTTGAATGAAGAGCAGGCAGTAAGTGAGCCAATGAATTAACATCCCACTACTCCTCCTGATACATGTGACAGAATCCGGATTTCACATTCGCCGAGATCAGGTACACCACTTGAAAGCATGACGAACAATTCAGTCTAGTTTGAGTTAACCTATGGCTTGCAGAGGTTCCCTGCCGCACCTTTCTCACGACGATCCGACCGACGCGGAAGAGGTGGTATCGGTTCGTCTCAAAAATGGCGAAAACAAAACTATACAATGGATCCGCATCCATCAAGATGGCTCAGTGCGCAAGGTGATCTAGGCCACAGGATTGTTTAAGGATTTACAGGCCTTCTGCGGGTGACCTTGTATCTTCTGAGGGAGCTGTTCATTAATCCGCGCTTGTCAAATTGTCAATCTCCGTCTCTTTTTGGCGGCCTGAATGTCGATAGCACGGACCGATGAAATTCTTAGCATGATGTGGCTAAGAAGTAGTGAATCTACATGGCACTTTTCGTGTCAGTTGTCCGCCTCACATAATGAGGACCTTGTATTTTCAAGTCCAGTATCTGCACGTCCACCTTATGAGCTTGTCGCCCAGAGGCACACTTCAAACTATGGTGACCTCAACCAAGGATCCGATAGCAACTCTTTCGCCGAAGCTCGTTCTTCTGGTCGCCACCGAAGCATTTTGCGCATGAAACGGAGAAAGTTTTCTTGCTGTTCTCCTTGAAGGTTGCTTTCAAGGTCCTCCAAAGACGTAGAAGGAACTTCAGTGAGCCCCTTCCATTTTCCTATACCCCACTAATTAGAGACACACACTAAATCAAAGACGAGAAAGAACAGGGCAACTTTACCACTATTATCAAAGAAGTTCTTCGCATGTTCGCTTTTCTCAATCATCTCGCGCGGTGGTGGCCCTAGGTATGCAATCATTTCCGCAAGGTGATGGCTTTCTGAGCTTTGTTTGTTTGCATCTCGGGCGTAAAAGAGATGACCTTGCTCGAATAGGTCCCAGGCCTGCATGGGGAACAATCATTAAAAGAGGTACATAGATCTGGAACATTGAATGCACATACCACCACTGCAAGGTTCCAGATGTCAATCTTTTCATCCCAGGGCATGCGAAGTAGCACCTCGGGAGCCCTATAAATGAAGGGCTGTACATCACCGCAATACGTACCTGAATCCGACCCAAAGCGAGCCTCGCCGAAGTCTGACAGCACGGGCGACCATGCTTCTTCGGGATTCTCAGATTCCGAGAACAGTAGATTGCCCGATCCCCGACCACTCTGCGTGGACTTGGATTGGAAAGTTCCGCCTGCTCAAAATCGACGAGAATTGATTCATCTTCAACATTAAGCATGATGTTCTTTTCTTGTATGTCTGTTGTATATTAGCGTAGAACATGTCGAAAAACATCGAGGGCGCCAAACCAGTGTGAATCACGTGGGCCTCGCTATGCAAGAAATCCAAGGCAATGAGAATATGGATCAGAGTGGGTTTAAGCAGAATTTCTGGGAAAACCTTTTTGGCTGTCCGATTTCGAAGCTCATATAGACTCATGCCCAAGGGCGGGTGAATGAGACATTGATGGAAGGAGGAACCATCGGCTGAGCTGAGTTGGAATTTATCCAATACAGTACGCACGAGAATGGTACCCGTGTGGCTTGATCTGAGGCTTTCGAGGTGATCATAAACCTGAGATTCTCGTTCTGCATGAGCAGAGTCACGTTCGTATGTTTTCAATGTGACGTAAATGTGCTCCCTGGTACCAATTAGTTCTCACAATTCGTACCATTCTCATTAAGCATGGAGGAGGGGCTCACTGTAAATCTCTGCAAAGCAATACTGTTGAATACCCGCCGTAACCCAGCTTTCCGACCACTTGATATTTCGAATGAAAGACATCGCCAATTTTGACGGGAAAGAAGTTGTCTTGGGAGAACCATGCCAGTTTTTCCTCCTCCAGCTTGTCGACTGAGTCTAGAAGAGGGCCGGGTGAGAACTCTCGGGCTGGCGATGGGGGTCGCCGGAAAAAGGGCAACCTGAGAAGACGTGCTAGACGTTGCATCATGATTGTGGTCCAGAAAGTTGAAATGCAGTACAACAATGGATGAAGTTTAGTAAATGCTAGGTTAAACACGACTCCACAGCCGGGGTGGGGCGGTTAGTGGGTCACCCGCCCCGGTTGTCCAGGTGACTAAGCGATAGCAACACAACGTGATTTGTCAGGGGCACAGGCGGATTCCAGCTGACTGGGACAGGCACAGGTAAAGACCAACCAGATCCTGAATAACATAGTCGATAAACGAGCGGCCACTGCAGTAGGTACGAGTTTTCGCGAGATGTTGTGCTACTCCCGTCTGGTGTGAGACATAGATGCCTGTACTATTTCATGTGAACCATGTTTTGGAATAAATTTATCGCACACGCAGGCGGTGACCTACAAAGACATAGGCTCAAAAGGTTCAATTCAACTTCTGTCTGAGTTCTTTCTTCTTCTCTCATTATCAGCACCTTGCCTCTCTCTAAAATGCCCCCTCAACCATCGATCAACATATTCCCATTTCATCGCCATCCCACCCTTACTGCGTTTGAAATTAGCCAAAGCAACAGATCTTCTCGCGCCAGTGCCATGATTCTCGAGATTGTCTTCCGCAAAGTGATACCCCTCGAGTGAAATATCGTGATCCCACCCCCTTTCTTTGTGCAATAGGTTCCCAGTCAACTTCGCAAAGGTACCATTCAGTAGGAAATTCCGCTGTGCCATCCACCAATGCGTGCGGGTGGAGAAGGCCGCGAGCATGATCAGATGTTTCCAGTCCACATCGAAGGTGTCGGTAGCCATAGGTGCGCATTCAGCCAGCTCTTGACCTGGGACTTTGTCCATAAGAGCCGAGGTCATATGATAACTGTAAGTTTCGCGATCTCTTTGTAAAATCGAGCTTGGCGAGAGGTATTTGGCTGTCAGACTAGCATCGTCTTCGGCGGTGTCCTCTAGCCTTATCGATTCGATAGAGAAGATGGCTGGCAGGCGAAGGGCGATACGGGCTGGTAGATTCCTTGTATAGGACCAATTGATGATTCTATTTTATGTCAGTATTAAATTGGACGCAATGGAGAAACTCGAGAACATGCCCTTGAATGTTGTAATTGTCGTCGACGATGATGTTCTCCGCGGTTACTTCTTCATGAGATAGACAGAATTGGGTAGCACTGCATTTTTTGTTCAGGACTTTGAGACAGTTGACGACTTCGGGTCCGTGTGTACATTTGTCAAGGCATTCACCAGGGTGAGAGTAGACCTCATTTGGAATATCGAATGCTGCGCGGATGAGCTTTCGAAGCTGCATACATTCTTTGAGGTTGACTCCAGGCATTCTAGCACGGATCACGCCTAATGTTCTCGAATCGGCGAGGTTCAGTAAAAAGCGAACGGCACTTGTTCCGGTATCTATGATAGTTAGCCGAATGCCGCTAAGGAGGGCAAGTTTGGGTTACGGTGCTGCTCGGTCGCTAGGGCCAGATCAACCATGATATGGGCGAGTTGTTTGGAGACTTTCTCACGAACGTCCAAAGATGCCGGGATCTCGTCCTCCCATTGCATCGGCTTCCCATCAAACCAGCTCAGTAGCATGTATGGGAACTTCACAGGATTGTCGAATCGAACTGAGTAGGTAATGGGTCGCGGGGACCAAGGGAATCCTCTGTCCTCGAGATATTCCAGTGTGAATGTTTCCCTTTCGACCGTGGTCGTGATAGCCTCACGTTCTTCTTCGGTCGAACTGGGCATGAAAATCGGCAGCTGTACGGCGCACTTGGAACCATCGGCATACTGGAAGACGTAGACGGCATAGAAACCTCGTCTTAAAGGATAATCACGGGTTCGCAGGATGAAGCGTGGTTCGTCCTGGGAGGATTGGAAGTTACTCGCGATAGCTGAGAACTTTGTACGGGTTCACTTTGATCATGGCGATGGTTGAATATGCGGTTTGCAGCGAGGAGGAAACTGTGGAGCCAGAAGTGAATAAGCTTGAAGATCAATAGCTGAAGTGAAGGAATCCCCGGAGAGTATCAGTCCATACATGGAAACAAAAGAGACGGACGCAAGTGAGGCCGAACACACTATTTCTCGTTCTTGGGAGCTTCCCTAAAAGACCTCCTTCGAAACTTTGGCTCCTTTGTGAAATATAAACTACTTTTCGAACCTTCGGAAGACGAGTCACGACCTTCTTCTTCACATCTTGACACCTTGATCTGGCGCAGAGGTACACAAAGAAAGTAATGTTGCTTAATCTTTATAGAAGATTTTAGAATAGCACGAGAATAGATGAATAAATATATGACCCCTTTTCATATGGTTTTCAAAATCATGGTGGACGATGTCGAAGAGTAACTCTGCTTGGAATCCTCGACCGATACTCATCACCGTGCGGGCGTTATAACCATGTTTTTCCCTCAGCCCCAACCAGCAATCGACACGGGTGATGATTTTACCATGTCAATACAATTCTAACCCCAAGTGAGACTTGACAATCTTGAGTGCCACAGGAGGACGGAAAGTAAAGGACAAAGAGCCACAACAATTTGCATTGTTTGTTCTAGCTGTATATCCTGAAGCTCGGGCAGGTGGACTTTTTTCTAGATCCGAGGATGAGATTGATGAAGACCTCTATTTGAAATGCAAATGAAACTTAAGGGTTCAAATACTCTACATACATCTAGACCAGGAATTCGTGCATCTCACTAGAGGGATCACCGCTTAATGTCTGAAGAGTGTCGCACCGTAACAATCCCTACGATTGACTTTTTCAAGCCAGCTAACTTTCAGCCAAATCATCAAGACCAATGAATTCGTACATATGCAAAAAGTGGATAGTGAAAAACAACTATACATACATCACTACAGAAATAAAAGAAAAGAACAGAATAGCCACCAAAGCTGTATGGCGTATGTAGATAGAAGTAGAAGAGAAACAGCACAAGCCAGCATAACAAAAAGGCTTCGGGTATGTAAGCACTCGCGCTTTGAGAGCAAACACGGACATAAAAGGGACTGAGAACAAAAAAACAGAAATGAGAAACGTGAGAATGACCATACTCCCAATCGATTTGGCCTTTGTATCCCCAAAAGATAGATCAGAGAGTACAAAGGCCAGGTTGGTCTATACAAGGCCTCTGGGACATGCATCATTCATCGTTTCTTCCACGGGTGGGAGAAACTAATTAGTCATCCATCGGCTTGTCTTCCAGGGTTACGCCCTTGGGTTCGCTTTCAGCGATACTGCTTCGCTGACTTTCGGTGCCGGAGCCGGCTGAAGTGGGGAAGCTGGAAAGGCTGCCGAGGCCTGGTTTGCGGGTGTAATGACCACCCACTGAGCGCGGGATGGACGCTCGCTTTTCAAATTCACTGGAGGTTGCCGCGGGTGTTGGAGTTGGCGTTGGGGAGCCGTCGGAGACTGTCTCGGCAGGTGGTGGCGGGCTGACCGAGCCATTGGAGCTGACCGAGCCGCTGACGCTGGCGTTGTCGGGCACAGAGTCAGGAGACTCGGTTGGAGTGCCATCTGAGATGGACTCGTTGGCCGCAGCGGTGTTTACGGTGGGGTGCTCTCCAGTTGTGGGAGAGCCATTGGTGGGTACATCCAGACCGGTGCCACGGGTTCCCCGGCGCTCGGCTGGGCTTGACACGTTGATAGGAAATCGGCCAATCTCTGAAGCGCCGCTGGAGCGGTCACGACGGTGCGCGCGACGACCTGAGGGGCTGGTAGCACGACTGCGGTTGACAATGGCACGCTGACGGGCTTCCATGGCGGCACGGCGGTTACTCTCGTCTGTGCTGATGGCTCGCGGGCGGCTGGAAGTGGAAGCGCCCAGTGCACTCGATTGGCGTTTCAGTTCACCGAAGATGGAGTCTTTGTGCGCGAATAAATCTCGAATTAGGCGATAGCTGTGGCGCTCGTCCATAGTCAGGCTGCTCTCAGTGCGAGGTCGAAGAACACAAGGCGAAAGGGTCTGAGCCAACGAGGCAATGTACTGTTCGTCGGCCGAGGTCAAATCAATCAGGCGTGTAAAGTGGGTCATGATGGCATCAAGCGTAGCAATGTTGACGAGACGGAGTTGTCCAAGCGTGCTCTGCAGGACCTTGATCCGTCCCTCTTCCGTAGTCTCGTGAGCGGTGGTTGAATATATGGTCTTGACGATTTCGTAGACTTGCGAAGAAACAAGAGAATCTGAAGCATGTAAGCATGGCTCGAAACGACCTTGGAGGAAGACAAACCTGGCAACTCAAGAAGGTACAATTTCAAAACGCTAGCAACAATGGGTATCTCAAATTTGGGCAGGACTTCACGATAATCCACTTTGCTGTTGTTCAGAGTATTACGCAGCTGGTGTGTAATCAAAAGCGGAGGATTGTGAAGCCAAATGGCACGTCGGGCCTCATCACCCTCGAGTTCGGGGTAGCCTAGTAAATATGTCAGCTTCTAGGCCGAATTCGCATGGTTCAAAGGTGTTCCTACGGTTATCCAAGTAAGTCAAAAGAGTTGTCACCAAGACGGGGACACGTTTGCGGTCGACTCGAGCCCTGGCTTCAAGGTCGACGCCGAAATTTTGCTCTTCAACGGAGCCATAGTAGTTTTCGTATGCCTGCACCTTGGGAACAAAGCCTCCAGTGCGGTAGTTCTCAAGGAGGTACTTCAGGTCTCCCAGTGGCTGAATAGTCTCCTGATAGAGCATCATGTGGTCCACGGTGCTTTGGAGATTGGGAATGACGTTACTGATCGCTCCGGAAAAGTCGAGCACGACGGCCTTGATGGCCTTAAGGCGGTCGAGCTCACACTGTTCCATGAAGCGCAGGTTCTCGATGACATCTTCTTCTAAGCGACATCGGATCTGGTCAAGTCTTCGAACGGCGTTCTTGTAGCGCTCGTCAGCTTCCATGGCCTCTCTCCGCAGCTTTTCAGCAGGAGTTTCGTTTGGGTAAGGATTGTTAAGGGGGTTCCAGCCAGCCAGCATTTCCGAAACCGAGTTGATGGGAGACTCGGCGACACTTCCATCTTCGCTGGAAGCGACCGAGGTAACACGCATCAAAGGCCTCTTCTTTTCGGGAATACCGGTAAGCTGGAAGACCTTACTGCGCCATTGGTAGTTCATCTTGGAGCTGTTGGCAAAGACACTACCCATGTTGCCAACCAATCGGAGGAAACCGCCATCAACGAGATCCTGACCAATTCTTTCGGCCTGGGCGAGGTTGGTGGCATCCATGTAGGTCTGAACATACTCAACAATATCCGCGCCAGTTGAGGTATTTTGATAAGTGCCGATGATAGGTACCTTCGCCTCGCCGATTCGGATGTTATTCAGCATGTGCACGAGAATCTTCTTAATTTCCTCAGGGGAGAAAATGCGGTCTCCCAGCTCAATGGGCTCCTCTTCGGGCTCTTCCTCCGTGGGAAGAACAATCTTTGGCGTGGCTTTGAGCTTAGGGCTCGTATCTGGGTCCTGGAAAGCGAGCTTGTTCTCCTCCTCCAAGTCTTCCAATACACGGCACTTGTTAAAATAGGTGCTGCGCAGTTTCTTCACCAGTTCCACCTGCTTGGTGTGCTCCTTGATCCGAGCCTGAAGGTTATCATGGGATGCCCCCACGCGGTATTCATGCTGGTCGCTCCAGCGTCGGAAAGGCGCCACGACGAGTTCTCGAATGTTGTTGGCGATCTTTTGGTGATTGCGAGAGGCTTCGATCATTTCAGTGCGAACACCTTCATATGCCTTTGAAGCGGAAGAACGAAAATCAGCGAAATTCAACGGTATCCCAAAGTCGCATATCCCATACCTTTCGCACACTCGCTCCGTCATCTTTGCCGAAACCTGCACCTGTCAAGCGATCTACACTAGGCGCAATGTCACCCATGCGGAGACCATACTGCTCCTCCGCATCAGCCCTCATGGCTGCGATAGTCAAAATTTGCTTATTCTCCACCACACCCTGCTGCAGCTTCCCGTACAGAACCCCAAGACCGGTCGCATAGTCCGGGGTCCAAAATGAGTCCGAAAATCCAGGCATTATGATTTCCAGCAGGCAGAAGAATGACCTGTTCAAGTGGTGACAAAGAAAGCAGAACGAGAACCGAAGCAAAAGAGAAAGTGAGCTAAGAAACTGTCGTTGAAGGCGTAGGAATCGGGAAAAGACCGCAACCGCGCAAGGCTTAAAGAAGGCCTCTGAACCCAGACCGATCAAAACTGAACCGTCACAATTCAAGCTCCCAGCACCGCAAGTAGACCGGCTAGCTTTATCAAATCTCTGTTCAGATCCTGCGCTATGAGGTGCAGCGCATCAACTGTGAATTGAATTGCAGGTGCGGAGGCTAGGGAATGCGGGCGCGCGGCAAGGTAAGCGCCCGGCGAGTCGACGGAAAACAGGAAATGAGCGAAAGCAGGCCGGGCGGACAGCGATTAGAAGGCAATACGCCGCACCAGAACGCAAAATGAGGAGCAAAAAAGGGGTCGTGTACAGCGCAAGAGGTGATGATGTTGATGAATTTCCATCGCAGCACTTTCGTCAGGTGGCTTGTAAAATTACCGGTCATCAACTTACGCAGCCCTTCTTTTCTTGGCTCCACTGCACTATTTCCTTTGGGACTAGGAATCGCCTCTATTTTTGGATCGGCTCATCTTGGGTCACCATTACGCTGAATTACCTCAAATCTTTCGATATTTTAGGTGAAGGGATTCGCCAATGTTCATCTTTGGTGCAACGGCATACTGCTTTTGTCGAGGCGCCGAGTCGTTCAGGCGGGAGAGTCTTTCGAGGTTTCTCAGAGGGACACAGGGGCGGTATTGGCGTTACATACACAGCCCCAGGTGCAAACATGCCAAGTCTGAGGGTCAACACGAAGATCGGCGAAGATTCTCACCAGGAGCTCAGTAGCTACGTAATGCGGTATGGAATTTTGGCAGGGAAATATTCATATTGATTTTATGAGAGAGTCATTAAGACATTCAAGATGGGAGGCATGTCAAACGGGTAAAAGATGTACAGAAAAACCTGTGAGATCCCATGGATTCGTTCACAGATGTCTTAAAAAATATGGAGAAGTCTAACAGAAGAACTTGTAGACCTTTTTCCACTTCGGCCATGCCTCCTGCTCAGCCTTCTCTTGCTCAACAAGATCCTGAAGATCCAGATCACGGCGACCGGTCTGCAGATCCATGTCACGCGAGCGCACGACCTTGGTGCGGTACCAGATCTTGTAGGGGACGTAGAACGCAATGACGACCGGCGCGGCGAGGTAAACGGAGAAGAAGTTCTCCACCAGGGCAGATGCGCTCTCCTCAGCATAACCGACAGGAGCAAAGCCGACCCAGAATTGGGCGACCAATACGAGGCAGTTAAAGCAGAAGCCGATCCACGATCCGATGACGCCGGGCTGAGAGCGGAATGCCAGCTCATTCAGGCTGTGGCCCTGGATCTTCCAGGCACGACGGAAGCGAATGTGGCAAAGGCAGACAGAGCCCCAGGTGAAGATGGACGAGAGACCGGAAATGGCCATCATCCACTCGAAAGCCTGGGTCTGTTTGTCCGAGGCCGCTAGGAAGCAGAGCAGACCTAGAGCTGAGGAGACAAGGATAGCAAACATGGGACGACCTTTGCGGTCAATATAGGCGAGGAAGCGAGGAGCCTGGCCCTGCTCGGCGAGAGCAGCCAGGGTACGGGAAGCACCATAGACTGAGGAGTTACCAACAGATAGGACGGCAATCATGATGACCACATTCATCACCGAAGGCAGACCCGAGATACCGGCGTTCTCAATGGCAATGACGAAGGGAGATGCCTTGGCGTCGGCGGACGAGGTGCCACTGACCAGGCGGGGATCGTTATACTGGACCAGAAGGCCAACGAGGGTGAGGGAGACAACGTAGAACAGGGCGATACGCCAAAAGACCTGCTTGATGGCGGTGGGAAGGGACTTGCGGGGGTTGGCAGTCTCAGCAGCGGCGAGACCGACCAGCTCAGTTCCAGCAAAAGCGAAGGCAGCGTTGACAAAGACACTGCAAAGACCCTTGAAGCCGTTGTGGAAAGCACCAGGATCGTGCCAGTATTTACCACCGATGTAGCCCCCCTCAGGGCCGCCACCACAGTTGAGAATGATGCCCAGAATACTAGAGAGAAAGTCAGAAAATGATTGAGAGGATGGAAAACCCGAAGCTGGAATGGAACGAACATGAATCCGATGACGGCGGTGACCTTGATGATCGAGAAGACGAATTCGGCTTCACCATAACCTCGAACACCGAACATGTTGATAGAAACGATCAAGACCCAGAATATCGCGACCCATGCGGCGTTCGAGACATTGGGACTCCAGTAATCGACGGTGATAGAGGCCGCGACAATTTCTAAGGGTAAAACGACCAGCCACTGCAGAGCATAGTTCCAACCCATAGCGAAACCCCAGGCGGGGTCGATGAAACGAGTCGAGTAATGTGAGAAAGAACCAGCAACGGGGAACAAGACGGCCATTTCACCAAGAGCGTGGACTGTACAGTAGAGCATAATACCGATGAGAACATACGCGATGAGGACAGACGCGGGGCCACCAGCCGCCAGGACTGAGCCCGATCCGACGAATAGACCAGTACCTGAAAGAGAGTCAGCGGGCCGATCGATGGATAGTCAGTGGGATAACGAGATGCATACCGATGGAACCACCAATGGCGATCATCTGAAGATGACGACCCTTCAAAGTACGTTGTAAAGGCGATTCGGCGGTGTTCTGTGCGGCGGTTTCGAGATCGAAGCCAGAGCCGTCGGCACCGGCAGAGTGACCGCCAGTGACGCGGGCATTGGGGTCCCGCTTGAAGCTATCTGCGACGCGCTGCGTCCAGGTGCCTCGAGTGGGTTCCGAGTCGCCATAGGCAGGCAATGGCTCGGTCGTCGTTTGGACCGGCTCGATCTTCTTTTCCTCCATGGTTGCAATTTATTTCCCCAGATCCAGTAAATTGGGATTGGTGTGGTGGAGGGGCAGGGGGGAAAAGGAAGGGGACAGGAGAGTTGTGAGGTGTAAGAAAATAGTATGCTCTAACTTAGAGAGGAGCCGGACCGCCGTGAGGGAAAACCCGGGGATACTAGTGGAGGGGGGACAGGGAGGCGCATGTTTAAATATGGACGAGGACAAGGACAGCCTGGACTGGGACGTTTTCTATTAGGTTTACATCTCTCACAATGTAAATTAGAGTCTATCAAGATAGCCAATCGACAGGGTCCGTAGATAGGACCACTCTGACCAGAACCTGATCCTACTTAGCTTCCTAATGATAATTCTTACCCTTGGCAATTAGGAACGTGCCCCATTGAATCAGAGATTCCATTTTCCTTTTCTTGAGCTTTTCTTATTTGCAATGCGTGTAGCTGTCGGTACTCTGCATGGCAATTCCACCGAGATGGCCGCAAACGGTGCACTCGAGAGATAAGCCATCCTGACGGTCAATGTCTCTTACGCGGAACGGGCCCGAAGGCTAGCAAATTCGCCGACATTCCTCGTACTGGCTCGGGGCTAGCCTCGTGTGATCTAGCCCTTCAAGACGGGACGATCCCACCCCGTGTCTCTATACCGTAAACTCTCTTAGCTTTTCCCCAGGAATCGCTGCCCCTTCGTCACTTGCAGCCAGTCAACCCCCTGTCAATTCCCTCAATTTTTCTTTTCCAAAATTTGCCGGGCTGAACCCAGATTGTGCCACTGCGGGCCACACCCGGGCACCTGAAGCTTAACTTCCAACTCAATGTTTCTGAACCTAAACCGGCAGGTTGGAGACCCACTACCTTTACTAAGCCCGATCCGGCTTCTCTCCGCACTTTCCACGCGATAGCCAGCCTTGATCCAATCAGATCCCATGCTCGCGGTAATAACCAACATGGCAAATGATGATATGACATGCTAACATCCATGGCAACCATATTGCACGTTGCCTCCAGGGTCAGAGTCTGGGTCTAAAGTCAGGGACCCAGGGGACTCAGGGTCGTCCAAACCTTCCAGCCTTCTCCGGAGTCTGGGTGGCTCACAGGCTGCATCGCATTCGCCGTGCCACCGCCATCCCCCAGCGCCCCCTTACCTATAGGAGGATGTCCCGGCGGGGTCCGTTCTTTTGGCGCTATGGGCTCTTCCCGGAGCATGTGTGAACTACGAAATAGCTGCTTAGCCCAGAGACCCGAATTGTGATCCACTCGCGAGACAGAGACAGGAATGTCAGATGGGATGGGGTCTCGGATTCCCCATGAGTCTGGAACTGAATGCTAAGCCCGACCACGATCCTGAGCCTGCCATGATCCGAGGCATTTTCCACGCGAATGGAATCCTGAAACTCTACCGCAGCCCGATCCTTGAACAGCCCGATGATTCGCTTGGCGGCTCGGGTGGCTCGTGGCGGTCTGCCACTGATATGCATGGAAGCACGGGAGAATTAATGTTAAACGATTTAACACAGGGATGGACGCGGGGGACGTCATGCGGTGTAGATGGTCATTCGATTTGCCAAGTAGCTCGTATACCTGGACCAAGCGCCTTGTTTCTCGCCTCTGGTAGGCTGAGCGTTTCACGCGTCGTCAGTTCACTATGATGCCAAGGGCTGCAGAGAGGGATCCAATCCACAAAGGGATCAGGATGCGTCGAATATCGTCAGTCGTTTCTTTCTAGAGCCCCACGGCTATGCTCCAGGAGCCAAGGTTGGCCTTATCGCAAAATGCAAGGATGCGTTGGGCCTGCATATCGGGCCCACCGTTATCAGAGCCCAAAACCACCACCATCTGAGAGACTTTGCATCATACCCATAAATTCGGAGATAGTGAATATATCGTTGTGTCAATATCGAGATCCTCCGTTCAGCCCCTTTCTGAATGAAGAGGACCTCGCGTTACCAAAATGCTTGACTTTCAGCCACTCCAGCTAATGGCGCTCAGTGTGGCTTGCTACTGGTTGTGCCAACCCATTTATTAGCCACGGTAGCATCCGGCTAGGGTTGGCGCTACATGTGATTTTCGCGGAGTCGGTCATTGTCTTTGCAATGGAAGCATGGGCCGAGGTCTCGAAACATGAAACGTGTGCTATTGGTTCCAGGGCGTTGACGGTTTGCCCCCAGCCATGGTCTCATCTCCATGCCAAAACCAAAAGGCAGAAGACTCGATCACGACCCATGAGCTCAATGTACATCTATGCACCTGTCATTCTGGCATCTGGCATCGGACCTGCCAATTTGATCTGATGATTTTGGTGTCGTGCACCAGTGGCGATTGCCGTAGCCAGGGCTGCGCAAGCCGACGGCGCCCACTTTCCCCAAATTAAATTAACCCTGGGGTAGAAAGTCAATCACGCGATGGAGCAAAGTTGACCGACTGCGCCACCTCCGCTCCAAATCTCACTTTTCAAGGTCCTGTCTTCGCATCTTGTCGCGTTAGAGTTGTCCCACACCTTTGCAAAATGCGGGGATGGAAATCTGTTAGGTAACAGTTTCCACTTCATCTCCGGACTTACATTTAGTGACTCTGGGGCACAGCGCTAGCAGGGCCCGGCTGAGACTTGCCCTCGAACTTATGATTCAAATCTTGTATATTTATTACGTGCTCGTCGTAGGGGCTGTTGGAAGGGCGATTGAGTTTATGGTCGTAGGCAGGTGTGTGTACCCACGAATTACGCCTCAAAATCATGTCCAAGCTAGGCGCCGGAGCTGTTACTTATCAAAATTTTGCGGATGGCTACATGAGGCGGGAGGAGGAGATTTGACTTAGGATCGCATTGGGTTCTCTACGTTTCTGCCTTCGTTGGTGTACAGATGTTATCGCAGTCATGCAGGCTAGTTTAGTTGCGGGTGGCACCAAAATCTGGTCACTAAAGCGACCTGGCCCGTTGAATATCGGTGCTAGTGCAGATTCCGCATCTAAGACCTGGGATAGAGTTGCGAAGATCCACCATGACTTCACTTTCGAGAATTTTCGTGGGGTAATAGACTTTCCCTCGGGATCTGCGTTGCGACCCCAGAAGTACGTGGCCCAGGTCATGAAATGGCTTCGTATTCCAAGTCGTATCTACAAACAGACTTCTAACGAACTCAGTGCGACGATTGCTCAAACAGCCGGTCGCAGCCGTTGCTAAGCTGCGTTGAAATACTCCGGTCCAGAAGAATATGCTGACGCGTGGCGTCTGCTTACCGGAAAGCCCGTGGCTGGCGTGCCCGACGGTCGATGTCTGATTGGGAATGGAATTTCGCTCGACGATTACAGACTGGAGTCGAGAGCTTTGTTCTGACCTTGGCATGATTGCCTCGTATCTTGCAACGTGGCGCTCGCGTCCTGCAGGCGGCCATGAGGCTATTGACGGGATCGGGTTTCATGCGGATTCTACTCCATAGGTGGATGTTGAGTGGTGCAGGTGTATGGGGGTGCTTGGATTAGTTGGCCGGCTTGGCTATATTTGATATGCAAACTCCTCTCACATCAAGGCATTCCTAGGCATTGCTGAAGACAAAAGGCCCAATATGAGGGATCCTTTCATTCTGTCCATGGGACTTTCATATCGTTGCATTCGGTATCATTAAAACACAAGCTTTCATTTCATCACACGCAAGGAAATGACAAATTATCTCATGCGCTGGCAGAAGGGCCCTCGCCGCCGGGAATCAACTGGACGATAATTAGAAAGAGGATAGACGATTGTGCTCAAAATGAAAGTCTTACCATGCAGACGTTGTTTCCATTCAGGAGAAGCTTGGGAAGCTTGATTTGAGCACCGGTGTAGTCACTGAACGGCTGTTAGAAGGTTATTTCATTGGAAATGTTCGCTGAAGTCGTAACGACAGGCTTCATGCTGTCGAGGCAAGAAACTGCAGCAAACCCTGACAACCATCTGATAGAAATCGTGACTATGCTTACAATTCGGTGACATCTTCCAAAACCATGTCTAAGCAATTGTTAGCACATCGAGAACCCGATATGGCGGCCGAAATCGAGATACTTACTGACGTAGTCGTCAAACCCGAGCAGAGTGCCGGAGAACTCTTTACGTGGGTCAGCCTCACTCCATTGGTATCCTTCATACCGGCCTAGTACTCACCCTTGTCGCCCTTCATGATCACCCAGATCCGGGAGCCGACACACTTGTCGATAAGCTCTATCAAAGGGTTAGCGGGGTGACACGGTGCGCGGGACAAACGCGAACGCACCGAGGGGCAAAAGCTGCGAAGCCATTATGATTGGAATGTATGAAGTCAGAGATACCCCGGAAAACACTCAGGCCGTATTTCTAGCACCAAATACGAACAGACAGAGCGAGCAAGGCGAAATATCAAAGACGACACCGCGAGCTCTGAGGAAGCTGGTTTTTCTCCGGGCCGAGCGGCTAGACCAAATTTGGACTAGCCGCACTTCCCCGATACTTTGTTCTCTAACACGTCGATCTCCTCAACATATCTTGCTACGAGACCGTTGGAACCCAGTCACTCGTTAAAGGGGCTGCTTCATTATTAGCACACTGTGCAACCACCGCAAGAACCCTCAGATGAGGCCCACTATGCTTGCGACGCAGAATGCGAACGTGGTTCAGCCTTCCAGCAGGCCTGAGGCGTTCGTCCTTGGCCGCAACACAAGGCGGCAATTCATGCAGTCGTTACATTAATGGTGTAGCTGCATTATCAGTACAGAATAGGTATGGCCGCTTCGCCTCACCCTTTGATGCAAGGCCAAGCAGTTGACTCCATTCAAGCAATGATAGTTTCTGTACCTCACAACGAAGCCCAGGGCCCGGCGCCATTCGCCGTCGACAAGTTCTCAAACAGCGTTTAGGCAGCTTGCGGTTGGCTCGAAACTTCTCGAGTACGCGCGCCGCTCGAATTATACTGGAAGAAGATGATGAAGAGGACACTCCAAGTTCGCCACCCCTGGTCCACCGACAACCCAAGCGTCCGGATGGCATACGTGCTAGCAAAGACAATCTGCGGAAAATTCTTTCATCTCGGACAGAGAAACCTAAGAAGCGTACTGTCTTCACAACCCAGGACCGGGTAGAGATTATCATGATTGAGCACAAGCTTCTAAACATGCCTCGCGTCTCTCAACTCGGTCAGGAACTTGTTGACATCAAATATCATAACTTCAGTAACGCTCTTTGGAAATGTGAAAACCATCTCCGATTGTGGGACAAGCAATATGCCGAGGCCTTCCATTTAATTGTCATTGAGCCCTTCAATGCAACATTCGCATTGCTCCAGGCTGAACTTCAAGAAAACCATTACGAGAACAGGCTGATTGAGCACGAATATTGCAAGATTCGCTTCGAAATTTATCCCGCTCTTCAAAAGCAAGTTGAGAACTCGGCACGCATCATCTGCAACCTACAGATTGCAGTCATCCAGGGAATCGGCAAAACGCTCGAGAGAGTTGTTAAAGATTCGGAAGCCTACATACGTGATCTTATTCACCTGGTGGAACGAAATTATCTGGAGCCTCGCAAGTCCGCTAGAGCCAAAGTCGATGCCCTGCTGCAGTATTCGGAGAAGCTGCAAGAAGAGTACCGTCGGCTTCAAAAGAAAGGGTTCGCTGTGCGAGACGGGGCGATTGAAATCCAAGGGGCCTTGTTCAGCCTGGCACACACGCGTATACCCGGTGGTTCAAAGTTCATGGCAATGGCACATTCACTCAAAGCAAATACGGTAGCAACTGCTCAGATCGCCCATTTCCACCGAGGCTTTTGGTACAGGTCCAGGGGATTTCAAGATCCGCTCAAAGCCGCAGGCGACCATGTCCCAAAAAAAGTTATCCAACACAATTTTACACGGTCTCCCTGGGAGGTTTCGACCGCAATGTTGTTGGATAGACCCCCTGATTTGAAACGGACTATTGAGAAGGAGCAGACCTTGCCCGCCCGTCGGCTGTGGGTGAATTATCGAAAGTGGCGCCAGGGACCCCAAACCACTAGATGTTCGCCTGAGAACAGATATCTACGCCAACTTGATGTCATGGCGCCCTTTGACATTCTCGGTTTTATGCAGCGAGACATCTTCCATGAGGCCTACTACTTACTAGGTTCCTTGCAAGGCACATATGGCCCAATGTGGGATGGCCTCTCTCCTTCTGAAGCCATACAGTCTGCTCACCAGATCTTCGATTGGGCCACCAAATACCGCCAAGCACAAAAAGAGTTCACGGCAGAGCTGGATCTGTACAGGAATGTCAATTGGATTCGGCTTCAAACAGAAGAAAAACTCGAAGACTTGGGCTTGCCCAATATGCAAAGACAGGGCTTCTTCAATCTGCCTCGGCTATTGAGTCAAGACGACTCTCTATTTGAATCCTACGTCAATTCACTAGTCTCAATTAGCATCAACTCGTGGTGGATGTCTGTGATATTGGATACCAAACAAGAGTCTTTGGTGAGCTCCACAACGTTGGTAAAACCATTCTGGACTCGCATGGGCAAACTGATACGCCACCGAGAGAGAATTATGAGAGCCCCGGGGATTCAAAATCTGGGCTCTGAGACAGCAGTTCGAAAGCCTTTACGGCGGAGAATACGTCAAAGGTTACGTTACACTTCGAAAGCTGCCGCACATATTCATGACAAGTCAACGGCTCGACATCTACATGGTCAGCCTTCAAAGGTGGCTCTGAAAGATCAGGGAAAGAAGGCCGATATCCGCAATCATTCATCAACCCAAGCGCAAGAAGTGACAGAGTCTGGACAAATTCCATTCGCAGCTGCCATGTCTAAGCTCATGGGAGCATTTTGGGCTAAGAAGGAGACCAACTCCGAGCCGAGAGCATCTCCAAAGATATCGTTTGACGCAAATACCCCGGACAACCAGCATCTTTCTAAGAAATGGGGGTCGGATAAGAAGGCGACTGGCAACCGTGTTTCGTCTGCAAAGTTGGCGTCGTCTGAGCCTTCGGGGACGCATCGATCAAGAGTGAACGACCCCTTTGCGACTTCGAACGATCTCCAAGCAACGGCTGCGACGAATCTAAAGAATCGCAAACGCAATGCCTCGGATACAGACCTGGAGCTAACGGTGAATAAGCTTCAGGCACTGGCCGAGCTCGACGCGTCGAAGCATGAGTCTTTTCCATCGAGAGCGGCAGCACCAGCTGTACGAAAGCCTTCAAGTTGGAAGACCTTCAGAGCCTTTTCTCGCCGAGTAAGAAGACGATCATATTGTACCAATTCCCGATTCAACCATGCCAATGTCAGGAACTGCAGCCATGACTCTCTGGAAGACCGAACAGCTACCACACCAGTGCCATCGATCAGAAAAGTCACTGAAGATATTGTTTGGTCCACAGAGGACGAATTACCCTCAACCCAAATATCATCGTCTGTGCTTAATGGTAAAGCCAAATCACAAATCACCCCGTCATTCTGGACACACAGCGACCAAAGAGCCCCAAACGGTCAGAAAATTGTTGTACATTACTGCAAAACCCTCGAAAGCACTGAAGAAATCTCGAAACTCTTCCTTGATAGCAAAGTCATCGGCTTCGACATGGAATGGAAAGCTCAAGCCTTCGCTACAGACACTATCCAGAACAATCTCTCCTTGATCCAGATTGCGAACGAGGACCGCATCGCGCTTTTTCAAATCGCCCTATTTAAGCCGGCCCGTGGTCTGGAAGACTTTGTTGCTCCGACCCTCCGACGCATTCTCGAATCTCCTGCGATCACCAAGGTTGGAGTTGCCATAAAAGCGGACTCGACTCGTTTGCGCAAGTTCCTTGGCATTGAAGCGCGTTCGATATTCGAGTTGAGCCACTTGTTCAAGTTGATCAAGCATGGTCTGGCAAATCCAAAGCTAGTCAATAAGAGGAGTGTCAATTTGAGTGAGCAGATGGAAGAGCATTTTGGCATGCCTCTTGAAAAGAGCGAAGATGTGCGATGCGGGGATTGGACGAGGTCCTTAAATTATCGTCAAGTCCAATGTGAGTATGCTTCTACTCAATGCTTACACCAAACCTAACATGTCATCAATAGATGCCGCTACGGATCCTTACGCATGTCTCTGTCTGTTTAATGTCATGGAACGAAGGAGAGAGTCCATGGTCCCTGTCCCGCCTCGCCCTGCGCATGCTGAACTGAATCAGCCAATTGTCATTCCCAGCGGGGATTTGGTGAGGAGCGGAGATAAAGAAGTTGCAGCCACTGATCCCATCGAGATTGACATTGCTGAGCATTCCTAGATAGCCCTGAAATCTTGTGTCGAGTGACTTGCTTCTACATTTTATCCTCTTGTCCATTTTCCGATCATATACGGAGTTCTATTTTCTATTTCCGTTCAGATACGCATTGCGTTGCCTCAGAGCAGCGAGCACCTTTATTTTTCAATACCTCTCATTGATCTATGAAGAAAACATTCATCATTCCATTTACACTGCCAACTGTCACATCAAGTTCTGTTTCCTCTTTGGCTTCTGGTTCTCTCGGAGAAGCCCAAGCGAGCCCTTGACTATCATCATAGTTTCTTTGAAAACATTTCTCACTTGGCATGACTCTATGACATGACGCAAACGCTGGGCATATGAAGCATGAGACTTGAAACTAAACATACTTGGCGTATACATAAGTCATAAAGTCTCAGCAGTCCATCCAAATGATCCTTCAAGATGGGTTTCCGCCCGCAGGTATCGCCTTTAAGAGCACAGCCCGAATCATCTCACCCAGCGTAGGAGACGGTGTTACCCCACCAGTTGAAATTCACTTGGTGATACTCCACGGCAAAGAAGATGATAACGGCCGAAATCGCCAGCGCTGCACCAAAGAATGACGTGAGCACGTATGTGTATTTCTCCCACCAAGCGAGATAGTGGCGCTTGATGTAGAAGTTGAAGACGCTGCCAACGATGAAAGGAGCAATACAACAGGTCAAATTGTAAGGCGCAAAGTTGATCATGCCGTAGAGCAGCAGTAGGGAGTAAATATAGCGAGCTCCGGACTTTGGGAAGTACTTTGATGCCAAGTAAAACAGGACAGGCGATTAAAGACCCATCAGGAACCCATACAGAGTGTAACTATGCATTTGACCATTGGCGAAGAGCCTCCGGGGTCCGATTGCACCCCAGATGACTGAAGAGGTGAAGAATGTTGTGATATTCTCGCAATTGAACCCGGCTGCTTGGCCTGTTTCGCAGACGTCCTCGATATTTGCCAGTGCCCACGCATTCACACCCATGCTGACAAAGGTGGCCACAATGGTTGCAATGATTTAAGCGCTGAACATGACGCGCGGGGCGATTTTCATGTAATGGCCCATCCTCAGGTCGGGGACAAACTGGATGGGCTGCGCGCATGAAACTACCTCATATGTTTTGAAAATCATGTTGCCAATGGGTTGGTTGGGGATAGCGTATCCAGCAATCAATTCGGCAATGACATTGTTCGTCACTTCAGTGTTAGTGATGGCATAGACCATGCCGTATGGCCTTTGGAGAATGAGACACAGAAGGACACCGACAACCCTGCCCTAGATGGGGAATCCGGTGTCGTAGAACCGGGCAGTGATACAGCCAATAGCGAAGCTAAAGGCCCAAATTGCCAGGTACCACAACTCAGGTAATTCCTATAACCTGGGCCTCGTATGAAGACAGAAAGATATAAGGGTATCGCAGGGTGGACAACTGATTCACGCCAGTGAACACGATAATCAGGAGCATACCAATGAACCAGGCGCGAAAGATGTTTTCTTGCCTTCGCGATACATTCCGGAGCTGTGGATCAGACCTAAATACTATAGCACATTCCTTCTTCTTACGTTTCCGGGGGCACGAATGCATGTATGTTGAGAATTAATCAGATGCCAAAGCCCCGATATCAGCTTAATAGACTGGCCAGCCCTTGAATTGACACTGGCCCGGCGGCGTATAAAAATCGACACACCCAGGTCACTGTTCAAGCGGTGGAGAAACCCCCAGTGCATCCTCCGACCATGCTCACCAAGATCGATCACGATATGAGCACCATAGGGCCAGGCAACGTCGAGAATGGGGAATTTAAATGGCAATAGTGGAGTAAAAGCATCGAATCAGAAGCCAAGGAGGGTATATGTTCGTCCAAATCAAGTATATACATCTAGAAACTTGTCAAAGCAACCAAGCCTCACGCGAAATGTAAACAAATTATATCCTTAACACCGGTCTTCAGGACTACCCTCTCAGAGGAAGCACCTTGGCCAATAAAACCTCTTGTCGACACAATGGACACTCGGGCTTCTCGCGCACCCAGTCCCGAACACAAACCCAACAGAATACATGCCCACAAGTCGTCACACTAGGATCTTTGAAAACCTCCAAACACAACGTACACTTCCGCTGCTGCCCCTCTGGAATCCACGCAACGGCGCCCGGGTCCTCCTCTAGATCATAACGAGCCGCTGAAGCAGGAAGCAAGGGAACTGCCGCCGGGTTTTGAATCGAAGGGATCAGAGCAATCTCTCCAGAGCGTTTTTCGCCTGCCTCAGAGGTCTGGCTGTCGTCTTCGGCCATGCTCTGTCCCAGTCTACGGATATGCAAGAAACCCTGCACGGCAATTTGCAGGACCATCAAGACGCCCAAAACCTCGTACCCGATTCGCTGTTCGCTTTCGTCGATTTTTTTGGTAAATACATAGCGAAGGCGCCAGATTCGTTTGGAAAGGTGATAGTATGAGCCTGTGAAGTAGAAAGTCGCGATACTGAGCGCGTAGATCGGGTTCAATGATGTGATTGAGTCCAAGTGATCGAGGATGTATTGCTGGATGCGCAGCTTAGAAAAGAACGACCGCGGTGTTGGTTTAGAATGCAGCAGGCCAGCCTGCTGCGCTGCGCGGACTTGTTGTCGTGCGATACTGCGCTCAAGCTTGCTGCGCACTCGCGCACGCAGGGCGGGAAGGAGCCGTTGCAATGACCATGGCACTAGAATACTGCTGAGGATGTATCCGACACGCCGAGAAATTGCTGGTAGGCGGAGTGTGTCATCTTCAAGCTGGAAGAGGTCGCAATATTCTTCGCCGAGAGTCCGGTTGCCGATAGCGGTCGTTAGCGAGAAGTAGACAAGCTCGGTAATATGTTTGATGGAATCGGAGTACGTGTGAGCGAAGCGGGCGCCTTTCAGAGATCGGATAATGGACTGGGACTGTTGTACCAGACTGCTGGTGAGAAAGGCATCTTTCTCGTGAGACCGGATTACGTCTGGGGATGTCGCGAATGGATAGAAGTTGGAGGCGGGAGAGCTGACGGTAGCATCGGGGGTTGACAGCGACAGACCGGGGTCATCGTCGGCCATGATGAGCAGTGTGAATAGATCTCAATACTTGAGACCGTCAAGAGGGGCTCTGTAGAGGGGACCAGAGCATATTGAGATGCATTAACGGGCAACTTCCCCAGCTCGGACTGATGTTCCCCATAGTGCCTCGGCCCATGGTCATGTGACTTTGCCTCTACCAGATATCACATGACCACCCCAGGGCACTGACGCAGATGACAATACCGGTAAAATAAATACCAAAGTTTCAAGGCAAAAAGCCACCGCAGTCGAGCTCCGCATTAAGTAGTGGCTCTTGTCCGGTTACCCCTGATTTCAGTCCTAGAGACATTGAAAAAAACATATAGACTTCACTCCGGGAGGTAAGGTTTGGCAATCAGTCATTCCAAGGAGGTGAAGGGATCACCATGATACCACACCAATCAAAAGCCCAGTCCTCGTCTCCCCTGAAGTTGCAGATCGTGCGGATCCGCTTCTGCATCAGGGTATGGAGTTCTAATTATACCTTAGATGCAACAGGGAGACCCGGTGGAGTTCTCGACCAAAACCAGTCGATTCGAGCAGAGCCACAGTCTTGACGCCCCTCTCCACCTTGCCGTCCGCAGGCGTCCACTGGCGTCCACAGAAGGCGTTTCTCAAGTGGGCGCGTATTTTCGTTACTACGCGCTTATTAACAGGGTGCTGAAAGCGGCCTCACGGGGAAAAGTTCCTTTCTTTCAAGACTCAACGTTCACCGTCATTCTTTTGTGTCGACCTTTTTCCCCACCTGGGGTCTCCGTGGATGTTGCTTCAATCTCTTTCCTTGCTTTGATCCATGGAATAATGGGTCCTGATCAACATGCGCAATTGGATGGCTTTGGGCTGATCCTCCCCTTCCCTATCCGCATAGCTGCCATTCTGGTTGCTGGTGAGTCTTGACGGGAATGGGGCATTGATCGCGTGGTTAACTCCGCCATAGGTTTCTGGGGATGGGCTATCAATCTTCACTATCTGGCCAAGGCCAACATTGTAAGTTGCGGAATCCTTCGGACATCCGTGAACCCTCCGTTGAGCCGAACTAACCAACTTGTTCTCCTGTCAGGATGTTCCTGCGCTGATTCGATACCCCTCACACACATCACCTACACAACGACCACATCATATTGCGGCCTACCGCCTAGCCACTTTCTTTACTATCCCCCTCGTCCTCTGGCTCGTCGTCTTCTGGATCGCTACCCACCGCACCTTCGAACTGGTCGAACGCCTCGACTTCATCCCGCAGTCCGTCTTCATAGTTCTTCTCCTGATTTTGATCTGGCCCCTCAACCGCGCCTCTCGGGCGGGCCGCATTCGCTTCCTCCTCACATTAAAGCGCGTGGCCATTGGCGGCTTGGCCGAGTCACAGGATGGCAAGTTTTGTGATATCCTGCTGGCCGATGCCCTGACCAGCTATGCGCGGGTCCTGGGAGATCTCTACGTCAGTTTCTGCATGTTCTTCACAGATGGCCTGGCTGCTACCTCCAAGCCGAACCGTGCTTGTGGCAAGGATATCGTCGTACCCATTATCATCGCTGTTCCCTTTGCCATTCGACTTCGCCAGTGTTTGACCGAATACGTGCGGTCTCGCAAAACAACTTCCCGCCGGGAAGTGAGCAAGGGCAATCAACATCTGGCCAACGCCTTGAAGTATTGTACCGCATTTCCGATTATCTGGCTGGCCGCCAAACTCCGGAATTATAATCCTTTAGACTTCCACGGATACAGCGAAATGACCATTATGCGTCTGCTGTAAGTGTCAACTTTCCCTGCGATCTCCGGCCATCTTCTGATCTCCCCTAGGTTCATCTTCTCCTTCATCAGCTCCAGCTATTCCTTCTGGTGGGATGTGGTCAAAGATTGGGACCTCACACTTTTCTCCTCCGAGCGCCATGACAGAGACCACCCGTACGGACTCCGGCGGCACCGCTACTTCCATTCCGACCGGTTGTACCACTACGCCATCATCGCGGATCTTTTACTCCGCTTCTCGTGGCTGTGGCGCGTGCTGCCGGGTCTCGCATGGCTTCCTGAAACAGAATGCGGTCTGTTCATCCTCATGTTTCTTGAAATCGCTCGGCGCTGGATGTGGGTGTTCTTCCGAGTCGAGGCCGAATGGAGTATGTCTCACTCCCCTACACACCTCCCCCACCCGCTCCTCTCGGGACAAAAATAGTCTTCTTGGGAAACGCACCACGCTTTCATGATCTGACCATGCTGACATACCTCGTGAAACAGTCCGCAACACCCACGGTCCCGGGCCCGACGATGTTCTCCTTGGCGAATACAACCACAAATTCGACGCGGATTAAACTGCCTCGTCGGCTTTTTTTTTTTTGAGCGTTGGATTTCTATTGGAACGAGCATGAGACACAGAACATATTTTCCCTTTCCCGCCTATCAACATCGTGGACTCGCATCAAATTCCTACGCCAAACGTCACAGTCTCGAACAGACATAGATACGAGACCCGAATCTCTGGTATTTGCTTGGTGTAAGGAAGCGTCTCACCTATTTGTGTTACCAAACTCCCTTCCTCTTTCCCTCCTACTTCTACCATCGATATTTCCACCTGCCTCTCAGGTACTCTTTCTGTTCATCCTTTCCGGATGATTTGACTTGCTGGTGCTCTGGGCTTGTCTCGGAGTATTCGGTTGCGGATTCACCGATGCATTCTCCTTAGCCTTGCGTTGTATATACCTACAGTATTCATTTTGCTCCTCTATTTTTCCTTGATATTCAGGCTTGTGGCTGGGAAGATTGACACTGGCATGTACATCATGGTTGCGAGGATTGGTTATTTGCTAATTGAGCTCTCGAGATGTCATTTGAATGTGTTCGCAATGTGTAAAAGTAAATCCATAACGGGGAATAGATATCGGACTAAGCAGTTCTGGGATCCTACTTAACAGGAACAAAGAAGAAATTACTGTGGCTGCGAATACTGCAGGAGCAAATTAAACAGCTCTGTACCCTGTCACTGTGCCCCTCTCCCTAGAGCTCTCGATATCTACCAGGTCTCGTTCTTTCTGGTTTCATTGGCTCTTCCCGTAAAATTGAGTCATAAATAAAGACTGTTCAATTCTTACTCTCGACTAGCGTTGGGAACGACTCACCGAGCGGGCGTCTCTTCGTCTGTTGAATGAAGCCCCCTGGTAAACTTGCTCTTCGGCCCCTCAACGGCTCATGCGGTCAAATGGGGACTATCATGCCATCAGAGGTATTACTTACAGGCCCAGTAGTTATGTTCTGACCGGAAAGATCCTTTGGGGACAGTAGAGTGTACTTGAACCTTGGAAGGTATATTCTCCTGTCTATCCAACCTAAATACATCGATGAATTATTCAAAACAGACAATCATTGATCATCCTAACTATGCTCTGTTTAAACAAAAAAAATATGAAAGAATGCAAGGATTAGTACAAATGTACAAACAAAGTCAAATCAAAATCACCATAAATCATGAAAGTAATCAGAAAATAGATACCGAAGAAGTTAGCAGCCGGACGCTCCCATAAGAAAAGAAAAACGCCGGCTTCAATATACAAATGATAACCAACAGATACTCCGAATAAATCACAGAGAAAAGAAAGCCGAACTGAACTAAACTCAAAGCTCAGAAAGAGAATCCGCCAAACTTTCAGGCTCTCAGCATTGTGCGCAATGAACTTATCGGTGATGACGCCTGCCGGAGTTATTGGGAGGCGGGTGATTCTCGAACAGATCTTCCAGATACGCACTCGGCGCGCGGCCCTGCGGCGTCTGACTGAGGTTCAGCGAGCTGGTGGAACCACCTACGTATGAGCCGCGTTGATTATGCGGGGTATCATAGGTGCCGATATTTGGCAGAGAAGGAGAGCTAATATCAGGGTGCGAGCCTGACGCATCTCTAACGGGAGTGGAACTACCGGCGGCGGCATAGTATCCAGAGGGGAGGTAAGTCGAAGCGCGATTCCCAGTCGCATTGATACTATTGTGAGATCCAGCACCGCCGGCAGTGGGCGAAAAGAATAGCCCGCTGTTTGAGCTGGGAACTCGACGGTTCGGCCTGACGCTTGCGCGAGTGGCGGCGCCCAATTTCTCTAGTGAGACGTCTCCGGCTGGCGCAGCGGTGTATACGGTTGTTCCACGCTTCTTGCGACTTCCGCGCATAAGGCGTTTGTTCTCAGAGGAGTGGGCGAGAGCTGCGCGACGCACTGAGCGGTTCACGGACCATGCGACCATTCCCCGCCAGGCGAGAACGGCAAGGCCGATTAAGCCAAGGATGGCGCCGACGGCGATGAATACTGTACCCTCTGGAGTGTTTGATGTCTGCATGTACGGCGCATTTGCGGTAGGTGGAATTGTCACGATCGCGCCGCCTGTTGATGTGGAGGATGAGGACGTTGATGTCGTTGTTGTGGAAACGGAGGATGTGGTGGTGTCCGAGGAGGTGGAGGTAGATGTGTCTGACGTGGTAATGGAAGTAGTAGACATGGTGGTCGTGGATGTCGAGGACGTCGAAGTTGAGGACGTCGAAGTTGAGGACGTCGAAGTTGAGGACGTCGTGGTGGAGGTGGTTTTGTCCGAAGTGGTCGTCGAAGTGCTCTCGGTGGAAGTGGTGCTCTCGCTCACGCTAGGGGTGCTATCAGTTGTCGAGGGATCGGCGGTGGTCTGGGCGTCGGTAGTGGTATCTGCTGCGGGTGCCGCAGAGACTTGAACAGCGATTGTAAGGACGAGCAGAAAAACAATGAAGAAGGAAGGCAGGACTCGCTGCCCACTGGGTAGGACTCGCATGGTGCAAAGGCCGTAAACAATCGTTTCAACTTGTTCTCCACAGCGGGTACGGGGTAAGCGCAGATCAGCGTCGAGATGAACAGAGCCAATGCAAAATACCCAGATACCCCTGCAGCCTGATATCGGCCGATTTGACTAGAGAATGTTGATAAGCGCTTCAGCTGAAGGATGGCTGAGATTCTGTTCCTGACAGGTCGAAAGAACCCCTCGATCACAGATCTCTTGGCTCTGTAGATGCAGGTGGAACCACCGAGTTGACCCCGTTCAAACGAAGGACTGTCTTCCGGACGACAACGAGGGACTGAGGATCGAGAGAGGTAAAAGAGAGGTGTTGTAGTCTAAGCGAGGAAACGAAGCCAAAAGACGCCAAGTGACTACGCTAAATGTGGCGCCTCAGGCCGAGGGGAATCCGTCACATGATGTGCTCGATTCTACTAGAAATAGCAAGCTGTGATGTATCATACAAGAAATACGAAATTGACGGTGCCCCTGACCCCAAATAGTGTAGAAACTCAATTGCCATGCATCGAGCAAGGGCAGAGCATGTGGCAAGCCAATAGCATGCATTTACTGCTGTTTTTTAATAGCAGCAGACGTGTCCCTCTCAAAAGCAGAATAGGGAATCTGAAGGCCGCTCAGAGCGCTGATTCCAACATACAAAATCACAATGCAGATGAAAGAAGCCAGAAAGCCCATGAAGATACCTGTTTAAGATTAGAGAAACATTGATGACTGGAGAATTGGAGGGGTACAAACCAGGTGTGAAGTACTGGTACTCATCGAACAAAGACTGTTGGCGATCGGGCCTGGAGATAGTAGAGGGCTTGGAGGAGTAGTCGCGCTTGAGTTCCATGTGGAGTGACTCTTGGTACGAGCCGTCATTGGATTCGTAGACGACGGAGTCGGTCTCCGGGAACTCGCGAGGCGAGGTCGCGTAGAGGAGAGTATACGTGGCGTCGGAAGGAATGCGCTCAAGTATATCGGCGATAAGGCCATCTAGGAATTGTCAGGCGGTGGTCAGTCCCCTCGGTTTTGCTTGACGTACCATTGCCGGAGAGCTGATCGGCACGATCCGCGCCCAAGGAGAGCACGGGGAATCTGATGTCGACAATGCGAGGGCCCGATTCGAAAGAGATGGGATATTCTCCCGCTTCGTGAAATGGTCAGCTGGAGTCCTAGGAGTCACCAATCATACAATGGGCCTTTTACAGGAACCGTCAATGGCAGTAGTCTGCGCCTTGCACTTCTCAGTGAGAACAGACTTGATCTCGGTGGTATCAAGCAAGCCAGTGACCTCGTCCACACTCATTTTGGAGCGAATCGACTTGTCCTTGCCGAGCATCTTCGCGCCTAGGCGGGGTGCCGACCTGCGGGCCGCGAAGTCGGAGCTATGCACACCAGGTTGGTTGACAATGACATAATAGTCAGACGGGCAGGTGCTCAACGAAGAGGAGAGGTCCTTAAGTAGCGACGTGCCAGTCTTAATGTATGCAGAGTTCGTCAAGACCCTAAGGGAGGCGTGTTAGCTGGCCGTAGCATGAGAGGGGAGTTGTCGATGTACTCAGAGGTCGAGGCGAGGAAAAAGGGTGAAGTGTCCCGGAAGGCATCGACTGCAGCTGCCCCAAGGGCGACCAGCCCGAACCTGCTGAGATGCATGGTGTTTGTGGTGGAGGTGGTGGTTGATGATGATGTTGCCAACGGGAGGTCGGACTTGGCCTCGGAGGCGGTCGACGGGCCCGGCCCACTCTGAGCTCTACATGCAACTTTTTTTTTTCGGCGCCTCGTCCGAAACATTTACAACCACGAGACGCTGTGCGTTCGTCTTTTTTTTCTTGTGAGGAGACTGTCAGAACATCTTCATCATGGGCCCCATGTATAAGAAGCGGAAGGTGGTCACTGCGAAAGTCGAGGAAGTCAATTTCGATGACGCCGCCCGCCAGGAATGGCTCACTGGCTTTCGAAAGAGAAAGCTGCAGCGCATCAAGCAGGCGCAGGAGGTAGCCGAAAAGAAGTCCAAAGAGGAGAAGAGAAACGATCGCAAGAGGGTATACTTGGATTCCAATCCTACCTACATTTAACACTGGCTGACCTGTCTATTCCAGATGCGCGAAGAGCGACAAGCCGAGTTTAATCGAGCGATGGAAGAGCACAAGTTACAACTAAAGCGCCTCCGGGAGGAAGACGGGAGCGACAACGACCCTGACTCCGAGGAGGAAGGAGGCGAGGAAGGTTGGGAAGGCATCGAAGAACCCCCCCGCGGTGGACTACGAGGCCGAATACATCGATGAAGACAAATACACAACCGTGACGGTCGAAGAAATGGATGCGTCCCGAGAAGGCCTGCGCAAGTCTGTGCGAGAAGACAATTCAGAGGAGGAAAAGGAAAAGGAACCTGCTGTTGAGACGACCGAACCCGAGAAGAAGCCCAAGAAGTCCTGGAAGGACAAGCCGAAGACGAAGAAGAAGAAGTTCCGCTACGAGAGCAAGGGGGAGCGCAAGCTCACGCAAGCCAAGCAACGCTTAAGCAAGTCCAAGAAGGCCGCGGCTCGGAGGGAAAAATGATGATGGAGGTTTGTGTTTTTCATATACCACGCAGCTATTACTATGCACACCCCATGAAATTTCGCTTTTATGAAGGACATGGATGTCACGAGGACAAGGGCCAGAAGAAGGGCAATTGATTTGCCGAGCAAGGCACTAAAGTCAACATGTAAGGATACGCTATAGAGACACGGCCTCTAGCATGGCTGAGGACAAAAGGGAACGCGACCGGTCATAGTATGAGAAAGCAGACGGTTCGACCTGGGAAGTGAACCTGCATTCAACCCAACGTCTCCTGACACCCAATACCGATACCCCGACGTGGCCCGACTTAAACGTTGCTGATGGAGAGCTCGAGTTCTTGCAGGTCCTTCTGCAAGTCGTTGTGCTTCTTGGCCATCTCCTCGTACTTGGCCTCCCACTGATCGCGCTCTGTCTCCAGTGCCTGCACCTTGCGCTCGTAGTGGCCGGCCTTGACGTCGGTTTGGCGGAGCCTGTGATCACCAACACGTTAGTGATGAGTCCATGTAAGTATTCGTGTCAGCCGTACTTCTCGTTTGTCTCCCGGAGAGTCTTGTCATTCTCCTCGGCCTCCTCCTCGAGGAGCTGCACCCGTCGCTGGAGGGCCTCATTTTGGGTGTCGTGCTGAGCACTCTGGTTGGCGGCGTCCTTGGCGTCCTTGACGGATGCCTCGAGCTTCTCCACCTCCTCCTCGAGCAGCTGGTTGCGGTGGTTGAGAGATGTGATCTCCTGCTCCTTAGACAGGTTCTCCTGTTCCAAAGTCTTGACCTTGTTCTTCAACTCCTCGACCTGGTCGTGGGCCTCGTCAGCCTCCACGCGGAGGGCGTTCATGCGCTGAAAGGAAGTCATGTTAGCTGATAGTCCATCATGCATGATAAAAGTTGGCGATGCACGGCCAGTATGCAAAGGAGGGGAACCTAGGCAGACAGCTCAAGCTACCCCGCCAGGGGTTTAGGGAGACTCACCTCCTTGATCTTGTCCATGATGGATGAAAGTGAAAGAGTTGTAAAGCAGTAATATGTATGAGTGAAAGGAAGAAAAGGGCTTTCGCTCAGCGGAGGCCGGATGTGAAGTTTGGAGGTGATGGGGAGAAGGGGAAAGTTGATGAGTGACTGGAATAATCGTGTGTTCCGTACACAAGCAGCCCCTCCGCGCATCTATCCAATCACTGACTTCCGATCGCCGCGTCTCCACGGGCAACCATCCGGACAACACTCTAGAACTCCATTTTGTGCCCTCTACACGTCTTCAATTTCACCGTCTTTTCGACCCATCCTTTTCGTTACATGCGATAAGTGTTTGCACCTCCACCCGCCGCAATGCTGGCTCGTCGCGACCAGGAAAACCTGGTAAACACCCACCAGACCACCGCTGCGGCCAAACCCTTGAATCAAGGACTCAATCTCGCCCCCAAGACACCTGGCAAGAAAGTGCCGTTGAACGACGAAAATCACCCCGGCGTGTTTAAGAAACTCACAGTCAAGGGAAATGGAAGCCGTCAGGATAATGGGAAGCCGAGAAACAATGCATTTGTTACTCCCATGGGTACGTGAACTTGACGCGTTATCGAGATGCGGAAGCTTTGGACCCTGTCTTGCTGACTTTTTTCCTACTTAAGAACCTCGAAACCGAGCTCCACTGGGCATGAAGGATACCAACACTAAAGCCAGAGCTCTCCCAGACACCGGCCCCATTTGGCGGAACTTTGAAGCCCAAGACCAACCGGAAAACTGCGAGCGCCCAGAGACTTAAAAAGGCTGCCCCTAGTATCCAACAGGCCCAGACAAAGGTCTTTACGGAATCAGTTCAAGATGATGTTCCCGACATCGAATACATGCCCCCGAGGCCGATAGGTAAGATTCTCAATTCGATGTCAACAAAGGACGAGCAGCTTTGCTCACAGTGTACAGCCCTGCCTGATCTCCCAGACGATGTTACCTACAATACAAACTTCCCCCAATTTCAACCAAGAAATCGAGCCCTGGGCCTGGAGAGTGTTTATGGCAAACAAGAGGTCGGTAAGGATGGCCTTACAAAGAAGCAGCGCAAGTTCCAGGAGGACTCTCTTAAGGCCGATCAGCTGGCCAATGAGGCGATGATGAAGCAACTGGAGAGTGTTGGATTCAACGACCCCAGTGAGGATGAGGCAGCTCCCGCACCAAAGCCGCAGCCGCGAATTCTTCGCTCTAGAACGCTTTCTTCAAGTACTTCTTCAAGCACTTCCTCAAGCACCCGGTCTGCTCGCAACATCTCAACACTTCGTTCCCGTGAGGCTGCGGCTGCCCTGGCAGCTCCCAGGGCAAGCTCAGCCGCAATCAGACCTGCTCCGGTCCCTAAGTCTCGTATTGCATCGGCTTCGTCCATCCTTATGCACAAGAAGGCTCGAGTTCCATCCAACCCGTCGTCTATGCGCGCCACTGCTGCCGCTGCCACCTCCAATACCACTATGGGTTATTCGAAGGGACGGAGCGTGTCATCCACCTTGCGTGAGAAGACTGCCGAGCAACCCTCGAGCATCTCCGCCACTCTGTCTCCCGAGACCTACATACAACTATACGGACCTCCCCCTCTGGGATCAGACATGTGGTCCCGTTGCAAGGCAGCCGGCTGCTTTGACACTCCAGGTGAGAGTGCCCTTTCTCAGGAGCTTGAGGAGCAGCTGCCAACTTTCGAGGAGGATGACGAGACAGAGAACTTCCAGCTCACTCTGTAGCTGATCCAACATGTTCAGCATTGAAGATTATCATGCAATTATTACTCATTGTTTCTATGCTTTTATGTACTCTCAGGATTGGGAAATGGTTCATAATGGGGATCGGCAGGACACGGATTATGGCGTATCATATGGGAATGTATTCAGGGTCAACCGCGGATCGTCCAGTTTCAGGAACCCCACTCAATTGAAGATCGTTCCTAGCCCAGCCAGGCGAGGGCACACGAAGAGAATTGGCCCAAGGCAGAACCCGTTAATTAAGGTCCAGTAGTTACGTATGTGGATCCAGCCAACGTGGTCTTTCACGCACAAGTCCAGACCTTGACTGTCCTCGGCTGCGCACGACGCACGGAACACAGCTTCCGCCGTGTTTCTTGCGTACCAAGGTACACCGCCCCGGAACTGCCACCACATTATTTACCTCCCTTGGAATCTCCTTTTCCCTTCCCTCACCCCTCTCAATTGACTTCCTTCGAGATGACGACCCACCACCCGGAGTCCACCGCGGACTTCGAGTTCATTGCAACCCCGGCTGCCCCTGTGCAGACGAAGCCCGACTTCGATTGCGGTGTTCCGACCACCTTGGTGAGTAGCTATCCCCAGCTCCTGGAGCTACGTGTACCTTCATGTATTCAGACATCTGATAGTTCTATCTTGATAGTACCCGGCCATCAAGAATGCCCCCGTCCCCGCTGACTCTCCGGGCAGTGACAGCTTCTCCAATGGCTTGATGATCGCCCTTCTGATCGTGGTGCCCTGGTACCTGGCTCGACAGGTAGGCGGAGGCTTCTACACCACCATCTTCTTTGCCATTTTTACCACTGTGCCTGTTCTCATGGCTTTCTGGTCCATCTCCTCCACCGTTTCTCCTCGCAAGACCGAGAAGGCCAAGTACCGTGGCCTCCCCGTTGAGCACTACTTGCACTTCCACAGTGAGCACGACCGTGCCACCTATCGCGGCAAGAGCAAGATCCCCATGGAGGTCTTCTACGAGAAGTACTTCAACGGCGAAGTTGACTTTAAGGGTGATGCTCTTGAGACCCTCGAGTATCGTCACGACTGGGCGAACTTCAAGTTCACCATGGGTCTCTTCAAGCACTTCCTGTTCGGCTTCATCCCTGAGATGCTGATGCACACCCGTTCCCAGGGTAAGCGCTTTTCGAGATTCATTGCTGGACACGTTGAGTTTTGACATTCTATTTCTAGACGAGGAGCAGGTTCGTGACCACTACGACAGAGGTGATGACTTCTACGCCTGGTTCCTCGGCCCTCGCATGATCTACACCTCCGGCATTATCAGTGACATCAACTCTGAAGAGACCCTCGAGCAGCTCCAGGACAACAAGTTGGCCGTCGTCTGTGAGAAGATCGGCGCCAAGCCCGGTGACAAGATTCTCGATCTCGGCTGCGGCTGGGGAACTCTCGCCAAGTACGCCTCCGTTCACTACGGCGCCCACGTTACCGGTATTACTCTCGGCCGCAACCAGACTGCATGGGGTAACAACGGTCTTCGCAAGGCGGGCATTGAGGAGGAGCAGTCCCGTATTATCTGCTGCGACTACCGTGATGCTCCTCGTGTTGAGGGTGGCTACCAAAAGATCACCTGTCTCGAGATGGCCGAGCACGTTGGTGTCCGTCACTTCTCTACTTTCCTATCCCAGGTTTATGACATGCTCGAGGACGATGGTACCTTCTTCCTGCAGATCGCTGGTCTGCGCAAGTCCTGGCAGTACGAAGATCTCATCTGGGGTCTGTTCATGAACAAGTACATCTTTCCCTGGTGCTGATGCCTCCACCCCTCTCGGCTTCGTCGTCGACAAGCTTGAGGGCGCCGGCTTCGAGATCAAGGCTGTTGACACTATCGGTGTTCACTACTCCGCCACTCTTTGGCGCTGGTACCGGAACTGGATGGGCAACAAGGACAAGGTTGAGGCCAAGTACGGCAAGCGCTGGTTCCGCATCTGGGAGTACTTCCTGGCTGCCTCTACCATCACTTCCCGCCAGGGTGGTGCCACCTGCTGGCAGCTTACCCTCGTCAAGAATATCAACTCGACCCACCGTATCGAGGGTATTGCCACCCAGCACGGCCTCACTGGTGCCCGCGAGGCCGCTATCGCCCGTGCCAATGGCACTCTTCCCAGTGCCCACATCATCAAGAAGGACCTCTAAATGTTTCATCTGGCGTCTCTTCTTTCCTCTCAACATGCAAACTGATCTTGAGGGATCATTATGATTCCTCGAGGGACAAAAAAAGATTGGAAATGACGTGGAGCTGTGCAACTAGATTTAACACGACACGCACGCTACGAGTATGACATGAAATAGATCTGCGCGACATCAAAAGCGAGTTTAGGAATGTGGATGGTAAGGTGAAGGTGGAGGAGGAGGTCGTGGGTGAGAGGATCTGGGCTGGGCCTAAGATTCGGATGCTGGGTCCAGTTTTCAGTTCCGGGCCCGCTATTTAGTTCTTCATCTGGTGATGGAATGGGTAATGCTCAAAGAATGAGATGATGCTTTGCCTCTGGCTTCATCAACTTACATTGAATGTACTCTAACGAGCCGAAGTGAATCCGCGTAGCAGTCTACAAAGGCAATTATATCCCAGTCTGATCCAGGCGCCTCCCAATTCAAGAACACAGTATTGTCCGATCTGTGCTTCAAGGTGAAACCAGTCTCAATGGAGATAACAATGTCCGCTCTCCCGGCAGATTCCATAAAGTATCCCAACAATCGCCGACCACGATCAATTGTCATGATTTCATGCACTGAGAGGCTTTCTCCCAAAAACAACAACCCTATACTTTGTTAGCCCACATCCAAGCCCTTGCCCACCCCCCAAACATAATCATTAGGGGAGCCTCACTCCTTCACATAAGCATGCAAACCCCGATCCATCAATTGCTTCTTCACCAACGCCTGAAAAATCTTACTTGGCTCAGCTCCCCACCCAAGAACCTGTGTCAACAACCTCAACCCATAAGCCTCCACCGCCTGGTTGACCTGCGCTGCCTGGAACTTCCCAATCTCCTTCAGATAGGGATCCCTCGGCCAAGGCGAATAAGGCAATAGATACGTAGACTGCTGCACATCCTCAAAGCCCGCTTCCACCAACCACCCATGCAACTTGTGATAAATATTCAACTCCCTACCTAACGCATGCCCCGCTGCGTCAAGAGCCTGCACGTACTGAAATAGCGGTGAGTCGGCTGTTAGCGAGCCGTCGTCGCTCCAGGCCCAGACGGCGGATTCTTGGATCTCGAAGTATCTGCCAGGTCGGACGTGGGTGTATATTGTTTTGATGAAGGCGGGTCAATCGGCTATGCAGCCTGCTAGGAGTCGGGCGTGGATGAAGTCGAAGTGATTGGGTTTGTACAGCCAGGTCTCTTCTATGTTCTCGACGATGAATTCCACGTTGGGAAGGGTCCAGTTAGGTTGGGTTGGGCTTATGTCGTTGCCGATGACGTGGGCCTGGGAGAATTTCCTGTTGGTGGTTTGGTTAGTGAAAATGCACGTATGATAGGGGTACGGAGAGGGCTAGGGGGGTCATGAGAGTGTTGGAAGAAGTATTCTGCGATATCGAGGGCCCATATTCCTGTCCCGGTCCCAAGATCGAGGGTATTTTGCGGGCTTACAATTGGGGCTTCGTGTAATTCGCCCTTCATCAACATGAGCCATCTGGTGGGTTCTGTTAGCCATGAAGACCGATGAGGATGATAGGTCTGGAGCTCACATGTGATGGGCCTTGAATTGTGTCTGAATTAGCGTATATGATCGTGAAATGGAGGGATTGCAAGGGTAGTGTCCTTACCAAGTCCATTCGATCTTGTTCATCCTCATCATTTGGCATCCTGTCGCGGTCAGTGATCAGTCTCCATTGCGCCGTACGACTACATAAATACATGTAATTGCCCTACAAGAGAAGATGAGCGGCACTCTTGAGGAATTGAGCTTCGGCTGGGTCTTACCGCGCGGCTACTGTGATAGTGTCGGCCGTTTTCATATTCATAGTCAAGAACACTCGAGGACAATGATGTAATATCGGCATAATCCGTATCAAATTCGCAGCTTTCATCCTAAGAGAAATGTAAGAAAAGGTACACAGACACGGAACGATAACCATACCTCCGAATCAATCTGAATCCTGTGGGAGGTATCATTTGCCACTTCCCCCTCTCCCGGCACCGGGAGCTGTTGAGTCGTCGTCAATTCAGCTTCCGACGCTGACGCCATGCCTCAATCCTCAATGTTAAAGCGAATAATGACTTTTCTTTGACTTGCCAAAGCTCTTCAGCGAAGAGAGAAAGAACACGTTATCGACGCGACAGGGGTTGAGAAGCGGTGTCATACGCAGGGCAACTCAGCTGCAGAGCTCTCGCAAAGAAAAAAGAAACAGATAGCGAGCGACTTGACTCGTCTCGGATTCGATCTTGTTACTTCTTAAATGCTGAAAGAATATTCACTGAACGCTGGCTTTCAGTATCGGGTTCAATGTGGTGGAAAGGGTCGAGGCCGGTCGAATCAATCGTGCCACCAAAGTCGAGTGTTAGTGGGCTGAACCTCACGTCTACTCCGCCATGTGTCTTTTTGTGTGCGTGGGTCACATTTTGATGCGAGCCACACAGAAAAAGGGCTTGTAGTCGTAGTGGAGGTGTATGGTATGTGTTAAAGACTCTATAGTTCGAAATGTTGAAGATCATGGTACTTTTGCTCCATCCCTTATGGGCTTGGTGCTACGATCAGCCCCATTTTGACGAGTACTCAAAGGGGCGTCGTTGGCCCTGGCCTTTTGGTCTTGAGCGATCGCTAAACCGTCTAGAGTCTTGGTAGACGCGATTCGATGCCCTGATCAGTAAGCCAGACAGTTTTCCGGCTTAGGACCAGTTCGCAGTTGGCATTATAGATCTACTATGGCGGCATTTATGTTCATATTGGGAAGAGATTCCCAATGCCGTGAAGAATGCGACCGGGGTATATCCATGCGAGGGGTATTTAAGGCATATCGCAATTGCTGGCGAGTTGAACATAGTGAGGTAGTGATCGGAGGGCTGTCTCAGACTCGGGTCTGATGGCCCTGCAAGCAAAAGAGACGCCAGCTCAAAGCGGGATTCAATGTGTTCCCTGCAAAGCAGAATCTCGACACATCTAAGTATTGAGGAGAATATACATTTCAGAATTAACGATGCCGGCCGGGCCTAAGTCAATACACCTTTAACTTTGATTCCAAGTCTCCCAGAAATTGAAAATAGAAGCCTCGTCCATCAAAGCACTCATCAGACCATTGCCATCTACATCGCCAGTCTGCGTGTCTTCGAACCGTGCAATCTGTTCAGAGTCATCCGGAGCCGTAGGAAAGCTCTCTGGTCGGATATTAGGATCAAGAGGGGCGGTAGCAGCGGCAATGGCGTTTGGATATATCGTAGGGGCCGAATATCCGGGGAATATCTGTTCTATTGCTTTGACGAAGATACCCCGATAGATTGAGGCGACAGTGTAGGTTTTCTGAAGCTCTTCCATCACAAGCATGCACATTTCAAGCTTGTTAAGTCTGATTCGCTTGGAAAGAGCATCACCGGATTTGCATTGCAGCAGATGGGTTTGCATCGCGGGGATAAGAAGGGGAGGACTTTTGAAGAATTACTTAGTTAAGACGCGTATGACAGCTTCTGGATGGAAGGTTACTCACGTCATTGGTCCTGCAAAGTAAAGGAGTCCCTCTTGAACGAGCGTCTCTAAAATTTCGTTTGCCCGAGACGCGGCTGCGTCGGCCTTCATCCTCATTCGATGTTGCCAGTCCTCCTTTTCCGCGGGTTGAAGATCGTGCGGGAACTCGGTGCCAAGAGGACGATAGAATGTGATAAGTAAAGCTCTGGTATTGTCATTCAGTAGGGTCCTCAAGAGTGCAGAGATCTCGAGAGGTGAAACGGACTGGTAGTGCAAATGAACATGATTCGAGTAGAACCTCGAGGCTCTAGTTAAGCCAGCTTCGTATTGATCCGGAAGATCGCACTGTAGTAATTGTTTCTCAAGGGCTCCAATCTCATGAGCAGATGGTTTTGGGCGAATTGTTCGGTAGTTCATCGCAAGGACATTGCCCAATTGAAGACTTAACGAAATCAGCATTACCCAATATTCGGCCAGTCTACCCATATCGCTGGGTATGTATGAGCCAAAAATAGGGTCCTGTAAGCCAGCGATATCGTAAAGTAAGTCATCTGGCGACGGAAAAGGGGTATCGCAATCGTCCATGTTGATTCGAAGAGGTCTACCCATGGTAAGGCTAAGCCAGCGATCTCGAAAGACACAGCTCCACCACAGGCGGCGCCATGAGGACCTTTGCCGTTCGGTTATGGATGGGTTTCGTTTTGAAAAGTCGGGGTTACGGTGTAGACCAAGGATTTGGCAGATGCTTATTGCGATACCTGTCCAGTACCAGGGTTGTACATGCTCGTCTATCTCTGAATGATAGAATCCCAGAAGAAGGGAAGTTTGCAGTAATACGATCTTGTTTCTCTCATTGCCGTTCCTGTACATGCACTTTTGTCAAGTTAGCACCCGAAAGTGAAATGTTAGGATCTGAACGATGGAGGAGACAGTGAGTGCGAGCTTTCTACCTTTGCGCGAGAATACATCGCATATTTCATCTCCCTCTTTGATGTATAACCCTCTGCTGCAGATATGTCGTTTGGAACAAACTTGTGTGCTAATAGTCAGCTTTGCCCAAACAATTGGTATTTCATACGGAAGAAAATACATTTGTCGCTGCGAAAAAGATACTCCACAACAGAGAAATATTGTAGTCTTGGAGTTTTCCAGCTTGGTAATGCAATAGAAGATCATCTGCTTCAATTACTGGCATGATAGGATGCACGTGCAAAAGATATGCTGTAATGAGGCTATCGCAGGTCTCTTTCTTCGGAAGAGTGTATACCCCTTTCCTTTGCAGGAAATCTCGGTCATCGTCGGATAGTTTTGTCTTGCTCGCTGGGATCAGAAAGTGCTTCGGTAATGATTCATCCGGCGAGCAAATGTTAAGTGCTGACGTAGGTCCCGTTTGATCACCTATTGAAGAAATGAGATCCCCACAGATATGATATGACTGGTGAGACTGTTACCTGTATAAAACGGCACTTCACCAATTCTTCTTGGTTGGCCCAACGCTGCCTCGGCAATTTCAATGCCGTTCCTCTGTTCATCTTCAATGTTACTCAGCACAGGATCAGTAAGAGTATGTCTTGCACTAGGCGTAGACTGTGCCGAGTGATTGCGAATGGGATCTATTGGTGAGGCTTCACTCATACAACCAGCGGAGGGATTCTGGCTCATTATTATTGAATTTGAATGAACGGCAGGAACAAGACTCCTGGCTCGTGGATTTGTCTGGATGACTGGTTGGGCACTGGGTCCAGAGTAAGCATTAACGCATATTGAGAGTACACTGTAAGAGTGATGCTCACTTCTTGGCTTTTGAATCCACAATACACTGCGCGCCATCTTGGGCACACCCAGCACAAGGCACACCAGTGACAGTCAAGCTGCACCGAACTTTTCGTTGGCGACAGGCCTGACAAGCGACTGCGGACCTATAACGGCGCGTGCGAGTCGCTTTCTCGGCAGACGGCATGGTCGGAGCGAATTTGCTGTTCCCTTTTGCAAGTCCGAGGATCTTAGGAGTCTCTACAGTTCACTTGAGAGATCCCTCGGCAGGGAGCGGGATCATTTGGGGCTTGAAATTATTTTTCCGAGGTTATTCCGCCGAATCCCGAGGTTTCTACTGCTGCCTGAATTGGTACACAAGCTACACTTCACGCTTCACAAATACCTTGCCACCACATACGAGCGTAGGGTGTGCAGAACAGAGTTTCCCGTCTGCTCAGTCGTAGTCAAGCCATGCACTTAACATATTCAATTCTGAGAGCGCCATAGACTTTGAAGTGGCGCCGTAATTTGCGTCAGTGAGTGCGTGTGATATAGGTGACAATTCGAAGAAAGTCTACCTCACTAGTAAAGGTGTAGGAACCATTCATGCAATGCTAGTACAGGATTTGGCGATCCTGAAAGCGTTATCGCCTTGCCGCTTCACTCCGGGAGAGCATTACTTGAATGACCTGCAGAAGTCGAACGAGAGATACGTGCAAGACAGCATTGTTAAAATGCAAGGACATTTTATGAGTGATTCTTCAGTCCGGAAAGGAAAATAATGTGACGTACTAAGTTATGCCAAGGGAATTGAGCCCGATCAGCCACGATTCTCCGTACCTGGAGGCTCTCTGCAAGAAAAAAGTGGGTCTTTGGTTGATCGGGATTTGAACTAGCGTCAAAAAGAACTAGTTTTGAATGATAGGGAACTCTGACACAGATAAGTGCTCGGCTCAACGTGCGGGGCTTACTGCGAACAGATGCGTGTTGATGTGTATTGATGCGATTGGCCTTCTCTAGCCGAACGCACCGCATGGACGCATATGGCTTTTTGTGTTCCTCGCCGCTGTTTACACGTCACTGAATGACTACAGGCTTTTGGCCTTTTTTTCTGACAATCCAGTACTTGACTTCATTTACTATAGTGGATGGCTTCTTTGATCGTAAGTGTGAAGCGAGTTTAACGGGACCACTTTCATATCGGTGGTATTTCATTTCCTTCACCTGCTCGAAAGACCACAATCTTTTGCTCTTCTTATCATGAACTCATTGAGTGAAGCCTACGGGAAGAGCTTCCTTGGTGAGTCCCAGTCGATAGTTGCGCGGTTTGAGAACTCCGTCAGGTAATGCCCTGGAAACCTAGCAATAATCTGCCCTCATCAACCGCCTGATTTATATGGCTTCACCAGCCTACCGATAGAAGATTCGGCAAATGAACAGGCTCCATATCTTCGGTGGTCCTATGAGACCCTAGGCCGGGTCGTCGTGCAGTTAAAAGATAGCCTGGTAGCGCATGGTGTGGTTACCAGGACTGTGCTTTTCGCCTTTTGTGAGAATCAAGTTGAATCTGTGATCTGCACATTGGCTGCATACGCCCTCGGGTGTACTCATGTGCCCATCGGACCAGAGTACTTGGGCAATTCTCAAGAGGTTCAACATATGATTACAGCAGTAACATCGTCGATTGAGCCTTCGAAGGTCGTTTTTCTCGTTGGAAAAAACAAAAGTATCGAGAAACTTGACCAAATGAACATTGATTATGAAACAATCAACATATGCTGCGGGGAATCAATTGCCCCATGGGAGTCTTTCGATTCCTTGATTAGGGATGTCAGTCCCAATTCAGAAGAATTGCCGCAAAGCACGGATCTTTCGCGCGAGTTATCCGTATTTTTCACAAGCGGCACTACCTCACTCCCTAAAGCCTGTCTAACTGAGACTGCGCGTTGGCTACACGAATTGGAAGCATCTTTGGGTCTGGGATCCGTCGAATTTGGAGATATCGTCAACGTTGCTGTTCCAAATTACCATGCTTTTGGCTACATATGCACGTTCATGCCAATTATACGTGGTGCATGTGTGCTTTTGATCGGCCCCAAGTTCTCTCCGGAGAGAATGAGGTCTTCATTGAGTGTCGAATCATGTACACACGCGGCTTTGGTCCCAACCATGATCAATGCTCTTGTCCAACTGGCTGAAGATTCGAATTTGAAATGTCCAAGTCTTAGAAGCGTGATATTCGCCGGAATGACTTTGAACACAAGCATCGCTCGGAAATGCCAAGAAACTTCGGGTATCTCCATGATGGAGAATTTCTATGGCATGACAGAGGGTGTCTTCATTCTCCACCGGACCCATTGCAGACCTGGCCACCGCGGTGCTGAACGATACGGTCACGATTGGAAAGCCTATCTCCGGGGCTCAGGTACGAGTTTGTGATGAGACTAGCCGTTCGCCTGTGCCTCTAGGTGTTAAAGGGGTGCTTCATTTTTCTGGCTCCACATTGATAAGACAATATTTGGACTGTGAAAGCGATGATTTCTACAATTCTGAAAACAGAAATTGGTTTGTGACAGGGGATCAGGCATTCATGGGCAATGATAAGCAGTTATACATTGTCGGAAGACATAAGGATATGATTGTCCGCGGAGGAAAAAATCTTTCTCCCTCGAGGATTGAACAGGTATTGAATCAGGAGCCTCAATTTCTTGCCCTGGAACCACAAGTGGTGGCAGGAGAGGACGAAATAGCAGGTGAAGTTCCCATCGTTGTGACAAGGGTTACTACTTCCCATGAAATGGAAAACATGATGCATGAAAGTATCCGTGAAAATCTGGGAGTTCACTATACTCCTAGAGCATGGATCTCTCTATCTTCTCTGGGGCTTGATGACTTCCCCCGCAGTGCTTCGGGAAAGATTCAAAAGGCAAAATTGAGAAGTCTTGTTGCCAATTCAATGCAACTCCAGGCACCCGAGCACAAGAGTAATCTATCAAATGTTATTGTGATTATCTGGTCGCGATTACTAGGCCTCCAAGCGTCGCACTTGGACACCTCCGCCCCCATAGCCCAGGCAGCAGACAGCATTCTCATGCTCAGTGCTAGGGCAAAAATCAGAAGCGAGACAGGGCTTAGTGTTTCTCTCACAGAGTGGCTTGCTATACCTACGATTGCTGATCAAATCAAGGCACTTGAGGGAATTGCAGCACATGGCAACATTAAAGAACCCGACAGTTCGCGGGAAGGGCTTCGTACTGGGCCACCGGAGACTGAAGACATGGTCCATCTTGGACAGGAAGAGGGTGCTTTCTGTGCCACGAAGGAGACAGTTGAAAAGATTATTGGGGAGCAAGGTTTTACTTGGGGAGAAGTCGAAAATATTTTCCCCTGCACAGACTTTGTCCACATACTGTGTCGGTCCCAAGTCATCAACACCTGGAACATTCGAACCACAATCTTGTCACAGAATGCAAGTGTGCAGGTATGAGAACATTCGGATGGCATTGACAATTTCTCCCTGCAACATCTGACTCCTGACAGGAAATGCGAACAGCACTCGAAAAAACCTTGCTCATGCATCCCATGATGCTTTCGTATGTCGTTATGGACGACAAATCGCTTAGCAAAGAGCTTGGTCTATACGTGACCCTGCGACACAGTTCCAAGGTCCTCGAAAAGTGTATTCTGGATATCGAGTCCGTGGATACACTGCAAGAACTGCGAACTATAGCCATGGATTACCCTTTCAAAGACCATGCCAAACTACCGGGACCACTGTTCCGCTGTCTTATCATTTTTGTTCGGGAAACCAGCTCGGCAGCTGTGATCACCAACAGTGAATTCTCCTCCCGCACAATTCCCTCGCTGTTCTAGTCTGCTGATTTGCATATAGCGGCTCATGCCATATTGGACGCTACATATCATTCGCAATTCCACGAAGATCTTGACCGAGCGCTGAGCGATCAACCACTTCAACCCCACTCATCTTTCAAAGCCTGGGCGGAGACATATCACATACTCCGAAAATCACCAATAGCAGCTTCAGCAGTGAACTTTCATGCAAAGTATCTGACAGATTTGCAGGATCACAAGCAAGTACTTTGGCCACACCCGACGCCCCAGCTTATAGTGTCCCCTGAAAGATCCACGCAGGATGGCCATGTGGTCTCCTTCGCCGCTCCAGAGTTTGTGCGCCTACGGGAACAATATCCCATGCTTACCGCACCCGTTGTCCTCAAAGCTGCGCTTGCCTTGATGATCATCTTGCATACCAACCACACACATGCACTGTTTCTCAATCTTGAAGCGCAGAGGGCCAGGTTACCATTCCTTCGGGAGAATCTTCCTTTTGAGTCTGTTCATGAGGCTGCAGATGTATCCGGGCCCACATTTGGAGGGGTTCTGAACTTGGTGAAATTTGAGCCAACAGAAACGGTACTTGAGTACCTGACAAGGATTCAGAAGGATCAGGAGAACCTTACAAAATATGCGAATGTTCCATGGCACGAATTGTCTCGGCAAACAGGCCATCCGATGGAAGATATATTGCCTGTAGTCGCAGAATCGATGATCTTTAATTGGATGGCCGGCCTTGGACCTGCTGTTCTGGGAGAAAACCCGTATCGTCATATGGCAGTCACACAGACGCATATTCGAACCAAGCTGGGTATGTTAGCAAGTGCTGGAGCTGGAGGTAAAGATGGCGGTCAGATCGTACTTTTTTTCCAGGGTGCTTTGGCGAATGTGTCCTCACTGTGGGTGGAGCGTGCCGCGGAAGAAATGAAGAACATCGCGCTGTGGTTGGCAGATGAAACTTCTTTGCAAACTCAGGTTGGAGAGTTCACGAAGCATGTTACTTAGCCATATATGAAACTTGCTTTCGAACCATTCTTACTATCTCTATGGAACATAATTCTCCGATAGAAACTTCGTGCGGTCAATCGGGTCAGAAGAAGTTCAAAGTTCATTCATATTAACACTTTCAAGTACTAACGTATTTCACCACTTAGTGGGCCACATTGGTGGCGCTTTTTGCGTGTTCACATGCTCTGTCATCTTCTGCCAACCAATTGCCTCACAATTGCCGCTGATCAAGCTAGTTTTCTATATAAGGTGTGCACACGGTCTGGCTGTATCAGAACACATTCGATGAGTCAATGCAGAGAATCATACAAAATACAGTGAATTCTAGAGTATCAACATGAACATAATTTATAAACAACGCATCTCAGTTCTCGGTCTTCGGGGGCCACTTGACACGTCTCTCAGAACGAACATAGAGGTTGTTTGGCCTAATCAACTGGAACATCGGATCATACTCGATGGGACCATCTCCTTCACGAATGAACTTGTACCGATAGATTAGCTTCGGAAGGAAGACCTTGACCTCTTGAAGAGCGAAATTGAATCCAATGCACATGCGTGGGCCCGCGGCGAAGGGAATATACGCTGCCTTGTGCCTGGACTTTACAGCCTCCGTATCCCATCGATCGGGGTCGAATCTGTTGGGATTATCCCAGAGTGCAGGGTTGTTGTGAATATGGTGCAATGCCGGAATTACGACGGCGTCCTTGGGTAACCTGTAACCACCTGGTAGCACTAGGTCCGTTTTGGTGGTGCGACCGGGCTGGAAAGAGGGATTGTGTCGGCGCTGTGTCTCCTTGATGTATTTGTCAAGGAAGTCGAGACGCTCTGTCACATCTGCAGTGATCTCGGTGGTGTCGTCAATATCGTTGTCGATAAGCTCTTGAAGCAACCTTTCTTGCATCCCGGGGTAGGTGACGAGACCATAGATCAACCACGACAGTAAGGAACTGGTCGTGGTAAAGCCGGCTCCAGTTGCCACAACGAGTGCCCAGACGAGGCTTGATTTTGGTAATTTCTCGCCCTTGTTATCAGTTGCGCGAATAGCATAATCTGGGACGTATTAGATTCCCAAAGTAATTAATGCGTTGTGGAAGAATACATACCAACCATGTTCGAAGCCTTCAGCGCAGCATCCTGGAGAGGTAAATCTTCAACACCTCCTCTGGCTGCATTTTTGATTGACTCATCCACCAAGTCTTCGACACGACGCTGGCACTGCCTCAATTTTTGTGGATCCCCGAATGGTAGCATGCCATACCAGTTGCCTTTTGAGGTCACCTTTTTGTTCAAAGAAAGGATTTCAGCGATCAAGTGGACCATTTCATGCAGCGGGGCATCAGGAGAAGAAAAGTGTTGGAAATCCAGTCCGAGGGTAAGCTTTCCGACCGCTTGAGACCCAAGCTTCAGCATGTATTGATATACGTTCCAAGCCTCGCCTTGCTCGTCAAACGCGTCAAACACCCGGAAGGCCTCCTCGACTGTCTTTTGCATCGTGGGAGCATAGTGGCGGACAGCTTTAGGGCCAAGCGCAGGAGGAAGAAATTTGTGAGCAACTTTCCACTCCGGTGTATCGGTATCTCCTAAGAAGACCCCAGCAGCCGGTGTCTTGAGCGCAGAAAGGGGATGAGCGTCGTTGATCTTTTTCGTGAAGAAATCGGATTCCGCGAAGACAATAGCCGAAATTTCCGGATCATTGGTTTGGTAGACGGTTCGTCCCATGGTAGTCGTTTTGATCAATGGCCCGAGTTTCTCGAATAGACGTTGGTGGTTGCCCAGATGGTCGGGGTAAACTTCGAAGTAATTGCCCACGTACGGCAATGCACTAGGTGCTGGTGGATCGCGCACCTCATTTCCGTCGATTGTGATTGCTACTGGGCCCTCTGCAACCAGTATGTCCGAGACCTCGAGAAGCACTTCATTGTCTTTGCTTTGGAAGCCAATGCCTAAATCGTTGTCAGTAAGCTACCCCAAACCGCTCTAAGCTGTCCTACGATTAATGAGAGTGTGAATGAACTCACCATTGGGGCTCACAATAGCAAAGTGAGATGCAATCAAATCTTTCACATCGTCAACATTCAATTTCTCACTTACTTCGACACCCCGTGCCGAAGAGACATGGTCTCCCAGGAGATGAAACTGCTGTATAGCCATAGTGGAAGATAGACGATGAATAGGGTCTTGGACTGGATGAGACCTGCCCACCACAGTGTATTTAAGTTCTTCAGTATGAGAAAAATTTCCGCAACCATTCCGAGGGTCCATCAATCGGTATACCGAAAATCAACAAATGGCAATTGGGTGTCACGGATATGACTGCTATCTCGGCTTTCCGAGAAAGGGACTACCTCGGGATGCCTTGCTCATAGTGGAGCCATCATCAAAAGGAAGCGTTCCGATTGATCCTGGTGCCCCGGAACTACCTCGGAACACGTTTCCTACAGCTGCTCAAAATAAAGCAGGCGGGCTTGATGAGGCAAAAAAAAAAGAAGAAAAAAAACCCTCATTAAAGAACCGGCTCATCAAAGTGTAAGCTTAATAAAGTGTTTCTTTCCACCCTGACTTGACACAATTTTGACACTCAAAACAATCCAGGTCTCGACGGGGTCAAATAGTCGCCCTCACGATCATATCTTTCTTTTATTTACCCTTCGATCGTTTCGCTATTCATTGCTCCTGTGATCTTATCTTCTTTTTGCCAACGCACTTTGATCCGTTGTCACCATGGCATCCCTAGGAGAATATACTTCTGAAGAAGTCGGGAAACACAAGACGAAGAACGACTTGTGGATTGTCATACATGGAAAGGGTAAGATTCGGGAATTAAAAATCGTGACAGAAAATAAGAGACTGACATCAACCTTACAGTCTATAATGTCACCGAGTATGTTCGCGACCATCCCGGCGGAGCAGATGTTCTTTGCGATGTCGCCGGAACAGATGCAACGGAAGCATACGAAGATGTCGGTCACTCTGAAGATGCCGATGAAATCCTGAAGACATACTTGATAGGCACTGTGAAGGGAGTTCGCGAGTTCAATCGTCCCAAGGCTGTTCGGGTAATCCAGCAAGAACCACTGCAACCAATCTCAACCAAACCCTCGAACACACCTTTTGGCAGCATCGCAATCGCCACAGGCTCGATCGGAGGCATGGTGGCGCTCGTTCTTCTATATACGCAAGGGCATTTACATGTCCCCTTGGACAGATTGTTTTCTAAGCTGTCGCAGCTTGTGCCAAATTGGGCACAAAAGCTCCCTGTTCCAAGATTGAGTCTTGCGCGAGGCGGATTTTTGAATGGAATTCTCACCAGTACCGCTGTCTTCGCGACAGTGGGGAGTATCGTTGGCATCAAAGTGTCCAAATTCACTCAAATTCAATCGGGCTTCACTCGATACCCCCCGCACGTCAAGGCCAGGAGAACGCCAGAGATCAACCGACACGAGTTGAAGGGATTTCTCGAGCCCAAGAACTTCAAAGAGCTGCCACTGATTGCCAAGTTACAACTTTCGCCTAGCGTTTACCGCTTTACTTTCCAGCTTCCGAGCCCGCGCGATAAAATTGGCCTTCCAATCGGACAACACGTCGCCATCAAGGCTACCGTCAATGGAGAGTCAGTTTCCCGATCCTATACCCCGACATCGAACAACCTAGATCTTGGTGTCCTAGAATTGGTGATCAAGTGCTATCCAGATGGCCTTTTTACTGGTCAATACCTTGCAAATCTGGTCGTGGGCGACAAAGTTCTCTTCCGGGGACCGAAGGGCATGATGAGATATCGACGCGGTCTCTGTCGACGCGTTGGCATGATTGCCGGTGGAACTGGCATCACTCCAATGTACCAGCTCATTCGTGCTATCTGCGAAGACGAGCGTGATACCACAGAGATAAGCCTTATCTACGCGAATCGTTCCGAAGAGGATATTCTCCTACGGGAGGAGCTAGAAGCATTCGCACGCAAGTACATGAACTTGAAGATTTGGTACATGCTGGACCAGCCCCCTCAGGATTGGACGTACGGAGAGGGCTACGTGACCTCTCAGGTCATGAGTGAAAGACTGCCTAGTCCAGCCATGGATACCAAAATCATGCTCTGTGGGCCGCCCGGAATGATCAACGCGTCCAAGAAGGCTTTGGTGAACCTCGGGTTCGAAGCCCCTGGTGCGGTGACAAAGATGACAGATCAAATCTTTTGTTTTTAGGTGATAAGCTGAAAGTCTTATCTCCTTTTTCTGAACTTACTCTTTCCCTTTGTACCTGCCTTTTGTCTCTCCTGCTGGGATCTCAATCCCCATCCTTTCGCTGGCTATCCAGAACATGTACTTCATAGACTTTGAAAATAGTTGCAATATAGACTTTCTTAACCATCCAAGGCTACTCTACACATTCATAGAAACAAAAATTGTCTAGGTAGAAGAACAAAATCGAGCTTTCCGAAAAAATACGGAACGAAAGCCTCAAACCCGTTGCAATTTCCTGGACCCGAGACGGCGCACCAGCCATCGCGGCCCGATATTTGGGAACTTATGGCAGCAGAAACCATTCCGAGTGGATAAAACAAGAATCAAGATCCCGTATGGATAAGGCGTGACCCACCTACACGGCTCAGGCTGTGACGCACAATACGAATATTGCGGGACCTATCTCACGTATACTTGCCGAGGTAGCAGGAAGTGCTGCCGCGGGATTGACGTCACCCCTACCACAAATGAGCATGGCCTATGACCTATTGCCCTGTCCGCGGCTAATTCGGATTCTAGAAAGATTTTAATCATGATTGTGCCTGGTTTGGCTTCCCGAGTATTCCACGGCTCTTCTGGGTTTTCGGTCCTGCGGGACTATATTAATTGCCCACCATGTCTTCATCGGCCTTTCCGAATCTCATCATTCAATTCCACGGATACTCTTCACAACGTCATTTTTGGTCATTGAACAAAGCTGTTTAATATGATTCCCACTTGGCAACCCCCAAGAGATTACCGCAACAGGGCCATCGTGGTTCTAGGCGGTGGTGTGCTTGGAAGGCGGATAGGTAAATTGCGCCCAAGAATGACCCTCATTGGGGTATTCAGCTAATTATGCAATCCTAGGTTGTGTCTGGGCATCAGCAGGATTCAACGTTCGAATCAGGGATCCAAGCCCCCAGCAACGAGAGGACAGCGTTGCTTACTTCAAAGAGAACATCGCTTCGTACGCGCAGAAGACAAATCAGTCCCCCGGCACATTGGAAACTTTTGAGAGTCTTGAAGATGCAATCCTCGATGCTTGGCTAGTTGTCGAGGCTGTTCCGGAGAAACTTCAGCTCAAGATCGATACTTTCGCTCAGCTCGAGGCACTTGCGCCAAGCGACTGTATCCTGGCCTCGAACTCCTCCTCTTATAAGTCGTCAGAAATGATCGAGAAGGTTTCCGATGCTACAAAATCTCGCATTCTGAACATGCATTATTACATGCCACCCCAGAACATGGTGGTTGAGCTCATGACAGACGGTTATACCGAGGAAGCCATTTTCCCTTTCATGGTCGAGCGATGCAAAGAAGCTGCAACTCAGCCGTACGTTGCCAAAAAGCAGTCAACTGGCTTTATCTTCAACCGTCTGTGGGCTGCTGTCAAGAGAGAAACCTTGACGATTTTGGCAGAAGGCGTCTCCGTTCCCGAGGAGATTGACTCTCTATGGACCCAGATGTTCGCTAAGGGAGGCGCAACCCCTTGCAAAATGATGGATGGTAAGAACCATTCCTCCATAGATTAATTTTCGTCAAACGCTAACAGCATCTAGACGTGGGCCTGGATACTGTCGCTTTCATTGAGTCTCATTATGTCGAGGAACGTGGTCTTTCTCCAGCGAAGACAGTGGATTTCCTCAACACGCATTATATCGCCGACGGTAAATTAGGCACGAAGAGCACACGCGGTGGCCTTTATCCTCCGAGAGCCAAATTGGACGAAGTCAATACACCAAGTTTGCTCGTCTTGGACATTGGTCTTGCCACTCCCACGCCGACAATGTCATCAGGTTCCATTCTTGAATTCTCAGCAACCGGACAATTTAAACGAACCCTTGCCAAAAACCAAGCTCTTCCAGACGGTGTTGCTGTTGACACTGACAGCGGCCTCATCTTCTGGACCAACATGGGCGTTCCGGGGAAGCAAGACGGTGCAGTGCTTTCACTCGATCCGAAGACAATGGCTATCAAGACCCTCATCGCTCCTGGTACTATCAACACCCCCAAACAACTTGTTATAGACGGCGCCGCAAAGAAGATCTACTTCTCCGACCGCGAGGGATGTCGTGTCTACCGGTGCAACTTTGATGGCTCAGACCTGGAGATCCTCATCGAGACAGGCCAACCTGACATGACCAACCCAGCTAAGACTATTGACAACTGGTGCGTCGGTATCACTGTTTCTCCAAAGCTTGGCAAGTTCTTCTGGACCCAAAAGGGCCAATCCAAGGGTGACCAGGGCCGTATCTTCTGTGCCAATATCTCAACTCCTGCTGGTGAATCTGCAGCCTCCAGATCCGATGTGGAGTGCATCCTCGAAGACCTTCCGGAGCCTATTGACCTGGAATTTGAGGAGTCTTCCAACACTCTTTACTGGACCGATCGTGGTGAGCTTCCACTAGGAAACTCCCTGAATTGCTCTCGCCTCGATGCATGCGGCCGAATCATCAAGACGTCCTCGTCTCAGAAGTATGAGATTCTGACTCGCAACTTCCACGAAGCAATTGGATTGAAGATCGATGCTGGTAACAACTCCATTTACGTCACTGATCTTGGCGGCAGCATCTATCGTTGCGACTTGGATGGAAAGAACAAGACTGTCTTGGTCTCAGACGAAAACCGAGCTTTTACTGGCCTTGCTTTTCTCTGATTGGATTTTTCACTACCACTTGTTTCTGCGTTTGCGAAAGCCTGGGCATTAATTTCCTCGATAGCAAAGCTTGAATGAAGATAGAATTATAGAATACGAAAGAATTGAAGAAGTTGACAATTGCAATCTTGAGACATCTTCCTCCCCCTTTTTCGAACGATAATCCCAACGTGTCGAGACACGCAATTCAGGTCGCTTTGTCTAGACACTCATTTTGCTTCGCGCCTTTTTCTCCTGAAAGCTCAAGTGAAACCTCCTGATAAGGCAAGCAGAACGTCAAACGTTTCAAAGTAGCCAAGACTCTGGGTTTCCCGGAAAGAGCAAAGGTTTCCGGCCTCTAGGCGTAATCTCCCGATCACTTTCTGTCATCGGACAAGGATCTTGAATCTTCGTTCTTGCGGTCATCGGACTATCCGAATTCGTGTAGATAGACGCAATCAATCTGCAGAGACATCAGAGACAGGGTTCGAGAGTTTGCTCCTTTGACCAGACGGAGTGCCTAGTCTCTGTATGGAGAATTGTACGAGCAGAAGCCTCACACAAAACCTGACAGGTGATCGCGCGAGAGACTGATGACCATCTATTTCGAGCCGGCCACTATGAAGTGTTGATTCTCAGTTCAACTCGGTCTTGATCAATTTTGGGAATGAAAGAAAAAGAAAAGAAATGCGAATTTGGCGGCCAGTTGAGAGTTAAATCAGACAAATTAATCAACGTAAGATAACATGTTCAAGACGGGTTGACACAATTTGATATACACAAGCTACTATACAACCCATCTCATATCATCCCTAATTTGAAACTGTCCGAGTTTAACGCTTGCAATAGAGATCCCAAAGACCCGAAATTCCAAGCCAGTCTAAGAACACTTCATTCAATCCCTGTCGCAATAACTCATCACCCATGTAGTACTTCCTTGATTTATTCCATGGGTGGGTACCAAATGTACTTTGAAGAGTCTTTTTCATGCGAATGGTCTCGATAGACTTCTGAAGGTCCATCCAATAAACACTCTCAGGCATCCAACCTCGTTCTTGATCTGTGGAAGAGGCAAGACTCTCGAATTCCGGCAAGGATTGCACAGTCTCCCAATTCTAAACACATCATAGTATGCTGCTTTGCCGTATCTCTTCAATATATGCTCCTGGTACTCAGGAGAAACCATCTGGCGAGAAGTCCGATGTAGGTACTCGATCTGTTGAGTGATCACATTCTGTAGCTCTTCTCTTTGGAAAGAAGAGTTCGACTCGTTCTCAGCTTGATCGAGATAATGAGTGATCTCATCCCGTAGCTTTCGCAGGCGATAACGAGTCCACTCGGGGTAGAGCGATCCAAGATCTGCATAAGGCCGGATGTTGGTGATATAGCTGAAGTCATAAATATTTCGCACCTGGGCGCGATAGCTGGTAATTGTCGAGATGCGCTCCGAAACTCCCTTGGCACGAGCGGCTAAATGTTGAACTTCCCCACCTTGCAGCATTACTGCATGTCCAATCTGGGGACCATCGACCTATATCGTTTCAATTTTACTAGATCTTTATGATATAGTCAAGTTGCATTTACCTTCTGGGCTTCGCCATCCCCCCTTTTGATATATGTTTCTCCACCGACCATGCCATCGGTTTCACTGAGCATGAGCACACAGACATATGGATAAGAGTCATAGCTTTCATCAAGTTAGTCTTACCATTGCCATAAGTCTGAATCGAGGACGAGACTCACTGCCAAGGTATGATAGAGGTCTCATCTTTCAACGGGTCATAAGCTCGCTCTTCAGGACTCAACTCCAATTTCTCCACTGATGGCTCAACCTTGAGGCTGCTCACCATCTCTGCTATCGTGACTCCTTCAGCTTGAATATTTGTATGTCCAATCTCTGTAGGCATTACCACCTCTAAAGGCACCCCAGAAGCGTCGGATACTATGCTCATTGTTTCCGGGTGGGTCCAGAAATCCCGAATAAAGTGGGAGTACTTGACCGCATCACGAAGAACCAAGGTGCCAGGAAACGGCGAGCTTGCACAATTCTCAATCACATTTCGTCTGGAGAGGGCTTTGCGATAGGCCCTCGCGCCTCGCGGTGACAGCAGGGAGAATGGCATTGTCCCGGCTATCGGAGTTGCAGTTGAACTCTGACTCAAAAGCAAGTCTTGCATCGTTATCGTTCTTTCAGGTGGCACATAATCAAGATGGATCTATTCAAAGTTGTCATGAGCACGGCCATACCGGTCAAACTGAGAGATACATTGTAAAGGGATGCACATACTGTGGGATCGAACAGCTCCTCTTCCACAGAGTCCTGGACGGAGTGTCCACCCAATGTGTTCGGCTCAGTCAAGAGATCCATCTTGTGCTCAGTATGGCGCATAAGCAGTGATCAATCCGTTTAGAATTATCTTTATCTCGTTTCTCCAAATTAGCAGTCAAATTAAGATACTTATAGAAGCAGCGATACCAGTGGAAAGTCAACAGCGAGAAAGGACTTTCAAAGGGGTCCGTACTAAGGAGAATCATACTCATTCCACCACTCCACGTCTATACCCATGCGCTATTCCCATCCAGGAAAGTAGGTCCAGCGACACAATCCCAGTGGATCACATTTCCTCTTTGAGCTATCTTTGCAATGAACACCGTCTTTTGATTCACTCGCATCTTTATAAAGTATCTTACCACTGCACTCTCTTCCTCCGTGATCCTTCGGTATTCTCCATCTCGCATGAAGATCCCTGTACTGATCGTCGTATCTCCCGAGGAGTGCAAAACACGCTAGTTTCTTATCTCGCCTATCAATTGATAAGAGAAAACTGGCATTCTCCAATCGATCTAACCCTGCAAATTTCGGCAAGGGTGAGGAAACAAAGCAGAGATACGGTTGCTCTAGCGTTCAATAGATTCTTCCAATATGAACACCAAGAAATACCATTTCCTATTCACAAGACAATTCATCTTTTCACTTTGAGAATACAAAGCCCAATGCTACAGTATGGTGGTTAAACATCCAGCCCTAACGGAGGACTCCGAAGCAACCCCTACAATCGTGGGGGAAATTAACCTAAGCGAAGATTCGAAAAATTCAATACTGGAGCAGGGTAGCGAGGAGAATATCGCAACTAAGTGGGAAATATGGGCATATTATGCGTGCGTCGCCTACTTTCTTTTTCATGACTCTGACTGATTGTTGCGATAGTTATTACATTGGAAACAATGGTCTTTCTCTGTTCAGTAAGTTTCAATTTCCGTCTCTCAAAGAAAAATGAAATCGTCTTCAAAAAGTAGACCAAGGACATTGGTGAAGAATACGTGTACTAGGTTGTGTTTAAGGCGCTGCAAGGGCAACATGGGCATCTGCAGACGAGAAGATCCGTGAACTGTTCAGACGTTTCCGAGAACCGAAGGAAGCATCGCACCTTTTACTCCGACTCGACTTACTAATTTATGTTGTGTAGACTTTGCCCCTACAGCCTTCCAGAACTTGCTTTATCAAGCAGCGGGAGATTCTGATATTCTTCTCTTTGCAGGAAGATTTCGCTCAGTTGAAAGCATTGTCCTCCTATGCAACGGGATCTCTTTCGCTATTCAAATCGTGATATTTTTGGTCATAGGAAGTTTTGCTGATATTGGAAACTGGCGTCCCAACATTCTAATTGTTCTCTCTGTCATCGCCTATGCTATAGGATTCGCTTGGCTGGGCGGTCACACCGAAGACAAATGGCAGATAGGTGTAGGTCTGTACATTGTTGGGCTCATTGCGTATCAGACTACACTGACGTTTTGGAAATAGTGTTGAGATGAGAGAAAAGGCCAGTGAAATTGCGCATGGCAATATCTCGTGAAGAGTATGATTACGCCGATACCATGAAGAGAAGTCAACTTGCAAATGTTGCTTTCTACATTCAGTCTGTGGCCGAGATTGTCATCCTTGCTATTATTGTTGGCATCATGTTTGGTCTTGATGTTAATGCAAGTGAAGCAAGGAACAATTGGGGATCAAGTGTTCTCATTGCTTTTGCGAGTGGTGTCTGGCTGCTGTTTCTTTACCGTGGTTCTTTTTGGAAAAACGACGACCTGAACAGGATCTGGGCTCTAGGAATATAATCATGGCCGGCCTGTCGCAACTCTACTTTGCAATGAGCCAGGTGTGGAAGGCTGAAACAGAGTTTGCTATATCTCATCGGTATGTATTCGTCCCCTCTCTCTATCCAGGTGCCGGGGAAGCTTATTCACGACGCCTGTCCCAGGTTATTTCCTACTGGGAGACTCATTGAACACTACTGTCACCGTCATTTCGACTTTACAGAATAGCTTGGTAGCCTATAACACATTAGAGCTAACGTATCTCTTGATTGTGGGAATTGCGGCCCAGGTCAGTTATGATTACTTAGTGATGGATGGCGAATCAATTTCTCTAATATGCATCTTAAGGCTGTTGGTATCTATCTTTTCTGGGCCATTCAGCAGCGCTACCGCCTCGGCACAAAGACCATGTTCAATGCCATCGCATTCGGTATTGTTCTCCTTGATGGCTGGGGAATGATAGGGAACTGGACCACCAAATTTGGTTTTCATCACGTCTGGGAGGTCTGGGTAAGTACCACTCTCGCAGGCGCACCTTCAAGCTTCCTCTTAGAAATTCACTAATAATTTCCCAAGGTTTACCAAGCCTTCTATGGCTTACCGATATGCCCCTGGTATAGTTACTAGTTACTCGCAGATTATGATCTCGGTGACGCCCCGCGGCTACGAGTTCCTTTTTTTCAGTCTCTTCAGTATTGTCGGAAAGACTTCGTCGTTCATCGGTCCTCTTGTGTCCAGTGCTATCATCGATGCTACGCCTTCGGGCAATGTATCTGCGCCGTTCTACTTTCTATTTGGCTTAAGTTTATTGAGCTTTGGAATCTTGGTTGTCGGGGTGGATCTGAAAAAGAGCCGCACGGAACAAGAGGGGTTCTTGAAGAAACAGCGCAGGTGAGAACAATATCCTTATTGCATAGGCTAAAATTGTGTATGATGGAAACCATCATTTACGATTACATGGTTGGAATGTTATATGGCAGTCAATATCATTACGTGCACATTTATGAGCCCGACAATCTCAAGGTCAACTTTCCTCCCTCGAAACGCCAACGCAAAGTACAGAAGACGAGATACACTCCAGGACTTCAATAACCCGATCCAGGCCACGTCGGTGTTTCGACCCCGTATTCTGTCTTGTAGGAAAGGTCCGTAGAAGCATGGAAACGCTTACCCATAAGCCCAGAGCATGCGTTGTTCTTCTCCAAAGGACACTGAGCAGCCACCAAACTTCGCTTTTTGCCATCTTGACACGACGATGTGATATTTTTGACCCCCTCGATCTGTTCAATGCTTTCCCAAATCTTATACACCCAAGCTTTATTCCCTGCAGGATAAGTTTTGACTTTACCTCCGCCTTTCATGGGAGTGAAGAACTCCGCCTTCTGTCCCGATTTTGCCTGGTAGAATTTGGTCATCTTCTTCGCAATCGCGAGCTCTGCATCTTGGCACTGTTGTTTGGTGTAGAGCTCTGTGTCGATGCGCGTATAGAAGTTGTCGTCTTGACAGAACCCAACAATATTTCCGGGTGTCTTATAGCTCAAGGGGGGGTTCTGCGTAGAACTCGATAACACAGTGATGATACTCGATCATCTTGCCGGGGCATCCACAGCAACAGTTGTATTCACCGACGAGCTGAATCCGCTCTTTACAATCACCCGCCGGATACAAGAAGCTGCTGTTTGGACAGCCGTTTTTGTATTCATCGCAACTGTTGCCAACGTTGCTCACGCCGTCGCATTGGGTATTTGCGCCCTGGATAGATGTCAAGGTCAGGGCTGCAAGAAAAATGAAATGCATCATTCTGGATTGGAGTCTGTCAATGCATGCTTTAAGCTTGACCAAAGCGCCTTCGTACTTACTTCAAGCAGCTGAGATGGAAAGGATGGACTATTGAATCAGAGGTCGAAAAGCATTGAGCTTCATCGACTCGGGTGACTGGTACTTTTCCTTCAAGGGAGAGAGACTAAGGATACCTCAAGCCTGAGCTGCCCTGGAGTGCTACAGAGCCCCATTTATAATTGAACGTCTTCCAGTGCAAAGATTGGGTACTAAATCTAGGGCGGGTCGGTCTATCCCGGAATTTCCACTCCCTTCAAGCATACTATTCTTTCAACAGCCAGGAATGTTCAATCAACCCACTGAAATCTCATTTGACAAGTTTGGAGATCATGGTCTTCCAGCTGGTCTATTGATGCTGAATATTGTTCATCTAATTCTGTCCAGGTCCGCCGAGAACACCCAATATGCGATATCGAGCAGGTTTATCATATGCAGACTTTTAGTTGAGAAGGAGCAAGTTTATTTGTTCCTAGCGAGGGTCAGATAGCGATGAAAAGGAATGTGCGCTTGATCATTTTGTGTAACGTTACAGCACCGAACCCTTGCTAAATGTATTGAAATGGCTGAATATTTATAAACGCCAACCCTTGCTTGTATCGGTGTAACATCTCACGAGAGTATCGAATGGCCTTCACTAGAGTGAACATGTCAACTTGCGACCGAACATCTATTCTTCTTATTGACATTAAGCAGTGTGGGTGATGTGACTCCTCCCTCTTATAATACATATTATACAAAGTAGGCCCAATTAAAAAGCTACGCGAGACTTAACTCCCATTGCAACTCTTCTAGGATATCCATCCAATGAGTTTTCCTCAACACTGTGCCTCCAGCTGCAATATCTTGTGCGTTGGCATCTTGTCTCGCCCAGAGGATACGTAGTAATTCCTTTGCGCGCTCGACATTCCCAATGCCAAAATTGGTCTGCAACTTGCCTAAAAAGCAAATGATAAGATCGCGGTGCGCGAGAACTTCGGTCTCGCAGCCGGAGATAAATAGTGGGAACGTAAGAGCCGAGTACTCGCAGTGTTCGTCGAGGGGAAAGGTCTTCACGCGTGCGAGGCAGCGCTGAATGGCGATCGACTTCGGTGTTGAGATTAGAGGGGCCCATTCCATAAGATACAGATTGTCCTCGCAGGGTAATGTGGGGGTGTTAATGGAGTATGCATCTGGGTCGAATGGTATTTGGGGGGTATCAGACTTCGCACTCATGCGTTCAAGCGTCGAGTGGAGGAAAATAAACGCTGCTTCGCGAAAGCACTCTGCGACGAGCTGGAGTCGGGTTAGAGTAGCGGATGTAATGCCCTCCGGGATGATAAAGTCGACTAATGTGGGGGTCCATGATAGGAGTGAGTCATTTCTGCGATTTATATTGTTAGCGTATGATGACGACCTTGGTTGCTGGATAAAGGCAATTCACATGGATGCTATCGCCAGACTTAGAGAAATGCGATCGTCTCGCAGCGAAGGTAGCTCTGCGATGCGTCCGCAAAGTTTGAGGATCTCCTCAGTGAACCCGATATAGATATCTAATTTTGGAGGACCGATGTCGGTGTCTGTGGGGTCAGAATATGCGATGGGCTTGCGGGCGCTGATGCGAGCCATGTTATAAGAGTAGACAAATCTTGATTATCGTAAGTGATAGAATCGAAATGTTGCATTGTAAAAAAACGTACAATCCTCGAAGAAAAAGTGCCGCATCTGGGTTCATAGACCCGAGGCCACCACGAGACGCGATGAGACGCTGCATTGCGTGGAGATGCACAACCCACTGTTTGATGCTGCCACGAACAATCTCGTACTTGCACATCAAGCCCACTGCGAGCATAGCGTCATCAGGAAGTAAGTCAGTGGAGCATTGAGCGATTGCTGTCCGAATACCGCGAAGAGTGTGGCCATAGAAAGTCGCTGCGGCATTCTGTGCAATGAACTCACGTGAACGATTCGCGAGGTGAAGAGCCGAGACCGCACATACAGCCTTCATCAATAATGGAGAGGACATGGCGCATGGAATTAGCAGGGACCGTAGTGGGTTGTCATCACGTTCGAGATTGGCGAGGAGTTTGGATCCATGCTCTACATGGTATTGTAGATAGTATGATTCATGACCCGAAAGGTGACTAGGGATAGGATACCCTTGAGGTCGCATGATGACTGCTGAGTTATCTTGACCATTAAACTCCGTTGATTTGGTTGTGGCTTGATCTTGGATAGTCTCTTCGGTCTCAATGTCAACAAACCGTAGTGGCGAGGACGACGCAGAACAGTCCAATGAGACTGGAGATAGCTGCGTATCGTGCCATGCATAAGAATATGGCGATACCGACGGTGACGGTGATAATTGGTGAGCAGGAGAGTGAGCCGTTAATTGAGGCGGCTTCGAGGCATTCGCCTGCATGAATACCTGAGCCGATGGACCAAGTGGCTCCACCCAGAGATCGCCATAGCCCTCACACTTGCGGCCTTGTTTGAGGCAATTTTTGCAGCTAACTGGCGGTCAACCTAAGCATATAATGCAACTACCCACGTAGGGACACACCTTGGCTTAGCCTTATCGCACCCTTTGCGACGTTTCTTACATGTCAGACAGCCGGAGCGAGTCCATGGCGTGCCTGTTTGCCGGCGCCCCTTTTTGGGGACTGGACGAGCATGTGCGGAGACTTGCGGGGAGGTTTGAGAGGCCCATCCCGTGTCGTGGAACGTAGTCAAGGTCATCGTGTTTGGCGCATTGGAGAATGCTTTTCGCATCAATGGTGAGTCTTCCCCGCGATTTGATAGCAAATCCCACCACGCTATTCCCAATTGGGACAATCTTGCGCCTACACGTGATTGTTATCTACTTGTAAATTTAGCGGCCCCTGCATCGACGTGAGTTAAGAAGGGGAATTTATGCATGATCTTGACCTTACCAAACGCATCCATAGCTTTTTTTTTTTTACTCAAATCAGAATATTCTCATCATACCATTTCCAGCTCGTATCTAAGACGTAGGCCACAAGGAGCGCTCTGAGGATACAACATAGGCGAGCGCACCATCTTTTATGTTTGCCGGCGGGACTAGCGCTCACTAATACCAAGAACGACACAAGCCACTTATGAAAAATGACATTGAAGGCATCAACGTAGAGCGACGCGTCCAAAGGACATCAAGAGATATGGCCAAGAAAGAAGCTAAATCAAGGTCTAGAACAGGTATCTAGGTAGACACGCAAAGAATTCCGAATATTATCTTCATGTCAGCGATGTTTAGCAGGGTATATTCATTGGGTGTTTTAAGTCTCATGACTCCAAAAAGACGAACAAGAAAATTGGAAAATACACTCTTTCGGGTATGACTAGCGATAGTTGTATTCAACTCAATCCCATATTCACGTCATCACTCAACCCGAATTCCCTTTCAGCTCGTTCTGTGCCCCCCGCTGCCCTGGTCGACCATCGATCGAGGTGGTCTTGCATGGAGGAGTCTCCTTCGCGCAGACTAGTGCTATCGCTCGTTCCCACGCTACCTTCCCTGATGCTGTACTGGGACGGATTGCGAACGCTTATCGGACGCGACGGTGTGCCTTTGTTGCTGCCGGCACCATCCTGAGAGGCTCCGAAATTTGATCCTGTGGCACGATTTTGGTCCTTTGAAGTGCTCCTGACGTGATCTTTGTCCTTGCCGCGGAACCAGCCCCGTCTGCGCGCTTTGAGGGGTATTGTAGATGAGAGACTTAGCGATTCAGGATCGGAATCCTTTTCCTCTTCCTTTACCTGAGCTTGTGGGGAATTTGAGACGGTCTCGTCGGAGCCATCTGGTTGCACCTCGACCAGTTCAGCATCGCGATACCATTTACGTCGGCGGGTATATCGATCCCAACCGTCTTGAGCGCGACGGCCATCATTCCACTATGATTCATTAGCAATAGGCATCGACATCCAGACTGTTGAGATAAACGAACCTTGTTATCGTAATAGATCCATCCCTCGCTCGCGGCGGTCTTGGATCCTGATTTAGTAGAAAGATCCGCGCCTTCAACGCGCCACTCACTACCCTCCACCCAACGCCATTTCGAGCCACCGGTGGAAACATCGGGCAATTCAAAAGAGTCTTTCGGTGGAACAGAGTTGAGGTGTTCATCTGTCCAGGCAGCACGCTCTGACGGGAACAGAGAGTATGTCCAGCCAATTCCAAGCCAGCGTCGTTGGTTCTCATACATGACGAACGTGAATCGCACTCCAGAGCCGTCCCCACGCCGCCGTGTTGATATATTCAGCCCTTGGCCTTGGCCCTGGCCCTGACCTTGGGCTGGGGCTTTCGGTGTGCTTGGGCCATCTGCGACGGAGAGCCCTGTGATAATGGAGCATAGGCGGCGGACTGCTCGAGACCGCCATAGAATTACACGTGAGACCCGTGCAGGTCGCGAGTGGTAGGTGAGGACGATAGTACCGACGGTCATGACGACACGTCGGGTGGTAATTAGGTAAAGAGGCGGAAGGGTAAGACCGATCCAAATGGGAGTGACAAGGAGAATTCGGATGAAGAGAGCAGTAAGCGCCGGCCGAGTAGTTGCAGATGTTGGGGTTCGCTGAGTGGATAGGAAATCGGTCAAATCGAGCAAAGGCTCGAGCAGGATATTGCATCTGGTTGTGAATATGCGCAAGGTTTCAACGATGTCATCCAGACTTTTGTGGTGGCGGGTCGTTTCCGCCGCAGCTCTGCTCTGGTGCTTCTCACCCGTCGAGGTCGTTGATGACAAAGGTGAGTAGCGACGGCCATACATGCCCAGGATCAATCCGATCACTACTAAAATCGGGCCTGCCCACAGAATGATGGCATCGCTATATAGCACCACCGTCCAAAAAACAGCCACGAGCAGGAAGCTCTGCCACGGGTCCCCAGTTGTCCATGTCAACAGGCCCGCAAGCTTGTTCAACGGCAGGAGAAACGGGTGCGAGTAGGCCAGGGCTCGGGTGATGGCCGGCGGTGTAGCAACCAGCAGCGGAGATTTTCGGTGTACGATGACACTGGAGCGCTGGCGTGAGCTCAAGGCGGATCCAGTGATGGTAGAGGGCGAGAAAGGAGCGACCGTCGGCGGTTGAGAGTCAGACTGGCCATGGTCTTGGGAGTTCATTGGGAGTGCCATGGAATCGATCCACGGAAGGTCTTCTAGCCTAGCATCAACTAGTTGCTCTCTGGTCATGGTCAAGGGCAAGGGCACATACCGAGCGCGGCCATCCAATTACGGCGACGTCATGCGATGCGTGTCAGCTCATCTGGCTGAGCGGGCGATCGTTCTCGTTATATGGTGAGAGGCTCGTTCGGTCCAGAGTTGATCTGCGGGGGGCAAAGCACCGGAGGACATGTGACTGCCCGTGCAACACTTTTTAAGTACCGACGCTGGGAAATATCGGTGTTATTTTAAGGTCTATAAATACTTTAGCATGCTGAAATAATTAGGAGAATATTTATTCTCGATCAATTATGCTTGTATTCTTCCATTAAACAAACATGAGATGACCCTGCGGCGCATAGTTCCAGCTCCCCGACCTGCCGACGCTAAAACGCGCAGCCGAAATTTTCCCCTTCTTCCTCTCTTCACCTCCTTGGGATCATCGCGCCAGCTCCTTCAGCCCCGTCGACATGGTACGTTCTCGGTCTTTTATTTCTACTGGCTGGGCACATTTGCGATATGATTATAAAATTCTGACTCATTTCCTCTCCAGGCTCACCGCATCGTCACCCAAGTCGTTGTTACCGGAGCCCGGGTCTTCGGCCGCGCCTTCGCCGAAGCCTACAAGCAAGCCCAGGCTTCTGGTAAATACGCTGCGCAGAAGCAGGGCGGCGGCAGCAGCTTTTCCTCCTCCGGCCTGACCCTCGATGAGGCCTGCAAGATCCTCAACGTCAAGCCCCCGGTCGCCGGCGAACAAAACATCGAACACGTTATGGAGCGATTCAAGAAGCTTTTCGACCTCAACGATCCCCAGAAGGGCGGCAGTTTCTACCTGCAAAGTAAGATTCTGCGCGCGCGCGAGCGTATAGAGATGGAGGTTCGAACTGCCCAGCGCCAGGCCGCTACAGAGAAGGAATTGAAAGAGGGCTGGAAGCCCAAGGTCTATAAGGACCGGTGAAACCCTTTACCACCTGAGAGCATCTGCGCCTCTGCGCTGTTCTCTCCTGCGTCCTCGATATCCTTCACATCCGCGCTTCGAGTCCGCACGCTTCAAGTACCGTCTTTCGCCTGAGCACTGTTTTTCTCCTCGATGTTCGTCGGGGTCCGCTCTCATCTTGATTTGGCATAGCATGGCGTTTGGGTTATTGTGGGAAAGAGGTTTTTGTCTCTCTTATTAGATTGAGGGATCTCCCAGCTTTGGGGAGTTGTGATCTTGATCTTGACCCATGGCCTTGATCTCGATCTTTCCTCTCAGACCTTCCGGTCTTTGTGTATACCATTTCGACCCTTTCCACCACAGTCGACCCCCCTCTTCTCCACTCTGACCCGCAAAGGAAATGTACAATAGCTTCATATTTGCACATGTATAATGTTCTACTTTGGTTTTCCGTACTTTCGTAATCGATGTAGACAAAAAGTACCGGGCGCACGATTTTGCCACCGCCGGTTGGAAATTGCCATGCAGGAACACCAAGAGAGAATCAGGTACAACCGTGGTTCCAGTCCATATCGATTATGAATCGACGATCGGGGAGTCACTGAATCGATCGGGATCGGGCCATCGTCTCGCATACTACATTACTCGCCCCCGCCATGGCGCGATTCGGAGCGGAGCAGCGGAGCCGGAGCGAATTCTCATAAGGAAATCACCGTCCCCTTTCTACGCTTTGTGCTGAGTTGGTTCTTCCAAGAAACCTCGGGTTGACCCTGTAATCATCCTATATCCTCCCTCGAGTGTCCCTCCCCAGCCACAACCATGCGCCCTTCCACCCCGCTGTCTGGGGACCTCCCCCCACTGATAATGGGCACCGCAACCTTCAACTCGCAATACAATGCAGACCCCTACGCCCTCCCAACCACAGAACTAGTCCAGCGTGCCCTGTCCCGCGGCATTCGCGCCTTTGATACATCCCCCTACTATGGCCCCGCGGAAGAGCTCCTCGGCCGTGCCCTCACCTCCGAATTCGTACAATCCAATTTTCCCCGCGACTCATACCGACTGCTTACCAAAGTCGGCCGCATCGCTTCCACCTCATTCGATTACTCTCCAACCTGGATAAAGCATAGCGTGCGCCGCAGTCTTCGTCGCCTGCACACGGAGTACTTGGACGTCGTATACTGTCACGATGTGGAATTCGTGAGCCCTGCCGAAGTTCTCACTGCTGTGCGCGAACTCCGTCGTCTGCGCGATGAAGAAGGGGTACTGCGCTATGTGGGAATCTCGGGATATCCCGTCGATATATTGAGTGAGCTTGCGGAGATGATCTTGCGCGAGACAGGCGAGCCGCTTGATATTGTGATGTCGTATGCCAACTTCACGTTGCAGAACACACGACTGTATTCACTTGCGCTGCCGAGACTTCTTGCTGCGGGCGTGGATGTTGTGCCCAATGCGTCGCCACTGGGTATGGGGTTGTTGAGGAGGGATGGTGTACCAATTGGCTCGATGGGAGATTTCCATCCTGCGCCTGATGCATTGCGCGGAGCTGTTCAGAGGGCGGCGGATCGCGTGATGGAGCATGGGGAGAAGCTTGAGGTCGTTGCTATCCGTTTTGCGCTGGAGACTTGGTTGCGCGCTGGTGCTAAAGTTGGTGGACTTGGTGCGCCGTTGGCGAAGGGCAAGGATGCGGATCCAGGCTTCTTGTCAGTTGCGAATATGGGGACTGGAAGGAGAATGGGTGTTAGTGTAATGGGCGTCAGCAACATTGATGAGTTGGATGAGACGCTCCGGGTGTGGCATAGTATTTTGGATGGACTGGAGAGCTGGAATGAGGACGACGAAGAATTCCAATTTGAGAGCAGGTCTCAACCTGCTGGGTCGTCTACCCCGACGGTCTCTCTGGCGCAGTCCCGTCTGCATCGAAGGTCTCCGCGGATATCTTGACCCCCTCAGAGGGCCTCGTCACCGACCGAGCTTGGTCTCACTCACGTCGTGCTCACATCTTGCAGCTGTCTCAGGAGGTCCGTGACGTTCTGGGTAGCGAATGGGTTGACTACGTATGGGCGAGTCCGGGTGCGGGCTTCAAGAATTTCTTGCCTGTTGAGCACCTTGATACCGTAAAGAGGCTTGAGGAGGGCGAGGATGAGGCTTCGCCTGCGGCCGGGTCTCCAGGAGACGTCATGCTTACGCCGCCCTTGGATGTGGAGAACCGACTGGGATAGATATGCAACTTGTGTGGCATGAACATACACGATGATCTCAATTGGTTCTTTGTGAGCGTGAGCGTGGGCCGTACATAGATTTATACATAAGCCATGTCCCCGGATATCTGAGCACATAATGTTAATGAAGCTCGAAGGTAATATTTTCCTCTTTCAGATATCAAGCGTACACTAGCACGTGTTTTTTTCTCGGCCCCGCCTCAGAGCCTGCTTCCACCCCAGGCATACCTCGTCATGGCTCCTAGGTACTGACAGTCCTCATCGATCGCAGTGAGTTACAAGTACAAGCTCTCGGGACCATAAGCTTGAGTCCCAAGCCGTGCTCCTCTCCAAGAAATCGCATGTAACGCTTGCTTGGTGAGAAGGAGGATTGGGCAGGAGCAAGAGGTAATAGTCACCGGGAAGGTGCGACCCAGAACCTTTCAGGTCGCTGGCTGGATTCGATTGGGCTCACTAAGGATATATCCTGTACAGGAATGAAAACAAAAAATGACCAGGCCGCGCCGAGTCGAGATGTTAGTAGACCCGAGGAGGTGTTCTCCATGGGAGGCACGAGCATTGGAGACGAATTCAAACTCGAAGAGCGACGGCGGAACCTAAATGTGAATCAATCAGAAAGCTCATTGATGAAATCACTTCCCAATCGTTAATAAAATAATGAGGACGGCCAGCTGCAATCGCATTGGCTACAAATGATCAGTCCAGTTCCCCTCGCTGTGTCCTCGCTTCCTCCGGCCAAACGGCATGGGTATCTCGAACTAATAGTCAGACAAAATGAATCTCGGCTTCAAGGGAACTCGTCAGGGTCATCACTGCAAGGGACAGAAAGCAATTCGGCAAGTGGCGGCTATCTGGGAGCCTGTGGAAGGCTAGCTCAGGCTCACTTGCGCCTACTTGCGGCGGGGACCACGAGGCACAAGATGAGGTCTTTCCGCGGGCTTTTGAGCCGGTCTTTGGGCATGTCTATCGGCGTCTCTTCCATTGGGAGATCCTCGGTATCGGGCGAACTGCTGGGAATTCTCAAACACGTGGCGGAGCTGATATCGCTGTTCGGTGTACTCATCGTAGTTTGCTGCGAGGATGGCCTGAAGAATGCTCTTTGGCTGATTTGAATGGGCAATCTCATGCATGCGTCGGCTCAGGCTATCGTGCGCATCACGGAAGGCCCTGAAAATCAACCGAATCTCTTTTGTGCCGCCCGAAATATCGTTCGAAGAGTTGTTGGGGTCGATAATTGACAGGCGGTCATTGTCACCGAAACCCTGTGCTATGTCAGTTGCGGCCCGTGGCGATCTAAATGGAGGTCGCACCTTGTTGTAATATCCCGGCGGTTCCATGCGAAGGCCAACTCGTTCATAGTCCATCATAAATCCATAGAAGTCAAAGAAGGACATCAAAACATCCCCGATGTTATCTTGCTTGTTAGAGGGCATGTGCTGAAGAAGACTTGTCACTAGGCAGGTAATGGAGAATCCACCTAATCCGCCAGTGGGCACCTCGTTGAGGCCGCGCAAAAGCAGAAATTGCTTGATAACGGACACGATGACAGGCATGAGGGGATACTGCCGCTTCCATTCCTGGAAAGTCCGGTTTGCGATGATGCCACTATCATTATCGAAAGACAGATCCACCCGAAGGCCAGTCAGTTTATCAATAAACTTCAGAATGGGGACCCTGGCGTGGGCAATGGTTTCAATGGAACCAGGCACTGCAATTTCCAAGCTCTTTAGATACGCAGAAAAGGCGTAGATTTGACCCTTCCGCTCCCCAAACTGCTTCCTTCCGCCCGCCATGAAACCCTTGGATAGTAGGACGAGATCGATATCTGCAGTGGGCAGGTACATTCCGGAAGCAAATGAGCCAAACGGCTTGACAGAGACGGGACCGTATCTCTGCTTAAATGCGTCATCAAGGCGGGAGATAAGATCTTCGCGGACAATCTGCTCGTAATCATGAGGCTTCACCCAGTTGAAGAAATCAAGAACTTCACAATGTAGCCTGGATTTGAGAAGAGTTAGTATAGGCAAAGTGCTAAAAGAACGAGCAAAAACACTCACTTTCGGCTTGGGTGCATAGGGATAAGTACTAGACATCCAGGGAGTATCATCTTGGCCAGAAAAGGCTCTCCACTGGTAAAGAATGGATCCATCATCCATGAAGCGGGCCTTGGGCTTCCCAGTCTTGAAGGAAACGCCTTTGCTCTCGTCGTCACGAGTCCGTTTCAACGATGGTAACGACGGGGGCTGTTGCTCCATGCTCTTGGGACCCTTTGGCGCATTATCAGGAGCCTGGCTCTCTGTTGAAATTTCGAGAGCGGGGCCAAGAGAAATGAAATCGTCGTTGTCTGTAACAGCGTCTTTTTCCTTTGCCTCGCCCAGGCCGTTCTGGAGTTTGGCCTTGCGAATCATTTTGACAACATCCATACGCTTGTGCTGACTTTCGTCAGGAGGAGGGAGAGCAGTGTAGGGATCAGGGTTTGACCATTTCGGGGCTGGAGGTGGTGGTGGAGGCGTTGAGTCTTTGCTCTCGCTTGCAATGGCGCGTCGTTTCCGGGGGCGCGAATCTTCGTCTTCTGAATCCTCTGAAAGGGACATCTCCGCCTCCTCGCTGTCACTCAAGTCCGCAATCGACGCGAACTTGGGAGCAGGCTTGTCGTTGTCTTCAAACGTTAGGAGCTCAGGCGTCCCTTCCCTCTGACCCTGCAATAAAGGCCTCTCTGAAGTCTTTGGTTTTGGGTAACGGAAGGTGAAGTCTCTGCGTCTTTGGTCTCGAGCGCCCCTCTTTTAGGGGGGGCCATTTCCTCGAAACTCGAACGGCGCCATGGTGGAACGCGCACAGGCTGCACCTCAAAAGATGGTTCAGTCCGTCTGGAGATAATGTTGGACAGATAGGAAAGTTCAGTTGTAGACAGTCGTTCTTAATTGGCAGACAATATTAAGTCATTCAAAGCCAGCGGTAACTTTGTCGACCGCGCGTACTTGAAAAATTGGTGTGAGGCCAGGAAGTCGCGAGATGCACAAAAAAAGAGGGCTACGGCAGAATCACGCTGCAAAGGCGGTGAGCGACGAAAAGCGCCAATGGTCATTGCAAGTTATACTCAATGGGCGGACAACCTTTTTAACCCATCCTCCAGTAGTTTGACCAAATCCGTTTGAATGGCCATCTCCGCAAAACTAACGCGGTCAGGAGCCCATTCTAGGAAGTCCTTTGCAAGTGCACCATGACCATAAGCCAATCCGATACTCACATCGATCAATTCCGGCCGTTCAGCACAATGCCAGAATGCATTGGCTCCACAAACTGCACAGAACTCCCGATACACACCCGGGGAGCTATTGTATCGCCGCATGGTCTTACCTTCAAATTTCAGTAGAGATCCATCCGCATTGAAAATGTTGGCTTTTGGTACAAATGCCCAGGGCTGAATGGGAAAGCCGCACCCCAGTCGGCAGGATTCGCACGTGCAGGTACCTGCAAGATACTTGGTGTTTCCATTTCGCAACCACCATTTGACATCATCAGGGTTATTTCCAGATCCGGTGTGGTACGGGATAAGCAAGTCAGCGAAAGGTGACCAAGCCTTTGTCGATGATGAGTCTGGCTGGGTGATGTAGAATTCAATCCCTCCACAATGACAGCGTGCCTGCAGCTGAGTTTGTGATTTCGATGGATCATGCATGCGCCGTTGCGAATGAGATCTGGCGGTGCTTCCAGGCTGTCCCGAAAGAACCTCCAGTCTGCAGCCACCGTCCGTTGTTGGCCAGCCGGGCAAATATGTGCTCAACCCACCATCATCAGTGTCCTTGACCTGCCAGTGCTGAACTGACTGTACCCTCGGAATGTCTCCCGCTACTAATACACCCGAGGCCACTAAAAATCGTCCGCTAGGTTTCACTTGAGCCAGGACGTGGGAACCGCACGTCTTACAGGTGAAGCGGCTCACGTTAGGAGACTCGCGGTACTCTTGAAGTCCCTCAAGTGTAGATGGCTCATCCTGCAAGAGATAATATGATGTGCACAAGATGCCAGTCATCGCTCGGCAGTTGTGGCAATGGCATAGCTGGAGTTGAGTCTGATCCGTCAAAGGATCTAGCTGCAGCGACAGTGCTATGCCTCCGCACAGACAGGAAGCTGAGCTAGACATGCGGGCTTGAACACGAAGATGAGCAATCAGATAGTATTGAGTCTTCTTCTTCCGTTCAGCTCGCAGGCAACTTTATCGTGCTGCGTCATCCGTCGTAGCAGTCATCCATAGACAAAGCGCGTTGCACAAAGAAACCCGTAGCTATGGAGTATTCCTACGTCTGTGCTCAGGCGGGGCAGTGCAGAAATTCACTCGTGGTTAGGTTAGTGAGATGCAACATGCGTGGAAGTTTCGCCAAAGTCGCATCTCGGTAAATCACGGGCGCGGCCTCGTATATAAACCCAGCGCGACCCTTTTCATCTTCCCACACTATCGTCATCTAAATCACTCCTTCAGAAAATCCGATAATAAACACCACTACATTCAAAATGGGTGAGTACATTCCGTCCCATCTGCATCTACCCTGCACCTTGCTGCTCTGCCTGTAATCCGACATGGCGGGGACATGGCGGGGTTACTCGCACCCTCGTATTTGCCGAATATTGCATCCCTCGAATCTCGATACTGACCCTGACGACAGGTCCCGATCACACCTGCAGCTGTGGCTCTTCCTGCCAGTGCCCTGCCGGCGCTTGCCAGTGCCCTGTATGTCATGCCTTTGCTCTCCTCGCTATCAAGACGTGTCGTTGGCTAACCGAAGAACCTCCACTTTTCCCAGAAATAAACCACTCACCAACTCATGATGAGTGGCGGAGAAGATGTGAGCTGATCTTCTTCTCATAATCGAGATGCGGCAGGCAGATGCAACAGGTGAAGGATCTAGCTTCATGCTATCAGTGTTGCGTTGAAGGGGGGGTGTATCATGGAGGTCTCGATGTCAAATTCTCGAAAAAAGAATTCGTACGTCCTTTGCGTTTCAATTTTGCAAAGAGCGGTTGTTGAACCTCTTTTATTCTTCTTTTGTCAAGTACCTTGTGGGCATCGACCCGATATTTGGGTCATTAGACTCGGTAGATAGGATGAGCTTAATTCCAGTTCACTTTCAGTTGCGACAAGACTATCACGACACCTTTGCAGCAAAACAGCAGAGCCCTCAATGTCGAAATGTCTCGACACGGTAGCTTGACGTAACTAGGGAAATACAGTGCCACGTTGGGTACCTGGATCGGCCAACACATCCCGGACACGAAGTTACTTGGTCCGCCCAAGTAACTTCTTTTTTACTACGGTAATCAAATCACGGACCTTCTCAATCGAAATCATGTTTTTCCCACATCACAAAACCCCCATTTGGCAAGCATTCTACGGCCCCAAGTCGAAATACGGTCGGTTATTGCGGCTACCAATTTCGTCGTGGAACGCACCATAAACGATCAGCTATGTTTCAGGCGTCAAGGATGGAGACTCACTATTTCAGGAAAGTCGCCGCGAGTCTATGACCCCTACAGTACAGTAAAAGGACGTAGGCTCCCAACAGGCCAATAATGATACAAATCTTTCATGCAGCTATATCCCTATGTGGAGCTTACCTCTTTGGGCGCTCGCCGCTTTACGAGCATCTGAGTTTTGGGCTCAGAGTCGGGCTCACACTCAGTAAATCTCAGCATGATCCTGACGTGAGTTCCTCGCACGCAGTGTCCAGTCTGGACTCGAAGGAACTGCCCCACAAGGCCATTTGGACTGCAATCGGTGATGATCCTTATCTGCCCTTCAACATCAAATTTCGGGACATTTCATATCACGAGTCTACCACGATAGTCTTTCGTCTCCTATTTCGTGATTTTATGTACTCAAACTAGCAGTGTCTTCTCGAACTACTCGATTAACCGTTATAACTATGCTAATTAGCTCTTTCCACTTATCTACCACCCCCGAGATCTTGTCGGTATATTCTTGAATCCGTTGGAATCGGTTTACCGTTCCTATCTTTGTTTATACAGTCAGATTTCACTCACCGAACATAAATACGTCTAAAAGAAATAACAGTTTCATTCAAAGTTATTATATATTTCCTTATATAACTCTTTAAGGCTCTCTAGCTGCAAAAGTGACTTCTACTATTAGCAAAGTCGAAGAAACGCGCATCGAATAAGACTATAATGCTCGCTCAGACGGGCTATGAGTAAGTATTATAGAGTACTGTGAAGATATAATCAGAACTACTTAATAATCAATATTAATAAATGCGTTTTACTAAGGTAATCTATTTTGGCTGCCGACCCGAATCGACTTCGGGGGAAAATTGCACGTTCACGTCCATCAAAGTGATCGGCACTCTAGACTCAAAGAAAGCGAGAGGCGAGCCCCGAAAGGAGAATAACGGCATCGCAGCTATGAGAAATTCCGATAGACATATATATCGGAAGGGTCCGAGACCCAAGCAGGGAATAATATGCTCCAGTAACTTCGTGCTATACAGAGTAGCAGGATAAGACGGTCCACTTTTCCTCGGCGCGCTGCCCTACTTCCACGCATTCTTGAAGTCCGTGCCACAGAAGCGGACCAAAACGCAGTTGGTTCGCGATCTATTACTCTCACGAGGGTTAGCTATAAGCCCCGGTGAACGATCCAGTAGCTCCAAAGCTGGAGCTCAGTTATTAGCTGACTGAGTTTTGAGGTCAAGCCACACACTCCTGGGATCTCAGACCTGCTAGGATTGGTGTCGATAAGTGTGGCTCCCATCCGAGGATACCGTATACCTCTGATACCAGGACTCAAATAATGACTGCGGCATTTTGGCTTTGCCTCTTTAGCTGAATTGTCAGATGAGAGGCAACATAGCTCATCATCCGCTCTGGTAGATTCTGGAATATGCACCTCAGCATATAGGGCGCGCGGCTGCCAATAGGGCTTCAGAGCGCCCCTCCCCCAAGGTCCTCAACTCGCGCAAACACTCGGCTCCTCATAGGCTGCCACGCGAGAAATCGAATCTGCGCCGCTCCTGGCGCCGGAAAATCTCATCCTGGAAATGGACCCCCCCACTGCTGGCCACAGTGCGTTCCCACCGTTACCAATGACTGTACCCATGAGGTAATGAGGCCCGTCCCGAATGTGGATCGGACCAGCCGGCCAGAGCAGATCTACACAGCTTTTGAAACGTGGGCTTCATCACCATGTGCGTCACCCTAGTATGATGGAGGCTTGAAATGCGTGAAATAGAACATTTTCTGTGCTGGCAGAGGTATGGTATGGGGTTGATCCTTACGCATCTCTGATCCACTTCGAAGGCCGAAAATCGGCCATGAGTAGGAATAATGGTCTGGTCTGTTCTGTTCTGGTCTATTCTGCGAGCTCCATAATCGTAAGACAGACATGACCTGCTTGCCCACTATCCGGCCATAGTCTTGATAAACAAGTTCAGCACAGGATCCGGGAAAGGAAGCTCGGCAGCGTAGGAGCCTTTCAGTCCGAAAGGAACAAGGCAGCCTGCCACACAAGCCCACATCATCTGCATTGAACTAAACCGATCTGAGTCGTGCCAGCAGCTTGATCTGCATAGGTGGACCTCTCACGATGCAGGACCCCAAAGAAAACAGATCGGGTGCATGGTTCCCCTCTATCGTAGCCCAATACCATTGGTGACCGGCACTGGAAAAGAGATCATTCATTTGTGACAGCGTTAGAGTCAGTCGATGCGGGTAGCGCGTGAGAATGAAGTGGAGTGAGAGGGGGACTGTGGATATCTCTTGACTCGACCACACCACGGAGGGGTTGAAGCAGTGTCCGGTGCTCCGATAGGCAAGTCGGTACCTAGGTCGTCGACGACTCATAGACATCTAAGGCTCGGAGTACAACGCTGCGTAGCATGAAAGTATATAAAGTCATCCGTATAACCCCCTTCTCTCCCTGTCGTCTCTCAAGCCAGGTAAATCCAAGAACTCATCACAAGTCTTTAAGTGGTTCCCCCATCAACACTACATTCATCATGTCTCCCTGCTCATGCAACTGCTGCTCCGGCAACTGCAGCTCCTGCTCTTGCTCTAGCTGCACCGTAAGTATCTCGGGTCTCTTGAAGTTCCTGAAAGAAGTTCTGATTATTCTACCAGCACTAAGCCGGCTCACACGCCTTCCTCACTGCCGTCCTCCTCCACCTCTACAACGCATACCAGGCCCGGCCTGCCGCTGCTTTCCCACTAAGACCGGCTATCGGTGTACTCTATGATCGTTTCTGATGTATAAGTTCTGTGTCTGTATTGAAGGGTCGGAGCCTTTTGGATGGGGTGGGATATAAGACTCGTCGTTTTTGACCTCGTGTATGTCTGTGCTTTTTAGGGCTGTTTATGCCGTGCAACAATATGACAATATATATCCAACAAGACTCTATTTGAACGTGCTATTGTAAGCCAAAAAAAAGGGAGACTATCATGGAGGCTTGGAGGTTCTTCTGGAGGTTCTTCAATGACCAGCCTTGACGTGTTTGATATGATCAAAGGAAACATGTAAATGAAATGTAATCAAGCTCGCTGAAAATTTACTTGGACGAAATGTCGGAATGCTCAAAGTACATCAATCTTTGTAGAATCTGGGAAGATACTAATCAGCCCAGAAGCACGAGACACAGATGCAATGCAATCTTTATAACCAAAGAGAGCTCACAGCTCATCCTTCGAGCGGGGGGCGACGTCGTCATCCTCACCACTGGCACAAACAGCTGGGGTAGTCACAAGCATGGAATAAACACACTTCTCATCCTCAGCAGTCTTCAAGATCTCGTTTTCTTCTCCGCACTCCAGTACTACCTTAGTCGACCGGTTAGGGCCGTTCCAGCAGTTCTGACCGCGTTCATACTCGAGGGCGACCTTCTCGACGGTAACAACTTCCCCGGCTTCGTTGGTTTCCTCAACGGTCGTGGACCCGATTCGGACAAACTTGCCCATCGACGTGGAGCCACCACCCTTGCGCTGATTCTGCTTGGTACTTTCCAGGAAACAGTGCTCGTAGGTGTACTCGCCTGCATCTTGGGAGATGCACACGCCCTTGAGGGCGCGGAAGATGCCTCCGTGGCCGTAGTCTTTTTCGAGATCGGCGGTCTGATCACGAAGCTTGTTCTTTAGGTCTTTCAGCTCGCTCTCGCCGGATTTCAAAGCATCACGAGCCTCGGTCACAGCCTTGGACTCGGAAGATGAGTCTTCCTCGGGCTTAGACAGGATTCCACTGATCTCAAGAATAGACCGGATGGAGAGAATCTTGTCTTCAAGGAAGGTGACGAGGGATGGCGGGAGGTAAGCCGCGATCTTATAGACTGTTGTGTCTTGTCAGAAGCTGAAATGGATCAAACGGTATCAAGTGGCAGCTTACTCAAGTCAGAATCAGCGCATCCATCTTCCTCCTTCTCCCAATGCTCCCAATCGACACCAGAGGTCTCATCATCGGCCTTAGCAATCTCATCCAGGTCCCGGTCCCGTGCACCGTTAAATTCCTCGCCCAATCCTCGGGCGGCGTAATCCTCCCAGCTGCGCACAGCGCGCTTAACACCCTCATCGTTGAAGTTGGGATTGTATTCGACCTTGAACTTAGAGAGAACCTCCTCCAGCTCCCTCAACCGGGTCTGAGTCTCATCTCTCTGTCGGCGAACCTCCACCAGCGCCTCACGCAGCTCGTTAACCCGGTTCTTAGCAATACCAGCGAGAGCGTTGACTTTGCCCTTGCCCTTGCCACTAGTCCTGACGACCTTGCGCTCCTGCTCCTCGACAGTCTTGAGGCTTGCCTCGAGACCATGGACCTTAGCCTCGGCGCCCTTGATTTCCGCCTCTAGACGAAGAACGTAGTCTTCAATCTCCTTCTGCTGCCGCCCGGCATCCACAAGAAGATCCTTTTTCTTCCTTAGCGCGGCAGTCATGGATTTCTGACGCTGCTCTTCCGTCTTCCGCCACTGTTTGCCGATCTCCTTGCAACGGTCCTCACACTTAGTTCCGCCAACGCGCGCCCACTCGTCACTGCCATCACAGCACTGCTCATAATCACAAACTCCGTCGTTGACGCGGTGGAAAGGCACGTAAGATGGCTTATGGCCTTTGTTCTTGCAGTAGAATCCAGGCAGCGCAAGAACAAGATCCAGACCATCATTTCCTGGACGCTCCGCTACGGTCAGCGGGGAATTGCGCGAAAGGTGTGCGCAGGCAGCGGTCCCAGGCTCGTCACTTCCATCCGGGCAGTCGCAGAAGTCATCATTAACGGCCGAGAAGGGAATCTTAATAGCGGGATTTGAGATACAAGTAAAGGTCTCCGTGTCCTGGTAGAACTTGGCAACTGTACAGACAGAAACAATTAATCCATTGAACAGAATCAAAAAACCACCAGAAAATATGTGTAGACCCATTGATCTTCCCCAGACTGTGGACACCTCGTCTGGGGGTGGGGATTCACTTGGGGTCTAAGGAACTTACATTCAGGAGCGACGCCCCGAGGACGAGTCTTATCGCTGCTGGCCTGGGCTGTAGACCCGGCCGCAGCCAGCAGAAACAGCGTCTGAGGGAGTCTCATGTTCGAGGCATTGAGCTTGGAGATGTGGAGAGAGCTTCCGGCCAGCTGTTGATACGGCCAATCGGCGGCTGACTCAGCGCGCTATCTCTTCGACTATCGTGGCGATTCGCTATCACTTGCGCAACCAGCTACAAAAGTCCGCTAAGATGGGTAATGACGGCGGAAGGTAAGACATCCTCTCGTATATGAGATTTTTGCGACAAAAATAAGCTAATTACCATTTTCTAGTATCCCCACCCGCCGCGAACTTGTTCGCGAGGCCACCCGCGCCCCAAGCACAGCGCAAATCAAAGAAACCCAGCGCGAACAGCAAGAACACGCCTGGACAACCTGTCCATTGTCACACAGAGTCCTCGCACGACCAATCGTCTCAGATTCGGTCGGCAACCTATACAATAAAGACGCCGTGCTTCAGTTCCTGCTCCCCGGCGACGACGGCGAGGGCATCAGCTCCAAATCCGACTGCGAGGAGATCCTATGCGGGCGAATCAAGTCTCTGCGCGATGTGATCGAGCTGCACTTTGAGGTTGACACTGAGCGCAATGAGCACCCATCTGACCGCGCGCATGCGCACCGTCATGAGCGCCGTGAAGGCTGGATCTGCCCGGTTACCGCCAAGCCGCTCGGTCCGGCTGTGAAGTCGGTTTATCTGGTTCCTTGTGGGCATGTTTTTGCTGAGGAGGCGATCCGGCAGCTGAAGGGCGATAAGTGTCTGCAGGTTTGTATTCCTTCTCCACTACAGCGTATGCCGTATAGCTAATGTTGGGCTAGTGCAACGAGCCTTACACTGAAGATAACATTATTACGATCTTGCCGACTAAGGCAGAGGACAAGGAGCGTCTTATGGCTCGGGGTGCGAAGCTCGCTGAGCAAGGTCTAACTCACTCTCTGAAGAAGGCGCCTGGCTCGAAGAAACGTAAGAAGCATGCTACTGAAGGCGAAGAGGCCAAGAAACTTACCTCTACGACTGCCAATGGAAATGGCATCAAAAATGCCGCGACGGCTTCACTTACTGCTCGTGTGTTGAGTGAAGAGAAAGAAAAGAATAAGAAGCGCAAGATGATGGGTCTAAGTGATAACTTGGACAGCCTCTTTACCAAAGACAGCAAAGACGGCAAGAATGGTGACTTTATGACGAGAGGATTCAGCATTCCTTCTTCAGCGCGTCGTTAGTCTCTTTGCTATTTTCTTCCAATTTGCATCCGTGGCCCCATGGGAGTTTGCTTAGGAGTCATAAGGAGTTTTAATACGGGCTGGTGGGTGACTGACAGCGACTGTACCAGCCGGACTGCGTGCTGGAGCACAGCTTGTACATAATTCGAGATGACGAATTTTCAATGAACCAAAAATTGCAGTTGAAAAGTATTCTAGTATACACGAAAGATGTCCTGTTATCAAAACGACAGTTGCCCCGACAATGTGCAACGAGGCCATCCTGCTTGAAAAATGCTCATACATCCGGCTATGATCTTTACAGAGATGCCACTGCATCATCAAGACTCGGGCTCGAGCCCAGTGGCTTTCTCGATAGTCCGGTTCTTGTGGCCCCTCTGTTTCCGGACGATGAGTCCGCGGCGGATGAGCTCAAGGTAGATGGCCTTCTTACGGCCCAGGGACTCGTCCTCGGCGCCCTTCGAGAGACGCTTCTTGGAGAACTGAATGTTGGGGGGGCAGAGCGCCGACGCTGGCTTGCTTGGCAAGCTTCTTCGGGACATCAATGGGCTTCTCCTTCAGTGTGACAGAGAGGGAGGCGATGACTTCTCCGACGGTGGTAGAGGAGGTAATGGCGGTGTCAGGGATACGGCGGCCGATCAGCTGGGAGAATCGCTTGATGAACTGTGAAGTTTTGGGTTAGCGCGGTGTCTTCGGAGATTGATTGGAAGCGAGCGTACAGCAAACTTGACGGCAGGGTCGGCTAATGAGAGATCACGAGAAGCCTCTGCGGAGGGCTTCTCCTGGGAGATGAAGGTCTCAGGAGACTCAATCGTCTTCTCAGTCTGGACGCCAATTTGGTTGAACACAAAAACAAGCGCCTCCATGGTCTGCTGGTCCGGGAAACGAATGGCAGTGTTCCATTGCTGGGCCTCAGAGCTTCCAACGACACAAGCATCAATCAGTTCCTGGATCTGTTCATAGTGTTCGCCAATCTCGGAGACGCTAGCAAGGTCCTTGCCCAGCATTGCCATCAAAGAGATCTCGACAGCCGCCTGGTGAGCGGCAGCGGGAATGGGTTTGGGGGTGACATCGGCGCCGAATCTGCAATCGTCCATTGATTAAATCTCCAGGTCATCCCGGTTGGAATGCAATCGAGATCAACAAAGATCACGATTAGGGTCAACGTACCTCTCGTACTCATCAACCGGGCTCGGGCCATTGAACTTCCAGAGCTGCTCCTTGGTATGGCCAATGCGCTTTAGCCCATCCCAAGTCTGCGCCTGAACATATGCAGAACCATCCTGCAACTCTTCACCCTCTGCCGGAGCGGCGAGCTCTCCCTCTCCTTTATCAGACCCGGGCGCAATTTGAGATTCTCCGGTGTAAGGATCGGCCGGCCCTGGAGCCTTGTTGCCCTTCCAGAGCGACGAGCGAGTTCGCTCTAAGACTGACGGGGAATCGGACGCATAGCGGCGAATTTGACGAGCGAGCGGCGAGATGCGTCGCGGAACTTCGGACCTGCAGTTGGAGCAGACGTACAACGCCTCTCGGAAAGGCAGCCTCATGGAGGGGCGCATGATTGCGGTGTGAGTTGATCTGAAGGCCTCGAATTGTCCGGCAACTTTTGCTCGGCGAAACAAATCTGAGGATCCGCGTCACGTGCTGTAACTCTTGGCAAATCGCGACCGCGGAGACAATGCTCACACCTTCGTATGAGATTTGATTGATTCAGTGATTGTAATTTCCCTTTTTCGCTGTCGCAATCGCTCGCCTAATTGTTTGGGCTTGTGTTGAACTGACAATGTGAAATTAATAGTACATGATTGCTCTGTAACGCGCTTTCAGTACTACCTACAGGCAGAGAGACTAAAGCAACGGATGATTTCAGAAAATTTTGTCGTGACAACTTAACCCATCTTCAGATCAATTTAATGTGAATAAGGTATAACGTCGGAGACATGCCGGTCGAGTCGCACTTCGCGAGAAATCAACTAGGGTAATTTCTATTTACGAATTTCATCAAAGGCAAGGGCTTGAAGTCGGATGCTCCGCGGGTCGTGATGGTTACTGGTATGGATATCTTGATGTATTTTTTGCTTGAGAATGCTTCTTGATATCCGATGTTTGGGAAAGAAGAGTTGATGGCGCTTTAAGAGGGGCAAGACCTATCACAAATGGTATGCCTACGGGTAGTCCAAGACAGCTGACATGTTAATGGTACTCTCTTTGGCGAATAAGTTGGTTGTCAAGCGTGGTCTACAGGCCTTAAGTCTGCATCTCGGTTTGATTCTTACGACACGCCTGGGGAATCATTTGGATTGGGAAAAGACCGATATGGAAGGGTTTTTATCAGTGACCGAGATGTGATTTTTGTTTACTTGGTGCTGACTGATGTTGAGTGAGCACTGATAGATTGCTGGATCATCTCGGGGTTTAGAAGATGTTCGGTCCTAATTCTTTGGACCAGGGCCGTGCGATCCTCGATTAGAGCTACGAGTAAGTCAAAATTCAAAAATCGAATGTTAGCATCACAATTCATCTATTGTATGCACGAATGTGTATATACATGCCTCGCTGATATCATACTATAACAAAGAATCAAATCATACACTTTTTACTCCCGAACAAACATACCAGCCATACCCATGCCGGTACCAATGCACATGCTGACCACACCAATGTCCTTACCACTGCGCTCAAGCTCAGGGATCAGATCAGCCAGCTGGCGGGCACCAGTAGCACCAAGAGGGTGACCGATAGCAATAGCACCACCGTTGGGGTTAACCTTGGCCTCGTCAATGCCACACTTACGGATGCTGTACAGAGCCTGCGAGGCGAAAGCCTCATTGATCTCCCAGACGCCGACATCAGAGACCTGAATACCAACGGTCTCGAGAAGCTTGGGAATGGCAACGGCAGGGCCGACACCCATCTCATCAGGAGCACAACCGGCAACGGCCGTGGCGACCCAGCGGGCCTTGATGGAGCCAGAGAGACCAAGCTCCTCGGCGGTGGAACGGCGCATCAGCAGAGAGGCGGCGGCACCGTCGCTGACCTGGGAGCTGTTACCAGCGGTGCTGGCACCGTCGGCCTTGAAGGCGGGCTTAAGGGAAGCAACCTTCTCGAGAGTGAGGCCGTGGCGAATACCATCATCCTGAGTGATGGTTACCTCCTTGCCCGGCGCCTCGGGTTGCTCAGGATCATAGTGCTTAGTGGTAACAGGGACGATCTCGCTATCGAAACGGCCAGCCTTCTGCGCGGCAGAAGCCTTCTTGTGTGACTCGACTGAGAAGGCATCCTGATCCGCACGGGAAACACCATACCGCTCAGCGACGTTCTCGGAGGTTAGTCCCATGGGCATGATGCAGTCCCGCGCATCCTTGGAGTATGACTCCTTGAGCTCGGGCCAAAGGACAGTGGGAATAGCGCGCGAGCCGTAGTTGCGGGTCATGGACTCCATACCACCACCGACACCGACGTTCAGAGCACCTGAGCGGATACCGTAGGCCACGGCTGTGATGGCAGCCAGACCGGAGGAGCACTGGCGGTTGATGGTGTTGAAGGGCACGGAGTGAGGGAATCCAGCGTGGATCTGGGCCATACGACCTGCCTTGGCACCACCAAGTTCCTGGAGAACAGAGCCAATGGTTACATCGTCAATCAGCGCAGGGTCCAGGTTGGGGTTGGCCTTGAGGGTCGCGCGCAGGACGGAGGCGAGCAGCTCTTCCGGGTAAGCATCCTTGAAACCACCTTTCTTCGCGCGGGTGACTGGAGTGCGCAGGGAGGAGAGGATAACGATGTCATTAGGCGACTTGGCGAGGACCTGCTTCAGGCCGCGGGGAATTGGTGAGGCCATATTATCGGTGGTTTTATAGAGAGGTTGAGATTAAATGTTGGGGTTGTAGATATGCCGAGAAATGTCGAAGCTATCTCAAGTCTGCGATTTCCGGTGCTTGACGATGTTCACTGGACAATGCAAATAAGGAGGATGTAGAAGTAGAGAATGTTGAATCCGTAAAGCACCGAAAACCTCCCCAAACCTCCGCGGCAACACGGCCTTTTAAGGAAAATGCCGGGCGAGTATCCGGGGTCGGAAGCGGCGAGCTCATCCACTCCCGTTGCTGCAGCGTCCGCCTCCCCGGCATTGAAGATCGGCTAAGGACTCAGCCGCGAAAGTGTGGGGATCTGGTCGAGGGTGCTCAACCTTGGAGCTATGAACGAGGCATGATTATTTCCGATTGGACTCTCAATGACAAAAATCTCACCGTTCATGTCGCCCATCTTATTCAGTGTACAATTTCCCAATAATCGACTTATCTCCGACTCGCCCTTCATTGTGAGCCGGGTATGATTATGTCATCATTTCGGATCGGAACCGGAGCGGGAGCCGATGAGATGCCGTTGAACCTACTTGTTCCAAAGACTTACCATGAGAGGAACAGTGTCTTCATCAACGGCATACTTGGCATACCATGTGTAATTCCGTGGGCATGTTCAAAGTCGCGTTTTTCATGTTGCTGACAACCTGCCACACTAATTGGGACATTTCCTGTCAACAGCCTACGAACGGTTCTGGGGCTCCTTTTATGACACAGGATCGCTCACGGAGCTAGCTCGGCTTCCAGAAACTCAAAAGAAGAGACTAAATGTGAAAGTATCTCAAAGTCTTCGATATGTTTGCCGTGCTATGGAGTGTGATTCAAAATCTGGACGGGAGAAACTGACAGCCGCCCTAACATGATAGCCCTAGACATAATTGGGATCACGGCAAACCACCTCAATTGACCTGGTCATAGCTCTCGATGGACAATTTAACTGAACGGATAATTCCACCGTCTCATCAGTGCGTTCAACTCTTTCTTCATAGGTGGGTAACGCAGAGCATGCGCCGCTAAGTTGACCGCCAGTTCGTTCTGGGAAGCATCTACTTTCCAGAACCTAACACGAATTTTGCCCTTTCCCTCCAGGTAAACCAGATAGTCGTCGATCTGCTTCCAGAGCTTCTGATTTGCAATCAGTTTACCGTTACCCCGTTTCCAATCCTGACTTTTCCACTTTTCGAGCAAATCCGTGACGTTCATGACAAAGTCCGAATCAGTCTTGATAATGACTGTATGTAACATGGAAGGGACCTTTTCATGCCCACTGCTGCGGTTTCGCGACCACTTCTCCAGATTGTGCGCCACGTGAGAGAGAGCTGCTATCACGGCGTACAGATTAGCTATCTGGCTTGTACAGCGCTCAAGGCCATCGAGAGGTTGACGGAGGTTTTTGGGACTTTCGCCAAACCAGACAGCAATGGCCCCGCGTGCGGTATCTGTGCCATCTCCGGAGCAGGACCCGTGGATTGCGATCACGGGCACTTCCATGTGAGGAGCAAAATGACCGTGTCGGCAAGGTGGTGTCACAGGACAAGCGAGAAACATAAATTGACCCACGGCAATCTGAATGCTTGTCGACAGTTGTCCCGGGTAGAAGTGTTCCGGGTTGAAGAGACGGTTTGCTGTTGCTGTTGGCTGGGTTTCAGGACCGGAGGGTCCAGGTGAGGAGTAAGTGAGCGGACATAAATGGCCTTCTGGGAGCTCATGGTCTTCATGCGAGTAGTCTGGGCTAGATTCATAGGGTTGAGAGAGATGACCCAGTGCCATCATTTGTGCTGCGATATTTGCACGGGAATCTGGGCTCATGTTGCTCATGACCATGCTGTTATTGCTGGTGGTCACGGTGCCACGGTTCGTGGGGTTACTGGGCTCGTGGCTTAGCACAGAATTCGTGGGTGGAGAAGGAATCTTTTGGGCAGCTTTAATCAGCACCAGTGATAGAATGGAATGAGTCGCAAATACCAGAGGAGCCAAAGTCGTCGATGCAGCCTGTGTTGCAGCAGGCCATATCCTCATTTTGCTCTTCCTCTTCTGACGCGCCTTTTCTGCCATACTCCGCGGCATGGTGGACAGTGGTGTTCACAGTGGCTCAAGGAAATTGTCAAATGGAAACTGTACGATGGAAGGTGTGGGTGTAGACGGTAGCGAGATGGAGATGTGTGAATTGAACGTCAAGCCCGGGGTAAAATGATGCTAATTGAGAATGAGCTCAGATTACCAAACGAGCAGAAAAGAGGAAAATCGTAAGCAAAGATGATGTAGGATGTCTTGGTATTGAATAGAACGGGAGGCGCAAACAAAAGAGCATCTTGTCGTGTTTTCTTTTCCATATTCCCAAGCAAAGAATTCTTTTCACCATTCACAAGCGAGTAAGAATAGTAAATCCAAAAGCTTTCCATAAGGGAATACATTAGACAGAGTTGTGAAGCAAAGGCATAAGACGCCGTGACCCCGGGATTAGTCCAATTCCAAAAGGAATCAAAGCTCCAGATAGTATGACAAGATAGCTAAGAGGTAAGAAAGGTCAGTTACGGACGATTTTGCAAGCTCAATGAGTACATGAGTTATGTAAAGCGTTCATATCGTTACCTAGAAACGATCATTATGATTGAGTCGTTTTCGCGCTGCCCCGGGAATATAGAAGTTCCATTCATCATTTGCATGGCAATTCAAAGAAGCATATCGTAAACAGAAATTGAGCGCCGAGCTCGGCGAGTCTAAAAAGTATGTGGCGACCATATCTTACCGAAGTTGTTGCCTCAATACCCTTGATAAGCCTCATGGGCCATTTCCGCATGTAGAGCCGGGTCCCGAGAAAAGACATAGATGAACCAACCATGCGGCCGTTACATAGATCACAAAGACGCTGGAACGGAAAGATCAGGCCACTGACTAAAGCTAGAACACTTACTCATTGCCGATTCAAGGAAGGTCCAGCTGAGTGACCAGTGAGATATTCGGAATATATCTAAAAGACTGAAAAAATCTCTAGAAAGTCGAATCATTTCATTTGGGAAGCAATCGAGTTGCCTACGGTAATACACTCACACCTAGAATGCTCAAGTTATGTTTCCCTTAATCAGATTTGAAGCGTTTTTAAGCGAAATTGATTGAAGCTCAGAAATTCCATTCCCACGAAGTGATCCATGATCATATTTAACGCCGATAAAAGTATGAGCCTGATGTATGAAAACATCTCGTTGGTGCTCTTCACCAAGAGAAACTCCAAGATGAAAAGCAAATGGGGTATGATACACATTAATAAAGAAAGAAGAAAAGGAAGGATCCGTCAACCGGTTGACATGCAATCAAGCGCGAACAATATGGCTGTAATGCCCGGGCACATGACAACGACACTTCTCGCAATCAGCTCGATAACCCATGACCAGCGCGGGTCTCTTCCGCTGAGTCGGAGTGATCTTGGCAGCCTGTTGTATCAGATCTTCGAGGGTTTGTCGCGAGTATTGACCCATCGGCGGGATGCTGGGTCGGAACCCTTGCGCCGGAGATGTCTGCTGCGGGTATGACATGTCCATCTCGTCAGTTGGAGTGTTATGCCCGTTCGCCATTTCCGCGTCGTCGTCGCTGACCGGGCTGGGGAGCCGAAGCAGATGCGATGAATGTCGCATTTCTTTGTGGAATGACACGTCCATCATGTTGGTGTCTGGAGGCTGGGACGCGACAGGCTGAGGAGGAAAATAGGTTGGGGTCGACAAGGCTGAAGGCGTCGTGCAGAGGTTGAGAGAATGGCTGACCATGCCGTGGGGGATTGGGGAGGGCTGGCTACTGTGCAAGTGGTGACCATTCACCAGCCAGGGCGAGAGTTGGTCTCCGCCCGCTAGCACCGCGAGATGCTTCGCAGCGGAGCTGGGGCTTAGCTGGAGAGTCTGGGGTCGATTGCCGTGCACCAATTTAGCAGGGCTGGTGTCGATTATGGTCTCGTGCTTTTCTTCATCGTCAGACGAGTCGACTGGCGTCAGCGCCGCGTCGCGAAAGCGAAGGGTTTGATCGAGGTCTGTCGCATAGTCTGGGATGGTCCCAGGGACAGTTTGCCAGGAGGATCCGTACTTGAGAGACTTTGTTGGTAGTTAGCGTTGTTCTATACCCCCCAAAAACTGATCGTGGGCCAACCGTGGCAAGACGGGATGTGGAAGTAGAAGTGACAGGGGGGGTCCTTACCTTAGGATCATGAGGGAAGAGCTCCTCCTCCGAATCATCCTCACGGGAACGCTTCAGCGACGGAGCCATTGTGATGGGGAGGTCCTCAGCAAAGCCCCGAACTCACGGGGAAGTAGGAAAGCAAGGGTGGAGAAGTTGCACTCGGTAGTTGCCGTCATCGCGACTGAGCGGAGCCTGCTCCACCGAACTCGGCTCATCGTCACATTTCTTACCTTTTAACTTCTTTGAGCATAATGCGATCTCCAGCCTCTTCAATTGGTTGCCCCTGCTGATCAATTCTACCACTCAGAATGGCTCAATGGCACACACTCCGGTACACTTCGGCCGCCGAGCCCATCTCCATTTGGCTGAGGTTCCTGGTACCTATTCAGGCTAGTGACCGGGGTCATTGCTATTAGGTATCCAATATGTACTCGGGACCGATATCGCAGGTCCGACCACTGAACCGAGCCTTGACCACCGTGCCACTCGAGTGTTTGCTACTGTGTCTGTGCTAGACAATCACCGTCTATGCCATACATGGGATCATAAGAGTGTACTTGACTTCACGGGTGTGAAGTCCTACCGTGGTCTTGCTGTCGCACAAGCAGCTGAGAACAAGTATCTGCAGGAAACAGGGATCGCCACCCAATAGCGATCCCCTAACACCGCTAGATCCGGGATCTATAGTCGCACTCGAAGCGAGGGAGGCATCTAGGTCCAGATGATATATGGAGAATTGAAGAAAAATAAAAATAAAAATGACAGATCAGAGAAGTATCCCCTGTCGCAGGATTCAGCTCTTGGAGAGACAAATATAAACTGTGAATCATCGGCCCACTTTATGCCGTCGCCTTTTTTACTTCGCATCCACACTTTGCCCTTCCCGATATTCTTCATTTCTGCAATCTCTGCTTCCTACTTTCTTTTCAGTCTCTGAATTGTTCTTCTTTACTTCGAAGAGTCATTCTTATTCACGCTAATTCTTGGACCTGATCGGATCGCTGTACACCATGCCTCTCGTCAAGACCACGGAAGTCAACGAGGACACTCGTGGTAAGTGTGGCCTAATTAACTCGCTAGAGATTCAATTTTTTTTTACGCAGAGTACTAACTGCGATCGCTTCTCTGTGGACAGTCCTCGGCTACGATCCTCTGCTGTCGCCCATGTTCCTCCAGACCGAGATCCCCGCGGTGAGTCATTTTTTTTTTTTGTTTTTCACCCCGCCTTCACATTCGCGCGAACAAAAACTGACGTGCTCTTGGTAACCAGCCTGATCGCGCCATTGAGGTCGTTCGCCAGGGTCGCAATGAGGCCGTCGAGATTATCGAGCAGCGCGACGACCGTCTCCTGGTCATGGTCGGCCCTTGCTCCATCCACGACCCCGACACTGCCCTCGAGTACGCTCGCCGCCTCAAGGAGATCTCCACCAAGCTCTCCAAGGACCTTTGCATCATTATGCGCGCCTACCTCGAGAAGCCCCGTACTACTGTTGGCTGGAAGGGTCTGATCAACGACCCCGACATCGACGAGTCTTACAACATCAACAAGGGTCTCCGCGTCTCCCGCAAACTTTACGTCGATCTGACCAGCACCGGCCTCCCCATCGCCAGTGAGATGCTCGACACCATCTCCCCCAGTATTTGGCCGATCTAATTTCCCTCGGCGCCATCGGTGCCCGCACCACCGAGTCCCAGCTCCACCGCGAGTTGGCCTCCGGTCTCTCCTTCCCCATCGGCTACAAGAACGGCACCGACGGTAACCTGACCGTCGCCGTCGACGCCATCGGTGCCGCCTCCCACCCCCACCGTTTCCTCGGTGTCACCAAGCAGGGTTTGGCCGCCATCACCAAGACCTCTGGCAACGAGCACGGCTTTGTCATTCTTCGCGGAGGCAACAGGGGCACCAACTACGACCGCGAGAGCGTCCGCGCTGCCCGCGAGGCTCTGCGCGCAAAGAAGCTGCGTGAGGTCCTCATGGTCGACTGCTCCCACGGTAACTCCAAGAAGAACCACCTCAACCAGCCTATCGTCGCGAAGGAGGTCTCCGACCAGCTGCGCGAGGGTGAGACTGGTATCATTGGTGTCATGATCGAGTCCAACATCTACGAGGGTAACCAGAAGGTTCCCCCGGAGGGACCCTCTCACCTCCTTCGTGGCGTCAGTATCACCGACGCCTGCATCAACTGGGAGATGACCGTTGACACTCTGAACGATCTTGCCGACGGTGTTCGTGCCCGCCGTGCCATTCTCAAATCTAAGGCCAACGGTGCCAACGGCTCCCAATAAATGAAATGGATAGGCAGCTTGGATCCTCTTCTTTTTAATCACCTGCTTCCATGAGTGTGGTTTGATATAGATACCTACTTCCAAACCGTTCGAAAATTGCAGCGTTTTCGTGTTTAATGTTACTTTATGTGGACATGGTCTTTATTTCATTTTTTTCTACTTTCGAATGTCCAATTGTTGTCAGGGTCGGATCTTCCATAGCTTTCCCCAGGTTTGAAACATTGAACCCCAGGGGACCCACTCCAAAAGTCCAGAATTTTTAATTGACAGCTCCCTGTTCCCGATTTAAAGTAATCCACCGATGTACCAGATCTCCCTTTTGCTTTTGCTCCACTGTGGTGCAGGGGCCAGAGGGGGAAAGTGCACGATTTGCTATGGTCCAGGGGAAAGCGCTCTGCCGGGGACCCGTTTTGGGATGGCGCCAATTATGTGTGGACCGGTGGAAAGACATTTTTCCCTTTTTCCCAACATAGATGGGCTTTGAGATTGAATGAATGGCTGGACGATGGTCTAGTGGAGACGTGCTGGATGTCTCATGCCTTAGATCACGCCTTTGTTTGAGGAAGAGTTGTGCATGGGAGAAAGGAGCAGATTTTCTATGTACTGTACACAATATACACGCCCCCGAGGACTTCGATACTAATTCTGATAGAAACACAGCCCCAAGAAAAAAGAAGACAAATGATACAACGCCGGAAACCCCCTGTCACGATGGATGCAGGCTGCGGAGTCGCAACATGCCATGCAAGAAAAATGTCACACTTCATAGCGCGGGAATGGGGATTGGGACAGGACCTGGGAATGGCACCCGACAATTAAGACGCCCGCAGGATGCTGGAGAGGAGATGGTAAGGATGGCATTGGAGTCCCAGATCCTGATCCTGATCTGTGTGTCGCTTGGTCGTTTTCGCAAGCGAAACCCAGAAGAATGGGAAAGACCTGGGCCCGTCTACCGCCCCGTCAACCAGCTGGTCCAGCTGCGTGTCTTCTCCTTCGCAGCGCGCTCCGCGTTCTCGGCCATCACATCCAACTGCCCGGGCATGGGGCTTCCGGTCTTAGCGGCAGCAGCATCGAAGGCCTGCTTAGCCTTGACGGCTTCAACAACACTGGTCTGAGGGGCGTCGGCCACTGATGTCGCAGCAGTCGAAGCCTGGACGGCGACGGTACCGGCGTCCTCGGGATTCATCTTGTCGAACAGGAATCGCTTCGCTTTGGCCCATGGTCGCTGTGCCTTCTCCTCCGCCTTCTTCCGCTTGAAGATCTCGTCGATATCATCCTGCTTGACAAGCTCGATTTGTTCGGGGGTGGCAACACCGTTGGCCTGGGCGATGCGGGCCTGCTTCAAAATCTCGGTCTCTCTTTCGATCCACAGGGTGCGTTGGCGACGGTTGTAAAGTGTCAACGAGACCATAGAGTAAGCTGTGAGGACACCACAGACACCTATTCGTAGTCATTAGCATTTTACTACTAAGCAGACTGATCCCAATAATCAGGTAGCAAAACAATTTGATGTTTGCTTTGATCTCTGGGGCCAGCGTCGGGGATGTTCATCTTCCCCAGACACAGTGCACGAAACAAGGGCAGCCACATACCCGACGCAATAATCAGCGAATACACCATTCCCTTGTGAGCCTTGTTGGCCACCCGACGACCAACCTCAATAGCTCGGTACATGCCCGATGACGACTGCGTCATCCGCGCCGCCCGAGCCTGTGCCCGCAATCGTTCCACCTTCTGCTTAGGAGTCTCCGGCTTGCCATCAGGGCCCATCTGCGGCGTCTTAGGCTGGGGAGCTGTGTTCCCCTGCTGCTTCATGAAACTGGGAAGCTCGTAGGGCGTGCCATTGGACTTGGAGGATGCGTAGGGGCCCGTGGCCGTGAACCGCGTAGCGTCCGCGGCGGATCGGGACATGTTCGCGAGAGGGTGTTTCGCGAGTTTTGTTCGGGTGAGGGTTTCGTGTATGGTAAAGAACCCACTGTAAGGCTGGTCTGCTACCCGGCGGTCAATTAGGATTGTCGAGGTTGCTCGAGGCAGGATGGTTAGAACCGGGGCATGTAGGTGGGAAGGTAAATTTTCAGCGGCCGGAGATGGCGCCAAGAAATTCAACAGCTTCAAGTGACGCTGACTCGCGAAATCGACCTTAGATCGAGCCACATCTCGACTTTTGTTTTGAGACTGTTTCTCTGTATGGTCTTGATCTTTTTGCTCTATTTTTCTTTTACATTTTTCCCTCATCGTATCATGGCGGACAATACTTATAACTCATCTGACCTGAACTCGGTCCTGCAGACCTTATCCAGCTTAGCATCGCTGAACAGCTCTCAGAATGCATCAATACCTCGAAGAGAAGCTCCTTCATCTCAGCAAAGTCAGCAAAAGGAGTTCCGCCCATCAGAGCGGCCGTATTCCAACCCGCCTAGGTCAAGCACGGGGACCCCTACCACCGACCCAGCAACTATTACCACTTGGCCTGCCGCGCTGCGCTATGTAATGCGTGCCGTTGGTCAAAACGAAGAAACCCAACTTCGAATCCGTGGTCTGATCAGAAGTCAACATAACCATGAGCAACAATGGTGGAAGGCTCGTGAGACCCTCATCGAGAAGCAACAAGCCCGCGGAGAGAAAAAGAAGGAGCTTGATGCTGTATTGTATGTCTCGATGCTCTCCGTATCTGACTTTAACACCAATGATTCCCGAGCGTGTACGGTAACTCACATAAGGCTGACTCCATCTTTCACCTCCAGACGTTCTATCGGCGCGCCCGTCGACTCGAAAGAGATATCAGTATGCACCTCCGTTCGCTTCAACAAAGACCCTAACTGACACCACTCAGAGTAAAGAAGAGGATAAAGAAGAACTCGCAAAATATGATGCCAAAGTCTATAGAGCTTCTGTGCAGATGACAGAGGCCATGACAGCAGAGCTGCGCGGGCTCAAGATACCTTTCTTTGTCATTCAACAAAGCCTTATCCGTGAGCCAACCGGACCAAATTCTACCAACGATTCCTCCAGTCAAGGAAAGAGGCCTGAAGGTTCAGCGACGGTGACGAAAGCTGAGTTGGCTTCGTTACAACGGCGCATGCTCGAATTGCTTCAGGATCTTTGCAAGGAATGAGGGAATATGTCATGATGGGAGAAAAGGAAGCAAAGCACTCTTCGTCTGCAATTCTAGGTGTGTGGCTAGAGTCTGAGAGCCTCGGTAGAAAAGAGTGGTTGCCAAGCGGTGCTGAGCTGCGTGAAACAACGCAAGCGAATAGCCGTTTCACAGTCAGCCATTGTCGTTCATCTAGATGAGGCTGCGCGCAAAAGTGGATTTAACAAGTCCATGTTCACAAGTACTCTTAATAACTTAATCTAATCTGAAACTACCAAGCTAGATGGTGAGGTACACAAGGCTTGGCGAGAAGACCCTGGGATCTGTCAATTGAAGTAACTGCCGAGAGCGCTTCACCTGGTTAAGTAGTATATAATGCAGAATATTTCTATCGCCAGCATCTTGTGACTCCCGTTCGCGTTTTCCATTCTTTTACATTCTTTGAGATCCTGGTGATCAATTTTTGTTTTTTTTCCCTTCATACCTTTGACTCTTATCACTGTCACTCACTTCTTTGAAACCTGTCCCCCAAGATGAAGAGCATCTCCATCATTCTGGCAGCCCTTTCTGCCGTGCCACTTGTTTCCTCTCATTACTTCTTCCCTCATTTCATTGCAAACGACAATTTCACAGACTACTTCGAATATGTCCGCGAAGACACACAAGGCTATATGCCCATGAAAGGACAATACTCCAGCGATCAGTTCCGTTGCAACACCGGCTCCCAAGACTTTGCCAGTAAAACCGGGGTCTACACCGTCAAGACAGGAGACACGATTGGCTTCGGCACCGATTTCAACGCTCTCATCGAACACCCCGGCCCCCTGCAAGTGTACATGTCCAAAGCAACCGGCGATGTACGCGAGTATGATGGTTCAGGAGACTGGTTCAAGATCTATGAGCTTGGTCCGGAGAAGTTCTCCAGTGAAGGGATCTCTTGGGTGTTACTGGAAAGGGCAACTTCACCTTTACGCTCCCTGAAGTTCCTGCTGGTCAGTATCTTGTCCGCATCGAGCATATTGCTATTCATGGTGCTATGGAGTGGGGTGGTGCTGAGTTGTACTTCAACTGCGCCCAGATTGAAGTCGAGAGTGACGGCGAGTCAACTCCTGGGCCTACGGTTAAGATTCCCGGTGTCTATGATGGTTATGAACCTGGCATCATGTTCAATATGTATAGGGACTCGATTGTCAACTATACGATGCCTGGTCCCAGACCGTTCCCTGATGACGCTTATCCGGATGTGACTGCGTCGGGTATCAGTGTTGCTCCGTCGACTGCATGGACTTTGCCTGCTGTGACGCGGTACCCCTCCCCAGTGATATCTGCATCTACCTTTCAAGCTACTTCCACGCCAATCCCAAAGGAGACACCATCTGTCACCACAGCCTCTGAGTCCTCTGCTTCTTTCGAGAAAGAGACGACACCAACAGTCGAAGCATCGGCCCGTCTCAGCGCTGATTCTGGTGTCTCGGTCCTTGCCACCAGTGCGGCACCGCCTGTCTTTGAAGACTGTGAGCCGCCTGTTACTGTCACTGTCAAGACTACTGTGACTGTCTCCAATGCACCTACTTGTGTACCGAAGACTGTGACTACCACTGTCACAACAACAGTATTTACGACAATTGCCTAGTGTTGACGTGGAAGCCTGGCTTGTGGGCGGTGCAAGCCTGAATCATACATCTGAGTATACCAATGTTGGAAAAACCGTGCCTGTGCATTGAAATCTCCGGCTGCTGACGGGACCCACTGAAGCTTGGTGTCCAGCTTGCCCCCCCTCTGCGAGATTGCCACCTAGACAAGTCGAAACACAGTAGTTTGTGCCAATGGCCAACGCACTACAATGTCTTTTTCTCACGGACGGATATTGCAGATGACTCGTCAAGTAAGGTTTGATGTTCTTGTAAATCCCTTTTGAATACAGTCATGTTTGAAATCAGCTCATCCACACACTTTTACGTCTTGAGTCACGATCTCTAAGTCGTCTCCAAGTCGTGAACGCTAGATCAATTCTAGCTCTTCCCTTCATACTCCCTGTAGGTTATTTTATCCACTGGTCACTATTAAAGAGGCGATATAAATAGACAGTGACCTCCCGTTAAATCGTAACCGCAAGGAACTGAGTGCATCAGTGCTATTATATTCTCTACAATGTTCATTTCTTTTGGACATCCTCTCGCCCAACGGATAACTATCAAGACAGAAAAAAATGTAAAGCGTGTAGTCAGACAATCGATCGCGACAGCCCCTTCAAGAACCCCAATCTCATTCGATCCATACATTTCGCAGTGGCGACCGTTTTAGGGTTATCAGGTCCCAAGTTGTTGGACCTTCCCCCCCAGGCTTCTTTGTACAGCAGATGCGCTTCTGCTACTTTCCCTTGATGCTCTAGTGAGATGGCCAAAAATACCATCGTGTTCAATGTTTCCTCATGAGTAGACCCAAACGCTAGAGTCTTAGCGTCAAGCAACTATATGAAAGCCTTTTCTGCCAGTTCGTATTTTTGCTGCGCCTGTAGAGCCTTCGCATACCAGAATAATGAGTATTGAGTATGAGCGTGTGAAAGCCCACACCTTTCTCTCTCGACTACCAGCGCCTGAAAGAGAAAAGCTTCCGCTTCCGCGTGCTTTTTTGTGAAGTTGCACGCACGGCCAAGCCAGCGAAGTGACTCCACTGTCTCCGGCGCATCTTTACCAATTCTGATGATTTGATCCTCCAAGACAGAGCGGAAGCTGCTCGGCTTGTTTATGTTTCTTCTGCATACTCATGACTCTGGCCATCCAGAAAGAACTCCTCGACAAGTCTTTATCATTACTTGACGCAGTCACAGCCCAGCGAAAAGCCATTTCAGACTGGGAATACATCTGCTGGTCATGCAGGGCAGTCCCAAGCCAGAGGGCCGCCCAATACATTGTGTGATTTTTGGTTTCCACGGCGGGAATTCGTTGAATGGCAGCCCAGAGAAAGTCCACCGTCTCTTCAAGTTTCCCTTGCTTGTATAAGGCTGAACCAAGTAACGTGACTGATTGTCCTGAATCCTCATAATGCACAGAATTCACCTGGTCCCACCCACTGACAGTGTCCCGAAGCACACTTTCGGCATCTACCCATTTCTTTTGCTGGGTAAGTGCCTGTCCAAGAGCATTGAGAGACTGAAGCGTGCTCTTGTTGCTCAGACCAAGACTTGCTCTTCGTCCATCTGCCACTTCTCTGAACATTGCTTCGGCGCTCTTGCATTGTCCTTGTGAGTATTCGTTGCGACCAAGCCAATAAAGTGCATCGAGTGAGTCGACATGGGATGATCCAAGAGCCTCTTTCAATCCGCTCACTGCCTTTTTGAGATGTTCTCTGGCACCCAAATAGTCTGCCTGTCCATGCAAAATTTGGCCCAACTCAGCAATGGTGCGATAATGGGCCTCAACAATGGATGAGACTGAGAGCTTGGGCTTATCGTTTGGTATGATTTTTGGAGAGCTTGTTGGCAGTGTCACGTAAATTTTTATCCTTCTTCGAGGTGCACTACATGGCGAGCGTTTCAATGACCCTCTCAAGAGTTCCCGGATGGTCTTTTTCATGGTGATCGTGGCTTGATTCATCTCCAAAATCTCTGGGGATATAGGTGGTGGTGGAGGCTGCCATTGAGATGCAGAGATCGAGAGAAGGGTGTCTGGGTGGTTCGACCCGAGGACTTTTTTCTGCGTGCGTGCCACAAGCCGCAAAACAGCCTGTCCCTTTCCGTAGTTACCTTCGCGCATCTCTAGGACCCCAATCCAATAACGAGACTTGAGCGTAGATGCGTTTTTCGGACCATAAACCTTCAGTTGAGCCTTCAGTACCTGATGAAATAGGTATTTGGCTTGGGAAAACTTGGCCATATGATAGTAAAGAACGCCCAAGCAATGATATGAATTGCGAGTGTCCCGGTGTACCAAACCAAGCAGTTCGTTGCGTTTCTCGACCGCTGTTTGAAGCATTGCCTCGGCTTCCTTCCACTTGTCTTCGCGGAAGAACTGCACTCCTTCATTATGTAGAGCCAGTAGCTCGGCTTCATCTAATTTGTCTGCGCGGAAAAATTGCAGTCCTTGATTATGTGGAGACACGAGAAACTTCGTCGTTGTCCACTCTAGGAGTTTTTGCGGTCCAAGAGAGACAAGTGAAGATTCGGAAAACGAATCCTGTCTAAATAGTGAATCGGACTGTTCTTCAGCTTCAGAGCCATCATCCGCAGTGAACCAGTCCGAGCTTTCTGCTGAAACATTGGCCTCATCATCCATCTCTCTGGACAATTGATTGCTGGCCACTTTTGGCGCAGGCTTTGGCAGTTCTCGATGGTCTTGCTTCGAAGCAATCCCTCGACGACTTCGCTTTGTAATACTCATGCTTGCCATGTCAGCGAGTGGAATATCAGTGCGCCGGAGCCAGTCGTTTTGCGTAGCTTCCTTGGCAGAGAGTCTCTTCGAGGCCGTCGGGGCCTTTGCCGCCTTGCTAAAGTCACAACACTTCTCGCTGACCGTTAAGAATGGCAAAGGAAGAGGACCGCCCTGGATATACTGTTTCAGGCTCGTCGAACTTTTAGTGGCGAATGGAAACAAGTGAAAAATCATGTAGTATGTGATGACGCCCAATGCCCATATGTCGACTTTCTCTGTGTAGGAGGACTCAAGGCCGTCATCTCCCATGTAAGAAGCATCAAGGAATCGTATCTCCGGTACAAGAAACGCCGGAGTTCCTGCCCACGTTTGAAGGCCGTCACCGTTGTTGAAGCGTTTACTAATCCCAAAGTCGCCGATTTTCACCCACCAGTCGGGACTTTTTCGAAAGACAAAGATGTTCTATGATGATCTTAATTATTGTTAGTGATAGTATTCAAACTTGATCCCAAAGATTTATTTACCGCAGGCTTGAGATCCCGATGAGCAAAGCCGCTCTCATGGAGGAGTTCGAGGCCTTCCGCTATTTGTAACGCGATTTCTCGTGCTTCGTTCTCAGGCAACGGCTTTTTGAGATGCGAGTTCAGATCGCCATGCTCCACGTACTCCATCACAATGAAGACAGAGGTATCATTCTCATACCAGCCAATGAATTCGACGAATAGACCATCGTACTAGAGCACCATATCAGCTTGAATCACTCGAGCCAGGCTAGGATGTATAGCGCGAGGAAAAGGCGATACCTTTTTCTGCGAAAATTTTGCAATTGCTTCTAGCTCCTCGTAGTAGTCAATTCCCTCGGAGACGACGGCTTTGTCAATCATCTTCACGGCCTGCAATTCGGCCGGTCCTTCACTTGTCAGGCAATTATGGAGAGAACGATGCCAAAGAAGCCCCTGCCAAGTATCTTTTCCATTCGCCATTCGTCCTTCCGCTGCCTGCGCCGCACATGTCTCAGCCGTGGAAACCTTCGATTGCACCGTGTGCCGGTAGGTGACGTTGTCCCCAAACTCCACGTTTATCCGAGTATCGAGCACAAGGTCCGAAAGGCTTGGATCCATAGTAGGTTGGCTTCTGATTTGCAGCCAGTTATTGAATTTGGTATGTAATCGCACTCTGAGAATGTTTGTCAAGCAGATCTCCGGCCCCCTTTTGAAGGGAGCCGCGGATTCCGCCCCCATGAACCGAGCTGCAGCTCTAGTCGCGCGCGATATGGATCCCATGAACAGGGATTCCTAAAAGGGGAATAGAGCAGCTTCATAGCTAAGCCCGGATCATCTACTTCGCCGGATGAACATTTGGAATTCAGAACTTGAAACCAGTATCCGTACGTATTCCAAGAACCCTCGCAATCTGGGTGCGCCACAAAACGTCTTCCACTACCACATTCATCTCTCTACAGTCAAAGCAAAGCGTCGTGAATCCCGACTGACCTGTGAAGACGAGGGTTACGTTGTATGTGGGGAAATTTCGAAGCGACGAGTATAAAAGGTGACATCAATTAGGATATCTTTCACCTTTGGGTAAACCACTGCAAATCATGTTCAACAATCTACCCGCAGAGATACTCCATCTAATTGCACGCGATCTCGGTAGTAGAGATCTCTGTCACCTGGTTTCCTCATCACGTCGACTGCATACCATATTCCAACCAAGCCTCTACACCGACGTGAGTCTCTGCGAACGTTCCGACGGATGCGCTAGTGAGAGTCAGGACCAAACAGTCAACAAATTTCTATACACCGTAACCCGAACACCAAGGCTGGCTGACTATGTTTGGCACCTGAGGGTGAGTTGTTGGAATGTAGAAAATGCCGAAAATGAAAACTATGACCAGAAGGTTGAATTTGATGGTGATCTTGTACGTGGATTAGTCGGTACAAGAAGCGGATATTCCGAAGAAGAAAAGTCAACATGGCTGAACGATCTCGAACGGGATAACAGTGATGCGTGGTTAGCTTTGCTTCTTCCGCAATTGATAGAATTGCGAAACCTCCACCTCGTCTGGCCATATGGCTCACAGTACGTCTTGGAAATGCTGCAAAAGGCTGCTATTGAGGAGGAAGCGGTCTTTCCTCATCTCGAGGAGGCCTATGCAGCTTCTGAAGCGTGAGACGCTTTCGCCACGATGCTCAAATATCACCGATATCGACCTTCAAGAGTGTAATGCTGGGGAGGGGATGTGTGAATGGGTTCAGGCTTGCAAAGCACTGAAATCATTCCGGATTGTCCATGGGGCAGGAGTGGTCTCCGGCGATGACTTCCAGCCACGGAAACTTTACAACTCGCTTTCCCTCCAGAAGTCGACACTCAAGTCTATCTGGATCGAAGCGCACGATGGCGTTCATATGAATTACTGATGACGAATGGATGGGGTCTTTTGTTGAATTTACCGCTTTGAAGCTGATTTGTGCTTCCTTGCCTAATCTGATCGAATTCGATGACCGATATCTACCTGTGCGAAATCTGCGGAACGTTCTTCCTCCCAAATTGGAGACATTGTATCTTTCTGTCAATAGGGACGAGGTTTTCAATGAAGCTATCGTTCAGTTGGCCGAATTGACCGCTTCGGGGGAGTTTCCCTCGCTTGGCTTCGATATATTTTGAATGCTTGGGAAGCCTGGGAACAACGTGAAGCTCGACTGGCTGGAACAGAAATGTCAGAACGCTGGAGTTTTGTGTGTTTTTCATCACTCAGGAAAATGGGTACAGGGGAAAAAGCAGATGCTGGGAAATCATCTGGCCGTGTACCGAGGTCAGCTTATTGTAAATTCGGAAATCAAAAATGTGTACCAGAATCAAGGACTCAATGGCTGTTTATACGTACATTAAACACTCCAAGCGCGCGGAGCCTTCAGTATCAATCGAGTTGGTTCTATTGCACAGAACACAGGCCCTCTTGGGGATAAATTGGGCGCAAGATACTTATCGGATTGCTGAGGAATTTCATCTGACTCGACTCCGCGCCCAACAACAATCCACTAGCTCATTCTCACGCGCCCAGAATCATGACCACCAGTTCGAGATGTGCACAGAAGTAGAGTACCTCCTTTTAAATGTGGCTTTCTCTAAAGATATACAGAAACAGGACCTTAGAGTCTCTATCCAAAGAAAAAAGGAAGGAGAAATATGAATAATAAAAAAGGCCCTCGAGGAGAGCTTTGGAAATGTGGAATGTCGAACTATGCAGCTTCAGACGTACCCCAACCGCAGGAAACAGAAAACCCCCGAGAACCAATCCAGATCCAGCCCTCAGTCCTCAGCCATAAGAATAAAGAAAAGGGGAAATGGGAGAACCAGAATACCAGACTCCGTCCTAGTCAGTGCAAGCACAAAGAAAGTTAAGAAAAGCCAGAGAATCTTAGAAGAAACAGAAAAGCCGTTGGACCCATGCAAAATAACACCTGGCAAATGCAAAGAAGTGAAAGAACAAGTTGGAGAGTATATCCGAAAAGGACGGCTCCGTTGGGTAGAACCCATGCAAGAGATCATAGATCATACGCCGATGACCAATGGTTTTTGCAAAAGAAAAGGGAAAAAAAATGGTTGTCACAGAAAGAAGAAAGGAGGTGTCTATGCGTTGAATGCACTCAAGACGCGAATTTATTACCTCGCCTCTTTCTCGGCGACGGAGACTGCGACTGCAACAGCTGCACCGAGGATGGCGGACTCGGGGGCTGGAGCGAGGCGAATTGCGGAGGAGGATGTCTGATGGCTTTGCGCGCAGAGTTGGTCGAGGTAGCTCTGGCAGGTGTCGCGGAATCCGGGGTACTTGTTGATGACAGTGCCGTCGCAGGCGATGGAGACGTTGGTGGACTCGTCATCGTCTACGCTTTCGACGATAGTGATTTCAGAAGAATCCTTGACAAGCAGGTCCTTTTTGGAGGGAAACTCGACTTCATTGCGCAAACACCACATGCTATGAATGCCAGTTGCGAGGTAGGCTGCGGCGCGACGGGAAGTTACCTGGCAGACGCGACGGAGGAAGCGCAGGTCTTCGACGGAGGGGTAGCTGGGGAAGGTGTGTTTCTTTTGTAGGAGGGCGGCTGAACCGGCGAGGGAGATTGAAGCATCCTCTTCAAGGAAGGCCACGATGCTTGTGTCGAAGGAATAGGGCTCGCGCATAGAATGCGGCAGCTCGCCATTAAAAAGACCGGCGGTCTCGATGGCTTCTACGATGATCAATCGAACAATCTCACCCAAATATCGACCAGTGATCATGTATTCCAGTGGCTGGTAGTCCGGACGCAAGTGCGTGCGGTTCAAATGGTCGTCCCAGCGAGTCATGGGGAGGACGCCGCCTCCGAACATGCTCATTTCAGTATTGATGATGACGTGCTTGGCATAATCGAACCAGCCCTCGGGGCGAGTACCAAATTTGCCCTGACCAATCTCGTGTACGGGGAAATGGATGGCCATGTTGGTTCCGGTTCCAAGGATTAAAGACATGCGAGTCTTGGGGTCGACGTATGCGCGTGAAAGCAGAGCAGCAGAGCTATCGTTCAAGATCGCAGCCATATCAACATTCAAATTGCGCTTCTTGCAGGCATCAATAAGCAATTGGCCGAGCTCCTGTCCAACGGTTCCATTGGAGCAGTGGAATCCTTTACCCATATGAATCATCAGTCCGCTGCTGACCGAAGTTTGGTCGATAGGGAATGACCAAGACAAGCCCATTGAGAGCGGTTCCTTGCCACGTCCGTAATCGGCGCCGACATCCTTCAGCATAGTATCAATATGACCCGCCATCCAGTCAAAGAATTGAGTCCCTTCCAGCAATTTGACGGTATTATCAATGGAGGATGAGGATACGCGCACAATGCGCATTTCCTCATCACGACCAGACAGCTCGATCAGAGCGACGCGGAATGTAGAACCTCCAACATCGAGTGCGAGGTAGGTGCCCTTCTCAGTGCCGGAGGGAAGAGCATGGGTGTAAGACGGCAGCATGCAGCAGGGGCTGTTCTGAAGACAATCACGGAACTGGGCACGGATCTTGTCGGACATGTCGATCATCTTGGGGGTGGACAACGGGGCGGAGAAGAGGGTGTCGACCTCGTCGGCGAAGTCATCGAGCGAGCGGCGGCGCCAGTGGGCGCCCAAGAAGGGCTTGCGACGGCGGTGCGAGAAGCCGCGGAAGAGAGAAGGGAAGAGGATCATAGTCTCGATGGCGGACACCACGTTCTGGAAGAGCTCCTGCAGGCGGTGCAAGACTTTCACCAGCGGGGCCGACATGGTCGACATGCTCGGCAGGGGATGAAGGGACAAGGTCCAGAGAATGCGCTGTGTCGAAGGGGAAAAAAAGAATGTTATATTCTAACAGCGCGGGGGGGATCATAGAGATAAGACTAAAGAGGAAATCGGGGCGGGATATGAAAAGGTGTCAAGGTGGTGAGGGTGACACTCCGGAGAGTCGTGTTGGAGGTGGATCGGGGTGTAGCAAAGGTTGTGTTAGAGACAGAGACAGAGACAGAGACACTCCCCACTCGAGAGAGCCGCGCGAAAGGGAGAGAAGCATGGATCAACATTGGCCCATTCCTCGTTGACAGTGTCACTCGCAGTGCAACTTGAAGCCCTTGCGGTGTCGCAATGCGCGAGTGGGTAGCATGTTACCGTATGGTAATTTAGTTTACGGGGGAGGGGATGGTAGTGGGCAGTTGGCGGGTCGTCCGTGATGGCAGTCGTGTAATGCTCTGTTATTTTACGTGACACGATATCATCCGGATCTCCTCGCTACGATGAAGGTTCTAGGGTACTCAGAAAAGAGGGGAAATTGAGGAAAAATCTGGATTTCAATACTCTACGGTTGTTGTTGATCAAGATGAAATTCCTGGAGGTGTGGTATGCCGTACATAACTCGATGACCCCCTTGAGTGCAACGGTGGTAGCCCAACTCGGGACCGTTACACTCATGTGGAACCGCCCAACTACATAACCTCGTGGAGTCTCGTAGCACCTGGAGCTGAAACATTCACCTTCATTTTGATAGTCTATCGCGACTCGGGTAGCTTCAGAGTCTAGCCGCCTGGAGCCTGTCGCCAGTACACATGATTTGGGGGTGGTCAGTGATCGCACGTAACCCTTCGCGGACTTCGCCCGAGTTAGGTGGTCTTAGTGTAGTATGCATCCCTTGAGCATGCACGGATTGTAATCGGCCATGCAATCCCATACTACGCCTGGAATATGAGTTTTTCGATGGACATTGCATGACATCACCCACGTGCCATCGTTGTATCTGTGGAGTTGGACAGTCTGGGGAAGTGGAACATCGAGACATTGAAACATTGCCTTGACTACATGGAGTCGGCCGCTCGCCGACGCAGACCTTATCTATGTTACCATCTGGAACTTTTGTTCCGCTCGGGTCATGTACATTCAGCTTGTCGCCAAGGCGAATCGCCCCGTATGGTCACTGTAACTGCGCAATCTGGACTTACCTTGTGGTATACCGCTGTGCACGTCCTAGAAAGGTTGAGTGGGGATCTGCCACATGGCATTGTATCCTCAGCCCTGTTCTTGTGCAGTGTGTCGTTTGTCACTTGCCATTTTGCCATATCTGATGGATCGGTCTTCATCCTTCATGGGTTGCTGTGATGAAAACAAGACTGATTCCATTCCCAATTCCAATTCCAACTCCAACTCCACGTGTGATTGTATTTCTGGTTCCAAGGTACGTCAGCGCTTTCACAAGGACATGCTACCATGGCAATTGTCTTGTAAGTGTAGAGATGAAAATGAGACTCTTCGGTCCTTGGTTGACCCCTATCTGATCTTTCTAGCTCCTTCGCATTGGCCCTGCGGGGAATCCTGGCGATCTGCGGGGAAAAACTTGATTCAATGGCCGGTCCCCGCCCCGAGAACAATAAAATGAAAGACAGTTTGCTCTCTCATAGGTCTCACCAGTGATGATCTGTACTTCGTTGGCTCACCGGGGTAACTAGACCCCTATGAGACCCCCTATAGTCCTGACGACCCTCCCCCAATTCCCCAAAATTGAGACTAGGCGCCCACTTGGAGCCGAGGCGTCACGATGATCAAATGGCTTCTGAATCAGTATACAAAAGCGCGGAGATGCCTCCCCGCATGTTCATGAAGCACACGGGGCGGATCGTGGAATCGGCATCAAGATGAGACTCCATCTTATCAGTGTGGGCCTGATCTATGGCGCAATCCCGCTAGCTAGGGTGCTGGCCCAGACGTCTCCTGTCGCGGGTATCAGCCTCCTGAATACCTTGTCCAATTTGGCAAATGAGCATGAGTCCAGTGTGCTTTCCGATCTGGTGTCGAACCTGCAGCAGATCGGGTCAATTCCTCCACCGAACACGCCCGAGGAAGCATTGTTGGCCCTCCAACACAGCTCTGGCTTGTCAACTGGGTTCTCGAGCGTTGTGGACATTGCCCAGGGTATCACGGCAGCCGGCCTGATCCCCCCCGGATATTTTGACTTCCTTAGATGGATACACTGACAGCGAGCTCAACTCGCTCGACAACCGGAACCCAAATCCCAACGACGAGATATATCCCAAAAGCAAGGACGATGCCCCGTACTCGCTGTCCGAAGCAACACTCCGATCAGCCATATACATGCCCGAGTCTTTCGGCTGTGGCCGCAACGGAAAGACCCCAGTCATTCTGATACCCGGCACGGCCATTCCATCCGGAACCACCTGGTACTATAGCTTCAGCAAGCTCGGCAACAGCACCAACGCCGACGTGGTCTGGGTGAATATGCCACGAGCCTCACTCAACGATGCACAAGTCAACGCCGAATATGTCGCGTATGCTATCAACTACATCTCATCGCTCTGCAGCAAACCAACCGCCTTAATCTCTTGGTCCCAGGGCGGCCTAAACACGCAATGGGCACTGAAGTATTGGCCCTCGACGCGACCAGCTCTCCAAGATTTCATCGCCATGAGCCCTGATTTCCACGGCACCGTCGTCGAAGCAGCAATCTGTCCCGCCCTCACCTACGTCGCCTGCACGCCCTCCATCCTCCAACAAGCCTGGACCTCCCAATTGATCCAAACCCTCCGCTCCTCCTCCGGCGACTCAGCCTACGTCCCGACCACAATCATCTACTCGTCCTTCGACGAAATCGTAGAACCCATGTCCGGGCCCAACGCATCCGCCATTTTAAGCGACGCGCGTAATGTCGGCGTCACCCACGCACACCTGCAACGCATCTGCCCGACCAGCCCGCAGGGGGGGTTTTATACGCACGAGGGCGTTTTGTACAACCCCCTTGCGTGGGCACTTGCGATTGACGCCATCACGCATCCCGGACCCGGCAGCCTTACGCGGCTGGATCTGAAGCAGGTGTGCGGAATGGCGTTGGCGCCCGAGCTGGATTTGACCGATCTGCTTGGTACCGAGGGTCTGTTGTTGATTGCGGCGGCGGAGCTGGGGACTTATGAGCCCCAGGCCGCGCGCGAGCCGGCTATCGCAGGCTACGCGTCGAATGGAGGCGGGGCTTAGATTTTGGATTTTGACTTGGACTTGATTCTGGACGCATGGGGCGCCATTCGAACCCGTAGATAATTACGAGTCCAAGATTACGACTCGGGCTCGGGCTCAGGCTCAGGCTCAGACTTTAAAAAACCCAATGGATTTGTACTGAGATTTGGTTGCGAGTACGATCAACGCTAAGCCTCGGGAATAAGGTCGTATTGAAACCAAGAGAAGACCACCTCTAACTTGGACCACTCAAGGTCCGAAAATAAGATTAAAGAGCAACCCACATCAATTACCGAGCTTTCGTTCTAGGTCTCGAGATTAAGTGGAGCGATCGACTGGGCTGATTGACAGTTTAAGCGGAAGAGCATTTTTCAATTTCTGAATTGTGGTGACAATCGTCATCTCTCAGCCCGTGGTGGAGAAGTCAGGGGCGGAATAAAAACATCCACGACGCACTTTCATCACTAAACCAAGAATAGTAAGAATGCCAAGAACGCAAAACCCCCCTTGGGATCCAGTGCGTATCCGCTAATCACAGTTTTGCCTGGGCATTTGGCTGATGAGCCGGGGAAAGCCGGGGTTCCCGAGATTCGCCTCTCAGGTCAGGAACCAGAAAGAGGGCGTGGCTCGGAAACCAGGTACGCGCTTAGGGCAAAGAAACCAATTCGAGTGTACCGCATACAGTAGACTAGATTGCGCGGCACAGATCACCGTGGAACCCCACGAACGATTAAACCCCGACGGGGCTAAAGATACGGGTTGTGTACGAGAGGAGAGGAGTCCGCGCCACGTCGAATAATGTCAGAATTCGGGTCCACCGCCAAGACCTCTTTTCTCCCCTGAGGTTGGAACTCCACTGAGACTTGCACTCGGAGCGAGGGCTGTCTCCAGGGCCTCGTTTTCGGTCTTCTTTCTTCGTCTCCCTCTGTTCTCTCGGGAAGTATCTTCCTAGCCATTCTTTTCATCATGTTGTTTTCCGCGTTGTTACTACTGTCGTCCCTGCATAACGTGGTTGCACAGCGCCATGACGCTGACTTGATGTCCTTTGTCACAGTGAGTTCACTTGCGTGAAGATACTTCTAAGTGAAGAGTTGCTGATATGTTTGGATCCAGCTACCAGAGGTCCGAGCCTTGAAATGGGACGTTCACTACCACGACCGCGCGCGCGCCGAGCCGGGCTACTGGTTCGTTGCGCCCTATGGCCAGATCAACCCCGAGCTAGCCACCAAAAAGTACCAGCAATATCAGGTCGGCCCGTATATCTACGATGACAATGGGGTATGGTCCACGCGATCCACGGAGAACTGGCAGAATGAGTCGCGTGCTAATAGGGCGATAGATGCTGATCTGGGCCGGCTCGCTCTTCTGGGAGAACCAGAATGTTTTCGATTTCCGCGCGGTACACGACCTGTCAACAGATAATGACACTCACATTTCAATGATTGTCAACTGGGAAAGAGACGGGCCAAGTAAGGGTAAGGGCGTGATGATGAACAAGCACTACCATGTCGAGACCGAAGTGAAGGTCTTGAATGACCTGCACGATTTCAACATGCACGAATTCAACATCTTGCCCGGGGGGAAGACCGCCTTGGCCTGTACCTACCGCTCCCGAGAGATCAGCATGGTGGACTTCGGACGTCCGGCGGAGACCAGCTTTATCGTCTCTGGTGGCTTTGTGGAGTTGGATATGGAGACCAGTGAGATCCTGGTTCAGTGGGAAAGTTTCGACCACGTCCCCCTGCATGAATCAAACATGTTTCATGCCTGGGACAACCCGATGGGTGATCCGGGCTGGGACTACGTCCACATCAACGCTGTGGACAAGAACGCCGCGGGAGACTATATCATCTCCCTGCGCTTCACTGACACGATCTACGGTATCTCCGGTGAGGATGGCCGTATCATGTGGCGCCTGGGCGGTCTCGAAAGCGACTTCGACATGGATTTCACCTTCTCTAAGCAGCACGATGTAAAATTCGTCTCTTCCAACGGTACCCACCACGTGATTTCGATGCTGAACAACGCCTCCGATGAGCGAGGCAACGACGAGAACCTGTCATCTGCTCTATTCATCGAGATGGACACAATTTCCATGACCGCCCGCGTCATCAACCGCGTCAACCGTCCCGATAGCGATTTGACCCGCCTGCGCGGCAGTGTTTCAACCCTGGCCAACGGCAACATCTTCATCGGCTGGAGTGAGTTCGGTTACCAGAGCGAGCACGCCCCCAATGGTGACCTCTTGATGACAAGCCGCTTTGTCGGAGACCGCTACTCGACCTACCGCGCCTATAAGTCCGACTTCGTCGGCCGTCCCACCGCACCCCCAGATGTCGTGGCCTCTGTTTACGGTACCAGCAAAGAGGACATCACCACGATCATCTACGTCAGCTGGAACGGTGCGACCGATGTGGTCGGCTGGAACTTTTACGCTCAGGCTTACGACCGCGGCGAACCTGTCAAGATTGGCCACGCCAACAAGACCGATTTCGAGACAATGTACATTGTCGACGGGTATATGGACTGGATCACCGCCGAGGCTCTCGATATCAACGGTAATGTCATGAAGACTTCTCGTATGGCCCGCAGCGACGTTCCGCCAAATTGGAAGGCCGCTGGTTTCCTGGGAGAGTCCGGTCCGTCTCCCGATGACCCGTCGATTATCGCCTCGGTGAACAAGGGCACCGGCAGTACCAGCTCAAGTACCAGCTCAAGTACCAGCTCCACTGAATCTACCAGCTCCACCGACACCGAATCAACAGATGCCGTGGAAGCGGACAAGACCGTCACCGATACTACCGACACTACGGACACTACCGACACTACCGACACTACCGATTCTTCCTCCGGTATGGCCGGCATGAACATGTCCGACGACTCCACCTCCGACTCCATGGACCACGACAGCTCATCTTACGCCGACGCCAAAGAGGTCGCCAAAGCCGTGTACAAAGCCTACGAAGTAATCCGCGGTGTCGGCGGACTTCTCATCTTCATCTTGCTATCATGCTCCATCGGCGGCGCTCTCTACAGCCTCTGGCGCTGTCATCAAGCCCGCAAGCGACGCTCCTACCATCATGTCCCCTCGGAAGAGGGTGTCCTGTGGAAGAGATCCACCTCCGCTCGCAACAACCCGAATGATCTGATCCCAGTTCGCCTTGGGCGAATCTACATATTATATTTTCCTTTGCATGATTAGCAGCGTTGCATCTGCATTTTCCCATTTATACATGCCTCCCCGTCCCCCACCTTCCCGGCGAAGATGAGCGCGGTACAATGAAAATATCGCAGACGCAGACATTGACTGTCCATGTCGGCTCCGCAACGAAAACACGGCAAGCGAGGGTTTGGGTATATACAATCAAGTCATGATCGTCCTACACATGTCATACCCCCATCAGCGCTTTTTTTTTTTCCCATTTCATTTCACTTTTTGGGCCATCTCTGTTGAACATAACAGGGATTCGCATTGTTCTTGTGTAATATTACCCTTGACATTTGTCTTTACATCTTTATTTGAACAAATCAACTCAATGTACATACTTGCATAATCTCAGACGTGATCAACATTCCTCAAACACGGGTTGAAACCAGGGCCCCGTTTTTAAAGTCGGGGCATCCCTGTAACACGTATCCTCGGACCCAAGCATAGCCACTACCTACAGAGGTAAGAGGTAAATTCTGTCCTAAACAATGTCCAGTCACAAATTGTCCCCAGTCTGGAATCATTGAATCACAATATTTCAGCTCATTTTCTATTGCATTCTCACCCGCTCAAGCAAGTTTTCTCCATCCCCTCACTCTCTAACCTCGTTCTGTGACCCATTGCCCCACGCCTGGTACTCGCCAGGGATGCCCCCCACGTAATCTGAAGATGGACTGTATCGTCTGAAAATCAAATTGTATCCAACAAAAAAACAGTAACGTTAGTCTTTGGGAAGTAAATTTAATCCGGGATTTAAAGTGTTACTAATCATGACGTTCTAGTGATTGTTCCATGGTACGATGAATAGAATACATCGGAGGCGAACAAATGGATCCGTCTTCTAGAAATTCCCATTCTAGAAATCCAGGCCGAGACGCCGTTATAAGATGAAATACAGTAGTCCGATGTGTTTCATTTTTACATGTAGGCATCGGGGATGGATTTGGCCCCGTTTCATCTAGAATGTAGAATGATGTAGATTTCAATCGCCGCTTCAAGGCTTTCATTGTTCTTCTACCTTTGGGTTCCTTCGAGATCTACAACCCCCGTGCATGCTTTTATCATGTCTTGAGAGCAAATCCATACATAGATCAATGAACTATCCAGCATGTGGAACCTGCCGATATTGTCATTATTGATTATTGCTACTTTACCAATGAGACGCCTTGTACTATTTTTATTCTATCTGTGCGGCGTGGATGGTGGCGCGAGCTGACGACTGAGGACTCCTTGGGCCGCGTCAGCTGGTGTGTTGGGGGTTCGTTGTGGGTTGTAGCTGGAGATCGGCGGTGGCTTGTGGTGGAGTCGGGCAGTGTGTTCGGTTTCGTTTCGCTGTTCCAAAGAGAGTGCGTGTCATTGGCTTGGCTTCGGAGTCTGGATGGACGAAGTGTGCTATGAGTTTGTGATTCTTGGGTTAATTTGAAGATGCTGGTGGGCGGGATATGGGTTGGATTGTTGGGTGGGGTAAGGAGAGAACGCTTGGGTGAGCTTCATTTGAGGTTACCGTGTACCGTAGAACACCTTGAAGTCGATCATAGATTGGAAGATGCAAGATCTATGCGTGAGTTCCAGAGTTGACTACAATCTTGTATATTCACGGTAGTGAACACGTAAGTATGGATGAAAATCATGTAAAAAGCGCTCTATATCATTTAAATAAAAAGACATACAAGAATCAAGAACCCAACCCCCAAATTGGACATGGACATGGAAATAAAACATCAAGACAAAACAAAAAATCAAGTCGAGGATTTACTGAGAATGATCTCCGCCAGAGCCATCAACGAACCACTCGAGAGCAGTTCCAAAACCTGCACATTGGCATTCGCTTCACGCGCAATCCAATTCCTAATCTCAATGGCAACCAACGAGTCCAAGCCAAGAGACGCGACCGTAATGGTTGGATCCATATCATCCAACGAGAGAACAAGCACCTGCGCCAACTTCGCCGCTAGCGCCTCGTAACAAATGCCCAGTGCCTCCTCCTTTGAGGCTGCATTGGCGAGCTGCACATTCAATGGCAAAGACGGTCCGTCGCACCCAGTGCTGCTTCTGTGATTCTCCTTCGCGGCTTCATATAGACCACTGAACTTGGCGTCCTGCGCCCAGAAGTGGTCTAAACTATCCTTGAGGCTGAGACCGGTGATGCATTGGCCTGAGCAAGATTGTGAGAGGTTACCTGTTATGGCGGCGGCAAATAGGGCCAGGACTTCGGCTTCGGCCATGCCGTCTGTTCCAATGTTCTTGAGGACTTCTTGTTGGCGCTTCCCATCGACCTCGGCAAGGTAACCTACATCTCGGACGGCGGTCAGGTCGATTGTGGTTCCCGGGAGACCTTGGCTGCGGCGATATTCCATAAAACCGTCGAGGAAGACGTTGGCGGCGGCGTAGGCTGCTTGGCCGCGGTTACCGATTACACCGGCGACGGAGGAAAGTGCGATGAAAAAGTCCAGAGGTGAGTCATGGAGGGCGTGGTGCAGGTTCCAGGCGCCTTCGACTTTGCTAGATGCCACTGCTTGGAAGTCCTCCAGAGTCATATTTTCGAAGAGCATGTCACGAAGGACCATTGCACCATGGACCACACCGCGGATCGGTGGGAATCCCCTCAAATCGTGAATGAGGCTGTCGACGGAGGTGACGCTGGCCACATCGCAAGGCTTGACGCTGATCTTGGTGCCAACGGTGGCGAGCTCGTCGATAAGGGCTTGGACTTTGTCGTTGATTGATGCATTGCGGGAGACAAGGATAATGTTTCGTGCGCCCTTTGAGGACATCCATTTGGCCATACTTCGTCCGAGACCACCGGTACCTCCAATGAGGATATAGGAGGCGTCGGCCTTGAGGATGGATGAGCCAACCTTGGCTGCCACGGCCTGGAGAGAGTTAGTGTGCGGTCTCCTCGTATAAGGGGTTGTGATCTTACCTTAACCTGATCATCCTTGTGAGGAACAACCACGATCTTGCCCATTGCCTTACCGGTCTGCAGAGTACGGAAAGCTGTCTCGAGCTCGGAGATCCGGTAGGTAGTTAAAGGCAGGATGGGAGAAACAGTGCCCTTGGACATAAGCTCATAGACGTTATCGAGAAGGCGCTTCATCAGCTTCGGCTTGTACTGGGCAACTTTGGTCAAGTCAACGGAAGCAAAGCTAACGTTATACTCGAATGGCAGCATGTCTAGACGGGTGTTCTTGGTGATATCAGCCTTGCCGATCTCGATGAAGCGTCCAAACGGAGCAAGGGTCTCCCAGGTCTCGCGGAGAAGATCACCCGCCAGAGAGTTGACTACAACATCGACACCTTTGCCATTGGTAGCACGCTTGATGCCACGACCGAAGGACGAGTCACGAGAGTAGAGGATATGATCTTCAGGAAGGCCGTATTGCGTCATGAGGAAGTGCTTCTTCTCAACGCTGCCAACAGTCACGAAAATCTCGGCGCCAATCATCTGTGCTAGCATGATGGCTGCTTGGCCGACACCACCTGCACCGGCATGGATCAGAACACGCTCGTCGGCCTCGAGGTGGCCGAGGTCAACGAGAGCGTAGTAAGCTGTGCAGAACACAACTGGCACAGTGGCACCAACCTCGAAAGACATGTCCTCTGGAATGGGAGCGGCACTGGTGGCACGGCAACGGGCATAGGTCGAGTAAGCACCCTCAGGCAAAGCCATGACCCGCTGACCGACTTTGAGACTGGTGACATTCTTTCCAATGGACGAGACAACACCACTGCACTCAATACCAATCCATGGTTGGGCGAGCTGGCCCATTGTCACCACGATATCCTTGAAGTTAAGACCAGTTGCCATCACTTCGATCTCAATATCATCGTCACCCAGAGGGCCAACAATATCATCCACAAAGTACAAAGTGTCGAGAGCACCAGGGCTGTCAATCTCAAGCTTGAGGCGACGACCGGGCTGGTTGAATGGCTGAGTCGTGATGGTCTTCTCGTGAGTCTCGTTGTGAACGAAGGTGTTGGCTGCGATATCGTGGGAAACGCGAGGTACAAGAAGCTCAGAGCCACGAGCACGGAACTCAAAGTCCTTGCAGGCTTTTCGCCATCGTGAGGCCACAGAACGTTGATAGCGGCCAGAATGGCGGGAGTAGGCTTCTGAATATCCTTGGTCTCAAGTCCCAAAGTGGCCACCTTAGCCAGAGTCTCGGAGCGCAAGCTGCGGGTAAGACCGACGACCATTTGGGTGTCAGGGTTGTCCAGACGGTAAACCCAGAGAACATGGGAAGCACCTAGTAAGGTCTTCTTGATGCTATCGAAGATTTCGACAGTGAGATCGCGCAGAGACTTGTTGCCGGTTTGGAGAACGACGACATGCTTCCCAATGGAGTCGGTCTCCTCCATAGAGCAGATTGAGGGCTTCCACTGGACGGTCTCGTTATAAACAGCCTCGGTCAATTCATCGGCGATACCGTCGGGTTTGCCATACTGCATGATTAAGAGATCATCGGTGTGAACGCCATTGACACCGTTGACAATGCCATTGCCATTGACATGAGCCCTCCCCTCAACAGTGAGAGAACCATCGGCATGTCCATTGCTAAGTCCATTGTTTGCATGTCCGTTGGTCAGCTCTCCATTTGTAGCGTGACCGTTGGTAAGACACATCGTACCATGACCGTTGGTAAGAGAAATACCATTGGGCTCCGTGGACTCCTCGATCTCTTTTACTGGGATCGTTTCAATCTCAGCCAGCGGCAGCCAATCAAGCTTGTAGCACAAGTCAGTGAGATTTCCACCGCTGCCCGCCCCCGATTCCTTCAGTGGCGTCATTATCAACCCTTCCATGTTGATGATAACCTCAGTAGAGTCCTGAGGAGTCACCCAGAGGTCAAACTTGGTGGGCTCGGGAGTTGGCAAACTGGGGCCACCGTTACACCAGGCCTTCACAAAGTCGCCGGGAGTGGTGGTGATGTTGTTACTGATGATCAGATTCTTGATCATGGTAGGCATGTATAGCGTGTCGAGCTCCATGCGACCCTTACCCAGAATGGGCCAGACAAGGTGAAGCAGTGCATCCAGGAAGACAGGGTGGATGGTGAGCGGGGCCTCGAAGTTCTTAGGCATAACGTTCTTGGTATCACGGAGATACAGATCTGCGCGCGAGTGACGCGGATCAGAGAAGCAGTTCTCTAAACCCTGGAAACAAGCGCCATAACCGGCACCGACCTCAGAAAGGACCTGATACATGTTCTGGGTGTCGATCTTGTAGGTAGCGGCGGTCATCACTTTCTCAATTTGGGCACCCATGTGCTTCAGCTCAGCCTCGGCAACGTTGGAGACGGCAGTTTGCTGCTTCTTGTTGGCTCGGACACGAACCAGACCAGTGCAGTGCTGGGTCCAGGCGCGCTTGGTGTTCCACGAGCAGATGCGGAACTCATCCCAGATATCAGAGTTACCACGAGTACCCTCGGCGTAGGGTCGGAGGGTGATGGTAGTCTCGGCGTCCACATCATCAGTCAAGACGAGAGCTGCACCCACCTTCACCTCACGGAACTCGAACTGGGAGAATGCCACATCGTTTGTCTCTGCACGTCTCCGTGCGGCTTCGGTGGCCATTGCCAGGTAGCCAGCGATGGGGTACACGCTCATGCCCTGCATCTTGTGCTCTCGAAGCCAGGGGATATCATCAAGGCGGACAATGTTACGCCATGTAGGCTCCAGATCATTCGAGTACAGAGCTGCAGTTCCCAGAATGTCATTTCGCTTACCATCTCTGTGGCAGTGCTTGTCAGCGATGCGAGACTGGTGCCAGTAACGGGTACCGTGCTGCCAAGGGTAGCGAGGCAAATCGCGCAAGAAGGAGCGGTTCTTGGCTTTGCTGATGGGGAAGTTGACCTCAGTCATCTTGAGGACGGCACCACGCACGTATGCAGCTCCAGCGGCATCAAGAACAGACTGCGAGGGTTCGATGTTGCGGACGACTGTGGGAGCATAGCCGATCTTGGATGCAGATGAGCCAACACCCTTGAGGGTGTCTAGAATGGGACCCTTCAGAGCAGAGTGAGGGCCAAGCTCCATGAGCATGTTTGGTCGGAACTCGTCATCAGCACACATCTTCCCAAGGGCATTAGCGAACAAAACTGTGGATGTCAAGTTCTGCACCCAGTAGGCGGGACCAAGGTCAGCCGGCTCAGCAATTTCACCAGTGACGGACGAGAAGAAAGTCGCTGTTCCGGTAGTGGCAGGCTTGATACCTTCGATAGAGTTGAGGTACGCCTCGGCGACATTCTTCATGTGGTCAGAGTGATAAGCCACATCGATCTTGAGACGACGATTGAAGAGCTGCTTATCGTTCAAAATGATTTCGAGCTCGGTGATGGCATCAACGTCTCCAGAGATGGTAACACTGCAAGGACTGTTCACGCAAGCAATGGTAGCATAGGACTTAAGAAGCTTCAGCATTGGCTTGATCTCCTCTGGGCTTGCACCAACAGCCATCATGGTTCCATGCAGGTCCGGGTAGCTGCTCTTCAGCAGAGAGGTCATCTGACCACGGCGGTAGGCAAGGGCCATGGCATCCTCCAGACCGTAAATTCCGGCAGCATAGGCGGCACCAATCTCGCCAGAGCTGTGGCCAACGACAGAATCCGGCCGAATACCCCAAGAGCGGAGTAGATCAGTCAGAGCTACCTGAAGGGCCGTACATGCCGGCTGACTGAGATGTGGCGAGTTGATTTCAGATGCAGAGGCCTCCTTACGAAGCACTTCGAGTAGAGAGAAGTCTGCGCCTAGTTCAAGCAAGCACCGATCGGCCCGTTCCATGGCGGATGCAAAGACGGGGTATTCTTCCATGAGCGGCATACCCATAGTAGCCCATTGGGCACCCTGGCCTGTGAATACCCAGGAGATCTTGGGAGTGCCCAGCACTCGAGCCGGGTTGATCTTCAGCTGAGCAAGACGCATACCAAGCTCATCCAGTGAGGTGGCAGCAACAGCGACGCGGTAAGCAAGTTGGGACAACTTGTTTCCAGTACTATAGCAGAAGTTGCCGAAAAGCGAGTTTTCGAAGACCTCAGGGTGCTGTTCGAAGTATACACCAAAGTCATGAATTCTGGTTTTCAGAGACTCCTTATCGGCAGCCGAGATCAAGAATAATCGGCGCTTGGGATCTCCATCTGCCTCTGCATTATCCTCGGATATGGGTGCTGGTGGCGGCTTTTCGAGCACAACGTGCGCATTGGTACCTCCGAACCCGTAGTTTGAGACACTGACGTATTTCTTGCCTCGAGGGAAAGGTCGCGTGGAGGTCACGACCTTCATATTCCATTCGTTGAGAGGGATGTTAGGGTTGGGCTTCTTGAAGTCGCAGTTCGGCAGAAGGAGACTCTTGTCAAGGACCATAGCAGCCTTGATTATGGAGGCAATACCACTGGCACCTTCCAAATGGCCAACATTGGACTTGACCGAACCAATGTAGAGCGGGTTCCTAGCTGTGCGACCTCCTCCCAGGGCCCGTTGCACAGCGCGTGCTTCAATAGGATCACCCGCCTTCGTTCCCGTTCCGTGCATTTCAGCATAACCGCAGTCCTCCGGATTGAGCAAAGCGTCTTTATACACACGCTTAATTAATGCCTCCTGCGCGTACTCATTCGGCAATGTAATACCCTTTGTCCTCCCATCTTGGTTGATACCCGTATTAGCAATTATAGCTCGAATAGGATCTTTGTCGCGCAGCGCAGCATCGAGTGGCTTGAGCATCACCACGCCTGCACCCTCGCCTCTTGCAAAGCCAGATTTCGCTCTCTCATCGAAGGAAAATGTTTTGCCGTCGTCGTTAAATAGTCTAGAGTATCGTCGCGTTAGAACTAATCCCTTTCTCCGCGGTGTTTGAGAGAGTACTCACTGTGACATTGACATGGACACAAAATAATCAGGAAGAATATTCAGTCTACATCCACCAACCAGCGCCTCGCTGGACTCGCCGCTCCGCAAGCTCTGCACGGCATAATGAAGGGCCACCAGAGACGATGAACACGCAGTGTCGACCGTGAAACTCGGACCCGAAAAATCAAAGAAGTAAGAAATTCGATTGGACTGAAGGGCAGGCGCATTACCCGTCGCCTGGAATTGAGGCGTAGTCTCGATATCTCGCAAATTATTGAGTTCATAGTCAGAAAAGTTGCCGCCGACAAAGACACCGACATTGCGACCTGCCAGAGACTCTTTGGGGATGCCAGCACTCTCCAAAGCTTCGTAGGAGGTCTCGAGCAGCATACGCTGCTGGGGGTCCATGGAAATGGCTTCCTGGACGGTGACATTGAAGAAGGGGGCGTCGAATCGGGAAACATCCTCGTCTAGAAAGTAACCACCGGCAGGATTAAAGGTACCAGGTTTGGAGGGATTGGGATGGTGATAGGCACCGTGAGAGAAGCGGTCCTTGGGCATTGGAGCCCATCCGCTCCTCCCTCGAGTACACAACTCCCATAAGTCGCCGGGCGAGGCGACCTGTCCCGATAGTCGACAAGCATACCCAATGATTGCAATGGGTTGCAACGCAGGACTCTCCTGCTTGTGCGTGCCGTTCATGCCATCTGTCGTACTATGCATCATGAAAGTGTGCCCAAGTGTGGTGGGAAAGGGGGGGCGAAGAAAAGGAAGGGGGAGAAGTATGAGACGAGTCAAGAATGGGATGGAGCGCAGTATCAATGATTAAATAAGGAGCCTACTTCAAGAAGGGATCAGCCGAGCATCCTTACCTGGTAAAACGATTGCTTAGATGAGATATTACTCGTTTCCCCAAATTAATTGATTTTCTAGTATCCCTAGAAATAATAAAGTCACCATATTTTTTTTTTTTTCCAATCAAAAAAAAAAAATAAAATAAAAAAAACAATCCCACCGTGATAAGCAACGGGACAAGCGGCATTGGATGGGGAGCTGTAACTTGGACCTGTTGTGCAGCCCACTTTGGTTTAGACACAAATTCAGGGACCGGCTCCACTCGAATGTACACTCTTGTTTTGCTACCCACCAGAGCTTCGATGAACTGATGGATCCGGTGGGGACCGTCGATCACATGGGTTCGGAGGGAAACGCGGATTTCAAGGGATGGACCATCCTCGTTTTGGCCCTTTTTTTATCGCGTCCATTTCTCTCCAGATCAACTTCTCTTGTGCTTCGCGATAGAGACCCTTGTACAACATTTCCTATCAAAGCTTTGGTCAGGATAAACCCTTCAGGATGCATTACCTGTGTCTTCACGGCGCCATCGGCAACATTGATGTATGTGGAAAGCTCTCCCAAGACTCGATCAACGCTAATTCTCTCATTTTCCTCGCAGAATATCAGTATCCAGCTGGGTAAGGTCGACCCCAAGTCGATTTCGCATCTCCTGCTTTTCTCAATTAACGGTCTTGTTTCAGCGCCGCTCCAGAAGGAACTGGACTCCGACAATATCAAGTTCAATTACATCAACGGACCGGTGCAGATAACCCCTCCCCCAGGTAATTGTTTTTCCGAGACTCAATTTTGAGGTTGTCCCCCAAATCTCATAGCCATGGACAGGTTTCGAGGAATACTTCGGCGTCGGCCCACACTACCGATGGACAGATGACGGTGGCGCTGCCGAGGATTCCCTGATCAGCCGAGTCCGTCAGATCCCCGTTGGTGACAATTCTGAGGATATCATGCGAGACTTGGTCGGCGATCGAGAGATCGTCTGGCTCAATTACCAACAGGTCCTGGATTATCTCTACGATACTCTAGAGAGAGACCCTGAGATCAGCGGCATTATTGGCTACAGTGAGGGCGCTGGAATAGCAGGCTCGTTTATTCTGGATGAGCAGCGACGAGAGAAGGAAGAAGGCCGCCCTCGTCGGATCAAATCCGCCATGTTTGTGACTGGGTGGCCTCCAGTCGTCCCAGGCCGGGGTCTCATTCTTGCCGACGAACAGGAAGACATGCTTGACGTTCCCAGTCTCCACGTTATTGGAGCGAATGGTAAGGGCAAATTCTTTGGCGTGTTTGACCTTTCAGCTAATCCTGCTCCTTGCTGTTTCAGATCCTTTCCGTCACGGTGCTTTCGCCTTATACAATATTTGCGACCCCGATACCGCGGTCTTCTTCGATACCGGCAAAGGACACACCATCCCACGATCCGGCAAAGTAATTACCGAGCTCGGAGATGCGGTCCGGCAATTAGTTGCGCAGGCGGATGACGATTAGGATTTGTTTTTTTTCATCACATGCATATATAAGACCATAGGGCTCAAATCTAGGTCCCGAAGTGTTTCGGTACCAATTTTCTTGCATACATCTGCACGTAGCTCCCGACCTCCCGAACCCGCTTCAGGGCTCCCGATTATCCGACAACTGTAGATAACCTTTCGAGCACTGAATGGTTCGAGCCCTTTGTCGGCCCTGGTTCGGTGTAACTCGACCCTCTTTTTGGGCTTTTTGACAGCCGGTTTATCCCAATCCTCAAAGTTGGTCCAGCCTCGCCAAAGCTCCCACTGCTCGGAACCGTGGAGAGGTACTCATGGATGTGAGAATCGACACGTCCCGATGTCTCCTCCATAGAAGAAGTCCACATTTCACATGTGGCCCGCCATTTCGAAAACTCGATCGATCCGAGTTCACCCTTTCCGAAGTATCAGAACCTTGCAGACCAAACCGGCCAGAAGCTTGTCGATCCCAATCTGCAGATCTCTCGTCGTACAAAGGCTCAAATGGCACTCCCACTACCCTAGCCATCTTTTCTTCTTTATGCTTTTCTAGACAATCTCCTTCCTGGTTTGTCCTGGCATCACCCTAGATAGTGGCAGTATTTGGCCTCATTCATGTGAGACCTGAAAAGAGGTCCAAGTTTAAATATGTGGCGACAACGCGCAAAGGAAATCTCCCCGATGAACCAATTTCAGCATTGTCAACCTATACCCCTTTTTTTCCAATAATCATGCACGTCATGTCATTCCAGAAGCTCCTCCTGGCCCTGACTGGGGCCCTGGACTGGGGCATTCAGCCCGTCAACCCCCAGACCGTGCCCCCGGAGCGGTGCGCCACAGGTGTTCATGCCATTCTAGCCCGTGGCCAAGGTCCGGGCGATCACTTGAATGTGATGGTCTCCATCCAAAACCTGATCCTCCAGCTTATTCCGGGCTCCAGCAGTGTGGCTCTGCCCTACAAGCACGGCTCCGATGACCATCGTGTAGCAGCTGCGGACGGCGCCCGAATGATGCAGCGATACGTCCGAGAGTATGTCGCCAGCTGTCCTCAGTCTAAAATATTTCTCATGGGGTACTCGCTGGTACGTGTTGTAATTGATTCATCATCCTCCCCCCTTTTTTTTGATAGTCTTTCCTTGTTCTCAATCACCAAGTGTGGCGTTTTTTACGTACTGGGAATGGTTGACAAGCTGAGTCCCCATCCAGGGTGGAATAGTCCTGATGGACGCCCTCTGCGGCACGAGCTCTCTGTGGCTCTATCCTGTTCCTGCCTTGGAGCCATCATACAACCAAAACGGTTAGTCTACTTAATCGATCAGCCCCTGGCGCCTCACCATCTAAACCGGCATGAGTGATCGCGGCTGCCACATACGGTGAAGAGACCTATCTCCCGGGTGAATCGTGGGACGTGGGGTCTTGCACTGATGGAGTGGGCGTAAGTAAAATGAGCCACTTCCGACTTTTTTTTTCTCCACGCCGATCATCTCCGACCCTGACACTGACACCGACCTTTCCACTAGCTCTATCCGCGCCTGCATCCCGAATGGTGCAATCCCTATGCTTCATCACTCAGAGACTACTGTGACGAAGGCGATATGGAATGCTGCCTCAATCACTACCCGCCCAACGACTCACATTTCTTGTACATCTTCAAGTACAACGTGGATCTACTAAAATTCATCCAGCGACGACTGAACGAGACCCGATCACAATGATTACTTCGTGCTGTTAACAAACCATTTGCTTATTGTGGATCGAGGAGGAGGAGGATCAATGCCTACCTAGGATTTTTAAAGCCTAAGCACACACGGAACAAGAGGAGGAAAAACAGAGAGATAGAAATAAAAGGAAATGACATGCGCAAATCAAGCCGCGTCTGGAGAATAAGGTTCTTAGCGCAGTGGATCCACGACCCTGAGCCCAATTGTGGTCCTCCAAGACTGTGGTTCGTTGGTTCGTGCCCTTAATTATGTTCTGGGACCGATCTCCACGATAAACTACCTCTTTTTCTACTTGTGGCGTCCATGGGACGGCTCAATGCCTAAATCGCAGCCTCGTAATTGGTCCATTTCCCCTTCTTCTTTTCCTTCGTTATGAAATCTGTATTAGGATCGTCAGCGGCCTAGACGATTCTTCCACCTCCATGCCGAGAAATGAACCCTTTGTCCTTCTCACGATAGTGGTAGAATTCCAGGCTAAGTACCTAGTATACTCCCACCAAAGGTGATACGCTACCTTTTAACCTAATCGCCCGGCGCACATAGCGCTGCAGACTAGCGACGCCAAAAGCCAAGACTATAGTAAATTCACGTTCTCATAGACAAAAATTACAGAAAGTGGAACGCGCGACCATTCCTACTGTACTTCGCAGGGTTTGAAGGATAATCATCCTGCTAGACTTAAAGAGCATAGTCGCGACCGAAGATTCTCGGGCGCTCGCGGAGCTTAACCCCAACTCTGCCAAGATTCGCCACGGTCGCGAACAACCCATTCACAAAGGTGAAGCTCTTGTCTCAACTGCACAGATTTACGTGAAACTAGTTCCAACAAAACGATATTGACTTCAAAAAGTAGCCAAATGAGCCAGGGATGTATCGACCGGTGGACATGTCTTCGGTCATGAATTTGAGTCCTTGATTTAGATTGAAGTTTGGGACCGGGGAGGAGGGGCCAACTTATCGGGTTGAGAGCCTATTGCGGATAGCCTTGCATTGCATATGTGCATTAAGGTACGATGACAGCCCATGGCCGTTTCAACGTTTCTGAATTTTGGGCCGCTTGATCCTTGGGTCCCTATCTAACGGTTTCATAATAATAAGATGTGAGCTGTCGCTGGTTTCGGCATGGGAGGGGGATCCTCGTAAGGCTGGCCGGAATTGCCGTGCCTTTCTCCGTCTCTCGCGGATGGAGGGATGTGACTAGTTTTGTGATGGGTGAGGAGTTTTCCAGTAATGGAAGTCTTCGTCCGACCTGCTCCAAGGCTCGATATATCGTGTCTCATTTTAAATGCGCGGCTCTTTTATTTGGTACTTCTAAGGTTCTACTCAGAGATAAGTTGGAACGCTGAACGTCTGGGTCTCATGCGGCTTATTCTTCGAGTATGCTACTTTTCTCCAATATTCAAATATTGTCACCGAGGTAAGACTAAACTTGGGATATTCACGCCATCTTAACAAGTTTTCCCTTGGCATGCCAGGAGGAAAGCACGGTTCTGAAACATGAGGCTCTCCAGATAGGTATAGTTGAATCATTTGGATCTTACTCTAAGGTCTAGAACAGAGCCCAAATATGATACTCGTTTACAAGTCAAGGCCATCGTGCCCCACTTTCCCCTCCTTCGCGCGTCCGGTTCTACATTGTATTTTCTCGAACATGCTCTCAATCACCATCTTGGCGAAATCTCCAAAGCTGTAAATTTTAGCTGTTACTCCGGCGTATGACTCAATCTGGCCAAGGTCAGAACAACTACCCGATTTCGATTGTTCAGTCCAATTCAGGGCAGTCAAAGCAGGGAACGTCCGCGAATGTCCCAAAGTTGAGACTTTCTCGATTCTAAATATGTGCGCCATTTTCTTTTACTTAGGTACTTCCGTGGTTTCTTAAACCTTGGAAAATAGTAAACAACTCACTGAGGCTCCTCATGTGACCAACCTATACCTCTTTTTTTCCAAGGCATTGGTAAGTCCGACGAAGTTTCCGGGCTTATCGGGACTCTGATCTATTGTATCCAGTGGTTTAGTATTACTTTTTGCAAGATCAGTTTGAATATTTCCCACGCTCACTAATTGAAGGCTTTATGGATGGAAAAAACAACTTTTGTCTCCTAGTCTATTCTAAGAGTGGTTCAATGAAGGTTTAACAGGATCCATCCGTCAAGTTTCACGATAAATTTGAAAGTCTTGCCGCCCTTGCCTCCGGTAATGTCCAGATAGAACCATACAGCTCGAATTTTTTCTACTTTCATGGCATTTACTCATCATTGTGCTCTCATGGTTTCGCTCCTCTGATTCAGAGAGACGCACTAGAGGGTCGCATAGATGATATTCAAAGAGATCTTTGAAAGGACTTAGAATCCTGGCTCGCGAGTGTAGAAAACTCTCGTTCCTCTTAGCTCACTTCAACCGAAGCCATCGTGCTCATCTCATCTTGGCAACGAGATTATTGCGATGGGTCACATTTTCAATCAGCCCAACGGCATGTCGCCTTTATCTTATAGCACATCGAGGCAACGCTGGGGTAGAAACGTATCACCAGACATAGCGTCTTCTTCAGTGCATGCAGTATTAATCATCGGTCTATGGCAAATCAGTAATTTGCAGGGGTTGTGTCACCATCAAGTTTTACCGGATAACCATATATCAAACCTAGCCAAACTTTACATCCAAGAGACAAATTAATTAAGGCATGCACTAGAGATATTATGCCTCATTTGCGGTGTATCTGGGAATGGTAGCTTCGATATTGAGAGGGCCGAGTTTCGCAGAGCATTCAGCTGCCAAGTGCCAAATTTCATCCCATCATCGGTGAATCTTGGCCTGCCATCTTCAATGATTTATTTAGATGGTCATGGTCTTTGTGTATCTTGTACTTGCGGCGTGGTCCGAGTGGCTATCTTGGGGACCTGATATATTAGCTATACACTCAGACCCAGGTGAATCTTGACTTCCCCCGCCCAAGCTCCATCCGACTCGGTTCTTGTCAGCACTGCAGAGTACGACTCGAACACTTACATTATTTTTCATTCTATCAAGCAACATACTATCTCCATGAAATAGTTGCAACGAAGATGGATCAGCATGGAATAAGTGTATTTAAAATCAGCCTTGAGGGGCCGGTTCCCAAAGATAAGACCTTCACTCATATAGACGGCTGTGAAAATGAAAAGGACAATATCAAGCTCCTCTAGGATGATAGCTAGGGTGATACGACAAATTGCTCCAGCATGAGGCACAATATTGGACAGTCGCGATCAATGTACGTGAGAGGATGACGACTTACACCTGGTAAGCGTATCGAGTTGATCAACAGAAGAGAATTAAATAAACATATCCACATGATAAATGAACGAACTCTCTGTGATTATAGAACCAGCTTCCTAGCTACCAGAGATGATGATATAGTAGGATGAAATCGACGTCCAGTTTGCTTAGCAACGTTGGGGAGGCGGTATAGGGGGTCCCCGTCTCGTCCCGACGGGTTGACCAGTAACCCAGCAGTCTCAGGTAAGCCAACCAGCAATTGAAAATGTACATTGTTGTACCAATATAACCATACACTATTGGCAGATTTCCGTAGACTATGTATATATACCTATCTGGCTTGTAAACAACAGAAGGAAGCATCGCTACCATGTGGCCGGGACTCCGTCAACTTCCCAAAATGATGTGAAAGACGATCAGCTAATCCCGTTTCGGCGAAACCTCCCTCCTTTTTTTTCCCTCACCACCTCACACAATTCCCAATGCTGTTCTCACGTCAATTCACCGGAGCTTTCTCCAAGTCCTTCAAGTCTTCGTCTCTCGCACGATCTTCGGGACCCCACCGCCTCTCGTCCAACTCCAGCCAACCCCAGCGCCCCTCCTCCGCCCCCCAAAACACCCGCAACCAATTCAAAGTCATCCCCATCCTCATCCTCATTGCCATCTCCTCCGGTTCCTACGCTCTCCTTGTGAAATCTCGCACCGGACAATCCACCCGCCCTCAAAACTAAAGTAGCTCCAACCAGAGTCCTACTTATCCCCCCCAACTCTCCTCTCTCTTTCTCTCTTGAAACGACAAATAAACAACCCCCTCAGTCAAGATGGCTACCGAAACCCCCCGCTTCTCCACAAACGACGTGACAGTCGTCTTCTTCCTTGGCGGTCCCGGCTCAGGCAAGGGCACTCAATCTGCCAACCTGGTCCGCGACTACGCCTTCGTCCATCTCTCCGCAGGCGACCTCCTCCGCGCTGAGCAAATCCGTGAAGGATCTCAGTACGGCAAGATGATCAAGGAGTACATCACAGAAGGCAAGATCGTGCCCATGGAAGTGACTGTTGCTCTTCTCTCGAACGCAATGGCCGAAAGCCTCGCCACTAGCCCTCCCCGGCGGGTACCAAGGCGCGATTCCTGATCGATGGATTCCCGCGCAAGCTGGATCAGGCTGTCTTCTTTGAGTCGACTGTTTGTGTATCTGAGTTGGTGCTGTTCTTGGATTGTCCTGAGGAGGTTATGGAGAAGCGGTTGTTGAAGCGTGGGGAGACTAGTGGGCGGGATGATGATAACGCTGAGTCGATTCGCAAGCGCTTCAGGACTTTCGTGGAGACTTCTATGCCTGTGGTTGATGACTTTGAGAAGAAGGGCAAGGTTGTCAAGATTCAGGCTACTGGGTCTGTGGAGCATGTCTTTGCGCAGGTGAAGACTGGTATCGAGGCTCGTGGTATTCTTCCTGTGAAGGCTTAGATGGGGCTGCGGTCTGCTACGTGCTGAGTTAATAGTTGATAGTTGATAGTTGATGATGTTTTTATAGTTTGAAGTATTTAGAGCAATAGATTGTACTTATCTATTTGATTAACATGTGGTTTCGAGTCTAGGAAGCTAGTTGACGTAAAGAAAGTTCCTTGAATCATGGGGCCATCGTACATATAGATCTTTTGTCCCAAGCTTGACAATCGAAATTCTCGATACTCTAGTTTAAGTACTCAACAAATGAGGGTCTAGAAGAAATTTGTTATTCTTGATCAGACATAAGACAAGAGTTTGTCACGCCAGGAAACATAAACAAGACTTTAAAAAACACAGACATGACTCGTGGGGATCTCAAACTCAACGGAGGTCGAGGACCAGTATTTCCATCCCTACAAACTGGCCAGACAAAAAATAAAGAAAAAATTGTAGAAATGCATGAGGGAGAGCGAAAGGCTCTTCCCTCTCCCTTCTATTAGCGGGAAAAAAAAGAATTTTTTGTGTTCTGAGATTTCCACTCCACCTCATTAAACACCTATTCCATGCAGTTCACTCCCATTTTACTCGCCGACAGCATCAACCTCGCGGGGTTGCGAGGCCTGAGGGCGTCTGGGACCTCCAGAGCGCGCCTTGTCGCCGTTCTTGGGCTCCTCAGCGGCCTGAATGCCCTCACGAGCGAAACGCTCACGCTCGGAGCGGATCACGGTCAGGACACTCTCGAGAGAGCGGCGCCAGACCATCAGGCGGCCCTGAACCTCGGCCCACTGCTTCTCGCCGAAGACACGGTAGGTGGCGCGGTGGACAAGGAACTCGGAGCGCAACTGTGAGAGCCTGCCCTCGACCAGACCGGCGCGGATGGTGTCAATGACCCACATCTCCACGTCGGAGGCGGGGACACGCAGAGCGGAGGCGATGGCGGCGTATGGGAGGGAGCGCGAGGGAGTGGAAGCAGCCAGGGAGGTGAGGGTCAAAAGACGCATCTTGGTCTGCAGGGCATCGGCGGCCTCGGCAAGAACACCACCGGAGATAGAAGCGAGAGGGTTGGCGCTCACGAAATCCTCGTAGGTGTCAAGGGTGTCGGAGGTGAAGATCTCCAAGAGCTCAAAGAGAGAGCTGTCGCTGGAGCGAAGCGACTGGACAGCGTCGGAGGCAGTCAGAGGAGTGAAATCGAAGACGGCGGGGCGGCGCAGAGCAGATGCGAGAGCGCGGACGGCCAGGTCGCGAGCGGCGGGCTTAGTGGAATCGGCCGCGGGGATGGTCTGGAGAGCCTGGATGACGTGCGACTGGGCGAGGTCGTCATCACCGGCCGCGGTGGCCGCATCGGCGATGGCCAAGTGCAACTTCTGGGCCTCCTCATCGTCCAACTCCCACGCAGACAACCATGTGGGCAGCTGCGTAGCCAACTGGGGCTTCAATGCCTCGAAGGCGTATCCGGATCCAGACTGGCGGATGACGGCGACAATGGCCAGGAGAACGTGGTACCGGCTGGAGTCGGTGGCGGACAAAGTGTTGAAGATGGTGGTGAGAATTGAGATGGCCAAAGTAGGGCCGAATTGGGGCGAGGTAGTGATGGGCTTAGCGAGGTAAGTGCAAATGCGAGGAAGGAAAACGTCCACGTCAGAGGACTGGTGGATGAGGTGGACGAGGAGGTTGTAAGAGGGGGTGATCTCTGCAGGTTTCATCCAACGTTAGTCCTCTGCGCCCACAAATACAAGGCGGCATCCCGAGTCGATATTCGTGAATATCATTTTCTCTTCATCCGCATCTCTCTCTCCAATTCTTCCACTCACCCTTCTCGGGGGCACCGTTCAACGCGGTCGCAGCCCCCACGAGCTTCTTCAGAACCTCATCGCGCTGCTTCAAGTCGGGCTCGCCCTCAGATTGTTCCTGCTGGCGGATCGGCTGGAGGAGCGGGGCGATCTCGGACTGGAGGGTCTCTTCCTTGCGGAGAGTGTCGATGTACTGGGCGAACTCCTCGGCGAGCTCAGAGAACGAACCCTCAATCAGGAGGGTGTTGGTCGGAGCGGGCATGATGTGTGCTGTGAGAGGAGAAGGGGGGGGGGAAAGAAAGAGAGGTTCTTTGACGGTGGAGTCTATCGATAAGTTGAGAAATTTCAGTGTGTGTTACAAAAAGTCTTGGCGAAAGGAACACCCATTTGCCGCACGCCCAGCGTCTACACTCAGAACACGAGAACAACCATCGGCCACTACGTCGAAATCGCACATTTACACTGATCATGCAGGTTTTGATATTATGAGACGGTCGGACACCGTTGCCAGCGACCGACACTCTATGCTCCGCTAAGTTAAAAGGGAAAGACAGGCGCCACCTAGATAAGTGGATAAAATCAACGCAGGATGGAATTGTTCAAAAACGGGGAATCAGAGCTTTGACGCAGGATAGACAGTCGTGATCGTGCTGAGACAAGAAAGATAGGATGACGGGAGGGAAGAGACCCGACGCGAAACCGAGTCGCGAGGTGAAATGCTCGTTTACAGGAACATGCGAGCAGCCAGGAACATCGCACCAGCAATGATACCGGTCGAGTATTCCTCGCCAAGAGTGATGGCGGCGTTCTTAGTCGTGCTCTCCGCAGCCACCGAGGAGGAGCTGGTCGTGCTTGACGAAGTGGAAGTGGTCATGGACATAGTGCTCGTGGCCGACATGGAGGTGGACGAGGAAGAAGCAGCCTCGTTCAAGGCAGTGGCGTTCTTGGTTCCGCATGTCGCAGCAGCCTTGCAAGCCTTCTGGCCATTGGCGTCATTGGGGTGAGCGTCGATGCACTGCCCGTAGGTGGCCTGACAGACATAGAAGGGAACAGTCTGGATGTACTGGCTGGAGTCGGGGGTGGTGCCGTCACTGCATGTACACTGGAACTGCAGTGTAGTCTGTGATTGAAGCTATTAGCAGGTGTGAATGATTCTGAGAACCAGGAAACATACAGAATCGCAGTTGTTAGAGTCGGTCGAGCCCTTGCACATATCCGGGCAGACGTTACGCTGGCCCTGGCACCACGAGGCCAGCTCATTGGGCTCCACCAAGCCAATGTTGAATCCCTGAGGGAAGGTGTAGGTGGTCGAGTTCTGGGCCACCGCCGAGGCGGCGAGGACGGAGAGAAGCACAATTGAGGAGTACATGATGAGTGAGATGAAAGAGAATAGGTGGACAGATGTCAAGATAGAGAGAGCAGGGAAGCCTCACGAAAGATACAGAGATTAAGTGCGAAAATCAAAAGGCCAGGAACGGAAAGCACGTTTTCCTAGAGCAGCTAAATAATCAACGGAAGGTGCCAAGGGACAGGCGCCTTGGCGATGCATACCACGGAAAGTACCTGTTTTTGGGGGATTTCCAGCCGAATGTAAGCATCCGTGCCCGTTAAGACCCTGTTTTGTTTACCCTCATGGACCGTTTTCTCGCCCTGATTTGCAGGGTCCCCTGCAGTTTTAAATCTCCTATAGATTACAGACATAAACAGAGGAGCCACTCTGAATTATCGAGTTGCACAGACTATCACTTCTGTCTTTCAATACTGAAACCATCGCGTCCTGCGGAAATCCCCTTCCGGCAGTTGATCTCAGCATTCCGACCTCGAATTCCAATCGGCCAGTAGCCACCTCCTTGTACGTGTCATCCCGATTACATGCCCGAGTAAAACTCCAACGCGTCGGTAGACTGCCGGACGCGGAAAATGAATCCGGAAGCTGAGATAACACATGACCATGCCCCTTTCGTTTTGCGTACATTTCTAGGATCGAGATCTCAACATCTCGACCAGCCACCTCCCTCACGTGATGCGACCGTCATACTAGATTCGGACCGGCGGACAGCCGAGGTCCAATGGGTATCATGGCATTCAGTAAAGTCCGATAAACGTCGCAGGTACACCCTGCAGACCTCTCCTTAATTTACACCCAGCAACTCCGAATAATTGACCATGGCCGAAACGGGCCCTGCCATTAAACACTTCCGCTCCAATCAATGGGCAAATAACCTCCTCTCCTCCGAGGACTACACTCCCATCCCGACAGACTCGCGCCGCTTCAAGACCTCTTCCGGCGAAGATGGCTTCTTTTCACGAACCCTAGCAACGCCCACGACCATACCACACGTGCTGACCCTGCAAAAGCGCTCCATCGCCCCGCCGCAATCAGAACCCCCGACCTGGCTCCCTGCAACCAAGGAAGACGCCGCTGGAAAGAAGCCTACGCCCGGTACGACGCCTGCAGATATCATTATGCTCTATGATCTCGCAAGTCCGGGGCTCTCAGGACACCCATCCACTGTTCATGGTGGCATTGTCGCAACCCTGATCGACGAGGCGATGTCTCTTGCTGTCGCGTCGCATACCTCGCCTTCGGGATCTGCACTTTCCCCGCCATCGGAGACCTCGGCTTGGGATGATAACCCCCGCGGAAAAATATTTACCGCGCAGCTAGATGTGCGTTATCGTAAGCGCGTGACTAATCCGGCGTTGCTGGTTGTTCGTGCGAAGGTTGTTGCTCGTGTTGGGAGGAAGTTCTGGGTTCGGGCGCAGGCGCTACAAGAGGACGAGGAGGGTGCCGGTGGGCACCTTGAGTGGGCTAAGAGGAAAGTTGTCAAGGCCGATGCCATGGCTTTCTGGGTTGTGGTTCCCGAGGAAAAGTTGTGAGGGGTTTAAAGGGACCCACGACCGTACAAAGGACATTGCACATACACTTACACTCTACATTTACGCATCCGCATAGAGCTATTCAATTTGTACATACACTTCGATCAATCAAAAGAATTTCCTCCTAACATACATCATGAATTATTGACGGACAGAAAACCTCTCATATGTGCAAGACCTAGCACGATCTATAGACACCACTTGAACTATGTACATTTCCGGATCTAATCCAGTCAAATGGAGACTACAGCTTTTCTAGCTTCCTCGTCCCTACATTTCTCGCCGCGCTAACAACCAACCCAACCTGCGTGCTAAGCGCGATAACCTCACCATCTTGGTCAAGAATTGTAACTTCCAAATCTGTCCTTCCGTCCCTAACAACCTTGGTCACAATCCGACTATACAACCACTCCACCCCCTCCTTCGGCAGATGCTTCTTCATATCAATATTCAGCGTGACAGTGGGATACCAGAACTTCGCCTTGAAATCCAGCACTTCTTTCCCTTCTTCCTTTGCCACAGCGGTCGCAGACACGTTATCGAATCCATCAAGAGCCATAGGGAACATATCAGTCAAATAGACTACCGCGGCGTCGGTCCAGCGCCCATTCCTATCTCCACCGGGAATGAACCGCGCCCATTGATCAATGGCCATGGATCTGGTGCGCTTTTGTTGAGTCTCACTCTTCCCAGGCCCATATAGTTCCAGCTGGGCAGCTGCGCGCCGGAATTCGGGGTATGGGGGATCGAGTTTGCTCCATGCGCCGTCGCGGCCTGTACGTGAGAGTGCGGAGAAGTCGATCTTGCCGTCTGCTTTGGAGCCCGGCGGTGGTGTAGGGAGGATACTGTACCCCGTCGGTGCGCTGATACCGACTTCGGCGGATGGAGGACTGACGGTAATGTAGCCGGCGACTTTGACTTCGGGCTTGCCGTGCTTCTCGGAGGGTTGGAGGAGTTTGATGTGGATTGTGCTTGTTCGCAAACCGATCTTCACGTCTTCTACTTCCATTGTGGCGGGGCCGGCGGCTGTGCGCCGGAGGAAGGAGAGTTGGAGAGAGATTGGGGAGGCCGGGGTGTCATATTGTTTTGGGTGCGCGTATGCGAAATGTGTAAGGGCGAGTTTGTAGAGGACTGCTGTTGTGTAGCCGCCGTGAGGAACTGACAAGGTTGTTAATCTTGATTCTGTCACGGTTGGGTGTAGTGAGTAAAGGGTAGTTACCGGTTCCAATGCACCATTCCTTGCACAGATTTGCGCTGTACTTGTTGTTGCCCTCAGGGCTGACCCGGATAGCATCCTCAAAGGATTGGTTAAGGACTGCCATGGTAGATGTGTGTATGAAGAGGAGAAATGAAGGGAGCCCTGAAAGTTATATACTCGGCTCCCCGCCCAGTCTGTAGTTTGGTCGGCGAACCTCGGCTGTTTTGAGTGATTACCCCAGCACGCTGCAACCGAGCTGAGTAATCGCCTTATCAAGGTTCCAGGGTCCTTATCGCGTATACTCAAAAGAGATAAAAAGGTACTCCGGATTTTGATAGTAGGCAACGGGGCATGTGAAATGCAATCAAATGAGCCAATACGATTTATCAAGGATTGAAGGAGATTGAGTTGATGGGAGTTAATCTTAGGACCTAGCCTCCACATCCAGTCGGGTAGGGTCCAAGCTGTCCCATCTGAGCGAACTCTTTCGAAGGATGTAAACAGAAAATAATAATTGATTGTAAGAATTAATGTCGGAGTCGGTTGACCCGCCGCGTTTTGTGATGCACCCATCGCCACACCGCTAAGCATTTGAGGACATTTTGCCTGATCGCCAGAGTGTGTATGTCTCAACTTCATGTCACCACGCTTCTAGCAATACCCACATCTGACAGGTGTTAGGTGAAATTGAGCAGCGTGTGGCGAGTGAGATAATCATAGCACGGTGGCTCATTTTGTCCCGGCTAAGGCGGCATACGAATGAGACTCAATGATTTTGTGTCGGGCCGCATATTCTGAAGTCTCTTTGATGGAAAACAGGTGACAATATCGTTGAACGAGGTAGCTTTCTTTTTAGAGCACAAGATATTCATATAGCTAGCGATATCATCGAACCCTTTACATTGCGCCGAAGGAGTATGAGATGGGAATAGCCTGCACTAAAAATGATGATGAAATCCAACAGAACGCCTTCGAGAAAGCAATCACTTAGTACAGAACTTCAAGTTGTTGACCTATTCATCTTGCTGATCGGTATTCAGCCCCTTGTTTATTGATTTTACCTGCCTCTATATAGCCTCGTTCTGAAATATTAGACTACTTCCAATCCTGAATCTTTCAATCGCCAGTACTCGCCACCGAATCATTCGCCCAGTATCGCCCACTAACCTGTCCGATATCACCAATCGCCAGTCGCAGCGGGATCCTAGCTCCGTCCTCTGTCGAGATGGTAAGTGACAGGTCCCGGATGAGTATAACTCCACACTTACCGACAGACTTGGGCGGCTGGCCTGCCTGTGCACCCAACAGCGTACCTACCCACCCGGGGCAGCAGCAATTAATCAGCAGACGAGGATTTTCGCGGGCCAAAATCCGCGTCGCTGCGTTCAAAGCAGCCTTGCTTGTGGAGTAGGCTAAGGGGGGGCCAGCCCGAAGCAATCGCAGTGTGTTGGTCTGCTGAGCACTATATTGGGATATTTAGTGGTAGACTGGAAACATTGTAAGTTAGGGTCGAGGCAACGCACGCTGTACTCGCCGACTAGAGCGTCCAATTCGGTGAGAGTGAGGTCAGGACTTAAGAATCGCGCCCGTAAGCGAGGATGGAAGTATTTGAGCTGGCCAGATTGAGATGAGACGTTGACGATGAGACCGTTCTTACGCATGATTGGTAAGAAGGCTTGACAGACCTGGGGTGGTCAGTGAGTATTGATCTGGTAGGGATTCAGTGATCTACACTGAGGGTGCCGCCATAATTCACGTCGAGAGCTTCCTGGCGCTGTGCGGCAGTGATGTGCTCCTGGATATATTAACTTCCGGCATTATTGGTGAGAATGTCACAGCCTCTGTGCTCTTGGCTGATCGTTGTGCTGAGGGCGGTGATGCTGGCCTTGTCGGCGAGGGACAGCTGGGCAGGGCGAATTTGTGCGGATGGAGAAATAGATAGGCCAGTTAAGTCAATAGGACCCCCAGCACGAGAGGCTGCATACAATATTGAGGGACCTGGGAAATGCTGAACCAGCGCAGCACAGATGGCACGCCCGATGCCGCGGTTCTGAGATCATGGTCAGAAGAACGACTTGTCACAAGAGGAGGAGACTTACAGGATAGCTCGAAATCAGATTCACCATTTTATGGTCTTGGATTTATTTTCGAACTCTACTCTGCATCACGCTATACATATCACGGCTGCTCTTACCCTTGGCATGTATTCTTGGTATGTTACGGTAAAGTAGTGAATAATGGCATAAACATAGCTATTGCATCATGTCTATATGGCCCATGTATCTATGTTTGTCATTAATGGCTAGAAGGTCAACAAAGAGCCTACGGTTTGCGCTATACATAGCAAATTACCGGGCGGCTGATGCAAAAGTGAACTGCATCAGAAACAAGATGCTTTTTGTTGATGACGGACGAGTAACTTCCCTATACCCAATTCCCAGTGTGACCACTTGAGAACAGAAGCTATTCCGAATCTGACCCCCAGGCGGTGAGAATTCCTGCGAGACCAAATTCGGCGAACATACTGTCTTTGGAACAATCACAAAATTGTAACAGAAGAATCCCAACTGTCAAAGGAACAAGCAACCCACTCAAGGCGACAGCGAAAAATCCCACCCATTCAACATATGCAGCGACGACTAAGCTAGAGAAGAAAATAGCACTGAGTATCAATATATACATAACAACAGCCGCATGATTACTACCCATCCAACCGAGGAAGAAGGAGCATCCTAGTGTTATCATGAAAAGGAGCCAGCTTATCGAGAGAAATATGTGCACAGTTGATGTTGTGAAATAATGAGTTCGAGAGACTGAGAGTGGATCTTGGAGCTCGACGGCGATGAGTACGAATGTGACACTAGCCCCAAGTGTTGCGACTGCTCCCATGTTCTTGAAAAAGTCCGTCGAACGGCCCGTAGATGCAATATTTCGGCTTGTAGGATGAGCACGACGAGTAGGACGAGCGGAAACCTGCCGGTCAACGCCAAAGTCCTGCATTTGAATGCCATCTGCAGTACCATGGGGGTCTACATCTTCAACTGGTGCACCGGGGTTTGAAGCGTGAACTAGTCGGACACGATACATTCCACCCTCAGGATTGAGAGATTGGAATTCTTGGGCCCAGCGGTCGGGACCATGAAGAGCGCGAAAGTGGACTAGACGGCCACCAGATACTGTACCGTTGGGATCAGGATATTCGGGAGAATCGAATTCCTGGACCCAACGACTGGTACCATCAGGAAATACTTCACGGATCCATAGACGATTGGGGCCAGGGGTTATATGAGTGGGACTCTTGGCGGGCATTGCCAAGGTCTTTCTTCTTGGATCAGAAGACGCGGAAGACATGAGTGCTTGTTTAATGATTCATAAATTTGGATTACAGTATCTGTTTGGACGCGAGTGTGATGCAGCCATGCGGGGTATCTCAGTTGCCGCCGCGACGAGTGAAATATATAATTTTTGCGAAATCTATTGAGCGCTCATCATAGTAACCAAGCCTCCAGACCGCTTAGATGAGGACGTCAAAATGACGTCCAGGTTTAAGATATGAGGAGCCAGATCCGGCTAAACTAGAGAGGCAGAACGTTCTAGATGCTTTAAATTATTGGCCCAAGATCTTCACTTACCGTATCACGTTTGGCAGATTGGGAGAAAGTTGGTGGTCCTCAGAGCTTTGTAGCTTGGTTGGCCACTAGACAAAACCCTCGCCAAAACCGTAAGGGAGAGGGCAAAAGTGTTTTGGCAATCTGTTGGGGAGCTTATAGCTATCTCGGATAGAATATCCATGGATCTGAGTTGGAATGTGCACTCAGGTATATCATCTATCTTGATCAGGCGGGTCTAGCGTAATATTTGAGTCCAATTACCTACCACTGGCAATGGCTTATCCATGTCCCTGGCAACGTAATACTAAAGTGAACCGCCCTCCAAAACGGACTGTCTTGCCGTCCTAGAGAGTCAAACGGGCTTTAACGAGTAGCTTCCCAATATTCACCAAGCCACAAAAACGCACTTAAAATGACCGATATCGTGCAAGAACAAGGGAAATAATTGTTCCATATTACAACGAAACGCAGTTCTCTGATCCGATACCCAGCTGCGTCCTAGACTGGCGGACAAAAGGGTCGTGTCAATACACAATTCATGGCAATCCACATCATTATTAAGTTTGTTCGCCTGTGGTGGGTAAGTGTAAGGTGCACCTCGTGCGGTTTAGAGCGATGCCCGGTTAGAGCGATGCCGCGATGGTAGGTTAGTTATAGATGGATATTCGCAAGCATCCGAAGATAAGACTCCAACCCCACCACTATATGATCTAGACTGGTCTTTGATTATTTGTATCGTGCACACAAACTTCCAAGTAATATTAGTGAAACAGCACAAGCGGAGTATTCCGCTAACCGGAATAGCATATCACCTACTCGAGAATATCGCATGCAGACTGTATTTAGATGACTAAGTAGACGTGTCCATAGTTACAAAACTTCTGAGGAATGGGCATATGGCAGTTCAGTCTTGTCGCAATTCCATTGGTCCCTCTCATGTGATACACCTTCTTTCGATCGCTTTGAAACTCTTATCTGCATTTCTTCCACCGCTCTTCCCGCCAAGTAACACAATCATAGACAGCTGACCCAATATCCGTCGACATGTCCTAGCTCGACTGTCCTCGCTTGAGCCCTAAGAGCCGAGAGGACTTTGACATTGGAGAGCGTCGGATACAATAGCTGAGTAAGCTTATGAGTGCATCTTGGTTAAGTATGTCGGATCGTGGAAAAGTGGATAGATAGTACACATCAGCCAATGGAATCGTAACAGGTCTAAATCTCCATAATTGTGCATTACTTCGGCACATCAGAAACTCCGCCTTTCGAGGGTTCCACTCGCTACTTCTCTCCGATTATCTATTTGCAGTAGTTGGGTCGTTAAAGTTGCCCGCTTCTAGGTGACCCGTTAAGATGTTGCGTATCAATCGTAGTATTATTTCCAGAAAATTACGGAGCACCAGCCATGTGACTTTCTTTCACTATGCGTTTCATTGCTCTAGATTAGTCTAAGTCATAGATAGACCAGCGTGTTTCAAGATAGATTTCGAGAAAGAATCGGAGAGAACAAAAAGGTGAAACTGATTTCGAGCGCGTTTGTACGGCGCCAGTGACTATGGCTACTTAAGGCGTTTCTATGATCAGGCGGCTAGCCAGAATATTGAATTCTTGAGTAAGTTGTTCTCGGAGAAGAGGAATGAGGCCACCATTGGCAGCACGCTTATAAACCCAGCTCATGCCAAGCCACACCATGATCAAAACAAACTCCTGGCCCCGCGTGCTAAGATGAGTGATATAAGAATGCCTTTTAATTATCAATTCGAAATGCAATGTAGGGCTTTACCATCAAGAGCCTCAGACTTCACCAGATGTCCGCCGCTCTACCTACTTGGCATAGTAAGAACGACCCCTCAAGCTAATCATTTTGATACCCTGAATTTCTGACTCATTACTAGCCTATACGCCCTTCTACCTATCAGACAAGTAGAAGAAGACGTATGATACTCAAATGACAGTCTGATTGTATGAATTATTTGGGTTATATGTATTTCTTGTATGAATAGTCGATCCCGAGATTATTAACCAGCGGAGTTCTTGGTGACACTAATTGGGTGACCACTTTTTGCGTTTCGAGCAAAACTCAACATATCTGAACCTCAAGCGAAATATCATCAACTTAATACACTAGTCAATTCATACCATCGCGATGTCTATATCCCAAGTGGAGAAATAGGCCATGATGCACAAAAGCTTTTTGCCTGAGTAGTTGCTAACAGAGATCAATAAACTTCAACCCTATTACAAACGCAATAGGGAACAGATTTTTCTGGAGATGGCCTTATACAAAAGAGCCGTCATCAAAAGAGGAAAATCATAGCCTCCAATCCTGACTAGTTAATGGCAGAAGACGTATTCAGTCGTGCTATCATCGTAAGTCACGCACGCCCAAGTTCGATCTCTGCTGTCCACAATCACGGCAGCTCCAACATAATCCACACACACCTGACCGCTTGCTAGCCTATTCTGAGTGTCCGCTGTCACGCCCGAGATCGGCTGGCCCTTATTTTGATTAGCTCGACAATACCAAGGCTTCCCTGGTATCTTTGTCAGGGACTGATAATTGGTATGATCCAAGTTGTCCAGGTAGGTTTGTGCGGCCTGATTGATCGAACATATATGCATGTGAATCTGCTCCTGGCTGCGCGTGCGGGCCGAATTGATGGCTAGTGCCTGAGAGCCCCGGGTGTACAGCTGTTGTCCCCATTCCCAAGGGTCCTCAATACTGAGTTCTCGAATTCCCGGTATCAGCTGCGTAGTTGTCATCAGGCTCCCTGAGCTCATCAAGACCCAGTAAGCGCCCGCGGACGTCGATGGGCTTTGTGGACAAACTGCTGCTCCATCTTGGAGACACTTGCACAGTTGTTCGAACCAGATGTAACAAGAATTACACGCGTTGTTGTCGTCCGTACAGCCCACGCCACATTTCTCGAGTTGACTGTGGCTGTAGATGGAGCCTGAATTCGGGCAATCTTGGCTCAGATCGCAGTTCTTGCATTGTGTGCCTACTGTCAACTGACACTGGCAGTGGCTGACTTGTCGGGTGGTGATTTCGTTACCCTTGCAAGCACCGCCGAGGCCCGCGGTACCGGTAGCGTTATTCTGCGCAAAGCAGAGGCCTGTGAACAGCTGCTCAAGGTAGAGATAGAGTATGATGTGAAACCCTTTAATCAAATTCATGACTGAGATTTTGGTCTGAAAACCACCTATTGTTTACGAAGAGGGTCTTTGAGATTCCTGGTATTTTAACCTCTTTTATATATTCACGCTATCAAATCGGCTCCATAAGAACCATCGTTCAGTCGAGCTTGTCATCTTGACAAGTGCATTTTCTGCATGCTACTGTGGTGAATCCGTGACTCCAAATCACCAGCGTACGATTCGCTAGTGAACCTTGGTATTCAGATACGAGTGACAGTCCATAGTTCGGATATGAGTCTAGGCCGCGTTCTCGGAACCATTAAGCTCATTCCCAAGAATCGCTGCTAATAGTCTTCATTCGCTCAACCCGGTGTAGACTCAGTCATGGGATTGGTATCCCTTCAATCAACACCAAACTTCGGATTCAACGATGAACCGGTGGTTCGATTGACGTCATGGTCGATCAAAAGCATTTGCTTGAACTGTCTTGTCATTATTCCATATCCCACACCCCCGGTTAGGAATTGGCTCGAAATTTATATTAAACGTAAAATTGTCGATCGACTATGCTACATTATCCACACCGTTCCGGCTAGATATATTGGGGTAGGTCCAGTACTGCAGGTTATGTAGTACTTGATTTGGGATGGACGCCGAGGTGGCCATCGCGCACGACGACCCGAGCATTGCCGCCATGTTCCACGCTGCCGCAGAGGATGAGAGCGGAGGAGTAGCCCATGGCTCCGAGGCAGACCTTGACATGGCCGATACATTGAGATTGGTCCTATCGAGGGGCAAAGGCGCGAACCGATTTTTTTCGTACGAACGGGGCGGATGCCGAACCATGTTTTAGCGCTGAAAAGAGAAGAACCGTCTCAGCTCCTGAAGTAAAGCTTGCTCGTCCCGTTTTCAGCATGGTACCTTACCCTGTTGGGTGAACAATACTTTGGTTATGCCACCAACATACGTGTAGCGGTGGCTGCGCATTGACTTTCTTGCTCGCGTACGATCTGGTCGGTCTGCATCTTCACTTTCACGCAATAGTCACGTCTTCGACTTTTGGATGGCAGGCTTCGGCAAATATGGGAAGGGCAAGCCCTGGGGATTACGTAATTGCGCACTCTAACGTGGTCGGTAAGCGAGTGGCCAATGTAAACGAGTGGCCACCCAACCCACATTTTCGTCTTTCCATGCACCTACCTATATTCTATCAAGCACTATGCCTCCAATTCGCGTCGGATCAAGCCAGGATTCTATCCAGCAAGAAGGTCGCCTCTTACTTGCTATACAAGCGATTCAAAAGAAAGAAATTCGCTCAGTTATCGAAGCTGCACGTCGCTTTAATATTCCTCGGACAACCCTTCGTCGCCGCATCGCTGGCACTACAAATCGCGTGAATACTCGCGCAAACAACCATAAAATGACCCAAATTGAAGAGGAAGTGCTAAAGGAACGCATATTATCGCTAGATACGCGTGGAGCTGCCCCTACGCAAGCTCACGTACGAGAAATGGCGAATGTTCTGCTTGCGAAGCGCGGTTCAACCTCCATCCAGACTGTCGGCGAAAAATGGGTATATAACTTCACCCAACGCTATCCAGAGCTTAAAGCTCGCTTTTCTAGACGATATAATTACCAGCGGGCAGAACAAGAGGATCCAAAGATTATTCGGGCGTGGTTTAACCTCGTACAAGTCATAATTCAGGAATACGGTATCCTAGCGGACGATATCTATAACTTTGATGAGACTGGCTTCGCGATAGGCCTATGTACGGCACAAAAAGTGATTACCCGAGCAGAATACTACGGTCGGAGATCAGTTTTACAGCCAGGAAACCGCGAGTGGGTGACTGCGATTGAGTCAATTAACGCTTCGGGGTGGGCGCTTCCACTAACGCTTATCTTTAAAGGCAAGCTATACAATCAAGCATAGTTTAAAGACCTTCCACCCGACTGGCGCTTCGAAGTTAGTGCAAATGGATGGACAACCGACGAGATAGGCCTTCGCTGGCTTCAAAAACAGTTTATTCCGTCAACAAATCACCGTACGCGTGGACGATATCGCCTTCTAGTCCTTGACGGACACGGAAGTCATCTAACGCCAGAGTTCGATCAAATCTGCGCAGATCATAATATTATTCCAATCTGTATGCCGCCGCATTCCTCGCATCTACTTCAGCCTCTTGATATCGGATATTTCGCTATATTAAAGCGTTCGTACGGCAGTTTAATCGACTAAAAGATGCGGCTCGGGATTAACCATATCGACAAACTTGACTTCCTTTTTATATACCCACAAGCTCGCGTCGACGCCTATAAACCAACTACAATACAAAATAGCTTCCGAGCAGCAGGATTAGTGCCGATTGATCCTCAACAAGTGCTATCGAAGCTTAATATTCAACTTCGGACGCCAACACCTCCCGCAAGCCGCGGTAGTCAATCAAGCGCTTTTTACCCACATACGCCCGCGAATGTCGATGAGCTTCTAAAGCAAGCATCCTCAATCAAAGCTTTCTTAAAGCGACGCTCAAAAAGTCCGCCATCGCCTTCGCAAACCGCGCTAAACCAGCTTATTAAAGGCTGTCAGATCGCAATGCAAAACGGTATACTTCTCGAGCAAGAAAACAAGCAGCTACGTGCCGCAAACGCTACACAAAAGCAAAAGCGAGCTCGCAAGAACAAATGGATAGCCCACGATGACGGTCTATCCGTACGAGAAGCATTAGAGCTCGAGGAAGCTCATGAGGAGTCCTCGCAGGCAATACTCGCTCCACCAAGCCTACCACCGCGGGACACACAAGCACCGAAGACGCGGCGTCCACCCCAATGCACTAATTGCGGACAGATCGGACATAAAAGGAATGTATGTAAAGCTAGAGATTAATCAATATAAAGGCGTTGTGGTTGATATAAATGCATAAAAGAGACGAAAAAGCGGGTTGGGTGGCCACTCGTTTACATTGGCCACTCGCTTACCGACCACGTTACTCTAACGTGGTCGGAAACGAGTGACGCATGTAAGCGAGTGACGCACCCCAAAACACTATAGTAAATGCAACAATGTATCTCAACAACAATAAGCTCATTCTTCTCAATATACATAATTCTACTGAATTAGTGCATTAAAAGTCTGGTAAAGAAAGCCTGGTTTAGTTTAATCCTAATTTGACAGCTTTTACCAAAAATACACTGTAATTTTGGTGGTTGAGCTTTAAGGATATGTTATCTGACCACTACTTCCTAAAACCCTTTGAGACTTTCAAAAAACATTAGAATTAACTTAAATAATATACGCTTATGAGGAAGTCTTACGAGAAGCTATGGTTGTTGAGATATAAGGTTGTGAGTTATCCCATTTACTATGGTGTTTTGGGGTGCGTCACTCGCTTACATGCGTCACTCGTTTACCGACCACGTTAATCAATCCGACACAGGTCAAATGTTGACATAACGGCCTAAGTCAGGTTGCATAAAGTATTTTATATACACCGAAGGTCTTATTGATACAAGCTTCTTCTTTCTTCTAAAATGACTCACCGTACATGCAACGAGTGCGTCTCAGGAAGTTTTGGTATCGAGAGTTTGCCCCAGAATCATTGCATAGTAATGGTTACAACGTGCCATAAGATCATCGTGTTTCTTCCACTACTTCGCCGCGATATAGCACAAAGATGCGGTCACACTGCTTGATGGTAGATAAGCGATGGGGTGCAGAATAAGGAGCCAAATTCACTAGGGAGGTAACAACGAAGAAGCAAAAAAAAAGTCTGAAAGAGCTTCAGAGACGCCGCTAAAAAGATCCCAAAGCAATGAAAGACCAAGCATCGAGGCCCCTTAAGCTTACTTGTCTCTGCGGATCGGATTGAAGCTCATTAGCCGACCCTATTTTCTAGACTCCACAAAATAAGGGCCAATGAACCTGCATTTTCGATACGATGGAATACATAGATTGCTTTAGCATAACTTACATTGTGCCTCGCCTCTTATAGTGGCGCTCGATCAAATCTAATGAGCACACCAGGGGTATTCCCAAATAACATCCAATCCTTCTACTATAACCAACAACTTTCCCAAATGCGCTCATAAAATGCTCCCAATATAAAATCCAAGTAGACCATTCATACAAAAACCATCTTATCGTCTTCTTTCACCGCGACAGTCGGAGCCACAGGCTCATCAATGCACTCAACCTGAACAACACGATACTCAATTACCCCATGAGAAGCGGCAATTACAACCGCGCTCAACTGATGACCGTACAAACACCCCGAATCCAATCCAATCGCATACTGACCCAGCTGTAACCGACGCTTTGCATCGTGCCCGAATACCACGGTGGTCTTGGAGTTCAACCTATCTTGCCACCGGTCCCATTCTGTGATCCAGCTTTCTTCTCCAGCCATTTCAGCTGGTATGAATGCATCCTCGTCCGGTGTACGAACTAGGCTCCGCATATGCATGATAGCATGTGCATCCTGCTCTTCAGGCGGGGTACCAGGGACGAGGCCCGCATGTACGATGAGAAGAGTGTCGCCAAGGGAGGATGTAAAGGTATGAGATAACTTGACGCGCAAAATCAAAGGCAAAGCGGCAAGCCAGTCAAGCTGACTCTCCGAGAGTGACAATGCCGTGGTATGCGAGCTAGAAGGTGGGCTCTTTGCAGTTACTTCGGGTTCTTTGATGGAATCCCGGGGCTGATCGTTTACGGGGTCATCAAGCAGGGTCGGACTGCCAGTCAAGTTTTCAGAATGTAGACTAGCTCTTCTGGTGTTGATTTCCGCGGCAGCATTGAGAACTGCGTTCTCATGGTTGCCGCGTACTGCGCTGGCGCCTAGTCTCATGGCAATGTCAACGACACCAGGGCTGTCGGGCCCTTTGTTGACTAGGTCGCCTGTTAGGATGAGATGATCTCCTTTGCTTTTGTCGAAGTTTATCTTGTCTAGGAGAGCCTCTAGGGATTTCCTCATCCCATGTACGTCGCCTATAACAACCAGGCGTCCATTAAGAGGGCTATTCTCGGAATAGTTCTGGAGAGACGGCGGGAGGTGATTGCGCGGTAATTCTGATATGAATGTTTTGATTGGATATATTTTGCCGGGAGCTTTTGTAGGAGTCATTTTGTTTTTGAAGACTCAAAGTATCTCTCTTCCTGGAGGAAAATGTAGGTCGAGCAACAAGTTCAACGCCGTGGGGGTGTGAAATGATAAAGTAAAGACGCGATACGGCTAAGCAGAGGTTGTTCGTGAAGTAACCCAATACAGCCTAGCGTAGACTTGGGTAGAAAATTAAGGAAACAATCTATTGACTCTCGCCATACATTCACGTGGTAAACTGGAGATCAATAGCTATGCCTTTCAACATATGTTTTCATGACCATCTACGGAAAAGAAATTACAATCAACGAAACATGATTTGCTCCTAAAAAAAAACCCCCCCCAATCCTCTTGTTATCGCTCGTGGCTCATCGCATGTCTGATCTAAAACACTTTCCACAGGCCCCATGTCAGTCAAGATTACCGCATTGGGACAGGAGTCTTCTCTGACGGGTTGACTAGCTGATGCAAGCAAGACAAAACACCTGAAAATAGTTAGAGCAAGGTCTTATATAGAATTGAAGGGATATGTAAATAGAAATCGGAAACTCACCAGTCACTCCCTGTGTCAAGGTAGCATTGGCCTCCGTGCTACGCGATCCCAGAGTAACAGTCATGGCGTAATCAACTCCCTTAGCTTTCTGCAGCTTGTTCGCCCATCGGAATACGGGTTCGTCTTCGCGGTTGTCGCCAATGACAAGCAAGAAGTCCGGGTTGGGGGCTGACTTCTCATCGTCTCGCTTTTCTAAGCACCATCGCCAGGCCAGCTCTGCGGCCGATGCCTTGCTGGTGTTGTTTGTTTCAACAACTAGCGCGCCCTCAATGGGGAGGGCATGAATGCCCTGACTAGCACAAGAGTCGTTGATGTGATCAGCACATTCGGCTGCGAGGCGCGCGGCGCTAGCCTTGTCTTCGGCGGATCCGTAGTGGAAAACAAGCGAGCAATGACGCTCTTCGATCCAACTGCCATCACAACGGTCCTTGAAATATGCTAGAATGTGAGAGACGGACACCTTCCAGTTCTCAATATGGGCTTTGTCTGCGAGGTGAGTCCAGTCGTCCGAGTGCGGCTCACGGACAAAGCAACCATTTTCGGCAATAAGACCTAGGTTGTTGACTCGGCGGAATAACCGTTCCATCTCCTCTGGCATGCGCGAACTCATCACGTAGACAACATTTTTAGGGTCTTCGGTCAGGTCGGTCAACGTGGTGATCGCACGTTGCGGGGTGGTGAGGATGATGCTGCGTGGGGATCCCCACGAGGCAAGGGTTCCTTCATAGTCGATGATCATAAGTCGACGACTTGATTTTTGGTATTGCTCGGCAAGTCGAGGCACAGAGAGGCGTGGTACGGCCATGATCTCGCGCGACGACTGCTCGTCCCACACTCGTTTCAGGGTCTCATTGAACGACTTGACCCAGTAGCCAGTGGAGTTTTGTAAAACAGCGCTGTGCAGGGCCTCCCAGACCTCCTTTCGTTTCTTCTCATCTCGTGTCAGAGCCGTGAGAATCGCTCTGGCACACTGGCGATAGTCCCAGGGATTCACGAGAAGCGCGTGGTTCCCAAAGACGGACGCACTACCAGTGAATTCACTGAGAATGAGTGATCCGTACTTCTTGTCTCCGTAGCTACCGTCCTGGCAGTACACAAACTCATGGCTGGTCAGGTTCATGCCTTCACGAAGACTAGTAATCATCAAAGCATCGGCCACCGTGATCAGGGCAAGATATTGTGGGAATGCCAGATCCTGCTTGAGGAAGACCAGAGGCTGGTGAGCAAGCGTTGAATGGGTCGAGTTGATACGCATGGCTATGTCAGAGATCGTTGCCTCTAGCTCGGGCTGTTCCGTCGTGCTAGTCGCGACTTGGATCAATACCACCTTGTCTGCCCATTCAGGGTAGGTGTTGAGGAACAGTTCATAACTCAAAAGTTTCTGGCGGATACCTCGCACAGAGTCAATCTTGTCACGCGCGACAATCAGCCGTTTGCCCTGATAGCGCTCAGAGATAGTATCGATCCATCTTTCCACATCTGCGGCCTTTCGGCGCTTATCCCAGGAAGTCGGATCAATGCCAATTGGGAATGTTCCCACGTTGACAAAACGGTCCTCCATCTGGATTCCTTCAGGAGTAGCCTCCACGCAAAGGATACGACTGCAGGTTTGCAGGAAGTGTCGGCAGTACTCAGTGGTCTGGAAACCAATTAAATTGGCCCCAAGCATGCCTTCCAGAAGCTCTTTGCGCGGGGCGAGGCACTTGAAAACCTCAGAGGATGGGAACGCAATATGCAAGAAGAAGCCAATCTGTGCATCTGGCAGCATCTTGCGGAGCATAGCTGGGACTAGCAGCAGATGATAATCTTGAACCCAGATCGAATCGCCTCGCTTCCAGTGCTTCGCGATGCGATCTGCGAAGGCTTGGTTGAGCTTCACATAGTAGATCCATGAATGGTCTTCATAAGCCTTGCTTTTGGGATTATCGGGAATCTGGTAGTGAAAGACGGGCCACAGAATGGTCTTGCAGAAGTGAGTGTAATGACCATCAAAGTCGCCATCATTCACAAACACCGTCAACGAGTCATGCTCGTCTTCCAATCGCTCCGCGATTTCTGAGCGCGTGTGTTGGGCCAATGCATCAGTAGGCATACCCATCGTGCCCACCCACATCATATCACCAAGGTATCCAGCATCCTTGGCCGAGCGGACAGCATTGCGCAAGCCGCCATTACCTTGCTCTGCAGTCTCGATCGTCCATTCCGCTCGGGAAAATGACACTTTCCGGGTGAGAGCATCGGCTTTCTTGATTCCAAGGTACGGCGCGATGGTTTCCTTCTCGGGTGTTTTGGCTGGCGTGATAATCGGGGATGGGACCACAGGGTCTTCGTGCTTGAGGATGGAGGGCGACATCGACACGGTTGTTTGTGGTCTGGGCTGGTTGAGCAGGGTGGTCGCACCCCATGCGGGCGAGTGGCCTTCGCTCTCCGTGAGAAGCTGGATCTCCTCATTTGCGGTACGTGGAAACGGATATCCTGCTGTTTCCGAGCCATTCTGGGTTACTCCTTCGGTGAAAATCCGCTCATGGTCTGTAGTTGCGCCCGGGGTGAGACCTGGTTTGAGTTGGGGGTTATTCTTCTCGAATAGACTGGCGCCGACATTTGGAGTTGCTGGAGGGGGAGTCTCGGGCACCACAGCAACTTGTTGAGGAGGTTCTTGGGTCCCTCCAGCGCGAGCTTTTTCGACGTGGAAATTGACCGTATGGGGGAGAAACCTTTTGAACGTGATTAGCTAGTCGGCAGCTGAGAGCCTTTACAGTACTCACAGAGAGGCGATGAAGACAGTCATGATGCAAGGCCGCCAAAAGTGAGGGGCAAGCTAAAAAATGGAGGGGTGACAAAGTAGCGAGGGAAAACCTCGAGATTCGAGCGGCAAAAGAGCAAATGGCTAAAGGCTGGCAGGACGAGGGTAAAAATAAAGCTAGTTGCGGAAGAAAAAGATGATCGTCGAAGGTCTTTTTCTCATGGCTACGTCATGTGCAAGGTGGGATGAATTGTGCCCAAATAGGTGGGCAGCGCGGGATTTGATTTGAGTCTCTTAAAGGGATCATAATGGTCTCAAAAGGGCCACGGGCATAATGGCTCGGCAAGTTCCCTGCTTGTGAGTTGACAGTGCCTGCTTTCTGCACAAAACACTTGTCAGAGAACGGGCCAGAACCAAAGCTTTTTGTTGGCGTGGAGGATCTGACGGTATAGATGTTTCTAGACTTGTACGAGTATCCGAGGGCTCGGCGCGAGTGGAGATGTTTTCATACGGTAATACCAGTACCCATCTATGCTGATGACTCTTCGATTGGCGGAATCTGATGTTTAATTTATCTGATATGTCCGGGTCACCTGATCGGTGATGAGGTAATCGCAGTAAGTCCCTACGCGGATTCCCTTATCAGCACCCTTCCGTTTTCTTCTAACCCAAACGTGAGTGATGATCCAGGTATGCCATTGCGTCTGACTTCGGCTCCATTTGCCGGGGTCAAAAAACGAAAACCTGCTGCCCCCCGATCTCATGCATCGCCCTTTGCGGGCAATGCCCGTCGCAAAGTGGACTCCACCTCATCCAGCGCCGTAAAGGCGGCTGCTGAAGTGGAGCTGGACGATGATCCTCTTCCTGATCTAGGCAGTTCACGTTATATCTCCGAGACTGCGCCTGTCCAAAATGTGGTCCAAGCGATCCAGTATATTCGAGCCAATATGTTTGACGAGCTCCCGGCGCGAGCGGGCATGAATAGCACTCGCATCGCAGAGGTCTTGAACCTGCGCCGATCGCTACCCCCACTCGCTTCCGTCGCACATATTCATATGCTCTTGGATGCGCCAACCCAGGTGGAACGAGAGATTGTGGAGCTAGTTCAGACGGGTCGGGTCCGGCGCCTGATTATACCCGGGCGTGGCAATGATGCAGCCGGACTGGGTGACTGTCTCGTCTTGGCTGAAGAGTGGGAGGAGCTTGTGCGAGGGAGCTCCTCTCTAGATTCTGCGATCAAAGGTGGGTCTTCCCAAGTCTGGCCAACCCTTGAGGCCTGAAAACTGACCCGGCGCAGAGAAATTCTTAGATATTCTCAATCGCATTGGAACTCACTCGGCCATCTCACAGAGTGTCTTTGCACCTGATGAGTATAGAGCCCTGATTCGCGCCGGTTTCCTCGTCTCCTCTTCGACTTTCACACAGGGCTCGCTGAGCATTGCATCACTTCCCAAACTGCCCAATGCGACATCCACGTCAGCCAGTCGGAGCGGACCTGTCTCTTCTGACACCGTACAGACGGATGCACAGGCTCGGGCCGCGACTCTGTTCCTGTCCCTTCCAAATACAGGCACATATCTACGGCTCCTCGGGTCCGGTCGCGCCCACTTACTCGCCCTTCTCCGACGATCTCATAGCGGCGAAGCTCCGCTCAATCTGCTGAAGGATCGTTGGGAAGGAGCAATAGAGACCGAGAAAAGCTTCCACTTGGCGAAAAGGGCCCGCGGTGAATTTGCGGGCATCCTGCCTGGCAAAACCAAGAAGTGGAAGGAATTATATGGCATGCAGTTTCGCTGGGTTCTCGAGGAAGCACTGGGTGCTGGCCTAGTAGAAATATTCGAAACTGGTAGTGTGGGGCCGGGGGTTCGGTGCCTTTAGTATATTTAGAGATCGATCTTACCATAGCCTCAATATATATTTTGATCCTGAATCAGCCCCGCCATTAGTGCATGGAGTTCCCCGCTGACAATAGGGAGATAGGGAGACACCACATTGTGGCTTGCTCGAGAGAATAGATAGAACGTACGATGCACATCTAAACTCTACTTGGTCAATCGAGGTTGGTTTGTTCAAGGGTAGTTGAGCTGGTCATCAATCCACTTCCAAAGTTCACTAGCGCTGTGATTTCCACGAAGCTAAGCGTGAGAGCAAAAGGAGCGGAGAGACTTGCCTCATACGGTAAGCACCCCGCGGAGCCTCCGCGGCCCTTCTTCCTTGACATAGTTTCCCCAAGTACGTATATAAAGTCAAATATTTTTTCAATTATAACTACAATCAGAGCCTGCAACAACTCTAGCATCCTCTAATACATTTCGAAATGCCTACTCCAACCACAAAGGCCTTTCGTGTCGGCATCATCTGCGGTAGTCAACGCAAACCCCGATGCGGAGACCAAATTTCACACTTCGTCCTTGAAACCGTCCGAAACCATTCAAAATCTACAAATCCCGACCTACAAAATGACTTGTTCGATTTTGACTTCATCGACATCCATGAGCTAGACCTCCCCTTCTACGATGAACCAGGGATCCCCTCCAAAATCACACCACCGGAGGGCTACACTCACGAACACACTCGCAAGTGGTCACAAAGAATATCTCCACTAGACGCCTTTATCTTTGTCACCCCTCAATACAACTGGGGATATCCAGCGGGTCTCAAGAATGCAATTGACTACCTCTTCCACGAATGGAACGGTAAGCCAGCCGTTATCGTCAGTTACGGTGGCCATGGAGGCGACAAAGCTGCTGCGGCCCTGAGCGTCTGTTTGGCTGGTGGTCTTGATATGCAGGTCGGTGATAAGATGGTTGTCAATCTTAGTTTCCCGAATCGGGATGCGCTGTATGCTGCAGCGCAGGGGAAGGATTTGGGGTTGGATGCGAGGCAGAAGGGTGGGGTTTGGAGTAAGGAGAGGCAGTATATTACGGGTGCTTGGAATCAGATGGTTGGGATGCTTCTTTGAAGGATGTATTCGAGAATATCAATTGGGATTGCTGGATGTTTAGCATTGCAAAGTTTAGAAGATGGCGATTCAGATAGATCTTGGGGGACCGGCTGTTCACGCAAGTGACTAGAAGTATTAATACGTAGACGTAGCGAATGACCAGGAGCATTGTTAATGGTACTAGCTTGTTGAAAAAGTAGCACATTCTTTTGTAGTCTGATAGGCATGAGTGTAGACAATGTTGCATTTGAGAACGAAGGAATCGAAAGAGAAAGAGGACTGGATGTAACCGCGCTACCATTTACTTGAGCGAATAAGCGAATTATCGTACGCGCTGGTACAGCGTCAAGGTCGCGGACTCTAGACCGTGTTAATCAGTGGGGTTTAGTGGATTCGCGGATACGCGGGCAAGGGCCCGCGATCACAGCGCGGTCGAGCATCCGTGGCTTGCCAGTTGGCCGGACAGACGCCTTTCAATGCGATCGGTAATGGTATTCGTAGGAATGAGCCATCGGCTATAGGATATTCAATGCTCAATTCAATGAGTGGTATATCCTAGCTTTCGATACTGTCTGTGGTCTAAGGTAGTGGATTACCGAGGACTGATGGGGGACTAAGCTCTGTCGATCCCTCGGTCCCTAGCTTCTCTAAAGCTTCTCCACCAGCACATCTGCGCTTCAACACCTCCCGAAATGCCGCTCGTCCAGTTGCAGCCTCATCCGTTTACTGTCATACCATTGCACCCCTCTCTATCCGCAGAAGGTTCGCGTCCAGACCCAAAACAATTTGTGGCCACCGCTCTCCGCGAAGCTGTCGATCTTCTCCACTCCATTCCCTCTACCTTCCAAACAGACCCCAAACGTCGCGCTTCACCGCCATCGCAAGCTAAGGTCAAACTCTTGCGCGGATGGCGCAATTCAGGAGAAGAGAAGCCCGAGTACTGGGTTGCTCGGCAGAGCGAACATGTGGACGCCAGCGAAAAGGGGACTGCGTCATGGAGTGAATTTGAAGCTGGCTTGAGGACCAATCATGCCGAGCATGAGATGGAGTATACTCCTAGTGTCAGTGGTGTGGAGCAACTACTGGCATGGTCAGGAGAGGACATAGGAGAGGTGGTAGTGGACGACATCACCTACAAAGATGTGGTGTTTGAGAGTAAGCTCTATTCTTTCCTGCTCCAAGAGCTTTCCCTGACATCCATGACTAGTCAATCTCATAACGCATTCTTTCCACCCATCGGCCCTAATCTCCCCACGCAGCTTCATCTCCCTCACTATTTCCGCCGCATACAATGCTCCCACCCAAACAGAGCAGCAGACCCCATTGAAGGGCTTCATCACCGTCCAAGTACCTCTGAGCTCAGACCCATCTACCACACCCTCGGAAATTCATCGAAAGATCACTTCGTCGGCGCCGAGACGAGCTGTCTTCGCCAGCTATGCAAGCGTAGAGCGGGTTTCGCTTCTACCCACTGAACCCAACTCCATCGAATGGACAATGGCAACGACTTCCGACGCAGGCGGCTCGATACCCCAATGGGTTCAACGCAATTGGACATTAGGCGGGGTTCCACGTGCGGTCGTAGCTGATGTCGGATTATTCATAGGGTGGACCATGCATCGACGAAGATCTTCCTAGTGCGTGGCCACGCAGTCAAGGTCGAGCTCATCTCTACTGGGATGCATACACTATACACACGCACATTTGCTATAGTTGTATCAGGTACACGTAGTCTATTTTTCGTTGATACCATATTCCTAAATTCAAACTTTGATACCCCTTACAGAATCTGCTTCAGAACTGCGGCACCCTGCAGCGCAGCCGAAAGACCAACCGCGATCGCATTGTCCTGAATGCCGTTCTTGGCATACCAGGCTGAGCTAGTCCATAAGAGGACGTTGACGATAGCTGCCATAGCCTTGTTCAGCGGATCGCTTAGCGCTGACGGGTCGCGCGACCACTGAAAGTGGAGGATTCCTAGGAGACGTCAGCTAGGCTATAGCATAAAAGAGTAAGTGGAAGTGAAGCAACTCAAAGGCTAGCTGCACTATCACGTTAAGCAAGACTAGAAACGTACCAGTCAACAGGAAGAAAGCACTTCCCTGATACCAACCCACAGTCCCACAAGCCCAGGGCTTCGAACCCTTGATGGCAGTGAAGACCTTCTCAGCCGTCCATTCCTTACCACCACTCTAGTTTCATGTCAGCTCGATCACACCAGAAAGTAGTTTCAAGTCTTGGTCCCTCCCTGAATCATGGTGGTCACGTACTGTGTGTCCGATGGAGAGGATCACAAAATAAAGAGCGGATGCTTGCAGGAACGAGACATTGTGGTCTTTCAATGTGTTAACAGGGAGATAGGTAGACTTCACGGGGTATGATGAGAGGGTGAAACGGTGCCTATGAAGCTGCGGAAACCTCGGTCCGATTGCTTGAGGTCTCTGGGCGGAGTGGAGTCCCGAGGTCTCCACTTGAAGTTCACAAGCGCGGGATTGTGAGAGCTTCGTCAATGTGCGAGCCGCAGCTATAGACCTGGATGTATGGAAAGCCGTTTTGTGTGACGCTTTATGATGCACCTTATTTGAACAGGACATAGTATGGGTTCTACAGTAGTGTTCAAAATCAGATATATCTCCACACTCTCGCGACTTCGGTCTCGGAAAATAAATACGAAATGCGCGAGTCTTGATAGGATATGGTCGTCAAAGCCTGGTCTCCAGACCGCTTCCCAGAATAATGTCTGCATTCAATAATACAGATGTGAGACCACTAAGAGTGTATTTTAACACGAAACAGCTATACGTGCTCTACCTCCTGCCCCTCCTTCTCTTCCCAGGCGACAACCAGTCTACCTCACCAATTCTAGCCCACATCTGGCTCCAAGGCTCCCTGTCTCAAAGCTCCATCTCATTCGTGATATGATTCAAAGCCAGTCCTTCACAACCTCTCAGATAGCCGATACTGTACTATGTAATCTCTCGCTCTAGCTGACAAAAATCATGTCTGACCGTTTAACCATAGGAAGATGCACAATTAGGCTCAAGTGAAGAACATTCAAATGCCATCGAACTCGCCAAGATCCATTCCAGTACAAGGGACGCCCAGGGCCTTTTCCTTTCAGGTGGGATCACTGGGATTGTCGAGCTCCTTGACGATTGGGACTGCGCTCAAGTCACCATTTCCGGACTCCGACATTGAAAGTCACATCTTAAATATCGCGAAAGAAACCAGCATCTATCATCGTACTGGACCACACAAGAGGCTTGTTCGTCTACTGGGAAATTCCCGGGATGGTCTCGCGCTGGAGTATATAGAAAATGGTGATCTGAAGACGTATCTCCAGTCTCATGACTCAATACCAGTGGACATCAAATTAAAGTGGGCATACCAAGTAGCGGAGGCTGTCGACTTCTTCCACAGGAACGGGTAATTAATTGCGACATAAAACCACGAAAGTTTCTGTTAGATGCGGCCCTCGATATCAAGATTATTGACTTCTCTGGGTCTTCGCTAGATAGGTCGAAGCCGGCCTCTGATGAGGGAACCCGGTTTTTTCTTCCCTAGTATTAGAGAGATCAACCCACAGTGACCACAGATCTATTCGCACTAGGATCGACCCTTTACGAGATCTTTCAAGGTACCAGTCCCTACGAGGAGATTCCTAGTGATGAGGTAGAACGACTTTTTACACAGAAAAAGTTCCCGAATGTCTCTGACATCCTATATGGTCAAATCATTAAACAATGTTGGCTATCTCGAGTCGATTCAGCGGCGCATGTGCAGACTGCTGTCCGGGATATCATTTTTCGCACGGTTAACGTCGACTGTAACGATGTTTCACAATCCTTGATGGAGAGTCTTACGGTTGATTTGGACCTCACACGTAGCCAGATGGCAGAACCAATTTAATCACTCCGATGAGGATAAACGGTCAGCCAACAAGGAACAAAAAGTATATTGCCAATGGGAAATTGTCCCAAAAGCAAAAAGTTGATTGAAACGTCAGCTACATGATTCGAACATGTGCGGGCGAACCCAATGCATATCCGGATAGTAATCTATCCAGTAGAATAATTCTAGTGCATCGCCTTAACCACTCGGCCAAACTGACTATTGTATATATTGTGATTGACTTTTTCTGTTACATATTGAGATTTGCTTAACACGAGACTTTGCGAGATAGAGCGATCGCAATACAAAAGCAAGGGCCGACACAGCCAAACCCTTTCTAGAAGTCCAATTTTCAGATTTGCTACCGATAATCTCTGCATCCAATAGGGCTGTCAGCTCTTTTCTGTTTAGGCAAAATAAAAATAGAAGAAAAAAGAAGAAAATACAAGACACGGAGAAAATCCAGATGAAGATTGGAGATGCAAAAATGAAAACATAACGTCAGCTACATGATTCGAACATGTGCGGGCGAACCCAATGCATTGCCGGACTGTGATCAGTCCAGTAGATAATTCTAGTGCATCGCCTTAACCACTCGGCCAAACTGACTTGTCGATGTCTGTTTGTCCATTTCTGCTAATATGAACCTATTTTTGATTTATTTGAATTGCAAGGATCTTGAGTGATGAGCAAACAAATTTCATTCCAAGGACTCATTGTCAGTTCTGGCTACCTCTAGCGACTGACTATATTTTGAACCAGATTGCAACCAGTGGCAACTGAGACAGCTTTCGTGACCAGTACCCCTGCTAGTGAGTACTGTAATGGACGTTTGAAGTCCGCATCTTGAAGATATATATTGTCTCGCGGTCGCTTGGCCGCAGGAGCGACCCAAATGCCATATAATCTCCTACCTCGGACGGTATTCATGTGTATTCGAATATTTGAAAATTATAAGGCTTTCATCATAACCTGCGCAAATGCAGTCCTCGACCCTCTAACAACAATCGACCCCCTCTGAACCATGCGTCCAAAAAAAAGGTATACAAGAAATTAATAGCATGGTACTACTCTGGATTATTGATTATACCGGCCCGAGCTTCTTTCATTGCCCAGTGAGGCTATTGTCCCAGAAGAAGCAAACAGTTGAAAACGCCAGCATATCTAGTGCCGTGGCTTGACAATCTGGGGAATTGACAAGACTTTGTCGATTGAACACCAGCAGAAGCACTACAGGGGCGAAGAGAAGCAAAATCGATCGATATTATAAGTTTACCAAACTCATCTATTACCTCAAACCATCTTTCCACAATGTATTCATGTCCACAACTAGTGGAATCTCGCAAGCTCATATTGCAAATACTCCTGACAATTCCATCTAGCCAACTATTGAATGTAGCTCTTATTCCACTTCTGCTCCGTTTGCGCCTGCCAAAGTATTTTGGCTCTAGGCGCAGGAGCATATTCCAGACCTCCACAGTCAAAGCAGAGAGCCGGGGATGAACAGAATATGCTCAGTGTAGGAGGTACAATGCAAGGACCGCTCGACGTTTGGAGGTGATATGCACCCACACTTCTCAGGTTGGTCTAGTTTGGTCCCTCTCTAAAAAATTTTCTGTTTAGATCTGATATGTTTCTTTTGCCCTGGACGACAGCATGAACAAAATATTTTATTATCGGGGCAAGAACCATGGTCTGGATCACAGTTTAGCCAGTGACTCCAGTGATCTGATCATAACTCAGCGGCATTCTTCCAGATTGTGCACGGGGGGGACATGGCTTTACCAAAAGGCGTTCAATGGTCATTTGGGAGATTTCGCTTGAATTCAGCCGCCCTAGACGGGATGACAAGTTATTTCCATCCATAATTTCGCGCGAAACGACATTACCTGTTGCGCTCGCCTGAACTCGGAATGATATGTTGCTTGTCGTCGACCGTGGCATGAAGTCTTGGCCGCGAGAGGACCCTGCTCGGAAATATTCAATAGTCAGGAAGTCGATCATTATATCATTTGTATTGAAAAATGGCATCGGACTGCTCGTTTAAAAGGTAGAAAAGAGTGGATCCTCACTTCGGTATACTCTTAATGTCTCTACTCACCCATACATTCTCTAGGAGGTCAATGTACACATCTCCACATAAGCAGGTATCTCAAATAGACTAGATTCACAGACCTTCTACGTATGTGTATACTGAACTATCCATTCATCAAGCAATGTGCCCCTACTCAAGTCACATTGTAGCGTTTATGCCTAAATGGTGGGCAAATTGTGGCTGGGTGGAGATCTATTTAATCGTCCCCATCCGGATACCTTTTCCACGGCACAATCTAGCTCACATTGGTCAAAAGGGGAAACCATCTCATCGGAGCCGGACTTACTAGAACGGTTTTACATGTACAGTCAGCACTCGAGGTATCCAATCAAAGTACTTGTCTACTGATCCCCACCTAAGCATGTTTCCAATATAGCTTGATCAAGCAAAGGGTATATATTATCACAACCTAATTGAATAACCCAACTCAAAAAAAGATAGAACTCCCGACATCATTCCATGCATCATCTGAATGCTCTTCAAAACCATAGAAAAGAAAAAAAAGAGAAATGGATCTGGTGTCCAACTGCCGAAGGTGACAAGAAACAGAAATAGAGGAATGAGCCCAAACTGAGCCTGATCCACTTTTGCGACGCCAAACTCACGTCGAGCCTGTAAAGAAAAAGAAAAAGACCCTGATACCCATGGCCAAGGAAATGGTAGAGAGAGATGGCGAGGAATGGCAGAAACATGGCTATACCAAGATCTGATAATAAAAAAGACCCCAAGGTGACGAAACCCGGAATGAGGAAAGGATAAGGAGGAATAGTGCAAGAAGATAATTAGCCACCAACGCCGGCGGTTGTCGGGACGGTGATCATGAGAGACATAAAAGTTCGACCTTTGAAGTCGAGACGTATCAACAGAGGGAGAGAGGCGCAATGAATGGCCAATTTCCACATGGGGGGCAAGACTACCCATATAGTACATACCAAATGAACCAGAACCCGTGGCTTACCGCGGTCCCGAAATTTGGTTCACTTCGACGGGTGCTGGTGCCGTCGTTGAATTTGTTGATGCGATGTGTGCGCGTAGCGCCGCGACTTCGGTCCGAAGACCCACCATTTCATCGTGCATTGATCGGACATAGGCCCAGAGCTTGTCAATCTGGCTGGCTTCGCCTGCAGGTATTTCGGGTCCGTCTGGTCCTAGTTTTGGAGCGGGAAGACTGTGGGTACTCGAGTGACTGTGTGACGCGGAATGTTTGGCGGCAGCCTGGAGACCGAAGCGGGCGTCGGGTGAGCTAATGACCGGAGGCGGGAGCTGAGGCGCTCCAGGCTGTGGCGGTGGCAGACCTAGGCCCGGTGGAGCATGGCTTGAGCCCGATCCTGTCCTTACGAATGGTGGCGGATGTGGCAATGACTGGCCTATGCTTGGGGAGTGTGCGCGGTGGGGTTGCACGTTGTCGTGATGAGACAGCGCATTCGGGGATAAAGGCTTCGGACTATCATTGACGTTGGTGGGAGTAAACATCGATGAGCTGGATGGGTGTCCTGCAGGCGGGAAAGTCAGGTTGCCTGGTTGCGACGTAGTTGTTGTGGACGATCCGGAACCACCATGGGTGCCTGGAGGCGGGAAGAGACTCCGTCCGGCGGCAATCGGTGGGTAGGTGCTGGGTTGGCGATGGGATTGAAGAGAATCAGAGCGAGGCAGATGGTCGGCCTCGTGCTTGCGGATGCTCGGCATGAGGCGTCTCTCGTCTTCCTCGTCCATGTGCTCCGGCTCTGCGTACACAAGCCCATCCATGGCGTCGTCAGGATGGTGACCGTCTCCGTACTCATCGTCTGCTGCAAAGCTACCCATGCTAGCCCGCCGGCCAGCGCACCCACCCTGTCCCTTGTTGTGCCGCGCGAGCGCATCGCCGCGAGCAAACCGTCGTCCGCTTGGGGCAAATATGGGGTCGTTCGCCGGTATGGAGCTTAGTGTGACGTTTCAAGTCGTGGAGTCGGCGGAAACGAGACTGGCAGGTCTGGCAGACAAAAGGCTTCTCTTGACTGTGAGTGAGGAGATGGCTCTTAAGGTTGTGTTGCCGGGTAAATTCGGTCGCGCAATAGGGGCAGCGGTGTTTTTTCGCGGACGGAGATCGTGGGCTGCCCCTGTTATAACCCGCGTTGGGTAAGCTGAGGCCGCGACGCGGATCATTGATGCCACCGGTGGGCATGGGTAAGAAAAGGCCTTGTTGCTGTCCTGATCGACCTCCGAGTCCGCCCGCGGCCGGGGCCGATCTCCATCTTGAGACGCAGTGTCTTCGATAGGGCCTGGACTCGCGACAGTCGAGGAGTGGATAAGTGAGTTCTGGTTGTGGTCGGTCGAGCCGTAAGGGTCGGATGATGTGTCATTGTGGTGGGAGTCGACTTGAATCTGTTCCGGGGACGCATGGACCGAGGGTTCATGGAGGGAAGGGCCTGGCGACTTCTCGCTTGCCCCCAATGCCTCACGGGCAACGCGTGAACTGTTACTTTCGGCTTCCTTGTCCTGTTCAGCCGGCCGATCCGCGGGCGCCGAAGCTGGACTCGTCATCGAAGGCGGATGAGATCGCGAGACGTGTAGACTGGCACTGGCGATGGAACGGAGATTGGATTCGGGTTTGGCGTGGGACTGTGCTTTAAGGAACGAAAGAGGCTCGGAACTGGCGATGGAGTTGGAGACGATAGGATTTGAGACGGCGACAGGCTCGTTATTTGAGTGCATCAATGCCGCCATGGACGCAGAAGGTCTCGCGCCAGCCTCTATGGATGGACGAACCAGAGCGAAGGCTACTTGCGAGCTCATGTTAGAAATGCTGAATGCATGGAAAAACAGAGAGACACGACAAACTTCAAAAGACAGAGAGGTACGGGGGATGCAAGAGGGAGGATGAAGTCCAGGGCGTGTGGGGCGTTCTCACCACTCACCTGGAAACCAGTGTGGCGCAAGCTGACGAGGATAGTTTCAGCTTTCTTGCACTCCCGGAGAGATCCACTGCGGGCTTTCGAGGGGCTTAGGCTTCGCGTTAAAATAGCAATCGACAAGGGCCCCGATGAGATTGGTGATATTCAACGAAGGCGGGCCATCAGGCGAAGTTTGGAACCGTGGCGGGCGTGCAGGTACGATGGAATTTGAGGATGAACGAAGGTGTAGCCTGAGTGACCGGGCAGTCAGGCAGGCAAGGTAGTCAAGAGCAGGGCAGGTGGTAGGTACAAGGAATACAGGGAAGACTGAATTCTGCGGAGACCGATAGAAAGGTAAAAAAGAGGGCACGGGAAATGTATTGCAAGTGTAAGAGACGGGGGTCGACAGTGGCTCATGGCGGGTATCGAGTCCGTCACAGTCGAACGGGTCGAGGCTCTTGGGAAATGAACCCTGACGGACAGGGATGTACTGGTACTTACATTACCGTGCGTTATATATGGCATCAGAAGTACCTCTACCCGCCCCACCTACGACGAGGCTGTGTAGCCCGCTAACGCGTGTGGCTGGCCATGGTTCCTTCACACGAGGCGTCTCTGCGGCTGATGGGTACGCTCGCCATTTTGGCCACTTTGGCCACTGCGTTGTACAATTTTCCATATTATACAGGTTTCGAAGTGGGGGTGATGTCACTCAATCCTTGGATCCGGATGATCGTCTTGAATCCACTGGTTCGTCTTGCTGAACTATGACCGTTAGGGAGGCGTTGGGGCACCGGGTATCGGGTCAGCAAGTATCCTCAAGTATTTGAGGTTTTCAGTATCCAAGTATTCAAATATTCAGGTATCCAGGTATCGAGGCATCAAAACCAGGCTCTCAATGACTACCCCGTGCGCTTTATCTCAAAGCCACCCAGCTCATCTGCACCGCCCTGTTTCATGTTGCTCAAGATCGACAAACACGAGCCCCGAGCTTGACCGCAAAGCCAGATCTGCCTCGGATGCACGGCATCCAAGTGAGCTGACAACCTATGTAACCCTCCATGGAGTTGGCCTGCGAAGATCATTAATCTTCATTGCTCACCTGTCGACATGCCGTGTCATGACAGGCCCCGCCGCGTCTGAGGCTCTTGGACCAGCCTCCCCCATGAGGTCATCATGTGAGAGAGAAATCTCCATACTGTGTGTGGGGCTAGACTGTCTCACTATAAATGACTCCACCCCAGCCTTCATGTTGTGGAATGTTACTTATTTTAGGAATCCAAGCAGCGACCACCAGGGAAAATATTCAACTGCTCTCATAGGGCTTTACAGCCCTTGTGTACACCGAAGGCGTCAGATACTCGCGCGTTTCTCATATTTTCGAGAGGTGTAAACGTCCAACAGGCACGCTGGCATGTCTCAATTGCTCCTCTTCCGCCATCGCATCTACGAAACCCTAACAAGCCACACCATAAAACGCCGTACCAAATCAATCGACACCCTTCTCGTGTGCCAGTAGGATGTGGTCATCATCTTGATTGGTATAGCGCACCCAAACGAATGATCTCCAAGCTGAAAGTTCCCAAGGATGTCCATACCCTGTCGCCGATGATGTTGCTTCGATGGAAGTCTGTGAGTGAAAAAACTAACGTGCCTCTGAGAACATCTCCGATCGAAAACAGATTGAACATAAATCTCATATCAATCAAGGTTGAAAGTGACTGAACACAGACACCCGGGATTGTTGACGGCAGTAGTTTGGAAGCGAGTTCAAAAATCGTGACAACCAATTGAAACATTCAAATAGCCCCTGTCACAGAGGAATTAATAATTGAGTATGTCTATTCTATCAAAGTACATATCGATGGGCATCTCCTCATGTCTCAATTTTTGTCTCCACTGGGGGGAGCTGTCTGTGTGTTAGTGCGAGCCGTAGTTGAAGTGAGCGAGCCCATTTTAAGCAGTGAAGACCTCGAAATGGCGAGCAATTCTTTTCGTGGTGCAATCATAACCAACAACAGCGGATTCCACGGTCCGGGCCTAATGATGGGGCACAACATGATAAGACAGAATTCCCTGCCTACGTTGGCAGGAAGCAATTTGGTTGGCAGATGAGCTAGATAGTACATGAAATGGATAGGATAGTAAAGTTCAAAGTAAAATTCGCTGTTGGCCGTTAACACTTACGTGTGAACAAGCATCGAAGTTTGCTTTTGGTGAATCTTCGTTTACTGCAAGATATAATCTACTGAGAAAGCCGTGTCTTGGATGTCAGACCACCGAGATTCTATCGGCATCACATCGACTGACAGTGCATAAGTCACATGAGGTGACAAGAAGTGCAGGTATCTGTCGCTTCATGCATCTTGCTCTTCGCGAGTGCTTTGCCACATCACAGAACAAATCGAAACCCTCACTAATAGACTTCTGACAACGGGGTAGATCCTTCTTGAGGCTAAGCTAACCCGCGTGATGATTCTGCCTGAAAGAATGCGATTTCCTGACATGACTCGGCGCTCTAGAAAAGATAGGCCGATGATCTGCAGGAGACGTCGTTGAGCTGCATGGAATTATCCATGGACTTGGACACCTCGCCATCGTTCCATTAAGCCATCCAAAACACTTTGGTTCCGAAGCAACGGGTACTGTGTTTCAGGACTGAGCGAGTGGGAGGTTTGTCCGTACAGGTGATTTCCAGAACATACCCCGAATAGACCCTCGGTCGACTTATCTTCAGGGTCCATTTCAAGCCCAACGCCATGGCTTCCGGGCATCATCTCAGCCATCAAATCAGTCGGCTGGTGAAAACAGAATATGCGCACAGACACAATCTCCCACTTCGATGAGTCGGGGAGCGGTGCTGATTGCCCCTGTGCGACGGGACCTACATAGTGGTTGGCGGGTATTTTTGTCCTCGTCCATGTCCTGGTTGTGCATCCTCACATCCCTTTCTCCTTGAGACTGCCCCAAAATGAGCGGTTCTGCAACACTTGTGGTTGGCCAGACGATCGGCGGGTTAGCGCCGGCTGAGGTGATGGGCGTGCATCGTGAGGAGCAACAACCCTCATCTCACGCATTTGACTGGCTCCGGGTTCCACTGTGACAAGCTTGACTGATCACCTTGCTTCCAGTCACACTCGCCTATCACTGTGTGAATCGGCACTTTGACTCCTCGCCCAGCTTCACCTAGCTTGGCTCCAGCCCAATCATGCCCCTGGTTGCTCCTGCGCGGTATTCCCCCGGGCGCTAACTCTGGCCCGGCACGAGTGATGGGGAGGCATGGCCTGCAGTTGCACCCCCGCCTCTGAGGCCAACGAGCACTCACCGTTAATTGATATTCAAGCCGGTCCTGGCCTGATCTTTTCCTTCTCAAGTGTCTTCTCTCTTTGATCACCATCACTGCCTTGACTGGTAATTTGCGCATACCCGTGGACGCAGGCCTCGCACACGGTGTTTCAAGGTGATCCGATAAGTTTATAGAGCTCAGCTGTTGTCAGACCCAGGTGGTTTTTTACTCCAGACTGACTCGCCGTCGAGCTCTTCCACTTCCCGGGAGCCTTTCTGATCCCGGATTCCTGTCAAGAGCCGGTTCTCTTGATCTAATTGCGTTGCATTTGTATCGCGTCTATTCTTTACCGCTTCGATGTCGATCTACGGTGACAGCCATAATAACTCTCCTCTGACCTACGAACCCGTCGTTCCTGCGGATCTTACTCGTGCTTCTTACCACAGCGCAATGGGAGCTCCGCCGCAGCACACAACACAGGAGACCCGCAGCTCCTCTGAGAGCAGCGGTGCTTCGCTGAAGAGTCCTCGCACAACTCGCTTCGCTGAGGCTACGACGATCCACTCGCCTATCGAGCAGACTGCCCAATCTCCCTTTGCCGATCCTCCCAAGACACAGTCTGGTGGTGTCGGTGATGTAGGTTTCGGGTATGTCAACGACCACGCACAAGCAGAGGATACGATGCCTCCAGCATCGCCACTGCGAACCGGATTGAGGGTACCCAAATCAGCAGTGTCGTTGAACCCCCTCAGCCCCACCTTCCGTGAGGAATACATGCTGGGGAAGCAGGAGAAAAACGCCGAAAAGGAGAACGCTCGTGATTTGGTAGGTAATTGCCGTTGAAGTTTCCTCGTGCAATTCACTAATTCTCCCCTAGAGGATCAAGCTTCGCGTTCGTATCGCGAAGATATTCCTTCGTTTCGTGAACTTCGGCTGTAGCCTGATCGTGTTGTCTCTGTTGACAGTGACACTCACCGTCTTCAACGCAACTAAAACTATCCCGGCACGAAACAGTCTGCCTGCTTGGGCAGAGGGAACGAACCCTTGGGCTCAATACTTGCTTTTAGGCATGTCGTGCCTCTCACTCGTTGCTTGTATAATTGTCTTCTGGGGATACTGGAAGGGCGGCCATCGACGGGCTGAAAAGACCGCCATCTACTATACCACTTTCTCAATCTGTTTTTTCTTCTTCAGTTTGGTTATGTGGATTGTTGGCGCAGCCATCTACGAGCACTCCAAGTCCTCTGGCAACAATAAAGACATGTGGGGTTGGTCTTGCGCTCAGAATACACGTGAGGAGATCTACCACAATGTGGTTGATTATGCTCTTTTGTGTCGTCTTCAGGTGAGTTAAGGTCCGCTCAGCCTCACATCTTTCCAGAACTAATTTTCCCAGGACTGGGGCCTCGTATGCGCCATTATTGAAGTCGTCATCGAAGTTCTTGCCATTTTGATCTACGTCGTCGTGTTGTACCGTATCTGGACCAAGCGCCGTCTCATGAAGTCAATGGACCGCCGCGACAATGCACGCAACGATCTTTACCTGGCACAATTGCACATCCAGTCCGCCCCCAATACCCCAGGCTTCGCAGGGTTCTCATCCTACCCGCCCAAGTCACCCTTCTATGCCGCTCACGCGATTGACCCATATTCGTGCGCGGAGAAAGGTGAGCTGAACACGACGACCCAGTACGCCTCGCCTCGCTCGCCAACGCGCCCGGTCCCGAGTTTCCAGCTTCAGGCCCCGCCCATTAAGATCCAGCAGCCCACACCGCAGATGGCCCAGGATGGATTCCATTCTCCGCCTATTCCTGCAGCCCCTTCGACATATTCCAAATCTCCATCTCCGCCGCCAAGTGAGCCACAGCACATGGCTGCTGCACCGGGCGAGACGGATTACGGCGCCGTGCCTATTCCGAACGCCTATGCCAGCCCTATGATGCCGGCTTTCCCATCTGCGGTGCACAAGTAGATGTGCGTGTGGATTTGTATGGAGTTGAAGAGGCAGTTGGGCTTTTCTAGTCAAATGCCCATTAACAGAAAACCACTTCCAAAAAAAAAAAGTTGAAAAATTCCCCCCCGAAAAACAAACGATGAGATGAAACCTTGGACATAGCTGGCACTTTGCTCTTGAAACCTTAATTACCGAGCGACGGGCTTTGACGCAGGGCGTGTGGAGTTTTGGGAGAAGATACCTATTTGGAAGGCTTATTGAATTTACGTGTACTCTTTGCCAAAACACTCTTTTCATCTATTCTAAGCGCATCTTATAGCCAATAGATTGTCATTCTGCTGGCACATTATTCTTCTTTCTCGAGTCCTCCGTCATCCGCCATGTTCTCGTGATCGATGTTCAATGTTTGGTCTCCTTGCTGGACTGGAATGGGCGGAAACCTTCCTGATCAGGAAACCGAAGCGCCCGCTATGTCGAGTCAATTGCGTAATTAAGTAGTACAACAACCATCCATACGCAACGTAAGGGATATAGGAATTCAGGATTATTCTAGTATACCTTATAGCCTCCTGTTCGAGCGGGAGTTTCTCATGAATATCGACACGATGTTCTGCAAGAACAAGGCAAGCTATGAGCTTAGGTATCACATCTTGACTTAATCCTTTTACCTCTATAGAGCTGTTACACTAACACAGTGTTATTCTTTTAGTCTTGAAAAGACTTGTTTCTTTGTCCCCAGAGCTCAGTCTACAGAGTCCCAAACCTCGGTCTCGGGCCGGTTCTGCATCTCTCTACGCCAAAATGTCAATATCAAGAGTATCAAGGTGCGCCTTCGGGGTATACTTAAGATGTAAGTCATATAAGGCCCTCCTGACCTACTGATCACGCGGACTAACTCTGTTCCTCATTTCAAAGTCCTGGCGACGGCTTCTTAGTATCTGAAGCCGCCCGACACTGCACATTCGAACAAGAGCAACCGATCGCATCCTCAAGATGCCGTCGCTCATTCCCCATGGCAGCAGGGGACTACAAATACCCCTTCAGCATCCCCTTACCAGCAGATATATCCGACTCGTCACTCGGTCCAAACAAATACCACACATATAAAGTCGAAGCAGTTATCAAACGCCCCTACCTCAAGGACATCGTGATCTCCCAACCGGTCCAGATCTACAAGTTCAATTCCGAGCTCGAAAACCCAGACTCAATCCCTTACATCTATTTGGTACTTTCAAACACCATCTGTCCCTTGATGAAGTTCACATTTCAAATCTGACACTCATTCTAGAGAGAAGAATCGCAAACCGAACACGGTCAGGGCCTAAATTCACGCATCATCCTCCCATCAAGATACATCCCCTTCGGCTCTGCCTTTCCAGTCAATGTCACCCTCTGGACAGGCTCAGGAAAAGAAACAACCCTCTCGAAGATTACAATCGAGGTCATCGAGAAACATAATCTCAAAGTCGATGCTACGGCGGCCCAATCCGCGCGCTATAATATCCACACCATTCACTCTGCACGAAGCTATACGCTCGTATCGAAGATGTTGGAGTTCGCAGATTCTCCCAAAACTGATTGGAACATTTGTAAGATGATGCGGTTGCCGCAGGCGCTGGATAAGGCTTCGCAGAGTATCAATACCAAGGCGATTAAAATCGAGCATGTTCTTGTTGTCAAGGCTGAGTTTCGAAGTGACGATGGGAACAATGAAATTGATGTTGAGGTCAGTTTTTTTTACTTTTCCCTTTCCGCCGCGGGTAGGGGGGTTTCTTGTTCTTGTTCTTGTTCTTGTTCTTGTTCTTGTTCTTGTTCTTGTTCATGTTCTTCTTCTTGTTCATCTTCTTCTTCTTCTTTGATTTTTTTTTTTTGGGGGACAAGGAAAACACACTAATATCTGCGCAGATTGCCAAAAACGTTCCGTTCAATATCTATATGACGCCTAGTACGATTGGATCCGATGCGTTGGTGCGGGGAAAGGTGTTGCAGGATTGCAGTACTCCGCCTCCGGCGTATGGTAAACATGTCTTGTGTCCGAGGCTTTTGGAAGCGGATTTGGAGTCTGTTCTGGGTGATCAGAGCTACTTTTTGAGAGCGATGGAGAGTGGAACTTGTAGGGAGGTGTTTGTGGATGTAGAACCTCCGGTGTATGCTTTGGAGAGTGTATCTTGACGGGTGATAATGGTTTTTTTTATTGGCATCGTATATGAGGGTCTGCTTCTTCTCTTGGGATTAGCAAGGTATATATGTGGCGCAACACTGAGCGAGATTGATCTGCTGAGGTTGAGTTGGAGTCTCATCTACGTGGGAAAGACACTAATGTCAAGTGAATGCAAGATTTTTGCATTAAAGAATCAAGGAGAAAAAATCCGTAGCGCCACTCTGTAGAACAAAAAAAAGACAACCAGCCAACTCCACGGATCTAGCAAAAATCCATTCCATAAATCGGCTTGCCCATTCCTCATGACCAATACATGATCCGCGGTGCTCTGCCCGGATGAAGGACTGTACATGCAATAGTGAAGTGACTTAGATATGTGCTTCTTCCAAAACGGCATTCACGTCTCGGCTCACAAAGATCTCTTCTAGTGTGTTGGCGCCACTGCTGATCTTATTCATATCACTCTCCAGGACCAGGCCTTGTTCGTTGGCCAGATGGAGAAGACAAATGAACCCGAAGGATGTGCTGATGTCACGTAATGTCTCGGCTGGGTAGACTGTCTTGAGCGAGTTCATAATCTGCGTGAATCGTAAGCGGCCGTCATCCTTGGAGTCGGCCGGTCTCTCGGGGCTTCTGGCCTGCGGCGTAGGCGGCTCAGGAGCATCCGACTCGGTTTCAGGCTCAGCTGGCGGCTCGGATTGTGAGGCAGAGCCGAAGTTGGTGGCGGCGATCAATCGCTCGCCCATACCCTTCCACATCTCCACCTTGAGGCGTCGTACGTCCACCTTCTTAGCCACACGGGCATAGTTTACATAGTCTGGTCGTGCACGGCGTCCACCTTGTGTGACCAATTGTGAGCCGTATCCACCAGCGCCGGGCCGGCCAGGCGTGGCCCCGACCATGTTCAGCAATGCCGAAAGACCAGTCGCTCCACCTTCACCCTGTGAGGTGACTGGACGCCCATCGGCAGCAGGTGAGAGCATCTCCCTTGCATCAGCAAATGGCAGGTTATCATCGTCATCATCCAGATCCATGCCGTTAGGGAAAGCGAGGCCGTCATCGTCAGCGAAGAAGTTGGCATCATAGGCACCAGGAGCACCCTCATCCTCGACGGTGTCCTCGACTTTGTGATTGGCCCAGAATGCCTCATCCATTTCCCCATTTCCGGGCGTTTGATCTGGCCGAGTAAGAGTTGTGCGTCTCCCCAGCAGTTTCTTTGAGCCCATGCGGGCCTTAGGTTTGAGGAACAGGCGCAACAAGTTGCGTGAGTTGAAATGCTTGTCATCAGGCAGCAAATTACGACCTTTGGTTTTCCATTGGGTTTTTGGAAGGGAAATGGCGGAATTAGAGCTAGCCGGCATGTAGATCAACTCAGCGACGGCAGAATCCAGTGGCGCCCCGAAATCGATCTCGAATGGCTCCTTTTCTTTCTTCTGCTTGGGCGCAGCGTTTGTGCTGGCAGCAGTGTGCTCCTTGATTCTCCGAATCTTCCAGTGCTCTGGGCCAGCCCAGTTCTTCTGAAGCGCGTTATCGAAGTAGCTGAGAATGTTTTCGTGATCTTGTTTGCTTGGATTATGGGACATCGAAATGGCATATGCGTCCTCGTCATGATTTTCGCCATCCTCATGGCTACCATCATCCATCCTGTGAACCTTAAGCATTGGCTCTAAGGCGGCCTCTCGAGCCCAGACTTCTCCACCATCACCGAAGCCAGCATCGCCACTCAAGTCGAAACCGGCCAAATCATCGTCGTCGTCGAAGCCCACCGCATTATCGTCATCAAGCATGATTCCCGATGGATCTTCCGGGGGAGCATCGGGGTTCTTGTCTTGCCGCCACTCCTCGGGGGCCTTGAGCAGAGGAAGATCCAGCGAGCCACTGGGGTCACCCAGGCTAAAATTCTTGAGGGATGGGCAGACATCCTGCTCGTCAAGGCGATCCAGATCAGGGAAGAACTGAGCCGCAAGAGAAGCGATGTCGATATTTGAATCGTCCTCGAAGGTATCACTAGCTTGCTGGACTGGTTTAGTCTTCTCGCCTTGGGATTCAGGGTCTTCAGGATCTTCGTGGTCGCCATCGGTCTTGGCAGACTCATCCACAGCATCATCGCTACTGTCAAAGACGATTTTTCCAACTCCGTCGATAGAAAGGTGGTTGAGAAGCAAACCCTTAGCACCTCCTTCATCGAAATCCGCGGACGCCTTTTTAAACAGTGGATCCACAGCGAACTCCAACTCAAATTTCTTCAACTGCAGTGAGTTGAAAGATGGGGCTAACGTTGCCTCATGTGACCGTGTCTGTAATGGCTTTGTTAGCCATGCGCTTTGCCAAACCCCGTGATTCTGGGATTGTATACCTTCTTGCGCGACTTACGCGCACCGCCCTCCTCTCCATCCTCGTCATCATCTTCGTCGCCCTCCGCATCGGCTTCGCGCCCGCGCTTGTCGCGACTATCAGCCAAACCGCTCAACAGCTTTCCAGTCTCTGTGGCAACACTATCCACACGGCTGGTATAGATCTTTACACATCCATCGAGAGTGCAACTAGCCTTCTGGAAGTTGACACTGTCTCCCTCCCTCAAAAGCGACATATCGTGGAAGTAATCGATGAGCGCAAAGTTCCAGGAGTTGTTGGCGTTGATCTTGTTGTCGGTAGCCATCTTCATCCACTCCTCAAAGTTGGCCAAAATAGGTACGCGCTTCATCGGTGTCACTGCGCGGCCACTGACATCGCTTTCGCCGCCTCGATGGCCGGAGCCACGCGGCGTTGTTGTTGGGCTCTCGCTTCTGTCGCGGTATCGGCGGGTGGGCATGGGTGTCTTCACTGCGGCTTTGATCTGGTTCATTTGGAGATCTTGGAGCGCCTGTCGAGCCTGGTTCCGCGCCGCCTTCTCACCCATATCATCATTCAAGGGGATTCTAATGCATGGTTAGTACCCCGTTAGACTCCGCTTTTCGCAAATAAGAGTGGTTAACGCACTTGATCGGCGAGTTCTTCTGCGGGTGGACGTGCTGCCGCCGGAGCGGCGATGCACTTTGTTCGCTACACGGGGCATGGTTGCGGTTTCCCCCAGCAGGGGATAACAGGATGGTAGCGTAGGTGGTCGATGGTGGTTGCAGGCGCAAGAGGGGCGGCCTAAACAAATGGGGAAGTCAACAAACATCCGGCGCACAAAGAAGACCAGACGCGCAGAAAATCACATGCTTTGACGTTTACTGCCTGGATACCCAGGTGTCAATTGATGAGCTGATTTCCACATTTTTGCGCTGAGTTAACCTCCAAAAATACTTGCAACTACATCTGCCCAGTGTAAAGAAAAAGGGCCGTCCAAGTTGTATCCGTTCAAATTTCGATATCCTTCTATACTTCAGTCATCGCCATACCTTATCAGCTGTACAGCATCGGCATGCGCCCAGAGATTAGCGCATTGGTCCACTCTGCAGCCACGCCTGTGCTAGGCTGACATCACCGCACACATCATTCACCGCAACGAAGGGACCAGGTTCAATGGAAGACATTTCTTCTCCTTCTTGAATCCGTTATTGACTTGCTTTGGGGTCGATACTATACTGGGTCACAATGCAGCGATTGAAGACGCCATCATGAACGCGTTACCTTCATTCCTGCAGCCTGCCGTCCGCAGAGGCCCTCGGTACTCCACGCGACCATTCTACACAAGCATCCTTGTGTTCACCACCCTTGTGGCTCTTACGTTCGCTGTAAGAAGTATTGGAACGGGACAGATACATCAGCGCACAGCAGCGGGTGTCCCTCTCCTCAAGCGGGAAGAGGAACCAGAGGTACCACCGCTCCTCTCCCCTGTGGAATGATATGGAAGGCTAAATGATACTCTGTGTGACCTGTTTGCAGTGCCGCCTAGTCCGAGACGTCAAGGATCAGTGTTCATATGTTCGCGACAATTGTCCCGACCATCAAGATGGCCTACTCTCTTATCTTCAGCTATATTATTGCTCCTTGTCCGATGCGAAGCCGGTGGCCTTCATAATCTTGATTCTTTGGCTGTCGCTTCTATTCAGTACCATCGGGATCGCGGCCAGTGATTTCTTGTGCATTGATCTGAGTACTCTGGCTAGCGTTTTGGGGTTGAGCGAAAGCCTAACGGGCGTTACGTTCCTCGCATTTGGAAATGGCAGTCCCGATGTCTTCTCGACCTTTGCTGCAATGCGGTCGAACAGCGGAAGTCTCGCGATTGGTGAATTGATTGGCGCGGCCAGTTTCATCACGTCTGTAGTTGCAGGCTCTATGGCTCTGGTCCGACCGTTCAGAGTGGCCCGCCGGAGCTTTGTCCGAGATGTGGGCTACTTCATTGTAGCTGTCAGCTTCAGTATGTTTTTATTGGCCGATGGCAGGCTTCATGTTTGGGAGTCAGCTGCAATGGTGGCCTTGTATGTCTTTTATGTTTTCATGGTCGTGACCTGGCATTGGTATTTGGTTCGCCGCCGCCGAAGGTATGAACGAGACCTTGCCGCGCGAACTCATTTCCACATTCCGGACAACCAGGAGCTGGAGGTAGAACAACCCATTGAAGACGACGACCCAGGTGTGGCCTCCGAGTCACGCAGTCTTCTCCGTGGAGCATCTACAGATGACTTTGATATGTTGGAACGAGCCGAAGCAGCTCCGATCTGGAAAGATGAGGAAGATGAGGACGACGAGACTCGTAACCGTTACCTGGCCGAGATTCGCGATAACATGCATGTCTATCGGCCTCCGTATAGATCGAGGCGTAACACCATTACCCCGATTCGGCCGAGTCTCGTCGGTGCTCTGGAATTTCAATCGGTGCTTCATTCCCTCCAGAAATCACGAAGCTATAAGCCAACCGTCAGCCTGAGCAGCTACTCAGATGACGGCGAGAACTCTTCCCAGCCCTTTGACACCCGGTCGATTGCATCGCACCCTCGCGCGAGCAGATCTACGGGATATAATGACCGTCTGTCACCCAACAGCGCAGAAGGTGCTCGAGCACGAGCTGTGTCGGCCAACGATGCCGATGGGTTGAGGCTTGATACCAGCGTGTTGAACCGACGAACCGCCGAACCTCCGCGTCTCACTGTGAGTCGGCCTTCAAACGATATAGCCATGGGGCCGCCTGGATTTCTCCGCATAGATACCAGCGCAGCCTTGACTGCCTCTCCGTCATCGTCTGAGCTTTCCTTACCGATTCAAAATCCTGTGGACGCCGGTGTTCCTCGAACGCCGGACCTTTTTGGCACCGCCAGATGCATTCAACTCTCCCAATTACCAAACTGGGGCAACTCATGAACTTTCTCCACGTTCGATATCCCCCAGGGGTGGAACCGGCAGTTATAATTCTGCATATACCACAGAGAGCCCAGCTGCGCCGTTCCCCGCGTTCGTTGATGGACCCTCTCCTCCCCATTCTCGCCCACCTAGTATTTGTCTGCCCAACCCGGAAACGAGCCCGTCAGAACAGTTGCTATTTCACGATGGCCCCGATGAGATGGTCGGCGATAGCTCCTCATTCCGGTTCTCCCCCAAAAGGTTGTGGCCTTCAACCTTTCCTCCACCGAAGCGGATCGGCTGCACCCTCTTCCCTACCTTGGCTAGCTGGAAATCCAAGGGCATCGCCGAGCGTTTGCTGGGAATTGTCGCAGCGCCCAGCGTATTCCTGCTCACGATAACCGTTCCAATTATTGAGCCTCAAGGTCCCGAGTCTGTGGATCCCGATCCGGTGCCGGCCGTGGTCATTGAGCGGGTTGGAGACGACGAACACCAAGCTCCCAGGATTCGACTGCCGGCTGATAGCCCAGTAATTCACCCGGGCCATGACCGTCAAAGCTCTTTCCAAGATTATCAGACTTCTCGCTCACACCGCAAGTCGCATTCTGAACATCACCGCCTCAGTCGTCCACGTTGGGACTCGGAACTTCCAGCCCCACCACCACTACTCAATACCTCAGACTGCCATCTACCAGTCAAAGACTGGAACCGCTGGCTCATTGGAATCCAACTCTTCACTGGTCCCTTTTTCTTCACCCTCATCGCGTGGACCACCGTCGACGAAGACAATGACCCTCGCAACCTCATTCTACCAGCCCTGGTATCCCTCCTGTTCTCATTCCTCTGCCTCACAGCTCTCCTCGTCTCAACTCGCCGCCGTCCCTGGCACGAAAACAACGCGCAGTCCGAGCAGGATCCCTCAGAACAGCACACCCCTCCCCTCCCGGTCTCATGGCGTCCTTTCCTAGCCCTCCTGGGCTTCCTAGTCGCCATAGCGTGGATCGCAACTATCGCCACCGAAGTCGTGTCCCTTCTGAAGACCATCGGCGTCATTCTGGACATTTCAGACTCTCTACTGGGATTGACCGTCTTCGCAGTCGGCAACTCTCTCGGCGATCTCGTCGCTGATATCACAGTCGCAAGACTTGGATACCCCGTCATGGCACTGAGCGCATGCTTCGGTGGCCCAATGCTTAACATCTTACTTGGAATCGGCCTGGGCGGACTATACATGACCATGAACGGTGGCCATGCGCCTCGCGGACACAATGAGATCGTTACCCGAGCTCCCTATGAGATTGCCATTTCCAAAGTATTGGTCATCAGTGGAGCTACCTTGTTAGTTGTCCTCGTGGGTCTTCTCATCGTTATTCCCTTGAACGGCTGGAGAATGGATCGCAAGATCGGGTGGGGGTTGATTGTGGTTTGGTGTTTGAGTACGGTTGGGAACGTGATTGCGGAGGTTACATAATGATGTTCATACGCATCTTTTCAGTTATGTTTTTTTTCGAGTTGGCATTGGTGTTGGATGCATGTACAACTCACTGTTTAGATGATGGATATCTACTGCGGTTGTACTTGTCGCATGATGCAGGCATGTAGGCATCCGAGCTATGATCCTTGGTTTTGTTACCATGTTCACGAAACACATCGTCAATTTCAACAGCATTGAATCCAGTACTGTCATCTGCCCCGCTCGGAAATTCACTCTTGTTTGATAGTTTAATAGATTTTACACGATTACGATGGATCGCTTGAAGCAAAATCTCAATAAATATTGTGGATGGAACACTACCACCTAAACTATCATCATCACCCTGATCTAGCACACGCGTATCACCTCGGTCCGCCCCAAGAATGGAATGATCAAGCAAAATGCCCACTTCAAAGTCCGTCCATTTCTGTACAATTGTGTTCTAATTAGTGCCTCAAAGCACGCGCCCAGCCGAGGAACTCGTGCTGCGGTCGTTGGTCTGCACCTTCTTGAGACCCCGTCCAGCTTGAATGGATGCAAGCAGAGCGGAATGAGCTCCACCCGCGACGCCAGGGGCAGGGGGCGCAGGGGGAGGGGGGGCTCCTGGAGGGGCGCCCGGAGGAGGCGGAGGTGGAGCTGCAGGAGCACCAGGTGCAGGAGGAGGGGGGGGAGGTGCTGCGAACGGAGCGCCTCCCGGGGGCGGAGGCGGAGGAGGCACGGCACCGGGAGGGGGAAAAGGGGGAGCAATTAGGGCACTGTCTCCGGCCTCGGGCTCGATAGCGGAAGATGCGAGAGTCGCGGGAGGAAGAGGAGGGGGCGCAATAGGGCTGGCCTGGACAGGTGTAGCGGACTTGTCTTCATCCATTGCACTCAAAGGGCGCGGTGGTGCCATGGTACCGAACAGGATGCTGGCAAGCTGCTTGGCGCTGCCACCGCCGGGCCGCTCATTCTCATCATCAGACGACTCAATATCGGAGCCGGCATTGGACCAGTCATCAGCCTCCTCAGGGCGTGTACGGGTCTTGCGTTCCAAAGGTCCGGCTCCAGTGAAAGTAGGCTTGGAAGCTTCTTGCTTCTCTTGTTGAGCGAGGCGGTGGAACGGGTTGGTGGACTGGGCCGCGGGCGAAGTTGCTTGGATCGGCTCAGTGGTTTGTCCAAGGGACTTGAAGTAAGGGTTTTTCGACTCCGCGTCAGCTGTAGCAACGGGAGCTACAAATCCTTCAACTGGGGAGGTAGCCGGGCTGGGGGCCTTCTCGAGCTTCGGGGGCAGAGGCCGCTGGGGGCTCTGGTACAGAATCAGTAGGGACAGGTGGTGCGGACAGAAACTGGCTCTGGGTGGGAGTGCTGTTCTGGGGAGTGATGCTCTCAGGCCCTTCATCGTCTGAGGAGCTTCCGTCATCCAAACCCTCCAGCTCGCGCTGTAACTGGCGCTCACGTTCCCTAGCAGCTTCAAGTTCAGCACGCTGAGCTTCCATCTTGGCCTCCTGCTCCTTAGCCATGCGAGCAGCTTCTTCCCTGCGGCGTTTCTCTTCCTGCTTCTTGATTTTGCCTTGTCGAACCTGCTCCTCAAGGGCTTTGAGGCGAGCTGCCTGGGCTTCTTTCTCCTTTTGGAAATCATCGGCCTCAGATCTGTAATTAAGTCAGCAATAGCACCATTATGGGAGATGGAGCCAAGACAAGCTTACTCAAGACGCTTTGTCTCCGCCTCCTGTGCCTCCTGCTCCTCCTTGATGGCCTGCTCACGAATAGCATGCTCTGCCTTGGCCTCTTCGGCCTTCTTAGCATCAGCCTGGCCGGCACTATCAGTTCGGGCTCTGCGAGTAGGAGGTGCCGGAGGTGGCTTCTTGCCAGCAGCCTTGGGAGCTGCGGCACTAGGACCACCCCTCTCCTCAGCCAAACGGCGCTGTCTCTCAACCTCCCTCTTAGCATCTTCTTCTTCAGCACGCCTGACGCGCTCTTCGCGTTCTCTCTTCTCTCGTTCCTGACGCTGGGCCAAAGTTTCGGTCGAATCGGCAGGCTTCAGGCCGACAGCGGCCATCCGCTCTGCGATGCGCTTCTGTGCACGCTCCCTGGCAGCTGCCACACGGTCCTCGTGCGTGTTAACGGGAGTAGAGCCCGACGAGCCGGTCGAAGCGGGCACAGACGGCCGTGCAGCAGGTGAATCGGAAGCGGGGGATCCATGACGGGGTCTCTCATGGAGAGATCTTTCTCGCCTGTTTCATTTTATTAGCTTGATCCTCCATTCTTGATGATCCTCGATGTAACATACTCTTCTTTGCGGATGCTGGCAGTCCGGCTGTTGCGGCTAAGGTCATAGATGAAGTCACGGGTGATTTCTTCAACGCCCAGGGCATCCTCCCATCGTCGCTTTTCATGCTCACGAGTGGAGTTTTGTCCTTCTTCGCGGAGACTGTCCTCCAAACTGCGGGTGAAGTCCCGGACACTTTCCTCGACATCACGGGTCATAGTTTCGTTGCGCTCCCGCTCAGCCTTGACATTTGCACTCTCAGCCTCCAGTCGGCGAGCAGCCTGTCCATCATCATCTTCAGTGGCGGGGGCTGGGCGGCCAGCCAACTCAGCAGCGCGGGCTTGCATGCGGGCACGAGCGCGAGCCTTGATGCGATCCGACTCGGTCACTGCACCGCCTGGTCCAGTGCCAACAATGGTCTGAGCGCTACCAGGATGGGCTTTGGCATCCTTCAGGCGGAAAAGCTCAAGCTTGGCATCGGATATCTCACGCTCAACGCGTCGAACTTCAGATGCGACCTGTGGAACCTGGTCCTCGTAGGACTGGAGCTGACGACGAAGAGCCCTACGCTCCGCCCCGGTATCCAATTGACGGAACGAAGCATTGGGGTGGGTGTCAATGTCATCTTGCACACGACGAATACGGTCCATGAGGCTCTCTGCCTCACGGCGGTCCTGGCGATCAAGAGCCTCGTCGTCCTCAGCCCGGTTCTCGTCCTGAAAGTCAACGGCGTCTAGCATCACCTTGGCCTCACGGATCTTCTTTCGCAGCTGGTCCACTGACAGCTCGTCTCCCTCTGAAGTCTGGGAGGCACCGGGCGATGGAGTATGGGCGTCGTTACCAACACGATGGCGGGCACTTGAACGGTAGCCGCCCGCGGCATCATTGTTCTTGAACATCGTCGCATCCTTACGGCTGGCTCCGGGCTGTCCACTACCACCACGGAACGAGTGATCCTTGAGATAGCTGACACCGGTCTTCTGGGGCTGCAAGAAAGCTCCGGATGCCTTCCGCGATTCGGCATCCTGGGACAAAAGGGACTTGACTGTACCGATAGAATCATTCAAGTGTCTTGTGGACGGGGAATGAGCTCTGGAGGGAGACGGCTAGGCACCGGATAACCGTTCAAAGCCCGATAGATCAAATGCATGGCAACAGCGAACTCATCCATGTTGAGACGGCCGCGATTGTGAGGGTCGGCCAAAGTCCAGATTCGCTCCAAATCCTTCCTGTTTAATCCACTTTGACCCATGATCTCAATGGCAGTTTCGCCGCCAATGAATCCCTTGCGGAATCCATCCCAGGCACGAAACAGATCGTCATAAATTTTCTTCTCTTCCTTAGTGATGGCCCAGGCAACTGTGGCATTGCCGGAAAGGTTGGCCATGTTGAAACCACCCTCGCGACCGGGTTGAGGCATGAGCTGCTGCTTCATAGCCTCGATATTGGGCAACCCTTGTGCGGGGGTGTTGATAAAGCCCCACTGACCAGGAATACCAGTAGGCTGTGCTGTGAGCCCAGTAGGTTGCACACCTAGGCCACCAGTCTGTGCAGGGCTGAGGTTTGAGGCAAACCCAGTAGGCATTGGGGGCATTGGGGGCCGAGGACCAGTGTACCCCGTAGCTTGCGGGTTACTCATGAACCCTGTCTGTTGCGATTGGAGGAACTGTGCCTGATTCTGCCCTGGGATGCCGGTCTGTTGAGGCTGCATGCCAGTAGGCTGAGAGAAGAATCCGGTGGGCTGTGCAGTCAACTGGTTCAGTAGCTGAGTATTGCTCGCCTGTTGGGGCTGGGGCTGCTGCACGATAGGCGGGGTCGACTTGTTCTCCAGAAGAGGCGCATCAAAATTGGGCGCATTGGTTCGCGGCGCTGGCGGTGGTGCCGAGTCGGGCACATCGAAGGAGATAATGTCAACCATGCTAGATACCTCATTCTTGATCGTCTCAGGCAAAGAGGTAGGCACTTCACGGCCAGTCAGACGCAAATTACACAGGTACATAGCCAGTGCGAACTCGGGAAAGAACAATTGTCCTGACTTAGTGGTATCTGACAAAATCCAGATCTTGGAAAGGTCGGCACCTGGGAGCTTGGAGCGCAGGAGAAGATCCCGCGCTTTCTCGCCTGATAATGGTGGTCAGCAAATGGCCGTTGTTCCGACGGAAAGATCCAGACAGGCACATACCGTCCAATGTCTTTTCATTGCCAACAGCAGTTCTGAATAGCTGCTCAAACTTGGCCTGATCCTGTGCTGTGATGAAAGAGAGCCGGATACTCGGGATCTTTGAACCAGTCTTCGGTGGCACTTGCGGGGGGTTTCCGGTGGCACCGGTATCTTGGAAGGAGTTTGCGACATCAAACGAAGTCTTCAACCGGGAAGGGAGCCCCGTAGCCTGGGGGAGCTGAAGTTGAGGGAGTGGTGGCTGCGCCTGGCTCTGAGGCTGATTCTGAGGGGGAAACCGGTATATTGAGGCTGCAGATTTTGCGGCTGTTGGAATTGCTGCTGCGATTGTGGTAGTTGCTGTCCAGGGAAGCCAGTGAACTGCGGCTGGAGCTGTCCCACGGGGAATCCGGTGGGTTGAGGTTGAAGCTGCGAGTTACCAAATGGCGACGGTTGTCCGGCAAAGCCAGTTGGTTGCGGCGCAAATCCCGTCGGCTGAGGCTGCTGCATTGGCGGCTGCTGTTGGCCCTGAGAGAATTGCGAGTATGTTGGCTGTTGCTGCTGTTGCTGCTGTTGCTGCATGAATGGTGCCTGGCCTGGGCGGCCACCTGCACCACCGCCGAGGAAGGAATTCGACGAGGAGAACATTATTAACACGTCGCTCGCATGGAAGAAAAAGATGCAGAAGAACCGCGGATAGATCACAAAGGGAAAAAGGAATGCAGATAGCCCAGGGGAGATTGAGTCTCAGGAGCAACGGAAATGACGCTGTAGCAGGGACACGCGGAGGGACGCTAGCTCAATTGGGAGCTTAGTCATGACTACCCCGGCGTAATCTATTTTCAGGGTGCACGAGGTGAAGAAGTCGAGATTGGGACAAGACGGAGATTATGCCAGAATTTGAGTCACAGAAGTATGGGAAGGACCTATGTTCGACGCGACTGCTACTAGGCCTCACACGACAGGCCGTGAAGAAATGCCGTTGACGTGAAATGCTCTCATGATGATTTCGTGGAGAACTCCGAAAGGCTGTAAGAGGGCAAAGCTATCTGAATTTCAGTGGTATCGTACTAGATACATGGCATCAACGTGGATGCAAATCATAACCATCATTAGTGTCCCCCGTGGGAACGAGCAAAAAAAAGCACCAAGATCTTGGACTGGATAACCCAGTCAGCATTTTGAAGACGAAGTACTAAATGAGCCTTGAGACCGCTCCATACGCCAGATAAAAACCAAAGGAAAGAGAATGACCGAAGATGAATCTCAGCATCGATTCGACTTAAAGTCGACTTCCATGTTTGACTGGATATCGCTTAATCGGTCTGCTGCTGGTTGGCAGCGTTGGCCATCTTGCGCAGCTCATACTCCTTGGTGAATTCGCGAGACAGCGTGCCCAAATCCTGGATTAATGCTTTAGAGGCAGTGATCACCGCTTGGCGTGGTGTGATTTCACCATCAGTCTGGACGCGCAACAGGAAGTTGGGGGTCAAAGGGTGAGGAATCTAGTAACGCAAAGTCAGTGTCGATCTAAAGTCTCAAATGAGCGGCCAAAGATGTTCCTTCTTACCTTGTAGGCGGCGAAGACGACGTGGGGAGTTTTCAGGAGACGAGTGCGAAGCATGTTACCGAGGGTATGGTCCTCCTTGTGAAAAGTAAAGATAGCGGCAGAGGGAAGGCCTAAGCTTCATCGTTAGTGAAGCTGCTCACTCTCATTAATTAAGGGAGACTCACGAGTGTCAATCTCGACATCGATCTTGTTCTCGCCAGGGCCAAGCAGAATGGCCTCGTAACTGTGATCAAGTCAGACAAAATCGGGAAATAGAATGCAAAACGATGCGAGGAAAGAAAAACGCATGAACAAGATGAGTTACAAAGAGACTGACGGGTCCTCGGCGATCCTCCACCTGAGATGGGCCTAAATGGCGTGGGCAGGACGATCTCGGCGTCCAGCACGATCTTTCGCAATGGCATCAGTTGCCAAGACGATCTTGAAGGGGTTGGGGCTCGACATCTCTGCAGTTTCGGGCAGATCACAGGAATATTTTGAGGCCAAAGATGGGGATGTGTTGGGAATGGGGTAGTGTGAAGAGCTTCGAGGTACAGACTGGAAAGAGTCTTGAGGTGCAAACAGGAAAGTGCCTTGAGGTACAGACTGGAAAGAGCTTCGAGCTGCGGGCTGATGAAAGGTAGGATCCTGGTCCAGAATATCTTGGGGGATCTCATCCGGCAAAAGTGGAGGAAGAGTCCTTTCTACAGCAGGTCCAGACAGGTCCAAGGTGCCCTCAAGATTCTCCTCCAGGTTCCGGTGCAAATGCTCGTCGAACACTGCTCGACTGGGACACTCGTCGTAAACAGGGGAAGGAGCCATGACGGAGGGTCTCGATACCAGGCGAAATGAATGTTTGATACGGGAAGGCGCCAAAGTGGAAGGTGCCAATGTCAGGTTGCCCGCGGTGGTGGAAGAGAGAGACCTCGAAGATGGTCCGTGACAAGTTCAAGACTTCTTCACAACCAAATGCGAAGGCCTTTCTTGCACTCTTCAACCACACCTCTCGAGCTCATCCTGTGGCCCACCCCGGCCAAACATTGCGAAACACAAACGCCCTCTTCCACAGCCCGCAACCGGCCCATCCCATGTCGTTGACGCATTGCAACAACAAGAAGAAAAAAGAGCAAATGAATAACCAAGAACATTTCACTTACCGATCCGGTGCGTTCATATTGTCAGAACGTGTTATCACAACGACGGGCGATTATGGATGCCGAGGATGTCGAGGCTTTTCAAGTGCTGTTCGTGGCCGTTCAGTCTCAATGGGCGGCTTTAAGGTCGACTACCAATCGTCTTTGTAGAATTGTTGCCGCTGCGAGACCGAGTTGCGTTTGCGCACCTCGCTGTCTAAATGGCCAACCGCCTAAACGTCCAAATATCGACCAGGTTCTGGTTCCTCCAAGGCCGAGAGCTCAAGCGCGGAAGTGAGGACCGCGTCAGTGTCCAATATGAGCTTGGCGAACGGTTGGGTCCTGGCTGGTGCAGGGTCAAAGTCGATGTGGTTGGATGAAAGTGTCGAGATTCGACAGTCAAAGATATGGTATCAGCACGTGATACACGTCTACTATATCACGTGACATCAATCGCTCTACTATGGTCATTGAAAGATGGGACGAGATACGAAATTCCTCGGTTCGGTCTGAGAATATCTATTTATCCGAAATACTTGATCTGTGAAAACACAGAACATAAGGTCTGCTCGCGAATGACCCTGCTTTAAGGATTATCTTCGTTTCTCTACACTACGCAGCGCGGAAAGGCGGAACATTCAAGTTCAAGAACTTCAATTTCTGATCCGCATGTGGTTTTTTCTGAGCTCCTGAGATACACGATATCAGGCTTTAGATGTTTCCAGAGTTTTGTGAAGCCTTTCAAAGGAAATTTGCGCATGTGGCGCCGTCACTCGAAATCAAACCCGAGTCGCATCTCAATAGTATTGAAAAGGTCTTGTCCGCGAGGGTGATGTAGAAGGAGGTTTGGGCTGAGACGAAGAGTATGAAACAAGCCCCTAACATTCCTGATAGACTTTCATTCCATCAGGACCAAAAGATCTAGCAAATGTCTCACCAGAAAACCTCCTAAACGCATTATCACCCTCCGCATGCTCCTCAGCCCACGCCCGATATGCACTCCAGTAAATGATCGGGCTACCAGCACACATTTCACTCCAGCTTGAATTCGCGATGAAAAGATTGATATAAGTTAGCTCCGCCTCATCCAAATCTCCTCTTTCATAACCATATCCAGTCGATATGTGGCCATAAGTATTTAGCATATCATCGTGAAACCAGACATCACCTGCTTCATAAGAAGCGACGATAATAGACTCAAAATCATCCCGATCATCAATCGGCTCCATCGCATCACGAAGAGTCCGGCGATCAACTGCAAGAAAATTGTTTGGCGGAGGGTGTCTACCAAACGCTCCGGATTCAAAGTAATTGAGCAACCCCTGCATATCCGGTGACACTAGTCGATCTGATACGTCAACCCACATCCAATTCTGATCAGTAACCGTGAACATCTCCGATTGAATCTTGCGGAGCTCGGTCGGAGTCATCGCTTCCAAGACGAAGACGACATCCGTGGCCAGACTCCCGGCAATGTTGTCCGGGTTGACGATTGGCTCTCCTCCAACCATCGGTATTTCATACATGGCTGGGTTGTACCTGTATGAGCCTCTGGGCAAATGAGTCGGGATGTGACTTTCTGGATTCCAGCCTGCATTCCAGGATTGTTTGACTTTATCAAAGGGCAGGGTATACAGCTCAAGTTTGTTGGCCGTAGGATCTGCGATGTTTGGACCGCTAGACCCCTTTGCTATGACGATATGATAGCCCTCTGCGTCATCATCAATGAAAAGTGCGAAGGCCTGGTCGTTACCTTCGCGGCATATTTTCAGCGCTTGAAACATTCGGTAGAGCTGCGCGCGGGAACATGGCTCTTGACTCTCTGGCCAGTTATGAATGGTTGTGGGACAGCCGATCATTGACTCGATGTTTTCTTGAACTGTTTTCGAGAGGTGCACCAGAGAGATTAGCGTGGGAGTGGATGGCTCGAGACTCAACCCCGAGAGATGGGATGGAAGCACTCCACTGAATGACTACGTATTTTTTTTCAGCAAATGATCGTACAATAGAACATGATGGGAGAAGCCTAGCTTTACCTGGACGGCTTCTTCTTCCTCCGGCTCTGATGAAATTCGAGTATAATCCGCTGATAATCCGCCGCTGGCAGCTATGCCCAGAAGCAGGTTGGCTCGCTCGATTGGTACGCGAGCAGCCTCGGCGCCTGATTCCTTAGAGGTCCTCCAGGCGATGATCGCCGAATGGTCCGTTCGGGACTGATCATCAATGAAGATGAGAGGATCCTCTTTCAACATGGTGAATATGACAGATGTCGGTGGGGTATAATTCATCAGCCAAGGAATCTCGACCAGACGTCGCATCCCATTTTGGGGACTATCTGGCCACTCCTCACCCATGGAGCTGAGCTTGGTCATCATGGCAATCCGCTCTGCGTCCTCTAGGGGACAGATAAACACCACAAGCCATGTTGGAGGTGTGCCAGGCTTGTGTCGACCGGAAGTATAGATGCTAGGGAGCAGCCAGGATGGAGGGGCGGGGGCTGCCATGTTTGTCTGTGGATTGGAAGGGACGAAATCCTAGAAATCTGTCTCAGATTTGAGGCTCTTTAGAGACCCACCAAAACACGTGAGGCCATATTGCCTAGGCAATTAGTCTAAGTATATCTACCAAAATGTGATACACAATAGTGTACAGTGAGTTTCCATGAGTTGAAAGAGATAGTATGCCATTGCTTCTTATGTTAACCAACCATGATGACAATTTCAATGTGTCTACGTACGTGATTATCAAATTTTCTTCTCGTTCTCATTCTTCCGTCCTGAAAGCCCTTTTAAGATGATGTTTGATTGCTTGTTTTGAGAGGTATATAAGTCTGGGATTCGCAAGTTGATGCATGACAGCCTGCCTATTGGCTATATTGTTTTGCTTGTCTCAGGCGCTACCGAACGGAGACCCCCAGAGGTCTGCTCTAGAACAATGCACAATTCACATCATAAGACAGTTGAAGATATGAGGGCTCTTGCCCGAAATGAATTATACGAGTCCCCCAAAATCTCGTGAAAAGACTCATGTCAGCCCTAAGGAGCAACGCAAGAATGCATGCCATGAACAATTAATGAACCAAAATAGAACATGAATATGAAGGAAAAATGAAAACGCCATGCCAGCCCTGCGCCAATGCCAAGAAGATGTAACAGTAAGGACATATGTATTCATACTTGAGATGCACCATCTGCCCCTTCAAGATGGCCATGCAATGGAAAAATTCGGGAACAAAAGAGGTATGGCTTGAGCTTCGAAGGAGGGGAGATTAAAAAGCTCGAAGCCGAAGCCGAGTTGGATGTATGTGCGTGATTTTCATGTCATGGCGAGCGCAAAATTGAGAACAACAGGGTTTCTATACAGCGGCGCCGTGATCCGTCTCATTTGATGCATGGTATATTGAAGGATGATGTAATGGGATGAAGGAGTTGGTTTAGTGCACGACACTCAGCAAGTCTCCGAGGGGGTTGGTTCCTCGCTTCAGCTTCCAGCTGTTCTTCTTTTTGTCGCGCTTCTTCATCATGTCGGCCCACGCTTCGTCGTCATCGTCATCGTCGGAGGTGTTTTGGGCCTTGCGGCCAGCCGCTGAGCGACCCGGTGAAACCGGGCGGACAATCACGGTAGCAAGGGACGATGACTTTGGTAGATGGGGCTGCGATTGAGAATTATGCAGTCCGGGACGCTGATTTTCATCTGCCCAGCCCTTCAGGTGCGATGAAGCACCTGCGTTCTCCCCGGCATGACTGATACAGGCCGGTAACGAGAGGCGAGGCCAGCGTTACTACGTTCTGAAGGAGCGATTGATGAGGCGTAGCCCGGGTTTGGAGGTTGGAATGGTGGCCCAGATAGATTGGGCAATGGCGAGCCAGTGCGACGCACGGCAACGTTTGGGTCCAGCATGCTGAGAGCGCGATGGTCGAAATGGGGATTGGCACTAGGGGCCGGACCCGGCATGGAGACTGGCCTAGCTCCCATGACTGAAGGAGTGCCTGCCGTCGACGGTGGGCCTGCCATTGGGAAGCCAGCCATGGAGGGAGGGCCCATCGGAGGTCCAGCCATCGGCATACCACCCATGCTAGGAGGGGCAAGCATGCCGTTTTTCGTCATCGGAGGCGGGGTACCAGGCACACCCTGCATTTGCATTTGCATCTGCATCCATTGCATCTGCATTTGCATCATGTCTGCCATTTGGCGAGACAGCTGCAGCTGAGCCTGCTCGTTAGGATTCATTGGTTGCGGCCCCATCATTGAGAACGGTCGAGGCACTTCGCCCATGTTGTACATCGCCTGGGTATTCGGACTGCCCCGTCGCATTGCACGAGCCCGCTCCTCGTTGGCAATCACATTAACCAGGCCTCCCGGATGAGGTCCTGGTGAGGAGGCCCCCCCATACACCGAGCCCGATCCTCCACCCATAGCGAGAGACTCGCGATCAGGCCCAGCGACCAGGCCAGCTCCATAATAAGGATCCCGAGGAAGAGCTCGGGCGAAAACAGGCAATCCACCCCGGGCCCCTTGTTCGGCACCAACCACTGAGCTCGAAGACGACGCATACGGGGGTTGCATTGACGCACGAAGGTTCGGGTTGGAGCTGGCATTGATCAAGCGAGAGGGTGGACGATTGCGATTCGGGAACCCGTGAGCAGCAAGGATACCCAAGGGGACGTCCTCGTCATCCTCCTCGTTGCTCTTACCACTGGAGGTGTTGCCGATAGAACCAGACAGTCGGTTGAAATTGGAAACGCTGCTGCTCCCTCCACTCATAACGGGACGAAGGAATGGCGATCCTGCTTGTTGTCCAGTCACTTTCATCATCTGCTGGCGATAGACCGACATGTGAGCCTCCTGCTTGCGCCGCTGTCGTTCCGCCTCGCGCTGCTTCTCAATCTCGTCTTCTTCATCGAATCCGTTTCCTTCCTCTTCTTCTTCGTCTTCACTCTTGGAAGCACTGCTGTTGGCTCGCCGCAGTTCCTGTTGCTGGCGGTAATGCTCAAATTGAGAGGGTGTCATAACCTTGTTGCCCGGGGAATTCGTCTTGGGCATGTTCTCGGCGTATTGAACCGCGAGTCGCGCGTGGGCAGCAATGGTCGGATCAGGCTCATTTCGTTCCGCGAACATCGATTCAGGCTCCGGTTTCACATCATGAGGACTGACAGTTTTACCTTGATAGAAGAGGGGTGTGTTGTCGGTCACTGGCGGAGAGTTCTCTTTGCTCCACAGCAGGGATTGCCTGACCATTTTTGCATCCTCATCATCAATCGGACTACCGACTGGTCCGCCCGAGTAGATTCCACTCCGGCGAAGACTATTGTAATCCGACCGTGGTCGTTCGAGTGATCGATGATTAGTTGTAGCACCCAGCGCCTGGGATGAACCTGGTGATGCCCTGCGGAATCCTGCGTCCGCGTTGTTGGCGGACGAAGAATTGTCAATTACTAAGTCGCCCATTCGCGCGACATCGGGATCATTGAGCAAATTATCGTCGGAATGACGGGAGCGTTGGCTGTCCCATGAGTACGGTGACGGTTCAACGGCCGAAGATTGATCGATTTTCAAAGGAGCAGGTCGTGGTACCCTTCCACTACCACCGGCCTGGAACTCAGGCAGAGCCTGTGTGGGTGGGGACGAGGAGTACTGTACCACTATTAGCATTGGCCCACGTGTTTCCTCATCAATGGGAGCGTCGTACCTGCTTAGATCGCCGAGGAGATGGGTCCCGCAACATGGCGCTGTCCCGTTTGCCTAGATGGTCAAACATCTTCCCAAAGTCATCAGTGCTTTCAGCTCCAAGATCCGGCCCGAGGTTGAAATGCCCATCCGCCAGCTTCGGCGGTGTAGCTGTGCTATCCGTACTGGCAGTTTGGGCCCGTCTCGTCGATGCATCGGGTGTAGCGGTTCTGGGCATAGCCGCAGGTGAATTTGATTTGCCGAATCGGCCACCGAATGAAAATGTCCTGCCTGCAGCAGCGCGTAAGCCTGCTGCAAGTGGAGGCGGAGCGGGGATATCGTTCATTCTTGAGTGCGGGGATGAGGCCTCATCGGGTGGTGGTACCTCGGTGGAGGATGGTAAAGTCGACGAGGAACTGAGTCGGGTCGAAGTTGAGCTCTCGTAAGTTGGACCACTATAATTGCGACGGATTAGTCGCTTCCTAAGAGATTCCTTGGGTCGGCAGGGGCCATACCGCTTCCTCAGGGGTTGCTCGGTTCCGGCGAAAATGTTGTCGGAATCCTCCACGGTTGCGGGTACGGCATTTCCCTCACTCATGCGCTTGCTTAAAGGCGCCCCATCTGTCATTGATCTATGCGGACCTGGTCGCTCGAAGACACGGAAGGAGGGCTGTTGTTGTGCATCCACCTCTTCCAGAATGTTCCCGGACGACTTCCGGCGACCACCAAACGTCTTGGGCAGCTTAATAGGCATGGTTATGGATGTTGTGAGAGCAACAAATAAATGATTGAGCGCCTCCTTTACTCGATCGCTGCTCCCATTAAGGTAGACCTGTTCCTGGGGGGGGGGGGAATTGATCACTTCAATGGACGTGTCAGATGCAGGTGAAGAGGAGGGAAGAGGAACGGTGGGCAAGCCGACAGATCGGCGGTTGCAAGGGGAAACGGATATTTGCAAGAACAAAGAAAGCTCAGGGGAGACGGAGCCTTAGGCTTTGGGGCGAAGCGAATCCCTAAAGAAGCTTCTGGTACGGAGATAACAGCCTGCGACACACTTTGCTCTAGCGGCTGATCGGGCCCGTCTGGAATCCACCCTGTGGGTTGCGATCTGGTCGCGTACACGACAAACCAATTTTAACCCTAGTTCCTGTTCCCTGGTCCCTGATCCGGGGTTGAAAATGGGATGTGGCGGCTTGAAAGCTTCCCTTGGCGTGAAAAGGAAGGAAATCAGATGAACAACAGAAAGAGGAAAAAAATCAACACCACCCGGGTGAGACCCAAAATGGTGACAGTCTCAATTTGGTCTCCGCCGAGATTCAACAACGAGCAATGCGTGAGCAAATCCGATCCGAACGGGGACCTGAGTGGGGAGTGGAGCAGATGTCGGGTAGGACCCTTCTCGGTTCGTAGGAATGAGGCACGGAAAAGGAACCCAAGAATGAAGAATGATGCCGAGGGAGAATGCGAAGAGAAAGAATGAGAGGCGAAAAGAGAAAAAAAAACTAAGGGACGCCAAACCAACGCCCACCAGAGTCTAGTCCCTGCATTATTGTCCAGAGACCGAATGGGATCCGACGGTGGTCATAACTAGCGTCAGTCACTAACTACAATGACTGCACTACTGTACCATTGTCGGAGGCCAATGATACCGATGGATTCCAGTGCGTGAAAACAGAAGTCGAGGCCGGATCGCGCCATGTGAAACCTTTTGCTATACATAGCTGGCCTTAAGGGGAAAGCTAAAAATAAACAAACCATTACTCATCGTCCCGCATACGGTGCCATCAAAACAAAACGATTGTTTGCGTTCTAGATCGATCATCGGACATTTCGTTTCGCAGACATATATGTAGCTGGAATCAGAGCCCCAGCAGAGGATTGCATCCCAGACTAGACCGACTCAGATCATGCCACAACTCACGTGACATGCACAAGTCGGGTGAGCGTCGCTCATTGTAGCCAGTTGTACGACTTCACGACACTCGGATGGTCACACACAGGATTCGACCTCGCCCATGAACAAGACATGGCGGTACAGCTTGACAATCACGTCATACCATTCTTCGCAACATCAACATTCGTACCTCACAGGAGACAACCTAGAAAAACATCATATACTATCTTACAAACTCGCAAAAAAAAAAAGACAGAATGCTAGATCCAACGCTCCAGCGTCTGGCTGATCTAATCATCGGGATTGTGAGCAGTGGAGGATTATTTGGCGAAGTGGAGATCGTAGTTCAACCACTTGCGGGCATTGACACCATCCACGTCCAGTCCGGGAAGACCGTAAGTCAAGGGCGCATAGAAGCAGAAGCCCCAGATAGTGGCACCCAGAATGACAGCCGTAGCAGCCCATCCGGCAAGAAGCGATCGAGCGCCCATGCGCTCCTTGGCCGTGACGAAGCGACCGACGCTGCGACTGACCTTACCCTTGGCCTTGCCTGACGGGTCATCGATAGGAGTCTTGCCAGAATCGGGGTCGAGAGGCTGCAAATTGAAGATAAACTCAACCAGGGCGCCAGTCACCATGGTAGACGCCAGATGCGAGGGCAGGTAGTGGTGCAGGAAGCGCTGGCGGCCCATCAGCCAGAAGGGGAAGTAGTGGGCGGCCCAGCACAGGAACAGGAATCCAGTGCTGTTGTACAGACGCGAGCGGGTGCCGGGACCCCAGACTAACAGAACTGTTAGCCATCTATATTTCAAAGAAAATGAGAATGTAAGTACTTACTTTCTTCCAAAGCATCCACCCCACGGCGAAGAGAGAGCTGGTCAGCTCCCACGATGCCGGCAAACACAGCCAAAAGACTGCTGGCAATCCACCATCCAATGGGGTTACCCAGGAAGTAAATCTGTTCACGGGTCTCGTTCTTGGTCCAGAAGCTCACACCGCGCAAAAGGAAGGGCCACTGGAAGGGCTCGGTAGCATAAGGGTGGCTGCTGGTCAGAGCGTTGTTGTGGTGGAACATAGCGCCCTGAAGCTCAAAGTATTTGCGGAGGAAAGACATCGTCTTAGGCTTGCGCTCCTGGCGAATGAGACGGGGGCTATCCTCCGCCAGGCCATCGATAGTCTCGGCAAACCATGTGTTGCTGGACTGCAGGATGTTCTTGTTTCCGTTGATCTCGGCCTGCTTGAAGCCCCAGTCGGGGAGCGGGGTGGTGTGAGTCCACATAGCCACACGGGTGGGAACGTGAACGAGCTTAAACAAGCTAGCAAAAGTGCGGAACTCCTGGGCGGGTTTGCCATTCTCGATCTTCAGCTCGAAAAGAGTATCGTTGTGGCGCTCTCCATCAGCCAGTTCCTTGGAGACAGTGGTGAACTCCTGGTTGGTAGGGAAGAAGGGAGAGGCGACATCATGAGTCAGGAGGTAAGAGTCAGTGCCAACGTGACGGAGCTGGATGACATCTCCGTTCAGAACACTGGCGGCCTGGCCCTCGGGGAGTGCCTTGGTAGGCAGAATCTGCCAGAAATTGTTGGTGTCGTTGTGGGGGTACCCAGTAACCTGCTGGCCCTGGCTGGAAATACGACCATCGTCGTAGCGAAGAGGATACTTCTCCCAGTGGCTATGAAGAAAGACCTTGGTGTCCTTGTGACGCATGCTGATGCTGTCAAAATACTGAACACCGACAGACTGGGCAGTCATCGCGTTGTCACTCAATGTCTCCTGGAACTCGGGCGACATGAACTCATCACCGGGTCCAGAGCGGGTAAGGACAGCAAAGTGAACCTGGAACCAGAAGAGATAGAAAAAGAAGGGAATAACGATGAGCGCAACGCCACGAGCAACAAAGTGCTTAATCCATGTGACCATATCGAGAGCACCCTGACGGCGGTTGATATCCAAAAGGTTCCACAGATCAATCATGACGGCGGCACCAACAGTAACGAAAGTAAAGAAGCCGACATACTTGGTCGAAATAACGCAGCTCATGCAGAATCCTGTCAGAAGAAGCCACTTCCACCACTTACGTCCGAAAGGCTCGTGTCGCAACTTGTAAAACTTGACGTAGCACAGCACACTCAGAGCCATAGACAGAACCAGAGTGGAGTCGAGGAGGATCAGACGATCCTCGCCAACGTGAGCGTTGTCGAAGACCATGAGACCAGCAGACAGCACACAGGCCGGAAGCGAGTAGCCCGATTCCCACATGGTCATGAACACAACGGGAATCGTCATGGCACCAAGTGTGGCAGGCATAGCGCGAAGAGCCAAGTAGGGCACCTTGTTCTCGATGTACGAGTCACCAATGTTCTCGAAGAAGAAGTGTCCATCGTAACCAATCAACCAACCCATGAAGGCGAAAAGCAGTTTTCCGAACGGGGGGTGAACATCGAAGAAGTACATGCGCTGGAGATAGTACGAGGCGAACTGATAAGATCCAACAGGTCAGCCAAGGGGGTTCGCTGTTCTCAATGCCGAGGGCGTCGCGAAGCTGCTGCAGTGCCTACCTTTCCAAAGTGAACCTCGTCAAAGACGACCTCGTTGGGGTAATCAATGCGATAGAAACGAGTCGCAAAAGCCAACACAGTCAGAACGCCCATGGCCAGCCAATAATCCCATTCCGACTGGAGCTTGCCGGCCTTTTCGGCGCGCGACACTGGGATCATCGAGCCATCATCCGAAGGAAGAGCCGTATACGCCTCCTTCTTTCCACCTCTCTTACGTAGAGAGGATGAAGGGGACGACATGTTGAGAAATTAAGAAATGAAAGGGAGTGACCGTGAAACCAGCTAAAGTAAATAGACTTCTCAAGACGTCAAGTGTTAGTCGTCGGAAGCAAAAACCCGAGTGTAACAGTGACTTCGTGTCAGGGACGACTTACCAGGATCACCAAACGTACATGGCACCCAAGCAAAGAGGCCAAGAGAGCTGTAGAAGAAGGGTTCGGAGGGGGCGGATTGTTGGTTGCGTGTCTTCTTGTCCGAAACAAGGCGGTGGGCGGCACCTCTATACCAGCTCCTACCAATCACGTCCGTATTGTCTGCAGGCCTACGACTTTGAGGCGAGGTGAAATGGGCCGAGGGGCATCAAAAGCTAGAGATGCATCAGTTTCCAATCGACGAATCCGTGAAAGGAGATTTTCCATGGCATTGAATCACAAGCCCCAAGCTTCATACATTGTGTTGTTGATGCTTGAAGCAAATTGGCAGTAATAGGAAATTGGAACCATCTCCACGTAGACTGCTAAGTAAGATCAAATTTCATCAAATTTCCATTGCAGGTAAAGATTTGATCGCGTGCACAACAAGAATTGAGACTGTTTCAAGTAAATTCCGATTGAACGATCGAGGTCAGTACAAACGATCCTGCCCCAACTTATGTAGATGAACTGATGTGTATCATGCAAATTTGGCCCACGAGCACCTGATGATAAACTTCGAGCTTGGAGGCCCAAGGAAGACACAATTTCACTGTTTCTACTCAAGTCATTTACCAGAATCACCCATAATCAAGAAAGGGGCAAGGTTCCCCAGGTTCTTAAACAGATCGCGGTGTTGGGAGCTTGACACCGGTCCCGGGCAGCGAATATTCGTTCCTAAGGGCTCCAGGCTAGGGTGTTCGTGTTGCTCAGTATGATTAACAAGCGGGGCGGGCGCTGATAGTAGTATATCTTCCACTCTGGTAGCTTTCGTTTCCATGCTTCTCTTCTATTCACCACATCTCTCTCTCTCTCTCCCTCTCTCTCTATTCTTTGACAAAGGTGGTTGTCAACAATCTCAACATTTGCAGCTTGCTGTCACAATTGGCCTCCATCCCAACACCTCTATTTCCCTGTGCCGCCAAGGCAACAATCTCGGTCAACGTCTCACTGCCATCACTTCAGATAAGGAAAAACCAAAGCCGGCATGACAATTTCTATTTTAGAATTTATTGACCATCGGTTTGAGTTTCCACAAGGCCTCTTGTTTTCCTTCTATTTCGCACACAACTTTGCTCTGCCTTCTATCAAAGGTGAGCCGTACAGTCGAGCAATTCACAGGTCTTGAGAATCTGAAAGGTTTTCACATTAAAGCGAATAGGATATATATAAGTGACGGAACATCAAACCAAAAGGGATTAAATTGCAAATGCCCCCAAACAACCCAAAATGCATCATCTATAGTCAATGACCAATATGGTAAAATCTTGCAAAGGTACAGCCGCGCAAGCAAATCATGAGAAGCTCGTGGGTATCATAACTCAATCGTCGTCCGACAAATTCAATAACTCCAACTCGGTCTGCACCATCGACTGGAACTCTGTCCTCGATATTCCCGTCGCCTTGGCCAACCGGAACAAACTCTTGATGCTTGTGCCAATGTGCTGTTTCACGCCCACCTCGTACGAAGACTGACTCTCCGCTTCCTGCTCCAGCTTGGCGACGTGCTCGGAGCTATTGGAGGATGCAGATTCGGGTCGTGGGTGGCTCAGGCGGCGGCCTGCTTCGTGGTGGGGGACGTCTGCTGTGGCATAGCCGTTTGTGCGGGCAGTTTCTGTGTCCATGCCGTCAACCTGACGGCGTAAAAGACTTGCGAGCATGTCGCCGTTCAGAGATGAGGGTCCAACTTCGGGTTGCTCTTCCGAGGGGTCGTGATTATCCAAGGCAGGCTGGACGTCGCTGTATTGGGAGTAATACGATGCCTCGGACTGGCCAGGGCCGAGGTTCGAAGGACCAGGCGGTGCCGGGGTCTTGACACCTGGTGTCCGGCCAGGAGTGGCATCGTACTGCGCCCAATAGTCATCGTCGTCATCTTCCTCTTGGGCTTGTTCAATGTTGGTCGACTGCTCTGCACGGCCAGTGCCTATGGCCTCTGAAAATAGTCTTTCCTTTGCCTGTTCGTTCGCCTCCGCGATAGAAGAGGCCCAGGTGTGTTCATCATCCGCGGGAGCTTCGCGCGGAAGTAGTTCTCCCACTTTCCAGCCACGGCCCTGGTCGTCGGTCGGACACCACAGGTAGGTCACCGCCAGGTTGTACTCAGACAACAAGACCATGGCCCGAAGTGTCTCTTCGTCGGTACGCTTGTATGTCACCGGGAGATCTTCGTTGAGCTCGATTTCACCAGACACCGGGTGCGGTTCGAAAGTGGCGCCGTCGACGATGCTCTGGAGGCGCTGTGCTTTAGCGGTATCCCAGCACAATAGTTGCAGCCATGAGTCAGAAGAAGAATTGGCCACATCGGTGAGAATCTGAACACGTTGGCGCAGAATAGGAGAGAGGATTGGGAGGAGCGCCGGAGGAGGACGTGGCGACACAAAGGCCGTCGGTAGGCAAGCAAGAAGAGGCGGGAGCAATGTGCGCGGATCAGGAGGAGGGATGAGTTCAACCATTGTCAGAATTTAGACCTTCCAAGAATAGAGAGGTGAAGTGGAGGAGCGGAGAGAGAAACCGGGGAAGCGCAGAGCTCAAAAGACACCAAAGTCTCCATTCGACCGAACGTGGGCAGCACATCGTCGAATTAGGCGGCCCGAAAGCTTACCTGACCTGCAGCTCCCTTTAAGCGCCAATTATATAGCAAATCATACTTAGGCGGGTGTCTCAACGGGTGATTTCTTTTCCCTTTGGAAGTATTGATTTGTTTTGGCGATCTTGGTACCACCTATTGGGTAGATCGTTCCTGGTACCTTATCTCAATGCAACGCCGTGACTCAGCGCATCCATGGGATGGAAATTAGAGCTGTTTACTTCACACTATACTCCAAGGAACTATATTAGCTAAACCTTCCTGGTCAGACGCTAACGACGTTCGGTGTGTTTCCGGCGCATTCCTCACATGCGATAATGAAAAAGGAAAGGAAAAGAAAGCGCCGAACTGACCGCACCCCCTCGTGCAACCCGCCCAGCTCAAAATCCCCATCATGACCGACCCAGAAAAGCAGATAGAGCCCATGTGTGCTATTGCGCCCGCACTCATGGAAAAGACTGAAGGCAACGCGATCACTGACATAACGCCTCTCGACGATGGGGTTCATGGAGTTTATGGGGACGAGTGGGCCGCGCTGGAAAAAAGGGTCCGGTGGAAAGTAGACCTACGCCTCTGTTCCATCGCCGGTCTACTATGCAGTCTGAACCTGCTGGACTCAGGGATACTTTCGTCAGCGGCGGTCACCAGCATGCTCAGTGACCTCCAGCTAGACCAGGGATCGCGCTACTCAGTCTCCATTTTCATCTTTACCATTGCCAGTGTGGTGTTCCAGCTGCCATGCACGGTGGCTGTGCGTTTCGTCGGTCCGAGGGCATGGCTCGCGACCATTACATTCGTCTTCGGCCTACTCACGCTGTGTACTGCTTTTATTCACACCTGGCGCCAGATGATCGCCCTGCGTGTGCTTCTGGGTATTGCCATGTCGGGAATTTATCCTGGTTTGACTTACCTGATTAGCGCTTGGTATCCTCGTCGTGAACAGCAGCTCCGATTCGCTTTTCTGCAGACTGGGGAGGTCCTCGGGCTTGCTACAGGTAACCTAGTCAACTTTGGTCTAAATCACTTAGATGGAGTTGCTAATATGGCGGGCTGGCGATGGATGTACCTGGTTCAGGGCCTAGTTTCCTGTGTACTGGGGTTGGCGACTTATTGGTGGATGGTAGACTTTCCGGAGAATTCTCATCGCAGCTTTTGTTTCCTGTCGGAACGGGAAGCACGCGTGGCGTCTCGTCGTATCCAGGATGATAGAGCCGATCTAGTCCCTGAAAAATTCTCGTGGGGTGTGTTGCTCTCCAACTTTCTGGATTTCAAGATCTACGGGTTTGCGTGCATGTTCTTCTTGTTGAATCTGGTCTCAACTTCAATGTCCTATTTCCTACCCATCATCCTGCAAACAGGAATGGGCTTCAGTTCCAACGAGTCAATCCTTCTCTCCACTCCGGTGAGTTTGCTCTGCTCCCCGTCGATCTCCTCATCTAACCTCCCTTCGGTAGCCCTATTACTACGCGGCTATTCCAGTCCTCCTCACCTCTCTAGTGGGAGATAAATATCGGACCCGCGGCCCTGTAATCACCTTCAATGCACTGGTACTGATAGCCGGGTTCCTCATGTTCGGCCTTCCAGCATCTAAGCAGGTGACGGTGCGCTACATTGGGATTTTCCTGGCTACCGGGGCCTACGTCTCCAACTGGGCTGCTCTCAATGCGTTTCAAGCTAACAATGTTGTCGGCCAGTGGAAGCGAGCTACCACAGCTGCTGCTGTCACTGCATGCAATGGGCTTGGTGGAGTAGCTGGAAGCTATATTGTGCGTTCGCAAGAGACTCCGCATTACCAGACGGCTGTCTGGGTATCGATTGGGTAAGGCTTCGTAGGGTCTACATGGTTGGAAAAGCAAGCTGATGTGCTGTAGATCCCATGCCCTTCTGATCGCGTTTGTGACTGCATTCACGATATCCTTCTACATCGCAAACCGACAACAAGCCCGGGGACTGAAAGTTATCGAGGGTGTGGTATGTCCTGACCTCATCATAAAGTCCGAATGCTGGATCCTCACTAACGATGGTCAACAGCCCGGCTTCAGATACACCTATTAACCGGAACTACGGCCTTGGCCCTCCCAATTCCTGGTTGTTATGAATTTTACTTAGATGCAACGAGATATGAAACCGAAGACCCCATAATCCAACACAACCCCCCCTTTAAACTCTCCTCTCGTTCTACGCACCTGATTCATGTTCAAGAAATATATTTTGTAGACTTGGAATCCTAATCCTTTTCCACAAACACCCTCTCACACGTCGGCGTCGTATCCCCGTCTTCAGAAAACCACCAACGCTGCTCTTCCAAATCGACCAACGAAGCCGAACTCCCCGAATGGTCGTCCCTCCGTACCCGTACACTCGTACTCCCGCGACGATGGTGAGCAGACATTTGCGAGGTCATATACCACTGTCGATGCTGACGGGACCTTGGGTAACAGGACATCTTGTCCACGAATTGTCGAGGAACCGTGCGTTTCAAGAGTGGCCAGATGCAGACGAGACAAGGAGTGATAATTAAGATTGCACCTTCAACGACAGTGAGGATGCTGATTTTTAAAGAAAACCCTATAACCGTTAGACCTTTCTCCCATCTTGCGGGCGACATTCAGAACTTACATGTCACTTCATGGAGTTCGGATTTCGAATAAGCAAAATAGAGGACGACTCGCAGAATACTCGCAACAGTTCCCCTAGTCAAGTCAGGATCCATCTAGATACCCAATATCATGTAGGATATAACTCACAGTCCACCAATCATAAAGACAGCAGTCAATGCCAGCTTCTGCCCTTTGGGCGCATGAAGTCTCCAAACAAGCGGCAATGGCATGATGAGCAACAAAACCCCCGTAAAGGCGTTGATTGGTGAGATGATGCGATAAACGAACATTTGATCAATGCATGACCCCGTTTTATCAGTCTTGTCCCAGCCATAGTCGACAGGTGAGCACTGAAAAATCGTCTGAAAGAACATTGCGATGCCTAGGCTCATGACCAGAGAGCCAACTCCGAAGGCGAAGAATTTAAATTTGCGCGTGTAGAAGATGCGCACATAGAACAAGAGTAGGGAGATTTTGGCGGGGGTTATCGTGAGGGGAAAGTCGAAGAGTTCGACGGCCCAATAGCCCTGTTCGAAAACACTTAGATCATGTCCAAGGGCATCGACTTCGAGGGACACATACCTTTTTAATAAAGATGAAGCTTTGCCCTGGGTGCTTCATATCAGCGAAGTGATGGCCAAGTCCACCGATTTCGACCACTGATATAAAGTTAGGCTCTGTTCCTCGTCCGACGACAACCATCAGAGATTGCTGTGAGTGTGGGTACTTACTCGCGATGTAAATGCCAGCCTTTGCAAGGCTCCCAAACTGCCATATCATCATTAGCGAGATCCTTCGTGCAAGGGCCCAAGACACCTACTAAAGCAATAAGCATAATCCAAGCATCCCACCCGAATTTCTCCCGCTGTAAACGCCTCGTGTAGAACATCAACGCAACAAAAATGACCTGAAGCACCGACATCACGATACTGACGCTCAACAAGGCGAGGCCATTGTTCGACATATCACGCGCCATGACTGGCGCACATAAACCATCGACCAAGCTACATCGGAGGGGAGTAGCGCGAAGATCTGCAGGTCAATCGGCGGCCGATCCCATAATTTCAACCTTCACTCACATCCATCAAGCTACCTCAATTTCTTTGAAAAGTCTATCAATCGCCTTTTCCCACTGAACCCAATAGGTAAGGGCACCTGTACATAGTCCCCGGAGTCCTTCCATCAGTGGGGTGATCCCCGATCGAAGATCCATGGCTACGTGCTCCGGATGCAAATGTGGTGGATTCGGCTCAAGGGAGACTGTGAGCTTCCACGGGTACAAGCACTGAACAATGTGGATTGTGGATCCAGATGCCCCTCAGCCTTGGAATATGATTGGGACGCAATTTGATTGAAGTTTAAAAGTCGACTCATTCCCACGAATGATCGCTGCCCGGAATTTGCCCTGCCTGCCCTAATTTTGCAACGATCCTGACATCATGACCGCATTTGGGAACTTTTCGCAGCGCAGACTTCTAGAATCCTTCCAATTCTCCGAATAGACCCGTTCTTCTGCTTCGGAGATTCTTTGCTGATTCACCCCATTCACATGGTTCTATGGAAATATTCTCCCCGATGTTTCGCCGGTCCATGTATCAACCCTCTGAATCATGATCGGATCGAGACGAGGCGCGGATACTTGACTTGGATGGATTCGATCTCTGCATTTCCCGATCTAGCTTTCCCCGCTGCTGTCTAGACCTTCGCGTCGAACCGGGTCCGCGACTTGCCTTTCTGGAGAATGGACACATATGGTTACCAAGAAAATCGGTTTCTCTACTTCGGCATATGGCTGCGCTAGTTCGCCGGTTCTCTTAAACGTGGGCCTCCAGCCTCGTGTGGTCATCGTCTGCTTCCCAGATTGGGGATGAGTCGAAGTAGGTGAGGTCTTCCCATGTGGTGCTCTGGCGGCATTCCGGGCTCATTGTGGACATCGCGGGAAACACTCCATTTCATCCTTGGAATTTATCATGTGTCTATATCCTGTCTCGTTCCTTGAGACCTCAAACGGTGGACTTCGACGGATTTTGGATAATGAAGATAATTGGGAGAACGAATCTCAGAAAGTCTAGAATCTAGACTGAAGAATTTTGGCTTCACTCGATTTAACAGTCGGAGCCGGTCACAGACCTCTCGATGGGCTGTGCGCGAAGTTAATGACTCAATTCATGTGAGACCTGTAAACGTGGATGAAATCCCCGTTTACAGATCCACGTTTACAGGCACCGTCTCACACAACCCTACGGCAATGATGCTGTTCGAGTTTCAGGGTTCTACACAGACATCTTTGTAAGCAGTACAAGATGTTCGGAAGAACAGTCGTCTCCTCGCTGGAGGCTACAACATGGAGCACACTGTGTTCATGAACATCTACTGGGAAGATTTCGTGGATGCAATAGACCCTAAATAGAAATATCCCTCAAGTGTGTGATCGAAGCAAAGAAAAAGGGTATATGGCAAGGCTGACAAGGAGCAGGGAAACGAGGCAAGCAGGGCAGAGAAATGTGACCGAAGAGCTATACGCGAGGAAAGACGTTCAAACCCCAAGCCTCACGCCACGCGATCCTTCTGTTCCAATTTCCCCACCAGTTTCTTCATGCCCGTCCATTCGTCAGCGGATACTTCTTCCGGGGGCCCTCCGAGACCCTTTCCAACCTCGAAAATAGTGACCACGCCGTTGAGTCCACCGGTCGCCAATCGTCGTCCTTCCCGCTCTTCCCACGCAACCTTGTTCAAGCTGCGGGACGGATTTCCGCTAAGTCCGCGCGAAGGACTAGTCTTGACCACGGGAACCTCCGTGTCCATGTGTAGGTCCCACACTTCGACGTTGCCTGCCCCGTCCACAAGAGAGAACACGCCAGGTCGGTGCGGGGACCAGCGTGCGTCATACACCACGTCTTCGCGTGGGATATCCAGGATTGGGGAGATAGCTTGCGCCGAAGCGGTGCCGGATGTGATAGAGGCGGTCGTGGCCGGGGGGCGCACGCGCCAGAGTTTAACGCTCCAGTCAGACTGGAACTCAGCATCAGATCGCCTAGGTCGACAGGTCCGCGGGCGGGATGAAATGCTGTGGACATGATAGGTCCAGCGTGGCCGCGATATGTGAGGCGGTAATCGATACCAGCCTTGGCTCCCGCTCGGTCGTACCTGTGGCAAGGATAGATGCCTCCCTCCTCGGTACCGACGATGAAGAATGTCGGATCCGATTGAGGGAATGACATGGTGGTTGGGGCGAGGTCCTCTGTCTTAGAGGGTGGAGGAGTCGTCAGCTCGAGATACTCCTGCGGCTGAGAGAGCATATCCACCGACCAACCGCAGACGACTCCGTCGGTGGAGGCAGTGAGAATGTTGTGCGCATTCTGAGTCCCAATAATAGAGATGTTGTAAACTGGGTGAGTATGACCGGATCCGGTCAGAGGTGTCTTTTGCACGGGTGCACCGCCGCCAGCACGCGAGGAACGTGTGTCCCAGAGAAGAACTTGTCCTGAATACGAACCTCCCACAATGAGATTGGGGTGGAAAGGAGAGAACTTGGCTGTGAGAATGTCGGATGTAGAGTGGAACACGTATTCTGGACGAGACAGTAGATGTTGATTCCAGACTTGAATAAGACCGTCTGGTTCATGAGGCGCAGAGGGGTTCTTGGTGTATGCTGCCAGGACCAGCTCAGGGAACTGAAGATCAATCAATTAGCACGGGGACCTTTCTCACTCACTGAATAGAGAAACATACCTTGGGCGAGAAGCTGATGTCGCTAACCATACGCTTCTTGCTCCATCGTTCGTCATAGAACTGGCAGACCTCGCGAATACCTCTTCTCTTCTTGCCAGTCTCTTCATCCTCCTCCAAGTCGCCAGCAACACCACCGAGTTCATAGTCTGCAAGAACGTCATAATCCTCGTCCAGAGCCCGCTCAATAACCTTTGATGACCGTTCGACGAAGTCCAAGAAATCGTGGGACGATGTCACGGCCTTGAGCTCGTCATCGTCTAATGTGCGCAAAGGGTATCGTAATTGTGTAGATGCGGCAGGTTGCGCATTGAGTCCCTCATGGTTGGTTGCCTGCAATTCCTCCTCAATTTCCTTGCGAATTTTCTCTCGAATCTCCTCATCCCGCTCACGATCCCGTCGGCTGAGACGCTTGCTCGCCCGTGTGGTTCCAGCTGCCTCCTCACCATCTGAAGCAACAGATCCATCCACAGAGTCTTCCGGCTGATCCAGGCCGTCTGTTTGCACGGCCTTGCTGTATGTGACAACTTCGGTTTTGAGTTCAGGGGGCAGGCGGGGCTTGAATTTCGGGTGCGGAAGAGGTATATGGCTCCTCCCCAACTGTTTGCACAGCAATTGATGTTAATTGCGGTCTTGATGATGGTGCGTAGGGTTCGGCGTTTTCTCCACTCAGCTGACTAGCACTAAGGACTGAATTTGGGCGACTTCCTCTCCGCGACTGACCCTCCACGCCGTAGCTCTGAGATGCCGACCCGGGGCGGTCTACCAAACGAGAAATCAAATCATCGAGCTCGGCTCTGCTGTCACCAGAGCGGGTGGTGTGAACTGGAGAGGCAAGCTGTTCGGAAGCTCGTTAGATTAAAAAAGAACTCATGTGGTCGTATATGCGGGCAGGTGTTACCTCTGAAGCATCGCCGACACTATTCCGGTTGCTGGTGAACTCTTTTTGACGCAATTCACGCTGCTTCTTCAGCTCCGCAAGCTTGGCCCGCTTGGCCAGAATCTCATTCTTGCGCTGCTGAACGGTCGACATGGTGAAGCCACGTTGTTGGAGCTATCGTAGCGTGTCAAGCCGCTTGTTGATTCGGGGATGAACAAGTCGCGCCGACTCGCCAAATCTGGTACCGCTTATGGCAGAATCGATAACTTATCGTACAGCTCTTCTAGATATCTTGGACACCTTGGACACCTTTCCAGGTTTGGCCTAAGAGAGGTATAACAGCAAGCGAATAACAAAACAAAACTACGGAATTATGTTTGATATACCGACCTGAGATTCAGGCAAGCCCCTCTTTCGCCATGGAAGGGTATTCCTTTCCACGCTCACCCGCTCACTCCACCGCCTTCTGAGCCTTTATATGACCCTGCAAAAAGGGAAATGATGCTAAGTCCGTTTTTGATGAACGGCTGTCCTGCTGTGATCGTGACATTCACAATTCTCGACTGCTTGGTTTTCTACTTTTGTTGATCCGTGAACATCTGAACCTGGTAAAGTGGCATGATTGCGGCACCCGCAGCGAAGTCTTCTGGGTTTGAGATATATTTGAATTCCTACCTGTGTATGACGCACATTCAAAAGTGATACTCCAAATTCATGGAGAAGAAGTTGCTCATGTTGAAGTACCTATCAATGACCAGGGCTGTTTAGGAGCTGATCAGCTCTTCAAATGCTTTGTAATGTTGCTTCACGATCGCCTCGTTTCATGCCTCAACATTTACCCCACTCTTTATTTCTGATACTAGACACTTACATTCGAGAAATGATAAATGATAGTTGATTCATAATGTCAAGTTCATAATTGAGATGCCACTCCAGTTTCGGTTGTTTTCGGCTTCGTGGGAGATGCGAGGATGATTGTGACGGTGCATAGGGGTAAAATCGCTAGAAGATCTATCCTGACAAGTGACTAGGTTATGGTATTAACCTCGTCTGACATAGTAGGTCGGTTCTCAAGGAGCCGTCGATTTTTAAAAAAAAAAATGCAAATGTCTTCATCAATTTTCTTTATTTACTCCGTGTCAGGATGACATAAGCGATCCGAACGGCACCGGAAAAACTCGCGCAAGACAGGGACTGAACCTCGCCTTGCCCGACCCCAGAGTTCACTGCCATTGACGATTGATTCCCGTTGAACGGACCTTCGACTCCCGCTCCTTTTATCCCGTCAGATATCCGTCCCCGGAGACCTTCACAGAAATGGCCAGCCAGGGTGTCAACGTGAGTTGCACAGCGAACCCCCAACCACCCCATGCGAGATCGGATGTTGACCACCTTACGAATTGACAGGTCTTCCGCTACTCGGCTCTCGTCGCCGGTATCGTCTACGGTGTCTACCACCAGTCTTCGCTCAACTCCATCGCGAAGCGCACAGAGATCGAGCATGAGTACGCACGCAAGGAGCGCCTGATCGAGCAGGCTAAGGCCGAGTGGAAGAAGAAGACCCAGCCCCAGGAGGTTCCGCAACAATCTACCGGCCGTATGTACCATCCCAATATGTTCAATGGCACTGTTGCATCGTCTTCCGAAGAAGCCGCGGTGTATTCTCTTTATTCAGTGCTAATCACTTTCTCTCCTACAGTCATCACCGACCCCGAGAACCCCAAGTTCGACCTCGAAGCCTTCCTGAAGGCCCAGGCCTAAATTGAAAGAGGACGGATGGAATAATGGAGGAATGAATGCGCATCTATTTGCGGAACTCGCACCTCCCCCAGGGTATTAGAAGTGATTTGCTCAGGTCCTTTTACTGTACGATTGATCGGGATTATAATTCGCCCCGAGTTGCGCCATTGCGAGCGAAAGATGGAATGATGTCTTTTTATTTCGTGTTCTTTTACTCATCGTTTTAGACGTTGTCATTTGGGTTCTGTACATACCCTGGGCTGTGGTGCGTCTGTACACTACAGTTGAACCACAATAAAGAGCAAAAGATCGTGTTATGCATTCCGGCGTTATCATAAATGCTTGCCTCGACCTGTCTAGGGTTGGTCTAGTTCTTTCTTCCCGGCCTTGATGATGTTCATCGACAAGGTGGGACGACGCATCATTCTATGGCAAATTGTATCAGAATATCCTCCAGCAACGTGCTCCGACTCTCGATTCCGTGCGCCTTTAATTTGTACGATTCCCAAGCATCGCCATGGCATCGCGGATACCATTGGATGACGATTCCATGGTGGGCGGTACAGTGATTGGAACGGGGTGAAGTAGTCGAGTCTCTGAGTTCCAGGTCCACCCACAATCCGTAAACTTCTGTATAATGCTTTGATCGCCTTGCTCTGCAGCCTGCGAATCAAGACCCAGGTATGCGGCTGCCACGGCAGGTCGTATTGCTCCGTAGGAAGTGCTGACGGCGATCAAGGTTTGGTCTTGGAAGAAGCCTAGACAGTAATGTCAGCAACGGAGGCAATTGACAGTAGAGGCCACATCCATACTCTCATATCTGCGCACTAAAGGCTGCAGTTGTTCTGGCCATGGCAGTTTCCGTAAGGTTTGGTAAACTATGGCATGTTGAGTCTGCCATACGGCTCGTAGTAACGTCAAGCAGTTCTGCAAGGATGGGTCTTGGTTTTTGAGAGCCTCTGGTATCCGTTGCGTCAAGGCGCGGGCTTCTGACCTATTATCAAGCTTCAATCAGCAAATAGTGTCTGAGCTGTCTTGAGAGGAACTTACATTTGCTTCGTGAGGAGGTGGGCGAAGAAGAAGCTGGAGTAGAATAAGCTCAACAGCTCGGGATCGCCACTACCAGTCTCTGGGTGACCACTACCAGCTGCCATGAGACAGGCATCTAGTTCGTATCGTGAGAAGATCTCGAAGAGTTGTGAAGGAGGCAGGTTGGACGAAGCGAGCTGCTCGAGCTGCTCGATAGAGAGCGGTGGCAGCTCCATAGTTAATAAATAGCACTTCTGGATTCAAAGGAGCCGAAATTGAGGCAGTTTCGAGATCTGAGACGGCCGTAATCGATTTTAGGTGATGTGATCGATGATGCGGGGAGCGCCAAAAACCGCCAAGACAGTCAAGTCAGTGTTCAGAAGTGACCACCTTGCGTAGCTCTCTCTCTCTCTGCAACCAACTCTCAACCGCCCACGTCCATTGGCAGCTCCGCCTTCATTTCTTGTTTTCATGTGTCATTTTTGATTTCTATTCTGATCCTGGACTTTGCTCCCCCTGGCCATTATGGCCGAATCTTCTCTTGATGTTCTGCTGAAAGGCAGCTCCGGCCGGAACACGCGCGGTTTACTGCGAATCATTATTCTCTTAACAATCGCTGCCGCCGCCGTCGCCAGTCGTCTGTTCAGTGTCATTCGTGCGTGATGAGCCATTATCTTTCCAATCGCTTATGCTGACTGTCAATTTCAGGTTTTGAGAGTATTATCCACGAATGTATGATCATCCCCTTGTCGTTGACGCAGTATACAACGTGGCCACCTCCAGAATGCGCACCTTAACGATACTGACCCTTTCAATTTTGCAGTTGATCCCTGGTTCAACTTCCGCGCAACCAAATACCTCGTCGAAAATGGCTTCTACAGTTTCTGGGATTGGTTTGATGACCGTATGTCTCCCCCTCTCAAAGGCTTGCGTGTCCCTCGTGGTATCACAGGAATTGATGCGGATTGCTCGTCTCTCAGGAACCTGGCACCCTCTGGGCCGTGTCACTGGTGGCACGTTGTACCCTGGTCTCATGGTGACCAGTGGCGTTATCTACCACATCCTGCGCTTCCTCACTATCCCCGTCGACATTCGAAATATCTGTGTCTTGCTCGCCCCGGGCTTCTCGGGCCTAACGGCCCTGGCCATGTACCTTTTGACCTGCGAGATGTCCTCCTCGCCCTCTGCAGGCCTTCTGGCTGCAGCTTTCATGGGTATCACTCCCGGATACATCTCACGATCCGTGGCTGGTAGCTACGACAATGAGGCTATTGCCATCTTCCTGCTGGTCTTCACCTTCTTCCTATGGATCAAGGCCGTCAAGAATGGCTCAATCATGTGGGGTGCGTTGACTGCGCTGTTCTACGGATACATGGTCTCTGCTTGGGGTGGATATGTCTTCATCACTAACCTCATTCCTCTCCACGTGTTCGTCCTGATCTGCATGGGCCGCTATAGCACCCGCGTCTACATCAGCTATACCACTTGGTATGCTCTTGGAACTCTGGGTAGTATGCAGATCCCCTTCGTGGGATTCCTGCCCATTCGCAACAGTGACCACATGTCTGCGCTCGGTGTCTTTGGCCTGATCCAGCTCGTGGCATTTGCTGAATTCATTCGCGGCTATCTGCCCGGAAAGCAGTTCCAGAAGCTGCTCACTTCCATGGTCTTCCTGGTCTTTGGCCTCGGATTTGGTGGTTTGGTCCTGCTTTCCATCTCGGGTGTCATTGCCCCATGGAGCGGTCGTTTCTACTCCCTGTGGGACACTGGCTACGCCAAGATCCATATTCCCATTATCGCATCTGTTTCAGAGCATCAGCCCACTGCCTGGCCGGCCTTCTTCTTTGACCTGAACTTCCTGATCTGGCTCTTCCCTGCCGGTGTGTTCATTTGCTTCCAGAAGCTGAAGGATGAGCACGTGTTCGTGATCATCTACGCCGTTCTATCCAGCTACTTCGCCGGTGTCATGGTCCGTCTGATGCTCACGCTCACTCCTATTGTTTGTGTCGCGGCCGCCCTGGCTCTGTCGTCTATTCTCGACAACTTCTTGGTTATGTCGAAGCCCGACCCCGACGCTGTTGCCAAGGCAAGCGCCGAAGACTCCAAGTCTTTCCGCTCGTCTCGCAGCCCCATCGTCGGCATCTACTCGTACTTCTCGAAGACTGTCGTGACCTGCTCGATGTCCCTTTACCTTCTTATGTTTGTTGCGCACTGTACTTGGGTCACCTCGAACGCCTACTCCTCTCCTTCGGTCGTTCTTGCTAGCAAAATGCCCGATGGGAGCCAATTCATCATCGACGATTACCGTGAGGCGTACTACTGGCTTCGCCAGAACACGCCCCATAATGCTAAGATCATGTCCTGGTGGGATTACGGCTACCAGATTGGTGGTATGGCTGACCGTCCTACCCTGGTCGACAACAACACGTGGAACAACACCCACATCGCCACCGTTGGTAAGGCCATGAGCTCCCGCGAGGAGGTCAGCTACCCTATTCTGCGCCAACACGATGTGGACTACGTCCTGGTTGTGTTTGGTGGTCTCCTCGGTTACTCTGGCGACGACCTGAACAAGTTCCTGTGGATGGTCCGAATCGCCGAGGGCATCTGGCCCGATGAGATCAGCGAGCGTGATTACTTCACTGCTCGAGGCGAATACCGCGTGGACGAGGAGGCCACTCCTACCATGAAAAACAGCTTGATGTATGCGTCCCTCTCTTGATACTTCTTGAAATCTCATCACTAATCCAACCAGGTACAAAATGTCTTACTACAACTACAACTCCCTCTTCCCCGCCGGCCAAGCCGTCGATCGCGTTCGTGGCGTGAAGCTGCCGGCCGAGAGCCCGCAGCTCAATACCCTTGAGGAAGCGTTCACTAGCGAGAACTGGATCATCCGCATCTACAAGGTGAAAGATCTAGACAACCTGGGCCGTGACCACAGCAACGCCGTCGCCTTCGACAAGGGCCTCAAGCGCAAGCGCGCTACCAAGAAGAAGGGTCCTCGCGTTCTGCGAACCGAGTAGACTCGTCTTTCTAAGATTTTTCCTTTGATTCTTGTGATTGTGATTTTTAGGCATAGTAGGCATGTCCTGTCCCGCGAGCTTCCATTGATAGATATAACCGTGACTTCGCTCATAACAGTATGCAATGAACGCCTTGAAAAGATATTCATTAAGTTCCAGTACTAGTATGTGGTGCCTACGTAGCTGTCGAAGAGTAGAAAAAGTGAAGTAGAGATCGGCATTCGCAATCAGTGCCTGTGCACAAGAAAAAAAAAATCCCCGCAGTCCACTGTACAGTACAAGGTAAATGTAAATGGCCAAACAAGATAATATCGCTGCCGCAGATCACAAGCTGCGGTCTGCCCAGATGACTCCGTAACCCCAAATTGCTCCGTTACTGGTTTCAAGCCGAGAGACGGCCATGTCGACACCGTTCCCTTTGGAAAGATGCGACTTATTGGTACACGCAGAACCAGTCATGCCATTCTGGCATCGATTGGGCTATGATTTGTGCCCGTTGGCTCTATTTCTTCTGCGCGGGGGCGTCGGGGACTTTCACGTCGGAGAATTCTTCTTGGCCGACGGCCTTGATGGTGTAGACATCTGTGGAGGGAGAAGGAAGGTAATGGTCAGCAGAGTGATTTTGCAGAGCCGTCCGGAGGGTTTCGCCGTAGTTTGGGTGTGCCTTGGTGGTGCCACCAGGCTGCAATTGACTCTGGCGCAGAACACGGCACATAATGAAGGAGAACAGGGAGATTAGAATTGGCGAGAAAGGGAGGAAATACGTACAGACACCGATAGTGAAGGCAAATAGACCGAAGCCGGTGAGGGCGTTCTTGACCAGGAACGGCTGGCGGGCACGCAGGAGAGCGGCACCCGCGCGGTAATCCTTGCCGTAGTAAGTAGAGTTAAAGCTAGTGAAGATGTTAGCATTGTCAGTCTGCGAATGGTTAAGTAAACGTGCATTCCGCTGGCCATGATGCGAGAGAGATGATCGTTGACGAGAAGAATGCCAACGTCCGAATTGTATGCGGGAAGGCGAAGTCTTGGGCGGTGACTCGCCATCTGCATCTGCATCTACGGATGAACAGAGCTAAAGTCCCTAGGTGAACCGATATTGGCATATGGATCTAAACTAAAGCCATTGGGACAGTGATTAAACTTGTCTTAGCTTGTCAATTTCTAGCGTAAAGCGCCTTTAAAATTTCGCGTGACGTCCGCTGCGCAGCCATAGATCGTCTGTAACCAGTTTGATCGGCGCTCGGTCTTCAGACCAGATAGAAACATTCGTAGCAACTAGTTGCAAATTCCTGCCTCCTGACTTTCCCTGACTTTCAGATTTTCTGCGCCAAGTTTGACGTTGTGGTCGAAACCCGATCTGTCGTCGCGAATGTTCCCCCAAGTTTTCTCGGCCCCTGCGGACCTCAGTCTTTTGCTTCCTCATAACCCACTCTGCACATCCCCGACACTCCCAAACCACCTCTACACGTTCGATACCCCCTCTGTCGCGTGTCCTAACTAGCCTCTCCAGCTCCACGAGTGAATGCGCGTCCTTTAAGCTCTGGTCGCAGCTTCATACGCGCTTCGCTGTCATTGAACCGGACATCTCGACATCTGATCCATTGGACCTACCAAGCCGGCGTAATCTCTTCGACCATCTATCGCGCATCATCCTCTCCGCTCGCTGAGTCGTCATGGCTCAGCCAGATGTCGCGAACCAGCTCGCTCAGCTGAACTCTGCTCGTAACCTCGTTCTCGGCGACGCTGCTCTCTACCCGCAAATCGTAAATGGAATCCTCCCGATCGTCGGCGCCAACACAAGGCTAGAACTACGAAGATGGGGCGCGGACTTCATGGCCGAGACTTTCTCCAGTCCGGTGCTAGCTACGGCGCAGAAAGAGCAGCTCGCGCCGAGAGTGCTACAGACTATTCAAGAGATCTTGCTTCTGCCTGAGTCTGACACTGCGGTCCTGATGAGCTTGGTGCAGACTGCGACTAGCTTGTACCCATTGGTGTTCCGTCATGTGTAAGTTTCACACGATATTGGTACTCGGGAGTTGGGTACTATGGTTGGTAATGGATACTGACGCTCCTTGGTATAAGTGTGAACCATCCGGAAGACAGTAAATCATGGGACACAATGAATGTGATCAAGCAGGATATCTTGCGGCGGATGGATTCTTTTCTGTGCCCTGTGAAAATCTGCTGTATCAAATTCCTACAACGGGTGGTTCAGGTTCAAACGCCTGGTCTGATCTCAGACCCGCGGGTATGTTCACTAATCGTATCTGAGGATTAAAGCTGATCTCTCCCAGCGTCCGGAACAAAATGAAACGTCGCTCGCGATTGTCCCGCGAACCCACTCCATTCTTGCAATTCCACACTTGGAGGCCGAAGCGTCAGGCCTACTCGACCGGTTACTCGGCGTGTTCCAGGAGGAAGTCAGGTACGAAAGACAATCCTGTTTATGTTCCATTCCTCTGATCTGATGAATAGTGATCCACTGCTGGTCAATGCGACATTGAACTGCCTCTCCCCGCTCATTCGCACGCGGCAATCGATCTCAAACAAGATCATCAACGCAGTCCTTGAATTCTATCCCTCCAAGCATGTCCGCCCTCCAATCACGCCTACTACCCGAGTCAGCGTGAAGTCAATGGAGCGCACTGCTCGAGCTTTGTTGATTAATCTTATGAAGAGGTCAGTCTTGTCTCGTTCCCGCATAACCCGATGATCAAAGCTAACCTAAAGACCACAGGAATCAAAACCACCCTCTCTTCGGAAGAATGCAGATGTACATTGAGCGGCTGATGAACTCACGACTCGATGTGGTAGATGACGCTTCTCGGAAACGCGGATTGCCAAGTGAACCGACAGATGGACTCGATAGCGCTAAGCGCGCTCGTCTTGATGCAGAGACCCCCCCATTGCTCAAGATTCCTCCGATGGCTCCGGGTCCGGCAAGCATTGACAAGCTTTTCACATTGACGCAAGACATCGGCCTTTCGTCATTCGATGTGAAGCAGCTTCCTCCAGACCTCGTCGTGAAAATCGCTGTGCCTCTTCTCGCCCAAGTCAACCAGTCATTGCTAACACAGGCTGTCGATGTAAGATACTAGCTTTTCTGATCCTCTCACCAGCGGCTAACGGATTCTAGGCCGTTCGAGCGCGATATCAAACCATCACCAGGGATCAAAACCTCAAGCGCCAACAACAACACACTGCCGCCGTCGCAGAAGACGACGATGACTACGAGCCAGAGTACGATCCGATGGACGTGGCAGATAATGTCTCCGAACAAGCCAGCGCTGTCGCAGCCGAAGTAGCAGACCTCCAACCCGATCTGGTCTCATTAGGTCCATTCGTTCTGCCCCAACCGCCGCCTCTGACCGAAGAGGAAGCTGCAGAAGTCGGCCGAAGTGCTGTCTCCCGCGTCTTCAGCATGATCACCGCTGCCGAGACAGACCCTTCACCGGCCAAAGGCAAGACTCAGCAACAACTCGGTTTCGCACGATTGGCTGGAAGCACGTTTGATCGGGATGCATGGGCTGTACTTCTTTCCCGCCTTGCTACAAGAGCCCCAGCTGGCCTGGAGGGTGGTGTTATAGTGGATTCGAAACGGCCGACGATCTCGGACTCGATTCGTCAGACGCTATATCGCTATGTGCTGGAGGATTTCAGGGGCAGGCTTAACATTGCTATCACTTGGCTGAGTGAGGAGTGGTACAATGATCGTGTTCAGATGAAGGCGGCTGCTACTCAGCGGGATCAGAGCAACGAAGACCAAGATCAAGAACCTACCGTTCCTCTTCATTATGATGAGTGGGTGGTTAAGCTCTTCCATGGCTTCACGACTTATCTTGATGGTCGTGATATCAAAGTTCTGGTCCGATTCCTCAGTGAAATCCCCGAAGTCACTCTCTCGGTCCTGCAAATGGTGGCCGGTTTGGCCAAGGATCCGGAACGTGTGAATCTCTGCGTGCAGGCTTTGATGTATGTTCTTCTTTTCGCCCCCCCCTTGCAGTCCATACTTACATACCCTCTTAGGTACCTGATCATGTTCCGCCCCCCAGCACGCGAGATGTGCTTGAATACACTGGAGGATGTTTATCAGACTTGTATTTTCGCTCTTTCCCTTATTTATCCTTTGCCATTCATGCTAATCCATTTACCAGATGAGGAATCCCGCCCTGCAGCGGGCAAAATTTTGGCCAAATGGCGTCCGCAGAATCAGCCTGCAGAGGCCAACGGCATTGCAGACTCGATGCCGGCTCCACCGCAGGAAGCACAGGCCAGCGCTGTGCAGTAAGCCAAACTTGCATTGCAGAGTCTTTGCCGTGGTGGAGGCTCTTTGTATTCCTTGTCCTGCAGAAGTTACATTTCCGACCACAATGGTCACTTCCTGTATCTTACCCGAGCGTGGCTGTATTTAGAATAAACCTGGCACCGAATATACGCTGTTTCAATCTTTCTACCGTTTATTGAAGAGAACTATTGCTAGAAGCCTAGGTCCTGACGAACTTGAGTGATCTGGCATCAATCATGATGGTTCAAATAATATCTAGATTCTTAATCGATAGCGTCCCGAGGGTTCTGCATAGGAAAGACGAACATATGCTTTCTCAATGAACTCCTGCCGGTGACCAACAAAGGCACATGCGTATGTGCGTGGTATATACACCAAAAGGAATATCACGCCAAGAATAAAGAGAAAGAGAAAGAGAAATCAGGGAGAAGGGATCCATTTCTTCCAGAGAATTTAAAGTCAACTCCGATGCAAGAGAATCTCCCTAGAGACGCAGAAACCTTCATAAGGGGTGGGACAAATGAAAGCCAGTTCCATACCACGTACACCCCTCATATAAATAAAAAACTGAAACCAAAGGTTCATTGCCTTTCCATGCAGATGTAAAATTGGGATTTGGGTAAGTCGCAACAAAGAAGGAAGGACCACAGAGCCCGGCCACCCAGATGTGATTTTCAAGATAGCATAGATCCCACATGGGTCTTCAGACACGTACTTTGTCTCTCCTGGCACACGCAAAATACATTTGACAGTTGATGTTGTCTTGAGGTAATAGCGTAAAGGGGAATCTTCATTAAAAAGTGGGGATGTAACACCGCGTACATGAGAGCAAAACGATCAAGACAAAGGGTTTAGCGTGGGGGCATGCTGTTTGACCCTGAGCCTGCTGATATCTCCGGTCGGAGGTGGAGCACATCAACTGGTTTGGTTGGAAGTGGAGGTGAGGCATCTGATTTCGGGGGGACAGAGTGTTGGAAAAGGCCCTGTCTAGCGGGTGGTGGAGAGAAGATGGGATGAGAGGATTCAAGGGCTGGGGAGCGGCGGTCGAAAGTCATAGGAGGAGGCTGGGTTTTCCGCAAGTCTAATGGAGAGGAGCTTTGCGATCGGAAGCCTGATTTGTACTCTGTGTCGTATTCTGGGTTCCGGAAGGGACCTTGCCCTTGATGCCGCGCTTCTTGCTCGGTGCCATAGGGGGTATTGTTCGCTGATGAGTTGGCAGCGGACGGGTTCTCGGGGATCGTGGACGCAGAGCCGTTTGGCGCATTGATATCCACCATGCGCTTCTGCGCAGCTGGCGTTACAAATGAGGATTGCTGTGCCGACTCAAATGCTCGCCCATGTGGTCGATGTTGTTGTGTGTATTGGTTCTGTTGTGGCTGCTGTTGGTGTATAGGATGCTGCGGGTTGGCCCAAGGCGTTTGTTCAAGGAAAGCTTCCTCGGCTTCGGCAGCCGTACGGAAGATGTTTGATGACATAGCTGACATGGGACCACGGGGTACTGCAGCCGACGAATGCCGTGGAGCCAAAGCGCGAGTCTCAACGGTGATCTAAGAACCTTTGGTTAACAGACTCCTGAGTGTATGAAATCTTTTTGACTCACCCCCATTTTCTCCAGATCATCCTCGAGTTCGGACGGTCGTGCTCCCAATAAGGTCGGAGCAGCTGGAAAACCGACGTATTTGGCAACTCCTGCCATGACTGAGACCTCGTGGTTGTAGGCCGTCTGGTGCGCAATCTGCTGAGAACGACGGGTGGGGAACGGGATGTTGTGGTGGGGACTCGATTCATCAGTCTTGAAACGGTCATGCTGGATAGCATAGAATTGTTTGCTAATGGAACTTGAATGACTCTCGCGCACATCTCGTATGCGCTGGAAGTAAGTGCTGTGTGCCTGGGCTCGTTCCGCGAGACTCTTGTTTAAAAGAGCCTTCATACGGTAGCGATACAAGTTTTCCTCGTACTTGAGTTTGGCATCCCTGTGACGTTCCACACATTCTATCTGACGCAGGTACTCGGGGTGGGTCGGATTGGGCCCGGTTAACATTTCAAGCTCACGATTGAGCTTCGAAATTCGTTCATCGAAGATCCTGTGATATCAAATCAGCATTGGAATTCAGGTCTTGTGCACCGCCAGAACTGACTTGTCGCGCAAAAGCGCGAATTCCTTTTCTAATGTTGTCAATGACTCCATAGCAGACATTTTCTTTACAGCTATAGATAGTGACGGTCAGCACAATATCCAGACGGTGATTTCGAGGTGTAGCGTACACTCTTCTTCAACTCTAGCAGCCGTCTCAGCATCGGCAGGTTCGTCGCCTCGTTCCGCAGGCTCCTCGTCTTCTCCAAGGTTGTCTTCAGCAACATCCTCGGCCGCAGCCTCGGTGCCGCCTTCAGTATCGTCATCCCCATCGGCCGCTTTTCTTCCCCTGCGTCCGCCCTTCTTACCCTTCTTGACTTTGGTTGGTACCGCAGGGAGGTCAATGTCGGGTAGGTCGTCGGCGGGGGTGTCATCTTCATTCACAGCGGTGGGGTCTTCTAGGGGCTCATCGAGAGGTTCCGGCGAAAGAGGCTCATCATCTTCATCGATTGGATCACTCAACTCGCTCTTGATGGAGTTTCGGCGCTTTTTGAAAGGCTCGTCATCGCCCAATCCGGTCCCGATTTCGTCGCCGGGCTCAACGCGCTTTCGCTTTTTTCCGATGCTGTCGGGAAGCTCAACATCTTCGAGATCCAAGTCTTCGTCAACTAATCCATTGTGTTGAGACAGTCTCCGCACTTTACTCGGGGAATTGTCCGCCATGGGCTCGTCGTCGTCGAAGTCTGCCAATGTTGTGGACTGTTGAAGCTTGCTCGGACTAGGTCCAGCGCTCCCTGCACTAAGCACAATGTCGCGCTTTCGGATGTTATGAGGGGAATCCTCGATGCGCTCGGTTTCCGCCTCCGAATCATTTTCCAATAGCCTTTCTGGCTTTGGAGAATCGTCAAAGTCGGAGAGCTCGTTATCAGAGACATCATCGATCTCACTCAAGCTACTCGAGCGCCCGTCATCCATGAGAGGATCATCCAGAAAGGGATTCCGCTCGCCATTGGTCATGTTGGACTCTGGCCCCGTTGTCGGTCCAACGGAGGCCTGTTCTCGGCTCTCAGCCACCTCCATTTGCAATGATAATAAGACTCAAGGTGACAAGAGTGAGAAACGTGAGAAGAGAGAGGAGGGATGAGGGGGTTTGTTCGTGCCGACGGCTGCTAATGGCAGTGCTGGGCGTTGGGGGGGGGGGGGGGAGAAGGGCGGCAAGGTTACCGAGTCGTGAGACAAGGTTTTGTTTGGGCGTCTGGAACAACCATATAGTGTGTTAGCTCAATTGCCATAATAGCTGGGTCAGAGAGCCCTAGGAAAGTTTTATGAATGGGGTAATGAGTGGGCGGGTGCAAAAGGTAGGTCAGCGCCTCCAGAAGGCGGTGCGGAGATTGATCATCGCCCGGGACGCCCCCAGAGTGGCCAGCCGGTACTCACAAGAAGCCTGGCAACTGCGCAGGCCCAAATGATGAATGTGAAGCTTTGTGGGGTAAATGTCTCGTATGCCCCTCAAAACAGGGCCAAGCAAAATATGTAGGTGAATGTAGAAGAACCAGCGACGTACCGTTTCAACAATGCGCCGGGAGCGACGCTGGCGATGAGCACGGCTGGTCGCGACCGAGCACGATTCTCAAAACCACCGCGTTCCTGGGACTCGAGGAATCGATTCGTACTGATCCCACGCGTCTTCCAAGTATACAAGTCCACCAGAATATGTTGGGCCACTGATGCGCCAGTGCTCAAGGCGAGGGGAGGTCGGTTAAAAGGCGGGCAGGACCACAGTAGAGGGTCGCGGGAGGACGGTCGGCATGAAGAGGCGCAGGAGGGAGACAAATCAAATATTTCGCAATGTTCGACAGGGTGATGGGGAAACTGAATGTGAATCGAGTGTCGAGCATGCAGAAATGAGAGGAAAAGGTAGACGAACTGCTATGATGGGGAAGCAACAGAAGCGAGTGACGGGGTTCTGCCGCGTCCCGACGAGGGCGAGCTCACCGCTTGCAAAACTTCCGCGGTCACGTGGAATTGACGTCGCCGGAGACGGCATTTTGAGAATCAGAATGTCTGATGGAAGATGAAGAGGACATTGGGGAGTCACGTCGAACCCTGAGGCTATTGTGTTGATGAAACAGGAGTCAAGATTGTTGAAAGGTTTAAAGAAAAGGTATACGGAGTACAATATCCAAACGAATCAACACCGCAATAGCCGCTGACCTAAGTCTTCAAACTACATTCAAATTTTCCTCTCTACTGCGATGACAATATTACAATATCAGTTCTTCAATGTTTGCTTCCCAACACAAGAGGTATGATTGTAATAAAGCGTAACATTGTGTCAACAGCGACCAATCATGTGATATCAACTAACTACCCGTGCCAAGACTGATAAGCCCAGAGGGAAAAAAAAAGTTCGGAGCTATTCGTGGTCACCCCCAGTGTCTCTCGAATCCACCCATTGAACGTCTCTTGAAGGATTTTTTTATTCCTCGGAGATACATATACTTTCAATCATGGGTAAAAAATCAAAGTCCTCGTCCAAGTCGGACTCCAAGGTGGAGACCAAGGCGCCCGCCGCTGGACTTCCCTTCCTCGGCACCAACTCCGGCCTGGACCCGAGTCTGTCCTCGCTTTTCGAGAAGAGTGTAGGTTCTCGCATCTATTATGTGACTGGAAGTTGATCTAATTGTTATGCATTGTATAGGCCGGCCCGTGCAAGCACCTATCCAGAAATACGTCGAGCGGTACACAGCCAAAAAGGCCGAAGAGGCTGAGGAAGATGAGGCCTCCGGATCGGAAGAGTCCCCTGACGATGAAGACGAGGAAATGGGCGATGCTCCCGAGGAGAGCAGCGAGTCTGAGCCCGTGGAAGTGAAGGCGCCCGACGCCCAGAGCCGCAAGCGCAAGAGAGGTGATGCCGGAGATGATATCGAAGGAACCTACATGCGTAAAATTGAGAAGGAGGAACAAAGAGAGGAGGAGAAGAGGAAAGCGGAGCGCGCGGAGCGCCAAAAGTCCGCCAAGGAAGACGAAGCCAACGAGGATTCCGATAAGGAGGAGACAGAAGACAGCGACGTGGAGAAGGACGCCCCTCCTCCCGTTCACGAGAGTGTCGCCGGGGGCGCCAAGTCCGCCGAAGTTGAAAAGTCCAGCCGAACTGTCTTCCTGGGCAACGTCTCCACCGAGGCTATCAAGTCCAAGGCCGGCAAGAAAACTCTTCTCCGTCATTTGGCCTCGTTCTGCTCGTCTCTGCCCGAGGCGACTGGCCCGCACAAGATTGAGTCGATTCGTTTCCGCTCTACTGCATTTGCCAGCGGTGGTAGTGTTCCCAAGCGCGCTTCATTTGCCAAGCGTGATGTTCTTGACCAGACTACACCCAGCACCAATGCCTACGCCGTCTACACCACTGCTCAGGCTGCTCGCAAGGCCCCTGCTGCGTTGAACGGTACTGTTGTGCTTGACCGCCACCTGCGCGTTGACAGCATTGCGCACCCGGCTGCGATTGACAACAAGCGCTGTGTTTTCGTGGGTAATTTGGATTTCATGGATCAGGAGGGCCCTGCCGAGGACGAGTCCGGCAAAAAGAAGAAGGTCCGCCCTCCGGCCGATGTTGAAGAGGGTCTCTGGCGCATCTTCAATGAACACACGGGAGGCAAAGGCAACAACAAGAGTGTTGAGTCTGTTCGTGTGATTCGCGATAGCAACACCCGTGTCGGTAAAGGCTTTGCCTACGTTCAGTTCTACGACGGCAACGGAGTCGAGGAGGCTCTTTTGCTCAACGAGAAGAAGTTTCCTCCCATGCTCCCTCGCAAATTGCGTGTCACCCGTGCTAGGAAGATGATGAAGAAGCGTGATGACAACAAGGACTCACGCAAGGGAGACCTTGCCCAGAAGACTCTGCAGGGTCGTGCGGGCAAGCTGCTTGGTCGCGCCGGTGCCGCCAAGCTGAAGGATGCTAGCAAGGGTGGTATTGCCGGCAACTCTTTCGTGTTCGAGGGCCACCGTGCCACAGAAGGATCTTCGACCATCAAGATCAAAACGAAGAGCCGAGGCTCCAAGGGCAAGCCTAAGGGTCGTAGCAGCAAGCGTGCTGCCGCATACCGGGCTGCCGGTGGACAGAAGCCCTGAAATTGAGAAGTCATCAAAATTATTGTGTATCCATTACGGCGTTAGGCAGGGCATTTGAGATCAAGTGCTATTCAAATATCATATCAATACATCATGTCTTGATGAATAGGGTTGTATGTAGGATTGAAGTACTAAGGAAATGGTTAACACCTACCATAGCGTTAAGACATATGAAGACATCACGGGACTTGATTGGAATTGCTTCTCGAGAACCTCATTAGCGTGAGGTATATTGCTTCATCAATCATGTGCTGACCAGTTCAAGCGCCCATAAGCAGATATCTCTCAGCTCTCGGGATCGTGAAGATAAAGTGCGGCCTCATAGATCAGGGTGGAGCCATGCGGGGTGCCATGCGATAAGATAGTCCTAGCTCTCATCAACGTCACCCATTTTCACTCTCCTCAAGCTGCCTATGACAGCCTTGAGATATTCCACGTCTCCTATTCTGGCTACAAAAGAATCAAACGATCAGTTTCTACACTCTTGAGCTCATTGTTCGACCGGCTTCAGTGGGTCGTTGCCTCATTCCAGCTTTTCCGGCCAAAACACTCTTTGAAACTCCCTCCGTCCACGCGAGTCACTACCACTCAGACCTATTCACAAGGTTCCGAATCTTTTAACAAAGCCCCAAGATGCTTCCCGCTCGCTTACGCCGTCTGTTCAGTAATGGGCAGTCCAACGACCGCAACGAAGATGCATCCACACGCCAACCCGAAGCATTATCAGATGGCGGGGCATTCTACCCCAGCTTGTGGGATGTGCTTAAGACGCGATATATGCTTCAGTGGAAAGCCTTTCAACAAAGTCTTCCCGCAGAATTGGTCGATGCGATTATCGATGCCGCCGAGTATTGGCCCTCAACAGAACGCCGAATGGAAGGTGTCAGGAGAATTGCGAACGATCGGGACCAGGTTTTGTTGAAGACTATACCCCTCTGCTATGACAGAAAGGTTTGCTTGTTTTTTTCTCCCCTTTCGCTGGCTGCCTAGTGCACACCGAACTCATATGCTATATGATGCAGAGACTAGAGCAATCCGAACCTTTCAAACCGCTCCCCCACCGCACTCTACACCCCTGCCGGAAGATAGTCTTCCGCATTTCCTCGCATGACCAAGGTCACGGCCCGATCCGTGAGAATATGTACGAAACCTCCTGGACTTGGTTCGACACTGAAGTCATCAAGGCTGCGCACACAAGGAACATGTACACCGACGGTATTGAGCAGGAGATCCTGGATAATGAGCGCGGACAAGAGAAGAAACACTATGCTCCTGACAACGATCTGCTTCTTCCAGGTAACAACCGGTTAAAAGTCAACGGCTCCCGGGTGTCGGAGCCACAAGATTCGGTCATTACTTGGCATTATTTGGACGAAGTTCAACCGGAGTCAGAGAAGGCTTATGAGATTGAGAGGCTTGAGGGTCGTGGTCGGTTTACTTTGGATGGACATGGCGTGAGGGAGCTGGAGGTTGGGGACTCACTTGCTTTATGGGCTCGGGCCCGATTTCCAGGATGGAGCAATCATGTGGATTTTGCGAGTGTTCGAGTCTTCTGGGCTGTTTGACGAGACGACCATGGCTGAGGTATTGTTCACCCAGCCATGTAGACATGCTAGATATGCTAGATATGATGAACACATACACAACATGATGGAATGGGAATGAGATCTGCTCTAAATGAAAATGTATCAACTCAACCAGATCATATGATAATGCATTCTGGCAACAGAATCTCACGTCTACCTTATTCTGGATAACCAAATCGTTTGCCATGATAAGAGAGTACAACAGGCCTCAGGCCTACGACCAGCCTGAGGCTCCCGATCACGCAATTGTGCCAAGACAGCCCGATCGGCGCCAAAGGAGAAGTATAAGACCATTCGAGCTCCTCAACGTTTTTTGTTTCCCCTGTTGCATCCCTCCGGACTTGTGATTACACTGCTAACCAGCAATCATGCATCTGCTATAATGCCCTCATGACAACCAGTGGTAATCTCTTCGCCGGGTACCTTTCCAACGCTGCTGGAAAATATCCGACGCAGCCGACCGGCCGAAACAGAGTGTCCCGAGGATTAGTGGGGAAGCGACGTCAATCGGCGACTCCTTCAATCGGCGACTCGATCTGAAAACATGGAGCAATCGGCACACGCTGAGTCCCTAACATTGAGTCCCCGATAACAAGCTGAGATCTACGAGCCAAGGGTCGCCTCGAGCCCCGATCAACCTTTCTGCCCGTGACTCGACCGAGAAATGGCTCTGCAATCCCCGGTTGTGTGTCACGATTACCGTCGGAACACCGCTATACCAATGTTTCCGCGCGCTGGCGACGTCCCGACTGGATGCTGGTCGCGTTATCTGCACCGCCTAATGGTGATCGGTGACTTACGCATTCCTCTGTCGTGATTTGGGTCTTGGCTGATGCGGTTCTCTTACCAACCCCCCTTTTTAAGTCGGCGATGTGCTTGCGGTCAGGAACTGTTATTTATCTCTAGATACCCCCGAATGCATCCAGACTTTTCTCTATAATCCACTGTTTACTTTGGTTTATCGGGCTTTCCCCCCCTCATCTTCCCCGATTCATTCTCCCATTAGTACCTTCACAAATGGCGTCTCGCAAATGCGCAGCGGTGGTTGTGGGCGCTGGCCCGGCCGGCGTCGCAGTCATGGGAAACTTGCTTGAGCGCCAAATTGGCACGATAGCCTGGATCGATCCCAGCTTCGAGTCTGGGCGAGTCCACCGGAAATACCGCGAAGTTCCGAGGTTCGTGATATCCCAGGTATCATCGACACCAGACACACCACTAACAAAACATCCAGCAACACCAAAGTAGCCCTCTTCCAGGCCTACGCCACAGCTACTCAGCCCTTCAAGACCGTCATCGAGAACTCATGTCGTCCCAATGCATCTCTACCCTGGCCAAACTGGACCAGGAAAAGACCTGCCACCTCCACTACGCCGCAGACATGATCCGCGACCTTACAGATGGCCTCATCAAGATGGATCCCGTTCACGCCTACCGCGGCTTCGTCACCGCCGCCAACCTCGTCGAGAAGGTAAAAGAAACACCACAAACATCCAATAGATTTCACCACATCCAAAAAATAACTGACACCGGAAACCCCCCCCCCTTTAGACCTCAAACAACAAATGGACCGTCCGCATAAAACGTCACGACTCAGAAGATGAGCTCGAAATCGAGACTTCCCGCCTCATCCTCTGCACAGGCTCTCACCCAACCAAGATCCCCGTCCCAATTCCAGGCCTGGAAATCTCCCGCCTAGACCTCGACACAGTCCTCAAACCCTCCGAACTAGCAGAAGTCCTACCCAAATCTCGCCCGTCAACAGTCGCCGTCATCGGCGCCTCCCACTCCGCCATTCTCGCAATCTTAAACCTAGTCACCCTCGCCCGCGAGTCTCATCCCCACCTCCGCATCAAATGGTTCACTCGCCACCCACTCCGCTACGCGGAATACATGGACGGATGGATCCTGCGCGATAACACAGGCTTGAAGGGTCTAGCAGCCGACTTTGCGCGCGCCCAGCTTGAAGACGGGGTCTTGGATACTTCGCCTGCTGGACAGGTTCTGGAGAAGATTGACTGTGGCGACGGCAAGGAGGCCGAGATGTATAGCAAGTATTTGCCGCAGTGTTCGCACATTGTGCATGCGGTCGGATTCACGAGGGATCCGTTACCGCAGCTTGTGAAGGCTGGCAGGCCGTTTGCTATGGAGTTTGATCATGAGTCTGGACAGTTTCATGAACGGGCTGGTGGGGAAGCGATTCCTGGGTTGTTTGGTGCTGGGATTGCGTTCCCGGAGCGGGTTGTTGATCCATATGGCAATGTGGAATATGCAGTGGGATTCTTCAAGTTTATGAAGTTCTTGAAGCGCGTTACACCGAATTGGGGTCCGGCATAGGCTCTTGTCTCTGCCTTTATCTTTGCACGCAAGGCCGTGTGCCTGGGTTGAGGTATTCTTAGCTTGTCATGGTTCAACATACCCGGCGCTATGGGAGATGGGATGGGTGTTACATATTTTTGACATTTATTATCTTTATGCAAGGGCGGGGTTCAAACCCTTTACAATCAACTGGTTGTTACTCCGGCTTAAGGTCTTTCCATTATGATTGTTGGAGAAGTCAACTATTACTTCATAAGAATTGCGAGTTCTTCATTATTATGTCCATCGAGTTTGCAATAGCACTAACTCTGGTCCAATTTGTCCGTGCTCATGCTAATCCATAAATCGTCAACATGGTCCATGATCAACGTCAGATCATGTTTCTCAGATCCCTCAGTCCCGCATATCCTCGTATCCTCAGCTATGTAGCAAATAACCCAACTAAAGCGCCATCAAGACACCCACGAATCCAAGCGCAGCAACAGCACCGCCAACAGGGCGCACATGACCCGCACCATTAACATTGTTCACACCCGTCTGCTGGGGGAAGTCAGTGTTAGTGCCGGTAGCAGTTGCTCGGTATTCGCTTTGGCTAGCAACAGCCTTGGCATCGTATCCAGTTGCAGTGACAGTCCAGCTGGTCGAGGATTGAGACCAGGTGAGAACAGTGCCACTTGGAGGAGCCGTAACAGTGCCAGCAACATTATGCAGAGTTGAGGATCCGTTCTTGGGGAAGTCACCGGGCTTGTAGAATTTATCAGATGATTCAGTAAAGCCAATGTCCTGGCATTGCAGGTTGTCCAGTGTCGAGTCGCAGGAGTTCCAGGCCCAGTTGGGAATCGAGTTGTACAGGTTAGACAGGTCGTCGGGGAAGAAGACACCCCAAAGGTCTGCGCCAGCAAGGGTGGGGACTGTGTCAGGACAGACTTCCCAGGCACTGCGATCTGTTAGCGTGATTTGTTTTCATTACGAAGATCGAGATCATGGCTTACGCAGAGTAACTGGCACTGGCACCGCAGCATGCACATTCGGTAGCTTGATTCGCGATGTTGAGACCGTTGCCCAGGTTTGCAAGGTTGCCATTGTTTGCTTCGCTAATTGTTTGGTCGGTGACGTTCTTCATGCAAGTCATCTGCTCCTTGCGTGCTGTGAGAGTGTTTTGGAGCACTTTGCCCAAATCGCAAGAGCATCGGTTCGGCGCGTTGTCCGGTGCAGGCCAGAAGGGGATCGGTTCGACTGCGCTAGGGCAGACTGCGAAGTACTGTTGCACGAAGAGTTGGTACTCGCAAGAGTAGACCTGGAGAGAAACATCAGTACATGGGGGATTCAGACAATCGAGGTTATCGTACTTGGTTCCAGCAGGACTCAGCCATACAGTTGATATACTGCTGGTGTGCGGTACAACCGCAGTCGACAATGCAGTTACCATCACCGCCGCAGTCGCGGACACAAGAGCTCCATTTGTCGCCGACATTGCGATTGCAGGAGGAGTAGCTTGACCCGTCCGCACAAGCATTAGTTGTAATGTTGGTCTGGGCTTGAGCCACGCTCGCAAAGCCCGCGAGAACCGCAGCAGATAAGGTAAAGTAGATGCCCGGCATGGCGAGATATGATATCCAGAAAATAGGATTATAAAAAAAGTACTTCGAACACCGAACTTGACTGAGCCGCGCTGGTTGGAAAATTATCAAAGTCTCCCGTTGGATATTCAGTCTCGAGGCAATGCTCATGCACTTATATAGGCCGATCAATGCGATGACACAGGAAATCTCGGATCCTCGGGGGCTTATGCATGATCCCTAGGCCGAGCGATCATTCTGAACCGAACTGTCATTGTTGGCATATTGATCCTGCAGTGTCGTACGGTAGAACCTGATCGAGGGTGAGAGGGCGTGGCCATTCAGCATCGTCAGACCTGGCCAGGGCTCCAGGTTCAATGCCCATGCGCACATATCTCACATGTAGGCAGCCACTTTTTTGCTTGCTGGATTGGATGCATCAGACATAGAGGAGGAACTGCAAGATGTGAATCGTGAGGATTTCCATGGTTCGGTGCATCATGTCAGAGCGCCCTTGCGGCGGTTGCCGCTACGAGGCGGGGCCACTTACTTCTGAACATAACTCGGTGAACCTTGCATGCGCCTGGGATTTCCCATTATGATGATGGTAAGCTGCGCTGGAGGTTTTGGTTGATCTTTTCCCGAGTCTCCCTGGATTTCCCCCAGGTCTTGAAATCATGCGGTGTCGGGATTCGAGATGCCAAGATGCAGGCGAGATTCGCCCCTTGTCAGGATTCGGTGTCTGATGTAGGCTCACCGCAAAATGACATGGCTGAGATTCGCATAAGCATTCATCGTGAGACACAGTGTGTTTCGATGATTCGGGCCGACAATGAAAGCTGATTGTTAGCATCAACGACGAAGTATAAGCAATGACACCCAGAAGCCCATACGAGGAAAAATTGCGATGTCACCTGATGAGGCTGAGCTAGTGACGAGAACAGAGCTTCCAAATGATTACAGCGCGAGGGCTTTTATCGGCCTGACCGTCGGTGCCCCAGGAATCGATCTGTAGCTGGATGATCGATCGTATCTACCCTTGATACTCGACCAGACGCGAAATGCTCCGCCACCAACATTCTAGGTCTATGCTAGCAATGCAGCATGGCCCCAACGAGACTTACTTGGGATGCTGACCGAGTCAGGTTTCCTGTTCTTCGGGAAATTGATCAAAAATCGGCTAGGCTTTTGGGATATGAACCAAAAGACCTTCACAAAGGCCGTGAAGTATAAGACCAAACCATCTTGACCCGGTAAGATCCCATGATCGCAGGCAGGCTAACATTGACCTTCTCTCCCCATTCAGACGCGACCAATGGACCTTCATTTAGGCATGCTTGAAATTGTGATTTCTAAAGAAGTCAAACAACGAGTTCCAGCTGAATCGAAGCTCTAGCTGAGTCCCCACACGATCGAACAACTCGACTCCGAAGTTGTCATCTAGACAGTGAATACTTCGTCTTATCCAAGGCCCCAGAACTCGTCTTTGAATTAATAAAGACCGTGACGTTGACTCAAAGCTCATAAGCTGCGTAGCTTAACCGATGCAAGAGACAAGTGGTCCCCAAGAATTACCACCCACTATAAGAGAAAGGAAACAAACCAGATAAATTTCGAGACAAGACCACATATTCACACTTCTAACATCAAGCCTCTTCTTTCGCGCTCATGTGCTCTCCAATCGGAATAGGATACCCAAATCCAGACCAAATCCAAACCTAAGCCCAGTTCCCAAACCACATGGCCATGCGACGAGCCTAGTCTACCCAGCAGCGCCCAGTCAAAAAAAGGATTCGAACTTGGAATCGCCACGAGTTACAAGACAATGGGCACTATCAACATAACCCTGCATCTGCATTTGTAACAGGAGAGTTCTCAGGTACCCAAGTTTAACAGGGATTCCCCAAAAATCCCGTTCCTTAGCGCCCTCGGCAGTTAACTTGCAGATACGCGATCGCCTCTGCCTTCCGCACCTCATCCCCTTATCCCTTTCCCCCATGTGAGAAGCTAGGAGTCCAAAACATATACACACTCCATCACGCATAGCCATGTCATCCATTACCAGATTTACGAAACCAGATCAAATGATCAGAGCCTAAAAGTGGAGCGAGAGGACCCAAAAAAAAAATTAAAAAAAAACCGTAGAAACAGACCCCTCGCGGACTCTTGCCTCTAAACCGTTGGCCCCACGCGCCCTGGGTCTAAGTTGCGCCCCAAAATTAGTGTGCGAGTTGATCCTCATTTTTCTTCTCTTGTTTTGATTCGAGTTTTGGTCCGTGATTCTAGGTTGTCATTTTGGTCATCCCTTACTCTGTGAAAGGCAGAGGGCTGGGAGATCGTTTTCATTCGCTCGGGCCCTCTTCGTATCTAAATTCTGTTTTTCGTATTTTTTTTTTTCTTCTTTGCTGTGACGCTGGCTAAGGCGAAATTTTATCTCCGGTCGCCCCACCGTCTTCAATGGGTGGATATCGGGCGTAAAGGGAATTTTTCCCGGAGAAGACACCTTCCTGTTCCTAATGTCCATGGCACTGTGCTACGTGAGTAGATCATGGTTTACGGTTGCTGGAGGCATGCAGATAGTGAAGATTCATACACATCAAATTGGTAAAAAGTACATTCGTAAGAACATGGTAGCTTGGGGTAACACAAAGAATGGCCTCAGGTACCATCGATGATTAAGACCCGTCGGACACCGGGGTATCTGCAATGTCCGACGGATTGACTAAAGATTGGCCCAATGCAAGAATGCAAATCCAAGAACGCAAGTCCAAGTCCGAATGGGAAAAAAAATAGTACAACAATGTACAAGGCGCTTCACACCTTTAGAATGATCATCTTACAGGAAGGCAAAGGCGCCAGCGACAAGGAGCATCATGCCACCGGAGACACGGTTGACGAGTCCGCTGTTAGTGAAGGGCACGGAGGTCTGCGAGGATGAGGCGGGGGTGCGGCTGGAGCTGGAGCCCCAGGGGGGAGTGGTGGAGCCGGCGCTGGTGGAAGCGGCGGTGCTGGAGCTGGTGGTCATGGTGGTCATGGTGGTGGCAGCGGAGCTTGAGGTAGCAGCGGAGGTTGAGGTCGCGGAAGAGCTGGAGCTCGTGCTGGAGCTGGAGCTGGTGCTGGTGATGGAGCTCGCGCTGGTGGTGGTGGTGGTGCTAGTGCTAGTGCTAGTGCTAGTGCTAGTGCTAGTGCTAGTGGTCGACTCGGAAGTGGTAGTCGAAGAGACCGAAGTGGTGGTTGCGGCAGCGGTGGTAGAGACCGCGGCAGTAGCTCCGGCGACGGTGAAGCGAGGCAGGAAGTTGTAGTCGCTCGTGTCCTCATCCGAGATAATCTCGATAGTGTACCACTCGGTGTTCACGTCGTCAGGGACAGTCCAAGTGTAGCTTCCATCATTGTCAATGTCCGCTATCATGATTAGTTAGTTCTGATGTCACGACGGAGGGTCTTTTCGATACAAGACTCACAGGCAATGGCAGTGCCGTCATAGGAAGTGGTCACGGCACCTTGCTGCAGGCGCAGCGAAACGGTGCCGCTAGTAGTAGGATCCCACTTCAGGGTGGTGGCCTCGCCAACGGAGAAGCTGTATCCATTGGGAGGGATCTCAAAGGGGTTCGCGTTGCTGTTAGCGGTAGCAACAGCCGCAAGAGCGGAGACAGTCAGGTAGATGAAAGAGCGCATTGTGACTTCAAACAACCAAGATCTAGGGATTTGGAAAAAGGGGGTGAATGTAATGACTGAAATGACTGGGAATTAATAGTCAGAGACCGCGGGAGTTTAAAGGAGTGTAGCGCGAGTCTAGTGAACGACACAAAAAGAAGGCAAAAAGGTAAAGAGGCGACGAACGAAGCGAGGCTCCGTCTATATAAGAGGTGCTGCGCCCATGGTCATCCGCTTATAGGAAGGCGTCGGCGGCACTAGACACATATCAATCAATAGCGCGAGGGCGGGCGTTGCGAGGATTGGATGGAGGACCTCACTAACGGGGCGAACCAGGGAATTGCGTCGGACTGCGCGTGGGGATCCACGATTTGCCCGAACGTGGGCTCAGATTGGTTCCGTTCAAGGCTCGGGGCACATCGGTTCACCAGTGATGCGCCTCGCTTCAGGTGTACCTTAAATGACATACTCCACATCGTGCGCAGGACCGTATCTTTGTGGATGGACTCGGCTAGACTTGCTGGGTCCCTCTACGCAGTACCACGGACTTCTCTCCTCTTTTTTTTAGGGCCTTTCGTTTTCCCTTCCTGCTCGGCCCGGGCTATAATTGGAACTTGCTCTGGATCTGTGCTAGAGCAATCATTCGATTGATGCTAACATGTACTGTAGATGTGCAAAAAGGTTGACCATGGTCCGGTCCCAAATTCCACGCGAGTCAATCGAACCCCCCCAGCTTCCAAATCAGCCCGCTGCCTTTTGACCCCCTGTTCCCGTGTGCTTCATGATGCCTATGCCTACATATACGAGGAGAGTAATAAAGTGAAAATAAAATAAAAGAAGAAGAACCAATGTATGCTCGTAAATATGCTCCGGTGGAGCCCGTAAGGGTACACGATTTTATTGCGGGGCGCCGTTCGCCTGCGAACTGATCGAGGGTTCTAGCAGGCCATTCTGCCCGAGCCAGCTAATCACTTCCATGGCTTGGCGATCCTCGTCTTCTTTTTGCCGGTCCAGTAGCTTTGATTGTGTTCGTTAGTGAAAAGCTTAGTTGGAAATAAAAAGAAAAATAATCATCTATAAAGGTGACACTTACTGCCTGAAGAAGGCCCTTGCGCCCCTTCTTTTCAACCGGCTTAGCCTTGGCCTTAGGGCCGCGCTCGGGGGTCTCGTGTGAGAATTGACAGCTGTCTCCCCGGTTACACTGTCCGCTACGAGCGAAATGACGGCATCGAATCTTCTTGCTTTCGCGAGGAGGGGGGAGGAACCCTTTCAGGTCCCTGGCGACGTGAACTAGCTTCCTCTGGGGCAGCGTCATCATCGCTGTCCGACTCGGATTCTGACTCGGAGCCACTAGACGAGGTCCAGTCGCTGGCGTCAGACACATTGGACGAGAGATCCATGCCGCCCTCTAGATGGTCGACGGTGGCGTCCACTGTCTCGGCAGGAATGGAGCTGGTCTCAACAAGCTGAGAGCTCGCGGTTTTCGCCGTGTCCACAGCGTCTAGAGCCATCGGATCCACCGCGTCAGCTGAATCGGACGCTTCAATTTTCTGGTCTGCTTCTGGTTTGCGTTCGGGAGCGGCTGGACCATTGACCTGAGTGGGCTCCTCCAGGCCCTGTGCCTGTCTCTGTAGGGCTTCGACCTTTAGACGAGCCGCCTCTGCTGCCGCCTCGGCTTTGGCGAATCGTTTTTGCTCTCGGTCGAGGTTGCGCCGTATTTTGTCAGCCTTGCGCTGCGCCTTCATCGCCTCATCGAGCGCAGGATCTGCTGCCTCTTCGGATCTCTGCTCGAGCTGTTTCTGCTTGGCCTGTTCTCTCTCCATCTCTTTCTCGAGCCGAGCGGCCTCGCGCGCGGCATCGCGAGCAGCCTTGGCCTCTTCCATGGCCTTTTTCTTTTCGTCGACTCGAGCCTGCGTGGGGAATTTTTTCCGTCGTTCCGCAATCCAGGCTGCAATATCCGCAGCCGATTGCAGTTTGGCCGTTTGTCCCTTGTACGTAAATTGAAGCGATGCGACTCCAGCACCGGGTTGGGCCAATTTCGATTCTTCATCCGCATCCTCCTCTTCCTCGCTAGACTCGTGGTCTTCCGTTTTCGGGGTCAAGCCAAGCTGATTATGCTTTCTCTTCCTCTTCTTTGGCTTTCGCGTAGCATCTGCCGCGGGTGGTGGCTTCGATGGTAACGGGTTTCCAAAACTTGGGACGGCTGGGGCAGCCGGTGTTCGCGGCGCCGTGGACTGAGGTTTATTGAAAGCTGACGAGTATTCCCGTTTGTGATAGTTTCGCGATTTGGGTCCATGGTTTCCGTGCTGTTGAGGCCAAGAGCCTCGTCCATGGGCAGGTGGGGCTCCACCGTACGATCCGGGAGGAGCCTGCACTTCTGAGCCCCAGGGCATAGCGCCCATCATCATCGGATTTGCTGGAGGAGAGGCATGCTGGTGTGTTGAGCGTCCGGCAGGGTAGGGCGTAGTGGGTTGTGTAGAGTAGGCGGAGTGTCCGATATTCGGGGTATTGAATCCTGGCAACTGTTGGTACGCGGGCGAACCTGCAGATTGTGGGAAGGATTGCGGAGACTGATATTGTGACGGGTCCGAAGGGTGTTGATAATTAGATTGCTGGGGAGGATAGGGCGGGGAAGTCATGTAGGACGTTGGCGGTGCTGGTTGAGTCGGATATCCATAATTTCCGGGCGCGTAGTTGTAGCCGGAGATAGGAGTATAGGAAGACCGGCCAGCCTCCGGGTGGTGATGTCCACCACCTCCACGACCTCGATTTCCACGACCGCGGCCGCGTCCACCAGCTCCGCGTCCATTCCAGTGTCCAGGTGGTGCGGAGGGGGGAAAGGCTGGTGGTTGAGAGGTCGGAGGAGGGGGTGGCGGAGGAGGAAATGAAAACCCCTGGGAGCTCATACTTGCCCTGGCCAAGGTCCCAGCGCAATAAGCTGGACTTTACACCATGGCGCAGAAACTGAGATCTGCACGTCGCGGTTTTTTCCAAGCTCTAACTTTTTGACAGCTGCGGAGATCACGTGACTGCAGGATCCGCACTGGTGAACCATCGTGACTTTTTTTTGGTTTCACTGGTGCTATCATAGTCGGGCGCACATGGGTTTCTCTTCTTTGCATAACAAAATTCCTTCTTCACTTTCTTCACAATGTTCATTCTTGTATGTACATCTGCCCGAGCTGGCATGATATCTGCTCACTGACTGCGGCAGACCACCATCTCAGATCTGATACAGATCTCGCCTGAGGACTTTTCAAAGTACAGTGCCGTGGCTATCGAAGATAACATTAATGAAAAATATGCCAACAAGGTGTGTAGCCTTAAGGCCCGAATACAACTTGATCAATTTTGACACTTTTCAGGTCATCCAAAAAATCGGTCTATGCATCAGCTTTTATGACCTCCTCGAGTCCTCAGATGGTCTGATCGGCCATGGAACGGGACTTGTCAACGTCAATGGTAGGCAGACCTAGTCCAATTGTGCAAAAACCCCCCTGCTGACCGGCCAGTCAAATTTCGTATGATCGTCTTCCGGCCCTTCAAGGGCGAGATTATGATGGGCAAGATCGCGAGCGGCACAGAGCATGGCATCAAGAGTGTGTATTCATAGATTTCACGTGCATACTCTGCCTGACTTACTGACTTGTCGAAGTTGCCGTTGAGTTTTTCAACGATATTTTGATCCCCCCAGGCCTGCTTCTTGACAATGCTAGATTGTGAGTCAATTCCTCATCTTTTTGGCCAATGCACTAACCCGACACAGTGACTATGCGGATCAAGTCTGGACCTGGGTGAACGATGATGGATCAACGTTCTACTTTGATGTCGGAGAAATCGTCCGTTTCCGCGTTGAGACGGAAGAGTGGCATGACCAGATCCCTAACGCACCTGAGCTCGCCGACATGCCTGTTCAGGAAAGGAAGCCTCCGTATTCCATTATTGTACGTGTCATTCAATTTGGCTAGTGTTGAAATTGGGCTGACTGATCTATTAGGGCTCGATGCAGATGGCCGGCCTTGGGCCCGTTGCTTGGTGGTGAAGTGCGTTTTTAATATACGGGGCGCTCTATTTCCTTAGTCAGATTAGATACCCATGGCTTGGTGGCCAGCATCAAATTCTCGAGAACATTGATAAATCCCGAACATTTAGAAATTCCTACCTTTCAAATGGAATTACAATTGGTAAGCATTGTAAGCTCTCGGACCTGGGACTTGGTGCAATACGACACCATGTATTCATGGACCCAAAGGACCACGATGGCGCAATATGTAGGCACCAGGCAGGTACGTAAGACAGTGTTTTGGCCTCGAATACCAATCAGATCGTCTACTTCTCAGGGCTTGATTAGCGCAAAACTAAACAAAACCTCCAAAACGCGGCATACTCCAATCCGTCGATCCTATCTAGATAATCTTGGCTGGGCTCTTACACTCCGATCACTCCGAGAGATCGGAGTGTTCAGACTTTTCGCCGAAATAATTGCGGCTACATCCGGTTAACAGACCCAGCTGTGGGTCATTTGGCGGCTCTGAGCCACTCACGATAGGGCGATCGATCGTCTCATGCTGCAAGAACCGTTAGCAACGTAAAAGAAATGGAGATTGAGCTAGAGGGGTTTTTTTTGGAAGCGAAACAATAAACCACGTTCCTTCCCGTGGCTCACAAGGTTTTCTCCCTGCTTCGGTGCTCGATAATCACAGGTCGATTTCCAATTGCGGTGATCTCATCTTGTCCTTCATCAATCACCTCATAGACGCTTCCGGCCTACTTTATCCTGATATCTTCCATACTTTGCATTGCATTTCCTCCTTTGCATACCTTCACAATGGGCTCCATGGAGAACGGTCACTCTACTGAGCGCCGCTTCGGCACGCTCGCTGTGCACGCTGGTGCCCCTCACGACCCTGTCACCGGTGCTGTCATTGCTCCTGTATGTTGGCGCCTGTGCCCTGACAGCTCTTGGAATTGCCGCTCATGATCGTCTAGATCTCCCTGTCTACCACCTTCGCTCAGACCAGTGTCGGCAGCCCTGTCGGTCTGTACGAGTACACTCGCAGCTCCAACCCCAACCGGTTCGTCCCCAGCTCCAGTCTTCTACGCCCAATTCGTCCGCTAATCTTTGCAGGGATAACTTCGAGACTGCTGTGGCCGCACTTGAGCATGCCAAGTATGCCCTTGCCTATTCCTCTGGCTCCGCCACTACCGCCAACATCCTGCAGTCCCTTGCCCGCGGGTCGCACGTTGTCTCGGTCTCCGACGTCTACGGTGGAACCCATCGATACTTCACAAAGGTCGCCGACGCCCACGGCGTCACCGTGACCTTCTCGCCCACCATTGAGCTGCATGTCGAGGAATTGATCCGCCCTGGTGAGACCAAGCTCGTCTGGATCGAGACTCCCTCCAACCCCACTCTAGGCCTGGTTGATATTCAGGCCGTTGCCGATATTGCCCACCGTCATGGCATCCTGGTCGTTGTCGATAATACCTTCATGAGCCCATACGTTCAGAACCCGCTAGACCACGGCGCTGACATCGTCGTCCACTCCGTCACCAAGTACATCAATGGCCACTCCGATGTCTTGATGGGTGTCGCCGCTTTCAACTCGGAGGACCTCAAGGAGCGTCTTTCTTTCCTCCAGAACGCCATTGGTGCCGTTCCTTCGCCCTTCGACTGCTGGCTCGCTCACCGTGGTCTGAAGACCTTGCACTTGCGCGCCCGCGAGGCTACCAAGAACGCCACTGCTGTCGCTCAGGCTCTTGAGGCTTCCCAGCACGTCATCTCCGTCAACTACCCCGGTATCGACTCCCACCCTCACCGCAAGATCGCTATCAAGCAGCATCGCGATGGTATGGGCGGTGGTATGCTCAGCTTCCGTATCAAGGGTGGCCAGACTGCTGCGCACAACTTCTGCAAGTACACCAAGGTCTTCACCCTGGCTGAGAGTCTGGGTGGTGTTGAGTCTCTTTGTGAGGTTCCCTCTAGTATGACCCACGCTGGTATTCCCAAGGACCAGCGCGAGGCCGCTGGTGTCTTTGATGACCTCGTCCGCATGAGCTGTGGTGTTGAGGACGCTGAGGATCTGTTGGCTGATGTCCTGCAGGCTTTGGAGAAGGCTGATAAGGCTAACGGCAGCGCTTGATTAAGTGCCTTCTCAGTCATATTTCCGTTTTTGCATCATAATGAAACTAGATAATAGACGATTTTCTTTTGTTTTAGACACTGGCACTCGCATTGCACTGATGATCAGCTACAATATACGCGAGAATACCTTTTTGAGTTCCTCTTGTGAATTATTTCGACCTGTTGATACGGGATTCCATGATTCGTAATGATTACTGCCGGAGCACTCGATCTTTCTGTGATGTGTTTGTCCATTTATGTTTCAGTCTCATGACTCCATTGGTACCTCTCGCTTGAACGTATCATATAGTCCCATTCGCACTCGATTTTCTCCAGTACGGGTCATCATGTTAGACGGAGGAAGAGCCTTGGGGGTAAAACTCATCGTAGTAGCCCATGTCCCCGAGAACACTCTCCCCGAGATCCTTTTTGAGCCATCATTCTGCACTCAAGCTCGATTTTTTGCTTCTGTTTTTAACGAGGGCAATCATCCACACCTCGAGCAAGACGATTTCGGAATGAGTATCGGGAATGGGTGACAACGGAGAGGGGCTGAATCGCTTGGGCAGTATGGAAATTGCTTTTCTTATTGGTGTAATTTTCGGTGGCATGAACTTAGGGTGAGGAACGGCAGTTTGTGGATGTGTGAGTGAAGTTAGAGAAGGAAAGAGCGTACAGATGACAGACTCCACGCGAAGTTTTTTTGCAAGAGTCCGCCTCCTTGATTTGAGCAGGCACAAACTAATCGTGAGTACCTTTCCATCTAGATCACGCATGTATCCAGCTGAATTTGTCTCTTTCTGGGCATCGTTGTACTGTCTCCGGGTGGGCCATCCTGTGATTAGTCATCACCACCGGCCCACGGCAATTTTTTGGATATGCTTCGCTGATGAGCACAGCTTCACAGGTTGACTCTGATTCATTCCACTATTACTCATTAGCGGCAAGCTGATTCCGTTCCTTTGCGGAAGACAGAGAGTAATTTCTATAGCACCAATCTGTGCGCAATACTATCATATCCGACAGAGCCTCACACAACGTATATTCGATCAGACAATATCATGGCATTTAGCTTCGGATTTGCTGGTGATGACATCGACATTGATGATTCTGAGAATGACAGCGGTATTCCTGATGTTGTCGTCCACAACGGCTCGGCCAAGCCTCTTCCTGAATTGGTTAAGGCTAGTCAACATGATATGAACGAGTTGGTACGTCTTTGTTCTAAAAAATTACATGAAACTTCCAATTTACCTCAAGGATTAAGTTGCAGAACTGACTGATAAACAGCTGTCTCTTCTTCCATCTCAAATCTTTTACAATCGTCTCCCTATCAGCGAGACACCCATTGTTATTGCGCGCCGAGAAATCATCGATATCCGCACCCAATTAATGGCTGAAGACAGCGCAGAACACGATAATGCAGAGCTGATCGCTGGTCTGGAAGAGGGTGACCTTAAGCCTCACTTCTACGAAGGTGGTTTCAAAACCTGGGAATGTGCCTTGGACCTTGCCAAGCTGGTTGCCAGTGAAAGTGCGATTGCAGAGTCATTGGGCAACTTGCAGACTAACGTTCACATCATCGAGGTATTTACCGCTGTTCAGTTCGTTTGCAGAATTAAATGCTAACAAAGCTACCCTGAACAGCTCGGTGCAGGCACTGCAGTCCCCTCACTGGCTTTATTCGCCCATATCCTCGGCCAAACAGAGTCCGCGGGAGATGCCCCGCAGCGCAAAGCGCATTTCACTTTTGCCGATTACAATGACGCAGTTCTGCGTCTTGTCACGCTTCCCAATCTGCTTTTGACTTGGTGGAACTGCCGATCGCTTGCCACGTCAGAAGCTGTTGAGGAGGTGACCCCGGAAGAGGAATTGGACATTACGCCGGAGCTAGTAGATGATTTCAAGAATGACTTGGCGCGCCGCGGAATCTCTATTGACTTCATTTCAGGTGCCTGGTCGCCCAAATTCGTCGACTTTGTCTTCTCCACTCGCTACGGGGGCGACTATAAAACGTTGGTCATGGCCAGTGAGACTATCTACTCGCCGGCGTCATTGACCGCTTTCTCGGAGACGCTCTTGGAGCTGCTGCGTCGTTCCAACATAGATTCCGCGAGAAGCCGGGCGTTGATTGCTGCGAAAAAAGTCTACTTTGGTGTCGGAGGTGGAGTGGATGAGTTCCTCGCGGTGTTGCAGAATGTGGGCGCCGATGAGCTGGAGGTGCAGCACAAAATGGATGTCCAGTCGGAAGGTGTTGGCAGGGTCGTATTGGAGATCTCGCCTGCTGCCAAATAATGTGAACTTATCAGAGTGATGGAGATACCAGCACCACAGACTTGGCCATTGAAGAGTGACTTGGAACAAATGGAATTCAAATGATAAAGTGCCGGATCGAACTTCCAGCCCCAACGTATATGTACATGGTTTGCCTCCCCTTGCAAGTCTAGTCTGATGTCTCAGATACACATCCCTTACTCGTAAATCTTCTCCCGCGTAGCACCGGAAGCCTCAATCTCGGCGTTCTGGCGCTCGTAATAGGCCTTGACCTTGCTCAGGTCGGCCTGAGAACCGGGGGCAACGTTGTAGGGGAAGCGAGAGTTAAGCATTCTGCGAAAGGGAAAGGCAAATTAGCACCGATATATCATTCCCGCGGACCTGTTTCACGTACTCGGGCATTCGCAGCTCGTAGGACTCGCGGGGTCCTTGACTATGGAGGAGGTGGCGGTCTGCAGCCGCCTTCTCCATAAGAGCAGTGTGAATGGCATTGCGCTGCTCAAAGTCCTTCTCAGAGGGAGTGAATTTGCTGATCAGGCCGGAGACCCAGGACTCGGAGCCGGAGTCCTCGGTGGACTTGCTGATGCGGTAGAGGATGTATGCGGAGGCAATGCTGCCAACGGTGACGTAGAAGCTGCGCTGTCAAGTAGATGTCCCAAATTAGCGAACGTTCCATTGGAATTGGGCGATCTTTGAAGCTCGCCGAAGAACTTCATGGTCGGCCGCGGGGGTAAAGCTTACGCCGATGCCTTCGTTCACGGGCTCAGCGTGGGCGGAGTGAGAGCCGAAACGACGAGGCGGCTGCTGCGCAGCAACCCGCCGTGACGAGGCAACGAAACGTCTGGCAGCGAACATGGCGGAGAGAGAATTGGAGGTTGTTCTGGTGGTGATGACCCTTCAAGCAGCCATGATAGGATGAGACGAAGTTGCGAACAGACGAGGTCACATGACTGTTCATTTCAGGCTTAGCGTGGATTAGGGGGTGTCAGTTGCTCGTTTCCACTTAGATCTCACACTCGATTTATGGAACTACTTTGTTCCTGCAATGGTCCTGCAATGGTCCCAGAAAGCTGGAGTCTTTTCGAAATGCAAGAATCATGCGGTAGGTGCAGAGACATGAGAAATGCCGGCGCTGTGTTCCGGGGAGGAGATTCAACATGATTCAACAGGGCGCCTCCAGAGCGATGCCTCACTTGAGCCATTTCCCTCCTAACAGCAAATTAGGGGATCTATTGGATCCATCCATTTATCTGCCATTTATAAGACGATACGTATACTCGAGAAGTCTCTGGCTATCAGTTGAACATGTCAGAGTTGAGAGGGTCCCCACCGGCTTTTGCCCTATTGTTCATCGCGAACGCCCGACCCCATTGATGCCCAATGCCCCCATGGCGCACGACAATTGGCCTCGCTCTGGTTCGAAATTGAATATTTCGCTGCGCATCGCGGTTTTCGGATAAGTTGATCAGCATTGTAGTGCGTCTGCGAGGCCCGGTCGGTCTTGGGATGGGTATCGATATCCACCTAAGGCTCGGTCCGCCATCACACTTGTCCCCTAAGAGCGCTGGGGCACACTCTCGAGCAATATAGTATTTTTTTTTCTCTTCTCAAATTCCACTTCCTGGTTCCCTGGTGGTACACTCACACTGTCCATATTCTCAAGATTGAGATTTGGACTTGCCTGAATTGAACGCGTGCTGGAATCGGCAGCCTTGCTTTCGTGTGTCGCGTTCATTTGCTCCCGCTTGTCCGACTCTACCTAGGAAAGCCGATTCTCTGCCCGATTGTCGCTCATACCGCGCACATTTGCTCGTTGTAGCGTTTTAGGTATTTGTCTTGCTAGTCTGACAGATCTTTGGGCTATATCTTGAGGCACCGCCAGGGCAACCAAATGTACAGTGCAGAGAGCCCTATGTATCAACAGACCTGGAATGTACTCATCCCTCTATTATATTCTCTGATACAGTGACTCGATTGGAAACACGTCTCTTTCCAGGAATATCAACGTCTCATTTGGGCACGCATCTCTCTACCACAATGGCAGTCGGTGGCAAGAAGGCTAAGGCCAAGGACAAATCTGGCAAGGCAGGGTTGACCAAGCAGAAGGTTAAAAAGATGAAGACCCCAGAAGAGGCAGAAAGTCAGACGACAAGTGAATCTCCAGCTCCTGGCGGTCCGGAACCCGTGGTACAAGACCAAGACCTCGGTCAGCCACCGGAACCTACGCTTGAACTGACTCCAGAAGCTACTGAATCGACCGAGATATCCACAGCGTTGGGAAGTGAGGAATGTGAGAACGCACAGACTCCTGACCCTGCGACATATCAACAACCCCACCTGAAGGAAGATCATCTTGACATCGAAGCATTTGTTTTGAAAGACAACGACGCGCCTGAAACACCTGTTGAACCAGTGGAACAACCTGCTGCACCCATTGACACAGTTGAACCACCTGTTAATACACTAGAAAGCCAGAAACCCGAAGACAGTTACCCAGAGGAACATAGAAGCAAGGCAATTGTTACTTCTCCTCCATTTGCTCCATATTCGCCTGCTCTAGTGCCGTTGCCGTCGCCTTCTTTGACTGAGGCACGGTTTATGTCAAGCGCTTCACCAGAGTCCAATTACTATCAACCTGCTCCCGCATACAACTCTTACACTGCACCTTATACTGCGCCTTATACTGCGCCTTATACTGCGCCTTATACTGCGCCTTACGTCGTTCCTGCTCCATACACCTCGCCGTACGGCTCACCCTACGCCTCGCCATACAGTTCACCTTACGCTTCGCCCATTCCGAAAGTTAGCAGTCCTCTGGCTCGCTCACATTATCCCTATATGCCACCGGTCATGTCTCCTATCGCAACCTCTACGCCGCCACCTCCACCCGGAGCACCGGCAGCGCCGCCTCAAATGGCTCCTCCGGCACCACGGCCACCTTCAACAGCTCAAAGCTACACCTCGGCCGTGCACTCTCCTGTCATGAGCTCAGCTGGAGTGGTACCTCCATATGCTGGGTATCCGCCTCAAGCACCCAATGGTCATTATATGCATCGAAGTTACAGCATGTCTGACCCTTCATATGCTGCATCTTTCCAGGCCATCCGAGAATTGGGCTTGGCCAATGGCCAGCCGCATGATAATGGGGCTATATCGCCCCCCGAGAACGATGCCGAACACATCGAACTTCTCCAGAGAATTCAATCGGCACTTCCCGACATCGACCGCCTCTTACATGGGTTCCGAAGCACTCATACCAGGTTAGCAGGTCGGGAGGCTGAGATAAAGCAGATTGGAACCCAGCATGAGCAAGCTTTGATGCACAAGGAGTTCTATATTGAGGCTTTGCAAGCACAGATGAAAAAGACGGCAAATGAAAGTGCCGAAGAAAGTGCTAAGCTCAAGAACATCATCAACGAGCTCCGGCTCGAGCTAGGTAACCTCCAAGAGAAGCAAAGGGACTTCGAAGACGGTTTAGCGACTCACCAAAAATCCAACGAGGAGCTCTCGCAAAGCAAGTCTGACCTCGAGGCAGAAATCGCCAGATTGAACACCAGCATTCAAGAGATGAAAGATGCTCATAATAAAGAACTGGAGGCACAGAAAGAAGAGCACGACAAAGCACTTGTTACCCAGAAGCAGGAGCTGACTGAACTTTTCGAGGAGATCAAAAATGAGGACGAGAAAGCCGCAACTGAAACCTTGGAAAGTCGCGAGAAGAGCTTGACGGATCAACACCAGTCTCAAAAAGCCGAATGGGAGAAGGAGAAGGCTCTCATGCAGGATTCTTTGGAGAACCAGCGCACCGAACTCGAGACCACCAAGTCAGAGCTTACTGCCAAGATTGCTGTTTTGGAGTCTAAGGAGACCGAACTCGGAAAAAATTTGGCCGAGCTGACCTCTGCCCGGGAAGAAGTTGCATCCAAGATTGACGAGTTGGAGGCGAAAGATAAAGAGTTGGGAGAAACCCGTGCCAAGAATGCCGAGGAACTCAAGGCGCTCCAGAATGGCCATGCTGGCGAACTTGACTCCCTACGAAGCACCCATGCCGAGCAACTTGGTGCCGCTGCCAAGGAACTTGATGACAAGATGGCTGCCGTTGAGGCAGAGTTGATCGAAAAGGAGCAGCACTGGACCGCTGAGCGGACTGCTCTTGAGAAACTGCTCTCCGAGAAAGACAGTGAACTCTCAAGCGTGGAACGCGAGAAGGAGCAGCTCGAAGGAGACAACAACATCAAGGAGCAGCAACTTCAGCGTGCAGTGGATGAGATGCGATTCACCATTGACCATCTCGACAAAGACTGTGAGCGCTTGAGGAAGACCCTGAGCAGTCTTGGAGAGGCCACTGATCTCAAGACCACGAAGGGCGATCAATTCTTGTAAGTAAGCCCATGATTTACCATTTGATGTTTATGCTTCATGTTTATCACGATCATGTCAATATCCATGTTCGTGTCTCTTTCTTTTCTGCTGTGACGAGACCGACCCATACCATTCTTCATGTCCTTGCTAGAACTGCATGTTTATAACGCCATAGAATGTACATGTTCTAATTAGCCTTTTATTTTAGTGTGGACTGTTTCACCCAACTTTCATCTTTGATCCACGAGCTCTCCAAAGAGCACTTCGCCTATCTCCCAATCGACCCGCCAAAGGACATCCTCTCCAAAATCCCTTCAGAACTACCTACTTTCCTCGACAACACCATTGCCTCTCGCGACCTCCGCTGCGCCTACATCGAACATGTTGTGTCCAAGACAATCACCTACCGCGTGTTCCAGCCTTTTTTGTTCACCCTAGGCCGAAGGTACGACAAAGCCGACACTTTCTTCCAGATGTTGTCTATGGACATCCGCCGTAAGTCCGTCCGCCGCGAGGCATTCTGGCGACAACAAACCCTCAAAGCAGCCTACACTACCTCAGACGCCAAGCAATCTATCAATGTTGCTGCGGCCGTGATCGTGGATGAGATCATCGATCATATCAAGCACTTCGCCGACCCCAAGCACCTGGACTCCCTCTTGACCGGAGTCCGCAAGATCGTAAAGCTGGCGGCGGAATCTTGGCGCCACGCCCGCGTTGAGCGCGAGCTCGTCCTAGCATCCTTCCCGGCACCAGATGCGGAAAGTGTTTCTAAGGACGGTTGGCTGGAGCATGGAATCGCTAAAGATGCTACCCCCAATCCGACTATGGACCCCACCCGCCACGTCGTTTTGCGCACCTTCCCACACATCTGGCGTGAGGCTGCACACGAGGACTTTGCTAGTGGAGAGCGGGCGCATCCATGCATCTACTCCCCGGGTGAGGTTTTGTATTCGGATTCTCCTGTCATCCTGGCTCGTCTACAGGAGTTGGCTAAGACGTCTTCTGAAGCCGTGGCTGCTCCCGTACCGGCGGCTTCGGCTGCTCCACTTGCCCCAGCTGCACCAGCTGCCCCAATTGCTCCCGTTACTCCAGTTACTCCAGTTACTCCAGTTACTCCAGTTAATGCGGATCAGGCCCAGATGTCTCCACCTAAGACCCCGCCCAGAAGTCCCAAAGAGTCTCACGAGAGCCTGCCTCTCAAGGGCCGTGAGAGCCTGCAGCTCAAGGCCATTGAGCAACTGGCCACTGCTCAGAAGCCGGCCCCAGCGAGGGTGTCGGTGCCTTCGGCGCCCGCGAGTCCTCGCCCAAAGGAGCAAAAGGTTTGAAATCTGATCTTGTCAGAATGTCCATTCCCTGGTTCTTGACCGTTTTCCTTCTTTTGTATCTGTTCTTTCCCCCTGCATTGATTGCAAACATTGTTTCGATTTTTTCTCTTTCTGTCACCGGCATTCAGCGACTGGGATCTGAGCGTTCATGTATGTTTGTGCTTTTGATGTATTTTCCTTCCAAGGAGAGCATTGTATACGCTTAGGGATGGTTGATTAGCAAGATTTACCGAGGTATCGATTTGTATTTCATTTTGCCATGATAAAGCACTGCCCTTGTATGACTTCGTAGCACCTTTGACGAGGGGCCCCACCGCCATCGGGATAGGAACCATGATCCATGGACACGGAGCGGTTGGCGCACCGCCACGCGTTGGTATAAAACAAGCTCGTGGACCTTCAGCCCTACTCGTGTGGCTCACAATCCGACCCCACGAGGGGCTGAGAAGATAAGAATAGAATCTATGTGGCTCAGTCCTGCACAACCAGGGATGTGTACAGCCCGGTGCCTTTCGGGGCTATTTCTCACGCGTTTCGAACCTATTCACAGCCATTCAACTGCAGTGTTTATCTGGATGAAGAGATAGTTTTACAACAATGGGCTCGGAGTTTTATGAGCATTCGAGAAGCTACGTAGCCGTGCCTGAGGGTAAGCGAGAACCGGATCGCGCAACGCGGGGCGCCAAGGATCAAGTGGGCGCTAAATGAGGCTCATTTGGAAGTCGCAAGGCTGACCCGTCATTTCATCTTTCTTTTTGTCCCCTTCGAGTGCCCCATTCCGGTCATTGTGAATGTCCTGACTGGCTGCTTATGCGCCCGGAGATGACATTCGAGTTTGCCAGGTGTGTTCGCAACTCCAACCCTGGAATCTTGTGAACCTCTTCTCTCTCTTCCCCCTCTTATTCTTTCCACCCCCATCTTTGCAAGCTGTTGTGCATCTGTGCATGATCCCTCAGCCTCGCCTGAGTAACAGTCCGCCTGAATGATTCAGTGATCTCATCTTCTTACGTGTTTAAAACAAAAAAGGTGCTGACACTAAACGTCAACCCAATGAGTGGGCCTCTATATAACTCCCCTGAATTGGCTTGGGGCGCTCTGCACCCTCATGATTTATCTATCAGCGTGGCTCCCACTGCTCCTTTATCACCTCTGTCCGAAGGAGGTGCCTCAGATCTTCTGACCGTGTGGACAAAGCTAGGCGCTTGCGACTACCACAACATGTCGACGCCGTCCGGTCAGTCGCCCACGCTGCATGAGCTGAAAATCGATCCCTATCTCTCTGCACCTTCGGATCCCGAAGAAAGTGACTTTCATGCCAGCGCTATTCGCTTAACTGCTGCCGGTGGGAGTCCGAATCACAGTTCGCCGAATGGAAGTCGGCGCCCGTCGGTCCAGTCACAGACTCACTTATTTCGCGGAAATGGCCATATGCCGTCGAAGCCGATCTCGTATCTTGCGCCGTCGGATATTGAGCTGGTAAATGGCTCTGATACTTGGCAAACCGAAGCCACCTCATCCTTCAATAGTGGCCCAAAGGCTCCAGAAGGAAATATGCGATGGGTATCGGGTGTAGACGTGAATACCTCGCAGTGGCTCAGCACAGATAACGCGATGCCGAGTCCGACATCTACATCGGGCAGTCTGACTGTCCCCAGTAGTGCCGCCACCATGCGTGAATCTTTCGCGAGGTCTCAGCCAGGCCTCGGTATCTCTAATTCGACATGCGTTCTGCCTGAACTCACTATTTCGACCAATTACCAGTTAGAAGATGATTTGATCTCGCCTTCGACAAGAGGAAGAAGCCCTATCGTCACCGTGAGTAAAGTGTCGCGCGGAGATTCTCCCGTTGTCCACCAAAGACGGCCAAGTAGGTCAACCGCGCATCTCTCTCCTGGAGACATGTCTAGTGAATCTGGTCATGAAGACGATCTTAGCGATGTGCGATCGGTCGGCTCACTCTCTGTGGCACGAACCCATAATGGCAAATGGATCCCCAATTCCACAACTGGTCATAGAGGTCTCGATCCGGTATACCGTGGAGATGAACTTGTGCCGAGCCCGAATGATCTACAAGACCAGCGCGAGCGCGACAAGAAGAACGAATCTATTTCCATCTGGACCGAATCCGTGAGCGAGGCCAGCAATGGCGTGGCTGATGAGCCTCCTTTATCTCGATTGAAATCTCCGGCGACTAGGACGCGCCGAGCCCGAAGTACTGGGGATCGTCCCTTTCAGCAGGAGGACTATTTCAACTTACAGTTCACCTCTACCAATCGACCGGTTCTGGGACCTGGAGTCAAGGTCTATGAGAGCAGTGAGGATGAAGCTAGTGAAGCATCCAATGAGAATGAAAGTATTCGTGCCGAGTCTCCTGTCGCTGATGCCACTCAAATCGACCAGAACGATTGCCGAACACCTGAGATTTGTGATTCACTTGAACAGACGGACTCCCGTGGGAACTTCTGTCTTTATCCATGGCAAGACATTCCATGCGACTCAACCCCAAGGACAGAAGTGATGCAACCAGGAACTTCCAGCGCCGCCATGGTGGCCTTTGAGAAGCGTGCGCGCGACCTCGAGACGGCATCATTAACGGCAACTATTGACAACAACAGTATCATTAATTTCGGGATGACTTTCGACAGACTATCCATAAAAGATCAACCCAAAACCAAGGAGAGACGGAGTAATAGTCTTCTGAGACGTCCTTTCTTCCAGCAAGCGTCCTCAAAACTCAAGCGTCAAGCGTCTGATCTTTCTATTTCCACCGCCCACACTGCTGCTCAACCATCTCCTCAAGAGCCTCGGCGTAAGGACAGCGGCTCACATCGTCACAGGTTGAGCTTGTCGTCTAGATCTCCTAGATCGCATAAACACACGCGCTCTCCTAGCCTGACAAATGCTCTCATGTCTATGTCAGGTCAAATGGCGGCCATTGGAGGCAGTCATTCAGTTCGTGCCGTATCACCCAATCCAGAAGCGAGCCCTGTGAATGTCCCCAAGAACCGTGTCCGAAGCCGAAGCGAAGTTCCGCGACCTGTCACGCCGGGCTTGATGGATCTCATGACCACCCATGGTGGGCCCCCAGTCGCTGGTCTATATCGGTCTCCCATGCCGGAGATGGGACCTGAGCCAAGAAGTGCAGCTCCAAGACCCAACACCGCTGGCGCGGAAGTTGAAGACGAAATCGACATGATCGACGGCAGGAGTTATGTGATGGACTTCCCACCTGTCTCTAGCCTACCAGTGCCTACTTTTGAAGGGTTTAGGGCGCAGATCATGCAACTTAATCCACAGCTCGAACCTGCTCTGATCCATAGGTTTGCACAGGCACAAGTGCGTCGTTATAGAAATCTGGTAGAACTGCAACAGAAGCACTTGGTTGCCGTTGCCAATCGCTCGTGCAAGGCGGGCAAATTTTGCTTTGCTCTAGGAGGCGAGGCGTTCTGGCCACCACATCGCCCTGCCGACACCGAGGCTGGACGAACCCATTTCCGGGTTGCTGACCACAGCACTAGCCACAGCCGCGATCAGCCTTATATTTTAGGCGAGGGAGCTATTGCTGCAGCTCATTTCCCGCCTGGTGTACCTCTTCCACCTGTCGACCGCCTACCCGCCGAGTTCGAGTGCCCGATTTGCTTTGAAGTCAAGAAGTTCCACAAGCCATCTGACTGGTCCAAGCACGTTCATGAAGACACGCAGCCCTTCACGTGTAGCTTCCCCGAGTGTAATGAACCTAAATCATTCAAGCGCAAGGCAGATTGGGTTCGACACGAGAATGAGCGACATCGACAACTTGAGTGGTGGACCTGCTCCAATTTCGAGTGCCACCACACCTGTTATCGCAAGGACAACTTCGTTCAGCACCTAGTGCGAGAGCATAAGATGCCCGACCCAAAGGCAAAGAAGACCAAGGGATCAGCAGACGCAGGCGACGGTTTATCTGACAGCATGCGTGAACAGGAACTCAGTCGGCTCTGGAAAATAGTTGACGAGTGTCACCATGAAACAGAAAACACCTTGCGTCACGAACCCTGTCGTTTCTGCGGGAACATCTGTGGATCCTGGAAAAAGCTAACGGTGCACCTGGGGAAACACATGGAACAACTGGCCATGCCAGTACTGGAACTTGCCAAACAAAGTTGTGCGGCGCCGCCGAACCTGGCCCACCAGGTGGGCAAGGCTGGCAGATCCACCGAAACACAAGCCCCCCTCGCAGCACAGACACCAGTTCACGCGCAACACGATTGCTCTGGAACGCCAGCCCATCTCGCACGGCCACAGCCACCGCCACAGTGTCCAACCAGCAATGCTCGCACGCCGGCTCGGCATCCGTTCTCCTATGAGATTCCTCTGCTCAATTACCCGTCTATCTCAGGCGGCGAACTATCCATGGAGCCGGAGTCGATAACCGAGTCTGTCCAGCCCGGCGATCCTCAATTCGCAGGTGCAGGATACATGAACCATTTCGATCAAGGCGCGCTCCACGCGCAAGCCCAGACCCACCCCCTGCATCAGAATTCGGTGACGTACCCACCGCCATACAATGCAGTCCCGCGCTCAAGGACTCCCGAAGCGAACGCTGCCATGCTGCCGCACTCGTATTCCCTCAGTTCCCATCTTCAGGGCTCGCTCTACCCCGCCACGGGCTATCCGGCATACCAGCCTGTGGCTCCCAATCCGCATACACCACGGGGCCCTATGACTCCAGCTACTCCAGCTATTCCTCTCAGATGTGATTGACGGTCTCCGGTGTTTCTTGCTTTCTTATCTTTCGGCCTGCATCTTCAAGGCGTGTGTATACGTGTATATACCCCTTTTTTACCTTTTTTTCTTTCTTGGTTTTTTTTATATTTTTATTGTAGGAATTTTTTTTTTCCACCCCCGACCACTCTTGTCGGCTGATTGCAGCGAGTACCGTCACGTCAATGGATGAACCCTCAGAAAGGGATGATTTTTGCGCTTTTATTGACATCAACCGTTTGGGATGTTCCTCCGCCCTCGTGTGTCTTTCTATAGATAACCTTTCCTCCTGTCTTCGCTTAGGCTCTCCCCTTGTAGGAGCAATCACTTCGAATCGGTATATCCCGCATGTGTGGAATGACGGAGCTCCCGACGATCTCTCAGATTTGTGGACATATTTTCAAACCTAGGGGAATTCTGTCTCAGACCGGCGTGGCGTACAGATCCCCCATGAGCATAGCATATGAGCCATCATATTTGGCCGACCAGAAGTCTAATTGCTCCCGCGGGTTGGGGGAGGACCCTTACAAGGGGTCGACCAGCCCGGCCTTGGAAGAGGACGCGTGGATTTTAAAATGTCATCGGTTCAGGACCGCGTGTCATAACTGTTTATTCTTTATCCCTAGCTACATGGCATGGCCATCGGGAAACGAAGTGCCGATCGTCCCTGTCACAGCCCGATTGGGATCCTGCAGCCACGCTCTGTGGACATGTTAGAATTCTTGAAAAGGAGAGAATGTATTTGACAATGCTCACTGCCATCGAGACCCATCAAGATCGGATGGCGATACCAAGATATCGGCCTCACCAGCATAGGATTCGGGAGTAGATCCAGGCTGAGATAAGAAGATCTCGCAGCCTCATCACCCAGGTGAACTCCCCACACAGTGCAGCGGGGCTGTGCAATCAAGGGATGACATGCACATTCCACGGCTTGTCTCAGCTCAGACACTCGGCTGTGGTCGATTATCGCGCGGCTTTTTGACGGTTTGACGGCATTCCCTCCCTTGGTCCGCGTGGTTAAACCGGCTCGGGCGAAGTGGAGTTAATCCGGTGCGTGTTTTTTTTTTTTGTTTCTCGCGTGCGTTAGGTTTGCATGCACCTCGTTTTTTAGGGGCTTGCCCGAAGGAGGGGAGTTGCATTGCTGGCATTTATTTGCTCGCTGTGCCCGGCTTTTCTCAATCCTCTGTGGGTATTTTATTTTCTGTTCGTCGCTCCGAGCCTTCAGTTGATAATTCATAGCCCCCTCATAGTATTTCGGACCGGTCGCCGATATACTGATATACTCTCGACACACTATGGAGGTCCAAATCGCCCGCTGCTGACCTCGACTGTGGATTGACTTTGCTGACATTCGTCTAGGATCCTCAGATGAGCTGGCACGATTCTATAGACGTCCTGCAGGGTATCATGGTCGGCTCTGATGCGTGTCATCCCTCTGATCTCTCCGACTTTCATCCCTCGGGCTTGGCTATGGGGGACTCGGCCTCGAATCCGCTACTTGAGCTGCATCTCGCTTCTCTGGAAGGCCAGAATCAGCCTGCCTTCAACCAGTGGAATTCAAACCCCCAGGACTTCTACTACCCGAACTATCCTTCTCGCTTGACGGGTGACCAGGATGCATGGAATCCGCTGCAGGTCACCGGTGTTCCTAATCCCAAATCCATGTCCCATATGAATGTTTCAACGATCAACGATCCCGACTATGGCTTCACGAAGCCCCACTATAGAACACCCTCCAAAAGTGGGAGCCAGTATATGAGCAGTTTACATTCGGACTCCGGCTACGGAAGCACAAGTTGTGCAACACAGTCGGTCGGAGCTTCGTCTTATGGCATGGACAACTTGTCGAGTCCCCATCTTGGCGTCAAAGAGTATGGCGTTGGCGATGCGGTCGCTATTTTTGATCAGCCTCATCTTGGCCCTGCCTCCTTGTTTTCTGGAGACCTTGAATACTCAGGGTCCATGGATGGCTCGGTCAAATGTGACCACCCTTCTTGCACTTGGACTGGAAAGTGCCCATCCGATAAAAGGAAGCACGAGGCACGTCATCGAAAGCTTTTCAAGTGCGACGAGCCCAACTGCCCGCGCAAAGAGGGCTTTGGCACCATCAACGACCTGGCTCGCCACAAGAAATGTGTGCACAACAAAGAGCCCGAGCGCGGCCCGAAAATGATGTATCTCTGCTTCGGAAAGAACTGCCCAAGGCCGAATAAGAAATGGCCCCGACTGGATAACTTCAAGCAGCATCTGAGCCGCATGCACAACGAGGAGGATGGTGAGGCATTGCTGAAGAAGTAAGCATTCCTTCAATGACCTCTATATCATCACACACTAACCCAGTCAGATCTATGGACTGGTACGAGACCGTCATCGGTCACCAGCCCGGCCAACAAAGCGACGACAGCCTTTCGCAGGATGGCACTTCGGCTGAGACACAGCAGGATCTGGGGTCTGCCGAGATGGAACTGGATTCCACCGATATGCATGGCACGCCAGGTACTTTAAATTGTTTATTATCTCAAGCTGCGACACCCAGACCAGTCTCAACCCTCTCTTACCCGGAAACATCTACAAACACTCAAACGACACAGTTCCCTGCATTAAGATCACTAGGGCTCAACGAGATTCACGGCACCACAACAGAACGAGGAAATGTCAAGTCAGAATCCTTTGTCGCGGACGCAGCGGACAATCTGCTCAACGCGATGACAAGAATGATGAAGAACAACCGTGCACGACAATCAAGCCAACACAGCGACGAGGGGATTGAAGTCGAACTCGAGAACTCCTGTCTATCCCAGCCTCAGCGCCAGATGTTACAGAAAGTTCTCTCAGCAGCCCTGGAGCGACTCTCCGATGACGCCTCTTCGGCGGCTCCGGACACCAACGATGACAAGCAAGACTGGTTTCAATGCGACATCTGCTCCAAGCGCACCCGGCTACGCTGCGAGATGAAGTAAGTCAATCGTTCTATGCGCCAACCACATCTGCACGTCTAACACTCAATTATCAGGAAACATCAAAAGCGTCATGAGCGTCCTTACGGCTGCACATTTCCCCACTGTGCCAAGTCCTTCGGCAGCAAAGCCGACTGGAAACGACACGAAAGCTCCCAGCACCTCCACGTTGCAAGTTGGCTCTGTGGATCCCACGATGTCGCCAAGGGCTCTTCCTGCGGCCGCATCTACTACCGCGAAGAAACATACCTACAGCACCTCAACCAACATCATCGAGTCCCCAAGACCCGAACCAAGGCCACCCTCAATGCTAGCCGCCTCGATCTAGCCGACCAATCCCAGTTCTGGTGTGGTTTCTGCAACCGTACCATTGAACTCCGCAGTCATGGCTCTGCGGCGCTAGACGAACGATTCAATCATATTGACATCGAACATTTCAAGAAGGGGAGAGAGGCCACGATTGGTGTTTCCCTTCTGATGACGGACAAATCATGAATAAGAGTGTGGCTGGTACTTCACTAATCTCCGAGGGAATAAGCGGAAGCGCAAGGCTTCCGAGTAGTACTCGACATCTTTTTTTTCGATTTGTTCTGATAGAAAGTTGGTCGTTGCTTGAAATCGACATAATGTACAATCTGCCTCAAGGGTTTCCGTACTCGTAAATCTTAAGATAAACTTTTCCCTCTATTCAGAAGATTGAGACAAGTGGATCGCTTCTTTCAATTGGTGAGTGGTATAGCTTATAGTACAATTTATTGGATTCTTCCCAGAGGAAATCATTTCTTGGAGCCAGCCAGCTCCCGGGCCTTTTTCTCCAAGGCAGACATTTCTTCTAGAGTCTCGTTAGTACATGTGATGTAGGCACTATAGCGGAGACGAAGAATACCGTTCTTCTCCAGCTTAGACTCATCCATCTCAAGCTTCAGCCATGACCAGTAGATCACCTGGTAAACCAGCACGGCACCCAAGAAGACCTTGCCAAAGGGGCGAGTAAAGGTTTTATATCTCTCCATCTAGATGATCAAATTAGCATAACAAGCAGCTTATAGCTGGAAGATCCTCTCGAATCATTCTGATCAAGTGCAAGAAACATACCCCTTCCCGATAGGAACTCGGCTGCTGTTGTGACGAGTTGAGCCGGATGGGAGTGGTGATGAGTGTCCGCCTGCTAGGGGCAAATCGACTTGGCGAGAAGATACCCATGGCGCGGGGTGCCTGGCGGAGAGATTCTCGTAGCAACATCTTGAGCTGAATAGGCTGTGAGTGATGCCTCTGGGGATTTCGCTGAAGGGCTGGGTTGCTCTGCGCGGTCTGGTGCTGGCGAAAGCGGTATAGCGCAGTTGCCGTATTGGGGCAAGTGGGCTTGGCGCTGAAGAGCACAGTTTCATGATTCCGGGTAGCTGGGATGGGGACTTGGATGTTGTTCCAACTAAATGATCTTTACGGTCAAGCTCGATGATTGATGACAAAAATGCTAGTGTTGCTCAAGCCGCACTTGATGTGGATGAAGATGCTGTGTTTAGTCGCTCAAGTACTTGCCGCTGCTGCTCTTTGTGCGCATTACAGTCATTTCGAAAATCATCATGAAACCATCATGAATTCTAGCTCCAGGCATATTCCAAAGAACACTTGCTAAGATGACTTGGTCAAAAAAGACATAAAGGTCTGCAAAGACGGTCAATCAAGAAAGGTCTGGGGAGACATGTATACAGAAGAGATATGCTGAGTCAGCCATCACATGATATCAGGTCATTGAATTCTGGCGGGCAGCAAAGGAAGGGAGCCACCACCCAAATGTCGTGGAGCTTTCGGCGGCTGCTGCTCCATGTCTCTGACAGCCTTCTGACACCTCCTTTCACCAACATGTCGCCCCAGGCCCCAAATCCCGATCGGACCTGAAAGCTGCCTTGCGGGTTGTTGGATGGAAGAATACTACTATTTCCAATTGACCGAATGTTCTAAATGAACATCCTGAAGGGGGATCCATGGGGGCAGAATCTCCACCAGGCAGAGAGACAGGGCGTCCCGAGTGCATTCATGATGTGGCACGTGCGGGGATGACTAACTTGGGCTGAGCCACATGTGGCTGACCATAGCGAATGCGTGGGAATGCCTTGAATGCCTTCGCGAGTCCCTTCCGCCCAACCCTCCGTCTGTTGATGCTTCTTTTTTTTTTCTCTGGACCTTTCCCAATTACCTGTCCCGCACATCTCACCTTCCAGGGGTCGCTCATTTCCCAGCTTTCTCGGTCTTCCCACGCGTCGAGTCCGTGAGTGACCCTTCCCGACTCTAGAGCGGTCCACCATCGCTCCCGTCCGCGACAACCAATCTGTCGATCAGCAATTGTCGAGGTGGACCTCGGTGGCCCCTGTTCAGTATCACTCGTACGGCCTGCGCGCCTATTGAGTTGTCCGTGTCATCGCTGGACGAAGGCCTGTTTATCCTTTGTAAGCTCCCACTCACTTCCTTGCTACCGCGACTTCGACATCTCGTTTGCCCAATATCAAAAGCCCTTTACCTTGCATTGCGATATCTTCATTTACCTCTATCCCACCCAATATTTTCACTTTGCTTCATCGCTTACACACTTATTCTTCAGTGACCTCCCTGCCACATCCGTCACGTCGCCATGCGCCACAATGCAAAACGCTCCCTCGAGGAGATTGTCAACAAGTCCGACTCAGATGACGAAGACTGGAGCGGTGGCGACGATCGCCCTGCTCGTCGCACCGCGCGCAAGTCCAAATCGAGCCCTCAAAAGAAGTCACGCCCCGCTAAGAAGCGCCAACGTCGTGCTTCTGATATCGTGTCCGATGATGCCAGTCTCAGTAGTGAGGAGCTTTCCAGCGTGGATGCGTCTGAGTCCGAGGAGGAAGATTCGGATGATCCCAATATCCCTCGCAATGCGCGAGGAACCGCACGTCGACGAGCCACCCAAAGCCGACCACTTTACGAAGAGCCATCCGATGACGAGGAGTCGCCTGCAGATGATGAGGACGAAGATGGGAAATCCGCGATTGTCCCACCAAGCCCGCTGAAAAGCACCATCGTCAAACTAAAAGTCCCACGTGCGGTTCTCCAAGAGGCACAGCTCAACAGCAGAAGGGTCACTCGCCGTACGCGCGGAGCTTCAGAAGATATGTATGCTTTGACAAATTCAGGTCACCACATGCAGACCGTCGAACGAGGTACTCTTAGTCCAGAGGCACAACTTGGACATGGCACCCGTCGATTCAGCCGAGCATCGAAGCAACCTGTGATCCACGAGGAGAGCATTGAGACGAGCGTTGTTCAAGAAGGCTCTTTAGAGATTCTAGAGAGTGATTTCCCCCAGAGTGGTGCTGAAGGCGATACAACAATGGCCAACGACGCAGACCAGGCCGATGTTGATATGGCTCATGATTCGGGCGTGGTCCCCGAATCAGAGAGTGAAGATGCTAAAATTGAAGATGATGATGAAGATGAGGACGACGAAGGTCCTATCACCCGCCGACGGAGCCGACCTACTCGCAACGAACATGAGGCAGAACCTGAGTCGGAGGAAAAACAGGAAGTTGAGCCGTCTGGTCGACCTCGCCGATCTGGTCGTAAGAAACCATCTCGAAGCTCACAGCAAAAAGGGGAAGAGAGTGACTTCGAGCCCGAGGAAGGTGACGGGGAGGAAGACGAGGATGATTCAGACTCTGTTCACTCCAGCGGCTCGCCTCGCAAGGGTAGCCGAGCTCTTGAGGAGGAAGAAAGTGTCGTTGGCCGTCGTCCTGGCCTGCGAAAGCGCCCCGAACGGTCACGTGGTACCTCTTACACTGCTGATGAGGCCGAAGAGCTTGCTGATGAGCTTGAAGACTTGAAGGGCTCTAGAAAGACCAGGCGCCAAGCTGTTGCGGAAAAAGTTATCTACGAAAAACCGACACGTACTCGCAAACATGTGGATTATCGTCTCTTCCGCCCGGAGATCATGTTCAACCCTGAGGAGAACGATCAAGATGGAGCGACTGAGTCTCCATCTCGCCGTGGGCGCGGCGGCGGTGGCGCCGGCTGGCAGCGCAACCTGCTCCCGACGTTTGGACCATTCGGCGGTGCTGGTCAATCGTCGATCCTTGGACCTCACGGTGCAGCTGCTACGACTGGAGGTGTGGACAGCGACAGCAGTGACGACGAAGGACAGGCCAAAATTAACGGGCTTGCACCTGGTGGTGGTATCCTTGCTCCTCAGGTTCATGCAGGCGATGCCCAAGGCCTCTCTGGCACACCTGCCAACTTCGGCAAAATCAAGGACAAGCAGTCCTTGGCCGATGCGGATCCACTTGGAGTTGATATGAATGTCAACTTTGACAGTGTGGGAGGTTTGCAAGGCCACATAGACCAGCTGAAAGAGATGGTTTCTCTTCCCTTGTTATATCCGGAGATCTTCCAACGCTTCCACATAACGCCTCCCCGGGGTGTCTTGTTCCATGGACCTCCTGGTACCGGAAAGACGCTTTTGGCTCGTGCCCTGGCAAATAGTGTGAGTTCAGAGGGTCGCAAGGTGACGTTTTACATGCGAAAGGGCGCAGATGCATTGAGCAAATGGGTTGGTGAGGCTGAGCGTCAACTGCGACTTTTGTTCGAAGAGGCTCGCAAGACTCAGCCTAGTATCATTTTTTTCGATGAGATCGATGGTAGGCAGCTCCTTCCTTTTGTCTATAGTCCTCTTTACTGACTCGACATCTCTAGGACTGGCTCCTGTCCGATCTAGCAAACAGGAACAAATCCATGCCTCAATTGTCTCAACTCTTCTGGCGCTGATGGATGGCATGGACGGTCGTGGTCAAGTGATTGTCATCGGTGCTACGAACCGGCCTGACTCTGTCGATCCTGCTCTTCGTCGTCCTGGTCGCTTCGATCGCGAATTCTACTTCCCATTGCCGAACCTTGATGGCCGACGTGCCATCCTCGACATTCATACCAAGGGCTGGGACCCTGCTCTCCCGAAGGATATCAAGGACGAGCTAGCCAAAATCACCAAAGGCTACGGAGGTGCTGACCTCCGAGCCCTTTGCACGGAAGCCGCTCTTAATGCAGTGCAGCGAAAATATCCCCAGATTTACAAGTCGGATAAGAAGCTCATCATTGATCCAAAGACCATCGATGTGATTCCCAAGGACTTCATGCTTGCAGTCAAGAAGATGGTTCCTTCCTCTGAACGTTCCACCGCATCTGGTGCATCCTCGTTGCCTCAAAACGTGGAGCCTCTGCTTCGCCGGTCTTTGATTCAAATTGAGTCTTCGCTTTCGGAGGTTCTCCCCCAGCGAAAGAAACTCACAGCACTCGAGGAAGCTCAATTCGAGGAACTCGACGACGGGAACGGATTCAAGCGAGAGCAAATGATCCAGGAATTCGATCGGTCGCGTGTCTTCCGACCACGTCTGCTTCTTCGAGGTGGACACGGAATGGGCCAGCAGTACCTTGCAGCCGCTCTGCTCCATCATTTCGAAGGGCTGCATGTTCAAGCATTCGATCTCCCTACTTTGCTCAGCGACTCCACGCGGTCACCCGAAGCAACGGTCATTCAGCTCTTCTCGGAAGTTAAGCGACACAAGCCCAGTGTAATTTACATCCCAAGTATCCAGACGTGGGCTGAGACGGTTGGTCCAGCTGTCATCTCTACATTCCTCGGTCTCCTGCAGTCAATACCTGCATCTGACCCAGTTTTGTTGCTCGGTGTCCTTGAGTCAACAGACGATGAGATGGATCCAGTTCTGCTGAAGAAGATGTTCGGATTCTCCAAGAAGAACTTGTTTGACATCCAAGCCCCGGATCACACTGCTCGCTATGAATTCTTCTCCAAGCTCGTCGAATACATCAAAACCCCTCCGGCTAACTTCCCCGACCCTGAGAATCGCAAGAAGCGCCAGCTCGAGGAATTAGAGGTCGCTCCACCCCCTCCCCCACAAGCTGAGGCGCAGATGACCAAGGAGCAACTAAAGGCTCAGAAGAAGAAGGATCGGCACATTCTCAACTGTCTGAAGATTCGCATCCAGCCGATCATGGAGCAGCTGAGGAAGTACAAGCGTTTCCGTTCTGGCGTGGTTGATGAAAACACCATTCGGTACTTGTGGGAGGAAGAGCACCCTGACATTGTGACTAGTGATTTACCTCCTGATCAGCAAGGGTTTGAGCGCCCATATGAGAAGGCTTTCGACAAGCACGGTGTGGTCGGTCTTCGCGAGGCTGCCACTGGTCGGTTCTTCTACAACCTGGACATCGTCATTATTGAGAAGCGCCTCTCGAATGGCTACTATAAGCGTCCCTCCGACTTTCTGGCCGATGTCAAGCGCATCGCAAAGGACGCTCGTCAATTAGGGGACGCTGAGAAAGCCATGCGAGCGAATGAGATGCTGGCGAACGTCGAAGTTGATATCGCTAACATCGATCTCACCGACCCTGTCCTCGTTGCAGAATGCGAAAATGTCTACCAGCGTGAACTTGCTCGTGAGAAGGCGGCAGCTGAGTGTGCTCGCGCCGAACAGAGTCAGCCTTCCCGACCTGGTACAGGAAATTTGCCACATGGGAATACCGAGTCCGGCCCGTCCACTGGACCTGTTCATCTAGGCGTACCTTCTTCTGACAATCAGGCCGCTGAACGTCCGTTCACCCCGACACGAGAATCGCATGTGAGCTTCACGAATGGTGATCACAACGGGTACCACAATGGTGGTGGGTCAGATCTCAACGAGAATGACCGTCATTTCCAGAGCAACGGCACTCATGGCGATGTTGATGGTGATGTTTTCATGTCCAACTCTGAGGGTCACTCTGGCAGCAAAGACACTGTGACCAGCTCGTTCGGTCCGTCCGCTCAGCCCAAGCCTGCTTACTCTCACACGGCACCATCTCAGCAGGTCCGCCGAGAGTCTGGTTTGTCGAGTTTCTCGCAGAAGGATCCAATGACACCAATGGCACCTGGATCTCAGCCCGCGGATTACATCAACGAGGCTTCTACTACACAGTCCACGTCTGAAAAGAAATCATCAGAGCAGCTATCCAACCACCATTACCAGAGGAGTCCTCATGTGTCCCGACTTGAATATCCCGATCTCACGCAATACCCCGATCGGATATCTCAGGAGGAACACCTGCCAGACACTCAGCAAGGAGGCAGCAGCCAACCTTCTCCCAAGTACCAGGCAGACGACAATGCCACCGTGCATGGTATCCAGTCCCAATCCAAGCCTCAGCCTCCTCTCTTCGGCGAGTCTGCCAAGCCAGCCGCCAGTGCTTCCGCCAACCTGCAACAATTGCTCAACGAGGAGCCAGCACCCGAGCTGATCATTGACCTCGGGTACGTTGATCATCTGCATGATCAACTCACCCAGCAGACCAGTGGGTGCTCGGTTGAGCAGCTAGAGCAAGTCGCCACCTGCCTGATGGACTACATATGGCGCAAGCGCGGCGAATGGGACCGCACTGCTGTTGCTAAAGGCCTTACCGATGAGTTTAACGCCGTTCTTGATGACATGCAAACCATGCAGGAGATCGGTCCCATCAGCCATAATACCAAGCAGCGGATGGGCAATCCCAGCTACTCTCAGTGATGGTCTCCACTCTCCCCTTCCTTCCCTAATTCCCTGTTAATATGTTGCAATCCTTTCTTTGTATCTGGTGGTTTCTGGTGGGCAAGGTGTTCGTTAGTACCCCTCATGTTTCGTCTTTCATTTCCATTCTTTTCTGGTATCTGTGGATGTGTGAATATTTCAAGCGCAATTGGAAATTTACGGGCATCATACGTACATCTAGAATCCAAAACAATCCGATTAAACCAAGTGCATGAGACATTGTAGAATTAATCCATTAACTCTGCATTTTCGAACTTCTATACTTCGCGTGAACATGTGACGTCGACCCACTAAAACACCTGGCCTTTGCGATTGTGGCCCTACGTCTTTGATACTTCTTCCACGATACCCTTCCAACCCAATTCTTGTTAGATCATGACCGGCTTTTGATCTGCTTGATTACATTCTTTTATCTCTCGGCGCTTCACTTCTCTATCTCGCTCCCTTTCGCACATTCACCACCGCAACAATGGTGGACTGGCTCAGTCTTGCCGTCCCCCTCGCCTACTTAGGTGTCCTAATCGGCTCGCTCGCTACCTTCTCCTCTCTATATCGAAAGCGCAAGGCCCGTATGTGATCTCATTACATTCGCAACTTCATATGACCCAATGCTTCAAATCACTGACCCTTACAACAGAGAAAGCTGCCTCCCTCGAGCCATGGTTCCCAGCACACCTCCAGCGCGACATCTATTTCTCCCTCATGCACCTTGATCCCTCCACCCAACAAACGGAAAAGAAACTCCCCGCCGTCCCCGAGTCAGTCTTGAAAGCCTCCCTCCTCCGTCGGGCAACGGAAGATATCCGCCGCGTCCTTGCCCTGCGCGCCCAGAAACAAGCTCTCTCCGTGCTTCTGCAACGTGGCAGTGTTGGCGACGACCTGTGGCAGCGCTTCCAGCGCGCTGAGAAAGAAATGGAAGAGGAGGTGAAGGACGTCGTTGCTGAGGCGAATGCCTATGTTCCGAACTGGGGCCAGGTTATCTTCCAGTCGGCTAATGAGATGATGAACAATGATCTTTACCGCAAGCGCATGGAGGAGCATCAATCTAAGTTGGCTGAGGAGAAGGCTTTTTGGGAGAAGAAGAAGGCTTCTATACAGGAGGGCTTTATGAAGGAGCTGGATGGGTCTGAGGGTGGTGCTGCTAAGGCAGAGAAGGCTCCTGAGGCCGCGCCAACGAGTGCGGCGCCGAGTGTGCAGAGTGATGAGGATGCGGTGCTTGTTGAGGCTGAGTCTGTGCATTCGCCGGGCAAGAAGAAGAAGGGCAAGGGAAAGAAATAGAAGTTGGACTTGTAAAATTATGTTGGGTTTTTATGGGTTGCTTGCAATGGGTTTTTCCTTCCGGATGGTGTTTTAATTATCTCCTTGGGATTGATGCATTTTAGGTTGATATCAAACCTTGCATATTTCGTAAACCTTTGTGAAGTCTTGATCTAAGAGGGACAAAGTACATTCCAATGGTGGTAAAAAGTAAATAATATACAGGCCCTGTTTACAGCGGGCTAAAGACTCTAAACGCCGCTTTATGCAAAAGTCCAACCCAATTCACAGCAGCTTGCTATCTTCCACCCCCAAAGCCGATCCAAGCTCAATCCCCGATACCTGCATCTCGTTCGCGGCCCGAGTCAGATTGCTTTCAATGCGCTCTGGACCCTGATTATCTGTCCGAGCCATCACGATCCGCAGTAAGCTGGACATGACTTCCACTTGGTAATCTTGTGCCTCGTGTGGATCAAGCTGCTCGAGGCTCAGCCCTTGTGCTTTGAGAGCCTGCTCCTTGCGATGACCTATCAATTCGAGCAGTCGGCCGACCTGAGCGATGCTTTCTTTGCTGCGAGGTGTCGAGGATAGGCGACGAAGACGGTGTTTCGGTGTTCCAGCCGGGACTCCGGCGAGGCGGGCAACTTGCAGGACGATCATGCGAGCTGTAGTCTCGTCAGGCGCAAAGCCGAAGACCGCTCGCATTGAATGGAGGGCAACAAGTGTACCTGGAAGATCCTTGGAGAGGCAGAAACAGCGCACGATCTGGTCATACAACTCTTTCGAGAACTGTTCGGAGGCAGTCTTTTGGGCGCGAGGAGGGAGTTGCGAGTACCACTGTACCATGTTTCCGTACAGCTCACGCGCAGATGGGAATCCGGAGTCGAAAGCCGTACGTCCCCGATCATATTGCAGCTTGGCGCAATCCCAGAGACACGCGTATGTTTCCAAGTCTGGTCGGATGGTTGTCGACATGACCTTAAACTTCGCCCATAATGAGCGAATATCTTGTTTGCGGAGTTCAGCGTAGAGGAGATGGTTCATGAAATAAGAATTGGGTTGAATGTGTGCGTCGCCGAGACATTTGACCAGGTACTTGACCATGTCATCGTCGCCTCGGCGGGTGTAGTGGAGAAGAAGAATGGAGAAGGTTTCAATGCCAGCGTGTGGGACCTCACGCTTCATGAACTTGGGAATCCGAGCAGCCTCGGCCTCGTTGTGCTTGACTTGAACCTGAGGAGTGGGTTCGACTGGCTGGAATCGTTTCCATACAGCGTCAATTCGGTGTTGAATCATAGACCACGCGAGTCGCTCTGCTTTGTCCCGCGCGCTTGCGTTTCCGTCACGAAGCCACCCAGCGATCAGACCGTTCAAATGCTTCGAGTCGGGTCGCACTCCTCGCTCATACATCAACTCAATCACTAGAGCAGCTGAATCAACCTCGCCCATTCCAATGAGCTTCTTCATCCAGCTGGCATAGAAAAATCGGTTCTGGAATCGACGAGGCAGCATTGTAAGTGCCGATAGAGAAACTTTATTAACAGCGTGCTCATCGATGCTTGATGCATGAAGATTCCCTGCTAAGCCAAGAGCCGCTTGATATACAGCTGTCGAGTCGTTGGCGGGATCCTGACCCGTCACCATCATGTCTTTGAAGATCGCGACTGCAGTGTCCAACCGTCCTGCGGTGAGAAGACCGATGCTCAGCTGATCATAATCCTCCATGGTCATGTCAGGGCCAAGCATCGTCTTCAATTGTAGGTATAATGCCCATGCTTTGACCTCTGCGTCCTTTCCGGGAATGCTGCCCCATGCCGTGATAACAGGAATGAGTACACGAGGCTGACGGGACTTGTCATTAGCCAAAAATGCGAGAGCGATGTCCTGAGCTCGTTGAGGATTGCTTTCAGCCGCAAAAAGTCGAACACCTTGCATCCAATACTCTTCAAGATCTTCTTTTTTCTGGGATAGCTCCGCTTGGTAAGACTCCCACTGCTCCAGTGCTTGTGTAGTAGCGCCGCCTTGATGTAAAGCATCGATATATGAAAGAATTTGGGGGGTGGCGAGGGGTCGGTCGACGGATCTGGCGTCTTCGGCGAGAGTTTGAAGGTGCGTAGATCGTGTGCTTTTCGACAGTTGTGCCGTGGCTTGTGATTCCCAGACAAGATCAAGGACATTGGGAGGAAGTGCGCCAATAAACCCCGGCATAGCCTGCTTGCACCGGCGATAAGACTTCCACACCTCTTGCCTCGTCCGTTCATCCGACTCGTTCTCTGTGAACTTTTGAAGTGCTCTTTTGAAACGTAACGCATAGGCCTGAGATTCCTGGTTCGTGGTCTTCGATGCCGGAGATGCCGAAGTGCGTTTGGCAATCAATTTGCGCCGTTCTCTGGCACTGTCTTGCCAATTCTCTTGTTCTAGTGCGAGGCCCTCAAACTCCTCCTTGAGCATATTGTCCAATTCGTCGTCGAACACCTCATCAAGAGACGGTTGTTTTTCTGCTGAGCCATGCTCTGCGTCGTATTTCCGTAGAGCCTCCAGGGCGATCTTTCGGTCATCTTCTGGCAATCCCAATATGAAAGGACTGTCGGGGGCGAACGGGCCTTTTTCCAAAATCTTGAGCTCTTGCTGAAGCTTCGTGAGCTCTTCCTCTACCTCCTCTCGCTCCTCATTGTCTTCGGCCTCGGGATCGATTTTCCGTCGTTTCTTGCTTCCGGGAGCGTCCTGTTCGAAGAAATTGACCTTATCGTTGGGCCCGCCGTAATCGAGTCGACGCGCCGTTACGGCGGAAAAGGCACGCCTAGAAACGGACGGGCCCGCATAGTAAGCTCCTCGAACAAGCTGGCGGAGCATATGGAGTTGGGTCGAGCATGAAGTGTTGAAGTCGCGAAGTTCGGAAAACCATTTAATCCACTTTTCGGGTCTAGCGTGGTTCCCGCTCCCGTTGAAGTCATCCCTCGACGCGCCTGTCAATTAAGACCAGCTATGGATCCCGACGGTCTAGAGGATGCTCTGGAGCTGGCCAGAGACAGGTCACAATACCAGGTAGGTACAGAGAACGTATTTGATTCTTCCTGGGAACTGACATCTTTCAGGGCGTGTACGTTTACCAGCCCGCAAAGTCTGGGAAAGCTGCGAGTGAACGCCCTTCGAAGCGTCGCAAGGTCTCATCTATCGGCAATGGAAGACAACATTCAGACGCGCATTGCTTCTTGCCATTGTTGGATGGAGAGGAGACAGCAGAGTGTGTGCAGCTGCGCCATGACACCTACAAACAGCTATGGTCCGAGCAGGAAGACAAGATTCAGGTAGGAGAGACCTTGGCATATAACAGCGGGATTTGCAGTCGCTAATCTGGGCCAATTGATAGGGAATTCTCGAGGATGTCGACGCCGGAGTCCTGGCAGACGTCTTGTCTTTTGTGAGAGAAACATCGCCACAAACGTATGGCCTCATCCAAGAAAGGAACACTCGAAATTGCGATCTAACCAGAAATTTTCAGGTGCAATGGATGTATACCCACAGCATTGGTAACCGTTGGGTCCAACGTGTCTTCGCTCAGTCGATTACTTTCACGCCTCAACGATCAATTGACAATGAGCGGCGAGGGTGGTGTTGTAGTACTAGAATCTGGCGACGCACCCAACCTCAAAACATCTCTGAAAAACATCATTCGAGCGGCTGTGACCAACACCGAAGGCAATGATGGATACCAGATTTTTCTCACGGACCGTTCTGTCTGTCTCTGCATCTCAAGCTTTATCTTGTCCATACTGACTAGCTCAAGGGACCCCGAATGCTCGGGTACGATTTGGACCTCCTTCATGATCATATCCAAAGAAAGGGAACCAAGAGACTGGTTCTTGCTCTGCGAGACAGCGAAGCCTTCGATCCAGGCCTACTCACTGATATGCTGTCACTGTTCAAGTAGGTCCAGCTCCTCGCATCTCAAATTCCCTGCTTATATTCCTTAGATCTTGGCTTGATCGTATCCCATTCACAGTCTTGCTTGGGATTTCAACCTCTGTGGAGCTATTTGAGAGTAGACTCCCGCGCTCATGTGTCGCCATGCTTCAGGGGAAGCACTTCGAGGTTCAAGAAGCAGGAAATTGTGTCGACCGCATCTATGCGGCCCTTCAGGCCGAACCGAGTGGGAACATTTGGCTTGGCCGCAATATCACTAACACTCTTTTTGAGAGAGCAAATGATTATTTCTTGACACCGGAAGCATTCAGTCGCATGGTCAAGGTAAGATCTTTGTCTAGGCGAATGCCCACTATCTAACACGATGCAGTACGCATACATGTCACACTTCTTTGCCAACCCCTTGTCCACGTTTTTGGCAGGCTCAGCGCCGTCAGTAATGTCTCGAGGCCGGTTTTGCGAAGCTATCAGAAACTTGCCCTCTTTCCGGATGTAAGCATTATATCCTGCTCTACTCTAGATCTTGTGGTCTGATAATTTGTCAGGTTTTGTGAGGATCTTGTTGAGAGCGGCTCTGGCAATGAAGTGCCCGCTTTGCTAGAGAATGACGAGCACTTATTCGAGCAGGCTCTTAGGCATTTTGAGGCAGGACAACGAAACATGCGACAAATCTTCCAGGCTGTTCGGCTCATTTATTCGTGTCTCCAACACACTCAGGGCTCGAAAAAGACCAGTTTCTCTGACCTCTCTGTCTACGCCCTTTCTGGAGAGCTGAGTGAGTCTCCAATCGTCGACGATATGCTGGCTATTGTGAGGGCTATAGACTCCGGAAAGCTAGGACAAATGTTTGAATCTTTGCCCAAAGAGATATTCGACCAAACACCTCTTGGCGAGATCGAGGCCGAATTTAGAGCTTTGCAAGAGAAATTTGCAGAGTTTGGCCCCATGCGCAGCGAATACAACATCAACAACTCCGTGGTAAAGACAACCGTTGTTCAGCAGCGTATCCAGCTCAGCAAAGGCAAAGCCAATCTTCCAGAGCAAGATATCGAGTACACGAAAGTCCTTGACCTCCTAATTGGCGCTCTGCAGGAGTATTTTGCAGAGACCTTGATCCCGCCTCAGGGTTTGTTCCTACATGAAGCCTTCCTCTTCGATCTACGCAATCCCTTGAAGGAAACATTTGGACCCCGCCCCCGCTTTGCCATTGAGCGTGCCCTGACAAGCCCCTTTGACTACTTGTATTCCTCACCTGATACCTCTGGGGCTAGAATATCTGCCAAGCAACCTGCTACGGCGATTTTGTATCAACTCTACCTCGAATCCGGTGTGCTGGTCAATGTACATGACTTGTGGAAGGCTTTCCATGGTGTTTTCGAGACCGACCAGGGCAAGAAGTGCGATGATCGCATCGTCATGACTTTATTCTACGGCGCTTTGTCGGATTTGAAATCCTTTGGCATTATCAAGAATAGCCGGAAGAAGACCGACCATCTTGTCAAGGTTGCATGGATGGGTTTGTAGGTCTCATACTGGTTACTTTCAATAGCATGACATTGATCAGCCCCTTGAATTTCCCTCAATGGAAGTGTGCAAGGTTAAGGACAATGCGAATATCAAATCCAATCATTTTCCGAATGCTAAGGGGTATCAAACTCATACAAGAAAAATATCATACAAAAAGCTGCGGTCCGAGCTGAAGCAGAGTCTGTGCGAGTTCAGGTGCAGAAGCCGGTAATCGACTTCACTCGTCTTGAACTGGTTGTTGGATGATATCGTCACGTCCAAGAGGCCGTCCACCTTCACTCAAAACCATAGCTTCCCTCCGTCGGCGACGAAGTGCTTGCTCTTCTGCGCTTCCTTCCTGGAATCTCCTTGTAGACTCTCGGAACGAAGGGCCGGCGGTATCTTCCCCGTCTACCATCCACACATCACTGTCATCGTCTTCGTCTTCGTCTTCATCATCCTGGTCATTCTCTTCGATCATACTGCCCATCAAGCCATGCTTCCGAAGTTGCTTGATTCCATCTGGATGCTGCGTCAAAGTCCCGAATATAGAGCTCATGACTGCGTCGTCAGACCACCATGTTTTCATAAGAATCACCACATCTTGTCGTCGGGATGGCTCGGTCAATGCACATGGGAATGGGTATCTGACGAGCCAGCGGCTAACGATGCCAGATTCCAACGCCGCTGGAACATTCTCTGGCAGCAAGATGTTCAAAATGTGAAGTGCTTTCTTTTCTCCGATAGGCCTGGTCTTGGGCAGGATAGGTGAATTTGTGGTAGACGTTTGTTCAGTGTGGTCGTCCAGGAAATTGCAAAGGCAGTTGATCAGCGCGGTGTATGTCGTAACGTCTCGAAGATGAGTGCAGACTGAGGTTCGAGAAACTGCATGATGTTAGCACTTTGCATGAGCTGCCGGCGAAGGAACGATGCATACGAGCTCTATTAGATACTAAGAAGTGGAGGGCAGTCAGGGCACGAGCCTGACGAACTTTATCCTTGCAATCTAGATCTTCTAGAAGCAAATTACGCGTTTCGCCCTTAGTAGACCTTTCAGATATTATGCGTAAAGCCCTGTCCGTGTGCATCAGTACATGTCCCGCATCAGTGGAGGCTGATCATACGCAGCTCGGAGGTCATGGCTCGTGCTCTCGGAGAGCTTGAGAAGGGTATCTAACTTGAGGACTGGATAAAATTAGTATTGATATAATGCAATGAGGTTATAGCTCTTACCATCCTCCGTTCCTTCGCTAATTATCTTATCTTCTCTATCGTTATGCTTGATCTCGGTCAAATCAACCACTTGGCGAAGGTCGCTGACAATGCCGCGCACGGCGAAGAACAGCGATATACCTAGAGACATTAGATACGTCCCGAGAAGAATTCCAGTGTAATATTTACCAAGACAGAGCCACAGCGCACCGTCCCCCGAAATAGGTGCCATGATGTTTGTCGTTGGAGACGAAGAGGTGCGGAGAGGTGCTTGGCAGAATCGCGATCGGCCGAGGCGGTGAACCTATTTTTTTCTGATCGCTTTTACTGCAGCAAAAAAATTCCACTCTCACGACAGTTCACAACAGCCAAAAAAATGCCGCCTTCTCAGCTGAAACAGCTGAAGGCTTCGCTCAAAGATAGCGGGGTGATTGCTCCCCAGCAATCCAAGAAGCAGAAGCGCCAAAATGCGAAGACCGGCGCCGCGGCGCAAAATCGGAACCAGCGCAATGCCGCTTTACAAGCCATTCGGGATCGGTTCAACCCTTTCGAGATTAAAGCGCCTGCCGGTCGCGCCAAATTTGAAGCGACTACTCGCGATTCAGGCTCGAAACCAGCTGCGCGCGCCCGTCCGGGTGTCACAAAATCTTTGGGTGAAGAAAGGGTATGTTGAGATTGCTTTCCACCTACTGCTACATTTTCATATCTGAGACCGTCAATAGCGCCGTGCCACCCTCCTCCAAGAGATGAATAGCCGTAACAAAGTCGGCGGACTTATTGATCGCCGTTTCGGTGAAAACGATCCGACTATGACCCCCGAGGAACGAGCCGCCGAACGATTTGCGCGAGAGAGTCAGAGAAAGATGCGCAAGGAATCCATGTTCAACCTTGAGGATGAGGAGGATGATTTCCAGTTTACGCACATGGGGCAGCCTTTGACTCTCGAAGGAGAGACGCTGAAGGACGATTTCGAGGCCGGCGACCTAAATGGTGAAGAATCGGACGAGGAATCTTCACGGAAACGGAAGCGTTATGTCGACGACGATGAAGACATGGGAATGGAGGAGGACATGGACATGGACAATGACTTTATCGATCATGGTGACGGAGACCAACCCGAGCGGAAGAAGTCCAAGGCAGAGGTGATGAAGGAAGTCATTGCCAAATCCAAGTTCTACAAGCACGAGCGACAGCAGGCCAAGGAGGACGACGAAGACCTTCGAGATGAGCTTGATAAGGAGCTCCCCGATCTCTTCGAGGCTCTTCGAGGCATGAAGAATCCCGGTAAGCCGGAGCCGGCCAAGCAAGATCTCGACGCCATGAACCCGGAACGTGCAGCCCTACTACAGGAACCAGAGAAGAACAAAACCGAAAGAGAGTACGATCAACGTCTCAAGCAACTGACATTCGACAAGCGGTCGGCGCCTACAGACCGTACGAAGACTGAAGAGGAGAAGGTGGAAGAGGAGGCTGCGCGACTGAAGAAGCTTGAACATGACCGGGTCCGCAGAATGCGCGGTGAAGTAGTCACCGATGACGAAGAGGAAGAATCCGATAAAGATTCGTTCATGCAGGACGACGAGGATGAAGAAATTGATGATGCGGAGGCTTTCGGCCTTCCCTCTTCCTCATACCAACCTCGTCCTGAATTGGCCGTAGAGGATGAAGACGATTTTGTCATTGATGATGACTTGGTCGAGACAAGGTCAAATGCTAGCCTCGACCTGGATGCAATCGACATGGAGGAGGAATCTTCAGAGGAAGAGGAAGTTGAGTCAGAGAATGAAGATGAGCTCATCAACGGAATGACACTGCCCACAACCAGTGCTTCAGGAGCCGCATCCACAGCCGTTGAAGTCAATCAAACCGCCGAGGGAAAGCTGGCTTTCACATACCCTTGTCCATCCACCCACGCAAGCTTCCTTGAGACTATCGAAGGTGTGCCGACCGAGGATGTTCCGACTGTCGTTCAGCGTATTCGTGCTCTGCATCACCCTCGCCTCCAGCCCGGTAACAAGGAAAAGCTTGGGAAATTCGCCGAGATCCTCGTTGAACATGTCTCCTATATGGCTAACGAGAGCGAGGAGCCTTCGTTTGCTGTGATCGAGAGCCTTCTGCGTCATATCCACTCTCTCGCCAAAACTCACCCATTAAACGTTGCCATGTCATTCCGCGCGCGTCTTCGCGAGATTACCACCGAGCGTCCCCTTAACCTTCTCCCTGGAGACGTGGCCATTCTTTCTGGCATCTCAACCGTCTTCCCCACTTCCGATCACTTCCACTCTGTCACCACGCCAGCTCATCTGTGCTTGGCTCGATTCTTGGGCCAGTGCTCGGTCAAAACAGTCTCCGACTTCGCGACCGGTGCATTCGCCACAACTTTGTGTCTCCAGTATCAAACAGATGCAAAGAGATACATGCCCGAGTTCATCAACTATACTCTCAATGCCCTTTGTAATCTTGCACCTACTGAGCCGACTTCGAAACTTGGTTTCTTCCCAGCCAGAAAATCCGAAGACTCTGTACGGCTCGCGCCGTCTAAGAAGGTCACCCCGCGCAAGCTGCAGTTCCGAGACATCATTGCATCAGCCTCCGACTCTGATGCGCAGGAAGAACTCAAGATTTCTCTTGTCACCACGTTTGTCTCTCTCCTCGGCGCTGCCTCTGACATTTGGTCGGAGAAGTCTGCCTTTACCGAGATCTTTACCCCCGTCCGTGAAGTTCTTCAGTACCTCCGCCAATCTTTCAAGAGCAAAGTCTTTGGCGCGGCCCGAGAGCCTATCCAGGCGGCCTTAGACAAGATTGATGCTCATCTTGCCAACGCTCGTCTCACTCGTCGCCCGTTGCTCCTCCACAATCACAAGCCCTTGGCTATCAAGTCGGCCATTCCCAAGTTCGAGGAGGACTTCAACCCGGACAAGCACTACGACCCGGACCGCGAGCGTGCCGAGTCCAACCGTCTCAAGAAGGAGTTCAAACGCGAGAAGAAGGGCGCTATGCGCGAATTGCGCAAGGATGCCAGCTTCATTGCCCGCGAGAAGCTTCGCGAGAAGAAGGAGCGCGATGCCGCTTACGAGCAGAAGTACAAGAGGCTTGTGGCCGAGATCCAGAGCGAAGAGGGCCAAGCTGCCAACGCTTACGAACGCGAGAGGAGAGCGCGCCAGGGCAAGCGGTAATCCCTTCACCCGTGTCGAGGTGGTTTGCCGCATCTCTGCATATCTCTCATGTCTTTTTTCTTTTGCATACATTCTGTCAGACTCGTATATATACTCTTCGATGCCCTTTATACAGGGCTGGTGCATGACCGGAATAAAAGTCGTTTGATGCGCATTATCAATTGGAGATTGCCTTCACGTTCTCCTTCAAATACTCATCTCCGTTTCTACGCCATGGTATGCCATGAACTAGTATACTTCTTCCCGGATCAAGCGACCGGAAGCATCGTGTTGAGCAACCCTCTCGGACAAGTCAGACTTTGGAACTTGAACGAATTGATGTGTGACGGTTCCATCGTCAAATTTTACGATCGTCTGTCTATACTCAAACCCTTTATACTTGGGAATGAAATCAATCCAAGGATAGTAGTAAACGTCACAAAGCGTAAGCCTGTCTAATCATTAGCCTTGAAATAAATAGCATGTTACCACGAATACATGAATTACGGAGCGATGTCAACCACCATATTGGTAAAGTACCAGAAACCGACATATCCACCATCTGCACCTCCTGTCGGGGGATACCCCGGTGCAACAAGCACATATAGGTTCGCCAGAAAGGCGCACGCCAGGGCCACATTCCAAGCTCTGTATTCGGGTCGGGGCAGATTGATAGATAGCCTTGCGGCGTCTCCGAATCATCAGAAGCTCAATTACCAAAGAAGATCAATTTGATCTTGGCGTTGGTTGCTCCGTAGGCTGAGGCTTCTGAGGTTCCTTCCCACGCATTGCGACAGTTCATCTCCAGGGATCTCTTACTCGTGTATGTCCTCCGAGAGCCACCAAGCCAGCGATCGAGATCCTTGAGTGGTGTTAGCAAGTCCCTTTGATTATTATTTTCACAATAGTCGATCATTGTGTCATACAGTAACAACGTAGCAATCTCGACGGTACCAAACCAAACGACGAATTGCAAGGACTATTTCGTACTTGTAGCGACCACATTACATTCTCAGCGCGCTGTTCTCATTGAGAGAGTGTTGACCAACCTATTAATGCAAGTGTACAAGCTGCAACGGCAACGCCCCTCCAACTGCCAAGTAGTATACGACGAACCAGCAATCCCAAACAAGCATTCGGCCAGAACAACGGAATCGCTGCTCCCAAGTGAGAAGAAGACCTGTTTCACCCGTGAATATCGTGAGGAAGAAGTAGTGTGGTTTCAGGAATGCTTGCTCAAGATAGAGGACTTCAGCGCCGGACCGACTGGGAAAACACGATGCCACTTTCAGGTAGAGCGATAGCGTGCTTTGGGACAGAAGGTATCCTATGAAACAGTATATCATGGTAAGGCCTACTGAGCACACACCGGAGAGAACACTGGGCGCTAGTTCAGTCATTTTGCTGGGTTTCTAGGCTAGAATAAATATATTCTCTGGGGGAAATATGTTTCCATGACCAATAGTCCAAAGCGGCTACACTCCTTTCTCAATGTCCAAGTCCTTCCAACCCGAGAAAAGCTCTCTTTACTTCCATGCATCTATTGATTCGATGCATCTTACAATGAAAAAAAAAAATACAGCAAAGCCATGTGAATGGATCTGGATAATTAGACTGCCTATATTAAAAGGCTACTGCCTCAAATACTCCCCAAGGCTAAGCAAATATTCACAACGCGTCCTCTGGTCCTGCGATACCGTCTCCATCTTAGTCTGGTTGGTCCGAATGAAGATCCGATGATATGTATCATTCGCACTACCCCAAGTTCCCCATTCTGGACTGGATGGAAACCGATACGTATTAGGGTTCAAAGACCGAACGAAGCTCGTCCAGTAGCCCTGCATTACGGGGACTATTCCTGCATTCGACGTATAATATGATGCTGGAGGCACCGTGCTCACGCCGTCCGGCCCCCAAATTGCATTCACCTCCACGGTGTGGGAGGTCCCCGTTCCGACTTCTTCCTCGTGTGGATCTAGAACTGCGAAGTGATAGTTCCAGCTGGATATGCCAGCGGAGGCATATGTGGAGGACATGTCGATGCCTGGGCAGATATAGCGGAGTTCGCCGTAGCCGGTGCTGGTTGGGGGCCAGTATGGGCCGGCATTGGGATAGGTTTTGGTTTGGTCCTTGGTGAGGTACATACTATTGAATTTGTCTAGTTGAGCTTCCGTGATGACGGGAAACTGGTTTTTGATGAATGTGTCGGCTTCAGCAGTGCTGGAAGTGTTTCTTGGGACGAAGATTGTGCCTTCGTTTGTGACATCGCCGAATATCACCGGCACTTTGATGAATTTGCCTTGATGAAATAGTTTCAAGGTATGATCTTGGACCAAATCGCCATCGATTGTTGGGCTGTAAAGGTATAAGGGATCTCCAGTTGCTCCTGGCAGTGGCGTTTTAATGTTTTGGTGTTGCAGGTCGATGATGTCGAGACTCCGTAGACATGCGAGAGTATTGTTGCTGTCGGTACAGCCCGTGTTTGTTGCCAGCTTGTTGTAGGCAAATTGGCTTTCTGACACATTGAGCATAGTCCCGAAGCTCTGGGATTCGGCTGCCGCGCCAATGAACAGTTCGTCATTTCGTCCTCCATAGGCAGAAAGATGCAAAGTCACCGAGGCTCCCCCGGCACTATCACCACCGATAACGACATGATTGGGATCTCCGCCAAACTACAAATACGTTAGAGAGTAGAGCAAGGAAACAAAGTAACACTAACCTTGCTGATATGATCTTGTACCCATTGAAGAGCCTGGCGTTGATCTTTGAGTCCGTTATTAAGGCTGGCACCTTGCTCGACTTCTTCGCCAGCAAGAAAACCGAATGGACCCACGCGATAGTTGAAAGTCACCACAATAATATTGTGGCCTGATGCTTCGACTAAGAAAGTACCATTATAATTGGGGTTTGAAAGCTCTGCGAAGCCACCGCCTTGGATGAAGAAATAGACCGGAAGGTTTCTTTCAGAGTTCACGGCGTCAGTTGGGGTATAAATATCCATGAAGAGACAGTCTTCCGACTGTGTATTCTCTACAGGTGAACCCGGACTTTTTGCCACGGGGATACAAATCGGGCCATGCTGATAAATGTCAACAAGGGGTTCTCGTCTCGGCATGATCTGGGAGAACTTACACGCGTGGCCTGTTGGGTTTCTTCTTTGAACGGTGGATCCTGGGGAGCTTCGAAGCGCAGATCACCTACAGGCGCCGCTGCATAGCGCATTCCAAGAAATTGGGATACACCATTTGAAAGCGAACTGCCTTCATAGCTAGAGTAGCTCAGGTGAACTACCGGGCCCTGTGCAGAAGCTAGCGATAAGAGAAAGAAGTGATAGAGATTCATGATCTTCGTGGACAAGGTCTGACCTTGCCGAGAGGGAAACAGAGCGCAGGTTTTGAACAGATCTTCCGGGTTCAGAAGAACAGCCGACAGTCAGGCCAGACCCCTGCAATGGGCTCTTGGCCTGAATACCGAAGGGCCATATTGGAATGCGCGCCCCTCGCACGCAGCAGGGCAGAAAGTGTATTTTTGGCTCAATTGGAGAGATCCACTGCGGCTTCCCCGCAACTTAATCGGCGCCTGGCTCATTTCGGGAACTTGACTCTGTCATCCATCATGTCGTCCGACGAGGAGGACTATATGTCCATGGTGATCGAGGAGCCTAAGCAGAAGGAGACATTCACACAAAGAAAAAAGCGCGAGCAGCGAGAGGTGGGTTTCCCTTGGGAGGTGTTCCTTTTTTGAGAAAAGAAAAATCCCACTGACCGCCCTTGCAGGCCGAAGCTCGAGGAAAAGTCCTTTCGAAAGCCGAACGTGCAGCTGAAGACGCGCGTCGCCGAGATGAAGCTCTGGCTACTAGTACCCTGGATCCCTCTAACAAGGGCTTTAAGATGATGGCCAAGCTAGGCTTCAAGCCCGGCCAATCGCTCGGAAAACGCGACACAGACACCAACACCGACACGAAAGTCTCCGGCCCTGACGAAACCAAGACACGCTCGGAACCGCTGAATCTTGTTTTCAAAGAGAACCGTGGTGGAATTGGATTAGATACCGAGAAGAAACGAAAAATCCGCGAGGAGGCAGAGGAAGCAATCAAGAAGATCAAGCACGAGGAAGGCGATTACAGGGATCGCGTCCGCGAGGAACGCGAATTGAAGCGAACTGAGGCGCAAATACGAGCTGCACAGAAGGTTGCTGAGAGGCTGGATGCAGAGGCCGAAGAGGATACTGGGAGGGACGGCCATAACGACGAAGATGAGCCCTCAGATGATAAAGACTTGGGACTCAGCGATGCGCCGAAGCCTAAGCGCTTTAAACTCACCTCGCAGGTCAATGTTCTCTACCGCGGCCTTGTTCGTGAGCGCGAGGAACGAGAACGTGATAATCAGGCCCGTCATGCTCTGATGCATTCCCTGCCGTCGTCTTTCTTCCCAAGCCAGAAACTCCCTGGATACGACGATGTCGATCTTGAGAGGGACGACAAGCAAGCCCTTGGCGATACGCTCGGACCGTACACCGCTGCTGTTGAGCAAGAGCTTGAAGAAGAAGATCCGGAGCTGGACGCGTTCAATGCATTAGATCCAGCCGAGAGACTACATAGATTGGTGATCTATCTCCGTGACACATATCGGTATTGTTTCTGGTGCAAATACCGCTACGAGACTGATGTGGAGCTTGAGGGCTGTCCCGGCTTGACTGAAGAAGATCATGATTGATCTACTGCATCTTCCCCCTCCCTTTCCTGTTTGTACAGTATGCCTTACGAATTATAGAAACGAATTGATTTGGTCTGAACTATCGCGTGTGCTCTTCGATGACACTATTCATTATCAATATGCAAATTTGACTCGGGTCATCATAGTATACACAAACATCCTTGGTATCATAAAATAGGTCCACACTGACATTAGCCGCCTCTCTGCCGAGAACAAGCAAGATCTTTTCGAGTCTCAACTCTCGAGGGTTCCAGTCCCGACGCACTGCGCCGATTATGCAGCAGCAAGTGTTGGAATAAGAAGAAAAAAGGAGGTTATAAAGAATAATGAAAGGAAAAAAAGAAAGGGAGAAAGAGTAAAAGACGGGCAAAATTCGATCTAATTCAGTTGAGGCTTCCCATGAGCTCCTCCAACGACCGATTTTTGCACTTCATCAGAGCCTGATGGCAGCCTTCACAGATGCGCAAGCAACAGAATACACAACGGTGACGGATCTCTCGGTCAAACTTGAGACAGGTCATGCACGGTATCGGGCACCACACGTTCTGTGCCACGGGCATGTTGCGATGCTCCTGGAAGCAAGCCAAGTGACCTTTGTTCAACGGCGCCGCGACAGGCTCAACTTCCAAAGGCGGCGTATCAATTCGAGCTTGCTCACCGCTAGACACCGGTTCCAAAGGAGTTCCAGAGCCATCGGGAGTTGGAATGAAGTCTTCCAGTGGTGTCAAATCTTCGTTGTCTTCTGCTGCAGGCAGGGAGAGCATGACCGGGGGTGCAGACTGGGTGAATTGGGATTGAGACGGCTCTTGCGGGTATGGCTGCATTTGCGACTGCGACATTGTCGGTTCTGGTTGCGTGCGACGCTCGGACTTCACTGGAGGTAACGGCTGCATTTGGGAAGCTTGCTGGAGCTCAGACTGGGCTTCGGGAGGCGGCGCAGGTTCAACAATAGCCGGCGCGGGGGGGTCTTAGGCCCTGTGATGTAGGGGATGTCTGGTTTGGACGCGCATTACTCCCCACCTCTCGACGGGCTGGGTCATGGGTTGTCATCCGCGGTGGGGGAGGTAATTGATCCCTGGGGATCGCAGGTAGTTCCGTGCTTGGAGGAGGGGCAGCTTTCGACAGCGGGGCAAAGAAACCCCCGGACGGAGGAGTAGAGATTGGATCCTCTTCGGGAGTGCGGGATTCGTTGGATTTCTTGCCGGAGAAGGAGAACTGGGATCTGGCAGCGACGGTACCATTTTTCATCGCCGCTAGAGAAGGAATGCGAAGACCGCGAGGGCGCTTCTCAGAATCGAAGATAGCCATAGCAAATCCAAACTGAAAAAACACTAAAAATAAATCGGTGTTGAAGGCGCGGTGAGCACCGGGTATAGCGAGATTATCGACGCCACAATTTGATTAGTGACGATCTTGATCTTTGTGGATCTCCGCGCACTGCCGAAGGACTCGTGCTACGAAAGGCGTCCAGAGGGAAGACAAAGGACAAAGACTTGGGGGGAAGCGAAAAGAGAGGCACGGCGGAAAAGAAGAAGGGAAAAAAAAAACAAAAGAAAGAGAAAGTGCCATAGAAACAAGAGCTTCGGTGTAATCTTAATTTGGGAGGATCGCAGCAAGTTTTTGTCGCTGTCCCTGAATCCACTTCGAATCTCAGACTCTCAGCGCCCCCCCCCAAACGTGAACTGGTCGGATCAATGGTCCCTGGTCGAGCTCATGGCAAAGTTGATTTCCATGCTCAATGATCGCATTGCCGATGCTCTATCAGTCGACCAGGGCGCGGAAATTTCACCGAGGAATTCGATTTCATCATCCCCGGTCATAGGTTTCAAGGAATGGACACGAGGTTTCTATGCCCGTGGAGTCAGGGCCCGTTGCGATTTGTGTCATCTTTCCCCTCTCGGGTGGAGACGATTGGACCCATCACAAAGTTCGCCAGAGAGCGCTAGATTAAATAGATCGTGTATGGTTCCAAGATCAGGCCTGGTTTGGACTTGGATTGGAGGTGAACACCCCTGAACCCGGGACTTGCAGACTTTAACTTGGTCTTATCGGCATTCCCTGATATGAAATTCAGGATCGTCGGACTTGGCCGTCACGGCATTTCACACCGCGTCATCTCCATTCATAGTCTACTGGCCTACTTTGTACACGAATGCTGTCTTGGATAAGGGTCTCAGCCAATTTCACTATTGTACCTTAGTTTTCAGGATCATTCACGGGCATATACGATCGGCGCTCTCGCGCAGCCTGATTCTCGATTAGCCGCTGCGTCTTTCCACACCAAGCAAAAACCTTACCTCGAGATACCGCTCGATCCACGGCTTCAAAATAGCCCAAACTAGCAGGCCACCTGTAGCAAAAATGAAAATAAAAACTACTGCTTCGTCCTTTCGTGAGTCGCGCTCTATTTGCGAGGAGTGGGTTAGTTCTGCATTTTGGGCTCAATGTCATGGCAAGAACCAGAACCAGTTGTAAGGTGATTTGATGCTGTAGGGAAATATCACATACGGAAGCAAGTGGTGAAGACGTCATCCTCCTTCGCCCCTTTGCATGTCGGGAGCTCGTAGTCCAGACAGAACTTGCGATTGCAGTCGTTGCAGCTAAGAGCTTTGTATTGTGCTGCGCGCTTGGTCAAAGTGTGGTCGTCAACGATCTCAGCTCCGGCTTTGAAGGCGTCTAAGGCGCGTTTGTGGAGGTGCAGGACATTGTCAAAGGTGGATGAGGATGTCCCGGACTTGGCAGGGTCGAGAGGGATGATCGTGCTATTAGAGAAACAGGTACACTTGCAAAATGAGGTCGGTGCTATATTCAGAGGTACTAGATTAGCTTCTTACGCCAGCAGTGATGGTGATGGTAATGGATTCGATCGGCAGCTGCTCGGGCGAGTTCAATCGGTGAGCGTTTTACTTACTAGAAGCCGCGGTGAAGGAAGCTAGGGAAAATAAGGCAAGGATGAGCAGGGTAATTTGCGCTCTACTGCTCTGAAAGCCCCATGCAAGCTGCATCTTGACGCTTGTCTCAATGTTCTTGACTTTCCGTAACGCGCCGGCAACTCTAATGACGAGGCCTATCGCGGTTATCAATCCGCACGTGATATACAGACCGCCATTGGCTCCACCTGAGAACAGGGCATTCGTGATCAAGACGCACAAAATCAAAATAATTTCCACAACAGCCCGGGTGGTCTAGTGGTATGATTCGCGCTTAGGGTTTGACCTAAGCACTCCTGCGCGAGGTCCCGCGTTCGATCCGCGGCTCGGGCCTGTTACGTTTTTTATCACTTTTACCAATTGAATACATTTCCAGTGAAATTTCTTTGGTTCTGGGATGGTGTCGTGAGCGCAAAGGAGGTAGGGATTTGTGATGATACTGTTGATTTTTTTCTAATTGTTTGATTATCTGATGAACAAGACCTCGTGAAACTAACTTTGCAACGATCACCGGGCTTTAGTATTTCAAACTTAAATTCTATGATTTTTAAGCTACGCTTTCTGGTGTGTGTATATATAACGACGAGCCTGGACCAAAACCCGGATATGTATCATCTCCATATTGAGTAGCTTCTATTTAAACATTGTGGATGGTGTTCAGCATAGACCCAGCCTGGCTAGCCCCGGAGGGCTTGTCTTATACGTAGACCTGACCATTTGGCTCCTGACCATTTGGCTCCTAGTCCATTCAAACCGCTCAAATTCTATGCAAGATTATGTTCTATTCCTTAACAACACAGTACCTATGTATAGGTGATGGAGGTATATCCAAAAAGGCTTGACTAATTATGACCTGCCCTTCATTCCCTTCTTCCGGTTCTCTCTCTGTCTTTGCTCCTTGGCTGCGTCACGCCGCCTCTTCTTCCAGGCACGGTTGTTGTCACCCCGGTTATCCCAGAACCACTTAGCAAACTCGGTCTCGTCTTTGGGAGCTCCACTATCACGAGCTTTGGAGACTGGGGTATCAATTGGTGAGTCCTCGTCTTCCTCCTCATCGTTCTCATTCCAATTTAAACGTCGGTTGACCATACTAGTGTCTGGAGTAGGAGCCGCGCTTCGCAAGCCTCGATCTTGCAAGTCCCTTTTGGTGAAGGGTGTGAAAGGGGTCTGAGGCTCCGGAATCTGGGGCTCATCCTCTGATTCAAAGTCGTCGGCACCGAAGAAGCTGAAACCAGCATTGACCTTCGGCACGGGTTCTTGTTCAGCGGCCGAGGCGGGGGCGGGCCGCTTGAAAAGTGCTTCAAGAGGATGGATCTCTTTTGGAGAAGACTCGTCTGCATCCCTGGCAGCCTCGCAGGCCGCCTCGGGTCCTTCGGAGTCCGCATTGTCACTGTCGACCGCATTGGCCTTGGGAGGCTCCTCAGTCTCTTTGGAAAGCTGCAATTGCTTCGATGTCTCCTCATCGGAAGAGTCAGATGAGTCGTCAGAAGAGCTGTCCGCCTCACTCTCAGAGTTCGAGCTCTCATCAGAGCCACTCGAAGATGTATAGTCCTCAGATTCCTCCGAAGGCTCAGGAGTCTTCTCCTTAGGGATTATCTTCTTCTTCGGCTTCTTCTCTTTGGTACCGGGGACCTGACCCGGTCGGTAATTGTCCTTCCGAGTCTTTTCGCTGGCAGACTCCTTCACAGCGCCCGCAGAATCTACCCATCCCTTTTCTTCGTCAAATGTAGTCGTGGGCGGAACATCCTCTCCCGCCGAGCGCAGGAAGCTGGGCTGGGTGTAAGTTTTGGCGAATTCGTGGACTACTGTTTCTCGAGAAGACTTCTTCTTTTTCTTGGCCTTCTTGTCTTCCACATCGACAGACAACCGATTGGGTGGAAGAGTGGTTCGAAAGAGACACTCGGACTTTTCAGTGTATTTGGACTTGAGTTGCGGTTTTTCTTTCTTGGCGTCCTTGCTCTTCTTTTCTGATCTGCGCTTTTCCTTCTTGGAGGGCTCGGTCCAGCCACGCTTGACCTTGCGGTCCGAGGGAAGTTCGTAGCCGTCGATCACCTCGTCCTCGACATCCTTTGATTTGCGCTTCTTCGACTTCTTCTTCTCCTCTGCAGGAACTTCGACAGCTTCCTCTTCGTCTCTCTGCCTCTTTGAAGGCCGGGCATGGTCAACTTTAAATTTCTTGCCCTTCAAGATCGAACCATTGAGCTTCTTCTTAATTTTCTCGGCGTCCATTGTCGGCAAGGTTACGTAGCCGTAATTGTTTTCGGGGAAGGTGGGAATGGTGTGGAACGAAATGTCGGTGGCCGATTGACGGAGGGAAGGAGGTAGAACTGATGGGAGAAGTTCGGGAGTGAAAGGAACGATGTGGAGTCTTGTTTTTTCTTCGATCATTGTAGAAAGGCCATATCCGATTGCATTGGTGGAAGTGGGAATTTTGCTGGGCGACAAAAAGACCGAGCTGCACCTTTTTTTTTTCTTCTCCGCAGACAACAGATGTGTCTTGTCACCGCCTTCCTTTTCGGTCCAGCATGTCAAGCAGTGATGAGCGTTCAGCCAAGACACTACTCACCCTACGTGTAGTAATAGGGTCAATCTCCAGCTAGCTTGTGTCAGGAGCCCCTATGAACCAACCGAAATCCCCACCGAGGATCTTCCAAAGCTCGGGTTCACAGGGCTGATGTAATTCAGCAGATGACCCGGCGATGACGGGACAGTCGTGGCACACGACGTGGGCCAGACCCGCGGATAAACGGCCAGGGCAGAGTCCCTTATATTGAAATAGCGTTCTTTTAACTAAGTCGGGGCCCATCCGCCACATCCGATGTGAGAGATCTGGTCTTCTTACGTACCCGCTTAGTTCATCCCATTTCCCTTCCTCTCACCGATCTCACTTCCCCAGTGTACTCCCGATCAACTGGTTCCCACCCGAACCCCCTCCCCGCTCCCTTTCCCTTCCTCCACATCTCCCCTCTCTTGTTATCATCAACCCTCTCCGATGTCTTCCCTGGCTCTAGCCTGAATTTCCTTGCCCCTACAACTTGGGACCGCTTCCCTGGTCAGAGAGAACCTTTGCCCCATCGGACTTACGCCGTACCGACTTGTTATCGGTACACTCCCACCTCATCGCCGCCATGGGCAACTCCCAGACCAAGGAGTCGCGAACGACTACTCCACGACGTCGAAGTCATCAATGGTCGCCAGGCGCGTCCGATACCCCCGGTCGTTCGGTATACCAGTCTTCTCGGTCAGGCCGAGGGAGTCGCCCGGATCTCTCTTTGCTCGGCATCGGCAGCAGTCATGACCGTGACGTGGCTGCTCTTGAGCAACGACGAGAGACGAAACAGGAACGAGACGCCCGTCGACTGGAGAAGGAACTTGTAGCTCGTGTGAAGGAGCGGGAGCACAGCATGAAAGAGGAACATGTTGATGGTGGCTATCTTGTAACACAGGGTGTCTACGTGGGGACGGAGGACTTCAACAAGGCCGTCGTGCGTCAACTAATGGTACGAATTGCCTGGAAGCATCTGAGAACCTGGGAGAGACTAACCATGGCCTGTGGCTAGATTGAACGTCGACTGGCCCCGTTCTGGAGAGGGCTCAACGATTTCTCTGAATCATGGGCTGAGCACCAGCTGATGGCCGCGGCCCGGGAATGCCTATCCCCCCCACCCGACGAGATCCCACCCGAATTAGAATACACTCTGCCCAAGGCATCCGAGAATGAATCGCGCGACCCATCAAATATCAATCATCTCACGGTACCGATCACTTCCCGTTCCCAGTCCCTCAACTCGGATGTTTCACAGAGCTCCATCCCCGCCCAATCATTACCTACAACATCTCCGATCGCATCCGGCACCTCGGCTTCGCCTCTTTTCCGTACCAGAGCGAAGACCCTGGCAGCCCTGACGACATCAAGGTATGGGTCACAGACAGATTTGACGCCGCGTGAGCTGCAACTACCCAAGGACCCCTTCGTCAATGGGTCGCCGATCGAAGTAATTTTGTACAAGGACGCCAGCGAATGTCCTATCTGCTTCCTGTACTATCCTCGATACCTGAACCATACGCGATGCTGTGATCAACCTATTTGTTCTGAGTGCTTCGTGCAGATCAAACGGCCGGATCCGCATCCCCGGAGCACGGCGAGGCCGATTCCAATGCTCCATCCGCACCGGAGGGCGAACAGGCTGATACAGAAGGACAGCTCGTGTCGGAGCCTTCTGCGTGTCCTTTCTGTGTTCAGCCTGAGTTCGGAGTTACCTACGCACCACCTCCTTTTAAACGAGGCTTGACCTATGCTGCGGACCCAAGCGCTCGTCCCTCTCCCATGTTCACTTCTCCTGTATCCTCTACATCCTCTTTGTCCTCGGCAAACCTTGCCCCAATGATAGGTCGGCGCCGTGCGACGTCATTATCTGCCACTGACCCTTCGGTGGTCACAACGGACAAGGTCCGCCCAGACTGGGCCCAGAAGCTGGCCAACGCCAGGGCTCACGCCGCTCGCCGATCTGCTGCTGCGACCGCCCTTCACACGGCAGCCTATTTGATGAACAACGGGCAGTCTGGGAGCGACAGTCGTCACCTTGGGCTCAGTCGGAGAGGATTGCGGAGAGCTACTCAAGGGGACTCCGGCCGGACCGGCTCCCCTGCCCTAAATGCATTGGCTTTTTTGACTGATCGACCGGACCGAACACCACCTCGTGCGGCTGTCCTAGATACCGACTCCGCCGAAGAAGGCGCAAATATTGCACCGCCGCGGGATAGCTCGAGACGCACCCGGATGGACGATCTCGAAGAAATGATGATGATGGAAGCGATTCGGCTGAGTTTGGCTAGCGAAGAAGAGCGCCGAAAGCGAGAGGAAAAAGAGATCAAGAAAGAAGCCAAGAGACGGGAGAAGGAGAAGGAGAAAGAGGCCAAGAAGGCGGACAAGGTGGCTCGCAAGACTGGCTTGTACAGCAACAACCCTAGTACCACTGCGCTCTCGGTTCCTGGCGAATCTCGGATAGGTTCTTCGATCGCGGAAGACACTTCCGTTGGCAAGGGCAAGGCAGTCGATCGGGTGGCGCCTTCAATAGCCGTAGACTCTGGCCTGCTAGGCTCGTCACCGAGTGCCTCCTCCGCGGAGACTATCCCGGAGAATCCGGCCGCTGAGCAGACCTTGAGCGCCGAGCCATTGCGACCTTCTCATCTTCGGCACGTGTCCAGTGCATCGTCGTCCTTCTCATCGATTATGGAAGCGACCGCAGATGAGCGCACGGGAAGTCACCTTACCGCAGATGGAAGCAATACTTCGTTGGAGCCCATGTTCAACTTCCGCAGCCTGGCCGAGGTCATCGGCGATGAAGAGAAAAGTCAGGAGGCAGACTACGTCGAGGATACTTCTGTCTTTCCCAAAGCGGAGGGCTCTTCGAGCGCGACACCGTCAGTCCACCAGCCCTCCGCCGATCCTGAAAAGACCGAGTCTCAGCCTGCTTCCATTCCTCAAGTGGAAGTTGAAGATAGCTCTCATGGCATGCTACCCAAGGAGCTCGAAACTCGCTCTGTCGAGATTACTGGCACTACACCAGACACCGAAGCTACCTAAGAACAAGTTCGCGAATTTTCTTTTGTTCCTTTTCTTCGGGTCGGGCACTTTGTCGTCCCGACCACATGGACGGATTAGCCGGCGCTGTAGGGAGGTTGATCATGGTTTATGGCATGTTCATTCTTTCATTTATTTTCCTTCATTCTTATCTCTCAAGCAGTCTACCTGCATCACATCGAGTTTCTTTCTCCCCATAGAGATCGCTCCTAACAAATCAAATTCCATCGAGTTGTGACCACTACTCTTTCTTAGATCAATATTTATTCCATTCTAGGTCTGTTTGCCCATGCTCCAGTGGGACAATTGAATCCAAGAGACATAGGACAATCTTTCACCAGAGTATGACAATGTGTCACTCGGGTAGACCTGGTCCAAGGGTCCACACTACTTCGCCGCAATGCTTCAAAATTGTACAATGCAGGCCGATAACCGTGTGGGCCGCATCGACAGCCCTGATTGGTGCATATGTGATTAAGGAACAGCCAACGGCCGCTAAGAGTGGGGCCTCGGACGACCGTGTCTGGTAAGTAGTTCATGTCCTATTTTGGTGGTGATGTTTGCATTGTGGAGTTACTGGTGAAACAGTCAATCGATAATGTGAGCCTTGGAAAAGAACAAGGTGCATTTCGGCAGATTTGTCGGCGAGGTCATGTGCCCAATGCAACCGGAACCACAAGGCAACGTGTGCCGGGAGTCGCCACCCGAAGAGTTTTACGTTTACTTCCAGGTACCCCCGCCGATGGCCAACTATAGACACTATAGACACAACATGCAATGAGACAAGTGAAGACAAGTGAATTGTAAATCTAGCCGGTTTGGATCATCAAAATGTATGAAAATAAACATATAGCAAGGGCTTCCCCGCATTAGGGTGTCCACATTCCAGGGGTTTCTTCCCTTATCGCAAGCAGAGTTTCCTCTTATGTCCTAGCCCGGGCCCCTCCGAGTCCCGGTTTGGTAACAGAAATGCAGACTCTTTTCCCTCCTCTTTTCCTCTCCCGCCATTCACCCGTTCAATAAATTTTGCTCCCTCCTGCCAGCAACCTGGAGCCAGCTTGAGGAATCAACAACGCCAGCCAGGAAAATAGTGCACCATTATCCGACACAGAAAGATCAGAAGACTCGGCGTAGGGAGGGATAGCCGTAAGGTCTCAGATACTTCTGACGGACTATGGCATTAACACCACAGGCAAGATCGATCGCGCCCGACGACAATTTTCCCACTGCGCAGCTTTTCCTTTTAGGTGAGTTCCTCTCCTATTCCTCATACTGGCTATCACTAAATGATCCGTAGCAATATGTCGCGTGGCCGAGCCGATCGCTTTGACCTCCATCTTTCCCTACTCATGGGTAATGGTTAAGGATTTCGAGATGGCCAGTGGCAGTGATGCCTCCTTTTATGCCGGAATCCTCATCTCGGCATTCTCTCTGGCTGAAGCTATGACAGGCATGTTCTGGGGCAGTCTGTCAGACCGACTAGGTCGCAAACCCGTGCTGCTCTTCGGCTGCTTTGGTACCATGCTCTCCCTGCTTATGGTGGGCTTTGCTCCCAATTTCTGGATTGCTCTCGCAGGCCGGGCCTTGGGAGGTGCATTGAATGGAAACATCGGCGTCATTCAGACCATGGTCGGCGAGTTGGTGAAACGTCCCGAACACGAACGTAAGTCCCACGGCACTGTTTTATTTCTACCTTGAGCTAATATATTCTATAGCCAGGGCTTACGCCATCATGCCGTTTGTCTGGTCCATCGGAACTATAATTGGGCCAGCTATTGGAGGTCTCCTTGCCAGACCTTCGGAGGGTTTCCCCTCTCTGTTTCCCCCGAGTGGTCTCTTCGGGCGCTTCCCCTACCTTTTGCCCAACCTTGTCTGTTCTGTTATGCTCCTACTGAGCATCCTCGGGAGCTGGCTATTTCTACAGGAGACTCATCCTGATATGCAACCAGGCAACACACACCGATTCTTCGAGCATACTTCGGTCGAGCAGCCTCTCCTTGCGACATCGGGGGCGACTGCCAATGCAGGTGTTGATCTTCGTGCCGAGTCCTACGGAACGTTTAACCAGGTCCACCTACACGAGGATGAGGACTGGGAGGTTCAGGCGGATGGCTCCTCTCCTGCATGGAAGAAGTCTTTGAAACCTAAAGCTTTTACGTGGAAGGTCACCATGCTGGTCGTCGCGCTGTCAATCTTTACCTACCATTCGATGACCTACGATCACCTCTTGCCTATCTTTCTGCAAGATAAGAACACTCGAGATATCTCGACTGGTCATACTTCGCCTTTCGACATTCCTGGAGGTGTCGGTCTCTCAACTCGAACAGTTGGCGTAGTCATGTCTACCGACGGAATTATTGCTCTCGTTATCCAGAGCCTCATTTTCCCAGCGCTGGCTCAATGGCTCGGGGTTTGGAGATTGTTCGTCATCGTAACGATTCTACATCCCATCGCATACTTCATGGTCCCTTTCCTGGTCTTCCTCCCGCAACATCTCACCTTTATCGGTATCTACGCATGCCTTATTGTCCGCAATGTCCTCTCTATTATCGACTACCCGGTTCTTCTGATTCTCATCAAGCAAGCCAGTCCATCGGACTCGGTCATGGGAAAGATCAACGGTCTCGCTGCCTCTGCAGGTGCCGCAGCCCGCACGGTCGCCCCTCCTGTTGCTGGATATCTTTACAGTTCCGGCGCTGACATAGGTTGCACTGCTGTGGCCTGGTGGGGCAGCAGCTTGGTTGCTCTTATTGGAGCGGCACAACTATGGTTCATCCAGCGCAAGAAGCACTCCTCGGCTACAGTACAGCCTGCCGTGCCGTGCCACTTCGTACCCATTGCGAATGAGCCTCCGAAAGAAATCATTCACATCCTTGTGACTGATGTTGATGAGCAGCGTTCCAATGCTGAGCCCTCAGCAGTATAAGCTCGGTGAGAACCACGGTGATGAATACAGGAACGAGACCTTGACGAAAAAGATTCTCAAAATGCCTAGCTTTTATTCTTGCTTGTCAAGTCGGGCTTGATTCGCAAATTGTGATGTACATACTCTTTGATGATTTATGGCGCTTATAGATGGGCGTATTTGGAGATTTAGCGACTGCATCAAGTTCTAGAATGAGAAATTAAGTGAAAGTTATAGACTAAGCGAGTTGTGTCCACATTCGAGTTGATTTGTCTTCGTATACTTGGTGGGGCAACGCTATTCCCAAAACAGACTAGCTCTGTTTACCTAGCAACGCAACACTACCCGCATCTTTCCAAACATCAAGAAACCTTGCCATATGACATCTCCACACCACTGAAGGGGACATTTTCAGGCTGTCGGCCCCTTTCAATCGACAAAATGTCAAATCCACTGTCACCGTTATCCCCATCCTGCCAGAATGCGCGAGCGCGCTCCCCAAAGACCGGCTCGTCGCCATTTCTCACGAAAACACTCGACGAGGCTACTGCCAATCATATCCCACAAAGTCCCTTGAAAAACGCGTGGACAGAATACGACGCGCAAAGCCCGATCACGTACGGTTCAAAAGAGAATTACCTCCGGACCGAACACGAGACGAAATTCAACGACGACTTCGAGCCCCAGAGTTCGCCCTTCCGCTACGAGGCGCGCGAAGAGACTGTTGATTTTTATAAATTGCAAGAGTACCAAAACGATCACGGACGGAAGCTAAGTGCGCCTGGCGTATCATATCACCGGTTTGACGTTTTAGAGGAAGAGAGAGAAGAGGGCCCCATGAGTTCGCCCTTCCGTCCTGATGCTAGAGACGAGACGGTTGTCTTTCAACACTTGCGCGAGCTGCAGCCATTATCACCGATTTTGAGCAAGCGACTTGACGTTCAAAACCCGGAAAGCTCGCCTTTTCGCCCTCAGGCGAAGGACGAGACGGTTGATTTGGAAAGGTTGCGAGGGTTGCAGGCTGAGTCTCCTCCTTTTGATGCAGAGCCTGGGTATCATTATGAAGAGCAGCCTGAATCTCCGCGATACGAGGGACAGCCTGAGTCTCCCCCGCTACAATGAGCAACCTGAATCTCCGCGATACGAGGGACAGCCCGAGTCTCCCCGCTACAATGAGCAACCTGAGTCGCCTAGCTATGATGAACAGCCCGAATCGCCCCATTATGACGAGCACCCAAATTCTCCTCCACGCGATGAGCAACCGATGCAGCCCGAAAGTTCACCGTTTCGGTACGAGCAGAGGGAAGAGGCGGTTGGTTTCTATCATTTGAATGATAACCAGCGCGAGTCCAACGAGGAAGCCAAATCGCCTTCTCCGCCCGTAGCGCACAGCTCACCTTTCCGGCAACGCACGAAGGATACCAACGATCTCCAGAGGCTGCGGGAAAGCCAACGACAATCATTTGGTAGAGCGAAGCAGACTTCTCCTACTATTTCCCCGAAGTCTTCTTTCAGGAGCCCGAAAGAATCTACGATCGATGTACAGAAGCGGCGCTCAGCGGTGCGTACATCATGGGGTGTGGATGGACGCCAGTCAACAGCAGCCACGCCTCGAAAACGGTCCTTTGACCAGACTCCACAAGATCATGAAGAGCAGGCCAATGATCGTTGCAAGAAGGGTATGGTTACCCGTGCTGATCCAGAGACTCACGAGGATTACGAAGAAGGGTCTAGTGTCATCCACAACCAGAGCTATGTGTCGAATACAAGTTTGACTCATGAACGCTCAGCAATCGGCAATAGCATGATGGAAGACAAGCGCAATGAAGGAATGAGTACTGTTCTCCATGAGGATGATGACGATGTACCAGCAAATAAAAGAACCCTCGCTGACAAGGACCTACCCGTGGTGGGCGAGAACGATCGCGATTCCATGGACGACACCGGTCTGAGCAATTTCTCTGCTTTGCCAGACATGACTTCATTCGCGAAGCTGCGAGCTGATTCACCGTTGAAGTCGATGCGCGGTAGCGTCGGACCCGGATCAGCTGCCAGGACGGATATCTATCGACTCGGCGTGGATCCGAGTACACCTGGCACTGCACGGAGATCATATAGACCTAGTGCGATGTACGATGTTGACTCGCCAATTGGCTCGCCGACGCCCAGACGGAGAGCTTCTCGGGATATTGGTCTCTCACGAGAGACATCCAACTTGCTTGATCTGACCGACAATATGAACTTCTATCCTCGCCAATCTATGCAATCTAATGCTCGTTACTCTCCCCGGCGCTCACCCATGAGGAACACGCGTCAGTCGATGCGATCCCCATCGAAGTTTTCACTGCTTGACTTTGACATCCCACCTGCACCGACTCCCCGGTCAATTCCGATCATCACGCCACGAGAACTTGAGTCGCTAAAATCAGCCTTTATGTCTGAGATTTCCTCTCTCAAGGCCACTCTCAGTGGCAAAGAGGCGGAGGTCGCTAGTTTGAAAACGGCGGTTGGCGATGCCGAGCGACGAGTCGGTGAGGCTTGGGAAGAGGTCCGCCATGAAATCGCGAGGAAGGAAGAATTGGAGGTCGAGCAGGAAGAATGGGGTCGCCGCGGCAAGGAAATGGAAACGGTGCTCCTGTCTGTCCGGTCTGAACTGGAGGACGGTGAGCGCGAGCGAGACCGTCTCTCTCGAAAGGTCGATGAGGCCGAAAAGAGCAAGGACGAGCTAGAGAGCCGGATTGTCGAGCTTGAAACCCAGCTTTCTGCTGCACGCTCTAGCACGGAATCGAGCACGGTCTCTGGCCCTCGCCACAACATTTCGCAATCCACGGAAGAGACTGCTCGCGAAGTCCAGGATGCGGTTGAAAAAGTTGCACGCGAGCTTCACACTCTGTACAAAAGCAAGCACGAGACCAAGGTCGCAGCACTGAAGAAAAGCTATGAGTCCCGCTGGGAGAAGCGTCTTCGCGAGGCTGAGCGTAAGCTCGCCAATGCTCATCAAGAGAACGACCGCCTCAGGGAAGAGCGCGATGCGGCGCAGTCAGACAGCATGGCTGCCGCCAATGCCAGTATGATCGGCCGCGAGCACGATGACCACGAAGCCGAGAAGCGCGTGCTGGAAGCTCAGATCCAGGGTCTGCAGCGTGAGATGGCGTCTATCAAGGAGGACAGCGATCGTCTTCGCTTTGAGCTCAAATCGGAGCGTGCTGAGAAGGGCGAGCTTGTCGCTGCTGTGGATGAGTGGCTCGCGATTCAGAACCAACCTACTCAGCAGCCCCTGGCGCAGGAAAAGCGCGAGGTTTCCGTCTCGTCTGTTGGACCCACCGAGGAGGAATATCAATCCTCCAGCGAGGTTCCCGCTGAGAATTTCCGTCGCAGCGTAAGCCGCTCTGGATCCAGTGGCATCCGCCCTCCTGCATCTGGCAAGAAAAGAATCCCACAATTCGGAGCTGGCAGTGGTCACTCTCGCGGCAACAGTGGAGGCAAGTCTGGAATCGCCCTCCCACCCCAGGTCGGGGTGGTATTATGAGCTCCATTGAGAGAATGGGTCGGGGTGGTGCCTAAGGGATATTTGCTAGGGGGGTCTTTCTTCTCGGATATGATGATATGCGAATACGTTCATGGTCTGGGGTTCAATTTCGTCTGTTGATTTGTGTTTCACTAGATTCCCCCCCCCCCAATTCGCAGACCTGATTTTTGTTTTGGTTATGATGCTATGCTCCAATGCGATACGAATATTGAGTCTACCTGGTCTGATTCCATGAGTAGCACTGGGCGTAAATGTGAACGTAGAATGGATCGGCCTTTGAAACATGAGGGAGTTCTGTGGATATTCGAACTCCACTGACTCCATGTATTATTGATACTTCCATAATAGGTAACAGGAGTCCACATGTGGTAACACGGTCCGTCGCCTCCTAGCAATGAGTCGAGCGAACACCAGCAAGCCCCCCCCCCCCCAAAAAGAACCAAAAAAAAGCGACTCAAAGGAGCAACTCGAAAAAGTAACGTCAAATTCTTCAAGGCCCCCGGGTTTCTTCAAATCGCGGGGTGCCGAGTCATGCTACCTTGGGGCCGATTCTCCTTCGCCCGGCCCGTTTTCATCCTTCCGCCCGAACTGTCCACGCTGTTCATTTTTTTTCTTGTCTGTGCCCAGGATATAGATCATGTATCATGACGCCATTTTGTCAACCCCTCTTTTTCCGACAAAACTAGATATTGGGCGCGGGGTGCAACCGCCCCCCCTCTAGCTACTGTAAGCTGATAGCCCCTCCTAGACATCGGATTTCCTCCGGGAAAAAAACGTGGGGTGGCTATCATCGCAAAAGCCACGGACCCCAGCATTCCTGGCTCCCCAAAGCGCAACCCCCATGATTTTCGCCTGAACTCTACGCTCAGACACGGCGTGATGGCCGGACATGACAGTCCTCACACTGGGAGGCAAATAGTTGCTGTATACCATCCAGGCTTAGACGATCCACTGATTACCTCTGCGTCCCGACACCTGGGGCACCCTACCCTCGAGTTTTCGAGAAAATGCTATTGACTGTGTTGAGGAGGGGAGGTAAACTAAACTATCAGGCTGAATCGGGTCTCCATCTCGGCAAAGGAATGCGTCGCACCTTAGTTCCCGGCTCGGCTGTGACAGACTTGGACACCCCCGGATCTCGTCCTAGCCCCGGATTCGCACAATCCCGGAAGAGGACTCCGTAGATGAGATGGGAGGCGAAGTCGGGGACTGACCTTGCCCCGTGGCTTGCAGTCCCACACATGAAGAAGGAAAGTCTTCCAGCGTTGAGGCGCGAGTTGTCGAAGGCGTCGAGTCACAAGTCACGAAGCTCATTTCAAGCCCCGCAATGCCCCGATGACCTCGTGATTATCCCCACTTCGTGTTTTTTTTTTTCTTCTTTGTTTTTTTCGTTTTCTTTGTAATTTTTTCCCCTTCCTTTTCTGTGGTGTCGATACTCTGTCAGGTTCTTTGCCCTTGTCGATTTCATCTTTTCTTTTTCACGTGATTATTTCAGACCCTCCGATTCCGATATTGGGGTCGCTACTGGGTTTCTGACATTGATCTCAACATTGATGCTTATGCAACATTAAAAGGCAAGATAATAAGTACAGTAATTGAAAAAAAAAAAGAAAAAAAAAAGAGAAAATGCATGAAATATTAGTCCAGATTCTTGCCGCCTGCATTAATGTCCCATCCGAGAATCGGCACTTTGTGGTGCATGGATCTCATGTCCTCAGGCAATCAGATTGGCAAGCGGAATGCTGCGACACGCGAGGCATGGGTGCGGCATTATTTCCATGTAATCTGGACCAGGCCTTTAGACTTTTTTGATTTTGCAGAGCAGCTGAGCAGGGGATGGTTGCCCTCCGCTTGTCGGCACTTTCGCCTCCAATGCCTGGGGGAGGTTTCTGTGGGGTGCTCTACTGGCTGTTGGCGTTCGTGTGTTCTCTGGGGGCAGTAGTCTTGGTCTGGACCCGCTCGTCTTATTAATGCGAGAAAAAGGTGTCGTTTTGGATACATAGTTACGGTGGGGCTTCGGGATGCTCTCCGGGGTTGACTTTGAATGAATTGGAGTTCATGTCTACCATTATTGCGTAACGCAGTCTATATTTCGAGATGCTCATATATTTTGAGGGCTGTTGGACATTATTTTTTTTTATTACCATGACCCATACCGAAAGCGTCAAGACATGCCATTTGGAATATCATGACCGGATGACAGGATGCAAAATATGAAAAACAAAATATGAACACGACGATCAATTATTCACAGGGACGAAAACAGATTGATTTGCGACCGCACCTCCCCACTCGACCCACTACTTCTCCGCCCTCGGCTGCCATTCTTACTCCAGCCTTGGCTGGACCGGTGTCTCTGGGTCCTCCAGTCTCTCCCCGGTCCGCCGCTGGCTCACTAGCCGCTCCGATCCTATTGTGCCGTGGGGATTAGGGCGGTACCTATTCGGTGTATTTCGGATGTGCGGATCGAAGAAGCCGGACTGTCAGAGTCGTCTGTCGAGCCAAGGGAAAAGAGAGCGAGCGGAGAGCGAGAGAGAGAGAGAGAGAGAGAGAGTATTAGTTGGAAGATAGTGAAGGAAATGGAATCCCAATAACGAAGCATCACAGCATTTACAGATAATCTGCCCCATGTCGGGAACAGCCGACTAGCCATGTGTCCCTTGTGTACCTCTTGTAAGTTTGTAGCGTATTTGAGTACCGTCGACTACCTAGGTAAGATGTTCCGACGTCCTCCTAGGACTCCACTTTCGTAACAGAACACCAAGGGATCACCTCTCGAACCATCTCTGCCAGGGTTCTGTCCGAGGATCCCCCCTACCCTCGATCTGATTGCCATGCCCATCTGACGGAACCAGAAAATATACAGCGACCGGCACGAATCCGGGGAGTAACGTGACCGGGCCGAATGCTGGGCCGCTAAACCGGTAGAGGCCTGTGACGCAAGTCGAATGTGGAAATGCCTCTCGTGTGGGGAATACCTGCCCGTTCCAGTCTAGCGAATAGTCACTGCGCCATTTGACTCTCTGGCACGGGGATCTGCCCCCAACCTGATTCCATCTGGAAACAGTGGAACAGTGGAACAGTGGACCCGGGGCCTTTTTGCCTTCATACTTAAACATCCATGTCCCCGGGCCCCCAGCGCGTTCCCCCCCGTAAAAGACCCTCTCCACTCTTCTTCTCGTGCCCTCGGTGGCATTTTCTATATTCCTTTTTTTTTTTTCTTTCTTTTTTTCTCTGTTCCTATATTCGAATGCACCAGAATCGCCCCCGGTCATTATGAGTAGTACTACGATGACTGAAGAGTCAGGGAAACGCAAGGCCTCGGGCCTGGCCGCCCATAACCGTCCTGTCAAGCGACGAGCTTCAAAGGCCTGCTGCTGCTGTCGTGCTCGCAAAGTGCGTTGTGACGTGGTAGAGAATGGCTCGCCCTGTACGAATTGTCGCCTCGATCAGGTCGAGTGCGTCGTGACGGAAAGCAAGCGGAGAAAGTACGTTTGACAAAATGATTCCCTTAGGGAGAAGAGGAAGAAGAAAGGGAAAAAATAGACAAGAAGCTCAAGCTAACGTAAAGAGTATTTTGGTTTCTACAGGAAGTCGCGTGTGGAAAACGAAAACCCTCAAGCTTCGGAGTCGCCCCATGATGACTCCGAAGACGCGTCGCTTTTTGGTCGACTGGGCGAGATCCAGATGCCAGACATGGTGCCGACATCACCCTCGACGAACTCGGTCGATATCGATCATGGCCAACATATGCCACATCTTCTGTGTTTGTCATCATCCACTCGCACCCATATTTCATTCTGCTAAACTTGTCTCGACAGATCAATCTCAGAATACTCGTGTAGGCCCCGATGAACGCTACCGTCGCCGAATGGCTCCGAACCCGGCCGTTCCCTCCACCATGCCACTGGCCAACGCGACGCTCCAGATTCAACAGTTGCTCGACCCGTCCTTTGGAACCAACCGGACTGCCAATGGCTATCTCCCTGACTACATCCGAGGCCTACCGGCGCGACTCACCAAGGACGATATCGACTACTTGGCCGCCAAGGGAGCGCTCTCCATCCCTGATGTGAGCCTTCGAAACGAACTTCTGAAGGCCTACGTGCACTACGTCCATACGTACATGCCCTTGTTGGACCTGGAGGAGTTCCTCCAGACCATTGTGCAGAATGATGGAGTCCATCGCATCAGTCTGTTGCTGTTCCAGGCTGTCATGTTTGCTGGAATGGCCTTTGTGGACATCAAACACCTGAAGGCTGCTGGCTATCAGACGCGCAAAACCGCTCGTAAAATTTTTTTCCAGCGAGCTCGATTGCTCTACGATTTTGACTACGAGGTGGACCGCATTTCTCTCGTCCAATCTCTGCTTTTGATGACTTACTGGTACGAGACCCCCGATGACCAGAAGGATACCTGGCACTGGATGGGGGTCAGTCTGTCTCTGGCGCACACCATCGGACTCCACCGTGATCCCGGCAACTCGCGGATGGATCTTCGCCGCCAACGGATGTGGAAGCGGATCTGGTGGAGCACATACACTCGTGACCGATTGATTGCTCTGGGCATGCGACGACCGATGCGTGTCAAGGATGAAGACTGTGATGTACCTATGCTCACTCTTGACGACTTCGAATTCCATTCTTTCTCACCCGAAATTGTGCAGATGGTTGGGGATTCGGAGATTCTTCAAAATGTTAGCCACCAGCGAGAGCTGGCATTGATGTTCATCGAGAAGGCTAAGCTCTGTCTCTGTGTGAGCCATGTGCTCTCCGCCCAGTACTCTGTGCTGAGTCATAAGTTCGGCGGCACCATGGAGACGACCATGATGCTGGTACCCAAGAAATCCACGGCAGAAACCTTTGAGGTGCGACGCTGCGACCAGGAACTTGAGGATTGGCTTGCGAATCTGCCTGTGGAAACCCAGTATCAGCCATCGGGACTTTCGAAGCTGTCCGAGGCCAATGAGGTGCTCCATTCGCACCGTGCTCTCCTGAAGATGGTCTACTTGACTACATCTAGCGCCCTGCATCGCCCGCAGGTTCTCCCGGCTATCCCTTTCCCATCCACGGACGCCGAATTGCAGGAGATGTCTCGCAACAAAGTGCGATTCGCCGCCGTGGAAATCACCAACATCGCCCATGACCTACACACTCTGGACTTGACCCGTTACTACCCTACGACCGGTGTCACCGTCCTTCTCCCCGCCGTCATCATTCACTTACTGGACATCAAGTCCAGCGACCCCACCGTGCGCATGACCAGCCTCCAGCGGTTCTATCAATGCATGCGCATTCTGCAACGCCTTCGTGAGATCTATGCCTCGGCCGACTTTGCAACCTCCTTCCTTGAAGCCGCCATCCGTAAAGCCGGCATTCAACTCACTGTCGCACCTCAAGACGTGTCATCGCGCCCCCGCAAGACCACCAACAGTAACGACCCATTCGACCTCCTTTCCCGCGCCAATGCCCTGACCCCGCCGCCCGATTCCCTGGCCCAGAAAATCCCCGATCTCACCTACCCCAAATCGGCCCCGGCAGGCGGGTGGCCCACCGGGGACCTATTCGCCTCGACCCCACCTCAGTCTGATGGCAGCGAGAATGGGAGCACTAACAACCTCAACCCCCGCAATCAAATCACCGACGCCTTTGCGATCCCTGAGCTGAACCCGGAAATGAGTCTCACTGAGCTGATGGATCTGGCCAACGATGCCGAAGTCACCCAGAACGACTTCGACGCGCTGATCAACTTTGACGATGCGGCTGGAAATGATCTCTTTGACGAAGACCAGCCTGCCGGGGACAAGGGGTTTGATTTCGACGTGAACGTCATGGGCTTTGATTCCGATTCGAAAGCGATCAATTTTGCGCATCTTGCGGAGCGCGAGCGCACCACGGGCCCAGACGCCGAGGCTATGCGGCCCGGTTTGACGGCTGATCTTGACACAGATCTCGGAATCATGAATGAATAAATATCACACATGTGCTTCTATTCTTCTATTGGGTTTATTAGCGGGGCGTGGTTTTCTTGATTGTCTTTTCTTCTTCTCTCAAATTCACTGTCTTATTACGGGGTTGGGTGATTGGTGTTTTGGCGATATCCATTTCCCACTTTCTCTGGGAAGATCGGATTGATTTTGATTTCTTTGATTTCTATTTTCATGACCATGATGATGCCCCTATGTACTTGAATAGATTGGATTCAAAAAAAGCATGAGCAATGTGAATGACGGACTTGACATTTCTTCCATTCCTCGATGTCTAGTGGAATGATGAGTTGGACTTCCGGCCATCGCCGATGCCGAGTCGGTATCACATGCTACTTCCGCTCACCCTCATTCTGCATCTGTATCGGTATCGGTATCTGTAGCTGTAGCTGTAGCTGTAGCTGTATCTGCATTGTTGGCCCTGGCCATCCAGCCGGGATTGGCATCATTCCGATTCCGTTCTCTCCACGGCAAGAACAGGACTCGGCAGGCCTAGTAAGTCTAGTGGGAGGCTGAATGCCCAGCGGAACGGGGATGGTAACCCTCACGGCGGGTCCGGAAATGAGTGCCACGGGGCTAAAAGTCCCAACTAGTTCCACTTTTGAGTCCCAACTAAAGGGCCATTGACTTTCTTGGACCCTGGAGATCCCTTTTCCATGGCTCTTGGGGGCTTTTGAGTTACCCCCTTTTTGGTAGGCCCCGCGAAGGGGCGGATGGGGAGAACTCTCTCCTGGGCCGAGGTAACTTCCTCTTTGGGCAGAACCATGTTTGTGTCCCGTCATGCCGGGTTGTGCAGTTTATTCAGAGGGATAGTCTGTTGCATTAAAGGTGCATGATTGTGCATGATTGTGCATGGTTGTGAATCTGGTGAATCTGCTTAGTTTCGGTTTCTTGTCCTTCTAGAACTTTTTCTCTAGTCTCGGTATTTTCGTACATACTGTGTGTATGTCTATTGCGGGGCCTCGTATCTTTGGACGTTGGATGAGCCGGGGATTGGGCCGTGAGTCATGGCTGAGACTCCCTTGAGACTCCCTTGACAAAGAGCTGAAACAAGGAATAGTAATGTAGACTCTGGGGTCTGTAGCTATTAGTATAACATGGAGTGGAGGACGAATCCTATATGTCCTGGGTTACTTTAATCATTATTGGAAGCTCCGATCATTCACACAAAATTCTGAAATTTCCAATTCTCGGTATACACGTTTGACTATATATTTGTATCTACACGGTTTGAGATTCCCGGCTTCAAAAAGAGTTTCAGTGTCCAGTAGAACTCGGCAGGGCAACCGACGACTGAGTGTGCGTCGCAGAAGCCGGCCCACTAGACCCAAACCGAGGAGTCAACTTCTTTTCACCCGTCGGCAGCTCCCATCCATTCAGCGTACGGTTGAATAGCTGTAGCGCCGCAATAGGCTGGTAATAGGGAACTTCATGGCCAGCCTCATACACCCGAGTGAAAGAGAAGTTACCATACTCGCGAGTCTCGCCGTATTCCACACCGTCAACGAGGAAAGGCGCATACCCGGCGGCTTGGAACTCCTTGCTGTGCTTGTGTTTGGCTGCGAGAGAGATCGCCTGGCCGCCGAACCAGTTACAGATATAGTCGGCGTCGCCGTAGATCAAGGCAACACGCACGGGGCGCGAAAGGATGTCTTCGAGGTCTTCGAGGAAGTTGGGCCAGACGAAGTCTCCGGTTTGTTGGAAGGCGAAATAGACCTCGTCGTTGGATTGTGTATAGTTGAGGTCCACGCCAATAGCGTTTAGGACCGAATCTTTGGCTAGGTAGTCCAGGTAGTAGCTCGGGGGCGTAGGATCATTGGATGGGTGGCGGATATCGTAGGTGCCGCGGCCACTGAATACATAGTACGGACCCTCTGTGGTGGGGGAATCAGCAAGGAATGGAAAACATGGAAGGAAGGTCTACCTACCGACGTTGTCACGGCACATGTTTGTTGCCTCTGTGCAGAGGGCATAGTCTGACAGGGAAGTACGGTTGGTCGCTTTGCAGGTCGCGACCAAATCCTGGCAGCCATTGGGCATGTTGTTGGCAAATTTCATGTAGTTGTACACAGTCTCGTTGACCTGGGAGATTATGAGTTCGTGTCATGCAGGAGATGTAAAGGCTTGAGCACTTACTGCTTCGATGCCATACGTGTTGTGTCGTGCAAATTCGGGATAGTGAGGAGCCTGGATAGCCTCATCGATGATTCCGTTTATGATTCCGAGGGTGTTAAATTCAAGCTGAATACCCTCCACGGTACCATTGGCGATCTTCTCGTTCTCTTCATAGAAGTGGTCGAAGAACTGTCAGGGTTAGACCCAAACCAGCCACAATTGCATGTTTTTTTCGGTTTTTTTTTTATACTTACGGCAGGCCCATAGTGTCTATCAACTAGGTTAGCATTGCCGATTGTCACTTGACCTCTTAGGTTTCGAACTTACCCTCCATAGCTCTCGGTCCACAGATTGAAGCTCTTCGACTTAATCTTTGAGTCCAGTTTGGGAAGGCCTCCGAGGAATCCCTGCAGGACTTCCCAAGTAGCTTTAGCGGCGAGATTGGTTGTATCTATGGTTCGAGTTAGCCCAGGAGCCTATTTCGTGGTGAATTTGCAACTTACCAATCAAAGAGGCATTGATCACAGGATATCGGCCCTGGACACCAGCGAAGGAGGCATCTTCAAAGGAGCCGGTAAGTGGGTTAAGAGAACCATCTCCCTTTTCGGAGTACGAGAAGCCTAATAGATCTGAGCAGGGTTTCGCATGATACAGTCATCAATTGCATACCTGTGCCAAGGGGCTGGGAAATAAAAAGCATGTTCGAGACCTCATTCCACGAATGGGGGTTGACGTAGGACTCATGCTTTTTCGTCGATATGACAGGGTCCTAGCTCTATACCCGACCAAATGAGTCAGTGGATTGAAGCTAGGAGCTCGACAATTCCTCACCTTCGAACAAGCCGATCAGCGAGTCACTTCCAGGGCCACCGTTCAGCCAGAGTGTAATGGGGGCATTCTCAGGATCGTGACGCGCCTCGAAGAACCAGAAGAAAGTGTGCGCAGTGGGCGACAGGTCCACATAGCCGGAGTATGACTTGACCCCCGGAGTAGTCTCACAGACGCCTTCCTTGCCGGGCTCTTTGTATCGAATCGTGACATTGTTTGCTGTGTGGATAGTCTTCACGCCGGTGGGCTCACTAGGTAATTGACGACGAGCGAACTCGTCCACATTCACCGAGCGAGCGGCTACCAGAGGCAGCACCAGCGGAATCCAGCTACTGACGCGCATCGTGTCTCAGCGATGTGACTATCTTTCAGACTACCGATGATCAAGACTGACAAGGATTGGGAGATCCATCGAGATTTATATAAGAATCTCATTGTGTGGGTGCGATCAAAGGGGTCTTAGCCGCCTCAATGCAATGTCCAGTCACAACGGCACACAAGCATGTTCGCTGTGAAGCCGGAGATAGCCGTGGCTCAATAATCAACAGTGCTGATACCAGTACAGGAAAGTGAGCGGGGGCCCTGCCAAGACGAATATATCAGCAGGAAGCCAGTCAGGGTCTCGTCGTGGAGATAATCTCAGAACATCCCAACATCTCCGCAGGAGCTCCGGGGAGGGTAGTATTGCTACCTAGCGCGATTAAGAGGGGAAGCCCCCTCAACAAAGCCAGACTGGGTGGCTGGAGGCAAACCCCGCCAGCCTCTGCAGTGGCTCCCTGATGTCGCGCGACTCTGATTGACTCGATAATGAGGTGCGATGCTGGCGTGAGGGGAAAGATCTGCGCCGCTTAGACGATGCACCACCTAGATTGGTCAACGCCAGGTGGAGCCACGATTGGCGATGCGATAGCTCATCGTCCGGTCTAGGCAGCCGGGAATCCAAGTAAAGCAAGTTTTGAAGTGGAATCGAAGGGGTGCAGAAGGCATCCAAGATCATGGAGAAGTTTTAGTTGCGCGAAGTTGGCCGAGGAAAGCAGGGTTGGATGTCGGGACGAGTCACCTTGTGGCCTTCGGCACGTTGACCCACCTTGGTTCATTGTCTGCACTGTCTTCTTGTCTCACGACAATCCTCATCTCAATGCATATCTCCCCGTGATTGCGACTCCATCCGATATGGCCAGTGGAGCAAATTCGTGCCCTATTGCCATTCGGTAAAAGAAAAAAAGGAGATTAAGACCGGTTTTTAATAATTGAGTAACTCACCTTTCTGCGGCAACTAGCCCTTTGCCTCCGTGAATTAGTCCATGAAATTGGCCTTTGACCCAAGTCAAGGAGACTACTGGGGGTACCATGATTCATTGCCAATGAATAGCGTGACTGTTATGCAGCAACATCTAGATGGCTTCTTGTGCAAAAGAAAAAGTTTCTCTCATTTTGTTATTCGGGGTTCGCTACGATCACCGGCTTGCTTCAACTTCAAAGGCCAGAAATGCGTATGGATAGCTTACGCGCGCCATCAGAGATTACCTCGTCGTGATCTCGAGTATACTGGACGATCGCTCACTCAATGAGCATGGTCATGCTCACCTGAGCTACAGCATGATCCATCCATGGCTGCCCTAGCCAGCTTTGCCCGAGTCAGCGGCCGAGGCTCCGGAAGCAAATCACGACCCATCAGATCGGGACCAGAATCCGTTCCTTGGTCCTGCTTGACAAAGTCTTCAAGATCGCGCTTGGCGATCTCAGAGCTATAGATCATGTTGAGCCAGTTCCCGAGACGGTAGCCACCTTTCGCAATCTGTAGTTCGATGGTGTCGATCACTGAGTCGTAGTACGTGGGATAGAGATCGCCGGTCTGCAAAGCTGCCGCTCCATTCGGCATCACAACAGTGCAGACGAAGGCATTTGCATCGGAAGCCCATCGAGTGGCAGAGGTGATAGGATCACTGATCGTGTCGCCCGCGACCCAGCTCGCTGCTTGGGACTTATAGCTGCCGGAAGTGATCTCGCTGATCAGGCTGTTTGCCCACGACTGCGCATCTGAAAGAGAATAACCGCCGATTAATTGTTCGGGCATGTATGTATCCCAGTCCGAGTGAAGGTTGTCGCTGTAGCCGTTAAAGGTGACCTTGATATCGTTCCCGCCCACTTCGTACGCCTCGTCGTGCAGCGGCTGAGTTACGTCCCCCAGGAAGTGTACAAGAAATTTGACGGCTTCTGCCACATGATCCGAGGTGAGTCGGCCATCGCCCGCACGCTGGGTGTAGTTGGCAATGGCAGAGATTGAGCACCCTGTACTGCCACAGTCACGTTCATAGTTCACATTGCAGGTGGTCGGAGGGTCATCTTCCGCATCAATGAAGTGCAATGGAGCCGACCATTTGCCCGCGGTAGTGGTGCGATATGTATCAGCCCATGAAGCAATATTAGCTAGGTACGAAGTAGAAGTGTCACCCAGAACACCTTGTGCCCTTGAGGACTGTTAGCGCGGGGGGGCTGGGCTTAAAGAGGTGATTTGATCATTGGCCTTACCATGCTGCAGTGTCCGCGGAAACGTAATGTTGGGCAATATATGCCACGGTCGCGTGGCCCAAACACCCCACGCGTTGGCCCCGTTGATCACACCCAACGTAACCAGCGCAATCTTGGATAGAGGTGCCATTGCTAGAGCTGGTCCAGGCAGGGCAGGGCGCTTGGTGATGACAGTGAAACTCCTCGAAATAAAATGGACAAAGGGTCACCGTCTCGAGGATAGCTCTGTCGGCTCTTGCAATGGTACCGCTGCTCTTGGAGAGAATTATACCCAAGTTTTGGGGGAGGTTGACTCGACGCTTTAAGTGCTCGCGGAGGTGGTGACTGGAATGAGGCATTCCCGCGAGATCATTCGAGCAGCCCACATTGACGGCTGAAGCCGTGTGAGTTTTCGGGCCTTGCGTGAGAAGACAGGCATCATGCCTGGTCGAGGTCAGCTGATTGGGTGGACCTTGACCTGTTGGCGCGCGATCGGCAATGCAGGGCATCGGAGTCCACCGCATCGAGGTTGGCTTAACTGATCATGTCTGACGGGTGAAGGATGTCCCGTGCGAAGCAGAACTGTGCCGAGACACACGTGGAGATAAGCTCTCGCCATTTTGGATTCTTCAGGGCGAAGAACAAAGTGACTAGCTAGAGCAATTTCGCTTAGCAGGGCCCTAGTGGCTGCAGACCACGTCCAAAACCGCCGGGCTCCCGCCGGAAGTTAGCATTATAGATATTCATTCTTCATGCATGACTACTGGAAGAGGGTCGATGGCCGGCTTGAAGTTGCCGCGCTCCTCCGGTTGATAGACGGGCTACATACCCAGATAATCTTAGGCTAGAATTGCTGAATCTTCTCGGTTAGAATATACAGTGACAGTGTGCTTTTCTCCATCTCCGAGTTTTTTTTTTTCATATTCAGAGTGCAAGAGATATTGTAATAAAGTCAGTGTCCTAGCGACGGTATGTGAATGCCTGCCTCACATCAACGTTCTTCTTCCCATCGCAGACCCGAGCCATCACCAGATCAATGTGGGCCTAAAGTACAAAAAAAAAGAAGAAAGCAGGACGGGGGTCTTCAAGAAACATCAGGATGGATGGTCGATACTCAAGATTGTATAGCACACGGGAAACGAGATCAAGTCGAGTCGAAGTGTCGGTGATTCGTACAGAAAATCAAACGCGCCGCGTAAAAATGCATGAAGTTCGTCGCGTCCGCATGGGCGTTTCAGACCCAAGAAGAATGGAATAGTGATACATGTGGCTGCTTCCTTAGGAGAGTGTCACCTTGGTATCCTCATGGTGAGGAGACTGGGGCTTCTCCATCTCGTAAGAATCTTGGGGCACGTCACCCAAGATATCGGCAGCGGTCTCATCGGAAAATTGCAGATCCTTTGCGACGTCGGTGCTATCCTGGATCTTCAGGAAGATCACGGGTGACGCGACGAGCATGCTGCCAAGGAGCAGGCCCCAACAGGAGGCAAATTCGGTCATATAGGGAGTGTGTTGGGCGTCCAGGCGCCACATGCCGGCCGCGCCGGCAGACTGGATGCCCTTGTAGAAACCCGCAAAGTTGGCAAGTTTGCGGGCATTGTTGGACAGAGAGCCCATGTACCAGTAGGTGCAGGTCTGGAAGGAAGCATCGTAGAAGCCGTAGAACATGTACAGGAACATTGGGCCAATATAGTTGCTGTCCGACCAATCAGTGAGGTGTGTGATGCTCTCGCGAGTATAGGTCCTCTGAAAGGCATAGCCACCACCCCAGATACCCAATGTAATAGCGATGAGGATGGCGAAATTGATCTTGGCACGAGTTGGGCGCGAGAAACATTTCATATCGAGAAGCTGACCGAAAATAAAGGCACCCACCATCTGCATGAGCCAGTAGAGGAGACTGTTCAGAGCGCGGGTGCGGACCGTGAAGTAGGCGAGGTTGACGGAGTTGAAGTGGTATGCGTAGAACCAGTTACTGGCTAGGAACATGGGGAACATCAAGACAATGTACGAGTCGCTGATGAGTGTTTCCCACAGGCCCAAGAACTCAGACTTCCAGGTGGGATTTTTGATCACGATGACACGCGAGCCATCCTTGCGCTTGATGTACTTGGAGTCGGCGAGAACCCAGCACAGGGCGAAACCCACGGCCATCAACACCATGAATGCGATATAGGTGCCATTATTCACTTTGCCGGCCGAGCTATGAATGTTTTGACCCAGCGGGACCTGCAATGATGAGCTCCCAAATCTTCTTGGTGTAGGGATGAACTCAACTTACCAAGCTACCAATGACACCACCCAGATTGAAAATAATCCAGAAAACGGCAATGTACTTGCCCTTTTCATGCTCGAGTGGATAACTCATCATAACTGCACCCTGGGCACACCAGAGAAGACCAGCGCAGACACCAAGGAGAGCTCCTGCGAAAATGAGGAAACCAGCATTCTGGTTGATATTGTAGGAAAGAAGGGCGGCAACATAAAGGAAGTAGCCGAAGCCACCAAGAGAAAGGGTCAACCGGAGTCCGATACGGTTGGCGATGGAGCCGGCAAAGAAGCCGACGACGGCAAAGGTACTGTACAGGGCCGTGTTGGAGTTGTTCACATCGGTCGGATTGACTTGGCCGCCACCACCCAGACCACTGACGGCATTGTACATACCGGGGCACAGGAAACAGACGAACGAGACAAGAACCAGCTGCGTCTCAGGCGATGCGAACCATGGTGATTCCCATTTGCCAAGTTTGACCATCGGCTTGTACATCCACGGCTTCCCAACCACGGCATGGTCCATTGCGGTCTCGGGATCCTCCTGAGCGGAATAATTGTTTTTCTCAGGAGTCGTCGTGACCGAGACCTCTGGAGTCTCTGTGGACTCGGTGGTCTCCGAGGCCGCGTGCCGCTCAGGCTCGTGGGACGCCATAGTGAAGTGGAAGTACCAGAAATGCGAATTGGGCAGGGGGAGGGCCAAGGAGCCAAATTTAGATCAATAATTGGACAGGGATGTTCAGGAATGTTGGAAGTGCCCACGTGAAATATCACGATCCCAGGTGCAATCAGAATGAAGGAAAAGGAAGAGGTTGTGAACCTTTTCTAGACAAGTTTTTTTTTAAGGACTCAAAATTAGCTTGGGGAAGAACGGAGCTAGTCTTATCGAGGTTTCACAGATAAGTCATAGAAAAGGATCCATTTCCAAAGTCTCGATGATACGTGGGAACAGGCTAGACAAGATGGGTGGGTTTCCTTCTTATCTCTTTCTCTCCTTTTTTTTCATCGTGTGATATAATTGCGGGGGATGATGAAAAATATGGAGAACACACTGGGGTCACTGGAGACTCTGGAGATGAGTGAGACGCATCAATTGGGTTGAACCACGGGCCAGGAAATAGCCGCGATGCGACCGCAAACAGAGTTGTATTCCATGCTGTTTGCAAATGCAACTCTCCGCATGCGGGGGACGCCCGTACGGTATTACCGTTACCTGGTACCGTTCATGACACCCTTTCCGGTTCCCGTGATCATGAATCATGGAATAAGCATATACCACATCGGCATGCCGAATGTCACCTGCAGATTTACAATGCCCTTTCTGGAGGTATACCAAATCTGGAGTGTTACATCATCGTACAGTGGTCTTTTGTCTTTTTTTTTTTTATCTATTGACCTTGGCCCCGTTTCCCTTCGTGTGTTCCTGGTCCCTTAATTTTTGGTACACCAACCAACTCTCTCACCATGCCTGGCAAGACTACCGTCGCCCCGCGAATCACGAAATTCACCAACTGCCGTCTGGTGCGCGGCTCCAGTCTCGTTGAGCAGGATCTCTGGATCGATGCTCTGACTGGAAAGATCCTCAAGGATCAAGAGGCTTTCTATGAATTGCACCTGTCGCCCGATGAGATCATTGATCTCGGTGGCCGCATCTTGGCTCCCGGTCTGATCGATGTTCAGCTGAATGGCGCGCAGGGGTTCGACTTCTCCGTGCCTTGTAAGACCAAGGAGGAATACGACGAGGGTCTGCGCATGGTCAACCGGGGTTTGGCTCGCACCGGTGTCACGTCTTACCTGCCCACCGTGATCAGTTCGACTGCCGAAGTCTACCACAAGGTCCGTAATGTTTCTCACTCTGCCTGGTCAAATGGAGACCCAAGTAAGTCTGACAAAGTATCAATAGGTGTTACCTTCCCTTGGCCCCAAGGGCGCCAACCACCTCGCCCAAGATGGCGCCGAGTCTCTTGGAGCACATGCCGAGGGTCCTTTCATCAGTCCCGGCCGCAACGGTATTCATAAGTCCGAGGTGTTGCAATCCGCCCAGACTTTTGACGACCTATATACTATCTATGGCGCCGACAACCTGGGTCCCGACAGCCCCATCAAAATGATCACTGCCGCCCCAGAGGTCGGCAACATGATGGCCCAGATTCCCGAGATCGCTAAGCGCGGCATTATCTACTCTATTGGCCATTCCGACGCCACCTACGAGCAGGCCGTGTCGGCGACCCACCAGGGCGCGCGCATGATCACCCACTTGTTTAACGCCATGCGTCCCTTCTACCACCGCAACCCCGGCGTGTTCGGTCTGCTCGGTCAGAGCGAGCGTCGTCGCCCGTGCTACGGCGTCATTGCTGATGGGATCCATCTGCACCCTACTTCGATCAAGATCGCCTATAATGCCCACCCGGATGGTCTTATTCTGGTCACTGATGCCATGCGCCTGTGTGGCCTGCCCGATGGTGTCTATGATTGGACCAACGGAGAGCGCATTGTCAAGACCGGTGCCCGTTTGACCTTGGAGGGATCCGACAAGATTGCTGGAAGCTCCGCGACCCTCATTGAGTGTGTCAACAACTTCCGTCGCTGGTCTGGTGCTTCTACAGCGGATTCTATCAATGCTGTCACAGCTACCCCCGCGCGCTTGCTGGGCCTGGAAGGGGTCAAGGGATCCCTGGAGAGTGGAGCCGACGCCGATCTGGTCGTGCTGGGCGAGACTAATGATCCATTCTCTGGCAATACACTCACCGTTGACCAAGTGTGGAAGTTTGGTGTCAAGATCCACGACACTGATAAGAATGCGGCTGTGTAAGACCGAAGTCCAGAACTTGCTTGTTTTTTATTTTCCTTTTTTCTTTCCTTCTTGTCGTCTCGGGGTCAGCATCCTTCGCATTTTTTTTTTATCTACCGAAGCAGAGGCGTTCGGGGTTTATCCACTTGCATTTAACGTCATAGAACCATCCAGCATGGCCTGAGTTGAATTTTTACAATCCCCTAACCAGTTTCGATAGACTGCTTTGAAATCGAGAAATAGTCCAATATTGGTCTCCTTGTATATTCAGTAGGTCAACCCATAATAAGGGTTCACATTCCTATTTCCACGAAGACACGTGGCGCGTGTGGTATATATCCATAAAATCTCCAAACACCGGGTCCGACTGGCAGAACCCAACAATCGAGCTACGGAGGGAGAGTTCACAAGCCTAACACGATGGTAATCAACTCTCACCTCCGCTTGCTCTGGCGGGGCCCCAGCGCCGATCGCTTATATGCTAAAACGAAAAATACAAAATTCGAACAAGACTTTTGCAGACATGTCATCGTCCAAGTTCGCAACCAAAACCCTGCCTCGGATGGCGTTTTACAGGCGGGGCTGCGAGCGAGACCAGCCGGCCTCCTCGGCGATCATCTCGGCGGCACGCTCACCAACGGCCAGGACCGTGACCATAGGGTTGATGCTGGGAATGTCGGGGAACACACCGGCGTCCGCGATACGAACACCCTTCAGGCCACGGACCTTCAACTCGTGGTCCACAACGGCCAGAGGGTCACGAATAACGTCACCCATCTTGGTGGTACCGGCCGGGTGGTAAACGGTGTGAGCCACGCGGCGGCCGTACTCGGACAACTCCTCGTCAGTCTGGATCTTGGGACCGGGGGCGACCTCGCGCTTGATCCAGTTCTTGAAGGGAGCCTGTTGGGCGATCTCACGGGCAGCCTTGAGACCGGCCACAATGGTGGCGGCGTCGTAGCCCTCGGGATCGGTGAAGTAGCGGAAATCTAGAGCGGGTTTCACAGAGGGGTCGGAGGAGGTGAGATACAGACGACCACGGGAGCGGGGACGAGGGATGTTAGGGGTCATGCAGAAGGCATTGATGGGCTCGTCGTATCCCAGACGAGCGGTGTTAAGGGTGAAGGGAATCTGGTAGCAGTGCATCATCAAGTCGGCGGCACGGCCGTCGGAGCCGGCGGCGTTGGGAAGCTCACGGCGCAGGAATATACCGGCATCAGAGTCCATGGTGGTTTGGTTCGGGGGAACGGGCTGGTTGAGCTCCCACATGATGATCGACTCGGGGTGATCAAGCAGGTTCTCACCGACACCGGGAATGTCCTTAATGACAGGGATGTTCAGAGCAGATAGCTGCTCACGGGGACCCAGGCCTGACAGCATCATCAGACGGGGCGTGTCGACGGCACCGGCGCAAAGAATGGTCTCCTTTTTAGCACGCAAGATATGGGTCACACCGGACTGCAGGGTAACGTTGACACCAGTGACGACGTCACCCTCAATGTTGAGCTTGGAGACCCAGGCGTTGGTGAGAATGGTCAGGTTAGGACGCTTTTCCTCACCGCGCAGGATAGGGTGGATGTAAGCCACACTGGCACTGCTTCGACGGCCGTCATCTGGATTGTAGGAAACGTTGAAGAAGCCGACACCCTCGGTCAGCTCACCGTTCTTGCGAATATCGTCGTTGAAGTTCTCAATGACGGGGATTTTCATGGCACTGGAACAGGCCTGAACCCAATCCTTGCACAGCTGGTTGCGGTGACGAGCATGCACCGGCTGAATAGTGTTGCGCAGGCCATCAATGATACGGGTGAAGGTCTCAAAGTCCCAGCCCTTGCAGCCCTTGGCAACCCATTTCTTGCAGTCATACTCGAAGGGACGGAACGAGATCAGCGTGTTATGGCTAGAGCAACCACCCAGCACCTTGGCGCGAGAGTGACGGATGTGACTGTTGCCTAGAAGCCGTTAGTTGGGGAGGGACATTCTCAATGCTTGTTCCGGAAGAAGTACCGTTAGGCTGCTCGACAGTACCGTAGTCGTAGTCGAGCTCACCGCCAAGGAGATTCAGCCACTCCTTCAAGTTGAGCACACGGTCATCCATGAAGTCACTCGGGCCACCTTCAATGACCAGAGTCCGCTTATTGGGGAGGTACTGAGCCAGGCGTGCCGCAATGACACAGCCGGCAGTACCGCCACCCACTACGATATAGTCGTAGCTGTTAATGTCGACAGCAGGAATTTCGTTGGTGGTAGCCATGTTGCGTAGGCAGAAAAAATGGATGGAAGAAAAAGAAAAAGAAAAGACCGTAACTTTAAAGCGTAGGGCGGATGGTATGATAATTCAAGATCCGATCTCAATCGACCAGCCCGATTCGGATCGCGTGCTTTTTTTTTTTTTTACGTTTCTTTGCATTGGAAAGCGGATCAATTGGGCGATGTGACTGGTGGCGATCTCACCTGGGTGGAGCCCTTCTTAGATAAGACAAATTGGATCCACTTGAGGCACAACGCAAATGGTTTCCGGGTAATGCGGGATCTACGAAGTTCGAATGGGGAAGGCGGTTAGAGAAGAAGAGAAAGGGAAGGGAAATTAGGGGAACAGGAACAGAGAGGAGCTCATTCCGATGAAACACAATCAGCCATGATTATAATGTCGGGCAGTCACAGTCTACTTCACGAAATTTCATATTCAGACTGGTTACGTCATTGCTCTCCCCGCGACGGTATTCCGTAGTTAGTGCGACAATCCACCCCGGAGCTCGGCGCTGGTGAGACCACAACGGAGTCAAACGCCCTGCAAAGTTACGACCTTGGCGAATTCTCTTGCCGCATTGAAGCCTCCCCGCAGCCACGCAAAGAACCGGCGTTGCAAAAATTTTACAAGTGGAGTCGCCCGGCAACCTTTTTTAGCTTCCTGGTCCACGTCCAAGGCGGTGTAGAGAGGCAAGTCCGAGAGATTATCTTTCTTCTATCATTCTCAATTCTGTACTACACTGGCACCAATGGCTCTCTCTTTTCCGCCTCGTGAGCTCTACTACGACGGCCAGGCTCGCGCCGCCTCGTCGGGAAAAATCTTCCAAACAATCAATCCCGCCACCGCAACTCCGTTGGCCGATATCCAGGTGGCCTCCAACGCCGATATCGATGCCGCAGTTGCTTCCGGCGAGCGCGCATTCCCTGGCTGGTCCCAGACTCCTCCCATTGTGCGTGCGCGCATTCTACACAAGGCCGCTCTTCTCCTGCGTGAGCGTAATGACGAGATTGCCCGTGTCGAGACTTTGGATTCCGGCAAGGCTTTCACCGAGACCAGCACCGTCGATGTGGTGACTGGCGCTGACGTACTGGAATATTATGCCAACTTCATCGGTGGCGGTGGTCTGAATGGCGAGACTACACAGTTGCGCGAGGATGCTTGGGTGTATACCAAGAAAGCCGCTCTGGGTGTCTGCGCCGGGATTGGTGCTTGGAACTACCCCATCCAGATGTGAGTGTTTTCCCCACGTTTGTCGCCTTCATGACCGGCCGAATAACAAATGACCCGCTTAGTGCTCTCTGGAAATCCGCAGCCTGTCTTGCTGCAGGTAATACTATGGTCTACAAGGCGAGTGAATTTACTCCTCTCCACGCCCAAACTCTCGCCGAGATCTACACCGAGGCTGGTCTCCCCGCAGGTGTCTTCAACGTGGTCAATGGCGCTGGTGATGTGGGCGCCTACTTGACAAACCACCCCTCCATCGCCAAAGTATCCTTCACTGGTCAGGTCTCAACTGGTAAGAAGGTGGCAGGCTCCGCGGCCGGCAACATGAAGTACGTGACCATGGAGCTGGGTGGCAAGAGCCCCCTCATCGTCTGCCCCGACGCAGACCTGGAGAACGCGGTCGATGGTGCCATGATGGCCAACTTCTACAGCACCGGTCAGGTCTGCACCAACGGTACTCGTGTCTTCGTTCCGCGTGCTATGAAGGCTGCCTTTGAGAAGCGCTTGCTCGAGAAGATCCCTTACGTGCGGGCTGGTCCCCTCTTCGATGAGCAGACCAACTTTGGTCCCTTGAGCTCCAAGTCTCACTACGAAAAGGTCATCTCTTACATCCGCTACGGTATCGAGTGGGACCGAGCCACCCTACTCTGCGGTGGCCCTGATAAGCCTCACGTGCCCCAGGACCTGCAGGCCGGCTACTGGGTGAAACCCACTGTCTTCACTGACTGCACTGACTCCATGCGCATTGTGCAGGAGGAGATCTTTGGTCCCGTCATGTCCATCTTGTATTACGATACTGTCGAGGAGGCCGTCGTACGTGCCAATACCACCGATCTCGGCCTCGCTGCTGGTGTCTTCACCAAGGATCTGAACCAGGCTCACCGTGTGATTGATCAGCTTCAGGCTGGTATCACATGGATCAACACTTGGGGTGAAAGCCCCGCGGAGATGGCCGTCGGTGGCTGGAAAAACAGTGGTCTGGGTGTGGAGAACGGCCGCCGTGGTATTGAGGCCTGGGTGCAGAACAAGAGCACTGTAGTCGAGATGAGTGGTATTGTGGCCAGTGTCTTCGCCAAGTTGTAAAATTTTTTATACACGATGTGATGCATGCATGAACCCAAGCGGTCGCGGATAGAATACGTTCAAAATGGTGCGGTTAATATCAAAGCATTTAATCTTACTGCCACATGACGCCAAGTCATTATTTGTATGCCTTGATTTAAACACCTAGATGACATTGGATGCACTTTGGAGAGGACACTGAGTGCGTTGGCTTATCTAACAGTCCTCACCACCGAATAAGGGAAAAAAAACTCCTCGACCAATTCCTGTAAGCATAAAAGGCCATGCAGCACAAAACTTGAAACGCGTAAGAAAGAAATGACCCTCAATTCCGGTATCCCAGGCAATTAGCGAAAGAAAATAGCACGATTCAAAACAGAAGAAAAAACGCCGATTGACTGCACGTTTGCCGCCAGTCTATGAGATAGGTGTCATTCTAGCACCCATGCGATCAAAGATCAGGTCGTTCTTGAGAGCACTGTCAAGACCCACGGCCGAGTCGACCATGCGCGAGGACATGCTGTCCGGAGTGAGTTCATCGTCCTCGTGAGAACGGTAGAGCTCGGTGTTAATGCGCAAGTCCTTAGGTACCTTCTCAGGGGTCCTGTCGGGAGTGGGCTGCTGCTTGGAAGCGGTCTTTTTCGCAGGCAATGGGGCGGAGGCATAAGTACGGGGACGGTAGACCATAGCAGGTCCCTGGGTGCGGGCATCCGTACCGGCCTGTTCAATTGATTCGAAGTACCGAACAGTCTTGACCTTGAGCTCCAGAGTGGCATCACGGTCACAGACAATCAGCGGGTGCTGGTGCAGTTGCAGGGCAGAGAGAGTCCACATGTGGTTGACACCTTCCTCGAGGCCCTTTTGCACGGCAAATGCCTTGTGAGCACCGGTGGCGACAATCACCACCTCGCGAGCATCCATGATGGTTTGGATTCCGACGGTCATCGCCATGCGCGGCACCTTTGTCACATCATTGTCGAAAAAGCGGGAATTGGCCAGGATAGTGTCGTATGCGAGGGTCTTGACTCGGGTACGGCTGCTGAGGGAGGAGCCAGGCTCGTTGAATGCAATGTGGCCGTCCGGCCCGACGCCACCCAGGAAAAGCTCGATACCGCCATAGCGGGCAATGCGTGCGTCGAAGGAAGCACACTCGGCGATCAGATCGGTGGCGTTGCCATCAAGAATATTGATGTTATGGGGCGGGATGTCCACGTGCGAGAAGAAATGCTTGTACATAAAGCTGTGGTAGGACTCGGGATGGTCACGAGGCAGACCGACGTATTCATCCTACCGCATTGAATCAGTCACTGTCACTCATGCTTTGTACCGCGCATTGGCGCATCAGCGTAAAGCGGGCCGCCTACCATGTTGAACGTCACCACATTCTTGAACGAGATCTCGCCGGCGCGGTGACGCTGTACCAGGATCTTGTAAATGATCTCAGGGCTACTGCCAGTGGGCAGGCCCAGCACGAACGGGTTGCTCTCAGTCGGGTTGAAAGCCTTGATGCGGCCTAGAATGAAGCCTTTAGTAAGTATCGCGAGTGGGGTCGCGCGCGTCTCTCTCTCGAGCCCACTTACTGACGATGTACTCGGCGATGTACACCGAGGCCGACTTGGGGTCTTCTCTGATGATAACACGCCTGATCGTTCAGTTAACCAGAGAATACGCGAGATTGGAAGAGGACATTGCATACATGGTGGTTACGTCAGCGGGCAAAGACTCAAATCGTCAAAGGCTGATAAGGTCGAGGGTAAGAGTAAGGGTGCTTGTGGATGTATGTTTTCTAAGGGGGGAGAAGGAAAGAAGGTAGAGGGGTGATCAAAAGTAAAAGACCTAAGTCAAGGTAAAAGATAGTGAAGTGCCCACGGGTTACGTCGAGTGTACGACAGTAACAAAGATTAACGGGCATCGTAGTACGAGGCGAAGACCAGGCTCCGCTGTGACTTGTTCGAGTCTACCACCACGTCTTGTCGCATTGCGCCCATGGCCCACACTATAGGTGACGTCTGCCGAATTGGGCCCTCAAATCTGCCTGATTGAGCACACGAGATAGCAAGTGGAAATCTCATTCGTCTGTCAACGAAGGAGCCCGTCCGCATTGTGCAGTGCCATGTGGTGGCCAACAACAGAGCCAAAACGGACGTCGATGACGCAGTGATTGATAGATGAAGAGAGATTATGATTGGTAGGACACCTTCCAGAAATGGGAATGGGAATGAAGTGTCAGCGAAAGAAGGTTCCATCGCGAGCAGAAGTTGCATCCGGTGAAGTCGGCACCGAGTAGAAAAAACCTGGGGGAGAATCCACCTTTGGGACTGGGTGCAACCTTGCAGCGTCGTAGTGAGATACCGTACAGGACCGTATTGTATTGATACCACGTGATGTCAACTGTCAGTCGGGAAGTGTCAAGTTTACCTAATACTGTGATCTCGAATGGGGACCAGGGCTATGTTCGAGGGTCTTGTGCTGGGCTTTTTGTTTTCTTTTCCTCCCATGATCTTGGCTTTTACTCTCTAGTGGTTTTTTTCTTCTCTCTTTCTTTTGTTTCTAGGTCTAGGTTGTGTAATTTGACCCCGGCCAGTGGTTCTCCAGACTATCCCAGGATCAACTCGTAGATAATGACGCGCGCGGATAAGGGCCGCCTTCCGCCCTATCTGACCTTATCGTAACCTTCCCCGATTGCGGCTCTGGAGCTTCCCACCAGCAAACCCGTCTTAGCCCGAGTTCAAACCAAAGCCATTCAAGTCTGACACGCCTGAGGCACAAGCGCTTATTTCCCATCCACCCCCTCACATCACCTGACTGCGAACTCGGAGCTCACGCGTGTTCAGCTATTCCGGGGTTTCGCACCAAACGCAAGGTTGATCCCGCTTGCAGCCCCGTCTCGTGCGGATTCCTACGCTGCATCCTACCTGTCGGGCCCTGCTGGCATTCCTCCCCCAGGGCCATGGCCCCGAAAGAGGACATGTTGCCCCCGGGCTGGGAGGATCTAGACAGGTATGTTGATCGCCTTTTCCGGAGCCATGCGCCCGATTCCAAGCCTTGCCCTGCACCTCCCTTCGGCTTCGGGCGTACTCCCCCATCTCCACGCCTGCGTCGCTGTGGAACCCCAGTGGTCCTTCCTCGGGAGATTTAGACTATTGCCTATTTTGGAAAAATTGACACCTGATGCTGGCTAAGAACAATGTGCTGACGTGCCATGCGGCGCAGGCAAATGGGCCAGCTCTTTATGATGGGCTTCGATGGGACCTCAGTCAGCCCACAGGTCCGCTCTCTCATTGAGGACTACCACTTGGGCTCCGTCCTCTTGTCGGCTAAGAATCTCAAATGTAATCCTAGTCTCCTTACTTCTTTCCTAGGGCCTGTGCCATCAGAGTACTGATTCAAATTAATAGCTGCTGAAGAGGCCACCCGGCTGGTGCTCGAGCTGCAGACCATTGCCCATGAGGCCGGACACCCCGTACCACTACTCATTGCATTGGATCAGGAGAATGGCGGTGTCAACAGTTTGTATGACGAGATATACGTCCGCCAATTCCCGAGTGCCATGGGCATCGCGGCCACCGGGTCAAAGGCTCTGGCTCACGAAGTTGCCGTCGCTACAGGCCAAGAACTCAAGGCCGTCGGAGTCAATTGGATCCTGGGCCCTGTGCTCGACGTCTTGACCAATGGTCGAAATCAGCCCCTGGGCGTCCGTACCACAGGTGACGACCCCCAGGAAGTATCTCAGTACGGGGTGCAATATATGACAGGGTATCAGAAAGCAGGGCTTGCGACTTGCGGCAAACACTTTCCTTCCTATGGGAATCTGGAATTTCTCGGATCTCATACAGATGTACCCATCATTACGGAATCTCTGGAACAACTCAGTTTAACCGCGTTGGTGCCTTTCCGTAATGCCATCATGCACGGATTGGACGGCATGATGGTAGGGGGCGTCTCCATGTCATCAGCGGGGATGAATGTTATGCATGCCTGCTTGAGTGACCAAGTAGTGGACGAGCTACTCCGAAAGGACCTCAAGTTCCAAGGGGTGGTCGTCTCCGAATGCTTGGAGATGGAGGCATTAACTCACAACATCGGAGTGGGAGGCGGAACAGTCATGGCGAAGAACGCAGGGTGCGATATTATCCTTCTATGCCGATCGTTCCCAGTGCAGCAGGAGGCAATCAACGGACTAAAGCTGGGCGTGGAAAACGGTATCATCGGTCGAAATCGAATAGAGCAGTCATTGCGACGCGTTCTGAGCCTCAAGTCACGATGCACTTCATGGGAGCAGGCACTCAACCCGCCCGGCCTACTCTCGCTCACCCAGATGCAACCATCTCACACCAACCTCTCCACACGTGCATACAACAACTCTATTACGGTGATGCGAGACAAGAACAACCTTCTTCCTCTCTCGAACACCATTGACGCCGACGAGGAGCTTTTGCTCTTGACTCCCTTGGTCAAGCCGCTCGCCGCTTCAGGAGTCACGCTCGCCGCTAATGATAACACACATGGCCCCATTGATCCCTCAACGCTAGATAGGACCACCTCGGTGATGACAGGAGAGAATGTCTTCAAAGAATTGGGGAGATCTCTCTCGCGACAGAGGAGCGGCCGTGTATTGCACACCTCGTACACCTCGAATGGAGTGCGTCCAATTCACGAAGATCTCATCAAACGAGCGAGCGCAGTCATTGTGGTCACAGCAGATGCCAATCGCAACCTGTATCAACAAGCCTTCTCGAAGCACGTGTCGTTGATCTGCCAGTCACAGTGTACGCCGTCTGGCGAGCGATGCGAGAAACCTTTGATCGTGGTGGCAGTGAGCTCGCCCTATGACTTTGCCACGGATGCTTCTATAGGCACGTACGTGTGCACATATGACTTCACTGAGACGGCGCTGCAGGCGCTAGTCAAGATTTTATACGGCGAGCTGACGCCCACGGGGGTACTGCCCGGTTCGATTAGTCGCAGCCAGAAAATTCATCAATCGCGCCAGCACTGGCTTGTTGAGAATTGGAACGAGGAACGTGACGCTGCTGCGCTGGATGCCCTTCTGGACGCGATTCGGGAAGACTGTGTGCAGGGTCAACGGTCCGAGCTCCTCGGTGCGACCTCTAACAGCTTCCTTTTGCGCAAGGAGGATATTGACGAGGCGCACTTTGTGGTCCGTAACAGCAGCACGCAAGCGCTCTATGGGTTCTGTGCCACCTACTTCTTTCGGTCAACTGGCACCGGCGTCATCGGGTGTCTGATCGTCGATCCGGCCCGGCGGAAGCTTTCCATCGGGCACTCCCTTCACAGCCGTGCCATCCGCACTCTTCTCCAGCGCAAGGGCCTGAAGCGGTTCCAGCTCGGGTCCCGACTGCCCGGCATCTACCTGGGCATCCCAACCGTCAGTCCTGTTGAACGTAAACGACTGCGCCAGTGGTTTGCGGACCTTGGATGGAACACAGCTCTCTCGCGTCCCGTCTGCAGTGTGGTACTGCGCAACTTGGGGACGTGGACGGCCCCTGACGGCCTGACGGCAACTTTGCAGAATGCCGAGGTCATCTACGATCTGGTCTACGGGTGGGACTTTGCGCGTGCGATCCTCGACCACATCCGCACCAATGCGCGGCAGGGCGTCACAGACATCTACCGCATTGCCCTGGGTGGAGCCCCCAATTGTGGCATCATCCGGGCTAAGCGCTCTTCGGACGAGATGATGCTCGGCAGTATCGTGATATACAACGAGCGGTCAGCATTGGCCGAGCACATGCCCGCTCTTCGCGCGACCCCGCCACCCGTTGGGGGCATCTCGTCGCCCGTGGTTTCTCCGTATGCGGAAGACTATTCGACCGTCATGCAGGGGCTGATCCTGCTGGCGATTAAACAAATCCGCAAGTTGAATGCCAATGCTGTCGTGATGGACTGTGTACGTGATCAGACGATATTTCCTGCTCATTTCGGAGCTAGGCTAACAGGAACACTAGGTGGATGGCGATGGCAATTTTGACTGCCTTTCCTCGATGGGTTTCAGCATGCTCCACAGTTTTGAGGAGGTCAACTGCGATGCAGCCAGCTGGACGATGATGCACGCATCGTAGACCCTGCCCTAGGAGGGTTTTCAAGTCTTTTCTCTTTTCTCTTGTCTCTTTCTCTTGTCTCTTTCTCTTTCTCTTTCTCTTTCTTCTTCTATACTGTTGCTTGTTTCTTTTCTTTTTGCTGTTTCTCTATTTCTGCGGCTCCTGTGGCTTGTTTCTGGTTCTCGCATATATGATATCCATTTGGCATTTTGGTTCGGGATCGGGGGATTAGGCTTCGCGATGCAGGTACCTGTGTCAGTCTAGGAGTTTCATGAGAGGAAGGAAATCCCCAGGTTATTCTGGACTCGCATTGTGCATATTATCGCCACGGAGCACAAGAGAGCCTAATGTGGGTGGGACAGGCAGTCTGGACGGCGTCCACTTAGACGAATCTGACATCATATTCCTTCTATTTTCTATTTGATTTTTTTTAGTTTATTCTTTTTATTCTTTTTATTCTTTTTGGGATCTCTTTCGTTTCTTGATGTTTACTGTTTTTTTGGGCTGGTCGAGTGCGCCGGTCAAGGGACGTGTCGATCACGGGAGATCCGCGATGGTGTCTCATTCCGAGGCCAGCGTTGGCCAGTTACCCACGAGAGCCGAAGGTCGACCGTCGAGAGGGCGGAGTGGAGCCCGCGAGGCAGCCATAAAACGGCCGGCTACGAGTGGACCGGACGTCCGTAGGACCCTGCGTCTCTTCATCTACCCGAAGTGGGCTGAGACGGACTCCGCTCAGAAGGTCCACGCCTCCACATTGGGGAACTCCGTGCGAGGGAAACTAAGGAACTAAGGAACTACTGGGGCACAATCGCCCTGTCTGGTTTTAGTCTCATGTTCCCGGGTCGATAAACATGTAGCTTGAGAGATCAGTTGATCGCGATCGACCTGGAAGTGATCGTGGTCCCCGACCGTTAGGAGCTAGCACATTGCACATTGCACATTGCACCAGGCTCATTGAGCTTGGAAGATGGAAATCCTCTCCGGGCGCTCGGGCGTCGGAACCACACTTGCATCCGGGGCTCTCGCTTCGGGAATTCACTCTTTCCTGAAGTGGGAACGCCCCCTCTACTAGAGTTTGGCGAAGAACCAAATCCCTCGGTGATTGACGACTACCAGTTTTGCATGGGCAAGGGTCAAAATGGGAATGGTCCACATTCTTGATCTCCGTTCTGGGACTCTGAAGTCGTGATTCGAGCCCAATGCATCGATAGCGGTGATCAGCGGTCATTTTGGCGAGTCAAACAAAGATTCCCCCAAAAGGAGAGGACATAAGCAATAGCGAAGTAACGAGAAGCGAGCAGTGAGCAGTGAGCAGTGAGCAGTGAGCCCTAGACAACACAACACCCGATCGTTACGCACCAGTCATTATACCCATGTACTCGACACTCGACACTCGACACTCGACACTCGACATATTTTCACATCACAATGTAGCGGGTCTTGCCGCCTCGCCATCTTCAGGTCCACTTCAAAGCTTGAGGCCTAAGCGAATCACCATCCGAGCTTGCCCAGGGCCGTGCATGCGAAGCCCGGGGATAATTCAAATCGGGTAAATGCACGGGAGATTGTGAAATCGGCAGTCCTGGTTTCACAGCCCGTGATGCCGTTGAACGGTGACTTGATCACGGCCATGTCCGCTTCCTTTCTTCCCCCTCCCTGCTGGACTGTCGCCTGAACAGATCGAGTTTCGACTATCGACCGTCGACTGGATGCGTCCAGGGCCCCCCCGGCTCCGCTCTGGGTTTTGCCCGTTCGCGGACCAGTGCACGATCGCGTCCTCCCAATTCGACATTTCCACTCGGTCCACTCTGATCCACTTGGTCCATCGTCGGGCTTCATTGGCCCCCCGACCCTAGTCTAGCCCCCTCATCGCCAGACTCCCTATCTGCATGTCAGACGGTCCCCATGTTGATCGGCCGTGGCAAGTCTGGTCCTGTTCTTCCGTGCAATTCGAGGACTCTATCTTGTATGACCCTATTCTATTTTCGTTGTGGACCTACCAAATGTAAAATCAAACCATAAAACTTCACTGGGCGCTGTCGGGCCCAACGCCACCCTTTCAACCTCGTAAGCGTGGGCGTTGGCTGTTGAATCCGGACAGGACGCCTCGATACGGCAGGTGGGTTCATAGTTCTTCAGTGATCTTCAGGGCCCTCTGGATATTTGGAGGCTGCCGAGAGCCGACAATCGCGTCTGACTGAAGCGAAAGCCTGGCAAGCCTGGACATGGCCCTAAGGATAAGAACAATCGCAGCTTAAAGTAGAAAAACCCGTCTTCGTTCTCCGCATAAACCGCGGCTCCACTTTTCCCCGAATCCGTCGGCGCATCCGCAACGCATTCCATGTTTCCCCCCCCCCTCAACCTCTCCTTCCCTTCTCCCCCTGACCTCTTCCTCTTGCCTTCTACCACTGCCCGCGCCATGGAGGGCTTCGATACCATGGCCATGCCGCCCTATCTGGCCAGTCCGCTGTCTCTTGGCAATCTTCAGGGCGACTATCTCAATGCCATGCCTGGCCTCGACATGACCGATCACCGGTCCAACTTTGATTCAGACACCTTTGTCAGGTACGTATCATGACCCTCCGCTCATGGAAACACCGGTCTTCTCCCCCCCACGCCGGGGCAGGTTGCCGGTACGGCATCTTGGCGTTCGTGCGATCGTGCGCTAACCTCGGTTCCTAGTGAGGACCTCACCTTTACTCAAAGTAGTCTGCCGCACTCGTTGAAACGATATCCCTCGGGCTACGATGACCCTTTTACCGACATGGTCGCTCCGTTTGACCCGGTGCCGCCAGAGCAGCCCCAGGACTCGTCGATCGATCACAACAATAAGCTGCTGAGTTTCTCGTTACCCGCTTATCCCTTCACCCTTTTGGACTATTCCATGCGACGCACTTCCCTGTCCGTGTCCGCGCAATTACACGGCATGTTTTTCCTGGCCGAATCGCCATATACGACATCGCCTTCCGAAAATGCTCCCCCTCAGCAGGGTGCCGAGTTGACCTGTTATCGTCGCAACTTGTTCCAGATCACCGGCTCCGTCACTTTGCCCCGAGGCATGCGGTATATCATGACCGATCAGGGCGATCGAATTCCCATTCTGGCTCAAGAACTCACCGTGTCGGCTACCGAATCAGTCGAGGGTAACCCTGTGAAGATCATCTCCGTGCCGTGGAAGACGCCCTCGGCAGCCGCGGCCAACTCCGGTACAGCTCTCGAGGAAAGCGGCGCGGGCAGCGCGGCCAAGGTCGAGAAGGAACCTCCGCCCATTCCCCTGGATATCATGGCCGGTCAAGATCTGGACACCGACTACGCAACATTTCCCATTGCATGGAAACGTCTGCAGTTCCGAGTAGCAACCGCGAACAACGGACGCCGAAAGGAGCTACAGCAGCATTTTGTCGTGAGGCTCAAGGTCGTGGCAACCCTGTCCACCGGTGCCAAAATCGCCATCTCAGAGGTACATTCGGGGCCGGTCATCGTTCGTGGCCGCAGCCCACGTAACTTCCAGTCTCGCAAGGATCTCCCGCTCAGCGGTAGCGCGGCCGCATCACGGAAGAACCAGGCCAACTCGGCGGCCGCACTGAACCGTACACCGACCAATGAGTCCGCACCCCGTCGTGCCAGCGTGACCCCAGCCAAGACCAAGGTGCCCTCCGGGACAGTACAGAGCAGCTCGCCCGAGATGACGTCCGTTCCTCCCCCGACGCTCATGCAACAGCCGCATGCGACGCCAGACTGGACCACGATCCCTCAATCCACGCCCAACATCATGTCCCATGGTCACCAGTCTCTCTTCCCTCACTCCAGTCCCGAACAACTCTCCCAGGTGGACCAGCACCGCCGCGTCAGTAGTATAGCCTCGGCCGCCGCGCCGATTAATTTGTCTCTGCTAGACGAGGAAGATCCTGGGGACGCAGGCCTGCACCTTGACCAGAAGATCATGCCACCCTACCCGAGTGAAATGCCCCAGCACCGTTCCATCAGCATGGATCAAACGGCACCACCGATCAAGATGCGCAAGCTATCCCATGCGGTTTCCCAAACCCCATCTCGAAGCGCTACTTCATCACTGCCGCTACTGGAAACCGCCCATCTGCCCCAGCAATTCGTCTCCTCGCTGCCCTTCCCGAAACGAAAGTACTGATTTCCTTTACGAGTACTTTCCTCTCGGCCTGGACGACTGGCAGACCCCCGTCGACGCCGTTTACAGGCCCCATGTGGTCCACCATACGAACATGCCCGAGATGAAGTTTGTTGCCTCAAGGGGCCGCAGCAAGCGGTATTTCGCCGCCGAGGATGTCTTCTAATTCTTATCAGCTCACTGGGCGCTCGGTCGGCGTTAAATTTTATTTTTTTTTCTACTTTTTTTTTAAGGGAGACGGGGCGAGAGGGGTTATTTGTTTTCCTTTTTTTTGGGGGTTTCAATTTTGGGGTTGGGGTTGGGGTTGGGTTAGGGTCGCATCTGCATCTGCACATCTGGGGGGTAATTCGGTTCAAGCTCCTGTCACCTTTAGAATCTTCTCTTTGCTGGAGAGAAGTATGTTTTATGTTACGCTGCTTTTATGGGGTTGTTGGGTCTGGCCTGATCTGGTCCAGGGGTGATTTCCCCCCTCTCATGTTTCTTTTTCTTCTATCACCAGGTGCAAACTCGGCGATTGTGGCGCGCTGCGGAGTTTTATGCGTTTTGTTTCTGGAGGTTTGGTCCTCACTCGAAAGAGCTTGTCCTTCAGTTCCGAGGGTTGCTGGGCCACTACGACGGGACTGGATTTTTGAGGTTTTCTGCGGGTCTTCTCTTGGTTCTTGGTGCTTGGTTATATCCCATCGTGTTATGATGTTACGCTGCTGTTCATCGCGCTCGATCCTGAGCCGATGGCCGCTTTATATCTCTGGCAGCCCAGGATCTTTAGTCTGAAAACGAAACTTCACATTGTTGATGAATATCCTCCTCTTAGCCGTTCGCGAGGTAGCTTGTCATATGACGCGCGGTATGTATCCTAGTGAATGATGATGCTGTTGCTCGTATGGATACACCACTGGAAGTACTAGGTGGGTCCACTAGTAGGGGACCGTCACGATCGAGCAGGTTGGGGTGGAAATTCCAGGACGAATCAACGAGTATAGCTACACATGTATGTCTATCTACACATAGCCCAGTCCGTCTCCACCAACAGTCTCTAGATCGGCTCTGATTTCCCATTCCTTGGCGCCGATCCGACCCGCGATCTCCGCCTGGCGTTGTTTCCCTAGGCTCAGCCACTGACGCAGCAAGTTTCCATCAATCATGCCTCGGCCACCGGCCCCGTCGCTTTCAACAGCCCGGAATGCACGAGGATTCAGTCCGCAGGGATGTTCGATGGTGTTGGTCAACTGAGATTGTAGAGCTGACAGTCGACGGTAAGATTCTTCGGTAACGGATGTGACCAATGCTAGAGATCCGTTCTGCGAGGTGATCAAGACGTGGTGTCTGGACAGGTCTTTGTCCACGTCCATCTCATCGTCGTTCGATTCCACCAATTCGGACGTCACCGGAGTACGGGGCAGTAGAGTCACTGTCGAGGCAAAGTTGCCGGTGTAGAACTTACTCCGGTTGAGCAGTCGGTCACCATTGGAAGATTTGGGATCTTGAGATGGGTCAGTAAGGTTTCATCATTCCACATATGGCCTGTAATTTCATCACGCACCTTCGGGGTCGTACTGCAGAACATGGAGGTTGCAATCCGAGTCCGCAACCAGCATATAGAGCTTATTCCCGTCCGGCAGGAAATCCGCCGCCGCCACCTCCAGGTAGTCTGGGTCTTTGCCGAAGAGTGTCATCTTGTACGGTTCTTCCTGCAATGGAGGTTAGTGCAGTCTCAACAAACGCATCCAAGTGGTATCCTACCGAATAGCCTGCAAACCAGATGCCTTTGACGGCATCGCCAAGGATACACATCCCTGTGCCTTTGAGTTCCTTGGCGACGTTTACATAGCAAAGCATATCCATGAAGGCCACGGGAAGAAGGCTACCGTCTTCCTTGAGACCTCGAACCATACACTTTTGTCCCTGGGCCACAATGATGAAGCCCTGGCTGCCAATGCCCGACAGTGCCGTTACGGCACCCTTCACGGTCTCCTTGCCAACCAGCTTCAATTTCCGTCCAGTTTCTGGTTGGCCTGGTTCCGGAACAACTTCGATCACCTCAAAAACGTAGATACACCCGCGGGACGGAATATCTTCGCCTTTAGCAATAGCCGTTCCCACAACAATAAGGTCTTTCCTCTCGTGTGTGTTTTCGGAAATCTCCAAATTCACATTTTTAACCGCTGTTATATGCTCTGCACATTCCAGAGGATAAGTATCGATCACGGCCCAAGTTTTGGGGCTGACAACTTTCACAGAGCTCTGAGGGACCTCAGGCAAAAATGTTATTGACTCCATGCGCCACTCCGGATGCAACTCGTCGTCCTCTGGTAACTTGAAGCCGACCTTGGAGCTGGTCCCGAGGACATAGGTATTGGATGATGTCGAGTAGGTCAAGAAGTCGACTTGCTCTTCCATGGGGATCTTGCGTAGTGTCCATGGGTAGTCGAACTGAGTATCTGGGGGTAATTGACAAGCACGAACCCAATTATCGGAATCGACGTAGATGAAACCATTCTCACAGCCGATAGACGACGAGTGAAAGCCACTCATCCATCGCGTGAACTCGCCACGAAGTCGCACGAGGTGTGGCGAGCTTGCAGCAGTCTTTAACAAAAATCCAGCAGAACTTCCAGGTAGAAAAACGGTGGAAAGCCCGGCAACGTCACGCAAAACTCGCAATGGCCTTGTCCCCCGCTTTTCCTCCAGCAAGCTAGATGATTCCCCCGATGTGACATTGGACAAGCTATGGTTGGCCTCGCGGAAAAATCGCAGGTCTTGCATTAATCTATTCTCGACCTCCACTGGTATGAAGACAGGCTTGTAGACAGCCAGGTCATCGTTGACGGTTCGCACCTGATGTATAAATTAGATATAGGATAAGGTATTGGACAAAGGGGGTCGTACGATCAGATATGGCGAATGAGCCCAACGATCACCGAGATCCGCGACAAGGACCTCGTTCAAGAGTTCTCGAGAATTTGACCTGCGAGGCGGCTCTGCTGACAAGACAGGCTGTAAGCAGTCAACGCCATCAATGACGGACAAAATTACCATGTCTGAAAGCCTGAAGATCTGTGGTTTGTTTGTTGGTCATTGGACTTCTATGCTTGAAAGAGATGGATAGACTTACTGAGACTTTATTGTCCATGCTTAGCAAGAAGATCAAGACATTTTCTTTGGCAGCATTTGGCGATGGGTGACACTTGCCGAATGCTTCATGCTTGTCATTATATAGACAGGTCGATCGCCATTTTGATGATGAGATCTCATCTGGAAGTGATACCTCGTCAAGGTCACCACTGTCATCTGCTTGAAGAACCAACAGGGAGGAATCGTCCCGTAGAATCGCAAGGTAAGGATCCACGAAGCTTGCGCTTACTGCTAGACGCTCTTCGTCGGTGTCCTCATCCCAAATGGGATAAATTTGGGCTAGCCCAAGGTCTAATTGATTCAGATGTTAGTAAACAGCCAACAAGAAAACTGTTGAATCTAAGTCTCACCAATATCATAGCTTCTGACTTCATTTCGTAGGACTTGGACAAGACGAGTATTGTCAGCTAACGCTCCGATATTGATGGTTCGGTCTTCATTAGGATTAAACTCGGGAGCTTTGAAAGACTCGAGGTCTTGCCCTTCAATTTTCAGGACCTCGGAAATTTCCTTTTCTGATCCGCTGAGTCTCGAAACAATCACATAATGCTGGAAGGAATTTTCTTCTAACGGATCACCACTTTTGGCAAGACTGCCTCTCTCCGAGGCCACGGAGACCGACCACACCCCATTGGCATCTTCGATCTTCATAGAAATGGAGGTGACGGGGTCAATTTCCCTTTTAATGACAGCCAGGCCACCGGCACGACCGGAGCCTTGTGATGCCAAAAGCTCCAACTCGGCGGAAACGCCTTCAATAGCGGAGTTATTGGTATTTTTGGTTGCTGGAAAAGCTTGTCCTAGTGTGATATCCCGTAGGGAGCCAGTGCTGGTCAGTCGATCATTCAGACGGAAATGATAGAGCTCAGAGGTCGGTATTTCGGGAACCATGCGTGGGTCGGCCTGATTGGATTCGGGCACTGAAGAGTAAAGATCATCCTCATAAACATCGTCATCTAATTGGTCATTGTCTGAAAATTCTTCGACACTGTCATTGGCCCTTTTGGACTCATTTCGTGCCTTCTTAGCAGATAGTGAGGAAGTAGACCATCCCAAAAGGACCGAATCCGAATCTTCGCTACCGATAAAGATATTCCCATCGCCAATGCAAGTGGAGCATGATGCGGCCGACTTCAAAAGATCTCCACCAACCTGGGGTGGCAGTGGGTGAACTGTCATGCCTGACACAGACCGCCCATCCAGCTTAAATTTGATCAGTGCCATTTCCCCGGAGGCAAGAGCAAGAAGAAGATCGCCGCTATCACGACCTAGTCGTTCAACGACACATCCCTCGAGACGGAAAGCGAGATCGGATTGATCACTCATTGAGAAAGATGACATTTGCCTGGAAAATTCATTCACGCCCACCGCGTTGGTTTTACCCGCCTGGTCAACATGTACGATCTCGTTGGAACCGACAAGGAGGGCCCCCCCCCACGGGAGGTGGGAGTGCCACTATCTTGAACAAATCACTGGGAAGCCGGGTCACCGACAGTAGAGTTGTGGATGCACGTTGCTCTAGGTCTAGAGTAAAGACGGTGTAGAACATCACATCCTTTCTTTCGTGAAGCAGAGCATTGGAAGTTGCGATTTGAGAATACAAAATGCCGAAAGTCGGCTCCCTATATTCGTAAAGAAATGCAAGACTGACGGGATGTAACAACGAAGGATCCAATGCTGTTAACGGCAGAACAAAGGAGGCAGCATAAGGGGTTTGATGCCCTGAGCCGTCTTTGGATTTCTCGACACCAGTCGACCTTTCTTGGGTCCTGTCAGGACGCTCTCCATCCAGCTCCGAGTCATAGTCATCCATGACCAAGTCATCACCAGCCTGGTGAAAAGGCAGAATGGCAAGGTTACGGACACCGAAATTGAAAACGGCACATCGGCTGCTTGGATCCACGCTGAGAATACTCTCACAGCGGCTTAGGTCAGGCACCCAGGGGTTACGAGTGAGGTCCTCTCTTTCGTAGTAATGGATAGAGACCGTGGAAATGCCATGGCGCTCAGGGTCCCACTCGACCAAGCTGAGTTTGGCATTACGAACAGCAAGTAAAATGGCTTCTCCGCCGCTCTTCGTGATTAAGGGCTTCACTCGGCTGATATCAGTCACTGTCCCCGGAAGGTGATACTCCTCTCTCTAGGACCAATTTCGTCTCCGGTTGGTGGGAGGCTGACGGGCTGGTCTCTGTGCTTTCTCCTGTCCGCCAAGAGGTTGGGTCGCGAAGTGAAAAAACCTGCAGTAGCGACGACCGGACCACAATCAGATTTTTAGCAGTAGCGGAGACAAAAGGTAGTGCCAAGGCATGAGTGACCCCCGTCGGGGGTAGCAATTCCGTATAACACTGCATTGTGAAAAACCCAGCACCTCGAGGTCTTCGGATTGCTCTAATGACCTAGTTAATGAGGCGAGTAGAGCCGCCAATGTACATGGCAGCTCAGCGAATTCAAGAAATCAGGAATCAAATTCCAAAATCAATGGGAGAGGAGGAAGTATAAAGTGAAGCGCAAGACAGGGCGGATTCCCGACAAATTCCCCATCACGTGGTTGCTACCCAAACGGGCTTAGTTAATGACGACAGGCGCGTCGCAGTTTACTTCGACTTTCTCACCTTGGAATTGCGAAACCTGAGAAGCTTTCTCTCTTGCTTCAAACTATCCCCGGCTTCTTGAAATACCTTATGTGAGATCGCAATCACAATTGCGATCGCGACTCCCTAATATGGCGCTCCTCCAAATATCCTTGATCTGGATCGTGTATGCTGTCGTCATAGCTATCTTGCTCGCGGTGGCATCGGTATTCATTTTTGTTTATCAAACCCCGCGTGACCGTTCTCCCTCTGTAACTTTGACGTGCATTATTGCTATCACCTGTCTCCTGGCCACGGTTCTTCTGCTTCCTGTTGATGTGGCACTGGTTTCATCGACTACTTCGTCCAAGTTGGGCCGACGGAAAGACTGGGCTACTCAGGATGCCGTCGACAACATTACCTATTCTCTCACCATCGTCTATTACTTCCTCTACTCCTTGGATGCATTGCTATGTCTACTGGTCATTCCCTTTACGTATTTCTGGTACGAAGAATACGATGAGGTGGCCATCGAGGCAGGCGAGCAGACACCCGGGCAGCGCTTCTGGGGCGCTCTCAAGTACACTCTCTCGTTCGTTGCCATCCTGGTCATAATTTTCCTAGTCGGATTTCTTGTACCTGTCTCCAATGGAAAGAACGATATGGATTTGGATTACTTCAAGCACCTGTTGACTGAGAACCGTGCGTATTTTCTTCCAATCTTTCTGATACTCAATCAAACTGACATAAAAGAAGATGGCGAGCGCGCCCTGACATTTGCTCTCGGGCTTCTGATGACACTGGGATTATGCCTGTATGTCCTGTATACTTCGTCAGGGCTTGCTTTGCTTCCTATTGGTCTTATCAAGACAGCTCCTTCTATCTCCAGCCCCACGTTGCGAGCAAGCACTGCTCGACAACTTGAGACCAACCAAGAACGACAGAGACAGCTTGAAGGCCGTTGTGGGGGCAACCCCGAGCTTCTTTCTTCAAAAGACCGCAGAGAGCTTGACACTCTTACTCGTGAGGAAAGGACATTGATCAGGCGACAACGTCTCGTTGAAGAAACGCAAGGCGAAGGACACGGCTGGTTGATGCGGGCATGGTATAAGGTCGGAGCATTTCTTCGCCCCTTTAAGCTCCTCGGGGGTATTCTACTGCTCCTGCTCGCATTCTTGACGTGGCTGTCCATGCTCCTGACGGCCATCGACAAAGCAACAAACTCGGTTTGCAAGCACCGCTGTGGATACATCCTTGGGCACGTCAATATTTTTAATCCGGTCAACTGGGCTCTCGTTCAATCTGCCAAAGTCTTCCCCGTCGACTATGCCATCTTTACGTTGCTTGTCTTACTGATGTTCTCCAGCTCGGTTGTTGGTATTGCCACTATAGGTATCCGCTTTCTTTGGATTAGGATCTTCCAAATTCGAAAAGGCCATACTTCACCTCAGGCTTTGCTCTTAGCAACCTCTATGTTAATGCTGATCATTTTGGCACTCAATTATTCTGTTTCCATGCTGGTAGCTCCGCAATATGCGACATTTGGCCCACAAACCTTCTGTGACCGCGCAACGACATCTCCACTGGAACAGCCTGATTGCTCTGACAGCAGAGATCTCATTAAGCCGTGTTCTGAAACAGCAGCACATCCCGCCGCACAGCAAGTGTGCACCCCCAGCGTTGTCAGCACCTTCCTGAATCGCGTCACGCTCAATTATCCCTTCTTCGGCGTCGTGTTTTTCTGGGCCCAGTTCTTCTTCCTCGGTAAGAGACCCAATTCCTCAGCTCTTCGCTACGCCCAAGGATGATGTTTGTTAATCATCTTGATAGGAATATACCTGATCATCTTCGTTGCCTTACTATTCCGCTCACCAAGATTGGATGAGAGGCAACTTGACGAGGATGCTGAAGAAGCTGAAGAAGAAGGCTTGCTGGCTACTACAGGTAGACGATTCAATGCGACTTGGCAGGATATTACGGGCCGTGCTGGCCAGGGTGTTCGTCAAGATGGTCACTCTTCTGAATGATAATTTGTGTGACGAAGGGGCATTCGTCAAAAAAGTACCACTGCAAGTCGGCATTTGTTCCCTTCAATTCGGCAATTTCATTTGTATCAATTTTCATAATTTTGGACGCCATCATTATGATCCACCAACGCTGAGGCTATGCCTGGATAATAAACACATGGCCTCTAACGACCCGATGATATTTCATAGCCCGTTCAATAAGATTCTCTGGCATATTCAATCAATGCACCGAAGCTCCCGTTCCGACCCACTGGACCCAATAGCACAATTCCGTGTCATGACTCAGATTTTGAGCTGACCATTGAGCAAGGCTAGAGCGCTCTGGAATGCCTTTACAACCTCCATGTCTACCACGACATTGTGTCAGGGCCCACGCCGAGAGAGAGTGGTACGAAGTTGAGACTTACAATGTGTTTTCTTGCTTTCCACGATGATTTCGGAATTTTGCACATGCTGCATCTGCGTCTTGAACCTGTCCGGTGTTAGAATGTCACTCGCGATCGGCCTTTCCTAGAGACTGCATACCGTTTCAGGGCTCGTTGTTCATCCTGTAGCACGGTAGTCTGAGACCACGCTGTAAAAACCTAGTTGTCAAGGTGTCAGAGTGAAAGAACTCATGTACACATCGGAGGCGATCTTACCTCGAGCAGCTTTGCCGTCTCCACACGAATATCCTCTTCCACACGGCTATGCTCATTCATGGCATCCTGGTATTTTTCCTCCAACTGCTTCCAGTCACATTCTTGAAGGCCCTTTGTAAGGCGAGAGACAAGAGGAAATTCGGCATTGATAGCAGAGTTGGCGGACGCGGGACTGGTTTCCTGAACCGCCTCAATAGCAAGGGCGGAAGCACCTGGTCATTTTGGTAACCCATCGACTCCATGTGGGGTGATTCAAGCGAAACAGTTCAGGAAGAAGGGCATGGGGCTACACGGGAGCAGGCGCCTGGAAAGCCAAGTCATCTGTTCACGCGGCCGTTTCGATATACAAAAGAATGGTTGGGCCCGCGTCAGGTGACGACATACAGTGCCAACTCCGACTGACGTTCGCTTGCCCATCATCCTACTCTACGCTCATTGAAAGTGGCTCAAGCAGCTTCCACCATGGAAATGCGACTCTCTAATTCTCCTTGACTACTCACGATCATCTGCGATGAGCTGTCACATATGCGCCACCGCCTACTCCCATTCCCGCTTGCTCTGTCCAACATGCGCCCGCAATCGGCTCTACCGGCCACGACTGGAAATTACCCAACTTCTTCTGCGGAAAGAAGTCATAGGAAGCCAGGTTGAAGCATCTCTTTCATTTGATGCGACCCCATCTCAGTCTGTGCCGACTGAATCGAACCGCCCGCGGACTGATCATGAGAGCTCTCGATGGTGGACTGTAGAGGCCATCTCCAGCCAGCAAGCGGCTTTCTCAAGTACGAAGGAAGATATCAACCGACAGGTCAAGGCCTTGAAGGAGGAAATCAAGGTTAAAAAGTCTCATATCTCGGAGCGCAAGGCAGCTTTGTCCCGCAGGCGCTCCGATGCGGAATCAGCGCGGTATCAGCTGGAGGAGCGGGAGGCTGTGACTTTAACAGCCATCCAAAACACAAGCAAAAGAACAGAGCATCTTTGGCACTCTTTGCATAGTAAAACAGCAGAAGCTCGGATCTTTCTGTGTCGGGAGGCTGCTCATCTCTACGGCCTACGGCAAAAGACTTCGAGGAGCAATGACGCCCGGGTGACATACGTGCTCGGAGGAATTTCACTGGTAGACCTGAGGGACATGAATGGAAAGTCTTTTTTCACGTCGGCCTTCTGTCTTCTGCCATGATATACTAACACAAGTACAGGTGCCACGCCAGCGCAAATCTGCACCTCACTCTCCAACATTGCTCGACTTCTTGTCCTCGTCTCGCACTACCTTTCTCTAAGGCTCCCTGCTGAGATCACGCTTCCACACAAAGACCATCCTATTCCCACGATATACTCTCCTGCGGCATCCTATCAATCGCATGAACTACCGGATGGAGTCTGCGCCCCTCGATCAGCGACATCGAGTCCCACGACATCGAAGACAGGAGAAACTCGAGCTCAGCCGCGACCTCGGCCGTTGTTCATTGACAAAGCTCTTCCTCGGCTAGCAAAAGAAGATCCTGAAACATATGCTCTGTTTCTTGAAGGGGCCACCCTCCTCGCTTGGGATGTCGCGTGGCTGTGCCGAACGCAAGGAATCAACCTAGTGTCGGACTCGTGGGAAGATGTTTGCAATATTGGTCAGAGCATGTGGCAGGTACTGGTCGCCCCGCCAGCCCAAACGTCCAATTTGATGCGCGCTTTTGCCGGCCGAGACACACAGGCCCGGTTGAAATCCACTAAAGACACCCCACAAACGACTATCCAGCGGACAAAGTCATTCCCTATGCTAGGCCACTACTCTCACGGCACGGCACACTCTTTCCTCGGGGCATCCGAAGGTACTGAGTTTATACGATCATGGAAGCTCCCGACTCCAATGAAGATTGCGGACAAATTGAGATCCAACCTTCTTGGAGAAATGGCAAGCGCAGAATGGGAATTTTTGGAAGAGAAGGAATGGGACGATGGCTCTGCAGAGGCCCATCAACCGGCAGTACCGATGGAGAGCAATGAATTACAAGTCTCGAGCTTGTCCACCACCCACGCCAACCCATGTGGATTTTCAAAAAATTCGAGCTCTCCAAATAAGGCAGACGAAGCTCGTCGGCCTAAAGGCACGAGTGGCTGGATGAAGCTCAACAGTAGATAAAACGGTATGCCGATGGCAGACGGTTTGGAGGCTCTTCTTTCGTCTGATTCGCAAAATAGACATACAAGCTTACATAACAATATTCAGCTTCTCCCATATATGTATTCATCTAGTTCCATAAAATCGGATGCACTATCTGAAATGACCTGTTTCGGGTCTTTGATCCCTGGGATAAAGGCCGCGTGGAGTGACTAAGCATCCGATAAGGTTAAAGTGATGTGCGTGGCCCGAGTCCCTCCGCTTATTCGCAATGACATTATGCTCCCGGCAGCGGGATCTCCTGGACAGCTGTCAACACTTTGATAACTCCGCATTGTGCATTACCCGAGGCCAATCCCGCGAACTGGCCTTGGTCACATCATTGCAAACCTCTTCGACGGTGTGAAGCAGCATCCGGGACATGTGGCCTGAGTTCAACACCACTCAAACTTCCCGGAACAAAAATGCAAATTGCCCAGGCATGGCAAACTGCAGGCGAGGGATCTCTTGGTCAGCTGCCCTGAAGACTGGTAACTTTTTCAAGCCTCGCTAAGACAACCCACAGACTTCAGGCGTGCTCTCCCCGCCCTCTCGGATATTCCCGAGTCTCTCCTGAGAGCCGAGCTCCTGCGGCGAGGCGGGACTCACTCCAGAAATTCGGCAGATGCACCATCATGTGGCTCACGGGAGCGAGGTGCCTATAATACGCCTCTACATGTAATGGCTCTATTCCTCATTTTGGGGCTAAGTACCTTCGGTATGCGCCGCTTTCTTCACCTCCCTACTACGAGAACAGGTTGCTAATGGTCGATGCGCTAAACAGCATGCTCGTTCCCGGTGCTTGCCCGCCGCTTCCTCGTCTTCCTATTCCGCGCCGGTTCCTGTTCATCTCGAGACACTTCGGAACCGGTGTTCTGATCGCTACGGCATTCGTACACTTGCTGCCGACAGCCTTTGTTTCCTTGACCGATCCATGTCTCCCTCGATTCTGGAGTCAGACATATCGCGCAATGGCAGGGTTCGTCGCGATGATATCTGTCTTTGCCGTCGTTATCCTGGAGATGTTCTTTGCCATGAAAGGCGCCGGGCATGTTCATGGGAATGAGTATGACACGCTTATCGGCGATATGGGCCGCGAATCCCTGGAGGCTTTCAGACAACCCGCTCCCAGCTACTCGAGATTGGAGTCCCGAGACGCCTCGGGCAACATTCGCCTGGAAGGATTAAGTCAAGATGGTCAAGAGGATGATAACGAAGCAGCTCCTGGTTCGTCATACGAATTCCAACGGCCAAGCTTGACCGGGTCTCGTCCGGATAAAGAAGATGATGATGCGGATGTCGATGGTCTTGATGCGTATGCCGATGATGTTCCGGTAAACGGACAGGCGCTACCATCTTCTCGGTCTCACCTTCGTCACCGGCCGCAAATTAATGGTCATCATCGATCGCACACCGAATCTGACATACCGATGCAGAATCCACAGCGCCAGCTCTTACAGTGTCTTCTTTTGGAGGCTGGAATTCTGTTTCACAGTATCTTTATTGGCATGGCACTTAGTGTCGCCACGGGCACGTCTTTCATTGTGCTCCTTATCGCCATCAGTTTCCATCAAACCTTCGAAGGGTTTGCTTTGGGGTCAAGAATAGCATCGCTCATTCCTGATCTTTTTTCGCCAAACTCTATGAAGCCCTGGCTCATGTCACTGGCCTACGGAACAACTACGCCTCTTGGCCAGGCCATCGGGCTTGTCTTGCATAATCTTTATGATCCCGCTAGCACTACGGGCCTGCTCATGGTTGGTATCACGAACGCCATTAGTAGCGGCCTCTTACTTTTCGCGGGTCTTGTTGAACTTCTTGCAGAGGATTTCTTGAGTGAATCCAGTTACGAGACTCTGAAAGGGAGGCGGCGCGTCGAAGCTTGTATTTCCGTTGCTTGCGGAGCCCTCTTGATGGCGTTCGTCGGGGCATTCGCTTAATGAATGATAGTGACGGCATGCTTGGAAATCTCTCGCTTGACTGTTCAGATTTGACATCATAGACTCTTTACAAGCATTTCAAACTCAATCGTTGTACCAAGGTCCAATAAAACCCTTCCAATTTGCTGGACATAGAGTACCTAGGCATGTGAAGCCGAATTATGCACTGCTTCCCATTTCTTGAGTGGATAACTCGATTGTGGCCAGAACTGATCTCGAACTCGTCGGCAATAAAAAAGGGATGAGAGAGAAGAAGAGAAAGAGAAAGAAGGGAGGCATAAGGTTAGATGATTTATTACTAGCTTCAAATTGGTGTATTCCAATATCTATTTCCAACAAAAGGTCGATTGGTATTTTTTCCACGTATGAATGGAAGTCATGTCGTATCCGTACATCATCATTATGAGAGCTCTTTAAAGAAGGGACTCAATCACCAGGGCACTCGCCCCACCGCCACCATTGCAGATGCCGACGCAGCCGAGCTTACCCTGCTTCGCCTTCAAGACACCGATCAGGGTAGACACAATACGGGCACCACTGGCGCCCAGAGGGTGACCGATGGCCACGGCACCGCCGTGGATGTTGACCTTTTCCTCGGAAAGGCCAAGCAGCTTCATATTGGCAAGGGCCACAACACTGAATGCCTCGTTGATCTCAAAGGCATCAATAGACTCTTGAGTCACGCCAGCGTGCTTGAGAGCCTTGGGGATGGCCAATGCGGGCGCAGTAGTGAACTTGTTGGGCTGTTGAGCAGCATCGCCCCAGCCTAGGATTTTGGCAATAGGCTTCAGGCCGAGTTCCTTCATCTTGGCCTCGGAAACCAGGACAACTGCGGCAGCACCGTCATTGAGCGGGGACGAGTTGGGAGCAGTCACAGTGCCGGTACCGGGAATGAATGCGGGCTTCATGGCACGCAGCTTGTCGGGGTTAAGCTAGAAAAGGAATGGCAGTCAGGAAAGGGTCAAAAACAGGTGAACCAGAGGCAAACTTACATTCTTGGGCTCATCATCCTGAGAAACAGTCACACCGGGCTTGCCACGGAAGCCGGGGATCTCAATAGGGGCAATCTCGTAGTCAAAGACACCGGCCTTCTGAGCAGCCTGAGCCTTCTCGTAGGTGCGGATAGCATAGTCGTCCTGCTGTTCGCGGTTGAAGCCGTGGTCTTGAGCACACTCCTCAGCCTGCAAACCCATGAGTTCCTGCTTGCCATAAGCATCCTGCAGACCGTCCTTCATAATCCCGTCCACCATGTTCTGATTGCCGTACTTGGCTCCGGTGCGAAGACTGGGCAGATAGTGAGGGGTATTCGACATGGATTCGGCGCCACCAGCGACGACAACATCGGCGTTTCCTGTCATGATGGTCTGGGCGCCGAGGATGATGGCCTTCAGGCCGGAGGCGCAGACCTTGTTCACGGTGGTGCAGACGGTGGAGTCGGGGAGACCAGCGCCAATGGCACATTGGCGGGCAGGGTTCTGGCCAACGCTATTTGAGAAAATTAGCTTCAAGAGAAGCAATTGCGCACGGTTTTTTCTGTCACATACCCAGCGGACAAGACATTGCCGAAAAAGACCTCCTCGACATCAGAGGCATTGATACCCTCGGCACGCTCAACAGCAGCTGGCAGGGACCGTTAGCAAGGGGCAAGGGCAAGATCAATAGCAATAAGTGGCATACCCTTGATGGCGTGGGCACCAAGCTTGGGGGCAGTCAAGCTGGACAGGGAGCTAGATCACACAAGTCAGCTGCCGTGAACGGGGACTATGAGATGAACATACCCAAGGAATGAGCCCACAGGCGTACGGGCGTGAGATACGATATAGACGGGAGGAAGAGAGGACATGTTGGCGGAATACAATTGAGAGAGAATTGAAGAAGAGGAAGAGTAAGAAAGAAGGAAGAGCCGAAGAAAAGGAAGAGGGGCAGATCACTTTTATAGTGGGGAGTGAGGAGGTGTACGGTGTAGGCGCGAGTACTTGCCAGACGCTCGGGCCAAGTGAAAGTTGCGAACCTCCAGCTTTCTCCGGCGTCACGCCAGCACCGATTCGGGGTTTCTGCTCTATTTTGCGCCGACCCCGTCCCACGTCTTCCAATAAATCATGGATGATCTCTACGACGAGTAAGTCTTCTGTTCCCTTCGAATTGTGGTTCCTGCCAGCTAATATGGGCTTAGGTTTGGTAACTACATCGGCGAGGCCGAGTCCGACGAGGAGCAACATGACCAGGTCCCACCGGCCTTCAAGTTCGACGAAGCGTTCGATGATGACAACGAAGAGGAAGAGGTCAATGACCAGCAATTAATGGAGGTCGATGGTAAGTTGCGCGCTCCTTTGCAAGAAAATTCCTCCAACTGCGAACTGAACCGCGTCTCGTGCAGATGGCCCTTCAAACGCTGTTATCTTGCACGAAGACAAGCAGTATTATCCTAGCGCACAACAAATCTATGGTGTCGATGTCGAGACTCTGGTCCAGGAGGAAGATGCACAGCCGCTGTCCGAACCGATCATCGCTCCCGTTCAGCAGAAGAAATTTGCGATCGCGGAAACAGAGCTCCCACCCGTATACTTTTCTCGGGAATTCATGACAGATTTGCTCAGCTTTCCCGACCAAGTAAGGAATGTCGCTGTTGTGGGCCATTTACACCATGGAAAAACCGCGTTCATGGACATGCTTGTGAGACAGACACACGACCTGACGGCACGTCTTGAAAAGCGCATGGGCAAGCGCAAGGAGGAGCAGCTGCGTTATACCGATGTTTATTTCCTGGAGCGAGAGCGAGGTCTCTCTGTCAAGTCCGCGCCAATGAGCTTGGTTCTTCAAGGGACCAAAGGCAAATCCCACCTTGTCAATATCATCGATACCCCGGGACACGTGAACTTTGTGGACGAGGTAGCTGCATCCGTCCGATTGGCTGATGGCGTCGTCCTCGTGGTGGATGTTGTGGAGGGTGTCCAGTCCAACACGGAGCAAATCATCAAGCACGCAGTTTTGGAGGATCTTCCCTTGACTCTGGTCGTGAATAAGATGGACCGGCTGATTCTGGAGCTCAAGCTGCCCCCTAATGACGCTTATTTCAAGTTGAAACATGTAATTGAAGAGGTCAATACCGTCATTGAGAATATCTTGCCAGGCCAGGGTGAGCGGCGTCGCCTAAGCCCCGAGAAGGGAAATGTCGCATTTGCTTCAAGCTCCATGAACTGGTGCTTCACCTTGCAGTCCTTCGCTCGGATGTACGCAGACACTTATCCACGACTCGACTCGACTGAGTTTGCAGCTCGTTTGTGGGGAGACATCTTCTACGAATTCCCAAAGCCGAAAGTTCACTCGCAAGGGCATGGAAGAGAACTCCAAACGAGCATTTGTCAAATTTGTGCTGGAACCAATCTACAAACTCTATTCTCACACGATTAGTGAGAGCCCGGAAGATTTGAAAGAGACCCTGGCGAGTGTGGGTGTCAGCTTGAAGCCATCACAATTAAAGGCGGACGCGAAGGAGCTGCTAAATCTGGTTTGCGAGCAATTCTTTGGTCCCCCTACTGGTTTTGTCGATATGATAGTTCAGCACGTTCCTTCTCCGATTGATGGCGCCAAGAGGGTCTTGGAGAGGTATTACACTGGTCCTTTGGACACCAAGGTTGTGGATTCTATGACCACCTGTAACCAGGATGGTCCCTTGGTGGTCCACGTCACCAAGCTTTTCAGCAGCACCGACGCCACTGGTTTCTACTCATTTGGAAGGATCATGAGTGGCACGGCTCGGCCCGGCCAGCAAGTTCGCGTTCTCGGTGAAGGGTATACTCCTGAGGATGAGGAGGATATGGCCATCGCAACCATTTCAGACACTTACATCGCGGAGACTTGTTACAACATCTCCACTGACGGTGTTCCCGCAGGTAATTGGGTCCTCTTGGGTGGCGTGGACAATTCAATCGTCAAGACAGCCACCCTGGTCCCTCTCAAGCTAGATGATGATGAGGAGGTGCACATATTCCGGCCCATTCGACACATGACTGAGTCAGTCTTCAAGGTTGCCGTGGAGCCAGTCAACCCATCAGAATTGCCCAAGATGTTAGACGGTCTCCGCAAGATCAATAAGAGCTACCCTCTGATCTCCACTAAGGTTGAGGAGTCTGGTGAACATGTCGTCTTGGGTACGGGGGAACTCTATATGGATTGTGTTCTGCATGACCTGCGTCGACTGTACTCCGAGATGGAAATCAAGGTCTCGGACCCGGTCACTCGCTTCTGTGAAACGGTGGTCGAGACATCAGCAATGATGTGTTATTCGATCACCCCCAACAAGAAGAATAAGATCACCATGGTTGCAGAGCCGTTGGATGATGGGATCGCGGAAGATATTGAGAGCGGCAGAGTCAGCATCAAGGATCCGATCCGGAAGGTTGCTCGTTACTTTGAGGAAAACTATGATTGGGACAAGCTCGCAGCTCGCAGCATCTGGGCTTTTGGGCCCGATGAGATGGGTCCCAATGTTCTGCAGGACGACACATTACCCTCACAGGTGGATAAGAAGCTCCTTGGATCCGTACGGGACTCGATAACTCAAGGTTTCAGCTGGGGTACCAGAGAAGGCCCCCTTTGTGAAGAACGTGAGCAACATCTCCTCGATACTTTTTTTTAACCCTGCGTGCATAGACTGACATGATCCTTAGCCATTCGGAACACCAAATTCAGACTCACCGACGTCTCCCTCTCCGACCAGGCAATTTATCGCGGAGGCGGTCAAATTATCCCAACTGCTCGTCGTGCCGTGTACTCCTCCTTCCTTATGGCCTCCCCCCGTCTAATGGAACCCCTCTACTCTTGCACGATGACCGGGCCCGCTGATGCTGTTGCCTCGGTATATACTGTGCTGTCTCGCCGACGGGGCCACGTCCTGTCCGACGGGCCCATTGCTGGTACACCGCTGTACTCGGTGCGCGGCTTAATTCCGGTGATCGACTCGTTCGGATTCGAAACTGATCTTCGCATCCACACTCAGGGCCAGGCCATGGTCAGTCTGGCGTTCGAAAAGTGGAGCGTCGTTCCCGGTGACCCGCTGGACCGTGAGGTCAAATTGAAGCCTCTGGAGATGGCGGGCGCCATGGCCACGGCGCGAGACTTCGTCTTAAAGACGAGAAGGCGGAAGGGTCTCGCCGAGGACGTGACGGTGAGCAAGTTCCTCGAGCCGGAACTGTGGAAGGGACTGAAAGAAAGCGGCGTCTTGGACTCGTGATGCTTCCTGATGAGTGTAGACAGTCCCGAGAGAAATTAAAAAATAGGAAGAGGTTCCCGGAGCTACGGAGTCGCTTATGTTTTCTCTCCTTTTTCTTTTCTTGGGCATGCAATAGTCCATGTATTTTTTATGCTCAACCAGGTAACAGTCATTCCTGTGGGTACTTTTAATTCATGAGCCGGTTCGTAAGAGGTCAACAAGTGGTGTGCGCCGGGTGGTGTATTGGTACATTTCTCTCTCCAAGAACGTGTTCACTGGCACGTCTCCATCATCTTGGCGATGACCTGCATTAAAGCGCCATTCTCCAAGGCAGCAGCCACCCGCTCTTTATCTCCCAACTGCTTGTTTACCTCGTCGCCAGTGCTATGGGTTCCCTCCTTGATCCGCACATCGACTCGGTAGCGCGGGGAAGAGACTGCTCCAGTCGCACTCGAACGCCGAGTCCTATGACGGTTGCCAGACTGCAATGAGTGATTGTTGGGGTGATGAGGACGGTTACAGTCTGCAGGGGAGATCCGGGAACGTTGGGAAGTGTGGGTTTGATAAATATGTCAGGCAGGGAAACCACAGCCAACTCGCCTAACGAGAGGGGGTGTTCGGGGTCTGAGATGGATTTAATCAAGTCTATTGGAGTGAAAGAATAAGAAAAAGAACATCAAATACAAGATGGGTGGACGCTTACCATAGATCTCCTGCTCATCGATAGGCTCTTCGAGCAGGTCATCGTCCTCGGAGTCCGAGGAGAGAAAGTCGGCTGGGTTGGCGACGGCAGCAAAGATACCAGCCTTGAAATCCGCCTTTTTGATGGTGGATCGACATCTCGTGGGCAGATCGGCCGCGTTGAGAATCGTGGGGTTCGAGTTTTGCATTTCCGCCATGATCACTGTCGTAAAGGCACGATGTCTACACAAGGTAGAGGGGCAAAAAAAGGGCCGAGATAAGCTCTTATCGCACGTGCACATGTCGGGGGATCCTCGGCTTCTTCGCCTTAATTCTTTTTCATTCTTCCTCTCTACTTTCTTACCCTTTTGAGTCATCCCCACTGTCCACCATGGCCCTGGGACTGTTCGACGACCGGGACGTTGCCCTTAGGAATTCGGACGTAAGCATGAGCCTATAAGTGCGCCCTACTCCACCGGTCTTGTAACCATGGCGGTTCCAGTTCGTGGATTTCCTGAACCTATCGGTCCCACTCGGTGTGCTTAGGGGTTTCATTGCCACGAGGGCACCAATCTAATTGTCCATCGCGAGAGTGAGTTTCACGTTCATCTTGTTTTCCCTGTACTTTGTAGAAGCCCTGAAGCTCGGACCTGAGAGAAGGTTAACATTCACGTATCCCTTCCCCTTTCCTCTTATTGAAATTCAGCCACGGAGAAAAAGGTCCGGGGAGCAATAAGCCAAAAAAAAGAAATAGGATAAAAACCGCGGGTAAAGTAAAGTGGAGACGAGGATCATGGACCAGCTTCGGCCATCTCCCGGAACACTAGTTCGAGATTCCTCGGTATTGCTATAAGCCCATTAGCGTCGGAACGATATAACAGATCACCGTTAGATGAATGAGAGACACTCAGTATGATTTTCCGAATCTAACAACCGAGACTAGAATTATGGTCCAGAAAAGCAGGATCCGGATGAATACCCCCCCTCTGTCTCTCTCTGTCTTTTCTCTCCCCACTCGGCGAATCCACTACGCTATTGGATGCTCATCACCAACCTTGGCACACCCCTCTCAGCTTTCCCTCCTCCCTAATTCAAAGGTAACTACGACTTCTTTCCCCCCCCCCCCCCTCTCTTCCCCCCTACATGTCTCCACTATATCCCTGAATCTGCACGATGCCTCAAACTTTTCTTTCCGGGCACGTCCCGACTGACTAATTGTATGCCTCTGCCCCCGATCGCATGACTGGGCTGCTAACTCGTCGTCAGCCAGACCCGCGCCACACACTTGCCCCCGCCAATTTCTTTCTTGGGACCTGGATTGGTGGCTTGTCGCAACATACCGCCCTTGAATATATATTTTTGATACCTGTTCCTAATTGCGCGGGCCATTCTTTCCGAGCCCGCAACGTCAGCGGTGCTAAGCTTCGGGCCCGAAATCTCGACACTCCTTCTGGTACAAGCACGTCTTGCTGTGCTATTGGTATCGTCCCGGGGCAGGTCCTTGCGGATACGCTACCTCTTCGATCGCCCTCTCTCCATTGTGCGGTAGTCTCTCGCGCAACATGCAGAGCTACGCATTTGCGCCCCCGTCGGGGCCTCCCCGCGAGGGCCAGAAAAGTACATTTCCTCGTCCCCGATTCATTCGCCATGAGATAGGATCGGCTACTGACTATCGTATCCGTCTAGACTACGTATTCGTCGACGAACATAATCGACACAAGAGACTAAAGGGTAAGCGAGGCCCAGCACCGCATCACAACGTATGACTCCTATTCTAAGAGATGACAGTAATGCGGGCCTGCAATGGCTGTCGGAAGAGAAAGATCAAGTGTGATGCAGCCACAACCAATACATGGCCCTGCTCGGCATGTACGCGCCTCAAACTCGTCTGTGTTCCACCTACTATCGGACAGGACGGCGATTTTGGCCCCGATTCTCAGGGCATCGAATCTGACCCTGCAGATTCTTCTGGTGCTCCTGAGAGTTCTCACCACGCTTTTCCGGTGCCTCCTGCCTATCGAGATGGCAGCCAAGTGACCATGGGATCTATGCCTTCCTACGATGGAACAGGCATGTATCCTCACTTTGTGCACGCTCCCCAGAGTCAACCTGGAATCTATAATGACATTCGATCGCCCTCAATGGTCATGTCACACCAGTCATATTCACAGCCTCAAATGTTTACTGGGGCGCAGTCGTCTTCCATAGGAACCGACCGTGCCGTATTTGCCGAAAGTGACCCTTCAACCGCTGAAAATCTCAGTGACGTTCTTGGAGAGCTGAAAATTGATGAGACAGGCATTGGTATGGTCCGGTCACCCGGTTGTTGACCCCGACTTGCTGATATGCATTCTGTAGCCCCGTATATTAGAAGACAAAGAACGGACCGCATTGAGCCCGATGCACCTGTTCAAGATGACGTTGAGGAAAGACTTCCACCGCTCAGCACAGGTGCGGGTGCGACAATCCGAATTCCTCCCGAACTTATGCCCTCGGACGACGATGTGATGAATTACTTCCAAATATACTTTGATGAGATCCACCCTTACGTGCCTGTCATACCCCGGGCCCATCTATACTATCAATGGCAGAACGACCGCAGCTCCATCTCACCCCTTCTTCTTGAGGCCTTGTTTGCTTGTGCCGGCCGCTTATCTGACGAGCCGGCGGAGGGTGCTCAGTGGTTAGCTCTGGCAAACAGTGAGTCCACTCCCTCATGTTATATGCGAACCCTGCAGTTGCTGACTTGTATCTCACCTCTACCAGGGCATGAGACTAGCTTCATGGATGTTCCCCGTTTAAGTACCATTCAAGCCCTTCTTCTCTTACTGAAAGCGAGGGAGTCTTTGCCCAAAAAGGGCTATTACTATCGGTCCTGGCAGACCGTGAAGACAATTGTTTCCATGGCCAAGGATCTGGACATTCACGAGCATTACAGCACCCATTCCGAAGGAAGACCGTGTGAACTGAGCCCCATTGAATGCCTCGTGCATACTCGAGTATGGCAGGCACTTTTGGTGGTGGAGGTGATGATTGGAGCACCTCAAGGTAGGTCACAGTTCGGTGTTTGGTGTTCCAGGAATTTTTCATGGTCAAGAAACTAACATCACCTTAGGCCGCTCCGACTACGGTGTGGACCCTGAAACAGTTGACATGCGTCCGACACTAGACATCAGGGGTCTCGATTCCTACGAGATAGAGCGATCTCGACAGTATGCCTTTTTCGTTCGGAATGCACATCATATCCGCATCATTACGGATATCTATCACAAGGTTAAGAAACAGAAGGATTGGGGAGCCAATCCTCAGTTTGTGCAGAGGAATCCGCTTTTTGCGGATTGGCTTCGTAATTTACCAGTCGACCTGCAGGTCAACTACCCGGCCGACGGCTCCCCTCCTTGGCTTCCCTCTCATTTCGTGGGCAATATGCATTCTCACTGTCATCTTGCAATAATTCTCCTGCACCGTCCGCAGCTTTTGGCCTCTCAATCCTTCGCAGCTGGGGGCGACTGGCGAGTCCATTTTTCCCTATGCTATTCCTCGGCAAAGAGTATCTGCCGGCTACAGGAAGCAATCCTTGAGAGATTTGGGCTTTCCGGTCTTCTTTACATGCAAAGGGGAATTAATTTCGCCATTTACTGTGTCCTCACCTGCACTATGCTTCATTTGGTAAGTAAGGCGAGGTCTTTGGCTTCCTGGTAGATAAAAGGGACCTCTCTCTGACGCTACATATGCAGATTGCAATTACTTCTCCCGATCCCGAATTTAACTCCGACGCTCGAGAATTCTTCACACGCCACATGCGCATCCTAGAGCGATGCTCCACCGCCTGGCCTATGCCCGAGATTCAGGCGCAGATCGATTCGTTGAAGCTGGCTTTTTCTGCTGACATCAATCGTCCCTTCGAGCTGAAACCGAGTTTCCCATACGGAAGTCCCTCGGAGCCCTATCAGCCTAGTCCGCCCATGGATGCCCATTATCATCCGCACCTGAATCAGGTGTCAAACAATGTCCAATCCAGAGTGGGTCTTAACGCACACCCCATTACTCCTCCGATTTCCGCTGGTGCTGAAGACTCGAAGTCCGACACATCCTCTCAGTTACAATCTTTTGGAATGGTGCACCATCAACCACCTACCACCCATCCTCTAGATGCTCCCTTGGTTGATGAAAACAGTTGGGATCCGACCCGCATTATCAAGTATGTGACGGACACTTAGGATTTTCTGGGCACTCGCTGACCTCCGTTCTTTTCTCCGCACAGTCAATGGGATATGGCATTCTCCGTGAACCCCTCCACAGTCTCCACCAACTCTCCCCCGATGCCCATGAGCAACACCCCGCAACCTATGTCGAGCATGGTGAATCACCAGTACCCAATTCAATACGATTCGCCTTCCAAGGTTACTGTTGCGCCGACTCAGTCTGTGTCACCGCCGCAGTTCCAGACGCCACAAGTCGTATTTAGCGCACGAGATTGGCAGCAAAGTGTGGCGAGTGTATATGATCCTCAGGGTCTAAAAAGAAGATGGAATTATTCGGTAGACCTTGGCGCTGACAACATGACCAAACGACGAGGCTAAGCCCGCGGGCCTCCTGCTCGACTTCGAATTAACCTTCCGCCTTGTCACCATTGGGTCCCTCGTGTACACTCGCTGTCACGCCATTAGAGGTGCCCACATGGACCTATTCTTTTTGCTTGTATCCTTGATTCCCCCTTCATTCTCCAGATCTCTCTCTTCAAGTAATTGTCTTGCGCCGCGGAGTATGCTCGGCGCTTTGGAACTACAACTGAACGGGGACAACTTCTATCATTGGTTGACTAAAAAGAAAGTCGGGTTCAAGAATCCTCTTGTACATCAAAATTATTATTGGTTTAAAGATACGCTGGATAGAGGCTCAAGAATCGACAGGTGTAATTCACTTGACTTCCATGATAACCTCCACCAAGCCTCAGTACTTCAAGAAAGTGAGTCTATTATAGTCCATGCTAGATGGCGGAACGCGGTCCTTCTGGCTTGCGACCTTGCGCTTCTTCCGTTCGTGGACGATTTTGAGGGACGGGATCAATCCCATGTCCTAATCCCCAATTGTTCATGATCAAAAGCTGGCTACCTCTGAAAGGGTGGAATCAAGGGAGAGTCGGTTGTGCGGCGACTTGTGCCTCGGGGCTTGGATTAGGGCGTGGATGGAAGAGTCGAGACACGCACAGCACATCCATCCAGTCAACCACGTCGACCGAGTCCGATCCTTTCCTCGCGAGATCGAACTATTCGCGCTTTGTCGCCCGGGAGCGGTTTCAATTCATCGCTTGGATCGAAGTTGGGATTGGAGTTGGTCTTCCCTTGGTCCGGGTGTTTATTTTCCAGAGTTCTGCGCAGCCGTGCCTCTTCAAAAGTTGCAATATCTTCGGGTGTTATCGTAATGGCCGTAGGCTTGCGGCGGAGCATGATGACGGTGAATGAGAGATTGAGGAATTAGAGGAGTCGCATGGTCGAGGTGATGGCGAAGGACTTTCCGGAGTCACGTGATATCACAGTCTTCCCAAAAAGTTGCACTTCCGTGTTCCGGCCTTCCACCACATCTTCGAGCACAAGATGATTCGGGCGCATATCAGGCAGATTGCCCTGCACGGGGACCGGGCTCGATTGGGGTTTTCCACAGCCGTCCGTCATTTTTCCGTCTCTCGGGTCGCTTTGGAAGGTCAGGACCAACCATCCCGTAGGTTATCCATGCACTTTGATACTCATGCCCTTCGATGCCCTTCATCACTATGGCCCTCACTCACTGGTTCAAATGACCTGTGTATCCTTCAACCATCGCTTACGATAGTCATGTCATAGGTCAAAGTGGACTAAGCCGAGGTCCGGCACCTTCACTATCTCGCGGTCCCCGAACATTGACAAAACCCTCAACATCTGGTGCCCAAAACCGAGGCCGCCCTGCCAAGGTCATTGATGCCAGGTCCTTTGCCGCACCGCGGGCGGGTGGTGACTCGCCCAAGATTATCCGCAATCCCAGACTCCGAAACATCCGACCCAGCAATCAGGCCCATGGTCGTAAGTCCAAATCCGCGACCTCGAAGAAAGCAGCTGCGAAGGGTCGAAAGCAACCTCGCTCTCGAGGCCCCAAAAAGTTCGAGGTGGATGAGGGTGAGGAGTTGTGTGCGGCCGAAATTCAACAGATCGAGCAGGACCAAGCAGCGAAGGCTCGACCAACCCCAGTCCGCTATGAGCCGCGGGAGATCAGCTTTTCTACATTGAAGGAGACTTGGCCTTCAATTCCCACGGATACCAATGCGCGCTCCGCTGCGGTCCTTGAAAAGCTCTCCGTTCTGAGTGGTCGTATTCCGAATGGATATATTCCGCCCTACGAGTTGGGAAGGCGGATCTGGAAGGGCCAGAACGTTATGTTTGAGAACGAGGCTGAAAAGACCGAGGCCATGGAAGAAGTCAAGCGCCTAGCTCAGCTCCAGGCAGACAAGATGTCTCAGCGAAAGGGAGACCTTGTGGAGCCTCGCGATGTCAAGTTCCGCGCCATCGATGCCGAAGACACGAGAACGTTGATGGAGACATTTGCCCAAGGGAAATACCCCACCCTTGAAGCTAGTAAGGACCAGTCAGCCGTCCTCGGCGAGGTCATCAGAAATCTCCGAAATAACGGGACCTACCAGACGGCGGGCAAGCGCCCCCAGTTTCTAGCCAAGGTCGAGTCCCTTTTGTCCTCGAGTCGTGTAAAGCGCACATGAACAACAATATGTATAATATGGGGGGTTTTTGCGGTTCAGCTCGTTTCTCTTCCCTGGGCGCCCTTGTTTCCATTCACCTGTGTCCCCTTTTTTTCTTTCATTTTGCGGGCTGAAAGTCCTGTACCTAGATTACAATGTAACTGTGACTAAAATACAAATGGGCAATTTCATGCCTGCTCCAGAGTCTTTCTTGCGGCCTCATACATGTCTTTCACATCTTTCTGGCCCTTGTCCGTAGCCTTTTCCATCTGATCGTGCGCCTTGCGGACATCGTCTGGACGGGCTAACTTCTTCTTCAGCATCTCTTGAAGTCGCCTGTGCAAGGCCCCTCTGGCATCACGAACAGTGCTTGCAGCCTTTTCGAACGCCTGTTTGGCAGCCCGGACGTTCTGGTCTCGGGATTCCTTTGTGGGTGGGGGGATGGGAATGTTCAGTTGGAGTGGATTATGGGCGTCCGACTGTGGAGTTAAGGAAAGGTTTGAAGATACGATCGCCGAGGTAAGCGGTTTGATATGCTGGAAAAGAAAGACTGGGGTTAGAACGCGAACCACAGGCGCGATAGGCGAAAAAGAGTCAACTCACCTCTTCCTCAGCCGCCAGAATGGTCACCATGCGCCCTCCTTTCGGTACGACCTGAGCGAGATCTCCCAGTCTGACCATATCCTGGACATCCTTGCTCAGCTGGACCTTTACACCCTCCAGGGACGCGGTATTAAATCGTCCTCCAGCGCGAAGTTTCGACAGGTCGTCCTTCAAACGAGAGATGGCGGTTGCGATGCCATTCTGCAATTTCGACTGATCAAAGGGATCTTCAGATGCCACGCTAGAGTTGGGAACTGGCTCAGGGGTTTGGGCATTTTTTGCCTTGTCTTTTTTTTTGTACAAAGCGGGGGAATTGCCAAAGCTCCGAGCTTGCCCGGGAGCTGGAGGACATAGGAGACAAAGTGGTTGAGAAGCCCGCAAAGGAGCCCGCAGAAGAAACCGTGGTAGCTGAGGTGTGATGCGCGGCATGGCGTGGGAGGTTAAAAGAAGGGGAAAGTTGAAAGAGGTACGTCGAAGATTGGTGTCGGAACATGAGAACCTAAAAAGGGCCTATGCATCTGATGCTTCAGTCCTTTGCCTTTTTTATCAGAACTCAACTATGCATCTTTACAGCTCCCTTTCGTTCCTTTCCTTGAAGTCTCCTTTGCAAGAAGGTCGAAATTCTCGTCACTAAAATATAGAACAGTACGAAGTGCAGTTCTAAGGAGTACGTCAAGACGGTATTAACGGAGTTCGTTACACATTAAATTTGCAACGTCGATCTTCGTCTACATAAGGCATACTTTTTGGAAACAAAGTAGGAAAGGAAATAGGAAAAAAAGGAATACTGCGCCCAATTTGCCCGGCTTCAAACACATAAGCATGGACCAACGCTGCCCCGAGAAAATCTATACGGGCGCGGGCGCAGGCCTGAAACCAACATTTCCGATGGGAGTCGTGATCCTATGTTCATCTCTTCGTTTAGCGGGTGGCCATGGCCTTGGTGATAAGGCGCTTGAGGGCCAACTCCTTCTTCTTGAGGTCCTCGGGGGTCGAGTCCTCGATCTCGAGCTGAGCCATGGCGTCGCTAAGGGCAGACTCAATCTTCTCCTTGTTACCGCGCTTGAGCTTCATCGACATGCCAGGGTCGGAGATGATCTCCTCGACACGAGAGATGTAAGACTCGAGCTGTTGGCGGGACTCGAACTTCTTGGTGAAAGCCTCGTCGCTGGACTTGAACTTAGCAGCATCTGCAAGATGGGTCAGCATCCTATCGGGATAATCATAAAACTCGGTAAAAACTTACCCTCAACCATCTGCTCAATCTCACCGCTGGAGAGCTTGCCGACGGCGTTGGAGATGGTGATGTTGGCAGTACGGCCGGAGGACTTCTCGGTGGCGGTGACCTTCAAGATACCGTTGACGTCGACCTCGAAGACACACTCCAGAGCGGCCTCACCGGCGCGCATGGGAGGAATGGGAGCCAGAGTGAACTCGCCGAGGGAGGTGTTGTCAGCGCAGTTGGTACGCTCACCCTGGAAGACAGGGAACTGGACAGTGGTCTGGTTGTCCACAACAGTGGTGAAGGTGCGCTTCTTGATGGTGGGGACAGTCTGGCCACGGTTGACGACCGGTGCGAAGATGTTGCCCTCCATAGCGACACCGAGGGAGAGAGGGACGACATCAAGGAGGAGAAGGTCAGCAGTCTCGGCGGAGGTGGCCTTGCCGGAGAGGATACCGGCTTGGACGGCAGCACCATATGCAACGGCCTCATCGGGATTAATGCTCTGTACAAGCTCGTTAGCCACTGTGAAAGATACCCCGTCAAGAATACGATTGGGCAAAGCATACCTTCTCAAGCTTCTTGCCGTCGAAGAAGTCGCTAAGCAGCTTCTGGATACGGGGAATACGGGTGGAACCACCGACGAGAACGATCTCGTCCACCTTCTTCTTCTCCATGCCGGAGTCCTTCAGAACCTGCTGGACTGGCTCCAGAGTGCCGGAGAAAGCCTTGGCGTTCAGGTCCTCGAAACGAGCACGAGTGATGGAGGAGTTGAAATCCTCACCATCGAAGAGAGAATCGATCTCAACAGTGGTCTGGGTGGCGTTAGAGAGAGTACGCTTGGCACGCTCGCAAGCAGTACGCAGGCGACGGAGAGCGCGGGCATCACCGGAAAGGTCCTTGCCGGTCTTGCGCTGGAACTCCTTCTTGAAGTGGTCCAAGAGGTTGGTATCAAAGTCCTGACCACCAAGGTGAGTGTCACCAGCGGTAGCCTTGACGGTGAAGACGCCACCCTGAATGTTCAGAAGGGACACATCGAAAGTACCACCACCCAGATCGTAGATCAGGACGTTGCGCTCCTTCTCAGTCTTGCCGGAGCCCAGACCGTAGGCGATAGCAGCAGCAGTAGGCTCGTTAATGATACGGAGAACGTTCAAACCGGCGATGGCACCGGCATCCTTGGTGGCCTGACGCTGATTGTCGTTGAAGTAGGCGGGAACAGTGATAACGGCCTTCTCGACAGTCTTGCCGAGCTTGGTCTCAGCAACCTCCTTCATCTGTTTCCGTTCGTTAAAATTAGGGATTCACGCACATTAAACTTTCACAACGTACCTTCATAAGGACCATGGAGGAAATCTCTTGGGGAGTGAAGGTCTTGTTCTCACCGAGGTACTCGACCTCGACAGCGGGGCTGCCACCCTGGTCGACAACCTTGAAGGGCCAGGACTCGACATCCTTCTTGACAATGGGATCATCCATGCGGCGACCAATCAGACGCCTATTTTTTTCAAGTCGTGTCAGGAACGGGAAAAAGGTATTTTGATTGTTGTACCAGAACTCACTTAATATCGAAGACGGTGTTCTTCGGGTTCATGGCGGCCTGGTTCTTGGCGGCCTCACCAATCAGACGCTCCTTGTCGGTGAAGGAGACAAAAGAGGGGGTGGTGTAGCTACCCTGGTCGTTGGCGACTTAACACTCGGTCAGTATACATAGCCCGAGAAACTTCAAGTTCAGAAAACGCACTAATCTCAACATTGGTGCCCTCGTAGTTGGCAACGCAAGAGTAGGTGGTGCCTAAATGTCAAAATAGTCAGTTCTGTAGCAAGTGAGGGAGATTGACAGAGAAACCGACCAAGATCGATACCGATCGCCCCGTCGTACACCGGAAGGTCCGCCATTGTGATATTGAGTTGGTGGTAATTGAGGAGTGGGAAAGGTGGGAAAGAGGGGGTTGTGGACGGGTCGAAATTTTTTATAAACGCTCTGCCACACATTGAAAGGCAGAAAAAACTTTTCGGAAGCGGTAGATCACGTGAGGAGGCGTGGGGTTCCACTTTGAAACTCGATTTTCGACTTACAAAGTTCAAACACACTTTGTGAATTAACGGATCCTGAAAATTCAAAGAAACTGAGAGGCAAATAATGAAAATTGTGCGATATGGAAAGGTCCCTATGATCTTATTATTCGCCGGTCGCTTTCGCTCCTTTACGGGTTTGAACATTTCCAGAATGACCCCTCCATCACCTCAACAGATTGAAAAAAATGGTCACTCGCTCGTAGTCCACATCAGAACCTGGAGGCCCAGATTTGGGAACCCCCCGAGCCGGTCCTGAAATTGCTTCTAGATCAACCTTGGTTGTGCCCGGGTAGAGTTGAATATCATACGCCAGCGCAGATGCTTCACCAGACGGGTGTAAACGTTGCATGTCCATTAAGGCCACAATCTTGACCTGCCGCTGGGCTGTCCCCACCGCCACTGTGGGCCTAACTCTCATCAAGTGGCACCACGAGGGAAGGCTGACAGTGACGGTCTGCTGGGAAAAGGTAGCAGACGGGGGTATGTCCAGACGCAGATCGCGTTCCAAAGACAACGAGGGATGAGTGATGATTTGAACGTTGCGAATCAAAGCTGAATGAGCATCTACAGCACGGTCAGCGCAATTTCGATCTTCAGTTGTTTTTTTGGTTCGGAATTGAGAACAACCCACTTTGGCCTGGTCGCCTCCAGAGAGAATCTAATGGTGATGGCTCATGGGCTTGCTGAAAGGGTGCTATTAGGGGGCAAATAGTCAGTAGAGGTGCGAAACAATGAGAATTTGATGGTACAGCCTTACCGTCGTTGGAGTGAAATCCGCTAGTCGAGTCTAAGGGGGAGCTGTGAAGGCCTTGGGAAGAACGTGTTTCGGCATGCTTGGAGTGTGCGATCGAATTCTCGTCCTCTATTGGGCCAGTCGGATCCCGTATATGAACGGGCACATTGTGTAATTGCTCTGAGGCAGATGGAGTCGTCGCAGCGCTGGATTTAGGACTTACCAAATGTCGTCGAAGTGACCTCGCTCGAGGAGATATTTGAGGCGTGTCAACGTCTTGACTTGCCGAACCGACCCTGACAAGGTCTTGTTGTCGTTTCAATGATTCATTATCAACTGTGACACCGGACGGCGGGCCGTCATCCTTCGAAGGCGTCTCGACGGTCTGCTCACGCATCTTCAGTGTTAACTTGGATGCCGCCGGCTCCAGATTCTTCGCCCCCATTTTTAATTTGATTCGAGGCGTTTCGGTTCCTTGGCGGCCGTCTACCTGAATAGTATCTGGAACGAGCTTTTTTGCTTCTGCGACCCGTCGTTTGAAATGTTCCTGGGTTCGACGTTAGTACGAAGAAGAAGAAAAAATGGTGCTGGACAAAGACATGCCTCCAGAACGCCAGCGAGAACCGAGATCTCGCTTCCGTCTTCGTTGTATTCTCTCGCATTCCGCCAGATATAGCTGACTTCTTCTTCAAAAGATTGCCATGTAGGGTACGCGGTCACTTTCGAGGGCTTCTTGCGGCTATCGGTGCCACGAACTTTCTTCTGAATACTCCGCAAGGACACTGGGTGGTGAATGATTTCATAGTAGTCTCGGTAGAGATTGCGATCGGGCTTGCCGATAAATGGATAGGCCACTTCTTCGCCACTTGACTATGTCAGCCGTCATGCACAGGTTGTCGTTCTGCGATACTCACTCCGCATCTCTCAACCGGGTTAAGTCCGACATGATCTTGTCTTGCGCTGCCTGAAGGCTGTCGCCCTCAAAGTTGACTTCGACCTCTTCCTCATCTTGGGAGACCGAGCTGCCACCAGCTTCATCCTCATCCACTGGATGAGATGACACAAGATTGGCTTCTTCATCGTCCACGAGGCCATCATCCTAGAACAAGAGTGCGTTAGTGATGTGAAAAGATGAAACTTGCGAAAAAAGTTTCTTGTTCACCGCACAGAGCGCTGCATAGCAAAAGGACTAAAAGTTTGATTGAGCTAAGGCGACTGCGCGCTGCGCATCGAGGGTAGCTCCAGCATAGAGGTTGGGGCTCGGAGCGCAAGAACGCAGCGACTTACAGACACTTTGCGGCGCTTCCCGCGGGTCCTCGGTTCAGGCGAAGCCGCAGCTGCCACGCGCCGTTTGGTACTCATTGTAAATAATGCGCGAAGTCGGATCGCAACCGCAATTGGGGGCAAGACAGGAAGGATGGGGCGAGTTCATACCTCTACGTGTGCAGACGCGCGCTGCGATCGTCCATGTGGAGCCCGCCGCCTTATGTAAGTATATAACGGGTACTTGTATTACAGTAATATACATTGCATCAGGTGCAACCAGACGACAAGAATGAAATGATACAGTATGGTAACACGGTTTAAGGAGTCCAAAACGGATGGACAAAACAGGGCGGCCTCAGACGTGAGAAATCGTTCCCCTCGATTTCCCATTTCCATTTTCCGCGTCCCGCAAAAACAAACCCGAACTCTCCAAAACACCCTATCGAGCCGCACGTCCACGATCTTTTCCAATATTTTTCGTGTTGGGCATCTTCTGTATGTCCGCGACCCCTTCTGTAGCTTACTTCTCCCAGTCAATGAATCCTGAATTGACCGTGCCACGTGCGAAGCAGACATCCCCCGATCCCCCCTCCTCCCGCGATCCTCTGTCGTCTTTTCAATGGAGATTGATCCCAGCAGACGAAACAAGAAGCCGCGCCTCTTGTTGGAGTCGGAACGCGAGCGTCTAGATGAGTTTATTGACTCCATCCACTACTCGGCAAGGTACTGGCGAAATCCACCGGTCCGCTCCCTTTGCGCCCCGGAACTAACTCCGGGAACAGATACTCAGACGACAAATACGAATATCGCCACGTGCAGCTGCCGAAGAACATGCTCAAGAAAATCCCCACGGACTATTTCGACAGTTCCAAAGGCACATTGAAATTGCTGTGGGAGGAAGAATGGCGAGCGTTGGGCATTACACAGGTGCGTTCTTTCTGGGCTCATTGCGATGGTTTCTAACGTGTGTGTCACAGAGTTTGGGATGGGAGCATTACGAGGTGCATGAACCGGAGCCTCACATCATGCTGTTTAAGTCAGTGACCCTCAACCATGTTCAAGTTCACATTTTTGCTGACTCTTTAATGAGGCGTCCTCTCAACTACCAGCCCCCAATGGGTCAATAACCTGTCACGAATTGGTGGCGCTGTGTTGAGAGATCCGAACCCCTCCTCTTCGCTTGTGTCTGGCTTAAGACACAAGCTACTATCATCAGGGTTACTGTTTTTTATTTTTTTTTTTTTTTTCAGATGAACATGCATTGTCAGTATGTTCATTAGGGTCGACAACAGCTTCGTAATGGAAGTTATGGAATGAGACATGATTTGTTTTCCCCTTCATCTTTCCTCTGACCGGCTTGGCTCGGGCTCCATATACGCGCGAACAGAAAGAAGAAACAAGCAAAGGAAATGCTGCTCAACCGAAATGCTGCTCAACCAAGATGCGCTCCCCGGCGGCCTTTACGTCAAACCACATTTTTCGCAAGCCACTCTTCCCATTGAGCGGCCGTGAAACTGCTGCTGATGCCACGCTCTTCCACGCCCTACATTGAACATCAGTGAATTGGATTTATGTTTGGGATGTCATTCTTCTTACATTGAAGAAAACGGTCGGTGATACATGAACACCCACCACTCGATCCGCCTAGGAGCATTAGTGAGTCGGTACGATGGGAAGAAGCGGGAATACCTACCTTGACCATCAACTTGATGTCATTGGTGACCTGGTTCCCGGTGTTCAATTGACCGTCTTCGCCGGATGATTCAGGGATTCTCAACAGTTCCAAGACCTTGCTTTCATCTAAACCCACTGATCCGGCTATCTGAGCCAGCCGCTCATAGGTCTTGTTACGGGTCTCATTCACCAGGCTCACGTCAAAGAATTCGGTCTGACGCTTGAACAAGGCCGCACTAAAGTCCCAAAACCTTTCGGGTGACAGTCGAAGAACGGCTGCTCCGGCCTCATGAGTGAGTGTGGAGGATGGATGCCACGGCTGGATATGCTGTCGAAATATCACTTGGAGCCGTGAGCCACACTGTTGAGAGATCATTGGACTCAGCGTATAAATTGTATTGAACATCTTGGCGGAGAACTACAGAACGTCTTAGCGGATACGGAGGTCGATGTGAGCATGTAACTGACGGGGCAGACATAGTCGAGATCTGGACTCAATTAGCTAATTTTTGGGGCGTAGATATATATCGCGGACCTACAAATTTCGAGGGTATGCTGTGCCCTTTGGGATGACCCGGTAGAGAGCTTCAGCCCTGCGAACTTCGGAGGAAGCGACATGGTTGTAAAAGAGGAGCTGAGGTGAGAAGAATGCGTGAACAGTGTAGCAGGAAATATAACTAAAGACGATGTCACTACCCCGCAACCATGGGAATATTAGGTCGGACAAGCTCTGGTATTTGTATGACGAATCGTATTAGCAAAGAAATAGCCCCACGGTACAACTTTCCGTAAGACCATTATTCCAGCTAGTGGCGTCATTTCATCGAAAGATATGCCAGCCAAAGACTGATGAAGCTGCGCACAGAGTAAACGCCTCGGATTTACGCAAATTAGTACTCTACCCTCAGCCAGAATATTCTCGTTAACTTTTCAGTAATCACATAACGGACTAGATCCTTCAGCTACTACACTGCGATCCAGTTAGTCCTAGGGAGAGTGACGTACTCGTCATATGTAAGCAACAATCCTACCGCTGCAATTAAATTCAAGTGGTATTATCATAGTTTCCAGAGTGTCGGTCTCAACACCCGATGTTCCTACATACATCAATGGCCTCCAAGTGCTCGCTGCTTCCTAGGATTCAGGTCTTTCAATTCCATTTCAACCGTCCGCCATGCCGATTTAGATGGATCATACTCACCGCGGACTTCGAATCGGCAGAACCCGCCAGGCCCCTTGATGCCCACAGGGCCAGAAATGAAAAAGGTTCCACGGCGAGGTGTTCGCTTCATTTGAGCTCGATACGCATTTAATTGTAATTTAAATGCGATTGAGGCCAGGTGTAGATCCGAGCCGGGGCCCAGGTCAGGTAATGGAAGTCTCTGCAACGAAGCAATGATGGAAGATGGATGGAGTCCTGGGTCTCCGGTGGATGGTGCGCTTTCTGTAGGCCCATCCACAAGAGGAGGTTGCAATTTTGGTTGCTCGTGGGGGCTAAGAGGATTGAGCCTTTCGTTCCTTGACAGAGTATAGCTTTCATTCAGAGACTCCAGAGCATCAACTGGCTGTTCTTGGGGATGCCTGAGGCGGTTCACCTGTCTCATGAGTAGTAGCAAGTATGCATCTTTGATTGCAAGCGCTACGTGCAAAGGCTTCATGAACGTCTCTAGTCTGTCGCCCATGTCGGGGTCTAGAGGTTTGGTGACCCAAGATACGCCCTCGTCTGTAATTTCGAGCCTATGCTCGATTAGCGCTGAAAATGTTATTCAAATGATGCGAACATACCCAGATCGAAGATATTCCGGAGGAGCGCGAGGCGGGAATTGATGAACAAGCCAGAAACCGGTCAAAGAAAGAGGTCCGCCGAGGAGTTGGGACATCCGACTCGAAGCACTTTCCAAAACGAGAGCTGCGAGTTCATCTGGCACTGTCAACAAAGCGCGCGTACTTTAATCGTCTAGACATACCTCTCAGTTTTTGAAGCTTCTTCCGATCCTTGGACAACTGAACGAACGCTTGCCATTCTGGGTCCGACGCAGCATACAGCTCACCTTCCCGCAATCGGGACCAGGTAAGTGGGATGAACATAGGCGCTCCATCTTCTGTATCCTTATTCCTCCCCTCTTTCGCTGAAAGATCTGTGTCTCGAGACTTCCGGCGAGGGCCAGCCTCCTCTAAGCTTGATTCGAGGGTTGAAACGTCGTCGTGGGTATCGTCATCAAATCGAACCAGGACAAAGGAGGTCCACAAATGAAACGCGGCGCCATAAAGAAAAAACTTGGTGAAGAAAGATCTAAAGGTTACAATCAGTTAGCACCAGATCATGATTCCGAACTCGATGTTCATAAACTCACCTTAGCCAAGGCTGCCTGAATCTCACATGCCGGACGGTCGGAGGGGCTGCGAGGGTCTGGCGAGAGCCGTTGTGGAAAGAGAAGGCGCGCGATTGACTTCGAAGCAGATGCCTGAGCCGAAGCATTGAGATTACCCAGCGTGAGATAGAGTTGGGAAGAACCTATAGTGATGATGTGAGTGCTGGAGATTTGGGGTGCGTCCCATACACGTGATATCTTATCGCAACGGAGTGAACTGCGGAAGCCCCCGTACGAAAGAAACACTCTGACTGCCCCGAATCATAGACGGCCCCTCAAACCCACGGCCATTCTGCAAAGTCTCTTTTATGGCCATCACAGCAACGATCACTGCTTTCATTCCTCGATCTTCCTGATCTCAACTCGATCCTGCAAAATGCGCTGGGTCTCCAAGCTCCTGGCCCTGGCGACGACAGGTGCTTTGGGGACGAATGCTCTGGAAACCTCAATCTTTACCTTCCCTGGTGGCGGTAAAGGCTACGAGAGTGCCCTTACCGAGCCACAGAGTATATCGGAAGATGTTGCCCGACTCTTTCTTCAACTTCGCGGCCAGTCTTCCCTGGCAACGGTTCTTGGTCAGGCGGGGACAGATGCCGTTGATCGCCTGAATCAGTTTGCGAATGCTGAATCCACCCTTTTTGGTGGTTCTGAAGGCACTGAATCTGGGGGGGAAAGCATCATTCTTTTCGAGGGTGTCAATCAAGAAGTTGGTATGTGGAAAAGCGACCTGCAACTTGAGCTTTTAGCTAATACCGATCTTCATTCACGACAGGCGTGAATCTACGGAAGAAGCAGCCACACAGCCTCATAGTTCCTCATACTTCATCGAATCTAATCGGAGACTCACTAAACCTCCTTATGGAAATCGATAACAATGGTAATCACTGCCTTTACACTAAGGATGCCAGCAAGGTGGATTCGAAAACTGCTCAGGTACCAATCCTCCTGCGATATATATTTCATATAATCAACACACTAACTACGATGCCTTAGTCCGCCAACGAGTGTCTCATCGTGAATCCCATTCTCGCTCATACGACTGGCTTCTTTGATCATAATCTACTTGACCTGATCGAGTCGGTGGAAACTTGGGCCAGTAAGGATCAACGGACAACTGCTACAAGGCTCTCATTCAAGGTACGAGCCAACACAGTCACTCCCTTAAATCGATGCCTTGTCTAATTAGTATACTAGGCGAGCTCTAGTGATGGTGTATTCGTCAATGAATTTCTACAGTCCTTCTTCCAGTATCTGGCCGAGCAGTCTTCAATGGAACATCGGGAAACCACAGTCGTGCTTCTGCCAGCCACTGGAGGCTCTCGGGACTCTGCGCAGATTCTTAGGCGAGGCTCGGAGGTCTTGTCTAGACCATCTGCGTTAGGTGCACAAGATGCGCTTCGGGGGTCTGCGCAAGACCTGCCCCTTCACTCGAATCTTGCCCCTGTTTGCCACGTCTCCAACTCGTCTTGCGCTGAGGCAACAAATGGCTGCTCTGGCCACGGGTCTTGCTATCTGAAATATGGATCTGGTGAGGAGGGTTCTACGGGCAGCTGTTACGCGTGTCGATGCCAGCAAACGGTGGTGCGGAAGAGTGACGGCTCCATCCAGAAATTCCAGTGGGGTGGGCCTGCCTGTCAGAAGAAGGATATCAGCTCCCCTTTCTTCCTCATTGCTGGTGTCAGTGTATTGGCAGTTCTCATGGTAGGAAGCGCTATTGGTATGCTTTTCAGCATGGGACAACAGGAGCTCCCTAGTGTGATTAGTGCTGGTGTTGGTGGTACCAAGGCACAATCATAAGCAATCAGTCTTGGTGTTTTATGGAAAGAGAGGGCGTCTTTGATTTGCTTTGTTTCCTCTTCGCGGGCCTCTTTGCTTTCAATGCACATTTCCCTGCGCCAAATTTTGTCGCCCGGTCCAGCGGTTATATAAATGGAATCCCGGCCAGAAGTCATTTTCAACATGAAGTTGATTCCATGTCTTTACAATCATTGAACCCATTAAGGCTGACAGCCTTTTAGTGGTTAGTAGATGGTATTCATTCAACGTATGTTATCAAAAGGCACCCGAGGTACAAAGAAGTCGAAGCGATGATCCTTCAAATCTCCCGAAGTGTGAAGTAGTGGTGCATTAGTCACTAGGCGTCAGTCCCCTTCCCATTTCTCAGTATCCAAGGCGCCACGGGTATGCAATTAAGAAAAGAAACAAGAAACGGGAAGTGGAAGAGAGAAAACAGCAGAACATGCCCGAATTTGGTGCACATAGAATGGCCAGACTCAGGAATAGAGAAGTCGTGACCCGCGTGCTTCCTGGGCCTATCATCGCAAGTATTGAGTAATTACAAATAGCCAAGTCATCAACAGTGAAGCTATGCCGACCGAACATTCCAGATGTTGGTTCGTACATGCGAAGAGGTTGCAGGGAAAGAGTTCGTTAATGGTCAATAGTCAATAAATAGCACTGCAAATTCAAGTTCCAGCTTCAAGCTGGCCGGGGGTCATAGGTTGCGAAGGCCCAGCCTCGGGTTCTGACAATGACCTTTCTCCGGTTCTTTCGGGGGTCCGAGAAGACAGCCCGCGTAGACGAGTAGGTATGAATCGCGACCAGTCAGACCGGGGAGGTGATGTACTTGGGGTTTGAAACCCGCTATGCACTTGTCTAGCGCGACCTTCTGAACGCGGTGACCCGGTAGGACGTTCAAGAGATGTCGGCTGGAATAGCCGGCCAGTAAATGCCATCTGTACTCTGAATGGATGAGCTTGGCCCCCGGAGTGGGCAGCGCGAGAGGGTCTGGCGATAATGTCTGAACGGCTTAAGGCAGCGCGACGTCCCTGGCGGTCAGAGACAGATGCCATTTCGGCTGCTTGTGAACGAGGTTTGGGGACATAATAATCAGCCTTACAAAGAGGACAGCAGGCCCTCCGACTGGTCAGCCACGGGTCGACGCATGATGCATGGAAGGCATGTCCACAAGTGAGTCCTCTTATGTCGTCGTCGTCCTCTATGGTGTCAAGGCATATTGCGCAAGAATCGCCGGGATTAGGAAGCAATTCTGCGGGGACGGATTTCTGAATATGATCGCCTTCCTCGTCATCTTCCTCTTCGTCTTCTTCAAGGTCAATCGTTTCGTTGACCAATGAATGCTGCCATTTCTCTTCTGCAGCATTTGCATCACCTTTCGTCGAGACATCTTCCGTTGCCGCGGAAGCCTTCTCTTCCGTTGGAAAACCACATATTTCGGAAGCGGAGTCAGGGTGTTGGGCATTGATGTTATTGAAACCCATCTGTCCTTGCTTGGGGGAGGGTAACCTTGTATTCATGGAAATAACGACCGGTGCAGAGACGACGGCACTATTATCTTTGAGACTCTGGGGCCTGCTGTTGGGGGCAGTAATGCCACCTTCTGTTGGTAGACCTTGATTGGCACGCGATGACCTCCATACTTTGTATTTCAAAAGTGGAAATCGCTCATTGACTTCGTCCATCGTCATCAGCTTCTTTTCTCGTCGCCTACGATGAGCTCGGGGCATGGCCACTAGGTCGATCGGCTCTCCTGTTTCCTCGCTGCGCAGCTGACGATTCCGTTGATTGTAGCGGAAGCAGTACTTGACCCCGACAATAATCCTATCGCAATAATCAGTCCACGGGTCCCCATGCGGCTTTGGAATTGTGGCATAGTTCGGTCGTCTAGATAGGGGATAAACAAAACAAAGCTTACCATAGATTAGTGAAGACGACACCAAATCCGAGCGCAACGAAGAAGAGGAGAGGTGAGCTAGTCGCATTTGAACCACCTCCACCGCCCCCACTGCCACTGGTGGTGGTTGCAGCGCTTCCGGCCGAGGAGGTTGTCGATGGAGGCATTTCAAACGTAGGAGAATGTGTTGACAAGTATGTTAGGATGTAATTTGAGGGTTTCTTGTTCAAATTGTACTGTCAAGTTCGTGCAGGAAACCGCTCATTCCTCTGGCTGTTCAATCCACGTACAGCGCTCAACTCAGCAACGCAGCGATGAGCCGCTCGGGATTGTTAGTGCAATCGAATGCACGCAGTGGACAGAAGACCACTACGGGGTTGAGGACGGCACATGGATCGACAACGGGGTGCAAGGGATACGCAAAGCACTGGGAAGTCTGTGTCGCTTGTAGTGCTCACGGGGATCGAGATGGTCCTAGGTCATATCATCAGGACGAAGGGGTGGGATACGAGGGTGGATTTGGGAGGGAGATAGAAGCAAGAAGGCTAGATGCATGCGGATGGTCAACTTGGGTGACGATAGTAAATGCCTGAGGCACCTTGGTCATGGGGGTGCAAACACCCAGTCGTCGTTATACCCAAGAATAGATAGCGAATTTTTCTTTACTCTTTGTCGAATATGTGAAGGTTGGATATATACGAGGAAGGGTGATGAGATCAAAGAAGGATACCTCCACCTCGTAGTACTTTCTGGGCTTGAATGCGGGCCATAAGTTAAAACGGGGTACCCGAAGATCGGAACGTGGCCAACTTCTCTTTCAGCTCTCTCTCTCTCTCTCTCTCTCTGTCTGTCTCTGTCTTTGTGAACCTCACTATGGCTGAATCTATCGCACCCGATGCCAGCAACCCGATAGTCTTCTTTGATATCGCTCTCGCGGGTAAGCCCTGTTGAGAACATGGATACATACATTTTGGCAGGATGCTAATTGTCGCAGGCGAGCCACTGGGTCGAGTGAAAATGGAACTCTTTGCCAATGTCACCCCACGTACTGCGGAGAATTTCCGACAGTTCTGCACCGGCGAAAGCAAAAACCCCAAGGGCCAACCACAGGGCTATAAGGGAAGCAAATTCCATCGAGTTGTGTGTAATTAAATATCCTGTTGCATCATATAGGCACTCATGTCTCCCAGATTAAAGACTTCATGATTCAAGGGGGCGATTTCATCAATGGAGATGGAACAGGAAGCTGCACTATCTATGGCAGTCCAAAATTCGCTGATGAGAATTTTGCGCTGAAGCACGATCGCCCGGGTCTCCTCAGCATGGCCGTGAGTATCTGGATCCTCTAACACATAAAAATTCTCCTGCTTACTCGTGGTCAGAATTCAGGCCCAGATACGAATGGCTGCCAATTTTTTATCACTACCACGGCAACACCATTTCTGAATAACAAGCATGTGGTTTTCGGCCAGGTCATTGATGGGATTGATGTCGTGCGCATGGTCGAACACACTCGAACCACGCGAGACAAGCCTAATCAAGATGTAACGATTGTGCAATGTGGAGAAATGTGAAGAAGCCGTGCCCCAACCGCAAGGTGGAAGATGCATGGTGAAGTCCTTTAATACGAGCCACAATGAGACCGAGCCGTGGATTTGAAACCAACACGAGGTTCCATTGGTGCAAACTTATCCAAAAAAATATCTCCAATTTGATTTAGTATATCAATAGACATAGGTTCACTCTCATTCTTTTCATCGTCCTTATCCTGCCAGGCTGTAAGATAAAACAGACCAAGCCACAGTAGGACTAGGCGCGAATGTGGTCACTGGACACAATTCGGAAAGGCCAAAGGAAGGGACCCATGGGCTTAGCCAATCTAGAGTTTGAATTTACTCAGATAGTCCGAAGCGAGCGAGATAGCCTCCTCAATCTTGTTGGGGTTAATGCCATTACCAAGTGACGTCTGTCCCTTCCCTCCGGCTTTGCCGCCAATGACGGTAGAGACAACGGCAGCCCAGTCACTCGCAGAAGCACCCTGATTACCGAGCTCCTAATCCATATGTTAGCAAATGGAGTACCTTTCCAACGGCGTCAGAGGGCTAGCGCTTACCTTAGACACGTAGCAGCCGTGCGAAACTCGAGTCTGCTCAGAGTCTACCGCCATGACATATACGTTCTTGTCCTGCATCTTCGATTTGACATGATTCAGAGATTCGCTGACGGCCTTGGCGCTTGCCGCCATCGGAAGCTTGACTACGAGCCAGGACGCGTTCTCATTCCCAGGAGACTGGAAGTAGGAAGTAATTGTCTCCACAGCCTTCTTGGCTTCCAGCTTTTGCTGAGCTTTCTGGCCATCAAGAACCTGCTTGTTGATTGCTGTGAAGCGCTCGCGGAACTTAGCCTTCTGGACAGCGGAGATTGTCAGCTGGTTAAGATCCACCTGGACCTGCTTGGCCTCACGCTCCTTTTCGGGGCCGAGGGGCATTGCGTCCAGGTGATCAAGACGTTTTCCGAACTCCGCAGCAACTCGTTGCACCTCATGGGCATCCTCCCCAGTGACAGCAATAATTCGGCGAATACCTTTGGCAATGCCGTTTTCTTCCAGAATGATCAAATCCTTGATATCTCCGGTTTTTTGAACGTGAGTACCACCGCAGAATTCAATGCTGACTTGCTCCCATCGTGGATCCTTGACGTTTCGCAGAATCTCTTCTAATTCGACGCCAACAGAGACAACGCGGACAGGGTCTGGGTACGTCTCACCGAAGACAGCTCTGACACCGGAGATCTGCTGCGCAATTTCCAGTGGAACTTCCTGCGAATAGACAGCACAATTCTGCCGAATGTATTCGGTAGACTTCGCCTCAACCTTCTCCAAATCAGAATCAGATACTGCGGACTTGTGAGAGAAGTCAAATCGAAGCTTCTCAGCTGCTACAAGAGAGCCTTTCTGCTCGATACCGGCACCCAAAACCTCCCTCAATGCGAAGTTAAGGATGTGTGTACCGGTATGATTGTTCCTAATGGGCCAGCGACGAAGCTCATCGTACTCACAAATCACAGAGTCACCCACGGAGAGCGCTCCATACTTCATGAAGCCGGTATGGAGAACGTATCCGGCATAGACTTGAACATCGCTAACCTCAAGCTCGGCTTGTCCATCGATAATGATTCGACCAGTATCACTTTCCTGGCCGCCTTGCTCGGCATAAAAATTGGTGCAGTCGAGGATAACACCCAGCTGCTCTCCGTCTGGAGCTTCCCCGGTACTGTCGTAAAAGGCCTTGCCATGGTAGATAGCCTTCACGCGAGCCGTAATGTTACCCTTGCCGAACTTGGCAGAATCATCCGTTTTCTTGACATCATCCATCTTCTCTAGCTTCGATAGGTCATGGACATCGAGCTTGACAGCAGTTGACGCTGCCTTCTTCTGACCCTTACTGGCTTCCTTGGCCTTCAACCGTGCTTCCTCGAACTCGACATCGTCGATGCGAAGACCACGTTCCTCGGCCATGATCTGAGTGAGATCGACGGGGAAGCCAAAAGTATCATACAGCCTCCAAACGTCTGCACCGTGGAGCTTATCTGTGCCCTTGGCCTTGCATTGTTGAGCATATTGTTCAAATTGACGTTCACCTCGGTCCAAGGTCTTGGCAAATGAAAGTTCCTCCTCATCCAGAATCTCCATCACATCTTGCTGCTTTCTTTTCAACTCAGGGAACATGCCACTGAGCTGATCGATGACTGTTGGCACGAGCTTCGAGAAGAAATTACCGATGTCAACCTGGAAGTACTTGCGAGCAAAGCGGGAACCTCGTCGCAACACTCGACGGATCACGTAGCCACGGCCCTCGTTGTTGGGAATAACACCATCCGAGATGGCGAACATAAGTGTCCGGACATGGTCTGCAACAACTCGATAAGCGGTATCAATGCCATCGACATCTTCGGCACCAAAAAAGCCTCGATATTCTCGAGCACCAGTTACATGTTGGATAGCTTGGAAGATCGGGGTGAAGACATCGGTATCGTAATTCGAAGGTTTATCCTGGAGAATGGAAACAAGGCGCTCGAAGCCCATGCCGGTATCAACGTGCTTGTTGGGAAGCGATTTCAAGCTCCGGTCTGCCTCGCGATTATACTGGATGAAGACATTGTTCCAAATCTCCAGCACATTCGGATCGTCCTGGTTGACCAGGTGAGCGGCATTGCGACCGCCAATGCGGTCATAATGCACTTCACTGCAAGGACCACACGGACCTTGGTCACCCATCTCCCAGAAGTTGTCCTTCATGTTTCCAGGGAGAATGTGGGATTTGGGAACTCCCACTGACTTCCAGAGTTCCTTTGCCTCGAGGTCGGGCTCCAGGCCACCAGCTTTATCACCTTCGAAGTAGGTGACATAGAGACGATCGGGCTGAAGACCGTAGACCTTGGTCAAGAGGGTCCATGAGTACGAGATAGCCTCCTCCTTGAAGTAGTCACCGAAACTCCAGTTGCCGAGCATTTCAAAAAAGGTCTGTTTTGGATTGTTAATTTCACTGCACTTTGAACGCTTGTTAACGCTGGCTGAGTCTCACATGGTGGTAACTATCCTTGCCCACATCGTCCAGGTCCTACGTAAAGCTAGTCAGGAGAGGTTCCAGCATGGCGTTTAAGAGATCCATGTTACCCACATTGTGTTTTCCGCCAGCACGCAAGCACTGTATTATTTTCAGGTCAGCAAACAAGAACACTGCCGAACTGAAGTCATGGTTGGCTGAAACGATTTTACCTTTTGCGAATTCACCGCGCGCCGCAGCTTTGCAAAGTCTGACTGCGGGTCCACAGTGCCCAAGAAAATGGACTTGAACTGATTCATTCCAGCATTGGTAAAGAGGAGAGTCGGATCCGACAAGGGAACCACGGGAGACGACGGGACTGCCAGCGCAAAAAAAAAAAGGAGAGTTAGATCAATCGGATCGAAGGAGAGGTGCGCAACGATCGCGGGGTGAAAGCCCACCAAAGGTGTGTCCATTCTGTTTAAAATAGTCGAGAAAGGTGTCTCGGACCCGGTGCGCGGTCCATTCAGAACCGGAACCATTGTCGGAAGCCATCCTGGCAACGGTGCGAAAGGAGGTGGTTGTGGTGTGGGCAAAGCGAGGAGGGTGGAAGGTTCTGGGAAGTCGCGCGAGACGAGGATGAGTCAAAGCCAGCTCCCCCCCCAAGAATCCTTGAAACCCGCATCGAGCAACCGCCCGCTGATGATGATCGGGACCTGCTTCCCACTCCGCAACTTTCTTCACTAGTCGCAGTCTGGTCAGTGTAAAAAACCACAGGGGGGTGAAAGGTGTGGATGGCGCGGAGTAATGAGAAAACCAGCAAGAAGCGCCCCGCGGAAGGTGACCCCGACGGCGCGCAACCACTGACCAAACGATTCGGAAGTCTCCAGATCGGTAGGTGGCCTCGTTCGCGTAATTGCAATTGATCAGGTTGGATCAAGTGTTGACACATTCTTGACTCGTGCAGATAACGATGCGTTCTCAGATGCTCGGGCCAGTCGCGATGGCTCCCCTTACCGGCGCTCCCCGAGCCAGCACGATGTGATGTTGTTGGACGACACCAAACATACCACCTACATCCACAGTCTGGACGAAGAGCTAGCTGAGCCTGACCCTCCCAATGAGGGTCTGGTCATCTCACCACTCGCCGCCAGTATGATGTCCATGCCGAGACCCATCCTATTGAACTCTTCATCAAATGGCAAAGAAATGGTTCTATACTCTGAGCCCATTTCTCTGACAGTCCCCAGGGATAAGGACACTGTGCGGAAGGCCATATTGGAATCAAGGGCCCGGGCTCGCGCGGAAATCAAGCAACTTTCTGGCCAATCGACTGACATCGAAGTTCAATGTTCAAGCCGCACTGTGCCCGATGCGACCACATCTTACCATGACGATCCAATGGACATTGATCATGATTTATGACAGTCATTATTCACACTCATTCGCTCAGTCCTGCCTAGGAACTCGAAAATGCAGTTGCTAGCCTCCTGCTTTGACTTTACACGAATACACGTTTTAGCATAAAGTCTTCAAGCGTTGAAGGGGCGTATGGAGATGGTTTTTCAACTACAAGCAATGTTAGTCGGCACCCATAGATGATTTTTGGGAATTCATATTCAGTTTTCTACAAGAAAAAAAGGCTTGCCAAGTAGTTCGCCCACCTGACAGTGACTCGCGAAATCTAATCTCTTTAAAGAAAAGAAGCGAAGAGGCCAAATTCTTCGGTATGAGGCGATTGCTATCAAAGTACACTAGAGCGGGGTCCCTTCTAATGTTCAATTTCGATATGTTGTGCCAACCTCGGATATATTGTTAAGACCCCCGATAGGACGAACAATGGTCGTTGCCTAAGGCGCCCAGGTGCCTCAGGAAATACGGCAGAAAGGGGACCGTCACCGCCTTCAGCAGGGGCAGTCCATGTATTTAATCCACCCGCGCTGGTCTACGAGAGACTAGCGTTCAGTCTTGATCCCACAATAATACCATATTGTGCACATGCATGTGAAGGCTTCTACCTCGCTTACCTACCTACCCTAGAGACTGCTGCGTGGTCTCACATATATAGTGGCACAGCAAAAGTATTTATACCCCCTGACCCACACTACATTGATTATGTAGTATTTTGCCGCTTCAAACCTTTATTTAATTCCTTTGACATATGTATACTAGCCCTAGCTTTCTAGGATTGCTTTGACCCGGTGCGGTATAGTCATCAATGAATATTCTAGGTAACGTAGCTTAAGCTCACCCTATATAGTTTAAGCCGTCTTAACAATAACAGTATTATAAAGAATCTACGTATTTAGGGTAGAAGGCCTACCAGTTAGGTAAGGAATGATATCTAGATTAGAGTCTAATATTAAAAGAAGTAAGACTAATTCTTACTGAGTCTAAGTTATCTAGATACCTTCTTAATTTAAGTGCGAGTTAGGTCTAAGACTTACTTATTATACTATAGGGTAATTCTTTATTATTAGTCCTTAATATTTTTTTATAACTATCTCTCTCTCTAAAGATAATAAGCTCCGGAGATAATTATAAAAAGAAAAAATATTAGTTATTTTTTAGTATAATATTATTTAGAATATATAATCTTTTAGGGTTTAGAGTAATATAATAAGTATAAGCCTTAGATATTGTTATACTTAAGGTAAACTATATAAAAGTTATAAATAATATTAAGCTTCCTTTAATTTTATAATAGTTCTAACTATAATAAAATAATATTATTATTATATTATAAAATATCTTTATTTTGATTTAGCTAATAATAATATATATTTATTTATATCTTTTTTTAGTTATATATTATTATTTTTTTATTTATATTATTCATATATTTTTTTTATATTTTTTAATTATTACTCTTTATAGAATATTTTTTAATCTTAAAGGTTATTTAATATATTTTTTATATTTATTACTCTCTAAGACTAAAATAAATAAAATATATTTTTAGTAATTTATATTTAGAATATATTAAGTTTTATTTTATATTAAGATTATTTTTATATTAATTATTCTTACTTTTTTATTTATTTATCTTTTTATCTTTTTTATTTTTTTATTTATCCATATATGTAAGTTCTCTTTAATATATGAGGTAACTTTATTAATATAGTTAATTTAGTTAGATATATTATAGATATCTAAGATTTTATTAACAAGTCAGCTAAAAAAAGAAAGATAAAATTAATATATTTATTATTAAAGAATAGATTTAATTAGATATCATTTATATTTATATTAAAAAGATAATTTATATCTTTATTTTTAAATAGATCATAAAGAAGACTTTCTATAATAAAATTTTAGTTATACTTCATCTTTAGTTTAAGGACAAAGACTTTATTAATATAGTAATTATTAATAATATTATAAACTATCCCTCTGTTATATTTTAATCTTTTAGTCTTAGTTACTATAAAAATATTAAAAATGAATTTATATAAAATGAATATAAAGATCTATTAATATATTAATAGAATAACTTTAGATTAAAATTTTATCTTAGATCTTTAATAGACTTTTCTATCTTTTATCTTTTTCTTATAATCCTGTATTAATTCTTAAGTATTTTCTATAATTTCTATATTTACTTTTATTGGAATATAGACCAATGCTACATAGAAAGATCTATTCTTATATTCAACATATAAGACCAGATTGCATTGATCACGTGACCAGTTTTTTCTTCTCTTCTATCAAAATGATATGTTGACCACTTCTGATTCTGGTCTGCGGCCCTCCCCCGAACGATAGGCGGGACCATTTTCCGTTAGGAGTAGATGGTCCGCCTTCAGGCATGAATGGTCCGTTCCTTCGGGGGTGCCTTCGGGCATGCCTTGCCCGCGGACTTCGACCATGGTCTTCGGACCTCGGTGAACAGACTTCGACCCTCAGTCCCCTTAAGGATAGGCGGACTACTTTCCCTTAGGGGTAAAATAGTCTACCTTTGGGCATGCATAGCCTGATCCTACGGGGATGCCTTTGGGGTGGCTTAGACCGTCGATCCTTGATATCATTCTTTTCGCTTCTCTTCGGTTCCCTTCTTTGCCACCTTCATTATGTTGCTGCCTAGTGTTTGTACGTCATTTGTATGTCATTCTAGACGTCATTTCTAGGCTATCCTAGCCTATAAATACGTCCTTCTTTTCTAGCAGAGAAAATCAAGTCATTTCTACTTTCCTGAAGTCAGTTCTACTTTCCTGAAGTCATTTCTACTTTCCTGAAGTCAGTTCTACTTTCCAAAAGTCATCTCTACCTTCTTCCTTTGATCCTCAGGACTGTGGTTCTGCCTTCGTTTAGGCTATATCTGCTTATAGTCTATCCTACGACCTTTGACTTTCTACCTTTGTCTGGCACCGACTGACCCAGCCGGATTAAGGTTGATCCCACGGACTTAAGGGGCCACGATCTGCTTCGTGGTAGCTTTCCCCTTATATCCCAACAACTTTTAATATCTATTAGTATTGGAATATAGACCAATGCTACATAGAAAGATCTATCCTTATATTCAACATATAAGACCAGGTTATATTGATCACGTGACCAGATTTTTTCCTTCTATCAAAATGATATTTTGACCACTTCTGATTCTGGTCCGCGGCCCTCTCCCGAATGATAGGCAGGACCATTTTCCTTCAGAGGTAAATAGTCCGCCTTCAGGCATGAATGGTCCGTTCCTTCGAAGGTGCCTTCGGGCATATCTTGCCTGCAGACTTCGACCATGGTCTTCGGACCTCGGTGAACAGACTTCGACCCTCGGTCCCCTCAAGGATAGGCGGACCACTTTCCCTTAAGGATAAAATGGTCTACCTTTGGGCATGCATAACCTGATACTGCGGGGAAACTTTCGGGGTGGCTGAAACCATCGATCCTTGACATCATTCTTTTGGCTTTTCTTCGGTTCCCTTCTTTGCCACCTTTATTATGTTGCTGCCTAGTATTTGTATGACATTCTAGACATCATTTCTAGGCTATTCTAGCCTATAAATATGTCCTTCTTTTCTAGCAGAAAGAATCAAGTCAGTTCTACTTTCCTGAAGTCAGTTCTACTTTCCTAAAGTCAGTTCTACTTTCCTAAAGTCAGTTCTACTTTCCTAAAGTCAGTTCTACTTTCCTAAAGTCAGTTCTACTTTCTTCCTTTGATCCTGAGGACTGTGGTTCTGCCTTCGTTTAGGCTATATCTGCTTATAGTCTATCCTACGACCTTTGACCTTCTACTTTTGTCTGGCACCGACTGACGTAGCCGGACTAAGGTTGATCCCACGGACTTAAGGGGCCACGATCTGCTTCGTGGTAGCTTTACCCTTATATCCCGAGACATTCTATTTATTATTATCTATATACTTTAATAGTAGAAATAAATTTATATCTAATTTATATTAATAGTGCCGTGGCATACCAACACCGCTTCGGGTGTTGGTCCGCCAGGGCCCAACACAATTCCATAGCCTAACACATATCTTGAAGCTATTCACACCTATTATTTCTTTACCCACTATAAATTCTTCGTATATCGCTATTAAGCAATATATTTAGGCCGCCTGTGAAGCCGCTAGAAGTCGAAAGGACGCTAGAATTACCGCGCTAGCGCGCGAATTTAATATTCTTATAACCTGGCTATAGGCGTATCTTTATAGTTAGCTATCTCGTTCTTAGCGTGCTATTATTATTAAGTACCTTAATATCTCGTAAGAGATAGTATTAATTAGCTAAATTAATATATTTAATAGTCTCTATATTCTATTTACCGTATATAGTTGAAGTAAGTGCGAATATAATAATTAAGAGAGATAGGGGAAAACTTGTTAATAAGATATAGGTATATAAATTTATTCAGCGCCTACTTAATAGCCTTTATTAAATAAAATAAAAGCTAATAGAGAAAATAAGGATTAAGGCTAAGAATATTAATATTCTATAAGCTTAATATAATGATCTTAAGCTATTTATAAAGTATATCTTATTATTAAATATCTAAAATTTTAATAAAATTAGCTTTTAGCTTAGTTAAGGAAAGCCTTAAAAGATTATTAGCTATAATACATATTATATAAAGCTATTTATAAATAAATAAGGTAATCTCTTAATTAGAATTAAATATATAGTAGCTAATAGATAGCTTATAGAGCTATATTTTATTATATTAGGTATAGTATATCTTAAGCGATAATACAATAATAATATATTTCTAAATAAATTATAAATTATAATATCGCTATTTAGATATTTAAATAATATCCTTATAGTTAATAGCTTCGCTTCTTCTAATAATATATTTATTATTAGGCTTATAGTAATTAAAGATTATTATTTTCTAAGAATTATAGTTTATATCTTATTTAAGAATTCCTTAATCTCTGCGAATAATAGAATATCATTATCTTTGTCTTCTCTCTATATATTATATATATTAT